GCATCCCTGTCTCATTCTCAGCCCAGGCTATTGCCCGATGTCTTGCTCGGAACTGTGTAACGATGGCCCGATCAACCCGACCGTCAAGTCTATGATGATGTGCCGATCGCAGAGAGGGGGTTTTGGTACTGAGGGGTAGCGTATGCGTGAACCATGGTTACAATGACATGATAAGATACGAGATACAGATACAGATATGTATAGATCGAAGACAAGAGAGTCCAGACTAGTTCTCACGATTCCGGGGCAGGACCCAGGTATGAAGAAGATACCCTACGCTAGCGAAGAGTCGCTGTCGGAGTGCCACGATCGAGGCACTAACTCGCCTCACATGCCAGCCACACATTTTCCCCTGCGATAAACAAAGGGCGCCCCTCCGACCCATCAAGCCCTGAGCGAGGGGCCACCTTTGTCTGGCCCACTGTGCCCTCGCAGCAGACAGCGGTGTTATTTCCCACTTTGACCGTCCCTTTTTTGATTATTTCGAATTTTCAATTTTCAATTTTGGATGGATTGCTTTTTTGTAGGATCGAGGTGATCAAGTTGACCCCTCCATGTATTCGTGAAGACAAATAAGCATTCAAGTAGTACTCCATATCGAGTATCATTATGGAGATATCTATGTATCTAAAAAAAATTCTAGACCACAGTGTGAAAGTAGCGGCCATGTGGGCACGATCGGATTGAATATTACGACACGTCGATTCTGTACGGTAAAGGGGGGCAGCGTCGCCAGTTGAACGGGTGTGGTGGTAGGAACTGGAAGTGCGTGGCCGGACTGGACTTGGTAGGTGCACTGCCAAACACCAGCAATCAGCAGCAATCACCGCTTTTGCAGGACGTGTGAGTCCCGCTTTCGCCCCTCTGCGCGACACACGCGTAGTAAGCGATGCTTGGGCCCACGTCCTTCCTTGTCTTTCACCCCCTCCCTAGCCTCCCCTCCCACCCCCCCTCTAAGACTCGCGCACCCCCCCCCCCCCCCCCAAAAGGCACTTCCTAAATTCCTCTTTTCTCCTCATCTTCCCCCCCCCCCTCCCCCCCCCCTCCCACTTTCAACAATTTCCCCTCTCTCCGCGGTGCTTAACGCTCATCCCGCCTTTCTTTTCTTGAGCGTTCCTTTTTGATTTCATATCCGTCCGCCTGTGGCTGGACTCCCACTTTGCACTTATTTCCATCCCCAGGAATGATCAGACATCCCAACGAACTCCTGTCTTCGACACGCCTACAGAACCGGTGCGAGCTCACTCAGGGAACCATACCACAGCCGGCTACCATTTAAAGTCGACTCGGCCTCATATCACACACATGGCTCCCTCGGCTCCCGGGACGGCCAGCAACTCGCCGGCCAAAAAGACGTCCGCCCCCGAGAAGAAATACAAGTGCCAGTTTTGCAATCGCGCTTTCAGCCGAAGCGAACACCGCAGCAGACACGAACGTTCCCGTAAGTTTTTCGTTCCGTGGATGAATGAACTGACCCAACTGACACCCAATTTAGACACAAAAGAGCGACCCTTCAAATGTTTAAAATGCCGGAGTACCTTTGTTCGTCGCGACCTTCTCCTGCGCCATGACCGAACTGTGCACGCCAAGGATGGCGGAATTCCCCTGGTTGCAGAGGGACGCAGACGTGGTGGAGGGGTTCAAAAAGCCTCATCCGGTCCTTCCAAGCCCTCGATCACTATCGATCCGGCGACGCTGGAGCAGATCGAGGCAAGCAGTGATGGTATGGTCGACCTTGAAACTGCAGCCATGTTGATGACAGATTTCCAACATAAGGCTGCAGCAGTGGCGACTGGCCAGGTCTCCGAGCGATCCGAATCGTTGTCCCCGGGCCGTGGCTCTTTCGAGCCCTATCTGTCCGGCAATGCCACCCTTCCCCAGATGCCTTGGGATACGCTTGCCTCCCCCGCGGATCACGGCTCGATGCCCACGTTTGTCGACCGTCACGGCCCTATCGGTGACCTCTTGTCCAATTCCCTGTCCATGTCTGGCAACTCTACCCCAAATGCGCTCTCCCCGTACCCGTCCATGACCGGCCCCGTTAGCCCCGTTACCTACCGCCGGTCTCCCGGACCGAGCCAGGCATTGACTCTTCCCAAGGCCCCTCAAATTGCGGACGAGATGGAGCGCAACTTGGTTGTCGAGCGCATCCAGGGTGCCGACACCCTGGGTGCCCTACCCGAGACCTTCCAGCTCCCGGCCACTGTTTCTTTGAACCGGTATTTGTCCACGTACTTCAACCTGTACCATCCTCACTTGCCGTTCCTTCATCAGCAGTCTTTTAACCCTGCCACTGTCTCGCCCCCTCTACTGCTTGCAGTTCTGTCTATCGGTGCTCTATACACCTTTGAGCGCGATAACTCGTTCATGCTTCACGTGGGCTCCAAAGTCTTGGTCAACCAGTTCCTCCAACACAAGGACAACTTCGATTCTCGCAAATGCCCCTTGTGGTTGATGCAGAGCAGCTTGCTGAACATGGTCTTCGAAAGCTGGAGCGGTGATCCCAAGGGTCTCGAGTGGACTTGCTCCATCAAGAGTCTGCTGGCCAACATGGTCGCCGGTAATCGCTATCAGCTCAAGGTCCGCACCGAGGCTCGCCAGGGTACCAAGCCCTCTCGGGAGGAGTGGATTGAGGATGAATCATGCCGCCGTACATACTTCGCGGTGTATATCTTCTTTGGTATGCTGACATTGACTTTCAACCACACTCCTGCCATGAGCTTCGACGAGTTCGATACCCTCGAACTGCCGTCTTCCGAGTCTCTCTGGAACCTTGATGCGTCCGATGACGATACTTGGCACCGCAGCATTGGTGCCAACTCTCTCACCGTTCGCGAGGCTCACGACTTCCTGTTCCAGGGCGAGCAGACCCGCTACAGCGCCTTTGCTACGCGCGTTCTCATCAATGCCCTCTTCCTTCAAGTCTGGAACCACAAGCGCAGCTTCGAGGCTTTACAAGATGTCGTCACCGAGTACAAACTCCGCCTAGCCCTTGAGACCTGGGAGAGCTCCCTCGAGGTTTGCGAGTCCGAAACCATCGTGGTCCCGCTCAGCACCCCTCAGAAGGGCCACCCCCTCATTTTCAACTCTATGGCCGTCTACCGCAACACTCGCGCTCGCCTGGAAGTTGACCTCAAGTCCATCCAGGAAGCCATGCGCTACCACTCCTCGTACGAGGTTGCTGCTGCCATGACCGTCGCCCGCGAGAAGGTCAAGCGTGGTCAGGAGATGAACAAGGTCGTGCAGCAGTGCTTCGAATGCATCGAGATCGCGGCAATTCAAGGCATCAACTGGGTTGCCAAGACCTCCGCCACCAACTGGAGTGTCGAGCACCCTCTCTGCGGCCTGGACCTGATGGTCATCCTGAGTCTCTGGCTCTACCGCCTGGAACATGACGAGGAGCCGGCGACTGAGGCTGAGTTGGCCATCTACAACAAGGTTCGGAATCTGTTTGACGACGATGCCATCGACGCTTTTGGCAAACTCAGCTCCACCGTCGCCCGTGTTTGGGGTAACATCCTTGACGGCGTGGTTGTCTGGGGGTAAGTCCTCATTCTCTATTCCTCTGTTATCATCACATACTAACTGCCAATAGAATCACCAAGTTGATGGGCGAATCATTCAAGCTCCACTCCCAGGCCCTGGTCGGCTACGAAGATTCTTTGCGCGTCGCAAAGGACCAGCCGATCCACGCAGTGCCAACTAAGTCGCTCGCCAGCGTCGGCACCGCATACTAATCCTTCACAACTATCTTTAAAAAAAATATTTCGGGCTTTCTTACTCTCGTTTTTGGACGCTTTCATTGGGACACGGGAAATCAGGAATGGATATCACCGGTGGGCAAGGCAGGTGTTCTTGGATATTTGGGAAATACTTTGCCGGTAATGCCTCATAGGTGATTCCTGAGTTTCTTTTTGATTTGATTTTGGGTTGCATCTTCCCCTCTGCTTTCTTGCACCAGGGAGTCTGGTGTGGTGTTCATCTCTGTTACTGCTTTCCCTCGACACCCGGCTGGTCCTGTGTGTTCCGCACTCGATGGAGTTTTTTTTTTTTTTTTTTTTGTTTTTGCTTTCTTTTGAAAGTCTCACCTTTAACCCCTAATCGTGCCCCCAGTCCTTTTTGCTTGATCTTGATCTCTTGATACCTCTTGACTTTTCTGCCATTTGTTATTTTGGTTTGCGCGCGTCGCCATATTTGATCTTCGATCAAGTCTGTTTCTTGTGACCTGGGCCTTTCTGGGTCGCTGTATCTGACGTTAATTGCATGTTTTTGCTTTTCCCCGTCCACGCGTGATTTATGGTTTGGTTTGGTTTGGTTCTCCGCTCTGCATTGCTTGCGTTTTGCTTCTTTTTGCACATGTTTTATGTCTTTATTTCCATGTACTATACGTAATCGATGAATACAACATTATGACGGGGACTTTTTCCATACGTAGGCATTTGCATTAATTAGGGTGGATACTCTTCAACATAGCATCTTGACCTGAAGCTCTCAGAACTTGAGCTGCACAAACGTGCTGCCTACGTACTTGTTTGCTCTATCAAATTACCTCGCAAGATTCGGATACAAGCCACAACGTGGGAATTCCGACTTCCAAGACGAGGTACAATTCATTAGAAACCTACAGTACATCACCAATAAAACAAAGAGCTTGTCAGTAGCCATCCCTGTATGACTCCCAACCACCCCAAGTAAGAAGCGCCCTAACGCCAACGATGTCACACCATCAAAAGCCTCTCAACCCCCCGCCCTTTGCCGGAGTTATATGAGATCTAGTAGATTTCACGAGTAAAGAGAACACCCAGAACGCAGGACCTCAAAAGTCCTCACTTGTGTTAGAGAAAGAAGGGTCCAGATTGATATAGAACGCTCTATACACTCGGAATCGATCTACCATACCGTAAAGCAAGACACAGGACATATAGATACGAAACGTTCACACCAAAGCCCACACTCTAGTAAAATTCCCCAAAGAAGATCATATCCACTTAGACATCACCCTACTTCCCAACAGCAACAAACAACCGATCTCCAATATCCCCAACCCCGGGAACAATCATTCCCTTCTCATTACACGACGCATCCACACCCCCGACCCAAAACTCAACACCCTCCTCCCACACCCCCGCCGCACGCTTCACCCCCTCCTCCGACACAAGCACACTCAGCATAATCACCCTTTTCACCCCCCAATCCTTCAGCAGATGGATTGCCGCTTCGGCAGTCGCTCCCGTCGCGATAATGGGATCTAGTAGGACGGCTAGCGAGGCGGCAGCGGTATTAATGGATGGGTCTAGGGAGGCTGGGCTGGCGGGCGAGAGATCGGATCGGTGAAAGGGGAGGTTGTTGTAGTATTCGACTGGCTGGAGGGTCATTTTGTCGCGGAAGAGGCCTAGGTGGTAGATTGGGACGGCGGTGGGGAGGAGGGAGTTTAAGGCTGGGGGTTTGGGTTAGTTGGGTTTGCATTTGGGTATGGATTGTAATATGGGGGTTGGGGGGGGGGGATGGAATTGTATACGGACCTTCGACCATCCCTAGGCCGGAGCGGAGGATTGGGACTAGAGCTAGGTCCGCGGGGTCGATGCCTTGGGTTTCATATTCCACGCCGAGGGGGGTTCTGTCCTGCTTGTTTCTTAGTTGTGCGGGTTTGGTGGTGGTGGAGGCGTTGTACTTTGCCTGTTGACTTCAGCTTTAGGCCGCTGGCGAAGGCCTCGACGCCTAGGATGGAGGCTATCTCGTTGACTAGGTCTCTTGTCTCGCGGGGGCTGGTGCTTTGTGAGCGTAACTGGGATAGCTTAGTCTGGAGACATGGGTGGGAAGAGACATGGACGTTTGAAGGGAGAGGCATATTGGCAGGTTGGAGTTGGGGTTGGGGTTTGGGTTGAGGATGAGGGGAAAGTATACGTGAAGGAGGGGGTCTTTATCAGTGCTGCACTTCGTTGAGCTGCACTGCTTATCACCTTCCCTGTCTGAATTCAATCTTAACGTCTGGTTTCTTGATCCTAGGCTATTTCTATGTTTTAGTTCTTAACTTCTCTGCTCCGTAGTCGAGCTGTCGTCATGGGCCCTAGATCCTCAACCCAGGAGCTCCTTGTTAAAAATGACGGAGCTCAAACCACGGAATGACTCGACATTTCCAACACCAACCCATAAATCTCCCTTGAGAGGACAACCTGTAGTGACATCTAGTCCAGGACTCATAGACCCGGCGAAACACCAACTAGATGTCCCAACCCACTATCAGCAAGCTTGATACCACGGAGCTCTTATCAGCTCCACCGCAAACCCACTTCTGAACTCCGACTCGGACTCCAACATCTTCGCCTCCCGGCGCCCTCACCATGCCTACATCCAGCACCTCCGCGTCCCTCAACGCCCTAGACCCTGAAAAACGCACACAATCACCTCTAAGCGAGACCACCGCCCCTCAACCCGTGGAACCAACCCCCCGCCAACGCTCCCAATGGCAAACCACCCCTGCCGATACCGACGCGCCAACAACACCTCACCATGACCGAATCCCCAAACCGCTCCTCCACCTCTACACAACCTCCTACTTAATATTCTTCTCCATCCTCGGCACCCTCGCCCGCCTAGGCCTGCAATCCCTAACATTCTACACCGGCGCGCCCATCACAACAGGCGTGCTCTGGGCCAATGTCTCCGGAAGCCTCATAATGGGCTTCCTATCCGAAGACAAGAACCTCTTTCGCGAAGAATGGGGAACGTCCAGCCCTCCATCCCCAAGCTCCGACCCCGAACACATCAAGAAACACAAAGCCGTTAAGAAGACCATCCCGCTCTATATCGGGCTAACGACCGGGTTCTGCGGGTGCTTTACTTCCTTTTCCTCGTTCATTCGGGACGTCTTCCTTGCCTTGGCGAATGCGCTCCCAGACCCGAGTCTCCCTTCGGGTGCGGATATTGCGTCTAGGAATGGAGGGTATAGTTTTATGGCGCTGCTTGCTGTGATACTCGTTACGGTGTCGTTGAGTTTATCGGCGCTGATCTTCGGTGCGCATCTTGCGCTTGCCTTGGAACGTTTTACGCCTATTGTGCCCTTTGTGCTGACGAGACGGGTTCTTGATCGTGGGGTCGTGGTTCTTGGATGGGGGTGTTGGCTTGGAGCTGTGTTTTTGGCGATTTGGCCGCCTGATCGTCATGAGGAGACGGAGGTTTGGCGAGGACGTGTGGTTTTCGCCCTTGTGTTTGCGCCTTTGGGGTGTTTGCTTCGGTTTTATGTTTCGTTGATGCTTAATGCGAGAATTGCTGCGTTTCCGTTGGGGACTTTTGTGGTCAATATGTTTGGGACGGCGGTTGAGGGGATGTGTTTTGATTTGCAGCATGTTGGTGGGCTTGGGGCTGGGGCTGGGTCGTTGGCTGGGTGTCAGGTTTTGCAGGGGGTTATGGATGGGTTTTGTGGGAGTATAACGACTGTCAGTACGTGGGTTACGGAGCTGAATGGGTTGGGGAAGAGGAGGCATGCTTATATTTATGGGGTGGGAAGTGTGGGCTGTGGGCTTGGGTTGTTGGTTGTAATTATGGGCTCGTTGTTGTGGACAAGAGGGTTTGTAGACCCTATCTGTAGTTGATTTCGATACCCTTCATTGTATCATGGATAATGGATACTGCATGACCCCGGGAACAATGGGGTATAACCGTTGAATGCTCGTTGAACGCCATATAATCCGACTAGACACCAAGAAACACCATCATATAGTAGAACCGACTATGAGCGAAATCACAAAACGAAATCACAAAAGCTCCGCCATCCCAGCAGGCCCCCGACTTCCCTCCAACCTCTCCTCCGGCAAGAGCAGCCCATTCAACATCTTCTCGCGCACCCGTCCCCGATCCGAATTCCCAGTCGTAACACTCGCTGTCGTCCCAAGTGGTAAATCATCCGGCGCAAGGCGACTATGAAACACGCGCCGGCGAGCAAGATCTTCATCGGCGTTGCGACGTTGTTGGGCTTTGCATATGTTAGTTCCGGCCCTTGCTTTTTGTGGGTATACATAGAAGTAAATGATGACGACTGAGAGTCAACTGCTATGGCATGTAGATCGACCAAAAGTAGGTAAGACTCAATTTATGTAGTGAATATAGACATACCTCTCCAGAAAACCGAATAAATAGCTATAGTGATTAAACACGCGCCGATAAAGGCGAATGTAATGCCCAGTTCGCGGCCGAGGGAGGACATGGGAGTGTAGGGTGGGTAGTCTGAAAGAGGCTCGGTATTCGAAGACATGCTTGACACCAAATAGATGCGTCTAGACGGGTTCGATGTAGCGAGAACGGAAATGGGAAATAGAGGTGTAGGGATGTCAGATCGGAGTGGGGGAGCTGCGGAGTCGGGAGTTGGGGGCGGTTTCTGGGCTCAACACCTGGAGTTGTGGAGTGTACTCCAGTTCAGTAAGTGCTAGGGTAACAGAATACTAACGGGAAGAGAACTACGTTTGAGGCAGTAATAGAATAGGTTCTCGAGGTCATGACAAACAACAAAGTGACTCGTCAAGTATCGGTGAACCTTGGTCTACGCAAACGTCCCACCATAGTGTAAGCAGCAAACACGAGTCAAAGAAGGGTGCCATGCATTCGACTATATACACAGGCATTTAAGTAATTCCCAACCGGGCTGGTCCCGGTATGTATTCACACAGACAAAAGGTATCATGTACAACATGCAACTCTATACTCCCACAAGGGAATGCAACGGTGGCTCAAAGAATTCCCATGCCCGCAGACATGGATGCAAAGGTAGAAAAGAAAAGAAAAAAAAAAAATGTTCGCTGAAAGAAAGGTCGAAATGTTCGCCAAAATGGTCAAGATGGAGGTTGAAAGTTGAAAGTTGGAAGTTGAAAGTTGGAAGTTGAAAGTTGGAAGTTGAAAGTTGAAAGTAAAGGTAAGTGTTGAGGATGAAGGTGAAGGTGAAGGTGAAGGTGAGGTGAGGTGAGGTGAGGTAGAAGCAAATTAAAGATGATAAAAGGTCGGAGGGCGCGTCACGTATCGTGTCAGAGTCGGATCGAAGAAGGAAGAAAGAGAGAAAAAGGTAGTCGCCAGCTAACCCAGCATCACCGCCGCTGCGGCGGTACAGGTCAGCCCGATAGCCATTCCGATCCACGGAGTCTGGCCCAGCGAACCCTCACTGCGCGCTTGCAGAACGTTTCGCGCCGAGTGCTGGGTCGATCTATTATGCCCGGATTCCACCACCGGGAATGGTTCGCGCGCGATAATGTGTTCCGGTATTAAAGCGACGGGGTTACGCGCCAGGTGCAGGTCGAGGTCCGGAGAGAAGTCGCGGGGATGTGCTTGGCCGGCGAGGGCAACCGGCGCGAGGGCCGCGAGGAGATATGCTGGCCTCATGGTGATTTTGAATTCTTCTGGATGGAATTTGCGGTGGCGGGGTGTGCAATAACTCGCGCGAGAAACAAGCAACGCCAAGGCGGGTCGCGGTGACGGGATTCAAGTTGGCGAGGCAACAGGAGATCTCAGTCGGGGTGGTGAGGTGGGGGAGGGGGGTCCCTTTTGATTCAATCCTCCGACACACGGTATATGTGACGGGGGCGGACACAGCGAGAGTATCGTCGATCGAGAATTGGAGTTCGAGGGGGCGGGATAGACGGGCTTGGGGGTTGAATAGGGGGCCGGAAATGTAGTACCGCCGGGAGCCTCAACGCGAAACTCCAAATAGTAGCGACGAGTCAGCAGACAGGACCGCGGAATGCAGGAGTATACAGAAGAAGATGAGAAAAGGGAAAAGAGCCAAAAGAGCCAAAAGAGAAAAGAGGGAAAAAAAAAAAAAGGGCTCGAGAAAATGAAGGCCCGAAATGATTGGATTGAAACCACGGGTCGCCCGTCAGGGACGTGGACCCCACTGCCACTGTAAACCGGGGGCTCTGGTTGGCCCATGTCCCGTGCTCTCCTTCCCTTGCTCTCAGTCCTTGGCCTGGCTACTCCGTGGCTAGCACTAGCACTAGCACCCGCACCTCTAGCTCTCCAGGAAGCTATTCGCCCCCTTCCGCCTTCCGGCCCTGTTTTAGCACACTCTCAATTCTCATCTGAATTTCCTGGTTTCCGTCCCCCTGTCCCGGATTCTGAATCTGAATCTGAATCTGAAAATCACTCTGCCTTGGTTCTGCGACCCACCATCTCCTCGATCGTCATGGGTCTTTGCTGAAATAGACCCCTGGAACAGTGGGTCGAGTAAACGTCCAATTTCACGTCCCTGACTCCCTGCTGTATTGTATGCTCTCCATGTAAGGCAGTACCCCGTGCCCCCGGGGTTGTCTCTATAGTGCCTTCACAGCCAGGCTAGAGGGTAGGGGCGCAGCCAACGCGGCACCTGCGCCGATCGGCTGCACCGAACCCGCGTCCCGCATACCTGAGTTTCCAAAAATAATCCGGAGCTGATGGCTGACCGCGTGGGAAGCTACTTGTAGATCATCCCATACCTGAGCCGGTGAGCGGATGATAGGTGTAAGCACCGGGTGGTTCGGTTGGCGAGGTGTGTCTGGGTTATGCAGATCAACGGAATTGGAAGTGGGATTGCCTGGTCGGCTTGGATCACGGGGACCCGCTTCGGTGTCGGCGCCGGACATTGGCCTTTTTGCGATTGTCGCTATCGCCATTGCCCACGCCCACGCTCACGCTCACGCTACCGCTACTGCTGACTAGGGGTAGTATATATGAGACTATACCGAGTTCGAACAGGACTGCTGCATTATGAAAACATGTGGCAAATGGGCGGCGAAGAATGTTTGGGCATGGGCAGATTTGGGAGTATCGTGCCGTCACTTGGCGGACTCCCTTCTGGTCGCCTCTTCTGGGAGTGGGTTTCTATTTGGGGATCTGTTGTCATTCCCTGTTATGTCGTCACCCCTGTTATGTCATGGGCCTGGGATATTTTGTTTACCTCGCGGCACTTGATCTGGGCATACTTGTTCTCACAGTTGCATTCGCGACTTGGGAGTGTGAATTGTATATGGAAAAATTACTTAAAAGAAGGAATATGTGGGGCATGTGGGCGGCCCAGCCAATAAAGAGAGCCTATAAAAGCTTATTTGCGGAACCGTGGTTAAGCGACCAGAGACTTTACGGGGGAGCCTGGACAATCATATTGGGAAGTGACAGGCACTCAATACAAGGAAGAATGTCATAGCGAAGTGGGATTGGATCAATTGATATTCTTGTCCCCATTGAAAGTGACTCTTCTAACATGCCATCCCTCCAAGCTAAGAAATGTACTCTATGCACCCAAGCGCCAACATTCCACAATCAAAGTATCTGGTCCCAGTTCGGCATCACCGTAAACTTCCCACTGAGCTGTCCCATCGACCAGGCCCGCTGCTCAGACTCGTCCTTGGGCGGCGCCCCCGGCACATCGGGTTCAGGCGAAGACACGATCAGCGCCTCCTGCACAAAGTCCACCGCTGCGGCGCGGTCCAGTTCAAAGCTGATGCCGCCCCAGTCCATTGTGACTCGGCCGGACTTGTGAACGTTCAGCTTGCCTGCTCGGCCGGCGGGGAGGGCCCAGTCCATGCCGGCGGTGATCACCGCGGGTGTCTCGATGCTTGGCGCGTCGGCATCAACGACCTGCACGTCGTCTTCGGTCTTGACTTCTCCTGGGGCAGTCGGTGCGGGGGCGGGAGTGTGGGCGGGGGCGGATGTGAGGGAACCGGGGACCGCCAGGTTGGGAGTCATGGGAGGGAATTGCATCAGGAAGAGCTGGCCGAGGAGTTTCGGGTTGGTAAGTTTGTCTTCTTCGTCTTCTTTCTCGTCTTCTGCGTTTTCGTCTTGTGTCGCGGTTGCGCTCTCGCCTTCGGCTTCGGCCGTCTGTGTCTCGGCGGTTGTAGTCTCAGTCGGAGTATCAGGCTTCTCTGGCGGCTCGTAGAACAAAAGGTTCCGCACATGGTCCAGATCCTCCAGGTGTCGGTCGTATTCATCAATCTCTTCCTTAGTGCGCAGCAACTCCCGCGGGTCACGTACGACTTGCTCGGGTTCCAGTGAAATCGGGTCGGTTCGTCTGGGCTTCGGTTTCTGGGGAGAAGGAGGCACCTTCCGACGCACGCGGACATTCTGTGTAGGCAAGAAGCCATCGTCCTCATGAGGTAGAGCATCGGCCATAGGAGCATCGTTGTCGTCAACGGGCTCATCCTTAACACGCGGCTCGTCCTCAAACTCCTCTTCCACGGGAGTCGTCTCGCCCTGCTCAGTAGCCTTCTCCGCCTCGGCCTTCTTGCGTAGTTCCGCAGACCGACTCGAGCTAGACTCCATATTCACACTAACAACACGCTCCTCATGTTCAATGCGGTGCACACGGAAAGGCAACAGCCCATCGCGCTTAGGCCGATAAGGTAACTTGCCCTTGACATCCTGAGGCAGATTCTCATAATCATCATCATCGTCCAACTCATTGATATAGTTGATATCAAGCCTGCCTCTCGAGTCATCGTCGTCCGAATCATCATCAAAGGCAGCCTGTCCCGCAGCACCACTAAGCACAGAGCGCGTGCGATCCCTACCACCTCCTCCATATCCACCGCCGCCACCACCACCACTCCCACCGCCCCGGCCCCGATGAGCACCGCCCATCCCGGACCCAAAAAGTCCACTCGCAGCCATACCAGCCGGCCCGCCCCGGCCTCGGAAGTTTCCACGTCCACCACGACCACCACCCCTTCCGCGCTGGATCGCAGCTTGCTCTTTTAGACGCTCATTGTGCCGCTCAGCCTCGAGTTTCTCAATAGCCTCACGCTCTTCCTTGCTTCGGCGCCCGACATTCCGAGGCTTATATTTGAGTGTTGGTTTTGCCGGTTCGCCGCCGAGCGCGGACGGTGGTCGGGCCTTTGGCGCAATGCTTCCTGAGCCGCCTCTTGTCTTCAGTGACTGCAGTCGTTGCACGGGTCTGGAAGGACCGGGCGTTGCGCTCGCAGATGCAGATGCAGATGCGCCGCGCTCGGGCGCATTCTGACTGGATTCTGCGCCGGTTCCGGGTGTGGAGGTTGACTCTGAGCCTTCGGGGCGTCGTGCTGCTGGTCGTCTGGTGCCAGCTTTGGGCGGCATGGTGAGGAGATGTGCGGGCAAGACGCCGTTGGCGTCCTGCTAGTCGAATATGAGGTGAAGTAAGGAATTCCCTAGCGCATTGGCTGGTACCGGGTTGTTGAGTGATTTGGAGAGCTTGGATCTCAGCAAATAGAAGAATATAGGGTGGTAGAGTGCTCGAGAAATGTCAGTTCATGCGGGCAAAAAAGTTGCAGTATTGGATGCTCAAAAATGCCGCGGGGCCTTTTCTGCCATTAATTGCCGCCTCCAAGGCTTTGAGTCACATGCCTTTTTGGAGATCGAACAGCTTTCCCTCCATGAGAAATTACGTCTGGAAGTCCTGAATGTCGGACTTCGAACTAGACAAGCCTTGAGGTATTCTTAGTGCGATTCCAGGGCTGTTTCTGCATGATTGTGCCTCCGAGATTCACGACACCACCACCACTCTAGCTCATAATCTCCATTCCGGATCGAGTTAGCCCCACTCTACGAGGATGTGACTAAGCACGTACAGATCTGGAGTTGACTATCATCGGTCACAACTATCATCCATTGACAGCTGGAAAGCATAGAAATAGACGAAAAAGTTCAATTCCCAAACTACTCATCTGAAACAGAAACAAAACCATAGCATCTTATACACCAATGTCGACCTCACAACTCTGCCTTCCCAGATATATATCTCCTTACAAGGCAGAGCCAACCCTCGATAGATGTGAACCATGAACCACCCACCACCTGGGCACTCCACCACAAAATCCGACAATAGCAAGATGAACAGGGAACCAGTAGAATTGAGTCTGAAAGAGTGAATGGATGTTGACAGAAGATTTAAATCCGCAACGGACGCCGAAGAGAACACAAAACAATCAACCCGCTGGACTTTGTAAAATCGTGGGGGAAAAGGGAATGTGGAATAAGTAGGATAAAAGGAGTGTCACGTCCCACCGGGGTCAGGATGTTAAAAGCCAGAGAGAGAGAGAGAGATAGGATTGGTGGTGACGATGAGGGATCAGGATCAATGGGAGAGAGGATCAGGACGGCATGATGGGAGGGAGGTAGACTCGTGACGGGAACCTATAGGACAATGGACTAGCGTTTCCGCTTCTTGTTCTTGTCTGCGATGTCTGCGACCGTCATGGGTGTTCCTGGCATCGGGGGTAGCTCATAGCTTTCCTCTGATCCGTCGTCCTTCTTCACAGGGACGCCCATGTGGCGCCCATACCGGCCCTTGCGACCATTGCCCTCGTCTTCACTGAGGCATCCTTCGATTCCGATTCCGGCGTCCTTGCAGCGCCCGCAGGGACGTTGGCGATCACAGCCCTTCTTACTCTTGCGGCAGCGTTGGCAGCGGGGCTTGGTGGAGAGGTCTTCCTCGTCGGCGCCAAGCTGGTGCTGGAAGTTGACGGAGCCGTTAGAGACCTTGCGAGATGAGCTAGGGCTGAGAGGGGGCATGGGCCCGACGAGGCCGGGCTTGTCGGAGGGCTTGCGCGGCATAGAGGTGGTCTTGGTCTTGCTTTGCTTGACCATAGGCTTTTGGCTACGAGCCTTAGCGGAGTTGGGGCGGTTCCTAGGCTTCTTGGACTTGGGAGCGAACTCCTTGTACAAGATGTCTTCCTCACCCTCGCTCTTAATGCCGTCCTCAACGCCGTCGGAGCTGTGGTCACTGCTGTCGGCACTGGGGAGGATGTCGTCCAAACGTTTGTGGTGGCGCTTGATAGCACCTGGAGGAAGCATTGGACTTGAGTCAAGTCTGCGACGAGCTGGCAAGTCATCCTCATCTTCGCTGAAGTCTTCTCCGTCACTGGTAGCGCCAGTAGAAGAGGCGGCATCGGCGGCGCCGCTGAAAGCATCATCAAGTGTTGAGGCTGACGTGCGACCATGGGAGAAATTGGACGCATCGCCGAGGCGAATCAACTGCATTGCGACGTCTTCATCGGAGATGCAGCTTGCGATAGTGGGGTCGGGGGTAGGCAGGATGCCAGGACCACTCACTCGCGGTGCCGAATTGCTATAGGGTATGCGGTGCGCATGATCAGGGACCATGGGTGTCGCATACACTGTATTGCGCCCTGATTGAATTCCGTATTCGCTGTGGCCGTAGCTTTGTGGCGACGGCAGCGCTTGCTGATAGTTATAAGGGCGATGGGTAGGACGAGCAAAAGGTGAGCCAGCACCTTCCTGACCGATGGAGCGACGTTGAGGAGAGATGGAAGAGGTTGAGATAGTGAGGGGGACTTGAGGAGGGACGAAGAGAGGAAGTTCCTACAAGAAAAAAAAGGATTAGACGAGGAAGAAAAAAACTCGAGCGCACAGCATCACACTTACCGAGCTGTCAAACTTGGGTCGTTTCCGACGACCATCTTGCAGTATATTTTCCATGCTTATTTCAGAGCTTGCGAATGTATCGCCTCGCGATTTGCGAGTATAGGTTGAATCAGTGTCGCTCAACCCGGGGTCCTCATCGGGATAGCCGCCGTGGATACTTGAGCCCCGGCTTTTGATGCCGCTACGAGAAGCCTGCTTGTGTTGAGAAGCACTGCGCAGACTCCTGTTCGATGGCGAGGTGCTGCGCTTGCGTGCGAGCCGTGAAGATGGGCGAGATGGCTGATCCATGACTGGCGCCATGCCATCAACCATCTGGAAGGGCTCACCTAGGCTTGGGCGCTTGCGCTCGGCAGGAAAGCCGCCGTAGAAAGAATCCCCAAATGGTTGAATGGGAATGACTCGTACGTATACAGTCATGTTATTTTTCAAGTTCTCGTACCTTGCGATGAGGGTTGTTCCATGTTCGTCCTCGAAGCTCACCCCACTGGCAGTGCCGTCGTAGATGCCATAGAAATTTTTGACTGTGGTGACAATCGAATCCGTTGTATCGTGGGGGTATATTTGAACGCGCATTGGGATACGAGCTCGAACTTTGGAGTTCTCGTCCAAGAGAAGCTCGAAGGCGACGTTCTTGGGGACCGGGCTCTTAAGCGACATGTCTCGGGAGACGTCTGCTAGAACCGGGTGGTCTACCAGGGCAGAGGGCCCTTCATGCTGGATTGCTTGCATGGCGGGCAGTTCCAGAATGGGATAGAATCCTCTGCTTGCTGTTCCGATAACTGCATCAACCCACTGTTCGTGTGTGATAGAGGAAACGGACGACGGGACCCATGACCGGGTATAGGTAGAGACATAGGTGTAGAGGGGTAAGGGGGAGGGAGGAATCCATCAAACCTACCACAGTTATAGGATTCGAGGTTGGTTGATGGTGGATGGACCACCACCGAGGTTGTTGATGTCGAAGTGTGTTGGACGCAGGGCTTTTCGATGGGGGTGGGAGGGGAATCTGCTTGTCGCAACCGAGAAGTCGGGAAGAGGCAGAGTCGGCAATCTAAGAGGGAACCCACCACCAGTGTCAGCACAATGCGATCCCAGATACTCGAATTCACAAAGAGGATGATGGATGACGCTAGATTATAGGTGGATAGACGTTTGCTAGCCGAGTTCGACCGACCTTGGGAGTGGGCTTGGGGGGAGGACGAGCAGACTCGGATGAGGATGGAGAGCAATGTAGACACACCTAACATAGACCAGACCGATTTCACCAGAGTCGCACGTCTTCAGGCGGTCCAGGACGAGGTCGGGGAACGATCGATGGGTTCGGTCGAGGGCGTGGGCGAGGGGATTGTCGTCTACGAAGCGCAGCGGCTATGTCAGCGGTGACTCCAGTAGGCGAGATGAGGCAGAAGGCAGAAGGCAGAAGGCGGAGGTAGAAAAGTAGGACCAGAAATAGAAACACATACCTGACTGTGTAGAGCAAGTTGTCGTGAAAGTGTTGGATGGGCGAAGGTTAGAAGGTTGAGGTGGGTGAGTACGATGGTTTCACCTAAAGCGAGAAAACGGCCTGCCTGGGTCGGTGACATGGCGGTTTGCGCTTCCGGCGCCCGCCATAGCAGCCGTCACATTCCCATTTTACATCGCAAAGCTTCTATCAGGCTTGAAAATTCATCCTAGCTATTTTGTATTCCATCTAGAAGTAAATCCGTGGCAACCTGACCTCTATCATCCAGGACCGGGCATTTCGCAATGCGCAATGCTGTCGCAACCCGAATGCCATTGCGCCAAGCGCTCTGTCTAACCACAGCGAGCAGTATTGATGGAAAATAGACTCGAAATAGTCTGCGATACGATGTATGCGCTACTTTGTATATTTAGGGGGGTGGACAACAGCATCTGTTGAGCAGCGCACAGCAGGTACTTTGTCGCCTCCCCCTCGAATGACTCCGGTGGACATTGGGACCAAAGACGAACAGCAATGGAATGAACTACGTGATATCCCTTCTCGAACTACTACTATGGCTTTTTACGGACCTCGCGCTGATGAGAAATGGTTGTCGCACATTGGCGACGGTGGACAGCACGCATGCGACTCCGCCTATCCTTGTCGCATGGTAGATCCAAGGCGCCCGAGAAGAGAGTCTAGAATCTGCGACAAGCCTCGTGCCGTAGCAGATGCGATGGAGGACAATCGCGGGGTGCAGATGCAGGACGTAGAGGACATCTAGAAGACGGAATGGAGCCAGGAGCAGCAGCAGATGTCGCGCAAAGACCCGAACACCATCACGAACATCCTCGAAACAAAACTATGAATAGAGAGCCAGTGCGATCATCGCATGACCGTCGTCACGGCGTGTTTCGCATGATCTGCGGGCTGAGTTTACCCCTCCTCTCGGGAACTACGTAGGTGCAAAAAAGGGATTCCCGTTACATGGAATTTCAGTTGGAACCTTGCAGACCACCGAGTACCCGGGGGTCCTCGAGCATTCTGCGAAATTGGTGCAGGAACGTGGACTATTGGATTGAATGGTCCAGAATTGCCGGTGGGAACGTGCGTTTACAAAATGGGCTCCAGACCGACAGTTTACACAGGATCAACGATAGCCAGTCAGGGTCCCCAAACTAGATTGTGCGAGACCCCCGCACGGCGCCCTCGGAGCGGGTAAAGCGATGCCCAACTGGTCGCAATGATGGGCGAGTTCGGATGCGCTTCGGCTGATCAAAAGCTGCCAAACGTTTACCGCTCGATCCGGTGCTGGCGGTGTGGGTCACGTGGGTCCGCGTGCTAGCGCGTCCGGGACCACTTTCTAGTGAAAGTGGCGATTGCGCCTACACCGATCGAGATTTTGGCTTCTTTCTGATCGGGATTCTTTCGTGAGGTGATCAAGTTGTCCAGGACAGATTTTTGCAAATCAGAACGAAATGGCGGGGCTGTGGTGCACCAAATTGCTTAAATCCGCCGGTGGAGGGAGACGTGACGATAAGATGATAACGTCATAGATAAGCCGATAAGACTGTTTCTAGGACCGCCGGAATGCTGACATAAGACTGTCAAACAGTGCAAAGGTTGAGCCCCTAGCGTATTGTGGTAACGGTACAGTAAGATGGTACTGAACTCTTCATGATCTGCAGAGGCTTCATCGGGCTAGGCGGAAGCGATTCATTCAGAAAAGGCTCGAACGAACATCTCAACGCTATATTACTTTGAATGAGTGGTTTGTACACCATTTCGATTGCGTGTTGTGCGAGTGTGACAGCAAGCTCCACCGTGGTGATTCCCCGGGCGACCCTTGTAACACGATTACAGCGTTCCAAGGTGAGGCCTGCGGCATTCGACTGTTTGTTTTGCCCCAGTGGTCCAATCAGACGCCAGGGGCCCACTCGCACCTTGCTCATCCTCAACGAGCAAAACGTAAACAATTCCTCTCTTTCTTCTTCTCATCTACAACTCGACAACACTCTGCAACTCGCCATTATGGATGCGAAGGTACGTGTTACTCTGTCTTGCGCGACTACTTTGGTTTCCTCAACTTGAATTGCTTCTCCCCTTGTGTCGTGTTTGGTGTACATGTGCCTGGACTCGACATACTTCACGTTGTCGCAGGCAAGCAACCATTGTTCCGTTCCAACGCTGACTTGTCTATAGCCACAGCGTATTCGCGTCCGCGGGGATGAGAACATGCCGCCTACCACCTTCCAGGCCGGCAAGACCATTCACCAGCGCAACAAGTCCACTCCGGCGTTGAGCGCCATGGCCTTAAGCGCGAAGAATGGTGCTCGTCGCGCCTTTGGTGACGTGAGTAACACCAAGGACGTGAACCGTGCTAGCCGTGATGACTTGGCTCTGGGCAAGCCTGCCACGAAGCAGGACGTCAAGCCTGTCCTCTCCCAGCCTGCCCAACGTCCTATGTCAATGTCCGGTCTGAAAGGGGTTCTGAATACTGTGACTGCGAAGCCGTCCAATCCTGCTGGAAAGGCTCAACCGACAGTGAAGAGTAACAATAAGCGCAACAATGTCATCTTTCGTGATCAACTCGAACCCGTTGTCGAAAAACCAACAACCAAAGAAACTGCCACCGTCAAGGAATCATCCAAGGAAAACATTTACGAAGAATGGAGACGCGATCTTGCACGAACTGAAACTGCCCCAACACAAATCGACGCCGATAAAGTTGCATGGATGGAGGAACAGAACCTCAAGGAGGAAGCCGCTCGCGAAGCGTATCTCGATCAGGGTCGTACCTCTCCGATCTACTCAGATACCACCATCTCCGATACGGAGGAGTCCAAGGAAGACTTGAAGGATGAGGTCAAGATTGATCTAAAGAACGTTGCAGAGGTCACTCCGGAGCCTGAAGTTGAAGTGGAGGAGTGGGAGGATGCAGAGGAGGACCATGCACCTGCTTTCCACTCGCGCACCGAGAACACCACTGGCGGCTCAACCACCATAATTTACCCTAAGATCACGGCAATCACCAAGCGTGAGATGCTGCGCGCAAAGGAGATGGTCGAATCCGCCCGCACAGAGGAAGATATCCTGGAAGACTTCTATGACTCCAGTATGGTTGCGGAGTACAGCAGCGAGATCTTCCTCCACTTGCGGACTAAGGAAGTAAGTCATTTCCATGTTTGACATGAACGTACATGTTGCTAATTCAACCCACATAGATCTCCATGCTTCCCACTGCCGACTACATGACAAACCAGGCCGAGATTCAGTGGAGTATGCGCTCCGTCCTCATGGACTGGCTTGTCCAGGTGCACTTCCGCTTTGCCTTGCTGCCCGAGACTCTCTTCCTCTGTGTGAACTACATCGACCGATTCCTCTCTCGCAAGATTGTATCTCTTGGTAAGCTCCAGCTGGTTGGTGCCACAGCCATCTTCATCGCCGCCAAGTATGAAGAGATCACCGCCCCCTCTGTCCAGGAGATCGTCTATATGGTTGACGGTGGCTACACTGTTGACGAGATCCTGAAGGCTGAGCGCTTCATGCTCACAATCCTTAACTTTGACCTTGGCTGGCCCGGTCCCATGAGCTTCCTTCGCCGTATCAGCAAGGCTGACGACTACGATCTTGAGACCCGCACAGTGGCCAAGTACTTCCTGGAGCTCACCATCATGGATGAGCGCTTTGTTTCCACCCCTCCCAGCTTTGCCTCTGCCGGGGCTCACTGCCTGGCTCGACAAGTCCTGGGCAAAGGATACTGGGTACGCTTCTTCCTCTTGCCATTGCTTCTCCTTGTGCTAACCTTTGCTCCTTATGATAGACACCCGCACACGCTTTCTACAGTGGTTACCTCTATGAACAGCTTATTCCTGTGATGACCACGATGATGGAGTGCTGTGAAGACCCTCAGCGTCACCACCAAGCGATCTTCGAAAAGTACTCTGATCGCCGCTTTAAGCGCGCTTCTCTTTACGTTGAAGCCGAGATGAAGAGAGGCTTTAAGCTTCTTCCTATGGTATCCCTCAAGGACGTTGATCGTCTCGAGGGTTTTGCCAACTACTGAATTCTTTCCATCCAACTGAGCCAGCCACGATGATGGCTCATGCATGACCAACCACGCTCTTTACCTCGTTTCATTTTTCAATTCATCATTTGCTTTCTGGGTACGGACGGCTTCGGAGCGAATGCGGAAACTGGGTATCAACAGGCGCTTCTTTTTTTTTCCTTTTTTCTTTTTTTTCTTTCTGCCTTACACTCCTCACGATATCGGGATGACTAGACGCCATGTTCCGGATGCGAGGATTTCAACGGTCGGCAGGCGTTACGCGCATGGGGTATGCTTTTTCTTGGCGTCATTAATTCCTCTTTCTTCTTTTCCATTTTACCCCCATGACGATACATACTTTTTCTGCGATGAGCACTTGCGCATTTGATTTTCGGCTCGACTTCCACGGGGGCAGCCCTAATGACGGTCCTTTCTGACCTGTTTTCTTGCACATCGTATGCCACATACGATCCCTTGACCGAGTACACATGCATCTATTCCTAGCGATTCTTATTGCTAAACGATATTGCATAAGTAATAGTTTTAGGGAATCAAGAGTTATGGCAGCACTTTTCCCTGACCTAATAGATCGTACTCAACACGCTAAACCAATTCCAAAGTGTATGAATTCTTCGAAAAACAGCTGCTATAAACCCTGATGACATCACTGCAACCTCCAGCTCTACGGTTTAGCTCAATACCGCATTGGCCTTCCCCGGATCGGCTGTCAAAAATCCCCATACTCCCCGCTGGAACCAAGTTCCCGACATCCTGGAATTTAAATTCCGGACAAGACCTCTCTACATAAGCTTCTCAATCGTCCCTACTTGCACAAACCTATCAATACTTATCCTTGAAATCATCTAGTCCACAACCATGGCAGAAGTACCTACAATCCGCTGGGGTATCGTTGGTAAGTCACCTTCCCCCCGGGCATGAAACAACAAGCCCTAACCCCCCCACCCCCGCAGCAACGGGCATGATATCCTCCTGGTTCGTCGAAGACCTAGTCCTCGACCGACCAGACGCCCCAGTAAAGCACATAATCCAAGCTATCGGCTCTTCGGCCCTCGAAAAAGGCCAATCCTTCGTCTCAAAGTACTGCCCAAACAGCACACCCACCATCTACGCCTCCTACGAAGAAGTCTACAACGACCCATCCGTCGACATTATCTACATCGGCACCCCCCACGCCTTCCATAAAAGGAACTGCCTCGATGCCATCGCCGCCGGAAAACCAGTCCTCTGTGAGAAATCATTTACCATAAATGCCGCCGAAGCAAAAGAAGTCTTCAAAGCCGCCGCGGATAGAAACGTCTACGTCCACGAAGCCATGTGGCTCCGCCACCGCCCTCTCGTCCACAACTTAAGAAAACTCCTCTTCGAGAAGAAAATTATCGGCGATGTTTTCCGCTCGTACATTGATTTTGGAATGGAGGTCGATATCCCTAGTCTACCGTCTACGTCGCGGTATAAGGATCTAGCACTAGGCGCAGGCTCACTTCTTGATATTGGGCTCTACTCGCTTACGTGGGCTATGCTTACCCTTGACGCCGGCATGCCTGGGAATTCGGAGAAGCCGAAGGTTCAGGCTTCGCAGACGCATCTCCATGGTGTGGAGGTTACGTCCAGTATCTTGTTGGAGTATCCGTCTACGGGTAGACATGGTATTGCGCTGTCTACGACTATGGGGCCTGGGCATCCGAATTGTTTTGGACGGGTTAGTGGGACGGGTGGGTATGTTGAGCTTGAAGGGGTTCAGCCTTCGCATCCGGTTTCTTTTACGGTGTTTAGGAAGGATGAGAATGGGGAGATTCCGGTAAAGGGGGAGACATTTGATTTCCCGAGAGTTGGAAGGGGGTTCATCTATGAGGCGGATAATACGGCGTTGGATGTGCTTGCTGGGAGGAAGGAGAATGCGTTGGTGCCGTGGTCTGAGACTATAAGGGTTATGGAGCTGATGGATGAGATTCGGAGGCAGGGTGGGACGGTTTATCCTGTTGATAGAGTATAGGATGGGTTCATATTGGTGTTTGATGCTATGTATTAGTCTGGCTAGTCCAGCTGATATTCCGTCTGACTTGTGATCGCTACGGATATCCCTTATACAAAATCTTGGTATCCTTGTTCTTCATACCTTCTTCAAGACATCAAGCAATCTAATTGACTTCCAGATACCAACCTGCTTGATCTTTCAATTATGGTTCGAATGGCGATGGTGATCAAAGATGAGGGAGAGAGAAGGGAGAAAGGGAGGGCGTTATCATTCAAACTAGGTCGTCCGACTATTGCCAATCCTCCCAATTTCCTAGCGATTATACGCAGCGGTCGTAGGTGGAGGTCCTACCGAGTCGGGCTCGCGGTTGAATTGATGGACTTGTTCGATGATGATCTTATGACTCTGGACCCGCATCTCTGGGCCAAGCCACTTTTACTATTCAGGATGTCTCAACCTCAATTCTTTCAACCTTTGATCGCAATTTGTCAGAGTATGCGACGAGTGCTCTTCGGCATACTACGATTTCCAACGCATATGCCATAGGCGATGCCGCTGATATTGACGGCGCAAGTCTTCCAATGACTGCAGAGGTTGCTGTGCAGAAGGCTACTTACCTGTCTCACCTTCTCAATTGAAGATCGGAAGAATCGCCTTTCAAATACACCTAATGTGCACTATTCACGTATGCTGAAGCCTGGGATGGAGTGTTTCAAGGAAAAAGGCGAGTTGAATATACAGCATATGGAGTTTGGTAGAGTTGAAGAGCAGGTAATATCCTGTGGATACGATCCTGGAGACGAGAATCCAAGATCTGCTCGGCTTAGGTGATGGAATATCTTCGATGCACAGCGTTGATGGTGTTATCTTAATTCTCCATTTCTTTCTCGTCATGTCTACCTTACGTTTACCTTTTTCTCTTCCATTCTTGCCTTTATGTCCTACACACCATTTCCCGCCAACGCCGGGCTCAGCATCATGAGGGATTTGCTCAAGCCTCAACTTCCTGAACATCGAACCACTATCATTTCAAATAACCTCCCTTTTCACCGTTCGACAATGCCGAACTCATCCATCATCAACACCCCATTAAGCTCTCAGTTGACCTACCCAGGTGACTTCGAGGCATCTCCGCCGTATGCGCCCAATATGCCTCGATTCATAAATCGTGACGAGCGACTCAGGTTCGAGCAGTACGGGCCCTGTTTCGTCTCTAGATAGGAAAAATGACTAATCTCACACAGGAGGCAAATGGCCGAGCGAGTCTTCGGCGGTCCGCTCGCCAACCCCATGGGTCAAGATCAAGACCTCATTCACTGGTCCTGCTGGGTCTGGGGTATGGCCGGCTCTGCCTTCGATGGCATGACGATCAGCATGCAGCTGTCTTTCCCCAGCAGTAAGCGAGCTGACGAGGGTAACTTTGATCTCTCACTGACGGCGGTCTGCAGACTATCCCTACGTACCTCCCATCTGCATCATCCATGCTCTCCTACCCCACCCTCATATTGATGATATGAACAGACTGTGGTCTCGGGTCCTTAGTGGTCCTTACTGGGACCCAGAGATGACAGTTGATATGGTGCTTCAGCACGTGAGACTCGTTCTTCGGCACACATGTCCCCACAACTCGCCGTGTATTCTGTGATGGTTCATGAGAATCAAGAAGAAAATAGGAAGTTGCAATGGACTTCACAATAGGGAACAGGTCTTCGATAGCGTGATTTGGTGGAGAAATCGGGTTGGATTTTCATGCATTTGAGATCGTGGTTTTGGCTTGATAGGCAGTTTCCACTCTCTCCCGTTAAGTCCATGGACGAACTGATCTATATTCAGCGAAGTATCTCCGTAGAAAGAGACACTCGTAAGGAAGATTTTACGCGAGTAACGCCCGTCTAGATTCTCATGCACGCTTTTATTCCAAGATTATCTATCGAATCCACGCTCTATGCCCTAAACCCCATCTAAAATCCTATAAAGGCCCTTCAAAGCCACATGCAATCACTGATCAAGCCCATTGAACTCAATCAGCCTCTTCACGGCCTCAATGACCTTGTCACCGGCCTCAGAAGCAGACCCAACAGCCGGGTTATCTATACGCTCTTGCAGCGCCTCATCTAACATAGTGCGGAGTCGCGAGACCAAGACACCGATGCGGGCCCAGCCGCGCAGTCGGAGCCAGCCGTCCACGACCAAGCCGCGGCCCATCGTGTCGAGTGTGATAGAGCCGCAGAATAGAAGGAGGGAGTATGCGTTGAATGCTGGAAACATCGTTAGCGAAGAAATTGGAATGGCAAGTGGAAGGGCTTACGGGTAAGATCACGGATGAAGACCTTGCTTGTCGCCATCTTGGTAAAGTAGCTCAGATAAGCCGAAGCATTGGGATATCCCTGAGCAGAGAAAAGGATGGAGCTCGGGTGAATAAAGACACGCCCGTTATCCTGGTTGAAGTACTTGATGGTACGGGCGTCGGGGTCAACCTCCACAGTACCAGTCACGGAACTAGCAAATTTCTTATCCGGGAACGAGATCTGTGCAACTTGGGGCTGGAAAGCACCTGCGATCAGGGCCCGGAGGAGGTTCCGGTTGGAAGAGTTGCGGTTCCAGGCCGGTGCTGCGTCTGTGTATTCTACTGGCAGAATACCTGCATCCTTGAGAGATGTGACAAACTGGGCTCTGTTCGATGAGATATCGCGCAGAGTCTGGTGGGAGAGGAAGTTCGCTCCGCACCATGACTGGGATTGCCAATGGCCTTGGGAGCGGGTTCGTTCAGACCACGCTTGGTAGGCTGATAAATCAGTCATCAGATCACCGTCGCCAGGGCGTGAGAAGCTTGCCTTAGCGGCGTCGGCCTCTTCGCGTCTGTCGCGAGGTGAGACGAATGGACTTTTGACTGTGAGGATTGCCGCAACAGTGAGACAGGATTCCATACAGCTGAAGATCGAGCCGTAGATCATCAGCTTCGCGCACCGCAGATCGGCTGGGATCATGGACAGATACCGACCCAGTGCTGTCAGTCGGCTGTGATCCATGGCTCCAACCTTGTGCAGGAAGTTGAGAGCACCTTCAACAGCGATGCTTTCTGGCGGCGTGATTGTGTTTGCGAGGAAGTTGGCGACGTCGTCGATACCCTTCATGGATTTCACAGACAGACAAAGCTGCTCAAGAGGCACGCGACGAATCTCAGGATCGGGTCGCTGTGCCATGTTGGACTCGGCCTTGCGAGTGTACAGCTTGTAGCAAATACCTGCCCGCACACGACCTGCACGACCACGACGCTGCTTACAAGCCGCTTGAGATGCCCATACTTCCTGAAGACGGACCATGTTGTCTTTGGGATCGTAGCTGGTTTCTTTGACTCGGCCTGTGTCAATGACAGCAACAACATCCTCAATGGTAATGGATGTCTCAGCAACGTTGGTGGCAGCAATGATCTTTCTTTTGCCCCTGGGTGGGCTCTGGAAGACACGTTTCTGCTCGGCTGGGAGTAAAGAGGCATGCAGTGGCAATGCATGAGCATTGGGCATTCTCCTGACTGCAGTCAGACATCTTTCGATCTCCATTGTGCCTGGTAAGAAGATCAGAATTCCTCCTGGTCGCTCTCCTAATTGCGCATCGATGTATCGGACTGTCGATGCGATCAAGTCATAGTTAATTCCCATGCCAACACTCCGCAGGGCTTTGCCTAGAGATTCCTCGCCGCGAGGAGCATCCCAGTTCTCATCCATGTCCTCGCCAAGTTCAGGAGCGAATCCAGTGTCCCGAATGACATCGTCCAAGTAATAGTCATCAACAGGGTATGTCCGACCAGGGATATTGACATGACCAACGTTCTTACGACCACCAAAGTAGTTCATAAAAACTTCAGCATCCAAGGTAGCACTCATAAGAATGACCTTCAGATCTTTACGGTAGCGCAGAACATCCCGCAGCAGAGCCAAGAGGAAATCTGTATCAAGACTGCGTTCGTGAACCTCATCAACCACCACATGAGACACATCAGCGAGTGAGCTGGCAACATTTCCGTCGGCATCACCTCCAGACTGGATCCGGCGTAACAGTACACCAGTAGTCACAAACGTGATCTTCGTAGCACCTTGCTTCAATTTCGACTCGCCTCGAATAATGTATCCAACCTCATCACCGACTGTTGAGCAACGCTCATCGCTGACTCGATCAGCAAGACCCAGAGCCGAAATCCTTCGAGGCTGAGTACAAATAATGTTCGCAGCACCTCCCAATCCCCGCTGGATCATGTCATCTAGGACGAACTGTACGGACTGTGTACTCTTACCGCTACCAGTTTCACCAGAGATAATAGTGACCTGATGAGCGTCCACGGCATCGATGATGGCTTCCTGGGTGTTCCAGGCAGGTAGAGATTGCCGTTTACGACACATATCGATCTGCGCGGCGGTAGACTGCTTGGCTTGCCATGCTTCTTTCATCGATGTACCCTGAGGCGTATAAGGCTTCCAGTCGATGCCTCTCCGCTGCTTGCGATTATTGCGCAAGGGGGTTTTCCGGGTCTCTGGTGCAGAAGAGGCAGTGACTGCAGAAATCTCGCGCAACTTTCCGGGATTCTCTGTGACCGCAGGCAGATTGAACTCCAACCAGTCCATGATGTTGAAAACCATTGACTCGCCAGAGAAATTCTCTTCGGCATGCTGAACTGCTCGGCGAATGGCGCTGAGCCGAATATAGGCTGGGATTCCCTTTGCCAGGATCGATATGACCGGAGGTACCGTGGGGTAATGAGAAGAAGGCTCCTGGAAGCGGAACACTGTATTCTCCGGAACCCCTGAGGCCTCACTCTGGATTTCACAGACTCTGGCTGAGACACGAGAGTACCGCTCGCCAAAGATGGCTTCGAGTGTGTCTTGCTCCTCCGCCCACGCTCCCGCATCACCGTCGAGTATCGATGCAGAGCTAAATTCTGATCCGTGTGTCAAAGTACCCTGTAAATGCTCTGCAGCCGCAAGTTCCTCACCACCCTTGCTGTCCAATATTTGAGAACAGAGATCAACAGGATAGCCAATTGAGGCCAGTCGCTTGATCTTGGCCTCTCGGGCCAAGTCCTGCTGGGCAAGACTGACACCGGCGGAATATCCCTCGGGCAGAGACCACCGAGGCAGATCATCCTCGGGAACATAGACTAGCAGCCACTCTAGCACTTCCTCGCGGTCTTTACATTCAGTAACAGCCTCTTCAACATGGCTGCGCCGGAATCCCAAGCGCGAGAACTCCTCCACAATCGCCTTAGCATCGCTTTCAGGGATCTTGACATTGTAAGCATTCCATACGGTGTGTTGGCGCAAGAGACCCTCGATCTCTCGTCGAATGCGATTGCCCATGTCCACTTTGGGCGCCTGTGACCAGATCCTCTTGCTCTGTTTATCACCACCTCCCAGACCAAGATCTGAAGACGAGGCCTTGTCCTTAGCCTGAGCTTTTAGTCGCTCCGCCCTCTTCTTCTCCAAGTCGGCGGCCGCGGCCTCTCGTTCCTGCTTGGCTAAGAAAGGGTCCGCCTCGTATAGCCAGCCTTTGCCCTCTTTGGTATCGGCAGTCTTGATATCCGCGAACTCCTCCTTCCAAAGCTTTTTATAGGTAGGCGGGAACATCATATGGAGGTTGCGCATGTTGCAGACGCGGAAGAGGGCAAACGCCGCAGCGAAATGACGGGCCTCGAGCGCAGTGGGTTGCATACCCAGGTCCTTATGAGACGGCGGTAGTTTCATGGGAGGAAGAACGATCAACTCCTTGGTCTTGGGATCGACTTTCTTCAGCGTCACAGCGGAGATATAGCCTTCGCGGCTTTGGTTCTGCAATTGTCGCAATTCCTTATTAGCGCTTGGTCACGGTTGAGTGTTAGGATACGGCTTTACCATGCTGTACTCAGGTCTCTCCCATTTCTGCTTCTGACAATGCTCGGAGAGCATGTTGACTGGCAATTTGCCGGTCCATGATGCGCCGCCAATCACCTCCTTCACGGACGGCTTCTTGGGCTCCTCCGTTACGGGCTTCTTATCAGCCTGCGCCGCGGCAGTTGCGGCAGCTTTGGCCTCTTTGGCCTCTTTGGCCTGCTTTGTGCCCGGCTTGGGGCCTCCAGGAGCAGATGGTTTCTTCTTGGGGCCCATTGTCCTGTTCAAAATGCAAGTCGTTGACTGCAAATCCAACGCGGGCTTTTCGGCTCTTTGTCCCGCACTAAACCTCTTTGGGCGGTTTTGCGGGGAGATTCTGGATGACTGCTTCTTTTGCTCCTTACATTCGGAGCTCTTCCTTCTTTTATTTTCGATACTTGCAGACAGGTGTTGGGTTATATATTACATTCCTAATACCTTCCATGTGAACTCTCATCATGTCCGGGGCGGAACAACACCGCGATCAGAGCAAAGGTGCCGCCACATCTACGGCCCCAGAGACTACGACACCCGCGCCGAAAAGAAACGCTTGTATGGTTACTGAACTCCCATCCAGTGATATATGAGAGCTGATCTTTCTATCCGGTAGTCACCGAACTCCTCTCCGCCCGCAACAAGCAGCCCAAGCATGCGGCCCCCAATCCATCGAGCAAAGACGTGCCGAAACGCAGAATGGGTTCTTTCCCAGGACGAGATGGACTGGGAGCCTACCTTGAAAAGCCAGACTCCTATCCATCCAGCGTAGTAGTTTATCACAATTCAGATTTCGTCACAATCCACGACATGTTCCCGAAATCCTCGCTACACCTTCTCCTCCTCCCACGCGACCAAACCAAGAACAGACTCCACCCATTCGAAGCCTTTGAAGACGCCGAGTTCCTCGAAAAGGTCAGAACCGAAGTGCACAAGCTGCGCAAGCTGGCAGCGGCCGAATTGCGCCGCAGATACGGCCAAGATTCGGCGCAGGAACAGGCGCGACACGCTGCTCTCAATGCCGATCCACCGCCGGATGAGCTGCCGGATGGACGCGATTGGGATAAGGAGATAATGTGCGGGATACATGCTGTTCCGTCCATGAGCCATCTGCATGTGCATGTCATTTCGGTGGATCGGCATAGTGAGAAGTTGAAGCATCGGAAGCATTACAATAGTTTTGCGACACCGTTTTTCGTACCCATTGAGGACTTTCCTCTGGCCCCGGATGATGAGCGGCGGCATCCTACTCGGCAAGGGTATTTAAAGCGGGACTTCACGTGTTGGCGCTGTGAGAAACAGTTTGGAAACCGTTTCACGGAGTTGAAGAAGCATCTAGAAGAAGAGTTTGAGGAATGGAAGAAATTGTGACCTGATGGGCCCAGTCGCGACTATTACGTCTGCGACACAAGGCAGCCTGGTTTGAAATTGTAGTTCGTACTCCCACGGCTCCCAAAGGCTTCAGGAGAAACTATAACGAGCCAACTCTCGTAAATGTACATGCTTCGGCACTAAAACAGATCTTATAAATGCATTCTCAGCAAATATAAATGACCTGCCCTTGCCATCTCACAGAATATTCAGGGAAAGCACAATGCTTTCCCTCCGCCTTCCAATCACCGATATTCTTGCCACATGCCTGGTTACGAGCGGGCCTTGGACTTGCCAGCACCCTTGACCTTCCGGGTCTCCGGACGAGCGAGGTGGTGGGAGGGGATCCAGTCAGCGTTGTAGGTGGTGGCAGAGGAGACGGCAGCAGGGGAGGGGGTCTCCTCGACAGCCGGGGCCTCGCGCTTGGCGCTGCCAGGGGCACGCTTCTCGCCGGACTTGCCGCTCTTGCGCTTCTGGGGGAAGTAGGGGGCGACCCAGACAGTATAGAAGAAGTAGACGGTACCAGTGGCAGAGGCCAGGAGGAAGAAGTAGAGGAAGAGACTAAGAAAGGTAGGGTGAGCCAATTGCACGCGATACTTGGGAGAGGGGTGCTTACATCTGGGGGTCGAAGATGCTGGTATCAGGCTCAACCACGCTCACAGTGCCATTGAAGGCCTGGACGGTGGAGAACTTGCCCTCGCTGTCAGACAGAATGGCGGCGATGCTCAGACGAACGTCTTGGGGGTGCATCTCGGTGGCGAAGCTATAGCTGACGCTCTCCTTGGAGCCCGCGGGGATCTCGATGCCATAACGAGTGGCAGTCAGGTTGCGGACGACCTTACTCTCCTCCTCGAGGTTCCACAGGCTGCCTCCGAGGAAGTTCACGGTGACGGGGTTGGGCTCATCGTTGATGAAGTCAATGACGGCCTGGGTAGGGTGTCCGTTGATGAGCTTCACGCCGAAGATCTCAGAGGTAGGGAAAGTAGTCTCAGCCTTAACCTTGAGAGCGACTTCGGCATCGACCTTCTCGGTTTCCTAGTGATCGTCGCGTGAGTCAATTGCAGTGACACGAAAGAATAATAGAACCTACAGCAGCAGAGCCGGTACCGACGAAGGCCTGAAGAGAGAGTAGAGCCAGGGAGAGGAATCCAAAACGAGTCATCTTGATAGAATGGAGGAAGGTACAGAAGGGGGTGATCACACATCACACGTTGCAACTTGCCTTTTAGCTTGGCCCACTTCGGTACCGGGGAAGCTGACTCAGCCATCGCGTCTCTCCCTTTGGAGATCGATTTTTTTTTTTTTTTGGAAAGAGAAAAGGGTAAACTTGAGATCAAAATAATCTCCACTCGATTAATTGTTCGATACGTGGAGGCGCCGTCTTACGACTACCTGCATTCACTTTGTCAGAGTGAAACGCCGCGATCGCGCAAGCGCTTGCCAACCTTATAGCACTTTTCGACTTAAGTTTCCTCTTTCACTTATCACTGTGTTCTTTTAACTCCTACACCCTCTCGCCCCATAATACTTCGTCAATATGGATACTCCCGATTATCTTGAGCGCTATCGCCAGTTGAGCGCACTGGATCAGCAGAAGAATCAGCTTATTGAGGTACCAACCCTCCCTTGACCAACGAAACTGCGAGGCTAATGCGATTTGTCTTCTAGGAACTCCTGCAACGAGTGACCGACCTTGAGACCTCCTTCCAGCAAGAGAAACTTGATCATCAGCGCGAGACCCGCTTCAATCGCGATATTCAACTACACGAGATGGAGTTGATGCAACAGATCTCCCAGATCAAGAATATTATGGTGAGCGCAAATGGTGGACTGGCACACCGGAGCATGCGCTGATACACGGCCAATTCCAGGATCGAGAACCTTTCGTTGTCGTGCTTTTAGACGGAGAAGGGATAATTTTCAAGGATGAATATTTGCAGCAGGGAGAAGAAGGTGGACGCAGTGCGGCCAAGGCCCTCGAGACATGCATGCGCTCATATCTGGCGAAGAATATTCCCAGTGTTGCTGAGCCGAGGCTTTTGACCAAGGTTTTCTTGAATGTGAAGAGCTTTGGTGAGCTTTGCGCGCGCAGTGGGACCATTTCAGAGGCTGCAGCGATTCATGACTTCATTCGCGGCTTCAATGAGACCATGTCATTTTCTGAAATCGTGGACGTCGGGTCCAGCAAAAACAAGGCATATGATAAGATTCAAGGTTTGTCTCTACCCCAAGTCCAGCCTCGAATTAGTTCTAATACTCTGATCTCTACAGAAATGTTCCAAGTCTTTCTTTACAACTGCCATTGCCACCAGATCTTCCTGGGCTGTCCCTCAAATAGCGAATACGGTCAATTCCTCGAGGAATCGTTGAATGAAGGAGACCTAACTGGTCGTATCTCCCTCGTGGAAGGCGTTCCGTTTGAGAAGGAGCTGGAGATTGTCAAGAACTCATATCGAATCGCCCGGTTCCCAGATGTTTTCCGTTCAGCCAAATTGGTGCCCGTTTGGACAGCGCCTTGGAAGAGCGCCCTTCCCTCGCGATCATTGCTCACGCCCTCTCCATCCCAATCGTTCTCAATGCCACCACCTTTGTCAAGAACATCCACAAATACGAGCTACTCCGGCGTTGGCGGGCCTTTGTCGGCTTCCACAACCAATAAAACAGAGTCCCCCGATTTCCAGCAGGTGATGCGCTCTAAGGTTGCTGGCTTGACAACATCCAAGACCGTCGAGCGAAACAAATACGGACAGCGTGTAGATCGCCTCGATTTCAAGAGCATCCCTCGTGATGATCTCAATCGCCTGAAGAAGCTTAAATTGTGCAATTATTTTTTCCTGCTGGGTGAATGCCCCAACGAAGAAAACTGCTATCACGATCACGATCGCAAGTTGACCCGTCAAGAACTCCACATCCTCTCTGCTATCGCCCGTATGACACCATGTCGATTTGGCTTGGAATGTGACGACCCGGAGTGTATTTACGGTCATCGTTGCCCGCAGAGTGAACCCGGGAAAAAGACCTGCTTCCGCGGAGACAGCTGTCGCTTCGAGCCCGTGGCTCACGGCATTGACACTAACATTGTCAAAGTGACAAAGGTTTAACATAGTGGTTTTATTATTCGTTCTTTTATTAATCTGAAAGCCCCTCCGGGCGTGAGGCTTTTCGGTTCAGTGTTTCAGTCTTATTATGGCGTGACCGGGCATACAATGGGTTTGTCTACAAAATTCGGGGCTGGGGAGTACGGTGATCTCCAGCAATTGAATTGGTATTTTTATTGGGACGTTGATCGGGCCTTTCGCGGAAATTAGGGGTTCCTTCGGAGTTCAGTGGCCTTAGGATGGCGTATGGTATGGACTGTTTCTGAGAGTTTACAGCGTCTTACCCAGCAAAATATGGACGAGACATGTCTGGGGTCATCTTTAGATGTACTTATCGAAACTACAAATTGTATGAGTATTTAACAATCAATTAAAAATAGTATTGTCATTTTCCAATCTTGCCATGGTCTATGTATGGCGACAGGGTATCAGCGCCTAGTCTACAATTATTAATAATGGTGATCCCGTTACGCCTGTACAACATCTCTATGAATGAATCGTCGTCCCGAACATGGAGAATCGTCGTTCCCAGCCAAAACAGTCTGACTGGCTGCATGGCTGCTCGGCCCCGTCAATGGCCATGGCATTCAAGTCCGGAGCATGGCCACATTCCACTCCATACTCCTGGATACAGCAGTTAAAAGGCACCGAGGAGGATTTAACCGGTTCCCAAGCCGAGGTTTTGTCGGTGGCCTGCGCTTGCTTCTTTTCTTCGAGATCGCCCCACAGAAGGAATAGTTTCTCGCGAAGCTCAGCTAGTCGCCCTGGGCTGCGACGCAGACTATGCCAAATTGTTAGCGACTTTGTAAATAAGTTGAAGAGGAAAAGTCTTACTCCGTAGCATCGAGATTGAGCAAATGTTCGCCATCTCCACCGGAGACATAGATCTTCATCTGTTTACGGGTTTCCTGTTTCGAGACCAAAGGCTCAGTTCCTTCAACGAGAAGGCAGAAACGCCATTGCCATTCCATACGCGGTGTGCTGTCAATATCTTGGTCTCTGCCTCTGTTGCTGGCTATCCGTTTCATAGGGACTTGTACGGTGAAGTCCTCAAGATTCGGAGGAAAGAAATCCACAACGCGCGCTAGAAGCACGTAGCAGACGTTTTGGAAAGGCAGTGTGTAGGTAATTCCACCAGGGAGATTGTTGATATGTGATTCGCCAGATAGAATATAATCGATTGACCGTTCAGGCACTCCAATGTTCCGCGTTTTGACTGTCGCAAATTCATCAGCATGCATTCTGCGTTTCCCGAAATTTATACCACTTACTGTGCGGATTTTTCTTCGCTTGCGATGTAGCCACTGTGAGAGTTTTCTGGCCTTCCTCTTTCCGAATCTCTTTTTTCTTCTGTTCGCTCTTTTTCTTCTTTTCAGCCTTCCTCGGATCCTCACTAGGCTTGCCGTGGATACTCCAGTACTCCTTTCGACGGTCCAAAAGCTCTCGAGTTCGTTCATCGTAATTAGGCGAAACAAGGCGAACATGGATCTTCTCTGGATATTTTTTATCTTCATGCACAGCAGCTTCGATGCCGCCTTCGAAGCGGCCAGCTTTGATGCGCACGTAGGTCAAAAGAACAAGATCGCCAGCCTTGACTTGCTCGCGTACAAAGCTGGCATGCGGCTCCCAGACCGCAACTTGTATTGTCAGTTGGCCCCATGGGCCAGGCCAGTCTTTCTTCTTGCGAGCCATATAGTTGTATTCGTCGCCTTCTGGGCCTTGTTCATCTTCTTTTTCTTTCTTGATATCCATGAGACCTGTATGGGGGGTATAATCTGTGAGGTACATGAGACATCTCTCGCTGTCCCAAGTGTTAAGCTTCACTACCTGGCCTAGCAGTTGGGCGAGGTTGTTGACTTGGACATCTTGGATTAGATGGAAGGGTAGGCCTCCCCATTTTGGGGCTGGCATAGATGCCTGGATCACCTGAGATGGTTGGACGGGTTGGGCGGGCTGAGACGGCTGCCGCGAAGTAGCGGATCGACGCGTTAGTTGTGGCGCTGAGGCAGACTGCTCATCTACTACGAATCGATCCAAAAGAGAGATTGCAAACCTCTTTTCCAGGGGTTTCAATTCGAATGGAACAGGCCCGCTGGTGATAGACGGGCTTGAATTGGGGTCTGGTCCTGGTCGGAAGATTGCCCATGGGACTGTATCATGTTGGGAGGCAACCCCCGTGGTTCTACCCTGGAAAACTGTGATCTAAGGCATGAAATTAGTTCTGGTCTAGCAACTGTCTCGGAAAACATACTCGGATGTTTCGCAGTAAAACTACATCGTTGAGGCGAATCTCTGGTAACACACTTTCATTGTCGTTGAAGTACTTGATCTTGAGACTTTCGGACCAGCTTGGAGTATCAAAATGGGCATCTTTGATAGTAAATGTAACACAGGATGAGGACCCTTTCGTGCGATAAACATCGAGCTTATCGACCACGACACCGATTGTGTTGATAAATCCTCGACGAGTGCAAGCTGTGCCAATATCCACCAGATCAGAGGGCGCCATAGCTTTTGAAAGGCAAGCTTTCTCTAGGAAAAACCATGTAGATCGCGAGCACTTTGGAAGCTCTTAGTCACCACAGATATGCGGTATCTCCCCAAAGTAAAATTGTAGGTCCGGAAGCTGGCAGTGCTCAATGCTCAGTGGGCATCCATCCTGAGGTTGTGGGACATGTTGGAAACTCAGAGTAAGACAACGAGTAGCAGAATAAGTGCTTAGATTATTTTCAAATCTATCGGCGACGAAGTAGGGAATAAAGAGCTGCAAAAGAGCAAATGCACGCGTTGAGTAAATAATGGGGGGGAGTTGTCACATGATTTCCCCTCCTTGCACACACGAATCCTTCCTCTTCCTCTTCTTCCTCCCCCACATCTCTTCCTCTTCCCATCCACGGCGCGCCCATCTCTATCTTTCTTCATTTGAATTTAGAGGCGCGCTTTTTCTTTTTTCCACTCACCATGTCGGAACGTTATATCCCCGAGCACCGCCGGACCCAGTTCAAGGCCCGGAATCAGTTCAAGCCCGATGAGCTCCGTCGCCGCCGTGAAGAACAGCAGGTCGAGATCCGAAAGCAGAAGCGAGAGGAGAACTTGGCCAAGCGACGTGGTATTCAGACCTCCGATGGTGGAATCGGTGTTGGTGGTGGCATGGCCGGCGCCACCGAGAGTGACGATGAGGCAAGTGCTATCGAGAGCGAGGTACGTTTTACTTTTTTTTTCTCATTCTTACTGTGTTTCGTGCGCGGACTTCGGCTTTTAAATCTCTGTGATGGAGTCCTATTGCGCTTCTCTGGTGGCCACTTTGACCCTCCCTTTGTTTTTATGATGCGATCATCAACATGGGAATTTTTTTCACCGCCCGGTTGCCATGGGGCCGACCCCTCCACCACGGACCATTACTACACGACCCCACCATGCGATAGTTATACGAGAAAGCCCATAGGAACCCTAATGGCTAACACAATGGATGATATAGCTCAATGTCGAACTCCCCCAGATGGTGAAGGGTGTCTTCTCCGACCAGGTTGAGGAGCAGATTCAGGCTACTACCAAGTTCCGCAAGCTGTTGTCCAAGGAGCGCAACCCCCCTATTGAGCGCGTTATCGAGACTGGTGTTGTCAGCCGCTTCGTCGAGTTCCTCCGTTCCCCTCACACTCTTGTGCAGTTTGAGTCTGCCTGGGCTTTGACCAACATTGCCTCCGGTTCCGCCCAGCAGACCCAGGTTGTCATCGAGGCCGGTGCCGTCCCTATCTTCGTTGAGCTCCTCGCCAGCCCCGAGCCCGATGTCCGTGAGCAGGCCGTGTGGGCCCTTGGTAACATTGCCGGTGACAGCCCTCACTGCCGTGACTTCGTTCTCGGCGCCGGTGCTCTCCGCCCCCTTCTGAACCTCATTAACGATGGCCGCAAGCTGAGCATGCTCCGCAATGCCACATGGACTCTCAGCAACTTCTGCCGGGGCAAGACCCCCCAGCCCGACTGGAACACTATTGCTCCCGCTCTGCCCGTCCTTGCCAAGCTCATCTACATGCTCGATGACGAGGTCTTGATTGACGCCTGCTGGGCTATTTCTTACCTTTCTGACGGCGCCAATGATAAGATCCAGGCTGTTATTGAGGCCGGTATCCCCCGCCGCCTGGTGGAGCTCCTCATGCACGCCTCTACCTCTGTTCAGACCCCCGCTCTCCGCTCCGTTGGTAACATTGTCACTGGTGACGATGTTCAGACCCAGGTCATCATCAACTGCGGCTCCCTCCCCGCCCTCCTTTCCCTTCTCAGCTCCACCAAGGACGGTATCCGCAAGGAGGCTTGCTGGACCATCTCCAACGTCACCGCTGGCAACTCCAGCCAGATCCAGGCCGTCATTGACGCTGGCATCATTGCTCCTCTGATCAACCTTCTCGCCAACGGTGACTTCAAGACCCGCAAGGAGGCTTGCTGGGCCATTTCCAACGCCACCTCCGGTGGTCTGCAGAAGCCCGAGCAGATACGCTATCTTGTTTCCCAGGGCTGCATCAAGCCCCTCTGTGATCTGCTTGCTTGCCCTGACAACAAGATCATCCAGGTTGCTCTTGACGGCCTTGAGAACATCCTCAAGGTTGGCGAGATGGACAAGGAGGCTGGCTCGGGCGAGGCCCGTGTCAACCGCTACGCTCTCTTCATTGAGGAGGCCGGCGGTATGGAGAAGATCCATGACTGCCAGAACAATGCCAACGAGGAGATCTACATGAAGGCTTACAACATCATCGAGAAGTACTTCTCCGATGAGGATGAGGCTGCCGGTGAGATCGACGAGCTGGCTCCTCAGCAGAACCAGGCCGGCTTCACGCTCGGCACTGGCCAGCAGCCTTCCGGCGGATTCAACTTCTCTAACGGCGGTGAATCCATGGACATGTAAAGAGGTGGCACTTTCCACTTGGCTCCGTCACCTCACGATGTGCCTCGCGCATCACCCCACATCAGCAGAACTGGAAATTCATTTCCACCGAAGTACCGTTCTATTTAGTTTCGGTTCATCTCTCCGTCTGTGCTTTCTTTTGTTTAGCTGCTCAGCTCAGCCTAAACCAGCACATGAAATTTTCCCGTTTCCACCTCGTCTCCTGCCACGAAGTTCGAACCCCTTCTCGTTTCTCCCCATTTTGATCCATTCACGATAAAGATTCACCATCATGTAACCCCTTTATTAGCATCCTCATACACAGGCGTATTTGTTTGCAGGATCGGTCCTCTTCTTTATGTTAATGTCTCTACCTCCATTTCGATTGTTGCTTTTCCTGGGGTTGGTCCTCTTGAGAATCACCTTCGCTCGCTGGCAGCAGGGGCTCATCTGTCTGTGGTCTCGTTTACCACTGATAGTCCAGTTCAAGTCCGTTTCTGCAGTCTGCCAGTCAAAAATGCCAAGTCTTATGCAGTTCAATTCTCTCTCGAAAAGCGTAGTCCGGGAAATCCTGTTCGCTGTGAGCAGCAAGTCCCAAAAATCTTTTCCAGGGGTAAATAGTACCCAGACTATCTACCTACAAACACTAAAATTCGAGGTAACACAACTTACTATTCAGGATTTTCTGGGCCCTTTCCAACTGAGTAGTGTGACACCTACATCAAATTATCAAGAGAACATTGAAGAGCGATCCAGTCCACGTGGAAAGAACAAAAGGGAAATATTCATAGCATACACAGTAAAAATGTCCTGACCACCCACCCAGAACTAGATAGAAATTTAGACATTGAAAAAAAAAAAAAAAAAAAAAAAAAAAGACCAAAGGCTCAGAATGCATGATTACAATCTCTCAATCCGGAGCCGAGACCACTAATCACCCATCACCTCGTCTTCATCAGATTCAGGAACTCGGTCGTTGTCCTCATCGTCATTATCCTGATCGACATCTTCCTCGACAAGTTCGCGAGCCCGCAGATCATCCTCATCGTCCTCTTCAATGGGATCGTCTGGAAGATCACCGTCACCGTGCTCGTTCTCGTTATCATCATCATCGATGTGCTCCGCTGACTTATATTCTTTTCCTGAAGCCGCCGGGGTTTGTTCGTCAGCAGCTGCGTTCTTGGCGGGCTGCTTGCCCTTGCTGCGGGGTGCGCTGCGAGGCTTGCGTTCTTCAAGGTATGAGAGGACTTCACGGTAGTTCTGGCCGAGAGAGGTCTTGTTGCGGAGGAGGCGCTTTTTAAGAGAGCCGCGCTTGGAGCCAGATGCATCGACGACGCGGCCGATTATGGAAAGCACGAGTTTGCCGGTCAGTTCGCAAAGGCGTTGCTCGGCCATGATGCTGCTGCGGAGACGCTCATTGATAACTGCCTCGTCCTCGGAGTCACTGGCTTCGGCCTCATCCTCTGGTTCATCCTCGGATGCCGGCGCGTCATCTTCGGCGGGCTCGAGGTCCCGTCGGGATTTCTTGGCGAAGTTACGCTCCGCAATGCCGTGGATCTTGGTGACGAGAGCCTGTGCCTTCGCAGACGCTTCATGCACAAGGCTTTGTGTCTGGAAAATGACATCCTCGTCGTTGCCAACACCTTGGCCGACGTTGCGGAGTGTGCCGAATAGAGTTTGTAAGTCCAGGAAGGTTGTGGTGGCAATAAATCGTAGGTCATCGAGGCCGGGGCGTCCCTCCATGATGGAGAGAAGCGTCGACATGAATGTCTCGCGACTCTTTGTGAGTGTTTCAAAATATGATGTGTTAAAAGTAGCTTTTCCATCGTTGAGGGCAGCAGTTAAACCCTGAACCTTCCACATGAAGTAGAAAAGCAAGGCGCGGATGCTATTTGTGACCAGCTCGGACTCTGTGGTGGTATCCTCCTCATCATCCGTTTCGCGTACACCGCGATTAGCAAGATGAATCAAAATATTAAAAGGGGCTTCGGAGTGGTCCTTTTTGGATTTCGAGCGTGAGGTAGGCACGGCTTCCAGGATCGCTGTGCAGTCCGTGATACCGGCGAGGTTGGAGATACGCATCACGGTGTTCGTGAGATCGGTGAGGGTTGAGTCAGGAATATAGCCACCGACCTGAACCTCCTTCTTCCGAGACAACGCGCCGAGTGATTCCACCATTTCCTCCCAGAGTTCCTGGATCTTACCCTCAAGTGCCTCTCGCATCTCATCGGAGCTCTTCGCATGCAAAAATGCCACGCTAGCTTCAGCCAAGACATCGTGATCTGAGTGCGTCAAGAACTGCTTGTTGATATCGTTCAGGAGAGACGTGTAGGCTGTAGCATCCTTTTGAAGATCTTGAATAGTATCAAGGTCCACGAAATGCTCCAGCCGCAGAACGGCAGACGCTGCTTCTGGTGAAGACCCAAACTTCCTTAAGAGTTGCGGGATGATCTGCGCAAGGCTATGTGAGATCTCCTCCTGGAGCTCTGGAATTTTAGAGGTCAGTGCCTTGACCTTGCGCCCTCGCTTGTCAATGTCAGACTTAGCAATATCAAGCACTCGAAGTTTGACGGCAGCACCGAGAACGTCCAGGAGAATGGACTCCTGTCCCTCCCCAAGCTTGTACAGAGACCGGACAGTTCCCTGGGCGTCATCGTCATACGCTTGGTCCGTGATTTGTGAGTGATCGTAGAGCAAATAGCCCGCTAGCGACTGCCATTGCGAAAGCTCTTCCATATGATGGTAGATGGCCTCGGTTGCCAGAACAAATCGGGAATCGGTCGGCGCTCCCAAAAGCACGCCACGGGTGGTGGGCTCCTTTTCTGTTTCTGCGGACTCTTGAGAATCATAGTTGTAGAAGATATCGACAAGACACTTGAACTTGATCCACGATTGCTTGGGTAGCTCAAAGTCATCGTCGTCGTCATCAGCAAGGGTTTCGTTGAGCTCATCTCCGACTTCCTCAGTCGCCAAGTCAAAGGCATCCTGAACATTGGCAGCGAAGAACTGGCCTGCGGTTTTGCGAACGCGAGGGTCAGTGTCAAAGATAAGGCGACCAACCATATCAATATCATCGGCCTCGACCAACCCGCCTTCTCTAAGGTGGTTTAGTAGCTCGATAGCCACGATGCGCACTTTGACTTCGGCATCCTGAACTGCCATTTCGACAATACGCTGGCGGAAACGCTCGGTGAAAGAGTGAAGAACGCCGATATTATCTTTATTCGCATAGAGAGGTAGCAATTGCGTCACAGCAACCAGTCTGGTGTGGGGCTCGACGTCGGCGAGAGTCCATCCAATATACCGTAGATATTGTCCCTCAAGGAAGACTTCTCTATAGGTACGAATCCACCTGCCTAGGGCCTCCATACACTCGGCACGGATTCCACCATCGACATCCCGATAACGGTGAACGAAGACGGTATCGAATCCGTCCTGCAAGAACTCGTCCAGACGCTCAACCTTCTGTTCGCCCTCGGAGATAGCGTTCTGAATCGCTTCCACACGTCCTTTGTTAACAGACTTTTTTTTCTTTTCGCTTTCCAGCTGCTTGCGAGAGGTGGTCACGGTGGTCGTCACTTCTCGCGCAATATCACAAAGAGCGCTCATAATTGCCAGCGAGATAATTGTCGAGGTATGGCGGAACGGGCGGCTGCTCACTGTGGACATGGAGCATACCCAAATCTGGACGTTCTCCAGCAGGGCTTCATCAGTGTAGAGGACCGACGAGTGGTGGAAGGTCTGTATGAGTGCGATCATGAATTCCTCGAGGACGGGTTGGAATGCTCGGAACTTTTTGGCACGGGAGATGAGAGGATACTCGGTAATTCCTTGTGCCTGGTAAACGTTTTGTACATCTCGAATTCGCTGCGGTGCATGGTCGACATCTTCTGTTTCCGCTTTACTGATTTCGAGTTCGGCGCCGGTACATCGGATAATGAAGTTGATCAAATCCTGCATAGCCTGTCCGCTGTTTCGTTGGTATTGGTTCAGCCATTGTGCAGCGGCCGTGTCGGCATTGTTGCTTTTTCCGAATACCTCCGCTGAATTTGATGTTAGAACGGTATTAGCAACAATAAACTAGCTGTAGAGACTCACCAAACAAGCCATGTTCGCCCGCAGCCAAGCTGGGCCGAACCTTAGGCTTACGGGGACGCGAAGCTGGAAGCCGACCATTGAGTGCGGCAGGGCGGAAGGCCAACTGTCTGCCAATTCCATTACCTGTGACCTTTGGCTTCTTTGCTGAATGCGAGCCTTTCTTAGCCGCAGGCTTCTTTGACTTTGAACCGGTCTTGCGAGTCGCGCGACGTCTTTCCCTCAGTTCCTCCTCGTCGGCCTCTGAGTCCTCTACATCGTCGCTGTCGGACTCGGACTCGTCCTCATCATGATTCTCATTATCGTGCACGTCGCCACGCTTGCGCTTGCCCCTCGCGTTGATCTCGGCGGAGTGGTTGCTTTGGGAGAAAACTTCGGGTCGCCGCGTCTGGCGGCCAGATTTGCGTCTATCCTCGGCGGGGGTCGATGACGGGCTGCTGGGGTTGTCCACCTCCATGTTGGGATGGAATATGTGACTTGACTTCGAGCGACTGCAATTGTGGAGGACGTGTGTCAGTCAAAGAGTGGTCGCGATGGATATTGGGATTAGGTATGGTCTGTACGTCAGGTCGAAACGCGCCCCGTGGAACCGCGCCGCGAAACGGCAGCAAACAGAATCGGGCGAATGAACACGCAAGAGAAAATAGCGCTGCAACCTAAAGCCGCGGAGTTGTCGGGCTGGTCGTGTTCAAATTGGTTGCAGGTCGCGAGCACAGAGGAATCAACGAAAGAGAGGCCCGATGGGATCTCGGAGGGCGGGGGAGAAACGTAAAGGAGGTGGACGCGACTGGCTGCCTGATGGCCTCGTGGCCTTATGGCCTCGCTTTATGGCCTGAGTGCCTGAATTGTCGAGTACCTCGACACCTTATAAAACAGGTGTTGATAAATACGCGATGCATCAGGTGACTGTCGATCGTGACCTGCACGCCAAGAAAGTGGGCTGCGTCTAGTTCCCACGATGCGGATACTATTTGTCATAGAAACCTCATTCCACACCCCGCGATCCTCAGTTGAGTCCACTCGGTGCTTCGCTCGGTCTCACGGAGTCCCATGAATTGCACCACTTGGTCATGAGGGTCCCCGCTTGACACATAGTCCATGGGTCGAGCCACCTGACGCCAGGTGGATTGCGCCTTGACTAATGAATGCCATCATCGCCCCCTACTTGGCTAAAATTATATGCCACTCAGCTCCCAAGATTCCGGGGTAAAATCTCCTTCTTTCCACGATACATCATTCTGCATGGCTGCGCCATTATACCTTGCTGCATTGTCACTCACGCCTTCTTGGTTCATCCTGCAGAATATCACCTTATAAAACTCTACCTTTCTCCTCCCTCCCCCTCTTCCGTTTCCGCCTTCGATAGATCTGCACATCCTCCACCATGCGACAACCAGCAATGCCCATCCGCTCGCCCTTCGAGTCTTCCATAGCGAAGCCGGGGCAGGGTACCGTCGTTCTATCTCTTCTTCCTCCTAACAACCCCACCCTCACCACTCTCACCTACAAATACCCATTGAAACTGGTTCCTAGGACAGGTGGCTTTGTCCCTTCTCCTGAGTCAACCTCATTATCAGATTCATGCCCGTCAAGACCGGTTCACCTTTATTTGCTCACCTATGGCGGCGGTCTGCTCCCGGGTGATCACATCGAGGTGTCCATCAAGCTAGAGCCTAGGACACGAATGGTGGTGACCACACCGCAAGGAAGCACGAAAATCTTTAAAACCGATTCAAACAGCAGCGACAACAGCCCCAATGTGATCAAGGGCCACCGCAAACAAATGCCCGCCAATCCACACCTTTCAGATATGAGTCAGCAATCATTAGACGTGAAGATCGGCCGTCAATCAGCGCTCTGCTACTTGCCCGATCCATCTGTACCTTTCCAAAACAGCCGCTACGCTCAGGTACAAACATTTACCGTTGACGCGGCCGCCAAGGGCGATCAGCGCAGCAGCCTGTGCGTCCTAGATTGGGTAACGCAAGGCCGGACCTCGCGAGGCGAGAACTGGAATTTCCGCTTCTGGCGAGGCCGCAACGAAGTCTGGGCAGTAGACGAGAAGACAGGCAAGAGCCGGCTTTTGCTGCGCGATTCCGTCATTTTGGACGACGAGACCGACGACCTGAACGATTCCGATGAGTCCGATAGGGAGGACCTACCACCACAAGCACCGTCCGGCCTGCTTCCCTTGAACATCATTCAAGAGCGAACAAGGCCACACGGGGTAGTGGGCACATTGATCCTCTCTGGTCCTGTGTTTGAGAGCCTCGGCTCGTACCTGCTCAACCAGTTCACATCGCAGCCGCGAATCGGCAGCCGGAATTGGTCCTCATCTGAAACTTCATCTGCGCCTGAATCCTCAGCCAGCACCCGGGGCGACGTCACCTGGACAGCAGCGCGTGTACGGGCTGGCTTTGTTCTTGTCAAGTTCGGCGCCAAGGACTTCGAAACTGCCAAGCTCTGGCTTGGCGGGCTTCTCCGTGAAGAGGGTACCGTCGCGCGGGAGTTCGGCGAGGAAGCTCTCTTCTGCGTGTGATCTCTTGCATATCTACCCCCTTGGTCAACCAAGACTCGATGATACCCACCTAGCCCCTTGTTGGCTTCTTTTTTCAACCGCCTACAGTCAGCGGCTTTATTTCTGAACTTGAGTACTGTTTTATTTAGCCTACTGCGTTCATTTGATCGAAAGCATCGCCCTTCTGATAGGGCCTCTGCATAACGAAACAAACGGAGACTAGCATATCTGCATTGCAGCCACCAAAAAAAGTTACCTGGATACTTGACTGCACAATGGAATTCATTCTACCACCATCTCAAACCTTATATACAGTAGTCTACGAAGGTAGTTTCAGATATGTAGGATATGTCAAGAAAGAGACCCATCTCCGGAAAGGTGTTTTTCTCAGGCACATCAAAATACTAGAGCTCAACCACACACCCTCAAAAAATAACCAGAAAGACCTGAAAAGATTTAAAAAGACATCCCATGAAAAGGTCAGGGAATAGAAGCACTAAAAGAGGCAAGTGCTCAAGTCTCACTTAGACTACCTTCTTAACCAGCCGTAAATTAACGCATCACATGTATATTCAAGAAGTACTGTAAGTCTATCATGAAAAGGTATCATAATTATCATTACCTGAACGCCATTTCAAATCCCACCCAAAGATAAGAAAAAAAGAGGGTCATCACCCATCATTCACGATCATGGATCAATAGCTCCAGCCAAGCCAATCTAGACCTAGATCCACCAATCGAAGATCTGGATCCTCCACTCCCCCTTAGTGGCGGCGAGCAAATCATCCACATTGAGCATGTCAATTCCCTCCTGGGCTAAGATTCTCCAAATATGGTTCCGCAGACTACGCGGCCAGCTCGGTAGACCCCAATAGCGCACTTTCAGTCCATGGTGGTGCGCAACGCGGACCTGCGCCCGGATGAGTTCCATTTGGTGTTGCGAGAAATGGAATGGCCAGGGGAAACCGATGGCTTTCTTGAAGGAGACGGAGGCGTAGTAGCTATTCGTTAGATTAAAGGTGTGCGAGTTGATAGTCTCCGGCATGCCGGAATTGCCTTGGCCTTGGTCTAGATCTCTTGACCGCGTGGTGGAGACGTATTGGTCCCCGAGGCTGTCGTCGACGAGCTTGTCGAGCGGCGCGTCAAAGAAGATGTCCCGGTACGTCGAGTTGGCGGATATAAGATCGAATGGCGCGTTCCCCGTCCCGACAACGGTGACGGGGCCTGGAATAACCTCGCGCCCATTGAAATAGGTCAGATAGCCTCGCTCGCGCAGCGGAGCCAGCTGTTTTACCACGGCAGGGTAAGTAGCGGCGCCATCGGTCTTGAAATCGATAAGCAGGATCACGCTCTGGTCAGGATCTGTATCCCACACTCCATGCGGAGGATGGTCAATCGCGCGGTGGAATGGCGTAATGGGATTTTGGCGCTCGAGGATTTTCACCAGCGGGTCGACGTACATTGACCGCAGAGTGCGGCGAGATGTCAAGGCGGACCTGGTATGGCCGACGTATAGCTCTTCATCAAAAAGCCAAACATCTGCTTCGACGCCTATACACCCGGCCTGCAGCGCGGAGAACAGAGGCACGCGGCGCCAGTAGTCGTTGTGTGAGTGGCAGCCTTTGGGGATGATATCGCGCGATGTGTCGGTGGGCCAGTGGGTGATATCCTCCAGGTTGGAATCACCTTGCGACCAGACGTGAGCCGCGCGATCATACTCATCCGGGAAGAACGAGAGCACGATGCCGCAGGCCAGTGAGATGAACTGTATAATTCCCCTGCATGCAATGATTAGCTCGTCTGCAGTACCTTGAATTGATCTGGGTTACACGTACAGCATGACGAAGAACACGAGTAGCGTGCGCACCAGACCGCGCGAGAACCGCGAGCGACTGGATCGCGAACAACAGCGTGATCTCTGGTTATTCTCCGATAGCAATGGCAGGGCGTCCTCGCGTGAAGCGAAAGGAACGTAGGATGTCAGCCTCTGGCGCCAGTTGGGCGGCCCCGCCGCGCGGGGAACAGCCTGGACTCGCGGGGCCTTGTTCACATCGCTATCGGGCGAGTCTGTGTAGACCTCGAAGGGTACCTCTAGCAAGCACTCGGAAGTGCTAGAGCTTTGCGTACCCTCGGGTTGGTATGACCCCATTCTCTTGAGTTTTTGGTGAGAAGACGGACACAGAGACGACGGCAGAAGGCTTCATCTAGAGGGGTTATATCCTATGGATTTCAGCAAGTGTAGCAAGGGTATCAGACCTTAAAGAGACGAGAACCACACTTTGAGACCAGAGCGTCCCATGCTGCGGAGATGACGGCATTGATTGGACGCTAGGGGTGGAACACGCGCAGCGTCTTCTTCGATCGCCGGCCAACAAGATCCGACAATGACAGCCACAGGCACATTTTATATGCTGATAAGAGTATTCTGGTTTAGGCCATCGGATCATGGGTCTAGGGGAATAAACGGAAAATTTTTGGTTGATCTGCTGGTGCCGCTTTATATACAACGAATGCAATGAGCCCAAACACCCACGGGTTGCACGGAACATAAGACTATTTTTGAGACAGAAAAAGAAAAACAAGATCTAAATCCCTACTCCTCCTGCAGAGACTTGACGTAGGCCGCAGCCCGTGCTTTGATATCCTCCACCATCTTCTCGTCGCCGCCCTCAGCAACAAGCTTCTCTTCGAAAGCAAGCCACTTCTTGAACAGGAACTTGGCCTGCTTGGGCTTAACCTTCTTGCTAGCATCGATGCTGACATTGCCCTTCTTGTTCTGGAGTCCCAGCACACGCTCGAACAGGCGGCGAACCTGTTCAGCGTCGCCGGCCTTGATCTCCAGATCGAGAAGGATGTTCCACAGGTCAATGCGCTTGGGGAACGAGGACAGAAGTCCCTCGAAGACGGTACGACCGCGCTCCACGTCGCCATTTGCTGACCGGAATTCCAGTTGTCCGAACTTGGAAGTGGTCTCGATGTGTGTGTGGGCCGGGAGCGATTGCAGGGCGCGCGAGAGCAGGCCGCGACCGCGCTCGGGAGCCGCCATGGCGTCGAAGAGGAAGCTGGCGTAGTTGAGGAAGAACTTCGGTGACTGGTTGGAGATCTTCTTCTTCATGGCCTGCTTGAAGAGCTCATCCGCTTGCTGTAGAAAGTTGTTAGCACCGATAATCTTCAACTCTAAAATAGATTTCACATACCTCGTTCTTGCCAGACTGGATGTAGATACTGATCATGCGATCGTAGATCTCCGCCGGCTCGTTGTACTCGCATGCGCGCTTGAAGATCTCCTCAAGGCTGTCGTCGTTGCCGTAGGTATTCTCCAAGTTCAGCATCGCGACCCAAATGTTCAGCTTCTCGGCATCCTGGCCCATGGCGATGGTGCGCAGAGCACGCTCACCAATGGAGCGAGCCTTCTCGACCTCACCCAGCTCCAGCTGGAAGGCCATATACTGCAGCCAGAGGAGAGAAGAGTCGGGCTCACCCAGAAGAAGACGCTCGTAATCGGCGACAGTTTGAGGGCCGTTCGTATCCAGGTCGCCGGTACGGTCAACCTGGATCTCGGGCTTGCGGTTCTTCTTCTTTTTCTTCTTCGAGTCCTCGTCGTCACTGTCGGCGGCAGCGTCCTGCTTGGACTGGACGTTGCCGCTCCAGTCAAAGCTATCGGCACCAAGGCCCCCAGCCTTGGACGGCTTGGTACCCGACATGGCGGCATCCTCATCGTCACTCTCCTCCTCCTCCTCTTCGCTGTCATCTTCGACCTCAACACCTCCCATGGAGATATCGTCGTCATCTTCATCCTCGTCATCACTTCCAGCCAGCTCGACACCGCCAAGCTCGTCGCTCATCTCCTCATCCTCGCTGTCCTCCGCCTCATCCTGGAAGTGGGAGGCCTTCAGAGAGAAGGAGATCTTATTCTGCTCGAGGTCGATCTTGACAACCTTGGCCTTGACAGCATCGCCCTCGTTGTACAAGGTACGAGCATCCTCAACGCGCTTCTCAGCCATCTCGCTGCGGTGGCAAAGACCGCTAACGTTTCGAGAGCCATCGATAACAATGAAAGCACCAAACTCCTCAACCTTGCGGATCTTGCCAGTAACGACCTGGCCAGTCTTAAGATCCCGAATGGTGACAGGGTTCTTGAAGTTGGGGTCCAGCACAGACTCCTTCAGACTCATCTGCAGTTTGCCCTGTTCGGCATCGACCAGAGTGATTCTGCCCTTGACAAGCTGATCGGCCTGGAACGAGTCTTTCCACTCCTTGAGGTATGAGTCGGAGAGGTCAGAGATGCGTACGTAGGCGGTAACATCATGACCGACAGAGACAAAGAGACCGGCGTCCGTGACGCGCTTGACGAAACCACGAACGACCTCGTTGGCCTTGAGCTCCTTCATCGATGTGATTTCGCGGTCCTGCACAGGTAGCGACGCGCTCATCACCTTTGAGGGACGAAGAGACAAATAGATCTTCTTGTGGGCCTTGTCAACGGCAATAACACAAGCCCGAATGACTTCGTTCTTCTGGTGCACCGTCGGGTTGGCCTTGGAGTAGTCGTCGGACATATCGATAAGGTTAACAGCACCGACGAGGGCCTCACCGAGCTGCATGATAAGTTGCTTCTCAGTGACCTTGGTTACACGACCGGGCAGGATCATGCCGACGGAGATGTCTCCAAAGGAAAGCTTGTCGAAACCCTGCTTGGCAGTCAGATCCAAGTGGCCCTTGTCAGCGTTGACAGCGGTAACCTGGACCTTGAGCGCAGATCCGATGGGGAAGTTCTTCTCAACATCGGTCAGGAGAGACAGGTCATCCGAAGCATCCATCAAGCGAAGTCTGCCACGGACATTGGGAGACAGGTTGATCCAAAGGCAGTCATCAGCAACGTTATTGACGAAGCCCATCCAGGAAGAGCCGATCTTGACCTGTTCCATGTTCAACAGATCGGGATTGGCAGCCTTCATGAAGGTAGGCTTGATGGATAGCTCGAAGACGGGGTATTTGCCGGTACGGTGAGAGATAGGAAGGAACTTGTGGCTGCGCGCATCGTGGACACCGATGATTCTAGCAGAGAGAACCTCCTTAGGCTTGAAGAAACGCAGGGGGTGCTTGCGGTCCTTGAGGTCCTCCCACTTGTCGAAAATCTCAGAGACATCGATACGTCCCTGGATGTTATCGGCCAGCTGAACGTTGACCTGGGTGGCCTTGATAGAGGCAACCTTGCACTTGACAACACGGCCAAAGGCCAGGTCAGAGATCGTGGAGACGTTCTCGTCGATGGGGTTGGCGAGAGCATCATCAGTCTGTGGAGTCTTGGTCTTGGTCTTCTTGGGGCCAGATTGAGTAGCCTCGGAGGGCTTCAAGCTAAGGATGAATCGCTGAAGGTCGATTTCAACTGAGTGGACTGTCGGGGTGATTGTCTGACCCTTCAACATGCCGAACTCGGGCTGAGAGAGATTGGCATCTTCGATGAGACGCTTAGGAATGAGACCGGTGAGATCACCCAAGAACTCAATGAACAGGCCAGCAGGGGTAATGTTGCGAATGAAGCCAGTGACGGTTGATCCCTCATGGATATCTTCGAACTTGCCGGGCATGGAACCCTGCTTAACAGCCTTCTTCAAACTAGCTCGGCTAGAGACACGAATGAGGCGGTGGGCACGCTGGATGTCGAGAACGAGAAGGTCGTTCAGCTTTTGGCCCACGCGAATCTTGGACAAAGTCGAGCTTTGCTTGGACGGTGATCCATCAATAATGTGTTGCACGTCAAGACGGGCGACGAGACCAGACTCGTCAAGCTTGAGAAGCACATCATCATTAGACTGCTCGAAGACTGATCCAGAAACAAGCATGCCAGGTTGCAAGTCCTCGAAGGCCTTGCGGTACTTCTCGGTGAAGGTTGAGGGGTCCTTGCATGAAACGGCCAGACGGCCCTGGGAAGCATCAACGCTCAGAGCGTGCACATTGACGACCTGGCCGAGCTTGAAGTGCTGAGCAGGGTCCTTGATGTATGCTTCACTCATCTCGGACACGGGAAGGAAGCCACGGATGGTGCCGTAGAACTGGACAACCGCACCGTGAGCCTGTAGGTTGACAATGGTACCAGGAGATTGGGATCCGGGGGTGATGTCCTTGTAGTCCTTCCAGATAGCAGACTCGCTGTTCAACAAACTCTTCTTCAGGGTCAAACGAATTTGGCGCTTCTCAAGGTTGACAGACAAAATTCTGGCGGAGACTTTCAGGCCCTCACGGAACTTCTTCTCGGGGTGCTGAAGTTGAGTATCTGCAAAGTGCATGGAGGGGACGAGAGCAGTAATACCATCAGCCAGGCTGACAATCAAACCATCCATACCGGTAGGTCCGATCAAAGTCTTCTCAATCTTTCCCTTAACGGTAGCACCCACGGTGACATCCTCAATCCGGAGGAAGGGCTGTTCAATGACAGTCTTCTCGAACGAAAGGAGGTATAGGTTATCGATCTTGTTGAATCCAACGATACGGGCTTCGTGGGTAGCTCCGACCTGGAAAGGACCGGAGTCGGCCGAAATGGATTCGACCTTACCATCGGAGAGTCTAGAAATATGGACGAAACCAAGGTGCTTAGTCTCTCCGATCTGCACGTAGACACCCATACCGGGGTCAACCTTCACCACCTTAGCTTCGGGGACAATGGCGGAGAGAGCAGGGGCGTCTTCGGAGCCGGGGCCGTGAGCGTCGGAAGAAAGCTTAACAATGTGGTCAAGCATGGAGAAGCCGACCTTGAAAGGCTCAGCAGAGGGGAAAGTCGATACGATACGGCCCTTGATCTTGGCACCGATCTTGAACTTCCGCACCAAATCGAGCTTTCCGTCATTGGCACCAGACTGGACAAGGTCGACGGTAGTGTCGAGCATGCCCATAATTTTACCCATCATACCATTCTCGGTAACCTCAGTCAGCAGGATCTCCGCCGCAACACCAGGGAGGTAGGAGTTGATAGTAGGGGCGGCGCTGAGGAAGTGGGACTTCTTGATGGAAGCAGCGGACTGGAGGTTGGCAGACAGCTTGATGACATTGCCGCTGGCATTCTGGCCAGTAACAACACAGAGGAAGACCATTCCCTCCTTGATTTTAGAGTACTCCACATGAGGATCAATCTCCTTCGAAGACATGAAGCCCTTCAGGTCTGAACCCTCGATACCAAGGTCCATGACCAGACCGTGATCCTCGACACTGACAACGGAAGCCTGGAAAACAGACTCTTCCACTATGTCTGACTTCTTGAGGCCAGTGTTGGCTTGTCTGGGGTCGAGGGACAATTCAATGCGCTTCTTGCTGCGGCCACCAGCCTCGGAAGCCTCCGTACCAGTGGAGACAACATAGGCACGCACGTATTGACCGAGATAGAAGAAGTCCTTGAGGTCGAATGACTCCTCATCCGAGCTGTCCTCATCCGCATCATCATCCTCGTTGTTGAGCAGCTTCTCAATCTTATCGTCGAGTACTTTCGAGACCGCGGTAAGAGAGACGTAGCCAACGAGGTTGTTGGGCAATGAAATGCCGACATCATGGGCGTTGATGCTCGAGACCTGACCGAGGATCATAGATCCGGGAACAATGCGCTGTTCACATTAGCCAGAATTTTCAATAGAGATTTTTCGGGATTTCTTCATACCTTGTAGGTGAGAGACTCAATATGCACGCCCTCCTTCTCGGGCTTTTCCTGGTCTTCAGACTTCTTGCCCTTAGTCTTCTTCTTCCTTGACTTTTTGGCGGTAGTTGTAATTTCTCCATCCTCCATATCGACATCATCCTCATCATCATCGTTCTCGTCGTCAAATTCACGGGTCTGCTTCTTCTGACCCTTTTGCTCGAACAACACATCCTTGTTGGCTTGAATCTGAATTTGCTTGCGCTCCAATGGAGTCAGGACACTGCCGCCACCACGAGGGAAGGACGGCTCGTCGTCGCGAAGAACAGAGAGCTCTGAAGCTTTCGGGGCGGAATCCTGAGGCTTGGAGTCCTTTTTGCTCTCCTCCGCTCCGACCTTGGCGCGTTTTTGCGGCTGACGAGCAGCCGATTCTTCGGGGGCATTCCCCTTGCGCTTGATCGGCGCCATTGTTTGGAAGGCGAGACCGAATCGTGCACGGTTGAGGATTCTCGTTGTATCGCAAAGAAAAAAAAATCGAAAAATCCGATAAAGCGTGGCAGAATAGAGGGCGGTGAATTCTGGGTGGGACCGCCCTCTTCCACGGATTGTCGACGAAGAGTGCGCTAGGCCCGAAGCTACTTAATTATGGTGTTTAATGCGATGAAATCAACTAAATTGGCGTTTTGAGATGTGGAGGGTTAAACAACAGAGCAGAACAGTTCTAAAACTTTCAATTAGAAAAAAGCCTCTAAAAAAAGGCCTTAGTCACATTTTTCTCCTCACAAAGTGCCTGGGTGCCTGAATCATGAATTCAGGTGTCAAATGCCCGAACCACGCTCCGCGTCACGTCCGATGCGCGCGCAACACGACCCGCTTCTCCCATCTTACCCCCTTCGGCCAAATCTTTTTTTCCCTAATGTATCCGCTATAGCTTCTTCCCTCAAATTCGCCTCCGAGAGCACAATGGACCGTGTTTCTGGTCTCCCTGAGCCGCCTCGATCAGAACCTCTCCTGCCTCCCTCGTCCCAGGAAATTCCATCCTCCCCGCCTTCTGTTATTTCCGAAGCTGGCGGTGGACGACGACCTAGAAAACCCCCAACAGTCACGCCTCGGTCCTTCAGACGTTTTTTCACTCCCCGTTCCCTGCTCAACAGCGGTAATGCGAGCGGTGTCAAGACTAGTCGCCAGGCTTTGAGGGCTCTGACTTCGCCAGCTGTTAACCGTCTTGGGCCCGCATTTACGAGATCTTCCAAGGCTGGCAGTCCCAGCAGCCCTCATCATGGCTTACCAGAGGATATTCCTCGGACTCCGAGCAGGAAAAGAAAGCATTCGTTCTCTTCGGTGGTCTCCCCACTACAATCATCGCCTTTGAAAAAGTTCGTGTGCGATCACCGGTGGGCGACGATGTGGAGCAAAGGATTACCATTCGCGATATCGACTTGACCTCCACCCGAGGACGCTTTCGGGAACCCACGCCACCAAGCCCACCTAAGCGCCGACCTGTCTCTCCTATCAGCCGCTCTCGGGCTTTGCAAACGTCTGGTTCATTGTTTATGCGCACTGTACAAGGCTCGCGTGCCGGCCGAATGACTCTCCGATCTACTGCTGGAGCGGGTAGGTTTATACCACTTTTGTACCAATGGTTTTTAATCTAATGTTCCCACAGGCTGGCAAGATCTTACATCCAACTTCCATTCGCGACCGGAAGACCGCCACTCATGTACCAGCTATGCTACGGATGGGCAGATGGCACTCCCGTTCTGCAATGCCTCTTGCAACAGTAAGCCCCCGGTTTCCTTTCTATGGGGAGGACTTAAGGATGATCTAACATAGAGAAGCCAATTCACTCGTTGCTGTGGGCGATGAGGAGGAGGAGGAATCCGCCTGTTGGACTCCTCCAAAGAAGATGAACGCGGTTTCTCTAGTGCATATCTCGGCTTTCGTCCTCACATGAACTCGATCATGGACCTCGAGTTTTCGTCCGACGATATGCTGCTGGCTACAGCTTCCGGAGATCAAACATCAATGATCATTGACATGACTACACAACGGCCAGTCCACTGCTTGTCCAACCACAACTCGTCAGTCAAGCGCGTTCAGTTCCAGCCACGCTCCAACAATAATGTACTCGCAACTTGCAGTCGGGATGGTAATGTCAACATTTGGGACCTTCGTTGCAAAGGGTTCGAGCGTCCGGCACTGCAAGTCAGATGCTCGCTGGAATCTGAGGACGAAACCAACCCTGCGCCTCCAAAGATGACCTATCCTCACGTTCTCAACACCATTCACGGTGCTCATGCATTCAGCACACCGCAAAAAGCAATGATGGACAAGGCCGAGGCTCCTCCATTCGGTCGTTCCGATATTACTGTCACCTCCCTCGCCTTTCTTCCTCCTGGCCAAGAGAACCTTTTCGTAACAGCCTCAGAGGCCAGCGCCAGTGTTCGCCTCTGGGATTTGCGCACGGCGCACAATAACCGTCGTGGCCGACCTGTTCTCCCACTTTCTACCACCAGGGAGCCCGACAGCCACATCAAATATCGCCGGTTTGGTCTTACTTCTATGGCTTTTGGTGGTGACGGCGCACGATTGTACACTCTCTGTCGAGATGGTACCGTATACGCGTACTCAACCGCGCATCTAGTGCTCGGGCACGCACCTGAACTTTCCCAGAACCACGACCGTCCCCGACGCTCTGGTGGTTCCGACAAGGAGGGTCTAGCCCCCCTGTACGGTTTCCGTCACCCACGACTTCAGGTCTCCTCCTTCTACGTCAAACTAGCACTGCGCAAAGCAGTCAACGACCGCGCCGAGATGCTGGCAGTCGGCAGCAGCGACCATTGTCCTATACTCTTCCCAACCGATGAACGATTCTTACAGCCTCCTGTTAAGACGATGCCCGATGATCTCCCCGTGACTCGAACCTCCCTCTTCACCACTCGGTCTGGACTCCGCCGCACAAACTCCAGCGCTGGCCTATCCGGCCGCCTGGAAGATACCATCCCCATCCACCAATCTGGCACGCCCCTCGTCGAAGGCCACCAAAAAGAAGTCACGGGCATGTCCTGGACAGTTGACGGTGAATTGATTACAGTCAGCGACGATTATAGCGCTCGATGCTGGCGTGAAGGTCCCGAAGCCCGCGAGCTCCGCAGTAACAACAAGAAGGATGGCCGGGGCTGGCAGTGTGGATGGGCTTCTACGAAAGACTCATATGATGATGAAGACGAATAATTCCTGGTCCTTTTACCCTTTTCCTTGTTTGCATTTCCACGGTGTTTTCTGTGGTTTATGGCGTTTTCTTGTGGGCATTTATTAGGCGCTTTATGTGTGGTGCATGATTTTCGTTAGCGTAACATACCCCGTTGCAGTTTTGTTGCATTTCTCGGGGCTTCCTGTCGGCCTTATGCCGGTTTGATGGATCCATCGAGATTTTCTTATGTCGTGTTTTCCAGTCAAGTACACAGTAAGGGTGTGAATCTGTGATCAAAGTACATATTGGACGTTCAGCTAGCATTAAACGATCTATGACTTATGATCCAACCCTGCAACCTAAAAAGCTCACGATTCCTGGATAACTAGGTAGATCATACGCTCGTGTCAGTTATCACCACAGGGCCAATTTTCGTCTGCTCCTTAGCTCCAAGACGCAACCTTGCCAGTCTCAATCAAGCCCACCAACCCATGGATGCACGGACAAATAAGAAGGATAAAGAAATAGTCTCGAGGCCAATTTAAACGATCAAAATAAACCACCACTCGGAGAAGAAAATTCTATTCACAGCGATATTTTCAAGCTGGGGCAAAAAAGAAATATCTCAGGTTTTTTTAGGAATAGCCGAACGCGGGGGTCGAACCCGCAACCTTGAGATTAAGAGTCTCACGCTCTACCGATTGAGCTAGCCCGGCAGGGCTTGGTGGAAGGAGTCGCAGTAAATGAATCTATGAGGGGTAAAACGAATAATGTAGATTGTTTGACCTCTAGTTAGGTTTTGGTCTGATGTGCACTCGAGCACTTTGGTCAAGATTGGTTCTTCCTAAGATCACAGCCATTTATCTGGGCGCGATAGCATTATTCTCGGTCTTATTAGTGCCTCTGATTGATTTTTGGTCTTAATTTGACTTTCTGAGTAGTAAAGATATTTTGTGGTGAGATCACTTTTGAATGTATATGTAGGTTCACCTGTTCAATGCATGAACAGAGTGGTGCACATATAACCTCCAAATGTTTAATATCTACCCGGTGCAAGTCTAGAATATGATTGGATTGCTATAATTATAAGTTATTGCATTTCAAATTTCGATATCTAGGATGGATTAAACCACCCATGGGCCTTCAAGCCAAAACACATTCCCACTTTCCAGAACCCAACGCTGCAGCGACGCCCGGGAGCCTTCATCACTATTCATAAATCTCATGAGCTTGTTCATTGCAAGCCTTTATATTCATGTGAAGTTTGAACAAGTCTAGTATCCATGTCCACTGTGAGATCCGTGTCCCTCATGCCCATGGTGTTGGCCATGATGACCCTGACTGTGGTGCTGGCCGTGGTGCTGGCCGTGATGCTGGCCATGAGGATGCTGGTGCTGGTGCTCGTGGTGCTCAGGATGCTGATGCTGCTGATACTGCTCCTGACACATCGACTGCTGCTCCTGATACCTCGGCTGCTGATGACCATGTTCACCATGTCCAACACCCTCATCCTCAACTTCCCTGGACAGTCCGCCTGGAATCATATTCGAGAGCTTGTTCAGCTTATTCAAGTTAGAAATGCCAGGGATCGGCAAACTAGACAACTTATCCCAAGGCAAGCCAGAGGAGCTCTGATGTCCCTGCTGGGAATGAGACTGGCTTGAGAACTGGGAGAAGAATGACTGCGACGAGCCTCCCTGAGACTGGCCATGGCTCTGTCCATGGTTCTGTCCATGAGAGCCACCACCAAGAGCAGCAAAGCCACCGCCGCCGCCGCCGTGAGTGTGGGGAATACCACCGGTGTTGCGACCTGCTCTGACGCCTTCAGCACTGAGGATGTTGTTTAGGTTGTGGCCGCGGTCGTCGCGGGAGTGGACCCAGCTCTGGACTGCTTCATACATTGTTCGATGGGCTTCGTTGTGCATGTTTCGTAGGGCGGGGTGGTGGAATACGTTCATGCAGTCTTCTAGGACCTCGTGCTCCGGGACGTTGACGTGCTGCCAGGCGTATAACACGCGAGGTGCAACGTACTTGAGAATAGCGGAGGCTACCTGGCCGGCAGGCTCGTTTAGGACGTTCGCGAAATGGTCCTTGGAGAGCATGGAGTGGGTGGGATCGGTACAGTGAGGATCGGTCCAGGGCTCGTACTGGTGCTTGCCAGACGCGTCAACAACGCCTGCAGAACCAGCCTGGAGAGACTTAGAGGCAGCGTTAATGAGAGGTCGGATGAATGGAGCGAGAAGTGACATGATGAAGACAGTCAGAGTCTCGGTGATCTTCTCAATGATGGCCTCCAGGCCGGGAATCTTCTCGATAATCGAGCTCAGCTTTCGGACCACCTTGTCACGGAAAGCCAGAATGGGATAGATCTTCGATACGGTCTCTTGAGGATTAAAGTCGGGCATGCCCGAGAGTCCCGGACCTGGACCACCCACGGAAGGCTGGTTAGAGCTTGGAGCACGGCTCGAGCCCTGACTATCAAGTCCTCGATCAGAGTAGCCCATGTGCGAGCCTCGGGAGCGATTACTCGTCTCCTGTGCCTCAGACATCTGCTTCAAATTCTCAGCTTCAGAAACAAGGTCCCTGGTTCCGGGAATTTTGCCCAGCAAGCCAGTAAGAGCATTGAGGGAGTTGCTTGATTGAGATTCGGTCTGTGCATCGCCAAGTGCAATGTCCATCTCGTTGACCTCGGACTGAGTGAAATGGTCAGTAGCCTCACCCAGGACTGAGTGGAAGAAATCGACCATGCCAAAGGTTCCAGTCACCAGCGGGAAGACGTGATGCCCATGGATATTGATCTGAGTGGCAGTGCCGGTATGAGGGAAAATATTTTGGAAGCCCATCTCGCGCAAAGCCAGCTCACAGTAGTTGGTATGGGCCGCAAAGTCCTCAAGCGTATGAAGACCCTGACCTAGACAACGGAGAGCCTCACATAGGTCATCTTCATTGCCCTTTTGTTGTCCATGAATGTACGTACGCCCATAGTGGATGCTGCGCTCCAGACTGTACTTAACATAGGCGGCACTAGTGGCCCAATCACCACGCTCATTGGCAATATAATTCTTCATACCAGTATTCTGGTCAATATCGAGCTCGACCTGGCGGACCGGGGGTCGTAGACGCTTGTCGTACTGGCGGGCATCTTCATTATCGGCGTAGTCCTTGGGGTTACTGGAAATGAATTAGCAAAGGCAGACATTCAGAATGAATAGCTTCCATACTCAATATGTTCCTCAGGACGGTAGACGCCCAATCGCTCGGAGGTCACCTCGAACTCGCCCGTCGCATAGCCGAAAGTCAGGAACGAGAGGACCCACACAAGCACGCGGATTGTGTCGGACTGGAGATTTTTCAAGGTCCCGACATCCATTGCTTGAGAGCTGAGTTACAGTCAGTTGATGCCCGTTCTATTTGTTCAACCGTTCAATATTAACTCACTAATCACGCAGCCAATTGCCAAAGTAGACGCGCTTGATCTGGGTCGATGTCCATTTGTGACCGGCGATGAAGGCGACGGTCTTGAGCATATCTTCGATGTCACCATGACGCCAGTTCTTGCCCTCGACGGCGGAGATGGATGCGATGTCTAAGGTTGTTAGTACTAACTCGAAGAACGTGTATAGGTAAGATCGCTTACTGCCGGCACCGAAAGCGTGGACCTGCGGCAGGAGCACCAGACACACGAGCAGGGCGGGGAAGCCCGCACGGAGGAAAGACATGATAGGCGTACAGTCAAACCAGCGAAGGCGAAGGAGTGTGAAGGGATGAGACTTGAGAGAGAAGATAAAAACGAAACCAAAATGCACGAGGGGAGATTTTGAGACTTTGCCTCAGCCCCGTTGATCTTGGCAGTCGAAGATCGCCGAGATCTTATGACGTTGGGACCAAACATCCTTGGCATGATGGAAAAGTTGGGCCTGAGAATAGCCGTAGGCCTTATTTCTCTGTATACGCCAATATGTCGACACAGAGTTCTCTGGTACCTGGCGTACCTAGCTCCAGTGGCATGTTTTTGGTTCACCGCGGGGTATTCGGACCCGCATCAGCTACCCAGTATACGTGTGTCTATGCAAAGGAGCTACGCAATAGCCTAAATCTAGACAAGGTACAGACAAAGAAGAGAGGCTATGATGAATTTCAAGTTTCATCATGTCTCTGCTTCGAGCTAATTCAAGCACCACTTGTGGGCTCCCCACCGGTCAGCTTGAAAGCTGCCCGATAAAGAAGTTGGGCCGTACAGGTTCGATGTTCAGGCACTCGCACTCAGGAGAAACAAACCCTAGAACAATAAAGCTCCTAAGACATCACACATCCGAAGATGTTGATCCTAAGAGACCTGAAATTGTTTGATCGGCTGCCAAAATGAGGCTCAACAGGGCCCTAGGCATTCGGCTAAACCTCCGATTCCTCAAAGGAACATCCCCACCTAGGCGGCACATACCGGAGTAAAAAAGTGCTTCTTCAGGATAGCTTGGCTCTTCTACCATCCAGGCATATGATGTGGATGCAACACAACAGAGAACGACCATTCATGAAGTTTCAGCGCAGAGTGATACTGTAGAGCAGAAAGAGTGACACACCACTATCCAACACGAATTCACCTATAGGTCAACCGTTCGATCGACAGTCGGAAGTAAATAAGCCACGACCCTCCGAGTCCCCGATAAGAAAAGCATCGGATCCACGGTAGCATCGAAGCCGGGACAATGTCACTGTAGTACCTAGAACGTGGGTGCTAAGTAGCATCGACCCCAGGTACCGTCAACCCCGCAGTCCATAAAAAAGAAGCACCATGTCTCCGAGTTCAACCCCTCCACTAACTACACCTCTCCCAAAACACCCCCATCCACAAGAATGGCCACACCACACCTCGATGCCCTCAAGCGCGACGGCTTCGTCGTCGTCCGCAACATCCTCACCCCTTCCGAAATAGCCCACTACCGCACCATCGCCACTGAAGCAACAACCAAAACCCGCTCTGGAAGCTGGCCACACTTCCGCACCGTCCCTAAACAATTCCCCCCATGGCCAACAACCCCACCTCCAGCTTCAGAAGGCGGAATCTGGGGCGTGCAACACCTAATGCACCCCTCAATGCCAGGCCGTGACTCGTTCGCACAATGCTACTTCTCGCCCTCGATCCTCGCCGTCGTCGAAGAACTAGTCGGCGTAGCACCAAACACGGTCCCTGAGCCTCTAGTAATGGAATTATTCAACCTTCTCGTCGCGCCGGAAACCAAGGATTTCAAACTACGCTGGCACCGCGATGATGTCCCCGAGACGGCGACCGCTGAAGAAGAGATTCAGCAGCTTGAAGCGAAGTCACCTGGTGGACGCCAGAGCCACGCGCAGTATAATCTCGCGCTGTGTCCTGATGCCTCGCTGATTGTTGTTCCGGGTTCGCATCGTCGCGCGAGGACGGATGCAGAGAGGAATGCTGATCCTTATGAGGCGAATATGCCGAATCAATTAGTCGTGCAGCTTCAGCCGGGCGATGCGGTGTTTTATGATAGTAATATCTTACATAGGGGCGTTTACAAGGGGAAGGAGGAGGGTGGAGAGGAGAGTCGGTTGACTCTTCATGGGAGTGTGGGGTTGAAGGCGGATGATGAGACAGATGCTGAGAAAAAGAAGGTGAGGGCTACGGCTGTTTTGCAGCACGGAGTTGGGGCTTGGGTGCACAGTGATGAGGCGGCGTTTGGGCTTGGGGAGAGGCCGGAGAAGATGAGGGCGAATCTTGTGGCTATGGGGACTGGGGAGGGTGTTGGGTTTTCGTTGCAGGGTTAAATGTTGTATTAAGTCAATGTACATTTTGTGTGAATACAATCGGTAGCTTTTGGATGTGGGTCTTAGTTCGATGTTGTATATCACTTCATTAGATGTATGAATTAGATTGATACAAGGGTAATTGGACTCGAGAAGTCTAGAATTTATTCATGTGGATAGATGCTAAGGTTCTATATTGTGTCCATTCGGTCTACTACGGTAGCCACAACTATAGAATAAGCTCTAACTAATCTCCAACTATGGATGGGCTACATCATTGCTGAACCCCCACATCAGCCAAGCGAACGCCACTCGGCAACCCAATGATCTGCCCAGCGATATCCTGATTACAAGTTCCCACCTTCGCAGCCCCGGCGGAGTCCGTCAAACAACCACCCTTAGTGTTCTGCAAGTGACCAGTAATAGAGTAAGTCCATGTCGCACTCGACCCGCTCCCACATGACACGAGATCGATCCCAGATTTGCCGACCACAAGGCACTTCTTCACGTCCGACAGCGGGCTGATAGTCAGTTTGCTGCCGGTGCCGGAGACCCGCCAGGCCTGAGAATCGGATGCCTGGCAGGAGGCGAAAGATACCGTCTTTCCTGCCGTCAGACAGCGGCCTGAGCTTGTGTCGAAGACCATGCCTGTAGGTGTAACGCTGGTGCATCCTCGTGGGGGTGTAATGCGGTAAACGCTGGTAGCGTGGCTGTCCAGGGTAATGTCGATGCTCTTCTTGATCGTTGAGACGGCGCCGGTCCAGAGATCACGGGCACGATACTGGCAGGTTGAGTCTAGACCTAGCTTCTCGAGAGAGACTTTTGTAGATGCAGTGTTTTTGCCGGTGTTCAAAATGGTGACTAGTCGGTCGCCGTTTGCCAGGGAGCGGCTCAGTACATCGAAGTGGCTGTCGCGGCTGACTAGAGCAGCTTGTTCGGCGAGGGGATCCTGGTCAACGGCGATAAGATCCTTGTTGGAGAGGAATTCGATCTCGTCGTCTGATAGATCGGGGATGTAGGCGCTGATGATCAATGGAGCACCTGAAGAGGCCCAGATTGCGAAATGGGACTTCTTCTCGTCCATGCTTAGACCTGGGTGGTCGGGGATGAGGAAGTCGGGGTCATTATAGTAGCCGGGCATCTGGTAGCGCACAACCCGAGTGTGGAAGTGGTAGTTGGCCATGATACTCTCCCATGGGCTACCCTCTGCATAGAAGGTGATCACATCGTCTGAGTGACGGGCCAGCTCTCCGTAGTAGGGCACCCAGTCCATCACTTTGGCCCAATCGGTGTCGTTGGTACAGAAGTAGGCTGGTGCAGACTCGGAGAAGATCAACGGGTCCTCCATGCCGCTCAGGATGTTGTGCCACTTGTGGTAGCGGACGCGATACTCCTCTGCATCGGAGCGACCATCCTCAGCGAAGACATTGCATCCGTCTAGCTTGAGATAATCGATGCCCCAGTCTGCAAAGGTTTCGGCATCCTGCTTCTCGTGTCCATAAGAACCTGGGTAACCACCACAAGTGGCATTGCCCGAGTCTTCATAGATGCCAAGGTGGAAGCCATGTTGCTTGGCGAACTTGGCGAGCCACGGAATACCGTTCGGGAACAAGGTAGAGTTCCACTGCAAGGACCCATCTGCAGCACGGTCATGGGTCATCCAGCAATCATCAAGATTGAGGCGATTGTAACCCACATCCAGAAGACCACGGCTCACCATGGACTTGGCAGTATCAGTAAACAATGTCTCATTGAGATCACACTCAAACCGAGCCCAATTGTTAAATCCCATCGGAGGTGTTGGGAGGAGCTTGACGTCCTCAACAGACGCTTGAACAGGGAGCATTGGGAGCATCAACAGGCCAGCCAGTCTGGCCGGCGTGGCCCAATTGGTTACAGAAGACAACCCCATGGTGTCAAAGAAGTCAAAGAAGTCGAGAAAGTCCCAAAAAGCGATGAAGAAGCTGTGTAGATCAGTACTTCCAGGAAGCGGACATCTATATGCACATTCAGGACCGAGTTCAGGCCTCGCAGGAACTGATTCCCCGCACCGGCGTCTTTGGGATCGACACTGATCATACGTTGGGGAAGTTGCAGAGACATCGGACTGCGACGGTGCCATTGTAGATAAGCAGTTAATCTACGTTTCGGACAAGCATGCAGCGATAGTCGATCAGGGCCCCGAATCGACGTGTTGTTCCTGACCCTGGCCCTGGCCTTGATTCTGACGGGGAGATGGATGTGGCGCATGGCTTCGGGGCTTAGTATTTCCAGACATTATGCAGGGGGCATAGGTATGCACTGTAGACCTGTTCCTAAGTACTCAGGCCTCTATAGAGCCCGGGCATCGTTCCCAGAACCGCTCTGGACCAAAGTACCATCCCTCGTGCGGCGATCAGTAATCACTGGTCAGCCAAACCTTAAGGAACCCATGCGATGCATCACATCCAGCTACTCGCCACAATCTTCAGCCCCTGGGAATTAACAAACAAGAGACAAAGAACGAGGAAGAAGGAACAAGGAACAAAATAAAGACCCGTAAAAAAAAGCAAGCAGTTGATAGATCCAAAAGTGAGATGCGATTGGAGTGGAGCCAACAATAGGGTCATCCCCCGGGCTTTAATAACGGTCTTACAGGCGGGGCCAGGGTCTTCACGGAAATCCCGGAGCTTTCCTCCTCACACACCAACACAATGCCGCCCCCAGACTCGAAAACGAAGATTCGCCCACAGCAGTCGTGTCTGAAATGTCGCGAGCGCAAAGTCAAGGTTCGTCCCGACCTGATCTCCGCTCCGCCGAAAGCTTGCGCCCAAACCCGCGAAAAGCGAAGCTAACAAGTGCAGTGCGACCGCTCAGTTCCATGCCACGCGTGTATCATCCGCGGCCTCGAGGATGAATGCACGTACCTGACGACAGCCGAGGACCGCGCGCACATTAGCCAGGCGGAGTTGATCGAGCGGTTGCGTCGCGAGGTCGCGCAGCTGCGGGGCCAATTGAGTCAGGGTCCTCGGCAGAGTCCGAGCTCAAGACCACGCTATGCGCGCGCGCATGCAGGAAACAGTCCTGGGTCTGGATCTGGGTCCAGCAACGCGGGCGCGGGAGCTGGAGCTGGATATTCGGGCGGTGGGTCGGCGGACGGGAGTAGCTGGCCTGGGAGCTCGCCTTCGTCGACGACTATGACTATGACGAACTCGGTTACTGTTACGAGTCCCGATAGTACGGGGAGTGACTACGGGGCGCAGATGCAGGTGCATCCGGTGCAGGGGCAGTTTGGGCCTGTGGAGATGGATGTTGCGACTGTCGGTGAGGCTGGATTAGGGGGTGAGTTTGACGAACTAGATTGCGCGGGGGATTTTGCTGATACGGTCTCAGACCCATTGGAATATGCGACCATACCGCAGTGTCATGTAGGTAGCATGGCTTTTGCGCCGAGTGAGATCCCGGGTTCGAACTCGATGCACGGCTTTCAGCAATCCATGCCTCCGGATGTTGGTATACCTCCGATGGAGATGTACGGGGGTGATAGTCCTGGCTATGCAATCGAGGGCCCAAATCAAATACAGCCGTATGTCGGCCACGAATATACGAATTACACTGAGAACGGCACAAATGATCAACGATCTCATGCCTATCAGCAATGGGGCCACGATACAGGACACCAGAATCCACCAGTGCATGTTTACCCCGATTCTTCATATTATACATTATCGTCTCTTGGCGCATTTTCCCATGATCCCGCGCATCTCCCTTTGACGCAGCCTCTCGCACAAGATGCTCCACACATGCCCGACGAATCATTCAGGGCAATCCCTTTCGAAGCCATCCCGGACTCCTGGTTAGGCGAAGGGAAACAAGCGCTATTGGAGACTCTTCTTCGGACGATCAGTAGCTGTGACGAGGAGCGCGTGGACCAGGTTGTGCAGGTTGTTCGGTCCAGTGCGACGCCCGAAGAAGCCGTCTCGGGAATCTGTCAAGTGCTGGGAATTGGCGCGCGATGATACACCGGAGTCCTGCACCAACAGACTGTGCCCTGAAGACCCCCACATACTCCTTCCACCAAGGAAGGAAATCTAATGCGTTAGAAATAATAACACCTTTATCATCCGAAGAAGTCATGAAGCCGTCAGTCGTGATATGAGACCCGATACTGAAATGATAGGGTCAAGCTTGCAGTCGTAGTCGAGGCCCACAGCCATATCTCATGATCTCATGATCTCATGAAGTCGATTGGCCATTTGACTCATCCAGAGGCTTCTGCCCGTAGACAAAGTGGAACAGCACATAGAGATGGAACTTGTTGCTGACCAGTTCAGCACGCACTTTCTCCATATACTCTTGCGCATCCTGGAATCCGAATCCCAATATTCGCGTAAACAAAGCAAGCGTGTATGGCTCCACGACCTCGAGAATAGTGATTTTTCCCACGCGTCCGATCTCTTTTAACCTGCGGTTCTTAGGCCAGCCTCCGACCGGGCACTGTACTCGCATTAGCATCCAATATCTTCACCACCCCAACTCCATCCAATCCAGGAAAACGGAAGGGAACGATGCACAAAACCAACCTTATAGATATCATCCGCAATATTAACAAATCCCTGATCCTCCATCCACCCACTCATCTTCCCAGCAATATTCATAGGCTTGCCAAACTGCTGACTAGCCTGACTCAGCCGAGCCTGCCAATCCATAATCATATCCGCCCGATCATGCGTCCCATCATCACTCAGCACCCACGCCTCAAACTCCTGCGCCTCAAACCAACCCCCAGGCTTCAAATGCGTCCAAGCCTGTTTCAGAAGCCTCGGCCAATCCCCAATCCCGCCACCCATACTCCTCGAATGAATATAATCAAAATTCTTTCCGGAATACGTCCAATCAGACTCCGCATCGTCAATATAGAAACGACAATTCGGCGGCGCCCAGTTCGGCTGGATCGGGCTTAGATCAGTACCGATGATATTCGCGTTGGGATAATCTTCGGCCATTTCGAGGGCCCATTCACCTGTGCCGGTTCCTATGTCGAGGATTCGGGTCGGGGTGCGGGTTATTGGGGCGCGGTGTAGGTCGCCACCGGAGAGGAGCTTGAAGAGGTGGTGCATTAGGGCGAGACGGTCTTGTTCCTCTTCGTCATTTGGGAAGGGGTATTGGCCGTGGCGGTAGGCGTGGTAGCGGCGGCCATTTTCGTAGCAGTAGTCGCGGACGGAGCTGGCGAAGGAGAGATTGGACCCGACGAGGGATTTGGTGTCAAAGAGGGAGTCGTCGTCGCTTGTCTGAGTTTGTGAGATCTTTGTATAGACATGGATTGAAGGGGGTTGAGAGGTTGGGAAATGGTGAAGAGAGGGGTAGTTGGGTGTGCGGTTTTTGGGCATACACATGTGCTTTTTGGGGGAAGGTTCCTTGTTTACGAAAAAAAAAAAAAAAAAAAAAAAAACAACAACATAGAGCTACAGAAAGGGAGGAAGGGGAGGAAGGGGGCAGGGAGCTTACATCGATCTGAATGCGCTCGTAGGGGTTTGGTTGAGACATGGCCGGGAGCGTGAGAAGATGACGAAGCTGAAGCTATCCAGAGAGTGAAGTCAGACCCGAGCGAAAGGATGTCGGGAGACCCAGAAATGCGGGCCTCAGCCAAGGTTTCCGACCCCGCAACTCCCGGGGTGTCGGTATGTGACCGGTCAGTTTTACTTCCTGCACTTCCAAAGTTGTTTAGCCGAGACCGGGTGCAAAAGTACGAGACCACAATGATATCCTGGTAATCCAAGCTGTCGGGTTGGGATCCCCCACTCTACCCTGAATCGTTCCCAAAGTTGACTCGTGAATTTGTGTTAGTTCATCTTGTCATGATTCAACCCTATTTTTACTAAATGCAATTATAGGTACCAAATTTGCCCTGGTGGGGCTTTTTATTGGAGCTGTCATAAAAGTTTACGACAGTGCTCAGGCTCAGGCTCAGGCTCAGGCCCACCTGGTAGATGTTAGCACGGGCTCAAAATCTGTGATCAAGCTCAAGTTAGTCACGTGGGATGACCGATAATATTCATCTAGACTTTGAGTACATTGTAGTATATTCTAAAGATCCCTTGGCTGAACAAACTATGTTGTCGTCTTTTGTAAATTGTGGCTTTGCATTAAATCACATTCGAACATTTGAACCAAAGAAAGCCACGCAACTAGAACATAAAAAGTAATGATTGTCGTCTATTCTTCTTAAGATCCTCAAACTCTCCGCCATTCACTTATCTACGACGATAGCCCCTCGGAGGTGTAAGGGCAAGGAATGGAAGAGATTCGGGTTGTTTTTTTCTATTCTCCTCAAGTAAATACTTTCCCCAAGCTCTCTCTGAATGGGACAGGAAGAAACATGGATTGAATTGCAGATGCTTGAATCCCAATGACCCGGAGATCATTGAGGGAAAAGGAACCCGATTCGTAGATTTTAATATGTTGCTATAGGCGTTTTAAGGCTATCATCACGCATGGCTTTCGCGTGGGCATCCATTCTAGCAAACAATGAGCCGGATAAATAGGCCGTGACAATAACAGGAAAGCGCTACGGAAGAGGCGCTGAAATGGAAAATTCACGTCAAGAGGGTTCACGTGTTGCATTTTATTGAGGTGAGCTTCCTTGATAGCTCACCCCTTCCCCTAGGTCAAGCTCGTTAAGTGAATCAAAGCACTCAGATCAGGCTTGATTTCCGCCACTCAACACAGGCCGTTCAGAGATTTGTTCACTCTACATAGTGAACAAAAAGCAGCGAAGAGTGAGGTCTAAAGCGGAATGGGAAAAGCCAAGAATTGCCAGACATTATCCTGTACATACTAATATGCACTATCCTAGGCTCTGCAGCTTGGCTTGCTCATCCTCAGTCAGTGCCCCGTACAAATCTTGGAATCCCGGCTGCGCCACAGCGCGCTGGAAAAATTGTGTCAGGAAAGCCTGTGTTTCGTCGTCCCGTTGTCGCACCCCGAACACACTCTCCGTTCCACCCTCGCCGAAGCTCATCAGCTGTTGCTTGGTCATTCCCAATCCCAGATCCAGCACTTGTCCCGGCACATCCTCCCAGTCATCGTCCCCGTCGTCGCTAGCCGCATCGTCTAGGGCTGCAGCCTGGGCGGCGTCGATCTCTTTGTTGCCTGAGGCGGCAGATAGTTCTTCCACCAGCACCTTGACGATCTTCAAAGGTGCGGCCACCGTAGTATACCGATCGGGGTTGGTGCGAGCCTGCGACCGAGTCTTAATGCGACCGGTGTCCTGGATGATGAGGTCGCCCTTGACAGGCACTTCCGCCAAACGTGGGTCTGACAGCTCGTATAGTCGCGCCAGCGCAAAGATGTTCTGCTTAATCTCGTCGTAACCGGCGAAGTTCACCGAGTTTTCAAGCCACTTGCTTAGCACCACCGCTAGACCACTTTGGCCATCCAGGTTGACCTGTGCGAGGAAGTCCACAACCTCTCGTGGGCTGATAAGGGTAAGTCGGGCAAACACCAGAATCAGACTCTGGATGAACTGTGCCTGCTGGGCAGTCGCCAGACGCTGAGCCACAGCTTGGAGAAGTTGGGGAAGATAGGGGCCAAGGCGCTCCGAGCCGGCCTTCTCCACCAACTCAGCGGCCAGCTGGCCAACCTCGACGGCGGCATTGTCATCCACGGCTGGGCCAAGGAGGCGGTCAATGATGACAAGGACGACCTCGAGTGCCTCCTTGCCAGATTGGGGATCCCGCCAGGCCACGAATTGTGCAAAGTCGTGAGCGAGCATGTGGCGCACGGCTTCGGTTGCGGGCCGGATCAGCTCGGCCTCAGTGGAGTCCAAGAGCAGGCGGTTGAGCTTGGGCATCACGGTCTCCACGAAGCCTGGGGGCATAGGCTCGGAGCTACGCTCGGCCAGCGCTCGAAGCAGGTCGGCGGCAAAGTTGGTCAGAGCGTTCTCTTCGGTCATGTTGCCGACGTCGATGGCGCCCATCAAGGAAGGCAGCACCTTCTCACAAAGACGCATATACGCCTCAGGGCCGTGATCAGTGATCTGATCCACGATATCCTCAAAGGCTTCAGTGACGGTCATCGTAAGCTGAAAGTTTTCGGCTCCACTGCTAGCAATGTTGAAGAGGACATCGATAGCCACAGACGAAAGGACCACGCTAGAATCAGCCATGATGGTATCGCGGAGAGTTTCGGCAAGAGTGACCTTGAGATCGTCACAATCAGACTGTTCACGCAGATCGTGCGCCGAGACGAACTCGGAGAGCGCATTGATCACGGTAACCTGGAAGGGACGAGCCACGCTGATGGGTAGGGATGGAACGAGATCCTGCAAGACTCGGATGGCGGCAACCTTGACCACCTCGGAGGGATCTTCGGCGATCGCCTTGAGAGTCGCCTCCAAATAAGACGTGGTGTTCTGCTGGAATCCTTGGCCCGCAACCCGAGCCAAAGCACCTGCTGCGAGATAGCCTCGAGCACGCAGGAGCTCCTCCTCCTGCTGGAGTGCGTAGTTGACAAACCGAGTGAAGTGGTTGGCCAATTCGAGAGGGATGTCCTGGGACACTTCGCCAAAGTCCCTGAGGAGGAAGTTGAGGACGCAAAGAGCAGCCTCACGAGATTTCCATCTGTTCAATAACGTTAGCTTGATTCATTAATATAAAGCGAGCTGCAACGTACGAAGACGAGCTATCAGCGAAGAGGCTGTTCATGTAGCTGAACATGCCCTCAGCCGCTTTCTCCTTCAGCCATTCACCGGCCTTGATCACCAAATCACCACTGCAAGATCTAGGGGTGTAGTTGGCCGTGACAGAGGTCTCCTCCGACAGGAAGAGGTTCACATCGACATCCCAAAGACCCTCCTCTTCCGAGGTGATCTGTGCATAGGAACTGGAGAGCTTCATGATCTCCACAAGCCAGCCAGAGGAGCCCGCAGCCGCACCGGCATTCTGAAGTTGCTGCTGCAACTCTGCTTTGACCGGGGGTGCCTTGAGCAGCGTTTGAATGAGATCCAACTCCTCCAAGATGAGGAAATCAAGCGAGTAAGGGAGACCATCCACATCCTCCAAGCGACCTTGACGCTCGTCATCAATATAGAAGTTTTGGTATATCGGCAAGGCATTGGTGAGCTCGTCCCAAACGGTTGAGAAGTAGGCGGGGCTCTGGGCTGTCAGGAGACCGGGGAATACCCCACGGATTTTCATGAGAGTCTACAGCAGCGATAAATTAGCATTTGTTCCAATGCATATTCGAGATGCAAAGCGCGAGTGAGTACCTTGACAACCTGAATCTTCAAGCCGATGATTCCACGCCACTGCGACGCAACCTCGCCCGACTTGTTGGCTTCTTCGCTGGACGGAGGTTGGGGTAGGGCTGCCTTCAGAGTCGAAACAAAGAAGGGCGACCATGCACTCAGCAACTCATCCACAAATTGCTTAATAGCCACCTTGTGTTGTTCCAGAACCATTTCAAATGTGTCGAAGCATGATCGGAAAACCGCGACGGAGAGGGCTCGCATCATGGGGCGACGAGTTTCTGAAGTGGCCACTGCGAAAAGGGCAGAGACGAGATCGCGAGCGACATTGAAGAATTGGTCTTCGCTGAGTCCAGTATCAACCAAATCTAACAGTACCTTCAGAGCTCCGTGCAGGGCGCTATCGGTGGTCGAGGCATCGTTAATGATCTGCAGCAACGACGGTAGGAGTTCCGGCCAGTCGTCGGGGAAGTCGGCACTGGCAATTTTGCTCACGGCATAACTGGCGGAAGCCTTCACTTTGCGTTCAGGAGTATCGGTGGTTGTGGCGAGCTCGAGCAGCGCGCGGCGGATTTGTACCTTGTTGACCTCGTTAACAAGCACCTGGCCCTTGAATTCGTCAAGCATGGAGGACCAGCCGGCACCGATGAAGGTGCGCAGCACGGACAGGGCGGACTGGCGAAGGTTGACGGGAACGGACTCATGGGAGGCAATGGCTGTGAGGGAGATGGGGAAGGCTTCGTTGGAGTAGAGGGATTTCAGTTGGAGCTCCGCAGCCTGTCTCGTGGCGGTCGTGGAAGACTGGGTGTTTGCCAGGAGCGATAAAAGTTCCTGCTCCATGGCTAATGATCAATTGATCAGAGAAGGACTGTGGGTATTGAGGTTGGCTCTAGGCCGCGTAGGGAGATGGGGTCAATAAGTTTGCGATAAGGGAGACACGAGGGGCAGAGGGCGGTCAATCAAATGTCTGCCGCAAAACAAACATTTGCATTGATAATGATCTATATTCAATTCCAAAGGTCATAAGAGTGAACCTCATGGGATCTCTCATTTTTTCCCAAGGGGGTTTCTTCTCATATTCATGCTGATTTGTGTTTTGGCGGTTGAAGTAAAATATAGCCCGACCCATTGGTGGGGAAACTACAGTGCAAGGTCGACTCCTCGTCCACTGCTATTCAAGCAACTTGAGTCGATCTATTATCGAGGCCTAAAAGCATCCTAACAAAGCCGACCCTCATGCTCAGCACCAAAAAGCCAAGCGCTAAGAGCTGCGAGGGATGCCCTCTCAAGCGCTGGAAGGATCTGCGGTGAGAACGTGCAGGATGTACCTTTGGCAAGATACATCATCGCCAGGCTTTCTCTATCCGATTATTACTTGCCGAGGCAGGTGGCTTACAGTGATGGGGCTGACCATTCAATCCTTCTTGTCTTGCCACATTGTCGGCAACACATGGGTCCATCAGACAGGGATATTAGATGGGGGGGGGGGGGGGGTTCCCCGACGATTTGTAAATACCCTGACTTATTCGGCTCTACCCGATGGCTTTTGAGATGGAATTGTTTTCTTGAATGATGTTTTACAACTCCAGCTTTTTATATTCCTCTGTAGACATCTACCGCCTGCCATCTCAAAACCTCGTTCACGGGCAGCAGTCACTAGTTGACTCGCTTCCCACGGGCTGTGGCCTTGGGTTGCGGGCTTAGTCAAATGCAACACGTCACTTGGAGGCAAGGCATCATCCACCTGGTATCCCCGCGGTAATGGGCTAACAAGGTTGCATGTACAGAAGTACAGTACTTAGGTGTGGACCTCGGGTACCTGGAGCGAGCGGAAAAAGCACGAAAAGGCGCGGACAATTCGACATTCCATGCAGTTCAGTGGGTTGGAATTAGGGAACGCTTGCGATTTCAGCGCTTGATACCGACCGGTCCCATTGGGTGCCTGGTGGATCGTGATCTTTCGGAAAGAATGGCAAAGGCCCATCGGATTCAATGTCGGTCGGGAAACTGCTCCGTGCAATAAGACAATGTTTCGAACGTATCACATTGTCATTGTTGTTTGTGGAAGGCGAGGATATTACCGGCGTTAGACGACACAATTATTGAAGACAATAGCATTGTTATATGGTGGTTCTACTATTGTTATCTAAAGTACCTGGGTAGCTTAGCTATTCCCGAGGGGAAGCGTAAGAATGCCCCTCACTTAATCTCCATGATCACCGAGAAAGGCGAAGATCTTTTAGCGGTGACAGTATACATAGAAACGGATGGAAGGTGATGACTGATAATCGCGGCCGAAAGAGTCGATCTCCTGGGGTCAATTTGACCGGAACAGACAGACAGCGCCCCCGGGGATCGTACCCTTGTCCCCAGCGGCCGCCACTGCCGTCAGAGATGGAAGATCACCGGTAAAGCGAATGAGGGGCGTACAGATGTGTACAGATGGGTCCGCCATGATACAGTTGGTGTACCCGGTACCGGCCTAGTACCTCCGAACTCTACGGTCTATGCTGGCGGAGGTTGTCACCGGCTGTACCGCAATGCTCCGACGAACTTTTCTTATGCGGCCTTCGCAAGTGTTGGTAGAGTTGGTCTTTTTGTGTCCCCAGGATTGTATAGTGTCTTAGATTACTACCGGTACCTGATCTAGAAAATAAGCTTACATTTCGGAATTGTGGCTTTTTTTCCCCTGCTCGGCTATACCCCGTTGGTTCTTGCGCCGTTTCCAAGGTTGGGCCCTGGGCGTTTTATGGTTCCATGCCCCATATCTCTTTTGGTGTTATACCCAATGTGTTGTTGCGCCCTTTTTATTTTTTATTTTTATTTTTCCCTTTTTTCTCTTAATTTTTTTCAGGCCAAGAGATGATCATCCCTCGCTGCTAGAGTCTCATCATCCCACTTCATTAACTGAGTGGGGAAAAGAAAAAGAGACAATGGGCAAAAAACTGTGCGCTCTGTGCACATACACAAAAGGCGGTACCTGGGGATACCATTTGTATCATTCGACCTATTCTTTTCAAAAAGACCCGCGTGTAGCGTGTCCACGAGGATTTCCAAAGATAAAAAAAACTTCCCTTTACGCAGAATACATAGAGGAAGAGTGCTAGATGGTAATAAAACATAAATCCAGCTCAATAGCGCAGTAGAAAGGGAAAAAAAAATAGAGGAAGTTCTGCAGGGCCAACCCATGACGCAACCACGTGACGGGAACCGTGACCTTCCACTGACCGTCGTCTTCCACTCCTGCTTTTCCCCTCGAGCGAGCCACGGGGTACATCGTTTCTCAACGTCAACTCATCGCCTTTATCTATATCTTGTTCGGCACCTCTCTTGTCGCCCACGACGCTGAGGTATTTTGCCGCTTACCCGCAGGTTACATCCTACCCCCTCCTACCTCTCGCTTTGAAACCACCCCTCTTCCCTCAGGGAACATCATTGCTCCAAAAAAGACCCTCTCTTTCTTTAATTCCTGCTATCAGCGCTTTGGTCTCTCTCGTCATACATCCCTCATGCTTTGAGGTTTTGCATCCTGTCGTTTTGTCCACCCAAGCGTATGTTTTATATTCTTAAACCCTCTCCTCCCCTCCTCTCCCCTCCCCGACCCTATATACAAACCCCTCTCCATCCACTCCTTTCCAACATAACTCCGTTCGCGACCAACTGCCAGGGGCTCTACCTCTCCTTTTTTACTACCTAAACCGACCGTCTCAGCCCTTACCACACAACTACTCTCAAGCCCCACCCCGAAACTCGATGTGTTTGTTGGTCGTCGGCGGAGAAAAAAAAACTTGACATTACAACACCCATCTACTTCAGCAAAGCACTAGGGTTGACCGATGATTATAGAAAGGCAGAGCGATGATTAGCTTCAGGGTGGAACATCATTCAGATTCTTCGAGACTACGTCAAGATCACCCTTACCGCGGAAACGACGCTGGATCGTTCGACGGCAATGCCGATGGCCAGTGAAACCAGCAGTACCACCACCATGACCACTTTCTCCGCTCCGGTCCCTGCTACCAAATCGCTGCCCACCAACCAGTCGGCGCTGGCGGCATCCTTCACCAACTTCCTTACCGTCTCTGTCCACCAAATACTTTTCCTGCGATCCGTCTACCCTCGCGCGACCTTTCTGCCGGTGCGGGCATACAATTATCCCGTCCGACAATCCCGTCATCCGAAAGTGTGTGACTATATCAACGATGCATCGATCGCAGTCGGGACAGAGATCTTAAAAGGCACCATCACAGCCGTCAGTATTATCATTTCATCTCTCCGCACAAATCAACCCCTCGAACGATACGCCTTTGATCTGTCAGGGTTCCCTCGGGCACCGGCAGGCGAGGTGAATACTACGTTTGAAAACAGAAATGAAGATTCATCTATGCCAGGTGCTACCGTCTCAGACCGGGGCCCCGCGCCAACCTCGGTCGACCTCGAGTCGCAATTTCGGGCTTGTTTGGCCCGTCTCGCGTCCGCCTGCGCGCGATTGACACCGCTGCCGCGGGATGACGAATTCAGCTTCACCGTGTGCATCGAAGTACGGGAGGATGCTTTACCTCCGGCGGGCACCACTAAGGAAGAACAAACATGGATTGTTGCCGAGCCCGGCAAGGTGCACCTACGATCCTGCACCGCGCCCTTCTCGGTGTCGAAAGTACGCAACGGTGAGCCCCAGCGGCCACCCCCTCCGGTCTCGAATGGCCGCGCCAAAACGGTACCCGTACGACGTGTGGAGGCTGGGGAGCTTCGGTTGGAGTTGTGGGTAGAGGAGGCACGGCAGAAGTTTAACGAACCGGTGGATTCAGAAAAACCGTCATGAACTTCAATTTCTCCTTGAATTGCGGGGGAAAAAGAAAAATATTTGTGTCAATTTTCTCAATGGGGAAATTGTTGTTCGTTGTTTATTTGTTCACACCCATTTCAGTCTCATTCTTGATTTAGCGTGACCAATGATCGAACATACATGATGGACAAGGAGATTAGGAAATGCCGTCCGCACGAAGGGGGCGCAACTATATAAAACGGGAACAGACGAATTTTTGGGACTCGCATGGCATTTACTTACATAGATCAGGTTCATATCTTTTCCTCTTTCTTTGGCTCCTTTTTTGATCCCCTTCTCCTCGCCCCAAGGTCTCTGCCCCGACTGCTGTTTTCATCTTTTTATACTCTTTTTCATTCTTCATGACGCTCCTTCTCTTACCCTCTTTCTCTCTCATCCCTTTGCTGGTTGCAGTGTTGCCCCTGTTGCATCTCCTTGTGCTGGACCCTGGGGTTTGACTCTCCTCGCTGATCTTTATTGCTGCGGTCTGGCCTTTATTTTCATACCATCTCTTTTTTTTTTTGTATTTCCTTCATCTCCTATGTTGAATCTTTCTCAACTACATGATTCTCTTTTTTTTTTTTTTTTTTTTAGCCAATTCAATTATTAGCAAATATGTCTCCCACCCGGCTCACTTCGATCTTGCGTCCCCGCGTGTGTTGATCCATCGTGTCATTGCGTCATTGCGTCATTGTTGATTTTTGGCATTGCATTCGAGTCCTAATGTCTATGCCGCAATGTTTTTGCATTTGGCCTTCTTTTTGAATCCCTGTTTCTGTGCTCTGTTTTGCCTGCTTGTTGGCTGTGTTCTCTGTTCTCTGTGCTCTGTTCTTTGGGTGAGCTTAAGGTAATGCGCCCCCAGCTTGACTTGTAACTTTTGTGTAGCCAGTTGAATGGGCAGTATAGTGTAATGAATTTCGTATAAGATGCACAAGATTCTGTATGCATAGCTCCACTCAAGACGTTCACTGTCGACCCGGGGACAGCCTAAGGTTTATAAGCGCCGACAATGCCCATAATGTTGCACTGCATCAATCTTCCCACAAAGGTGGCTGTTCTCGTTGGATATCCATTATGGACTCGTATGGCCTCTACGTTGAGTTCTCGGGATGTTCCCGGCGAGCCCCAAAATGCCGGCTATTTAGCTATAAGATCTGAAACCACAGCGGGGGTGTTCTCCTTGTTGACTTGCAACTAAGCGTGGGCTGCAGTCGTCAATGACGTTGACCAAGTGACCACCCGCCAACTCCAAGTCATGAGACAGATCAAATAAAGTTATCTCCACGAATGTCATCCTCACAGCCTCGAACTTCCAGATTGGAAGTATAGATCGCATTACATAAAGGACCACCTGACCCGCTCATGCCCTACGGGAAGGACTCACCTGACCCAGCACAAAGCCCTGTTACGTCAAACGGGTCTAACCGCCGTACAACTTTGGCCTATCAACCCGCTTGCCGTCGCTTGTCATCGGCCCGGTTGAAAGAAGAAGCATAGAGCAGGCCCATTCCGGTCCGGACGAGAAGCAACCTCGAGCGGGGATGGCACTGGGTCTGGAACCTTGGAATTGGCCTCGTGTTACCCTAATCAAAGACCGATGAAGTCCGGATTTAAATCAGGCCGTCTGGAACCCGTGGGTTTGTCCTGGAGACGTTTATCCACTTTTCGACTCAACCCCGGATTTTTCTTCCTTGTCATATTTGACTGACTTTACGTCTTGGGCCCGAGATATCGAAGTGCTTCTCACTTGAAACTCACTTGAGACTTGAAGCCTCATTTAATCCCTTGATTGTCAATCAATCTATCTATACTTTGATTTTCTCTCCGATTTTATTTTGCGGACAAAGCTCCGCCGAGAACCTTCATTTCCTCCCTGGCTCATCGCCATTCATCCCTATCTACACCACCAGCACTGTAGCCCCAAGATGATTGCCAAAGACATCCCCTCTCTCCCGATGGGAGATTCCCCGGATCTCATCCTGGTCCCCGCCACTCCATCTGAACGTATCGCCTCCATCAAATTGAACAGCATCGCCTGGAAAGGACCCCTGGATATCGACACTTACATTGAGCGCGAGAACCATCTTCTCGAGCAGCGGCTGACCTGCGACGGCCTGACATGCTGGATCCTGGTAGATCGCACCGAGCCCGAAGGCACTCGCACCATCCTCAGCTCCTGCGAGTCCTACCGGAAGAAAGCACTCCTAGCGCATGACGGCAAGGTCGACGACGTTGGCACCCATGGTATCGGGAGTGTTTACTGTCGGCCTGAGTTCCGGGGGAAGGGCTATGCGAAGCGTATGCTCGAGGAACTGAGTACTAAGCTTGATACGTGGAAGATGGAAAAAGAGGCCAGGGGCAGGGCGCTTTTCACTATTCTTTTCTCCGATATTGGGAAGAAGTTCTATGCTCAGTTTGGGTGGCGGCCTTTTGTGTCTTCGCATTTGGCGTTGCCGGCTGCCGAGGGAGGCGGGGCAGGCAAGACGAGGGAGTTGTACGCGAAGGACGTCGAGAGCAACGTGTGTAATGAAGTTGTTCTTGCTAAGCTCCGGGATCAATTGCAAGCTGCGTCGCGAAAGTCCACTGGTGCAAAGGTCGCTATTGTGCCTGACTATGATCATTTCGTATGGCACTGGGCGCGAGAGGAGTTCTTCGCTGAGAAGAAATGCTCGCACCGCTCGCCGCCAGTTATCAAGGGCGCAGGAAATGACGATGCTCGTGTGTACTGTGTTTGGAACAGGAACTTCGGCGAAGAGCCTGAGGATAATGTTTTGTACATTCTGCGGTGGGTGTACGATGAGCCTACGACTCCAGAGGAAGAGCAGAAGTTGGTCCAAGCCATGGCTGGTATTCTGAAGCGAGCTCAGCAGGAAGCACATGAGTGGAACCTGAACACAGTCGAGTTTTGGAACCCGACACCACTGCTGCAGAAGGCCGTGGGTGTATTGGATCCAGATGCGCAGCTTGTGCACCGTGAGAAGAGCAGCATTTCCAGTTTGCGTTGGACTGGTGCTGAGTATGGACTTGGCAAGGACGTGGAGTGGTTTTTGAACGAGAAGTACACTTGGTGCTAATCGCTTTTTGGATATCATTTCGGGGGTTTGATGTTATGATCGATCCCCTTTGCGAGGGGTGGATCTCATGATTTTGGGCGGCAGATATGATCATCATGTTGTTAGAGGAGCCTGGCATCATAGAACTAGGACTCCATAAATGAATGCAGCAGCACCTTGGTGGGTTGCCATCAGCGGCGACTTGAGTTTTTGAGCAATTCGTGCCAGTTCCTTGAAGTCTTAGCTTTGGCGGCGGTCGAGGATGCAGCTGTCGAGGCTTTGCTGACGTGTTGCCTTTGTGAGGGCTCAACATAGAAGATTGACGTAGGATCAGGACTCTTGTAGCATCCCTCTGGTAGTTTGGAAAGAGTAGCTTCGCTTCTCCACGATTCGGGAAGGCAGTCCTTCCAAGCCCGTAGGAATTCGCTGCGTCCAACAGCAGAAGATGCCGTGGGAGCGATGGAAGCAAGATACGTCTCTCCCAACCATTTTGTGACCTCGGCTTTATCAAAGCTCGCCCCTATGTGATAGTCAGTTCAGGCGCCCTCAAAATAAACCGCCCAGTCCACAAACTCACATTTAATCTCATCAGCCAACGCCGGTCTCTCATCCGGCACACACAGCCTCCTCACCACACCTTCAAGCAAACCCCTCGGGAACGGCTCCGACTCATCATCATCAAGAACAGCCTTCCACAAATCCCCAACAAGAAACTGTTTCTCCAGATCAATCCCCTGCAACAGCGCCCCCTCCATCATCCTCTTCCAAACATTAACCCTCATCCTCGAACTAGGCCTCCAACAAACCTTCATCCTCTCATCCACAAAAGCACATATCTCAACCCACCCCGTCTCACACTGTGCCGCAGAAACCGGGATATCCATGCAGACCTGATCCCTCAACTTTTGAATCCCACCAAGTTTCAATTCCCCAGACTCATCCATAGCGATATCCCCATCATCATCCCCAGGTCGACGGTCATATAGACCCAAACTCTTCTCAAGGAATGGAACAGCCGAGAACCCACCAGGCGGAACATGCAGCTCCAGCGTTGACCCGCATTTCGCAATCGCCGTAACCGCCTCGTCTGGTAAATTCAAAGTACCGGATTCACCGACTTCGTCTTCGACAATTTTGATATCCGCCTTCGAGATCTGCCCTTCGCTCGGCCGGACGATATGCAGCGAATTCGAGGACATGACTTGGCGAATGCGGTATGTCTGCGTCGGTGTGCACAGGTTGACGTATTCCTGGCCGCCGGCGTCGGCTACAGCATGCGCGAGGGCCGTGGAGGGGGATTTGAGCTCGAGTCTGGGAGTTCTGGTGTTAGTGGTGTGGTGTTGATGTTTGGTGTGCACTTACGCGGGGGCATCTTTCGATGTGAACAGGTCTTCTAGCTCGGGTGGAATTTCTAGGAGTCGGAAGCTTTGTTGCGGTTGGGTGTTGGTGAATAGGATGCTGGGTGTGCCTTGGGTCGCCATTGTAGTGGTAAATGGCTGTGATCAGCTTCAGCGAATTTGATGGGATGTTGGAGACGCGGGAAAATTGGGGACGCGCTGGACGCGCGACCGGGCACAGACCACCGTTTAATGGGGTTTCTTCACCCGAGTCTATAGTTAGCTACGAACTGTATGCTGGGAGAAAATACGGTCGTCGTTCATGGTATCGTTGAGCTTGGATCAATAATTGTGGAATCTTCACCATTTATTTCGCCGATTATTTAGAAACACCGCCCATATCACGCCATCTAGTATGCTATCTAAACAATGAAAAGAGAACACCAATAACTAACAGAGGCCATTTATTAGCAAGAATGAGAAGAGACAAGCTTGTCAGAGCCCTGCGCTGTTCGAGAATTTCGGGTATGACAATAGCTTCAGCCAGGCAAATTGGGCGTGGGCAAGTCGGCCTCGAGCCGAGATCAGTAATCCAGCCGGCTGGATATTTTCATGACAGAGCCTTGGAATCGTGATCAGGAGAGAAATGACAGAGAATATCATCGACTACCTTCATTTGTTTGAAGAGCCCTTTGCAGCATCCTTGGCCGGCTGAGCAGCAGGACCCGCCTCGGAACCCTTGAGATTGTCGCTGACTTTGTGCGAACCAGCCTTGGTCTGGGCGGCCTCCTTTTGCTCGGCGAGTTCTCTTTCGCGCTCCTCTCGCTCGCGAGCCTGTCGTTCCAATTCCATTTCTTCCATGTGGCGCAGATCATCAACACTGGGCTCGTACAGATGCCAGATTACATAGTGTGGTAAACCAACCACCGAGAACTTCATGCGTTTGGCCATCTAAAGCACGTTAGCCGTTGTACATACGACCCAGGAGATTGTTCTTGTTCTTACCTTGCCAAATCCTTCAGTCTCGGCATGCTTCTCGAAGCTGAACGCAGGGAAGTGGACACCAGCGCGGAACACTCGAGCTTTCGCCAGAATGCTAACACCGCCAATGCCATCCAGTTCCATCTCCATGTCCGGGTCGCCGTAGGGATCACGGAGGTAAGCGAGATGAGGTCGCCATGTCGCATACTCCGCATACCCCTCCACAATGACAGCGTCCTCATCCAGTGTATCCGCCAGCGCGAGAGCTGTCTCTGACTCCTGCCACGAATTCAAATCGTACGGCTGCTCTCCACCCAACCAATCTGGAAGCGGCCGCCACACATCTAAAAGTACTAATTAGCCATAATCCACCCATATTAAATCACCAATGAACACATACTTGGAACAGTGACATCCTTGTTATGCCGCATCAAATCTTCAATAATCGTAAATGGCGCCGTTTCCACGTCTGCATCTCGCCAGTAGACCCAGCTGTGTGTCGGACGGAGTGTCGCGCTCAGCAACCAATTCCGCGCCTGAGCCATCAGCTTACGACGACTGGCCTGAGCTTCGAAGCCGTGCCGACTCTCAACATCCTGCTGCACTTTCTGGCCGAAATCCTTCTGGATCACTGAGATCTCGCCAAAGGCCATTTTCGGATCTGAGTCGTTCTGTACCTCTGTGAGCATGCGCGACAACATGTCGAGAGTGTCATCGCGCGAATCGGACACGAGGAAAGCGAGATCGATGAGATTGTGCGGGTAGGTGAGGTTTCGGAGATGCGAGAAGAACATGGGCAGGTGGGAGGAGGCATCTCGCAGCGGGGTGAGCATGAGGACACGCTCCCCGCGCTCCCAGCCCTTCTCTGACCCTTCCACTTCCGATAGATCATAGTATCGGACCGTTTGTAGTTGTAGGTCCTCTGTGCCGTGGAAGAGGCCAAGCGAGAGGGTAGGGAAGGATCGCTGCGCGCCATGAGGGGAAAATGAAGATAAACAGCAAGAGGGAGATACCGCCGAGAACAATGAGTCGTTGGAAGAGCTGGCGTCGACGGCGGAGTGCAGGTTGTGAACGAGGCTGGAATCTGGCAGTGGTTGCTGGTTAGCTTCTTGTCTTTGAAGATCGACTGTCATATGCAGCCCCAGTGAAGATGTACGCGTCATAAACGTACTTGTTCGGGGAGAGCGAAAAGGTGCTGTCGCCGCGAGGATAGGCTGCGTAGCCTTTCGGCGAGGCGTAGTGCCTGTTCATGTCGCTAGGAGGCGTGCAGCATCGGGTTCTGGGCAAGTGGTGAAAGGCCTTGGCGAGTCCAGCCCGTCGATCTCAAATTGGGCCAGCTCGAGTTGCCAGTGCCAGAAGAAAGAATTGGGGAGGATTGAAGGGATCGTAATCTGAAGGTTGAAAGGGAAAAGAAGAGTATCTCTCGAAAGTCCAAGGCTCCCCCTTTCGCCAGAGAAGTGTAACCCGCGATGTGGCAGGTTTCACGGCTCTCCGCTCTCACCGAATCCGGCGTCCGCTTGCAGCCCGATCTTCTTAACTTCTGGAGACCCTTAATTTAACGCGTTCGTTTCAATGCCCCAATCCATGCTATTTTATTTATTTACAATATAACCCTTGGATCGATATAGCACCTTCTCTTTTGCTTTCAATCTCACTCTTCACCTTCAGTCGCAGCACAATGTTGGTCCAGGACTGACGGACCCTGTAGATCCTGGTCCCTTCCAATTGCCTTCCACCTGTCTCATCAATTTAACCAGCACCTTCCCCATCCTGGACCCATCCCGTAGAGTTGCTATGACGGATCCGGCCTCATACTCGCTATTCAGAATATAATACCGTTCCGTTTGACAAGTCTCCACCACGCCCGGCTGAAATGCAACTTTGGCGATGACTTTAGCCGGAACATTGGCTTTGTTAATCGAGCTTCGAGATACCATGAGCAGCAAAGGCCTCAGCCGCGATCGTGTCCGATGTGCCACACGAACAGACAAGGGAGCCCCGATTCTCAGATTGCTCTCGCCAGCCATACCGCCAGGGTCCAGGGTGAAGATATCGAGGGCAATATTACCCGTCTAAGGGAATCAGCAATGTGAGCATTCAACGTGATCTGGATCGGAATCCCGATCGAATCAGACTTACACTGGTCAAACTCCGCCGCAATGCATACAACGCCACGCTGATGAGTAGTTTACTGCTTCCATACCGGATATTTCCTTCCTTCGCGCTTATCGGTGTCCCGGTCCGCCGATCGTCGCGATCTTCGCGATCAAAGTAGTCTAGTCTCCCATAGGAAACTGCTGAACAGCCTATGTTGATCACTTTCGCGCCTCCGTCGGGAGCTCCGTCGCCTGCGCGGAAGGCCTCGAGAAGTCCAATCGTTAAGAAAAATGGAGCAACGCAGTTGGTCTGATATACCGGGTCGTAGCCATCGAGGGTTGGCTCGTCGACTGTATAGGATGCAATGGCAGCAGAGTGGATGAGATCAACCACCGGCGGGATCTCATGCCTTCGCACTCGTTCCACTGTGCTTTGTGCGAAGTCGGATACGGATCGTAAGTCATTCAAGTCGAGGCCGATGACCTCAATTGATCGCGGGCCAATGAGCCGGACCTTTGAGATCAAATTGCGAATATCTGCTCTTTTGATATCCCGCGCAGTCAAGAGTATGTGGGCAAAAGGCTGGGTCTTGGCAATGGCAATGGCGATCTCAGATCCCAGTCGTCCATTGCCTCCCGTAATGATCACGGTGCCGGTCAGCGATCTACCCATGATACTTCGTAGTTGCGAACTTTCGTAGTTGAACGTGTCAATGATGATCCGAGGTGCATTCCAGCTTCAGCAAATAGATAGATAATATTCCGTTAAAAAGGACAACGGAGATAGAATCCAAGGGAAAAAAAAATTCGATGCAGATCCAAGGTTAGCGTGCCAGCGTCCCCGGAACAGACTATATAAGGCATCGGGTAGCTTAGATCTGAGTCCCAACCCCTTCAAACAAGGAACCAATGGATTCAATGAACCATGAGCGGTGTCAAGACCGACATGTCTCAGAGGTGAGCTGAGCCCGAGTTTCGCAGACGAACGAGTGGATCAATCAGATGCGGACATAGGCGACCTGCTGCTTTAGTGCCAACTAGTGACGGGGCGAAAATTAGCCCAGCGGAACGCCCCAATGAACTGGCATTTAACTGTCCAAAAGAAAGGTTCATTTATACGTGGCAGTGATGAAACCCCCATCTAAGGGAACCAAAGGATCGGAGATTGGGCTTGCGATCGCGCGAGATCCGGCCGCAGTGGGACATGCTTTTTTTTTAGCCATTCGTCCCGAATGCCGATCTTTCATCCGTCTTTGCCCAGACGATCTAGGTACTCCGTACACATGGTGCCACACCCCGCATCGATAGCCGAGACTTGTGTGGATGACAAGTCCTGTCAGCAATGTGCGCATTAAAGTGACTCGGCGACCCCGCCCCGGGCCAGGGGGGTCCCTTCCGTCTGTGTTGGCAATCCGGTCATGCTGATTCTATAAGACGCGATTCCAATGACACCGTACTTGACCTAGTCAGCAAGAACTTTGCATTATGCCACAAAACCACGCCCTTATATACAATGATGACCCAGAACCAAAATAAAAAAAGAAATAAAAGTAGAAATCAATGGCGTCGCCCGAATCTAAACCGCGGCTCGCACCCAGGTATTATTGGGTGAGGTAATAGAAAAAAATAGAGTGAGACTTGTTGTTTTAGGATCTCTCTGGACCCATTGCTCCACTAGTGCCACCATATGACCAACAATTGTCATACTTTACTCGAGTCGGGAGAAACATTGACTGGTGTGCTTCCATTTCATCCATGCCCTCCATCGGCACCGACAGCCTGTGAGAGTCACTGCAATCCTTCGAATAAGCCGAAGGTAGTAGAATAATTTTGCGAAGCTTGTTGGACTTCGAAGGCCTCGAAGCTGATCGGAGCACACACCAGTTTTTGGCGCCCTTTTTGATTGTCTCATCTACCAGAGCTGAGTCAACCGGGGGGATTTAAATTTTTTATGGTTAAATTTTTTATGGTTGTAAATAAGTGATAAATACCTTTGGACTTTTTGAGGACCAGTACTGGATGTGGTGTAATAGTTGAGAGAAACATCGTAAATATTTTAGGGTTGTTTTCTGCCTTTTTTACTTTTGAATTTGGCCTTGGGCTTTGCTACGTAATTCACTCTGACTCACCTAAGAGTAGAAGTGTTGACAAACATAAACAAACAACACTGCATATGGAAAGTAGGATTGCCCAGTTCTATAGTCAAAAGAAACACATTCACGCAGACATATCAATCAAGATCTTGACATGCTTATCCTTCTCATTTATAAGTGCCCGGAATCCCTTTTCAGCTACCTCATCCATCCGAATCCTACTAGTGATCATAGGCTGTGGCTTGATTTTACCTTGAAAGATGACACGTTAGCCCAGACGTCCATCAACAGAGAACTCGACTGACCAGAAGCAATTGCCTCAATTACCGCATTAAAGTCCCCAAGATCATATATCGCAGCACCAGTGATATACTTCTCGCCCAAGACAATTTCAATAAACGCATCTATACTTGGCTTTCCCTCCCACAGCGATACAACAACCGCCGTTCCGCGCACACGGAGTCCCGCCATGACGGTATCGAGTCCAGCCTGAACTCCAGAACATTCAAAAGCAATCGATGTACCTCGATGTTCACCAGTGATGGCTCTTATCTCCGCGACTGCATCCACTTCCTTGGGATTCAGGGTGTGAGAGGCACCGAATGTTTGTGCGAATTCTCGTCGCCGAGCTGAGATTTCTACAACGACGATTGTGTCAATACCTCGCGCCTTTAGGACTTGGACTATGGCGAGTCCAATTGGGCCGGCCCCTACGATTAGCACAGTGTCGTCTGGCTGGAGTGGACTGCGGCTGACGGCATGCCATGCAACTGAGAGTGGCTCTACCAGGGCTACACAATGTTAGTCTGGGAGATACTCGTAGTGGTATTGCCTTACCGCCGATATCCAATGGGATCAATTCTGGAAGGTGAATTGCATGTTTTTCATTCACGACAACATAATCGGACAGACCACCGGCGCTGCCTGAATTGTATGAGCATGGAAATATACGACAGCAGAAGACAACAAGGTGAGAAAGGCATACCGCTATATCCAATGAAGCCCAGACTGTCACAGCAATTGTCTCTTCCCATCAAACACCTCCGGCATGTATCATCGCTAAGATTAGGCTTGACAGCCACCTTGTCTCCGATCTTGAGTCCATTGACTCCGTCCCCAATCTCTTCGACCGTTCCACTAAACTCATGGCCAAGAGTTGTAGGGAGCTTCTCGCCCGTCAGAGGATGGGGATGGACGGGTACTGAATGAGGGCCGGTAAGATATTCGTGAAGGTCTGTCCAAGGTTAGGAAATAGAGAAAGGGAAGCAGTATTGAATACCATACCACTGCCGCAGATTCCAACGAACGCAGATTTAATCTTGAATTGAGTGAAGGTTTAGTATCAGATATTTACAGACTCTGCTGCTAAAAACCAAGCTTACCTTTACTTGACCACTACCACAAACAGGCTCCTCAACCTCATCCAGACGGATGTCTTCTCTTCCATGGAAGCGAACGGCTCGCATGTTTACTCAGATCTTGACGGGATGCAGGAGGTGCAGATATTGATAGACGGGGGGGTGATAGGTTGGAATGAGGCTATATACTTCAAAGAAAGAATGTCTATTTAAGACAAATTGATTAAGGCCTTAAAAAGTCGTTGTGAACCGAGTATTCAAATACGAACCGAGGCCGGGGAGGAAACGCCCCCCGCATACCCCGTGGGGTAAGATGACTCTAGCAGTGAGTCCCACATTTCGATGGAGACGGAATTGAGAGGCGTCGCGGAACGAGGCCGTCTTAATTCAAGAACGCCGGTGATATGGCTCGCGTCGCAATTTTCCTCCGATTTGTGCATTTCTGACCTAGAGAGCCAGTCCTGGTAGAGAAGAAGTTATTAGTTAGATTAGAGACTACACATACGATCCTGGATGTAAAGAGCGCACAAAGAAATCTAGCAGTCACATAATTATATTCGTTACGAGACCAGCTCTGAAAAAAAAAAAAAAAAAGGTTGAGACTTCTATAGCTTCACTTGCTCTTTCGAGTCAAAAGCCCCTTCAAAGCCTCCGTCTCTCCTTCCAGCTTCGAACACCGAAGTCTCAACTCATCCCGTTCCTTCCGCATAACTTCCAGCTCGTCCTCAAGACTCTTCACCTTGTCCACACGTCTCTGACGGCATCTACGGGCCGCAAGAGTGTTCAGTCTCCGTTTTTCAACGCGAGACGAATCTACACGGCCCAAGACATCGTCACCCTGCGATGTAGCAGGGCTAGAAAGAGACGTTGCGACAGACGCATGGAGCTGAGACACAGGAGAGGGGTGTGAAAACCCATCTGGATTCAATGTTAGGAACGAGGCCTTTGAAGATGCGAATCGAACTAGTCTCACCTTGTGAATTCACCGAGCTGGCAACATGAATGGAAGGAACAGGATTGGGTTCACTCGATCCCGAATCCGAAAGAGAAGCAAAGGTAGATGCCATGCCGTACCCCATGTCGTTCACAGAAGGATTGACACCGTCAAAGGCGGGATACGGCGTGGCGTGGTTGATAGATACGAAATTCCAGTCGGTATCAGCAATAGACAGATCCTGATCTGCCCAAAGTTCCGACTCTTGCAAAAGGTTGTCAAAGGATTGGCTGTATGCCACGGTCGAGGATATATGATCCAACGGCGGTGCCAGGGACGAAAACGGATATTGATGATGGTTGAGGTGGTCGGGAGAGAGATTATACCGGGGTAGAAACGGCCCCTCCAACCCTAGGGCGGTTGATGGAGGGGCTGAGCTGGGCGGGCTGCCAGAAGGTGAAGGTCTGTTTGACCGCCGCGGCGCTGGAGCAATCGCAGGCCGACATGACTGGATAGTTTAGACGGGCCGGAGCGGGCCCGTGGCGCGTAAAAGCTTTTTTGAAAAGTAGGAGCCTGTGTCCTCTGGGGGACTAGGTCTGGGGGGACTGGGGAATCTGGCTCGGTCACGGGGGGGCCGAGGAGTGGTGTCCTGAGGAAGAAAAGAGGAGAGGAGATAGCAAGTGATATACCCGGCGGTGGGTTCCTAAAAATTGGTGCCCGCTGGCTCAGGCCTCCACAGAATCCACTGTCAGCGATGCATGATTGGTGGATATCAGCAGGACTCATCGTGACTCATTTTAGTGCCATCCAATTGACCAGTCACATCCCTCATACCTGGCCTTATCCATGCATTACTTTGGGTAGACTAGGCTGTGTCCGTGGTGGTGGCTATGTCACTGCATTATCTCCTGAGGAAGGTTACATTTTGATGCCCGTCTGGATTTTCATGCCGTAAGGTTCAGGCTAGCATTATCCGAAATTATTACACATTACACATGATCAAAGGCCAAAATCAAACAAAGGTCCAGGCAGCACTCCTTTAGCACCCAAGGTGCTCAACGTGTATTTGAATTAAGGGGGTTCGGGAATGACAGATATCAATGATTGTGAAATGTCTGCTCTGGTATGATTGTCTCTGAATTATAGCAAGAATGCCAACGCGAAGAGACTCAAACCCAGCCATGCGCCACGTCCACTTTCTTTGGTCGCAGAATTGAACGCCGGAGAAGTAGTAGCTGGATTGGAGACGGAGCCGGAGGATGATGGCGAAACAGCAGTCTGGCTAGTACTGGATGATGACGAAACAGCAGTCTGGCTAGTACTGGATGATGACGAAACAGCAGTCTGGCTAGTACTGGATGATGACGAAACAGTAGCCTGGCTAGTACTGGATGATGCGGTAGTTGGCATCACGTTGGAAGAAGTAACGTCAACCTCAGAGGAAGAGGTTTCTGTCACGGGCGAAGTAGGCTCTGTACTGGAGGAAGTGGACTCTGTAGTGACCGCTACCGTAGTGGTGTCTATCGGCGTGGCGGTAGTATCTGTGGCAGAAGTCGCGATTGGGGTACTGTGTGTCTCTGGCTGGGTCATCGCAACAGTCGTCGTCACCGGCACCAGACCTCCAGTGAGTGGCGCGACGGCATAGGGGGGGTCGAACAGTCCGAATTGACCACATGCATTGCAAGGTGAAGCCCAAGATTTGACGGGCTCTGGAGCCACAAGGATAGGATCACACCTGCCATTAGGTGCCGCCGTCGCGATCACTGAGGGATCTTCCGTCTGTGGACAATCTGTGCCAAGGTCATTCAAGGTAAGCTGTCGCGTAGCTGAATTGACGAGATCGATGGTCGAGACCTGGTTCAGGTCGAGAGGGAATACCAAGCTAGTGCCAGAGGGCCCGGCGCGACCAGCGGTGTTGGTGCCATAGATGGTGTTAACAACCATGTATACCGAAGGGGAGGTACTGTGCGTGGCGACAACTGTTAGCCCAATGAACAGTAAAGGGGATAGAAGAGGAGATCTCACAAAGTGTAATCGAGATGCGAATTGACATAAGTAGACGGGTAAACATGTTGTGGCTGGTCCGTTGGCCAGTAGAACAAGTTGACGGTTCCCACGGACCTTCGAGATTGAGTCAGTGAATCTTTCCGGCGTGGTTTAATTTGTGTCACTCAGAAAAACGTACATGCTGCAAGTGGTCGGACAGGGATTCGGCGCTACAGTGATGGTCGTCGGTGTAGTGACTGTATCAGTCGTCGTGACTGTAGTAGTATCCGTAGTAGTTTCCGTAGTAGTATCCGTAGTAGTTTCCGTAGTGGTATCCGTGATAGTGTCCGTGAGAACGTCAGTGATTATGTCCGTGACGGTGTCCGTGACAGTGTCCGTGATAGTGTCCGTGATAGTGTCCGTCATAGTGTCCGTGATAGTGTCCGTAGTGGTATCCGTGGTCGTAGTGGTCGTAGTACATGTGGTAGTAGACCAGTCCGTTGAGACTATTGAGACTATGATTGTAGTGGTGACAGTACTATTGAAACATGCCGTCGTGGTTGTCGATACGTTTGAGGTGCTCATTGACGGTGGCACCCGAACCGTGGTAGAGTTGACAGTGACGGGTCCACTCGTATAGATGGATGAAGTAGGCCAGGGATCGATCTGCTCAGATGTACAGGTTGTGATCATACTGCCTGGCCGGGAGTGAGGAGTGTGAATAGCTTCATCATGTCAGCCGCGCCCGTAAAGGACTTATTTTTGGTTGACTACTTACCAGAGCCCTGAAAAGCCTCTGTCCAAGAGACGAGAAGCCCGAGCTCTACCCATAGCTGCAATCTAGACAGCATGGCGACGATTTCACCTCAACTAACGGATTAAGATGATAGTTCAGATACACAAGGTAGATGCTGTGGTTGAGCGATGAACAGCAAGAGAGCAGGGAAGGTTATAGAACAACAAGATTAAAATACACAATGCCGTAAACAATGACAAAAAAAGATTTGACACTAAGACCTCTTCGTGTCCAAGAGCCATTGCAGCTCGATGCGGTCATCATGTCCAACACGAGCGGCGTATTATCTCAGAACGGCAATGACAGGCAGTCTACTAGCCCAGAAAGGTAATGATGTTGAGAAGCACCGACCGTTGGATTTAGAATAACATCCGAGAACGATGATAAACGAGAACGCGGTACCTGATCTGAAGGTGGAGCAGGTTTTTTGAACATCCAGCCGGTTTTGTGACCCCGTCCGTGCGTGGGATTCAACGTGTCAGGGTCGCCCGTTGCCCCTGAGCTCCAATTGACAACGACGATCCCAATAGAACGATTGGTTCGGAGGACTTAGATTCGGCAGTGATGTGGCAGTTCAAAGCTAATGGCCTGGACCAAGTGCCTTGCAGGTTCCTGTCGCCACACCAGCCACATGGGAATTGGTTTCCCACGTTGCTATGCCCAACGTAATTGTTCTTTTCCGATGTGAATCCTCAGCTCCTCAAGATGCACTCGGCGCAAGTCATAGTACAGTTGATTCTAATAGTTCCTTTGTTGCTAAGATGTTCGGCGACTCACCTAACTAAACGCTCTCCATCCGCTCTCGTTATCTCGCCCAGCGAATATTTGTGACTTTCCACCGAACTTCCTTGGATGCACTTTGGATCGTTTGCTAATATCCAAATGTAGTGAGGGAAATGATGGGCCCTGGAGCAGCTTTTATCTCCGAGTTGGAGATCCAGAACAGTCCATTCGAGTGCTTGTCTCTACAGCTTCCCCAGAGTCAATGGTTGTCTTGTCAGACTACGGTTGTTCCAATTCAGTGTTTCCCAACGCGCCATCGGACTGTGCAGTTTCTAGGGGAACCTTGTTCAGTGCGAACCAATCCTCAAGTTGGCACGAATTGGGTCTTTTCGGTATCAACCAGAATGGGGTTGGTCTCGAGGCCAACCTGGGGTATTATCAGAGAGCAGAATTTGCTCTAGATACCTTAAGTCTTGGCCTCACTGGCCCGACGCTAAAAAATCAGACCGTCGCCGGGATTGCAACTCCTGAGCCTTTCTATCTGTAAAGATGAAACTGAACCCCTTCTCTATGTATGGTTCACTGACCCGAGCACCGACAGTGGAATATTCGGCCTCAACTCGCAGCCCGTCAATTTTACCTCTTTAGGAAACTTCTCTTCGCCTTCCTTCATCACGACCCTCAAAAATGAGGACACAATTCCGAGTCTCAGCTGGAGCTACACGGCGGGTGCCAAGTACCGTGAGTACGCCGGTTCCAAGGGCATATTTATTGTGGACATTGTCTCTAACCTGGACGTTATTTCGACTTAGGCCTAAAACAAGTCTATGGCCAACTCATCTTCTCTGGATATGATGTATCCCGGTTCACTGCTAACTCGGTCTCGTTCACCATGGCGGATGATATCACCCGTGACCTGGTTGTCTATCTTCAGTCCATCAGCTACAGCGGATCAAGCTCAGCCGTATTACTGTCCGAACCAATTTTAATATTCATCGACTCGACCGACCCCAACCTGTGGCTCCCAGACAATGTCTGTAACGCATTCGAAAAGGCCTTCGGGCTCGTGCTTGACAGCGAAAGTGGTCTATACTTGGTGAATGATACTCACAATACCAAGTTGCTCAACTCGAATGCGCAAGTCACATTTCGACTTTCCGATGTGGCTTCCGGCGGGAGTGCTGTGACGATCACACTTCCTTATGATGCTTTCGCCTTGACTGCACAAGCTCCTCTAGTCGACAATAGCAGCTACTATTTCCCGTTGAAACGCGCCTCCAACTCTACACAATATACTTTGGGTCGAGCTTTCTTGCAAGAAGCGTGAGTGCAAAGCGTCCAGTAGCCGGCTATACGCTGACCTCTTCAGGTATCTCTCGGTCGATTACGAACGAGGTGTCTTCAATGTATCGGCATGCGCTTGGAATGAGAACGCCGAAGAAGACATTGTCACGATTACTTCCAAAGATTCTGACTCAGCTGCTTGCTCAGGAAATGGATGCTCGTCCGGTGGTACTGGTTCGGACGACTCTTCACCACTTAGTCACGGCGCCGTGGCTGGCATCGCGATTGCAGCTCTGGTCGGAGTCGCAATTCTCGCGGCAGTTCTCTTGTTTTTCATCCGCCGTCAACGACAAAAAATGGCATACAAAGCGACTCCCCCGGAGCCAGACGTATCTGTCCTCTCCGGTCCGGTACACAACGCCCCTCCTCCTCCCGAACCGTCAGACGATTCTGTTCCGCAGTCAAGATTCTGGTCTCCAGACGCCATCTTGAGCGGCGTCAGCAATAGTAATAATGGCCAGAGTAGCAGCAGTGGCGGGAACTATGAGCAGAGTGTCGACGAGAACGGCTTGGAATTAGATGGAGACGGTACAGAGATCCAGCCAGTCTATCATGAACTGGCTGGTAGGGAAGTTCAGAAGACAGGGCTGGAGCCGGTAATGCAGCCGTCGCGTACCCCTTACGTATAATGTCTCGGATAGGATCGGCCAGGAGGGTCCATCCGGGAAACCTAGGGGTGTATACTATAGTATACTTGCGGCATTGAGAATGACGATAATATTCCAATCCAATTATATTACAACTACATCTTTTAACTATGGCCAGGACATAGTTTGTTTTGTGCTTTATATAAGGACAATAAATAAATATTCCTAAAGAGCTAGATGGTGACGCCAGATGACGCCATGGTGCATACTGTGTCACGTGATACCATCGCATTCGATGATCGGCTCCAGCCTAACCCCGCGCTCCCTTGACCGATGTTCATATAGTGATTATTTAATCTTTATTTCTCGAAAGGCTTTTGTTAAATTCACCTGTCGCCATGGGTATCATGGGCCACCACAATCTCGACCCTGTCGTCGAGCCTATCGCCTTATTCGAACAATTTGTCGCGGCGGTGCCGCAAACAATTGTCCTGAGAGAAAAGGTGCTCTCCGTCACCGGGGACAGCTTCGATATCAAATTGGCAAATGGTGAGACTCTCTTGAAAGTGCACGGAAGCTGGGTATCAATTTCTGGCCGCAAGAAAGTCGAGGACGTTCATGGCAAGCACCTGTTTGATATTGTGAAGGAGCATCTGCATATCCATTCGACCTATGCGCTTGAAGATACCCACCGCAAGAAGATCTGCGAGGTCAAGAGTAGTCTCAGATGTAAGTTCTGCTATTTGTGGTCCAAGACCATTCAGAATGACAGGGAAGACTCCGTATGTTATTCACATTACTAACTGCACTAGTGATCGGTTCCAAAGCCGCCGCCACTTTCACTGATCGTAACGGCAAGGCAGTGACTTTCACTATGAAAGGAGGCTGGTTCGATCATAGTGCCGATATTGTTAATGACAAAACCGGCCAAACGGTGGCTCGCATTGACCGGAAACTGCTTAGCGGCCGCGACCTTGTGTTTGGCCAGCAGACCTACGCGGTCGTTGTGGCACCTGGTGTGGACGCAGCACTGATTGCCGCCTTGTGCATATGCTTTGATGAGAAGAACAATGAGGAGCGCGGCGAGTAATTACACTAAAATACACAAGACAGCCCGGTAGGGCGGGGTAGCAATTTATTTTCCATGTTGAAGCAGCCATGGAAGCATTTGCGCATGCTATATTCCACAATATTCCACATTAATTTTTTTTTTTCATCTCGCAACATGAATACTGAATTACCAAATAATAAAACTTGGAAGTGACTAAAAGCACAAAATATTGAATATACCTGTATTGACCTTACATCTAAAATGACTATTCATGAATCGTAATCAAAAGCTCATGCAGATCTGGAACTAGTTGAAATGGAACATGCATGAATCATGCAGGTCGAGATTAGAGAGAAGTCCAGAATACAACTCGAAAAGCTGTTGAATCAAAGTTGTAACTTTGGAACCAATCAATTTGACAGCCTAACAGTATTCAGTTCAAATGTTGACTAAATAATAAGATCATCTACCAACGGTAGCAACGAAAGGTTGCATCTGACTTGGTATTCTCAAGACAAGCCGAAGAATGAGGCTCTACCTATTTGGGCAGCTGCCAAAACCTGCTCGGCCGAAGGTGATTTGCCAATCGAAACAAATAAACAACCCCTACGTCCCGTATATGGCCTGATGTCCTGTACTGCACTGCAATGCGATATTGTGTTACATTGAAGATCGCAGGTCACACATCAAGGGAAATGTGGAGGAGACAAGCATAGCTTTCGCTCATACCAAACTCCATCTGCCAATCATGGCTGTAGCGGGAAATAAGTTACCTGGGCAATCCGGTGATCCGCAGGCCTGCTTATACCGTGCCTTTCCATGTTTGCTGCGGCTCATTGACCCCGTGGGCATTGGGAGCCCCCATGCCTTGCAGACCCAGCTCTCGATCAAGAGACGTAAGGGATGCCGATCCTCAATATCTACTTTACCAGCCATTCAGACGGCCCGTGCCGTGGAGTATCGATCAAAACATTGATCTGCGTGTGGGCTGGTCACGATCTATAAATAATCTCGCGGCGCGCTACAGATGACCAGCAGCAGGACTCATCCGCCACCATGTTCATGAAAACTGCCTTCCTCTCGCTACTGACTTTGACCACCGCCGTTTCAGTCCCCAAGACTGATTACGATGTCATCATCGTTGGTGGAGGTCCTGCGGGTCTCAGCGCTATCAGCGGTGTCTCCCGTGTCCGACGCACTGCTCTGTTGTTCGACAATCAGCAGTATCGGAATGCTCCTACTCGGGAGATGCACGATGTGATTGGCAACGATGGTAGGCCTTACCTCATATCTGCTTTCTGGACCCATAGATGATCTTATCTCGAATAGGGACCCCGCCTGCTGTTTTCCGTGGCCTGGCTCGTGAGCAGATCTCCAAGTACGATACAGCCCACTGGAGGAACCAGACTGTGGAGTCAATTGCCCCTATAGATGGAGATTTTTCCTCCTTCAACGTGACCGATGATACTGGCAAGAGCTTCACCGCACGTAAAATTGTGCTTGGCACTGGCTTGCGTGACCTGCTTCCCGCGACCCCTGGCTTGCGCGAGGCATTCGGCAAGGGAATCTTTTGGTGCCCGTGGTGCGATGGTTATGGTGTGTATGAACCCTGGATCTCACGAGTAAGCGAATTCTAACATTCTCTAGAACACCGCGACCAGCCCTTTGGCATTCTCGCTGACGTCGCGAGTGTGCTCGGTGCCGTCTTGGAAGTCCACACACTGGAAAGTGATATTATTGCATTCACTAATGGTACCCGTACACCCGAGGGTGAGGCTCGTGCCGAAGCCAAGTATGCAGACTGGGACAAGCAGCTTGCGGCCTGGAACGTCACCATCGACAACCGGATGATCTCCTGGGTCGAACGTCTCCAGGATGGGGGCAAGAACCGCGACGACGATGAGGACAAGCAGTTCGACAAGTTCAATATCCACTTCACCGAGGGCGAGCCCGTCGAGCGCAATGCAATCCTTATTGACGTCCCCACTAACCAGACCTCGACTCTCCCATACCAGATGGGCCTCGAGATGGACTCTGACAAAATCAAGGTCGCTAGCTCTATGCGCACCAATGAGACCGGTGTCTTCGCTATTGGAGATGCAAACACTGACGGTGCTACCAACGTTCCCCACGCTATGTTCAGCGGCAAGCGTGCTGCTGTTTACATTCACGGTTAGTTTCGCTATGTTCAATAGACCATACACAATTACTGACAAGATAATAGTTGAAATGTCTCGTGAGGAGTCCAAGTCTAATATTTCCAAGCGCGAGGGTAATATCTCTCACCGTGAGCTCGAGGAGGAGGCCAACAACGCTATTGGTGACAACCTTGACCGCGAGTGGAAGCGTGCTCAGAACCTGAATTAAGCAGTTTATTTTGACCAAGGCTTCAGTGCTTTTATGTCATGAAACCTTCAGGCTCCATAAAAGTGATCGGGTGTTCTAAATGTCTTTAAATGTGAAATGAAAATAAAATACGTTAGCTCTTGCCTTTGTAAAATTCCAAAACAGGTTATTCCCGAAACACTCGCGTTTTATTTGTCGGACCCGTACCCGGAACGACGCTAGGCCACCTGAGGTCAGTGTTAGAGCAACCCTGCCTGGCACTATCGTGGATAAAACGTATTGGGCTGTAATGTCCAATGGGACATTGTAAATTACTGTCCTCCCATGGAAAGTTCTAGGGAGGGATCTAGAGAGGTCGGGGAGAGGTGGCAATCTGGCGTGGATCACGCCCACTCCTTTCTTGCTTTTCCCCCTAACTACCTTTTTTTTGACCGCTTTGAAGAAAAGGGCTTCGAAAGCAGTTTTAGATGCCTCCACAGGATTTTAAAAAGTCTCTTATCCCGCCATCGGGGTTACAATCTCATGAGATACAGTATGACCTTGAAAGCCAACCCAGAAAGGCAAGCATGGCTTGTTCAGCGTGCCAGAAACGCAAATCAAAAGTATATACCAACTTCCTCCACGATGAAAAGTCCTTCTTATGATTTTGATATAGTGTGTTGGAGATGTGCCTTGCCAGCCATGCCAAAAAGCAAAGACGGAGTGTACGATGAATCCCGAAAATGATGGTCGCCGAAGGATCACCTTTAAGCGCAAAATTGAATCATTAGAAGAAGACCGCGACTTGCTCTTGCGGCTTGTGGATACTATTCGCAACGATGACTCGCAAACGACCCCCGGAATTATGAACTTGATTCGGAGTAGTGCGTCACTAGAGGAAATCCGGCTAAGCCTGGATCGAGGTCCAGACTCCAGCAGCTCCAATGATGTTCAGACGAAGATTCGAAGACCTGCTGTGCAAAGATTCATGGATGTGAAACGATTATCAGACGTGCCTCTGTACGAGGTTCCCGCGCAACCATGGACATCAGTGACAGACGACGATGCTTTAGTGTCTCATCTCATCTCGCTCTATTTCACCTGGCAACACCCAATATTAAATTGGATCGACCGTGACCTTTTTTTACGTGATATGCGCTCGAAAAATCTAAATTCCCGGTTCTGTTCGCCGCTTCTTGTTAACAGTATGTTAACTGTAGCTTGCGTGAGTTCCTGCTTTCCCCTTGAACCCTACTCCCGGCAAAATTGAGACATGGGATTAACGTGTAAAGTCCCACAGTTCTATTCGGGGTATCCTGAAGCGTTTGCCAGAGCAGATGACCCTGGCTCCCGAGGTCGGCATTTCTATGAGGAGGCAATACGTCTATTAAATAAGGAAGAAGGAAGGTTGCCACTAACCACTCTCCAAGCAAGGGGAGATATCTATACCAGGTATGTATCACCGTTTATCCTCTTCAAATCAATAATAACCTAGAACAAAGTACTTGCGTTATGGGCAAGGATCGGCTTGGTTGGCAGCAATTTGTGGAGATCGCAGACTGTGTCCGTCAGTTCATGAATAAACGGCAGAGTCTTATAAGAGAAGCGAACGAGCAGGCTCAAGAAATGGCAAGAGCCATTGACATCACGATTATTGGCTTGTTCAGTCTAAACCCGTGAGTCAGAATGCCTACAGTCTTTAAATGGGAGGCTGCTTACTTTATGAAGGACTGCTACTTTAAGCCTACAAAAACCGTCTATCGTCAAGATACCAAAGTTTGAACCTCTTCCGCAAACCCATGGCGCCGAGGACACTTGGATTCCATACCCTCGACAAGCCAAGTCACAGCAAGCCCACACCAATTGTGTGATAACTGGCGTGTTTAATCTAGCTGTTATTTTGTGGGATATATCAAATTACCTTTTTGGGGATGAGAAACCCCTAAGTCTTGATCCTATAGAGGCCGATGCATTCTATTACCGCCTAACAAAATGGGCTGAAGACCTTCCAGAATGCATCAGCCTGAAAAACACCCCAACGCCAGGTGTAATGGACATGCAGTAAGTCAAATTATCTAATTGTGAGAGTAGATGCTAATTTATTGGCCATGGAGTATGCGATATCATAATGCTATCTTGGTAATGTATGGGTTTATTCAACCAAGCCTTAAGCAGAGCGAATCAGCCGCCAAGGACAGAATCAAAATCCTCCGACTAGCTACGGCTCGTGCTATAAGTGCTATACTCAATCAATTTCGCTCTCTGTGGCCGTTGGAATATGTGCCGATGAACTCCATGCAATACGCCACTGTGGCTTTGTTTACGCTGCTAGAGGACCTAGAGGACCAGCAAAACAAGAAGGTGTTTGGGGATATTCTCACGGCTCTTCGCGCGCTTTCACGCCGGTGGCAATTGGCAAAAGGGATGCTTCGTCTTGTACAATTAACTGCTATCAAAGAGGAGGTCAACCTTCCTAATGAGGCACAGATTCTTTTCACGGATTTTGAAGCAGAGCTTTGGAAGGCAGACGATCGCGAACAATTCAGCAGCCTCTATCCGAACTTTGCCGTGTCTATTAATCAAGGGAAATCAGATCTGTCTGTCGATGGGGCCGAGCTAGACCGATTTCTCGATGAGTGGGACAAACTCGCTCTCTCCGAGAGGGAAGGGGAAAGCGACAACAAGAACTAGCATTGGAATTTTCTCGTGAAACCTGGGAATGGCTTCCCGGCGTAACGTGTGGGACTGTGCTCGGATTGAAGTTCCGAGATTTGACAGCATACCCTACAACAGATCTTTGTATTTCCGATATGAGTCCAGAGGCTATATATACATGGAGCCCAAGTTGACTGTAAACCTGACTTTTCGTCCGAATTAGGATTTCCCGACGTGTTTGCTGCTATATTAGCGTTGATTGCTATGCCTATCACAGATTTATCCAAATTAAGAGGAGAGTAATTATGGAGGCAATCGAGGTAGTGGTGTATGGGAGTTTCGTGGAATTTCGAAATTATACGTCAAGCAGTCGTTCTGGAATTATCTTTGTCAATTCTTAGATGGAATGTCCAGGCCGTATATTAATCCGAGTCAGCGTGGTTTTGGTCACGATCCGAGAAACAAAGCGCGAGTGTCTGGGGGGTAAATTTGGGTTCAAATCCTACTGTAGTTACAGGTATGTTTTAGCAATAAATGATAGTAGCCAAGACCTTGCCAACGTCCCTCGACCTTTCCAGCTCATGTTAAAGTCGTTATTCAACGGAGAAGTTTTTTCATATGAGCATGCTCTGAATGCAATCTCTTCTTACAGATTAGTAGATGCTAAGTCCACTGAACTCGATATTGATGCTTGAAGCATGAACGGTCAGCCGCCAGAGGCCTCATTGGTCAGGCCTTTCATGTATGTACATGGGTCATGTGATCATTGATTGTTTGTAGAGTTTGTTCCTCTGGGTTGTCTTCCGTTCAACACTTCTTTCCCTGGATCTATATTTTCCTATAGAACATTTTCATGTGTCATGCTTTATTTGGATCTTACCTTAGGAGGCATCCACGTTGACAGGTGCCATTTCAGTATACAATTGACACGTGACTCTTACCTGGGCAATGTCCTGGCTAAATTTACTTGCAATCCCTTGTTCCAATGATCTATAGTGGTAAATAAAAGTGAAGGCATTACTCCCGATGTAATAGCTTATTGCGAGGCTGTAAGCTCGTTCAGTTTGCATTCATAGTATACCTATCGAGCTGTATTTCTGATATCGTCTTCGAATACGGGTAGAGAGAAATATACATTGCAGCCAACAGACTGAAAGAAATCCACAGGGAGTGCATCAAGGAAAATGCATATTTTGTAGATAATATCCATACAAGATAATTGCATAGACGTTATCACTTTATGCTGCAACAAAATATCTCCTTGACGCAGCTCACGTTGGACATTCTCAGCTGAGTCATCACAATAGGGCCGACCGCCGAAAAAAACAGCTTAGCTTGCGGAATTCGGTCGTGAGCGCAAATCTGAATTGGCCAATTACCCCGGCTGATGCCATAGCCTTGGGATCTCCATGAAGTTGACGCCCTTCAGGTGTGTGGCCCTATTGCGGGCCCGAAGCGTAACCCCGCGGGTCCAATCGATGACACAGATCCGTGCCCCTCCTCGAATTTCTTTTCTTCCATCACCTCCACGCGCATTCACCATGGCGACCGCAGCAGCCCCTGAGTCTTCGCTCCTCTCCCTCCTCTACCGGTCGTACCCGACTGCCATCTCAGCAGATGCCACCGAGCTTGATTATGCTCACGCCTCGCCCAAGATCTTCCCTCAGGTGAACTTTGGCGAGGCCGAGACCGCCGATATCAAGCAGTGGTTGACCACCGTTTCGGGCCTCTCGACTGCCATCTCTAAGGATGATAAGCCCGTCTGTGAAAGCATTCTCGCCCAGCTGAACACCCACCTCGCTTCGCGCACTACTCTGCTCGGTGCGATGCCTTCGGTCGCCGATGTTGCCGTTTATGCTCTGGTCGCCCCCATCGTCGAGAAGTGGTCGCCCGAGGAGCGCACCGGAGAGAAGGGATACCATCATATTGTGCGCCACGTCGACTTTGTTCAGAACTCGCACCTCTTCTCACTGCAGATCCCCGAGGAGGAGAAGGTGAACATTGACGTGAACGATGTCAAGTTCGTGCCCAAGCCCGTCGACCCTAAGGAGGAGAAGGAGCGCAAGAAGCGCGAGAAGGCCGCTCAGAACCCTGAGGCTGCTGCCGCCGATACGAAGCCTCTTGTTGTTGGCCAGGGCAAGCCCGAGAAGAAGGAGGGTGCTAACGCCGCCCCCGCCGGTGCTAAGACCGAGAAGAAGGAAAAGAAGGAGAAGAAACCCAAAGCCCCTAAGCCCGCGCCTGCTCCCGCTGCCCCTCTGTCGCCCTCTCTCATCGACCTCCGTGTCGGCCACATCCTGCGCGCCATCAACCACCCCAACGCCGACTCCCTCTACGTCTCCACCATCGACTGCGGTGACGCCCCCGGTAGCGACAACACCTCCGTGGATGAGGAGACCGGAAAGACCGTCCGCACCGTGTGCTCCGGTCTGAACGGCCTGATCCCTCTCGCCGAGATGCAGGGCCGCAAGATTGTTGCCGTCTGCAATCTGAAGCCCGTCACCATGCGCGGCATCAAGTCCGCCGCCATGGTTCTGGCCGCATCCCCCAGGAACGACGAGTCGCACGCCGGCCCCGTCGAGCTTGTCAACCCTCCCGCTGACGCCCCCGCTGGTGAGCGTATCAATTTCCAGGGCTGGTCCGAGGGTGAGCCCGAGAAGCAGCTCAACCCCAAGAAGAAGGTCTGGGAGACCTTCCAGCCTGGTTTCACCACTACCCAGGACCTCGAGGTTGCTTTTGACAGCAGTGCTGTCCCCGTTGCCAAAGAGCAGGAGGGCAAGCCCGCCATTGGCAAGCTGGTCACTGCCTCTGGAATCGTGTGTACCGTCAAGTCCCTGAAGGATGCTACTGTGCGGTAAACGAAATTCTTTGCTGTTGGAGGATGGTCGATACCAAAAATTCATAAAGTGCATATTCACGAGAAGACGAAAACAATTTCAAAATTTACAGTACTTTCAGTGTTGATATGTTAAACGAGCAATGAAGACTTTCAAATAAGCTATCTGTAAACCAAATGACGCTGCGGCAGAGCTCACGGAGGCTCGATTACCCTGAAATTAGCGGGGAAAGAAGCACCTGTTGAGCTTAACTATTACTCGACATTGTGAAAAGACATATGATTGAGCGAGAGGCCCAAGGAAGCTAGAATCCATGTCAGCAGGGGTTTCTTTCAAATATTGGAGGAATTGGCCTGCTTATGTTCAAGGAAATACGTGTTTCGAACAATTTTGGGCATTATATTATTAGATGCAATTGATAGGATTCTGTTTACAAGAGCCTAGAGGGCTATTTCTATGAAAATCATCTATTGTCTCTGTCAACTACCTTCGTGCACCTGTCTGTGAACTCCACTATGTCAAATCACGCCGGAGAAGCGAATGCAAGCGAAGGGCCCCGCTGATCAAAGACCACAAACAATGCCTTTAGGAATACATCACCAAAGATCATCATGCTAGAGCCTGAACTCGACTGTACGCCACCATAGCAGACTGTTTCACAAGTTAGCAAGAACCTCCAAGATATCAGAAGAAAGAAAAAACTTACCCTTTTCACCAGTCGTAGTATTCGTCCCAATCTCCTCGAAATTAATCAACGATCCAGGAATAGTCGCCTGATACTTATCACCCAGTGCAACAGTCAAGTTAGGCAGATCCTCCTTGCAGGGGTAGACGTAGCCACCAACGCTCGACGAAAGTTGGGCATTAGCGACACTACCATAGTAGGCCTCCAGCATCTGGGTGGGAACAAGCATCAAAGAAGTACCGGTATCAGCGATAGCAGTCTTCACACTACCGGTAAGGGTCTGCAAAGACCCATCTCCCACAGCGAAGAATGCCGAGTCGAACTGCCAGTATCCATTCGATGAGTCGACGCTGACATTCACTAGGGAGCCGGTATATTTGCTGGAATCAATTTTTCCGAACTCGTACTCGCCGACACCGTCGCTGCGTAATAGGGATGTGAAGACGGGTTCTTCGAGGTCCGAGGCGATGTTGTCGAAGAAGGTCTTCTGGGGGCCTGGCTTGAATGTGTTCATGGATGAGAAGCCCAGACCGAGCAGGCCATTTGAGTTCGTGTCGGAGACGAATGAGGTTGAGACGGTCGAAGGAAGACCGATTGCTTGGTTCGTGATTGATGCACCGCCGATGGAGACGGTATCTCTACAGACTGTTCCCTTGGCCCAGGAATTGTCGCCGTATGAGATTTCGAAAGAGCTGTCCGTGACTGCTTTGTAGGTGGTGGAACTGCTGGGGTTATAGACAGTATGGCCCGTGGTGTATGATGAGTCCATGTTCGAGTTCAAAACCCACCTGCGTGAACATGTTAGCTTTCTATTGATCTTGAGGCTGAAGATAGGACGATGGCGGGAATAGACGTAAACGTACATGTCTGCGGAGCCGGTATCGAAGTCCATTGGGATATCTTGACCTCCAATGGTGACGGTCGAGATGAACTCCACGTCGCTGTTGACAGACTTCGCAGCGACTTCTCCCGTCTGATCATCGTCGCTTGAATCCGTGCTGGTTGAAACGGCGCTTTTGGCAACCTTGTAGGCCTCAAAATCATTCAGATCAACGTCGATGAAGGTGGTCGGGGCGAGGCCGAACTTGCGGTACGCCTTGGCTAGAGCATTGGGTCCGTTGGGAATATATTCGCTGCGCTTAGCTCGCTCAACACGGAAAGACCGGGTTCTCCGTTGAGGTCGAAGAGCTGTTGGCGCAGCTAGAGAGTCATAGCTCAAGAAAATAAAAAGTACAAGCGAAAGTAATAGACGCATTTTGTCTGAACTCCAGTGGAGTAGACTGGACCAGCCAGATATAGGAGGAAGGAATGGTTCAGAAGAGAAGTCAATATGCCTCCAGGGCTATAAAAGAGCGAAATACTTCACAATGAGATGTTTCGCAGTTCCTGTTGTCGAATGAAATGAAATGATCGTCGACAGGACCAGGCACCGCCTAGGTCTTCAAGGCACCGGCAGACTGCAAAAGGAGAGAAACAGACAGCACAGCGCTCCAAGCTCCGAACGGAGCTGAGAGATGAGAGATGAGAAAATGAATAAAGAACGAAAAAGAGCTCCAGCTTCACAAAGGAGGAAAGAAAACGCCAATCCCGGGGATCCGAATTCTATAAAAGCGCACAAAGAGCAAGTCCACTATGTACACGCCACAGCGCCTCTAAGGCATGGTACGCGTGGTGGACTGCGTAGCTGTTTCTGATTCTCGCCAATTGAAGCCATCCACCTATCACGACACCTGCTGCTACGACAAGCCCTTGGCCGTTACTCGGCATTCGACTTGGCCGGATCCTCGGCTCGAAATGGAGCTGTCACAGCAAGAAGAGGACATGGCTCCGGACTGGGGAACTCCTGAGCCCCTCGCAGTACTCATCTTTCTGATACAGCGAGGTGTTTGGCATAGGTGGAGATCTTCTGGGCGCGTGGGTCTGACAGGCGAGACCATTCAGAATGCGGATGCGCTGGTGGTCGGTTGATCCTGAAACACCGCTTGGCGGGTAACTCGCCAATCACGGGGCTGAGAGGTAGACCCCTTGAAACAGTGCAGTAGGCGGAAAGGTTGGAAGTGAGGAGTTCAAGAGACGCCTAGAAGGAGTTCGGTGGCTTGGTTTAATTTATGTCGTTCCTATGTCTGTTAGTGTCGTCGCTGATTCCTTAATAGGGGTCGGCCCGGCCTTCAGACCAAGCGACCGAAGTAACCTACCTTTGTTTACTCTTTTAATTTAATAGATGAGATCTAGAGCCATTCGATCATTCAACAATTTGTTAGAATTTTAACCTTGTCCTATTTGGGGAAAGAAGGGTCACAAGGGTCTGCAGAGGTCGCCTGCTCGGCCTTGAGAGTCGACGAACATCGCCCATCAACTGTTCACTTGAGGGGACAGACAAGTGCAATTTGAAGAAGCACGGCTTTGTGTATGAAATGTGGCAATTTAGGCTGGTCTGCACTTGGCAGATGATAGAGATGGCGTCTGTCACCGCGATGATGTGTATGTTGACAATGCCAAAGAGCCCAAGAGCTTACAGAGAAATGCCCACAAGGCTGGCCACTAGAGTGCCTACTAGTTAAAGAAATATATAGGAGCTCAAACTATGCCGTGAGAAAATTGTTCGCTTTGACAAGCTTATGAATAACCTGGTCAAATTCAAGATTTGATGGGGTTGATATGTGGAGGGGATTCCAGACTCCTTCCGGAAAGCAAGAGATGGAGGGTGGAAGCTTCGGTGGAAGGGTCCTACTGTAAGGGCCAAAGCATCATAATCAAAAAAAACCATTAAGAAAGGGTTACAACATTGGTTTTAGATCATTTAATCAAAAGGATCACAAATGGCCGAGTCGAAAGGTGCAGGCACAAAAGACTGCGAAGCCCTCTCGAGTTCAGCAGAGCCAAGTCTAAGCACTTCAGACCTTCTGTGAAAGATCTCTTTTGCTCACGGATATAATACATGGACTTGACTTGACTTTTCTTTTCTTTTCTTCTCGTTTTCTATTTTTTCAGAAACTCATACCTGAAGAATCTTGTGACCATTTTCTGCCCAGCAGGGAAGACTCGGCTGTAGGGGCATTCGCCTTCAGCGACTAAACGATGTCATAAACAGGCCATCATTTAGAACGATAGCAAAAGTCCACAAGATATATAAGGCGACGGTCTACCTAATCGAGCAGTTAGGAACGGCGTCGAATCTGTTTCTCCGAAATGATCGACATGGCGAGTGCTAAGAGCTTCCTATTTGGGAAACACAGCATCATATCAAGTATTCCGAACCCTTCAGTCAATCCCCGCGGGGCAGCTTCCCCACAACATGCCATCATTATGGAGGTTCTTCAGTTCATACGGCTGCGGAATGTAGAATTATGACGAGCAACAGAGCAGACATTCTTGCAGAGCTCGGCAATTACTGGGCGTATATAAGGGAGACGATGGATCCCCGTTCCCGTCACGCAGGTTACCCAGGTTTCGGTAACTATGGCAATTCTGATCGGCTTTACGATACTATGGACGCTGGCTATCCAGGTTGTCGCCAGTGTATTTAATAAGAGTATGCTTGTACCATTCCATGACAAGCCTCGCGTGTTCATTTTGTCGGATATCTCCAATGAACCCGACGACCAGGAATCATTGACCCGTTACCTGCTCTATTCCAATCAGTTCCAGACCGAGGGCATTGTCGCTGTCACTTCAACATGGCTCACCGATGAAGTTCACCCTGAGGCTATGGTGAGTGTCATCAATGCCTATGGCAATGTCACCAGTAATCTGAACCGTCATGCCCCCCTGGGTTCGCCCTATCCATCAGGTGACCACGTCCGAAGCCTTGTGCGCAAAGGCGCCGCAGTGAGTATAGTTCTATTTCTAATGCCATGTTGGCGATTCTGACATGTTGTCCAAGACCTATGGAATGAAAGCCGTAGGGAAGGACATCCCACTAAGCGATGGAGGAAAACTGCTCCTCGAGCGCCTCCAAGACGAAACCGACGAGCCCCTATGGGTCCTCGCCTGGGGTGGTACAAACGTACTCGCCCAAGTCCTATACAAAATCCATGAGAACTACTTTTCAACCAAAGCCAAAGCCATGCGCTCCAAGCTCCGCGTTTATACCATCTCTGACCAGGATGACACTGGTGCCTGGATTCGTCAACAGTACCCCGATATCTTCTATATCTCCTCGATACACGGCTGGAACCAGTACGGCCTGGCTGCATGGATCGGTATCTCTGGCGAAGACTATTACGGCGAAGATGCCGGCGGGCCCGACTTCTCTAAAGTGACGCATAAGTGGTTGCACGACAATATCCAGATCAGACCATACGGCAAAGCTGCCTACCCAGACTATGCGTATATTATGGAGGGGGATACGCCGACATTCCTGTATCTCATTCAGAATGGACTAGGCGTTCGCGAGCACCCAGATTACGGCTCTTGGGGAGGCCGGTACTCGAAAGTGAACCCATCCACGGTCTTAAACTTCAATCACTACAGCGATGCAGCGGACCGTGTTCTCGGGAAGAACAACCACACATATATTTCCAACCGGGCGACAATCTGGCGATGGAGAAATGCCTTCCAGAATGACTTCGCAGCTCGTATGCAGTGGTCTCTGCCAGCGAATATGAGTAAGCCGAACCACCACCCCGTGGTGTCAATTAACGGCAGCACCGGGCCAGTCCCGTTGAATCTCACCGTGGAAGCTGGTTCGACTGTTACCCTGGATGCATCTGCTACTTCAGACCCCGATGGTGATGCTCTGACTTTCAACTGGTTCCAGTACAAAGAATCGGGCTCAACTGATTGGAATGTTGAGGCACAGGTTCCCCAGCTGAATATTAGCACTTCAAATGGTGGTCGGCTTGCGCAGATGCCGATCCCAGCGGAGAAAGTGAGCTGCGATGGCGAAGGGGCTAATCCATCTGGATGCTGGTTGCTTCATTTGATCCTTGAGGTTACGGATAATGGGCACCATCCGTTGACTAGTTATCGTCGGGTGTTGTTGCAGACGACGAACACTACACAGACTTCAGCATAATAGGATAATCGCTCGAATTGAATTAAAATAACGCTTTCAATGTAACAAAGATAGGTAGCTGGCCGCATGGGAAGCCCGAATAATAAGTCTAACGTTAGATACAAAGTCAGTCCTCTAGCTTGTCTACGTCATCTGGAACCAGGGACCGAAATGGGTTCCCCCGATCAGGCGCAACCATAACACCAGCCGCTTAAACGCTATACCAAATCCCCAGAGAGTAACATAGACTCGGCAAATCTTCATGAGCTAAATGCGGATTACTCCAGATAAAGCTATCAAAGCTTGAAATTTCTTTCAAACATGCGCCATTCTCAATTCCTTGCTCATGAACTCGCCCACGAGTGACAGAAGCCAAGAACACTTGGATCCTGAACTTTTTATTGAGTGGCCAAACTTACCAGAGGACCCGATATCCCACACTTCCTCCTAAGTAGTCTTCCTTGAGTCTCATCGCTAGACTCAACGAAAAGCTTTCTGTATAGGTATAGTAGCAAATGAGCATGGCATGAAATTTGCGGCGATTCAGCCACCGTCGGTTTATTCAGTGCGACTATATCTCGAATGTTTGCAATAGCATGAATAGGAGGATATTAATCGATGGTAACTCAGGCCACTCTGTAGACCTGTTTCCATCTTTTGAAAAGCGCCACTTTCTTTTAACATTTGAATGGAGATGACGATGATATTGATGCAATTCGTAAACTATGTCGTATAATCCATGGTATCAAAGCAAATTCTATGTCCAAACGCCGAAGGGTGGGATCATACCATCCAAGCCACATGCAACACACGCTATAAAATGAAAGCAAGGTCTGAGACGAGCTCAAGCGACCATATCTTCAGGAAGAACATCCTCTGGGTTCTCTCCAACGGCCTCGCCGACTGCACGGACAACACGCTTGATAGCGATAGAGGCAGGGCTATCGGGGAAGCTGTCCACGAAGCTCTCGCCATAGTCACATGCCATACCGATGCGAGGATCAAGTGGAACCGCACCTAAAAACGGGATGCCCATCTTCTTCGCCAAACGACGTCCTCCGCCAGTAGTTTTACGGAAGATCTGAGATGTGGTATGGCAATTAGTGCATACAAATCCAGACATGTTCTCCACCAAACCAAGGACCTTGATTCCAGCTTTCCGGCAGAAGTCAATTTCCTTGCGGACATCCAATAAGGCTACCTCCTGCGGGGTAGTCACAACTACAGCACCATCGACACCAGACTCCTTGAGAAGTGAGTTGACAGAGAGATGCTCGTCAGAGGTACCAGGCGGCGTATCAACAATGAGATAGTCCAGCTCGCCCCAATCCACATCCTTGAGGAACTGTTTGATCAAGCCATTCTTCTTTGGCCCGCGCCAAATGACCGCATCGTCGCGATTCGGAAGCATGAACTGTACACTCATCGCGCCCAGGTTGTCCGTCACCCAGACGGGACTCCAGCCCGCGTTGCTTACATGGATCGTCTCGGCCTCCACGCCCATCATCTTGGGGATCGAGGGTCCACAGATATCGGTGTCCATGACGCCAACGGTGGACTCGGGGTTCGTGGCGAAGGCATGTGCGAGGAGACTAGTGAATGTCGATTTACCGACGCCTCCCTTTCCGGAGAGGACTAAGATCTTGTGTCTGATTTGTGAGAGGCGCTCGGTGATGATAGGGATGTCTGGGTCGGGGCCTTTGGGCGCAGTGGCGCAAATCTGTTGGTTGGGGCAGCCAGCACAAGCATCGCCTTGGCCTGCTTTCTCGGACTCGGGGCCAGGGCAATGTTCTGGAATTTATGTTAGATTCATGCACAAGACCAATTTCCCCGCGGAACATACCTGGTTCCGGTGCCACGAGGTTCGGCGCCCTCTTGGTGGATGCGGTGAGAATTGACTCGTTCGGCTCCTCCACGTAGGGTGCCATGGCGGAATGGTTTCTTCTCTCAGGTGTAAAGATAGTAAGGAGCAAGGAAGTATTCAGGTAAAGAGAAATCCATGGCCGGTGGCGGGGCGATTAGAATGCTTGATAAGCAGGCTGACTAACAAATCCGTGGCGATTGGCGGAGTTGCTTGCGGTCTCGGAGGCCTCGCTGCTTGATTTGGATCAAAGTAATGCTCGAATACTTTAAACAGCTTAAATTTCGGAGGTAAAAAGTTGAGTACTTAGTGGTCAATTGGGATTATCACGGGAAGAGTTCTTCGTACAATGAATGTGAGGGGATGGTTGGACTATCCATCAGCAGCCCACCGGCTCTAGTCCGTTCACTATACTATGTATGGGCTTTCCTGAGCCTTTTGACGACCTATCTGCTGCTAAGATTAAAATAGGATGGACTCTGCAGTGTCGATTCATTGCTCTGTCCGTGCTGTAGGCCAGCTTCAGGCAGTCTTCCAAATGGGCTAAACGAGCTCCTGGGTTAGAGTCCTGAGGGGTCATGCCACTATCCAATCATTCCGTTTAGCACCAGGTACCCGACCCCCGTAGGCCTGTCAGAACCCTAGCCATGCAAATATCTTGATTTGGGATCTCCACAGACGATCAGTGCATCGGCGCATTACATGTGGGACACTGCAGGTGAGGCCAGAAGCGGGGGTGTTGGAGTGTTGAGCCAGCGCGATATCACTGGTTCTTTAGCACTTTGGAGGGCAGTGCGAACGCCATGGTGTTACGGTATCCATTATCAATCTCTACGCACTGACATCGGCAGCCCTGGATCTGCCTTTCCAAGTGTCCTGGCGCGTTAGAAGAGATGATGTCAACCCCACTCCACTATGCATGCATGCCCTCATTCGTGGAAAGGATCCAACGTGCGCATTTCATGGCCACGGCCAAGTCACAAACCGCATACAGTAGAAAGTTTAGCGTGGCCTGTACCTGTGTTTCGGAGGTGATGGGCACATGGTTGCTCTGACATCCGCACTTGCCGCTGCGCGCATCGGTCTGGGAGCCGACACGTTGCCCAACGGATTCTGCACGAGGAAACTCGGGCTCGATAGCCATCATGCTCGTAGAGGGGGGGGCCCACGGCATTATATCGCGAGGAAACACTAGACTTAGCGTGAGAGGATCCCGTTTCTTTCCCCTTCTGCTCCATTCGGGGCCCGCAGACACTAAGGTCCTATGAGAAACTCGGATACTCAGGGTTCCACTCAACGCCAATTCCACCCATAAATACGGCACTTTCTCTCTCAACCATTTCCAAGACGTTCGAAAAGAAGACCCCTGAGATATTTACCCAGGGTAGGTATAGTACACAAAGTACGAAGTACTGAAGTACGGAGCACAAAGCACAAAGCACGTAGTTCCGTGGTTGATGCAAACAGCACAACACCGAATTGCGACCCGCTGTCACATGCTACGTCACTGATCGCAGCCCCAACAGTTTCTTTCCTCAACACCATCATGGATACGGGCCGTTCAACAGGTGCCCAGCAGCCAGATGGCTTGCGTGAAAGAGTGTCTCGCCCTGATTCAACTGGGGGTCGAGATGCTCTGAATGCCATTGGTGAGATCGACATCAAGGATGGGAATGGCAAGGACCAGAAGACCTTTGGGCGGACGCCCGCTGGAACAGGTAAGTTCGTTGTCTTCAACTCTCCCTGTGTTTCACGATGATACACATGGTACATTCGCAATATACCGTCATATCACGTCTCCCCAGACCCTTGTGGAGCTTCCCCCGCTAATCGGGTCCGTTCCGATCGACAGTGTTCACGGTGCCCCAAACCCATGATATGGTCTCCCAGCTCTTGTCGCCATCCGAACCCAAGAACATGTCCGATGCGGTTGTACTAGTGTTGTTAGCTCTCCATATTTCACTTCTCTGGGTTCTCCCAGCCGGCGCCAAGGTGCCGGTCTTTGCGGTCGTGTACCTCTTCTGGCGCGCGGCATACAATGGTGGAATTGGATGGCTGCTTCACAACCAGTCGCATCACAAGACTATGATTCGATGGGCGGAGAAGACCAAGATCTTTGTCAACCCGGCCACGGGCGAGAACCCTCATCCTACTCTGTACAATTGGATCAAGCGGGAGTTGGAAACCAAGATCCCGCAAGATTACAAGTTTGACAATGCACCCATTGAATACAACACATGGCTTGTCTTTAGACGTCTCGTGGACGTGATCCTGATGTGTGACTTTACTTCCTACTGTCTGTTTGCGATCGCTTGTGGCCACCGTCCCGTGGACGAGAGTATGATCATGACTGTCCTCCGGTGGACCGCGGGCATCGTACTCGTGTTGTTTAACCTCTGGGTCAAACTAGATGCGCATCGAGTAGTCAAGGACTATGCTTGGTACTGGGGTGACTTTTTCTATCTCATCGACCAGGAATTGACCTTCGACGGTGTATTCGAGATGGCGCCACACCCCATGTACTCGGTCGGCTACGCCGGCTACTACGGAATTTCTCTTATGGCTGCCAGCTATAAGGTTCTCCTCATCTCGATCATTGCCCATGCAGCACAATTCGTCTTCCTGATACTCGTTGAGAATCCACACATCGACAAGACCTATAATCCACCACCACCCCGAAAGCGATCCGTCTGTGTGGATTCGACCTCCAGCCTACCTCTCGACTCAGACTCCCCATCAGCGCCAACCCTGTCTGACGACCTTCCTCCCAATGCGTCTCCATCGTATTCGGCTAAGCCCCCGCCGTCGGTGCACAACCTACTCGGATTGAACAACCTGGATTTGTATAGAATTACAGATTCGTCCATTATACTTATACAATTGCTAGTATTCGCCATTGCCGCCTTGACACCGTCCACTCCACTGTATCAGTTCCTGTTCATGGTCAATGCCGTGGCTTGGCGCGCATGGTTCACGTTAGGCATCGGTTACCTTCTCAACAACCAGTCCAACAACAAATCCTGGACTAGACATTTCCTCAAATTTGGTGAAACCCCACAGGAGGCGTGGAATCAATGGAAAGGCACCTACCACCAGAGTATGATTATGTGCTACGCCAGCTTCATTGCCGCTGCATGGAAGATGTATACCTTCCCAGCCGATTGGGGTTACGGCTTGGTGCTGTTCCGTCACGTTCTTGGTGTAGGCCTCATTAGTTTGCAGCTATGGACCTCGGTCAGCATCTACGATTCCCTCGGCGAGTTTGGCTGGTTCTACGGAGATTTCTTCTTCGACGAGTCGCCCAAGCTCACTTACGATGGCATCTACCGCTTCCTTAACAACCCCGAGCGTGTTCTTGGTCTCGCAGGTGTCTGGGGTGCAGTCCTCATTACCAGCAGCGGTGCAATCACCTTCCTGGCTCTACTGAGCCACATCCTGAGCCTTGCTTTTATCCAATTCGTGGAGCGCCCACACATGCAGAAGCTGTACGGCCGCAGCATCCGCCAGGATGGAGGTGTCGTCAAGAACCTGAAGAAGTCCTTGCCTTCGCCCCTGAAGCAGTTGCATGGCAGTGTCGACAAGATGTTCGACGACTCCTTCGAGTTCATTGAAGAGATTCTGGACAATGCTCGCCCTAAGCTCGCTGCCGGTGTCAACACCTTCGTCAAAGATACCACTGCCCTCTTTCAGAAGTACCCTGCTCGTGTCACCATCTCTCGTATCGACGCTGATTTGGCCGGTCTCGACTTGGGTGACTACTCCCTCTCTGTCGAAGGCACTGAGGCCAAATCGTTCGACGAAAGCGCACAGGGTAAGGGTCGCGAAGGTGCCAATGCCCAAGCTCCCCTAGACCGCCGAGGCGACCTTAAGAACTTGACCTTTGAATACGGCGCCCCGATCAAGGTCAAGTGGACTGCTCCTCTCAACCACAGCAAGAAAGACTGGATTGGTCTCTACCGCGTTACGGATAGCTCCTCGCGGGAGGTCTCTCGTGTCTCGTCGCAGGGTCGTTGGGTCGCCACTAACGAGGGCTTCTACGACAACCTGACTTGCGAGAAGGGCATCATCACAAGTGATGTCGCTGTTCGTTCTAACATCAAGGGTGACAAGCGCGAGCTTGCATCCGGCGAAGTTGCATTCACTGGCGATAAGCTTTTCTGGACGCAGGGTGTCTTTGAGTTCCGCTACCACCACAATGGCATGCACAATGTCATGGCTATTTCCAGACCATTCGAGATTCGCATTCGTCGCTTTGATGAAGACAATCCCACTGTTGATAGCGATGGTATCGTGCAGACTGCTGTCGAGAATGCCCTGCTGCCTCTTGTCCGCAACTGTTTCGATCAAGACCCCGAGATTGCACCTGAGACCGTGGAAGAGCAGTTCGGCAGTCTCGTGGAGCGGGAAGGCAAGTTCGCCAAACGGGTTGTCTTTGCTGTTCACCAAATGTAAGTGAACCCCCCTCCACTCATTTCCGTTTCTCACTAACGTCTGCACAGGTTCGGTGTCGAGTTGGCACCTGAAGTCGTCAAGGCCGATGGTAACGTCCTCAACCTTGCTTGGAGGATATGCAATGCCAAGAAAGTTTTGGTATGTACCATCTTGCGCCCTGAATTGCAGACTCAATCTAACCCTTCCCTCCAGGCCCCCTATAGCATGTCCCGATCGAATGGCACCACAACGCCTGTCGACGTTGGGAGCAAGGAGTAAACCCAACTCCAGAAGAACCACCTACATCATGAATCGGAAAAGAAGGTGAGCGGACGCAGCGATTGTTAGAGTGGTTTCGGCGTCTGGAATATCCCGAATCGAGGTTTCACTGTTTCTTGAAGACAAACATTGTCGCTCCTAGGAGGAGCAGCAAATAAAATAAAATAGGAGGTTCAGTTTTGATTTAAACATATTGATGCTTCTCCTGGACGTTTAGGGCTGGCCTGCAAGGTGTGGGTGTCCGTCGACTTTTACGTCCTTTCTACTGAGGACCTTGAGAAACAATCGAGGACCTTTGCTTCATGACCATATTTTTGTCCCTTCATATTATTTATACTTATACACAACTTCATCTACTGCTTGTGCATACAAGATTCATCAAAAGTAGTTCATTCAAGCTCTAGCTAGTCTTTACAATATGCATCGACAACCTAAACTTGAAAAGAGTTAGCTTCAAATCTTCAAAGTCAACATCAGACATGACAGGCATGTATTTTAAATTGTAATCAGCAAGCCGGTTAACTCATCCCATCCTCTGCTAACCTCTCGAGCTAAACTCTCGTCCAAGACGGACAGCCAGCCAACCCGAGAAAAGCTAACACAAGCCGAGCGCAGTACCACATCCCAAAAAATCCCAGAGGAAGCAAACGTCGACTTAGCCCACACCTCCAGGGCTCCACAACCTTCCTCCCAGTCCGTCGTAAGACAGACTGGTCCAGTATAGGGAGTTGGAAGTATAGATCGACGCCTACGCTCTGGCACCGCTGAGATGCGGGTGCGTAACGAGAGGCGGTTCTCAAAGGAGTTCGTTGAATGGATTGACTAGTTGTCATCATACAAGGGGGGTGGTGTGGTGTGGGAGGAAGAGTGAGTATGTACCTTATGTAAAATATGGAGGCTTAGATGCAGCGACAGTGCAACTAGAAAATATAGGCTTCAAATTGTCAGCGGCGATGTCATAAACATGGGCAACAAGACAAAAATGTGGTTGAGGCATCATCAGGAGTTTTTGGTAAGGTATTTTGTTATCTTCAAAAATTTTGCAGAAGCAGAACTGAAAATTGTTTCTCATCATAGAAGAGCCAAGGAAAGGAAGGCAAAAAAAATCTCTCGCTTACCTTAGTTTCTGGGTTAGCTTCGAAAAGCTAGCGCCGACAAGCTTGGTCAGGGATAAGCAAAAATGGAAGAAGAAAAAATCCTGTCTGAAATCATGGTCAGCCCCAATGCCTTGGGTATCGAAATTGTGACAATGAAATAGCAATGGTGTCCATCAGATGGTAGTGCATGTTGTTCTTGGCTCATGGGTTGATTCGCCGAACAGAGATTTGGATCGGTCTCCTCATATGGACGGGGAGGGTGCAATTGGGGAAAGAATGGCAGGGAGACTCACAGTAATGTTAGTGGGTGATATAATAGGTCATACTCGAAGTTTAGCCACCTTGGGAAAGCTTCTTCAGCATTAAGAAGAGCTGCCAACCCAAGTTGTAAACAACACAGGAGTGTGGAAGAAAGAGAAAATGGGCGAGCGAAGAATTCGAGAAAAGGCAATGGGTGGGGTCCGGTGCAAACAGTGCAAACCCTAGATCACAATTTCCGTTTCTGGGCGCATCACCTTCGACCTTTCCATTAGTTCTTGCAACAATCACCAAAATGATGGCTGATCGGAGACGTGTCAATGGCCCGTCCGGAGGGACGAGGCCAGCTGTTTTTGCTTCGCTCGCAGAATCCGGTACCGGTGTCTCAGAGCGCGCTCAGCGCCAGCGACAACCTTCAGAGCTCCGGAAAATCTGTATGGACTCCATATATCCATGTCCATTGGCGACAGCAAGCTAACCCACATTGCTCCAGTCCTCAAGACGGGTCTTATCCCAACTGCCTCGGGCTCTTCATATCTTGAATTTGAGCCTTCCGCCTCTCTCGCCGCTGCCCGCATCAACCCTAAATCTCTGATCCCGCCCTCCTCAGCTCTGAAGCTTGCTTGCACAGTTCACGGTCCCAAGCCGTTGCCGCGGTCTGCGGCATTCTCCCCCAATCTTGTCCTGACAACACATGTCAAGTACGCGCCGTTCGCGGCGCGCAAGCGAAGGGGCCATATCCGCGATGCTAGCGAACGGGATCTTGGTGTCCACCTGGAGACTGCTCTGCGTGGCGCTATCATTGCAGAGCGCTGGCCGAAGAGTGGTCTGGATATTACTATCACTATCCTTGAAGCGGAGGATGACCGGTGGTGGGCAGATGCTCCAGACTCTCACGATGCATCATGGGGAATGATGAATGTTCTGGCGGGCTGTATCACAGCTGCATCGGCTGCTATTGCTGATGCTCATATCGATTGTCTGGACCTTGTTGCTGGCGGTGTTGCTGCCTTGGTTTCTGATGAAGAGAAGCAGTCGTCTGCGGCTCCTAAGCTCATGTTGGATGCTGATCCGGCAGAGCACCGATCCATTGTTTCAGCATGTGTTGTCGCGTACATGCCCGCACGGGATGAGATTACTGAGCTCTGGCTTAAGGGTGATAGCTCAAAGGCATCGCTTGAGAATGGAGATAAGAGATCAGTTCATGAGGCATTATTAGATGGTGCTGTTGATGCGGCTAGAGGAGCGCACACTGTTTTGGCCGAGGCCGTACGGGAGTCTCTGCTGAAGACGGTCGGATAGGCATGAATTTAGAAAAGATACCTATGCAATTAATGAAGGAAACGACATCCAATTATTCCTGCCATATTTCCTCACTCTTGGCTCTCTTTTTAAGAAGTCACGTAGCCTCTCACTTTGCACCATCTTCCGTTTCGCACCACCGTCCGCTCTCATTCCCACATCCGATTTTATCACCAAAGCAAGTTCGTTCTGCCTCAAAGGTTCCAATAAAGGACCCCATTAATTCCCGTTACTTCCCCATTACTTACTCGCACAAGACCAAATTATCGTTAACACCATGCCTAAGGCGCCGGCCAAGTCTGCTCACGCTGGCTCTCCCAAGCGAGGCGCCATGACTACTGACGACCACGTCCGTTTCCTCTGGGTCGCCATCCAGACCAAGGAGGAGAACTTCACTGTGAGTGAGATGTCTAATCATTTGCCATCCTTGTCAATCTGCCGTGGCTCCTGCTTATACATTACACTACAGCCCAACTTTGAAGCCCTCGCCGAGCAGCTTGGCATCAACGAGGGCGCAGCTCGCCAGCGCTTCCGCCGCCTGAAGCTGAAGCTCGAGGAAAAAGACCAGGAGAAGGCGACGAAGCAGAACAACCAGAAGTCCGAGAAGAAGTCCGCCGATATTGAGGGCGAGAAGGAGCCTAACGATGGCGATGACATGGAGTCTGACGACCATGTGGAGCAAGTTGTGCTCTTTGAGGGATGATTAATCGAGAAGAGGATGAGATGTGCTAGATGATCTACAGCATTCAGGATATGATGAACGGGGACGAATGGGCGTGGAAGTTGTTCCTTAGGGCTTTGCTTTTTACTATGGACACGCAGGGTCATCTACCATTTTATGAACACTCCGTTCTTGTAATCTTTCGTAGTCTCTTGGGGCTCATATGAGCGATGTAGAAATAGTCTCGTCGCATGTGCCAATTTTCGTTAGCTGTGTGTAGGCCCAAAGTAACGGTGATATGTTCTTGAACTGTCTCGTCTGCGTTCTGCTTTCTCTCACTTCTTACATTTCTTCTTCTCATTCCCGGTCTCCCCGTTCACAGGAGATCTTTACCACTTCCATTCCTATTCTTCTTCCATCACTCAACCCCGCATACATTTTCTTCATCCTCTGCGAGGACCCGAATACATCATGTCGCCAACGAAAGATGTGAACAGGGTCACTAAGAGCCCCAGCAAGAAAAAGGCAACCCAGTCGTCCGCCTCGTCTGACCCATCTACTCCCAATAAGCAGGGATATGGCCCTGTAGATGATGCGGACCTCCTCTGGGCAGTTCTGTATAAGGCCGCCGACGATCCGAAGGTAAGTTCTATTCACGATCCTGAACTCGAATTTCATGTCCCATATATTGGAAGACTTTGTAAAGTTTCAATCATGCTAAATTTGACTCTTTCCAGCCCAATTACCAGAGAGCCGCTGAGCTATTGGGCATGCCCTATACAACTCTCTTTGGTCGCTTTGCGCGGATTAAGAAGCTTCACGATGGTACCCCTGTTGTTACTCCTACCTCGAAGCAGCGCAAGGCTCACAAGTCCAAGGAAGCCCTGAAGTCTGAGATTGATGTCCTCAGGATCAAGGATGAGGATAAGACCAAGAGCGAGGTCAAGAACGAAGTCATGGTCAAGGTCGAGGTCGAGGTCGAGGCCAACGGAGAGAAGATGGATGAGGATGAAGCCTAGGTCATGTACCAGGAATGAACATGTTGCTGTCGAAGATCGGAGCCCCAAGCAGACTTGGTCAGTTTGTTAAGATGTTTTACCATGTTTGACAGGCTACATTCGAAACAAATATCGGTCGAGGAGATGGGAAAGATGGGTGATCAGAAGATGTACGGTAGCAGTAATGATCAGAAAATTCACTTCCTAATCCCCTTTTTATTATCCTTGAAACCCACTTGCTCTGTGTGTCTAAGATTGAGGGAACTTTGGCTGTAAAACCCCCTCCCCTCCGTATCCCTCACTATCCCACGACACGCATTCTTTCTTCACCTCCTTACGCATATGCACCAAGCCCTGACGTTATGCACGCACCTACCACAAACTTCGATGTATGTTTCCTCCTGTATCAATGTTTGGCCACGTGCCTCACCAACAAGATAGCATGACCAGTGACAAACAATCAAAAGAACATGCCTCCGAAGAAGGACCTAAAAGAGGTGGCCAAGCTCAGGCTGGACTTATCTAAGCGTTTGTCTCCGACCACGAGTCGTAGCCAGGCCAGGTCATGCTGGTCTGTGTAATAAGGAGGCTAGACCAAATATGTAGGGAAAGTCTGTGGGAAGGAAGGGAGAGATTAAGGCAGCTTTACAAATTTATGTATATGGCAATGGTAAATCAAACGAACATTTCATTAGCTAGCCAATGGCAGGCTGACTGGAAATGTCTTTGAGTCTCCAAACACCCTGTCGATTCCATGCTAGGGCTCACCAAGGCAGCTAATTTAGGACTGTCGGATGAGCATGCTACATGGAGTCATCGTTGACGGCATACGTCACTATTGCGAAGTATAGAAATAATGAAATACTCGAATCGAAGTAGTTATAGATTGCAGTGGATCAAAGAAATAAAATTAACGCCGGCGATCGGCATGATCCGATACAAGGCTAATGCCGTGTCTCACGCCCAGGAACTCCGTCACACGCCACTTGCAGGTATGTTCATGGACGAGGTTCCTATCGCAGAGCGATCGCCGGCAGGGAGGATATTACATCTCCATAGTGTCTCACGCCAACAGCAGAGCTTGGACGGGGTCAAAAGTACTATCGAGATCAAGATCGATCGATCAAATATACCCAAGTTTTCCGCGGACCCTGAGATGCAAGATGCAAGATTAATTATTCAGTGGATCTGGGAAGAGTACTCTGTTGATTTCAAAAAACCTAAGAATATGGGGACACGAGGTTAGTCTGCCGGAAGTGTATATACTCTGCAGGAAGTGTACGGGGCCCAATAGGTTCCAAGGTTCATGTGTCGAAAGGGGATCGATCGGCCTATTTGAATTCTGCCTAGTGTTTCGTGCAGCCCCTGACCGAACGGTTCACGACAGGCACTCGCCAGGGCTGGAGGGGAAAGCTCGAGGTCCTTCCCCCCACCTCTGAAACAGCCATCCGAAATTTGGGGCATTTGTTTTCTATGATTAGACCTCGCTAAATCGCAGTCCAATTTCGCAGACGACTCCATCGTTGATGCGCAAGACTCCATCGTTGATGCGCAAGACTCCGGAGCGTCGGAATTGCGCAGCAAACCAGGGGCATCGGTTTGCAGGATTCTGTCCAGCAACAGGGCCCACTCATTGCCGATCGACCTCGTCACACCAATCGAACCTCGTGCGGAAATTGGGAGCTCCATACTGCATCCCACATCCCACCACGTCCATCCCGAGGGCGTTTCTAGCCTTCCTGGCCGGCATTTGATCCCCATCCCACTCCTTCTCATTGGGCTTGCCTTGACCGACTGGGGCCTGGCGCGGCGACCTCCCGAACCTTCCCAAGATAGAAAACAAATAACTGGAAAAGAAAGAGAGAGAGAAACGCCTAGCGCGAGAGAGGCCGCTGCCATGGCTGGCCACAGAGACATTCGGTCATGTGGACCCTCTATGCGTCAGGCCCGTCTGAAATACCTGCGCAACCATGCACTGGACGTTGGATTCGGAGAAACGGTCGACTAGCTGCATATCCCGACTTCACAGCTGGGTTGAATTTGACGATTCCACGATCCCATCCCAGAAGCATGGAGCAGCTCGTGCCGGGTAGACTTTCCCGGGTCAACTTAAGAGACGCGCCGTTCATGTGTCAAGCTGTCGCGGCAAAAATTGGGGAACTCTTAATCTCTTAGCGTTCAAACCACATCGGCCGGGCCCCAGACGTACCCATGGAGAAAGACCGGGCACCTTTCCCCTGATCCAGACACTCCAGACACTCCAAATACGTCGTGGATCTGCACTGGCATGGTTTCCGCCGTCTGGACTTTCCTTGTCCCTCGCTTCTTTCCTTCTTTTACTTCGTGGCCATGGATTGATACCTGACCTGTATAAACGGTTTCTTCATTCTCAAGCTCTATATGCTGCCATGATTTCATTCCCCTAATTCTTCACCCTCGTGGGTCCTCTATTACCACCAATTACTAGCTTGAGATTATTTTTGGACCGCCTTCCCTGTCTCGGTTGTCCCGGCCGTCTCGTGCGCCCTTGATTATCGGCAAACTTTGTGTATGGGTTGGGGACAAACAATTCCAAAATGGTCGCCTTGAAGAAATTGTTTCTGCAAGAGCGCGCCTCGACACGGCCTGCAACGAGTATTGGAACGGGAGACAATGAGTCGGATGAACCGTACTTTAGCGGTGTTGAGGCGCAAAATAACCTCACGGCCCGTCATCTATCTGCAACACCCGCCTCCCCGGGGCTTCCCTCCCCCCGGACTCAAAGTTTCACAATCTATGGATGTGAACCAGCACTTTCAGCAGCTTGACCAGCAATTCGAAGATCTTCACCACCACCTTGCCGAAACAGCAAGACCACAATCATCCCAATCATTATCGCCATTCGTCTCACAGCACTTTGCCATTCCAAGAGTGCAAAACTCCCGCCATATCGATCTTCTAGATGCGCTTTCAGCATCAGAAAAGTACCGGCGAGAAAATAACCGCCCGGTCGCCTCCCCTCCCTCCAGTCCTTACAATGAAGATGTCGCCGAGCGGAACATGACAAGGTTCCTACGTATTCAATATCGAAGTGGATTAGCAACTTCTCGGATACTATCCGCGTTATATCAAGAGGACGTGGCAGACAGGAATATCGCTAAATATGGCGATTCTCGTTCCTCGTCATCCTTAAGCTCTCGCTCGTCTCCTCCTGCGCCTGGGGGCGCAAGCACGGTGAGCCGAACCGGTTCAAGACGGCGTGGCCCTGGAAAACGTTTCCCTGTGAAACCGAGTTGGACATCGGAAGGCGATCTGCGGACTCGCTCTGCCACTCCGGACGCAATGTCTACTGCTTCTTCACGACTGTCGCATCTAAGCCATCTTGTTCGCCAACAAAGATCAGCGCCCAGTCTGTCTCCAGAAGAGGCAGCTGCCGCGTACGAGGCGGAAGAGGATGCGCAACCAGACACGCCACGTGCTAGCCAGCGCCTTGGTGTTCCTCCTGCCTATAAACAGGGCAAAAGATGGAGCACGACACCGCTGCCAGATAGCCCTACGCTGCCCATGCCAATGGGCGATGGTGACGGCAATAATGGCTCGCGATCAGCTACGCCGGTAGGAAAACCTCCAGCTACAGCGGCTCGGACTTCCTCGTTGACCGCAAGGTCAGCTTCTCCAGCTCTAGCCTCGGGGTCGAAGTCACGAAAGAATGTTCGCGACCTTTCCATCAATACAAAACTGGCCGCTTCAGGCCGGCCGAAAATCGCGCATCGCGCCATTCAGCCCCCAACGCCTTCAAACAATGATATGAAGCGGGCTCCTAGTATCGCAGAGGTCATGAACAGCCCTCTTCCGACCTCCAGCCCTATTCCTCTGGGCCCTGATAACCCGTCGCCTCGCTTCAAGGCCTCGGAAATGATGGACCTGTTCAATAAGGCATACAGGTCTACCCAGGCTGTCAGCCCCCATCCGACCTACGAGACCTTGCAAGATGCCATTGTCCGTGAGATCAATTCTCACGAGGCGTTCCGCAATGTTCCTGTTCCTGTCGCTGGCCCTCCTTTCACACCCACTGCAACCCAGGGGAGCTTTGACCCCAAGAACATAGGGTTGAACCGCAGTGCTTCAGTCGGCTCGATATCCAGGCTCATGCGAAAGGGCTCCTTCAAGAAACACAAGTGGAACTCGGAATCCCGCCGCAGCATCTCCTCCAGCGTTCTACGACGAGGCCCCGGCCAACGAAGACACACTGACGCCCCGCCCCCAACTCCAGGCTTCCTAGCCGACATCCAAAAGGAACAAGATGGCATGCGCCCGAACACCGGCGAGGAGCTTACCTACATGGACGTCCTTATCCGTGCCGGCAACGACAACCCCTCAACATCCCACTCCAAGACTCCATTTGCATCTGCATCACGGAAACGCCACTCAGCCTCCACCTCTAATCTATCTACCCTCGCTCGATCTACCACCGAAATTTCCACCACCACAACGGGCACCGTGTATTGCATGCAAGCCCACTCAAGTTCAAATGACAGCCAAAACGAGCACGAAGACAGTGACGATGAGATCCTCCAGCTTCCAAGCGTTAGCATCTCCCCGCCCCGCGTCCAAATCGAAGGCGTAGACGAGAACAATGTCCGCTACGTAATCGACTCGTCCACCCCTGTTGATGCCGAAAAGCTCATCAATTGGCCCCAGAGAGCCCGCAACATCAGTTCTCAGATTGGCTGTGAACGCAGTCTGTCGCCGCGGACTCGGGCACGGATGCAGCTTCGCGGAGCTCGCTCTGTCGAGACTTACTAGTCGACTTCACTGCTGCCCTTTCGACGATAATGATGCCCTCACGATACCTCACAAAAAGCCTGCCTGGCTCCCGTCCAGTTTTCTTTATAGCGATTACCGAGTCTTTTGACTCGATGCGTTTGCGAAATCAAGCTTTTTCCCTTCTGCCTTTTTTTTTTTTTTTTTTTTTTCCGCTTAAAGTCCTGACCTCTATACCTTATCATCATTTTCCTTGTCTATATCCACCGTATCATACACGATGCTCTCTTTTCCTACCTATTGTCTCGCTCTCCGGTCTACATCTACATCTCCATCTCTGACCGATTAGCACTAGTTTACCATTGTCTTTGTCTTTTGTTACAAGCGGCTACCCATTCTGTCTCAGTGCCTGTTACCCGTGGCTCTGAATAATGTGTGTTCTGCTCTGTCTTACTTTATTAACGGGATATCATCATTAGATGAAGTTCCTGTCTTTCTTTATTGTCTACTATCTACTACCAAAGCTACTTTTCCTTTGGACTCCATCAATTGATTGGGGACTAATTCTATGGCCAATCGGGCGTAAACAAGGCGCTTGTTACGAATCCTTTGAGGTACATAGGTCCGAGAACCGCAAATCAATATGAACTTGCGGGTAATGGTAGTCTTTTGGCCATGTTGGTTAACGTATCACGGGCACCCAATCTAGATCTTCGACACTGGTTTTTAAAATTTGTCTCTACCCTTGGAAAATTCCTACCTCCATATACATCTGGGCCTTCACTAAGCATCCAGTCTTGTTTGGAACGGAGTTGCGCATTGGGCTTGCACTATGCATGCTATTCATCAGAAAATCACAGAGAATTCTTGCAAGAGGAGCATAATATGAAAAAGACATCACTCATTTCTTCTCATTGGATCATTTCCACTACATGGCACACCCCCCGATAGTCCCTCCCAACTCCACCCTTGAAATGAAAAGAAAAAGTGAGGTATCTAAAAGGAAACCACTTGTAACCATAATCAAACCCTTGAAATGCAATCAGCGTTTAGCTGATATTTTTCAACCCCCGTCTGCCTTGTGAGTCTAGTTTCCTAGAATCTCGGCTTTGGCGATTGTATGGAAATCGGCTAGCCTAGTAAGAGCGGCCGAACATACACCATTTCTCAGCCTTGAGCGAACATTTCGGATTGATACACTCGGTGACACCCTTCTCCAATCCTTCGGGCTGGTCGAAGGGAATGCACAGCGACTTAGCACCCATGCTGGGAGCCTTGGCATCCTCGGCCTCGCCGGAGTCTTCCTCGGCCTTGCGAGCAGACATGTCCTTAATTTGATCCTCACAGGCCTCGGTCAAACAGAAGGGAACCATCAACAGATTCTTCTGATTCAGCTCAGGCACGAACTCATCCCATTTAGTGATGATCTTGCGGTGGGCATCAAACTCAATAGTGGCGCGCTTAAGCATATCGGCCTGGATGGTCTCCAAGAGGGCGGGAACAGCGGTTGCCAAATCGGGGATGGGAATAGGGCTCTTGCCGTCCTTGCCAGGAATGTCACGACGGGCAGCAGTGACGAAGTGGCCGGCGGACTCGCCAGGACCGAACTCAAGGCGCAGAGGCACACCGCGCATCTCCCACTGGTTGAATTTCCAGCCAGGGGAGTAGGCGCGCTTGTCGCTATCGACACGGACACCAGCGGCAGCGAGAACAGCAACAAGGCCATCCACCTCGGCATCAAGCTTCGCCTTCTCCTCCTCGGAGGTCTTGTTAGTGATACCGACGGGGACAATGATAGTCTGGAGCTCTGCCACACGAGGAGGCAGAACAAGACCCTTGTTGTCACTGTGAATCATAACCATGACACCGAGGGTACGAGTCGACAGACCCCATGAGTTCTGCCAAACGTGGAGAGGGGGCAGAACCTCGCCAGGCTTCGAGTCCGGAGACTCGACTACAATGTTGAACATGCGCGCGAAACTTTTTTCAGTTAGTTATGACGTCGTGGGCGTGTGAACGACGATACGTACTTTTGGCCCAAGCCGTGGGAAGTACCACCTTGGATACCGCGGCCGGTGGCGGGGATGTAGCCCTCGACAGTCGTCGTGTCTGGTATTTATTAGTTGAAATCATGAAGCATAGAACGGGCGGTCCTCACAATCTCCTCCAGCGAACCTCTCGTATTCAAAAGTTAGTTATTTCTTGAAGCTAGAGTTCGAGGATCTAGGGAGACTTATTTTATCCGTTTTCCGACCCTTCACAACCGGAACAGCAAGAAGCTGCGAAGTAAGTCAGTGGTGCGTCTCACAAGATGCAGGGTAAACACGTGCCTCGTTGTAGATAGCCGCATAATAGTCAAGAATTTGCATCTGCCCATAGTATTAGCAAGAATCCTTCTGCATTCCTCATGAACGAAAAGAAAAAACTTACCACCTCGTCCTGGGCGGCAGCTTGTGTCAAGTGCGCAGTGTGGCCCTCCTGCCACAAGAACTCACGAGTGCGCAGGAAGGGCTGGGGATGCTTGAACTCCCATCGCACGACGGAGTTCCACTGGTTCAGACGCAGAGGCAGGTCACGGTGGCTGCGAATCCACTTGGCGTAGTAGGGGTACATGACAGTTTCGGAGGTAGGACGAATGGCGATTTTCTTCTCAAGAGGGGTGGAGCCACTATGTCAAACCAGATTAGTCGCAATAGATTAATTCATGGAAAACTGCTGGAAAAACATACGCATGGGTAACCCAGGCGACCTCTGCAGCGAAACCCTCAATGTGGTCCTTCTCACGCTGCAACACATCCTCAGACACGAACAGAGGGAAAGAGCAGTTCTTCACGCCCATCGCCTAAATTTTCTCACCATTAATGACGATTCATCAATCGAACCACAAAGATATAGTTCCTTACCTTGATCTTCTTGTTGAACCAGTTCTGAATCTCCTCCCAGATGAAGTATGAAGCGGGCTAGTACGGTTAGCGCATGCACAGAAGACATGAAATCGCAATGCACATACCTTCAGAATGAAACAGCCGGACACATCATAGTCTGCGCAATGTCAGTAGAGATTCTTTCCGTCAAAAATGTCAAAGACGAACAGTCAAGCATGTCTCCCTTCGTAAGAACCTATTATAGCCAGTCAGCATGATAGATAGAGTCTCACTCATGAGGAAGTATTCTTACCTGCTGGTACCAGTTTGGGAAGTCCGTTTCCTGCGGGAGAAGGTGAGAAGCTGATTCCAAAAAAAGTAGCAAAGGAATCGCACCTTGGCGACATCAATTCCAATCAGCGCCGCACCCTCCATCTTCTTCGTAGGGGCCTTCTTGGGAGCCTGCTTTCCACCGCCCTGTTTGGCCTTCTCTCCCTTGTTCGCTTTTTCCGCGGCGAGCTTTGCGGCTTTGGCGGCTTTCTTGGCGGCGTTCTTGGACTCGCCCTGGTTATCAGCGGGGGCTTGAGTGCGATCGGGCAGCGTTTGGGAGGCAGCGTCGCCCTGGACAGGGGTTTCGGCGGGGTTTTGGGAGGCCATGATTGACAGAAACAAGCGCCTGGCCGTAAAAAAGAGGGTAAACCAAACTGTAGATCAGAATGGGAAGTGATCGAGGATATGACTCTTTTCAAAGTGGGATGTTATCTCGGACACCGCTTTAGTGCGGCAGAACTTTTAGCGTGGACTCAACCCAGAGAAACCCCCCGTCTCCAGCAAGCAGAGCTCTGCCATCGCACAGGAAACTCATTTTTCATTTCTTACGCCATGGCAGGCATTTTCGAGGCTCCGCGCAATGCGGACACTCTCTGTAAGCTCCCTACCCCGGATGCTTATTTGAGCGGAACTAACACAACTCGCACACAGTCTTGGGTGGGCAGAAAATCACCGGTGCCGATGTCCGTGAGCAGAATGGTATGTTGATCTGAAAGCATCAGCGAGATCAATTGTACTAACGTATGGAATCCAGTTCTCGCGACCCAGGCTATTTCAAATGTCATCAAGAGCTCTTTCGGTCCCTCCGGTTTGGACAAGATGATGGTGGACGACATAGGGGTATGTAATCTCTGGAACCCCGCAGAGCTGTGCGGCAGCTTCTAACAACCTTCCGTCTGGTAGGATGTTACCGTTACGAACGACGGTGCTACTATTCTGTCGTTGTTGGATATTGAGCACCCCGCGGGCAAGATTCTCGTGGACCTGGCCCAGCAGCAGGATAAGGAGGTACGGTTTTCACATATTCCCTGGGCATTGAGCCCCCCATGACTGATCTCATCTAGGTCGGAGATGGCACAACCTCGGTTGTCCTCATCGCTTCCGAGCTTCTGCGGAGAGGAAACGAACTCATGAAGAACCGGATACACCCTACCACCATCATCAACGGATACCGTCTCGCCCTCCGCGAAGCCGTCAAGTACATGAACGAGAACGTGACGACGAAGGTCGAGAACCTGGGCAAGGACAGTTTGGTCAACATTGCGAAGACCTCCATGTCTTCCAAGATCATTGGCTCCGACCCAGACTTCTTCGCCAACATGTGTGTGGACGCCATGCTGCAGGTCAAGTCAACAAACCAGAGAGGCGAGGTCAAGTACCCCGTCAAGGCCGTCAACCTGCTCAAGGCCCACGGAAAGAGCGGACTCGAGTCCGTCCTCGTCAACGGCTACGCCCTGAACTGCACCGTTGCTTCTCAGGCCATGAAGACCCGCGTCACCGATGCCAAGATCGCTTGTCTGGATATGAACTTGCAGAAGGAGCGCATGAAGCTGGGTGTCCAGATCACAGTGGAGGACCCCGATCAGTTGGAGAAGATTCGCCAGCGTGAGGCCGGTATTGTCCTGGAGCGTGTGGATATGATCTTGAAGTCCGGTGCCAACGTCGTCCTGACCACCAAGGGCATTGACGACATGGTCCTGAAGGCCTTTGTTGAGAAGGGCGCTATGGCTGTCCGCCGCTGCAAGAAGGAGGATCTTCGCCGCATTGCGAAGGCTACCGGTGCTACCCTTATCAGCACCCTATCTGACTTGAACGGAGACGAGAAGTTCGATCCTTCATACCTCGGTCAGGCTGAAGAGGTCGTGCAGGAGCGCATCTCCGATGACGAGTGCATCCTCGTCAAGGGCACCAAGGTCCATAGCTCTGCCTCCATCATTCTCCGTGGTGCCAACGAGTTCAGCTTGGACGAGATGGAGCGTTCCGTTCACGACTCCCTGTGTGCTATCAAGCGCACCCTGGAGAGTGGTACCATCGTTCCCGGTGGTGGTGCCGTTGAGACTGCCCTGCACATTTACCTAGAGGAGTTTGCAGTTACTGTCGGATCGCGAGAGCAACTCGCTATCGGCGAATTCGCACAGTCCCTGCTCGTTATCCCCAAGACCCTGGCTGTGAACGCTGCCAAGGACTCATCCGAGCTCGTGGCTCAGCTTCGTGTCCGCCACGCCCTGTCACAGCGTGTCCAGGACGGCGATGCTAATGAGGAGGAGAAGGCCATTGCCAAGAAGAAGACCTACCGCAACTACGGTTTGGATCTGACGAAGGGACGCGTTCACGACACTCTCAAGGCTGGTGTTTTGGAGCCCAGCATGAGCAAGATCAAGCAGCTGAAGAGTGCTGTCGAGGCCTGCATTTCCATTATGCGTATCGACACTATTATCAAGCTGGACCCCGAGCAGCCGGCGGATGATGGCCACGGCCACTAGATGTTTTATTCTCGATGAAAAAAAAAATGGCAGTAATTCGATGTGACATAGAAATGAAAAGCAGCGGATAGAGTCAATTCTGCTGCGGCTGCATATGAACCAAATCTATCAAATGGATATCCTAATAAAGAGTAGAATAGATAACAATCCCGAGATCATGCTTGTCCACGTCTTTCCGCCATCAGTCGTCTATACTCCTCGACGATATTCCTGCGCTCTCCAGCCAACTCCTCTCGCCGTCTCAGACTACCAACAGCATTCGGCACATTGGCAACATCAACTTTCGCACCACCCCGAATCTTGAAGATCTCTCGCGGCTTGATCAACTCGGGTGGTGCCTTCGCAGTGTCAAACGGATTGGCCTTTCTCTCCTTATCACGCTTCTTAAGCTTCGCCCACGGATCAGGATCATCGTCGCCGCTATCGTGAGCCCCGTCCTCGCCCGTGTCACCCTTCTTCTTTGACTTCTTAGGAACAGTTCCCCTCTTCTTAGCCTTTCCACCGCGCGCTTCAAGCTCCCACGCCTTCAGAGTATCCATGTGCTCCTCCATCTCTGCAGCCCGCTCTTCAGTCTCAGCTTGCTCGCGCTCCTTGATCTTGATTTCATCCTCGCGCCAACCAGCCTGCAGTTTCCGAAGATGCTTTTCGTGCTTCGTCATCTTGTGATCGCGGACCTTGATACCACCCTTGGTGTTATTCTTGGTCATAGCCGAGAGAGGCATCTCGCGATCAACACGAGCGGCAAAGTCACCCAGTCTCTCGCCGGGCAGGATCTTCGGCATAACCGCCTTAACCTCTTTGGTGGCTTCTGGCTTGGACTCGGTAGCGGTTTGTTTCTTCTGCGGAGTTCCCTTATCTTCTTCCTCGCGCTTGCGCTTCTTGTTTTTCTTCTCGCCGGTTTCCAGGCCGGAGGGGGCCCGTCGGCCGGTTTCTCGGAACTGCATTAACCGCTGGAAGGCTTTCGGAGTGTCGTCTTCGCCGGCATTCTTGCGACGGGTGGTCGCTGGGCCGGTGACCTTTTTGGCGGGGTCATGTTGCTGTCGAGGGGCTGATTTCTTAGGTGCAAATGGCTTCTTTCCGTTCTTGGTGTTGATCTTGGGTTTGGCGTTGGGGTCGCGCACTGGGAGGGCTTTTGCGATCACCGAGGGTGGCAGGTTGAAGTGGCTGGAGGAGGTTGGGATGTTAGTCATGGATCAAGCACTGGAAGTACATCAAAGACGTACGATTCATCCTGTTCACGGCGCTTGTGCTTGTGAGGCATTGTGAGTAGTGTGGTTGACGTTGGATCGTTGAGCCGAAACTTTTTTTTTCGAGCAACTTCAAAGTTACCGGCCAATCAGCTTATCGATAAGCCAACCCCGTATACTTGGTCCAACATTTGAACATTGAGCTTTTAATCATTTGAATGTTGGATTATTCTTAGTCTGTAACTTCATATACAGTCTTTGAGCTAAATTAAAGGCGTGTCTGTATTAAGAATAGTTACTTCATTAACCAGTCCGTCACAACCCCCTTTCCCACGCCTGCATCATCCTCGGTATCATTGCCACTGAGGACAAGATGATCACTGAAATTCCAGTCGATAGAGAATCGGGACATAATTAACCTAGATTCGGTGCCCCTATCACAAACTAGACGGCTTAGTATTCTGTGGGCTTGTGCAAAAGCTTCACATCCTAAGGGACAGGAATGCCTGTAGGTCGGGATTGCGTATGCCCATTCGCTCGATGGGTGGGTGCTATTCAACTTGGGTGCAGGGCACAATTCAACGAGACGTCCACCTTGACGAAGACATGAGATGGATAGTTTTTCCAAAGCTAGGAGCTCTGTGTCGATGTATTTGATGACATGTTCCCACGTCTGATCACTAGGGATGCGGAGATTTTTCAAGCAAAGTGACGCAATTGTTGTATGCTTTTTCAACAACTTGAGCAGCCCATTGGTCGTCAGTGGAAGGCTTTCCAGGTGCAAATACTTCAATTTGCTGAGATGAGCATTGTCTGCGATATGATCGAAAGGTTTGTTAGTAGCTGTCAAGGACCGGGTGTACATGATAGTCGAAATCGAACGTAAGGTATAACATGCTAAGATCGGACATGCAATACAATAACTTGCCAACAGCGGCAAAGTCAGATGGTTCACCATTCCCGCCAGAGAGTTTCATCCCAAGATTATCGATTGAAAAGTGGACATTGTTCGAGCCGTAATCATTTAACTTTGTGAGGTAACGAGCAAATTCACCAATTGGGACGCCGCAGCTTTCATCAATGTGATCCGTTTTCCCATCGGACTCACGTCTGGTGTATATATCCACTTGATGAATTGTATTTGAGCTTCTCGCAATAGCTGCCAGTGTGAGAAAGCACGCGTGGGATATCCATGAATACTTTGCTGGAAACCTGGTGAGCCATTGATCTGTGTTCGGGGCAATGGCAAGAGAGGGTTCGAGTCTGATCTCTTGCAGGGCTGAAAGATGTTTCAATGCAGTGGCAAGAGAATGAATTATGAATTCATCTGGTAGGCTATTGCGTGTCTTCTGCGCTTCTCTAAGCCACCTTGACGCTGGTGCTCTACTTCCATAGTATGTTTCGAGTTTTGTGGTTGCTGGTACCAGGCTGTGAGCGTCGTAGATGATAACCCGGATTGCTAAGCGACGTACGGCTTTCTGAAAGATAGGATGACGGGCACGAATCAGTAGAGCTCGAAGACTAGCCTCGGTGAGATCTGTTCGGGCACGCCGTGCGAATGAAAGAAAGTGTGGACCGAGGCATCGCTCTGCGGTATGTTTGTTCACGAGGCGGAGATTTTTGAGGCTTTGAAGATCGAGGTGTTGGTTGATTTGGTCAAATATCTCAGAGGGTATACAGCCCCAAGGCACAGCAGGAGCGTTTTGTATGGTTCGGACCGGCTCGGGGCTATGTTTGTATCCTAGTCGCAGGTGTTTGAGGCCTTTGCGATCGAGACGGTGATGAATTTTGTCAAAGATCTCGGAGGAGAAGTGCATCTTGGTTGAGACAATTGTTTCAATAATAAAAGGGCCTGACACGGCACCTTTTATTGCAACAAGATCAGTGCCCTGTTGTTTCTTGCTACTAATTTCTTTCGAGACCCCACCAAGCTTGCGCCCCAGGGCTGAGTTTCGCATTGTACCCCCGTCCGTCCGTCGTGTTCCCAATAAATATTCCTAACTTGTACGAGGGATGATCTATGATGCTTAGCAGGGAGGGACAGCCCTTATAGGCTTTGTATCCTACCATCCTGATCGACACTCTAGTTCAAACTCTAGTTCAAGTCATATCAGTGTCATGATTTGACCACATCTTGATATAACTATCACTTGAATGAAGATTCATGTTTGATACCCAATTCCAAGCAAAAAGTACGGAAAAGGAATTAATTTGCACCTGTGCATCACTCTGGGATCTTGATATTGCGAGCTTGCCGGATGCCAAATCAAACTTTACCTCGAGGCCGCTCGATCCCGGGTGTTCTGTGCAAGAATTGAAGCTGTTTAAATAGCACCGCTACCACAAGAATCACTAGTCATTAGGTGAATCAATTTTCTAGCCTCGGGCTATTGGACAGGCAGCACAGGAACAAAATTGGGAGCGGACCCACGCTCCGTAAATTTAGAACAGCCATCTTCGCTTGTTGTACTTGAAACTCCATCAATTTCATCTTTCTCCTTGTTTTTTCAGACCTTTGGTTCCCGCAAATCTTTACGGTTTCCAATGGACATCAAATTCCCTTCTGAAACCTCGCCGGTTTCAGCTCCAACAACAGATGCTGTGAATGGCCGCCCTCGCCTTCAGCCCGATCCTCTAGAACGACTATTACGATGGCTTGGATACTTCGATCATCCAATCTTGTATGTTCCTCCTCTAGATCTAGATATTGGTTCGTCCCATTGATGCCGCGCCGTACAGGTTCATGCTTTGTCTTTGGGCATTTCCCCATTTGTTTTTTACCTTTGCCTGTCCACAGTACTGCGATACTATCTTGTGTTTGGATTTCCGCGATAGCATAAACGTTTTAGCTTATCTACTCTGTTTGCTTATACCCATGTTGCTGAAGTACCGAGTAAAGCTTCGCCAACTGAGAGTTGCAGCATGGGAAAAGAAGCAAGAAGACCAAGGAGAAAAAGTATAACTAGATGGTTTGTTTAGTCGCAATCTATACCCTCGTCAAAAAGAATATGTACTACTATCAAACATTTGTTCTTAATCAGCAACAGATTTCAATTCATAAAATCTCCAGGTAACTAATCTAAATAGACAGATCTAATCTGTGTTTTAATAGCGGCTTAGTGGGGCTAATATAGGCGCGTCAACCCCTTGCTCCACGCGTAAAGTCTGCGCGCGTCGGTCCTGTGCTTCACCTTGACAGCTGCCACTGACCCTCATACAACGGTCACAATCGCTATGGCCTCGCAATGGCCCAAGCCGGAAGGCTTCGATGGCGATATTGATCCTTTCGACCTTGTCGACCGGTTCAAGGAGCACTTTCTATCGATCTGCCGCTATACCGCCGATAACCCTACCGCGATTGCACCCGCCAGCTATGTTATGGAAACGATGTTTCAGGCCAACAAGGTTGTCGCCGTGTTGGCGAAGAACTTGAGCGATGTTTCCAATGCCCGCTTCCCTGAACCGAGGCCGGAGCCGGAGCCAGAGCAGCCTCCCTCAAATCAACTTTCTTTGCAGGATCGGCTCGCGGCGCTTTCGAATATGTTTGAAGTGAAGCAAGAAGAACCAACGGAAGAGCCTTCAGCTGGGGTTGAAGAAGCCGATGAAGTGGCTCAGGAACTCTCGACTATGGATATTTTTGGCCCTGATCTGAATCCTGAGGATTCCGAAGAAGACGGAGATTGGGGAAGTGAATCCTCAGAGGATGATTCTGACGATGACTATTACGAATATGGATCATTCAGAGATGACAGTGAGGAGGAGGAAGAGGGGGAAGAGGGGGAAGAGGAGGAAGACAGTGAGGCGCAAGAAGATGCCACTATTCTAGTCGATGATGAAGATATGGGAGACGAATGCGAAGACGAGGTAGCCGAGGAGGAAAATCCACCTGCTGAAGGTAAAGACTACCAACACCATGATTCAATTCCTGAAATTGACCAGTTATGCTCGACCGAATTATAGGCCAGATGGCAGAAAGTGGTGTTCCGAATGATATTTCACAACAATCATCGCAACAGTACGAAAGATATCATGTGCGCATAGGCTGGAGCCACAAGAATTCACCATATATGCATCCGTATTTGGGGTATCCCATATGCGATCAATTCGTTGAGCGCGCGATTCAAAGCAGCACCAACGAGGAAGTTCGATCCGTCAATGTATTGTACACAAAATGGTACGATATGTCTGGAGATTGTGATTTATTCGTCGAGACAGCTGCAGAGAAGGAGCTTCTCATCTACCATGAAGATTCCTGGCTTCTTTTTGTGGACAATGCATATTCTGCTCGTATCAAAAATCGGAATCCGCCTCCCGAAAGATCATTTTCTCCCCATCGACCATTGGACCCCTGGATTCACCACTGTCATTTCTTCCGAATGACCTGGGTCCTTGGTGATGGCCCATACAAGGGCAAACCATCCCTTTTGTTTACGGAGATGAATGATATTCTAGGGGGACATTCTAACGAGAGGCTAGCAAATGTCAAGCTAAAAGACGTTGAGGTTGATCCATATTGTGGCGATGCGATCATCCATGCGTCAGAAGAAGATGTGGACCTGCTCGTCAATCTATCACACTTATGGGTGGATACGCTGGAACGAGACGAAGAAATCGAAATGCAGTCCAAGTACGGTCATGTCGAAAAGACCAGCAAGCACAGAGAGATTTCCCCGGGACGCACCGTCAAGTTCAATCTTAGGATCCGTTGGCATTGCCCCGACCCGCCATACAAAAAATATGATACCCGTGGCATTAAGCACGCGCATATCTGCGAAATGCTTCACACAGCGCTAAAAATGACTGACAGTCCCTCTCTAGCGGCAATTTGGGTTATAGCAGTCAACATCAAGTGGAAATCCGGAGACGTGGACGTGGTTACTTCAGACAGAGACGGTGAACGCGCCGTCAAATTTGCCCACTTATGGTTCCCTCACTTGATCCAAGGCGATGCTGCTCAGGTACCAGGCATATATACCCCGCAGTCTCAAACACCAAGTAAAGGATTCGGTAGGAGAAGGTCAAATGCATCTAAACGAAATCTCGAAGATGTTTCAGCTTCGCAGACCAATCTCTGGCGCTCACAATCAAAGAGCGCGAAGCGCAAGCGCCAGAAGATCCGCAGCCAGCAACGGGCGCAAGAAGAACAAGAGAGCCAAGCACCACAAATGAATGTGGTCGCGTAGGGGGTGGCTATTGAATGAGTAATCGATTTCCGAGGTCAGCATTTTAGAGGCATTTTGTTTCCTGCATGTGGCTGGGAAGATCCAGGTGTTTATGAGGGTTATTTTGCATGTACGAATATCAAAGTGATACAATTATTCAGATAGGTCTATTGAAAGTACCTCTCGGGTGCTTATACAATTGGTTCGCGAGAGAGCATTCTCCTAGATATAAAGCACCGCCATTAGACTCAATCATCAATCATAAAAAACTTAAAAAAAAAAACTCCAACCCTCTCCATTGAACCTCAATCAAACCCAAAGATGCAAGCGCTCCAAAAATATTGCACAGGCCTCACAGCTTCGTCCCCTCTCGCCCAGTATCACTAGGCCTCCTAGGCCTTAGTGGCCCCAAAGGCCCTGCCGCACTACTAGGCCCAGGGGCAGACGTCGAAGTAAGCTGCGAGCGAGCCTCGGCCGTACTAGCCGTGTTGGTACGAATGACACCCGTCCGGGCTCCGTTGTGAAGTCTTGGATTCATAAGCCATTGGACTTGCATGCGCACGCTGTTGACAGCTGCATTGGTATGCGCCATGTCTTCTTTGATGCGGAGACATTCATTCATGATTGTCATGCTTGCGCGGGCGTCGAGGTCTGTTAACGCATGTGACATCTGGCTTACTTCCTCGCGGAGGGATTCGTGGAGAGAGAGGAGGTAGGTTGTTGCGTTTGAGGAGAAGACGTTTGGGGTTTCTGTTGGATCGTCTTCGTTCTGAGATTGGGTCCTGTCTGGTTCTGTGACGCTACGCCTGCGATTGCTGCGGCCTGCGCGTGCGGATTCAAGGAGCGTGTTTCGGATATTGGACATTCCGTCTTCAAAAATCTCGTTTCGTTGTTGGAGATGGCGCATAGTTAGTTCGAGAGAATTTAACCGAGTATTTTGGGCCTCAAAGTACGGCCCTAATGAGATTAGAGGGCAAGTTTGTTCATGTGTTCCGCTGTCTGCACGGCGGATCTTGACCTGACATCCATATTTTGATGCTGCGCAGGGACTGACGACGTCGGGGCAGGCATCGACGTGTTTTTTAAGCTCGCGCTGTGGGAGGGTAGTTCCGCAATCAACGCAGGTGGTCTCTAGACTTGAGCAGAGCTCCTTGTCGTGCTCTTCAAAGTCTTTCTCCATCACATCTTCTTCGCACCGAGAGCATAGGAAATATCCGTGTAGACACCTCTCGTCCGATTGGAGATCCCTCTTCCGGATCTTCTTCTCGCACGAGTCGTCCGGACACGGCACTAGCCGGTACCCACAGTACTTATCCACATGCGACTGGACATGGCACCGCGGTAAAAGCTCCGCACATCCTTCCGCTTGCAATGGACACCTTACTTGGATTTCATCACACATGTTGACCAACAGGCGGGGCACACTTGTCGAGACTCGGGTAGTGGGGGTGCGGCAAGAAGGACACGGAAACTCATCCGAGTCGGCCGAGCGGAAGGTTGTTATAGCAGATTGTAGACATTTGTGGCAGAAGACATGGTCGCACTGTAAGCGCACTGGTTCAACAAAGGGGCAGTGGCAGATCGGGCACATAAGGTGGGAATCGTAGCTGGAGACGAAATCAAGGGCGCGCAGGTCCACTAGATCATCTCGGTCGTGAGTGGGTTCCGTGGCTAGAAATTCTTGTAAATCCATATTTCGCGGCGTTGAGGCCTTTCTCAAGGCTCCATGGAAATCTGCGACAGTTGACTGCGACAGTTGCCAGCTTATGTTGTAGAAAAGGATCCTTGTCGAAAGCGGAGTCAGCGTATGCATGCACGGATATAGAGCAATGCGGGAACTAAGTACCGAGGTCGATCACGAGGAAATCAGGGTCTTTGAAGGTAGAGCCAGGTTTGAAAGGAGCCACCCAAGTAAATGATAGTTATAAAAAGACGATAGCCGAGAATATCCTTCCAGGGGAGAATGTAAAGGAAGGAAGAAACGCGGGGAGAGAGAAAGGGCGAAGGCGGAAGGCGGCAGATCGCAGATCCGTCGACGTCGTGCTGCCTTAGCCTCCCAGCGTGACCTACTCCTTCGTCTTACCACCGAACTCTCCGATTCCAGCGACTCATTTGACTCGGTGCTCTTCGCACTGACCCATCATCATCTCCGCGGGACATTTGAATCCCGCCTTACGACCTCCAACGACACCATCACATCCGTCTGACGCCATCACCATGACGAACCCGTCCCAGCTCTTCCTCCTCGCAGACCACATCAAATTATCACTCCTAGAACGACAGCGCGCCGTATCCCTCGACCTAGAACCCAACGCACAGGATGGCGAGATCTCGCGCTCCCTGGAATCCCTCCAAGAAGGCATCACCTCAGTAGAAGCCGAGCAAACCAGACTAGCCGAATCGCACGACAGCGCAGGCGCCGCCGCTCTGAAAGACCAACTCGCACCGCTACACGAGCAACTCCGCGATCTCACCTCTCAATTCTACGGTGACGGACCGGACTCGACGCAGGCGTCGAACTCAGCCACGCCAGATCTCAAACAACCCGTTCCACAGCACCCGTCATCCAAGTCCGTGCGGTTTATGGACAATTCGGCCGCGGCCGCAGCCGTGCAGGATGAAATTGACGAAGAGGACGACCGGAACAGATCGCATCTCTTCCGTCCGTATCGCGATGAACCGTCGCCTACCGTCGACCAGTCCAACATGTCCAATGAGCAGATCTACCTGCACCACGACCAGGTCATGCGCGACCAGGACAATCAGCTCGATCAGTTGGGTCAGTCGATCGGACGCCAGCATGAGCTGAGTATTCAGATTGGGGATGAATTGGACGGCCACGTTGAGCTGCTGGATGGGATGGACGGGGATGTAGATCGGCATCAGGGCCGGTTGGATGGTGCCAGGCGGCGGCTGGATCGCATTCGGCGCAAGGCCGGTGATAACTGGAGCATGATGACCATTGTTGGGTTGATAATTATTCTGGTGATTTTGATTGTGATTCTGAAGTAACGTGCCCAGGTGGCGTGTGTATCTCTCTCCGTCTCTCTCTCTGTGTGTGTGCGAGCGGGCGTTCCGGGCTTTCTGGTTTACTTGTTCTGGCGTTGAAATAGAGTCCTGTGGGCTTGAGAGACGGTTTGTCTACATCTTTCTTACATTTATCAAACACATTTCTCTGGTTCAGAACGTTGAATCTCATTCGTATGTCGCTTGAATTAGACTAACCCACCAACCCCATGCTCCGTTCAAATCGTAGATCCCAGCAGCTATTAGCCAAGTTGGAATCAATTACTTCCGGTTAGGCATGTGTTTCGTCTTCTCCTGCATTTCTTCGAAGCTCTTGTCCTCCTCGCCAGTTTCCCCTCGATCCGCCTTGACCTGTAGGATAAGGTTAGTTCCGATTAGGATCGTATCTCTCTTCGAAGGAATTCATACTTGTGCCTCGCTGTCACTAGCCAGATCGGAATGCCAAGCGGCCTTTCCTTCCTTCGAATTCTTCAGTTGCCGTTCTTTTTCGGTTTCGTAGATATTGGGCAGATCATCGCGGTCTGGAGGCTTTGGTTAGTAGGTGGTTCGTTCATGATACGGGATGTTTGGGGTAGCTGACTCTTGTCGCTTTCTTTCAGCGTGCGTTGTACTGCGGAGGTGTGGAATGCGGATGTGGAGGGGATAGTGTAGCTGGTTTGCATGGCTCGGCGGGAGCCGGCACGGATGGATGTAAGGAATGACATGATAATGTTCCAAAAGTTGAGTTTCTCGGTGGGTTCGAGTCTGGAATTGTTGTTAATACTGCTACTTTCGATAGAAGCGTGGTGATATATCTGGACCGGATGGGTCGTGACAGCGCAACGAAGATAAGTTCTCCCTGCAGAGACAGCTCCGGAGACCCTTCAATCACCCAGTCCAGAGATGGTACAGTCAAACATACCAAGGCAGTCCCAGAATTCTGTTTGTTGCCGTCGTGAAAAAGCTAGTTCGTGGTCCTAGCTAAGATGATGAGTACAGAGAGGCAAAGATAAAAAGAAGAAGAATCACGAGAAGCACCAACTTAAAAGCTCGCTTGCATCATTTAAACGGCCCAGAACCCCATCCGAACCTTGGAATTGCCTTGATCTCATTCGTGGAGTGGGTTGACTGCTTTGAGCGACACCTGTGACGTCAGTGATGCTCAACGTGCTTTCGGGTTGGCGGATGTCTGTCGGGACCTCGGGAGAATTTGGAGTAGTACATGGTAGTTATACCAGACTGATAGCGACCGGAATATAAACTCTTTTCATAGGTACGAATGCTTTATCGACGTATGCCGTACGCTGTACATGCACGGTCTGCTAGTGATCTACGCTGTCAATGTCCGGGGAGCATTCTGAACGGCCAGCTATGCTCGTGTGTAATGACATCATGAGATAGGCACGATAGGCATGAAGTGACGCAGGGGTATGGGGATAGGTATCCAGTATCTATCACGGTATGAACGATGCAGGGGATACAAGATTATATAGTGGACACTGGGATATAGGAGAAGACTAGAATGTAGCAGTCACATCGATTGCAATATCACAGTCGCAGAACAAGCTATTGCACATGAACAGGAGACTGATGCGATTGGTAATGACTGTGCAAGTGATAACCAAGCAGCATACAGCGTATCTAAGACTGACCTCGGGCGCTGCCCTCTAGGGGAGATGTAACCGAAGCTGTCAATGTGGAAAGGAATAAAAAAAATCCAAATAACATAAGCCATTTTTAACATACGGTCTAGGACTCGCCCAGAAAACCGCGAGAGACCCCCCTGGATATCGATTTCAAACAGAAAACAACTCCGCAAGCCCATGGTTTCGCTCGCAACCAAACCTAACCAGCCACTGTACCCGTGGCAAGAAAGCAATGAGTATCGCGTGTCACCCATCCTCAAACCGATGTAAAACCGATGTACAAGGAAATAAAAAGCCATAACCAGAAAAATAAACAATAGACAAGAGAGAAGGGTGGTGCACGCATGACAAAAATATAAAAAAAACCCAGATATTGCAACAGTGCCCAAGCAATGCAGACGTGTATCGTTTCCGCCTCTAGATCCTTGAAAATGTGATATCCATCCCGCCCAGATAATAAAACCCCAAGAAACCAAAAAGTGAGAAGAACGAAAAAAAAGTAAATCACAGCGTAGGTGAGTCGGGCCCAAGGGAGGCAAGCCTAGCCCCCATTTCCCCATAAACAAAGAAATCAACTCCGAGTCCCCATGGGAACATGCACGTCAAGTAGCAAGTCACCCGCATCAATACATCATCGGCGACCCCAACCGATAGAAACAAAGGGCCAAGAAAGAATCGTCCCTCCCCGAGAGACACAGGTATCGTTGGAAAAAGTGATGCAAAGGAATCAAATCGCGCCGTCGCTCGCAACAAACTGGAAGCATCGTAATGAATCTAGATGTATGGCGAAGTTGGTCGTAAAAAATGGAAAAAATCGGCGAAGAGTGTGAATATGTACAGATGCCGGATTTTTAGTCGAGATTTTTTTGATTTTTTGAGAGATTTTTTGGATTCGCCGTTTCGTGATGTTTTTGTCCCAATGTGGATGATGATCGTTGCCGGAGAAAATGCAAAAGAATTAAGACCTGCGATTTAAGGGGCCCCGGATGATGCAGAAAAGACTCAGGTGACGTGCAAGAACATGCCGCTGCTAGGGCGGAGGAGGACGGCTAGCGCCCCTTGGTGAACCCGAAAGCTACTCACCATCGACGCTGAGCAGTCTGCATCATCGCCGGCGAAATCGACGAAGGCGGGCTGGTCATGGGCATCCCTGTGCTGGGGTTGACGATGGGGATGACTTTCCGAGTCCGGTTGGCCTGAGGCTGTTGCTGGTAGGCGACGTGGTTGTGGTTGGCGGCAATACCGTGGACGTAGGAGTTGGTCTGGGCGGGAGAAAGGGAGATGGACGGAGTGACCTGCTGAACGGGCTGAATCTGGTGCTGCAACGGCGAGGTGTCGGGCGACCCGCTGGAGAGCGAGGACCGGTCAGACGAAGCGGAGTGGATCGAGTGCAGCTGCAACTTGGTTAACAAAGATGTTCCGGGAAGATGGCTCCTTGATTTGCCCCGGACGATCTCCCAGGGGGAAATTGGTCGGAGGGTGAAAAAAAATGAGCCTGGGAAGAGCGATCAGTGTCGCCGATCACAACATACATCTTCATCGGTCAGGAGGTTGGGGCAGAACTCCAGGTCATCATCGAGGTCGAAAGAGCGACCGGCTTCGAATCTCGCCCGGAAAGCCGTCACCGCAGGGGCTTCGGCCAGTTCTCGCATACTCTTGACTCCTCGGAACTGGCGCTGAGCGTTGTGCTGAGCCATCTTGGGACCGCGGCGAGTGCGTCCGTGATGATTATTTGACGGCATGCCGTGGTGAGGGTGTTGTTGTTGTTGTTGGTGGTGGTGATGGGTGTACAAAAAGGCGGACATGATGACGGGAGTAAAAGAGAACCAGCCCGAGAGATTAGAATAGAAAAGAAATGATGAAGGTTGATAGACAGAATTGACGATGAGAATAGAGAAGGTTGTGGGAAGGAAAGAAGAGGGAAAAAGAGGGGTGTTTTGGGGCTCAGGTGGTGTGGTATTGTTACGTATTGTCACGCTAGTCCTTGCCACTGGCCATTCCGTTGATTGTTGGTGCAGGCCAGCGTTACTGTACTGTCAGACTCCTGCAAAGGATGGTGGGCGCTAGCGAGGTCACGCTCCAGCGCCGGTGGCAAAGGCGGATCTCAGTCACCAATAATTGAACTAGCTGGGGGATCCACAAGGAATGCCGGCGCCTGTTCCGATCACTTCACTGGCTGCGTGACGTCGTCGACCAAATGGACCCTAACCGTTTTAGGTCAAGGAGTGACGAGATCGACCTTGGGCCTTGAACAAGTCTGGTATTGTATTGTATGGTATTGTGGCCTGATTACCCAGGTCCGCATTCAACTGTTTTTACTGTTTTCCCTGTAGGGCTCCAGGACTAAAGACTGTACAATGCGGATTGTTACACCTGCGTTCCCACCTATATCCATGACACTTCACTTCTCCAGCCACTACTACTCCCGGAATAGGAACTCTTCTGGGTGGTTGAGGTTGACTTGGGGGGAGTTGGCCCCAAAACCAAACGGCCTCCCCAAAAAAAAACTAAATTAAAAGCCAAACCCCCAAAGAAACATAGCGCAGGATTGCAGGCAGTGTGCAGGGCTAAGGACAGGAACATTCGTCGGCTGTGGCTGCTCTGATCTGCGATCTCCTTCTCCCCTCTCCAAATTCCCCAATCCTTCCCGGATTGGCCTTAGATCGGACCTAGGCCCATCATTACGCGATGCGGAACAGTGACTCATGCTACCCAGCACATAGTCCCACTACATGTGGCGATTGCCCATACGCCTCCTGCCCAAAGGTACTCTGTACCTACCGTCCAGTACCATGTACCTCCTGAGTGTCTGATAGGGATGTCCGGACCTGGAATGCCGGAAACTTGCCCCCCTGAACCACTCACCCACACGGTTCTCCGTACATCCGTACTCTCCGTCCTCGGCGCTTTGTTGCTTCACCGCTCCTTCAGGGCGAACTGGCCTCCCTCCGAATTCTAAATTTATGACCCCTCGAGCCTGTAGCCGGTAGTTCTGTAGTATGTGAGTCGGTGGTACGTGGGCCTCGAGCAGGTGCCTCGAAGCTTGAACCATGCAGTTGACAGGTCTCCATGCGAGCTTGCATGACCATGCGCACCTTCAGATCTGACGATCGGACGGCCCCCAGCGAGGGGGTGCTTTGCCCCAGACTCCGCGCAAGGGGGACTGGTCACCACGATCTGCTCTCCCCCGGTCTGGTTGGGAACCGGCCGTGTTTTGTTTGGAGGTTCTCGCTCGTGGTTTCAGAACCAGCCCGGTTTGAGGTACTTGATGTGTAATCTATAATCCCCTACTCCGTAATCCGGAGGTGCTTCCTATTCCTGCCATATGTGTAGTCCTTCATGCATGGCCCGACACGAGTTGGTCCGTGCGCCTTGGACGGGACTGCCGATGCTGTGCTGCGTGTTACACTACCACAGGTCCCAAATATGCATCCTGTGCAGTATACGGGCATTTGGGATTGATCTATACGCTCTAACCGCCGTTGAATCGGTTCCTAGATACCCGATATTCTACATATCGAATGTTCATGCTTTTGATTGACCAGAATATACCATCAAAAGCTCGAACCATTGGCATCAAGTTCGTTGTATTATGAAAGAATCTCTCGTTTCATAGTGCCGTCATATACTTTTCATATTCGAATGTATGCATGAAAACAAAGTTTTGTCAAAACATAAAGCATACGCAGGTAAAAAAAAACCTTTGGGAATCCACAAAGCCAAATGCATCATGCCCCAGCACCCTAAAACTCCAGCCCTCACGCAAAACGCCTTGCATCACAAAATAACCTTAAGAAAGCATGCATGCACAAAGCATCACTTATCCAAGTTCTTGCTCTTAACCATGCGACCGATCAACTCCTTGCAGTGCTTCTCACTATACTGCTCCCAAACCTCATACAACGAAAGCAGTTCCTGCGTACACTCGATAACGGCCTTGATATCCACCTCACTCTCCGCCAGCCACGCAACCAGCTTCTGAATCTTCGGAGGCCCCGATCCAGGCTTATCTGACAATGCAGCAAGCATGTTCATGCCTTGGCCTTCGCGCATGGTACCCGCTAGTGCGGACTGCGCAGAACCGAGATATGCACCTGGCGGAGAGGGTTTAAATACCACTGCGACGATGATGGCCATGATGGCGATTACGTGCGGAGGGTGGAGGAGGGGGAGATCAGTTAAGTAGTGGTCGTTGATTACGGACCAGGCGAGAGCTACCTCGTCCGAGGATAGAGCGAGCTCGGTTTGGAGCTCAGAGAGCGTGCGGTAGGGGTGGTGCACGATTAGTTGTGAGTGCATTTCGGAGATCAGGGCGAATTCGCATTCGCCCAGTTTGGCGACGTCAGGCGTTATGAATTCTGCCGGGGGGTTAGTGTTAGTCGGTGTTCGGGATAGATGTCAGATGGGACCGTACCGGGCCAGAGCCCGCGTGCTTCGCCCACCACGAAACGGATGTGTTGGGGGCATTCTTCCATTTTGCAGGCCAGGTAGAAGGCCGTTGTGAGGACCAGATAGGGATTTGTCTGGCGGATCTCGTTCTTTGTATAAAAACGCTTGAGATATACTTGGGCCGTGGCAATGGCTTGTTGGCGGGTGGTCATGCGCTTGCCCAATTTGATGAGTTCTAGAGAGCGATAAGCAAGTGGTGATCTCTTGTAGAGGAGGAGTCTTACGCTGATTGAAGTATATATTCAGCAGTCGCTGATCTGGCAGCGGAAACTGTGAATGGGTGACCTTATCTTTCTCCCAGAGTCGCTCCCGAACATCGGCCAGCGACTCTCGGGAGAACAGCCAGTGTCGACGCTGCGTCGACGCCCAATAATTGGCTGCCATGAAGAGCAGTAGCTGTCTTTGTTGCTGTAGCTGTAAACCCGATGTCGCTGGGACGTTGACGTTGATAGCCCAAACAGGTTTAGTAGGGCAGAGCCCTGGTCCCGTGCCGGGCGGTGATGGCGTCAAGCGTTTGAAGCAATGATCGGGCGCCGATTAATCATTCCCTCCCCACCCTATATGCGCCGGCTCCTTGAGCTTTCACCCGAACGACTATCTGAATCTCCGAGTGATCCCCGTGTTTATAGCGACCCAAGAATACACGCCCCCCTTGAATGATGCCGGGTTCTCGATAACAATTTTCCCTCCGATCCCGATCATGGCGCCCGAGTCGAACGATGAGCGTGATGAAAGAGTCGCGCGACTCTGGGAAACCTTGGACACGCGAAAGGAGGGCCACGTCGATCTGTCCGGCTTGAAGAAGGGCCTCAAGAAGATCGATCACCGTGAGTCTGACCCCGGTCCCGTGCCGAATGCTCCCGACTGACGCGGTCTCAGCTTTGAAAAACGCGGATGACTTGCTGCGCAGCATTCTAGTCGAGGTCGATACCAATCACGATGGCCAGATAGACTATGCCGGTAAGATCAGGAGCTATCTCGGTCCTGTTGGGACCCCCTTGGATCCCTCCCCCTCTGACAGCTTCCCCCAGAGTTCCGAACGTTTATCAACCAAACCGAGTCCGGGCTCTGGCAGATGTTCCAGAGCATCGACCGTAACCACAACGGAGAAATCGACAAAGCTGAACTGCGGTCCGCCTTTTCTCAATCTGGAGTTACGGTGTCGAATGCGAGGCTGGACGAGTTTTTCGCCGAGGTCGACAAAAACAGTGACGGAGTAATCACCTATACGGAATGGAGGTACGAGTCACGCTGGCCCAAGATCAAGTGAATGAACCTGGAGAACTGAAACTGACGTGATGCAATTTCTAGGGACTTTTTACTCTTTATGCCCCTTCGATCACCGTCGGATCTTCACGCAGTTCTCTCGTATTACACGGCCACGGGCAACTTAAACCCGGAAGGAGATGTCCACATCAATGACCTGCAGGGTTTAGGTACAGACCTCAATTTTCTTATTCGTCTTCCCTCGGCCGTTTCGGCCATCTTGTACAATATCTTTTCCCTCCACATCATCTCTTCACTTCTTCCTTCCGCACACGCTCAATCCAGCTCGACCTCCACTACTTCCGGCGAAGACCTTGTCCCGGTAGACAGTGAGCTCGAGTTGGAAAACCTGGCCATCCCCAAAAACGTCGCGATGTGGATGTCAATCCGCAATTATGAACGGAAGTTGACCGAGAACACCCCGCAACTAGGCTACTTCATCGCAGGCGGTACCGCAGGTGTCATTTCGAGGACAGCTACTGCCCCCTCGATCGTTTGAAGGTCTATCTTATCGCCCAGACAGGCGTCCAGAACGTCGCCGTCATCGCCGCGAAGGAAGGGGCCCCTATCGCTGCAACTGCCAACGCGTCGCGAACACTCGTTATCGCCTTCCAAGAGCTCTGGCGAGCCGGTGGCCTTCGCAGCTTGTTTGCCGGTGAGCCTAATATCCGATATAGCTACCTAAAAACACACAACTAAATTTCTAACAGGCAATGGGTTAAATGTGGTCAAGGTTATGCCAGAGTCGGCGATCAAGTTCGGTGCATATGAATCTGCAAAGCAATTCTTTGCCCGACTTGAGGGGCACAACGACCCCAAGCGACTCCTGCCCACATCTCAGTTCTTGTCTGGTGGTATCGGCGGAATGGTGGCCCAATGCTTCGTTTATCCCCTCGACACCCTCAAGTTGTGAGTAGACCGCTCAAGTGATCCAAAAGAGAAAAAAACACTAACGTCATTCTATAGCCGCATGCAATGTTCGACCGTTGGAGGTGGCCTGAGAGGCAACAAGCTGATCGCCGCAACTGCAGCCAAAGTATGGAACCATAATGGACTGTTCGGCTTTTTCCGCGGCCTACCTCTTGGTCTGGTTGGTATGTTCCCTTATGCAGCTATCGACCTCACCACCTTTGAATACCTGAAACGCGCCCTTCTCGCTCGCCAGGCTCGTCTCAGCCACTGCCACGAAGACGACATCAACCTCGGCAACTTTCTGACAGGAGCAATTGGAGCCCTCAGCGGTGGACTCAGTGCTTCGGTCGTCTACCCGCTTAACGTCCTCCGCACCCGCCTCCAAGCCCAAGGTACCGCTCTCCACCCGGCTACCTACGACAGCATCGGTGACGTCCTGCGTAAAACCCTCGCGACCGAGGGCCCCCGCGGTCTATACAAGGGCCTGACGCCCAACCTCCTCAAGGTTGCCCCAGCTGTCTCTATAAGCTACGTGGTCTACGAGAACACGAAGCGCATGCTGGGGCTGAAGTGATCGCCACCTGTACCAAACCACCTCTCACTCATACCCACCATGTAATACAGCCAGTTTTCAACGAGATACCCAGAATGACTATCATACATTCCATTCATACCATGTGTGTGCATGGTCTCTCTCATCACTTTGCTTTCATCTCGACCTCACTCCGAGGTCATTTTTTCCTTGCATTTACCCTCTGTCCCTCTCAACCACTTCTCATTTGTCCTTTCATCTCGAATGAGACTATTTCCAAAGAAGTCCTTGCTAGAGACAGGGGTAACCCAAACCATCGCATGGCAAGGAGTCAAAGCATGATGTTTTTCATGCAGGGTTTTTCGCTTTCTTGTGAATATTGACTATATTTCCTTTGGATATCCATCTCAATTGCTAGAAAGCTAGAGAAGAATCAGACCATAATATCCAATTCAGTTCATTGCTTTGATTATCTTTCACTTTCCGAAGATATAAACATAGCACGTAAAATCCATTCAATTCAAAAAGAACCCCAGCCCCTCAAAGCTTCTCAAGCCTGAGCAGCCCGAACCTCCTCATCCTTAGGCAAAATATCCGGCACCGGTCCCAAAGGCGTAATCCCAAACACATTGATCTGCTTATGACTCTTCGTATAATGCTTCTTAATATGCTCAAAGTCCGTCGTCTCCCCAAACGCCGGAGAACCCCAATAAAGCTCCTTAACCCACTTATGGATAGCCGGGTACCCAGAGCGGATATCCTTCAGGTTACACTTAAAGTGCTGGACGTAGACAGGATCGAAGCGGATGATCGTTGTGAACAGACGGATGTCGGCCTCAGTGATGCTGTCGCCAAAGAAGTAGGGCGACGATTGCTTGGATAGGTGAGTTTCGATTCTGTCGAGGGAGCCGAAGAGTGTTGTCACGGCTTTTTCATAGGCTTCTTGCGTTGTGGCGAAGCCAGATTTGTAGACGCCATTGTTTACGTCGTTGTAGATCCATTCGTTGGAGGTGTCAATTTGGGTGCGTAGGTTCTGGGGGTACAGGTCGATGGATTTGAATCCGGCGGGCAGAAGGTTGTCGAATTCGTAGTAGAGCATGCGGATGATTTCAGCGCTCTGGGTGGTTGTTAGGATTTTGGGGGGGGGCTTTTGGGGGGTTGGGGTTCGAATATTACCTCGTTGCTGACGATTAGGTTCGTCTTTTTGTCAAAGAGGACTGGGACTGTGAAGCGGCCGGTGTAGTCCGGGTCATTAGAGAAGTAAATGTCGCGCAGGTGGGTGAAGTCTGGGTGCAGAGGGTCCGGGATGGTGTTTTCTCCTGGGAGTTTCTCATCTGCAGTCGCAAAGCGCCATCCTGAGTGGAGTTAATAAGATGGTTTTCACTGATAGATTGAGGATGGCTAGGTACCGTTCTCAGCGAGATGCCAGTGCACCGAGGAGAAGGAGATGATGTCCTCCAGGCCCTTGAGCTTGCGGGTGATCAGGGTACGATGAGCTATGAAAGATTAGGACATGCCACCAAATTCAATCATAGGCGATTGACCCACCCCATGGACAAGCATAGGAGACGTAGAGATGATAGCGGCCTTTCTCGGGGGGGAACTGCGCGCCAGGCTCGCGAGAGATGAAATTGCGAAACGCAGACTGCTGCCGCTTGAACTCGCCCGACTTATCATTGGGATTGACCCAGTCGGTGATCTTATCTTTATTTCCAGTCTGCGAGACCATTAGAATGAGGTCAATTGGGTGGTGAGGGGTAAATCTCCTACAGCCATAGTTCGTGGTGATGCGGAAAAGCACGGTTGGTAAGTTAAGAATCCTGTGCGAAGAAGCGGGCGTGATTGACGGAGCAACGCTGACGAGCGAAGAAGGCAACAGAACATCAGCAGATGAGCTGTTCTTATAGCTTACGCCGAGATATAATGGTTCTAGAAAAAAGAGGAATACGAGGGCGATGCGGGGATGACGTTCACTGACGAGTGGCTTACTCACCTGGAGCTGCCCCACTTCGGTCAGCTTTGACAAAGCATTCCTAACGAAATTCTTGGATTGCGAATCTACGGCCGACCCTGAGTTCACTCGGAATCTTCTAATGCTCAGGTAAGACTAGGATAGCAAATTGATTGGAGATTGGAATCTAGACTGCTTCGTGGATGATAATCGTAAATCTACGCCATAAGGCTCTGGGCTTTTCGAGGTCTAGAATACTCTCTATTTCGAAAGCTTGACCATCACGTACGGCACCTCAACATCTTCCTCGGTTTGATCCTCAGCGGTGACCTCGAAAATGACATTCTTTTGGTGATCAGGGATCGGCTTCTTGCTGACGTGTTCAACAAGCTTGCTCATTCTGTGAATTGCGTTAGTAGGATGCTTTATCTATAGACCGATTGGATAATTGGAAACTCACGTCAGAGGAAGGCGGTCCTTCACTTTGCTGGGAGGATAGAAACTGGCCCACAACAAGCTCACGCCAGAGCTAACCATAGTGATATCCAAGCCCTTGTCGGCAAAGTCTTGAATGAACTCTCGGAGGGTGATGTCCGGCAGCTCGAAGCGGTCCCACAGTTGGTCAATTGTGACCTCACCCGACTTGCCCTGGTACTTGCCCTTGGGGCTAGCGATAGGCTCACTGAAGCCAAAGAATGGAAGTGCAAGGTTGATAAATCCGTTCTTGTACTGCTCGATGTCGTCCTTGCCATCCACAACCTTGAACAGCTCCAGAGCCACCAGACCGGTGATTAGGGCAGTGGCGGTGGCGATGGCGGGGATAATCTTTCCAGCAATAAACTTGGTCTTGTGACGATCAGCCTGGGGAATATCGTAGTTATCAGCACGGAGGTTGCTGGCCGCGGTTATAAAGTCGATATGGTGGTTGGTATCGTCATCCTTCTCAAACTCGACGGGCTGAAGACGGAAACCGGCAAGGGACTTGGATGACGGCAGAGTCTCTACCAGCTTCTGAATTTCATCGTTGTCGTTAGAGCCTCCGGCAGGCTGAGCGTTGGGGTCAGGGTCATTCTCATTGGCCTGAATCTTAACACCGGAGCTCGGTGTGAATTCGGGAATGATCATATCATCAACAACCTTGCTGTAATAGCTCTTGTCCGCACCGGGGTTCTTAATGCCGTAGTTGAAAGCGTGCAGGTTGGCACCAGCAATCACAAAACCAATGTGAGTAGGGTTCGAGCTGTCAAACTTCAGAGGGGTCGGGGCACGCTTGGGACCGGACCAGAATGGCTGACCAGTAGAGGTCTTGGAGTCCTTGGGGAAGTTGTACAAAAGCTGCTGGATCGCATTGTTGTACTGGGACTCGAACTGCTGTCGGGCCCAGACAATACAGTCATCGAAAGTCAGGGGCTTGTCAGTCACCAAGAAGTCACGAAGATGCTCCAAAGTCTGCTTCTCGTTACCCGCTTGCTTGAGTGTCTGGTCAATGTAGTCGGCCTGCGAGAGATACATGTTGACGGACTCAGGCGGGCCAACAAAGAAGGACTGGAAGAGATCGCGAGCCCAGGCAATGGTATGCTCGATGCGGTTGGGGAAACTCTTCAGGGTACACATGGGGAAAGACTTCTCCGGAGGATCCTGAGAGCTGGAGTAGGACTCGGTAATAAAGGGGAGGATGACCTGAGTGTTACCCTTGGTTCCGAGAGTGCCACTTTCAAGGAGGGGCTTGCGGAAGAAGACGCAGCGGCGGTCCACGTAGGTACGGGCATCGACGTTATCCAGAGCATTGGTCACTCCGTCCAGTCCGTTCCAGAACTCCTCGTTGAAGATGTGCTCAGTATCGTTTCCGACACGGTCACGGAGAGTCACAATGTGATCGTTGAGCTCAGGGTTCATGACTTGGACCGCAGCAGAAGCACATTCACTCTTAAGGCGACCAACATCTTTGGAGCGGAAAAGGAACTGACGGTTCAGGTTGCTTTTCTCGATCTGATCCATGTCGGTAACATAGATCTTACCCCTGGGACCAGTGCCCAGACCCATCATGGCCCAGTTTTTCAGAGTCTCGCATCCAATAGCACCGGCACCGACCAAGAACTGCCGAACGTTGGAGAGCTTCTCCTGATACTCCTTACCAAAGACCGCGATCTGACCATCATAGCGGCTGCCAATAGGCTTGCAGCTCTCCTCGGAACGAGCAGTTGAAGAAGGAAGGGACTCCAAGGAGTCAAAGTACATCCACTGCTTAACGGGGCTGAACTTTCCAGAAACGGCCTTCAGGATTTCCTGCGCAGCGATACCTCCGAAGAAGGCAGCCAAGGGGTTAAGATCACCACGAGCCTGGTAACTAAGCTCCTTGATAACCTTCTGATCTAGCTCAACCTTCTCCTCTCCCGCCGCAGCAAGCTCGGTGGCAATCTTCAGGACTTCCTGAGCGTCACTGTCATTGTGCGGACGAGGCATCTGGCGATCGTGGGTCTCCGCGAACTTGTGCAGAGCCTGAACACCAATGTGTAACTGTTGAGGACGGTCGAACTTGGCAAAGTCCGAAATCAGGTGCTCTGGGTTCTTAATCTGCTCCGACAAGGGCTGGAAGTCAACGATCTTGGGCATCTTCACCTGTGTGAAGAGGCCGCCACCCTCATAAGATCCGAGGCCGGAAACATCACCGATGCTGAAAGTGTAGGGGCCTTTGACAGTAACCTTGCGAGGGTCGCTAGAATTCAAGCCTTCCATACCCTTGACTTCAAGGAAAGTCACATAATCTCCATCTTCCAGCCCGTGACGGGTTTCGTCCAGCGCAGACACCAAGCCATCCTCAGAAATATCGGCAACGATACCGCCAACGGCTTCTTCGCCACTGTAATCACCGACAACAAAGTTTTTGCCAAAATCGTTGAATAAATATCCGAAAAGACCGTAAGTATCTGTAATGGTCAAGTAAATGCCATTCTGGTGGCAGAAATCCGCGATCACCAATTGCTCCTTCAAGGGAGTCTGAGTGAGGACGATCGCCTGGTAGCGCTTAAGCTGGTCTAGGTCAGCCACAAGGCTTCCGCCCTCGTGGATTGTCACCGGGACATAAGAGTTGAGTTCAGCGACTCGAGGGGCAGTAACTTCGGCGCGGGGCTTGCCGACATCTTCGGGGCGGAGGAAGAATTGGGAGGAAAGATCGGAGATAGCAACGGGAGCGGAGTCGTGGAGGGTAAGGGACTTGACACCGGCGAGAGCAATGTTCTTGGCTGCGAGGGATTATTAAACGTTCGGAAGATACCCCGCAAAAAGGTGTACACTTACCAATTTCAACACCCAGACCCTTCAAACCCACCACGAGAACGTTTGAAGAGCCCATGCGCTTCATAGCTTCGTGGCCGAGCACATACCTAGACGTCATTAGTCCCCACTCGTTATCAAAATCACTATATCACTAGGGAAACCTCACAGTTGTCTGCTGTACAGCGACTCATCGATCTCGCCATGCTTGATCGCCTCCACAGTCGCCTGTCGGTTGTCGACTTCCATCGTGACGTCCTAAATGTCTTGTGTTAGTAACAATGCGGTATCTCCGAGTTGGAGACATACAGTCATAATCTTCTTCGGGGGTCGAGCTGCGGTTTCGTCTTCAGACGCTCTGCGCTTTTCCGGCTTAGCCGCTTCTCGAACAGTAAGGTCGGAAGGAATGATGGTAGGAGAGTGAAAGTCTTGCCCCACGAGCAAGACCTTCAACAGTGCTGGAGTAAAACAAGTTGCAAAGCCCAGCGTACCAGGTATCAAACTCGAGAAGCAATACGAGCAGGAGAATCCAACAACGACGCAGCGAGGATATAAAGGCTGTACAACAGGGAGGTGAATGTAAAGATAGAGGCAAGGGAGAGGAACAGTCGAGAAGCGGGATCGTCGACGTAAGAGGGACAAGCTGTCGATGACTAATCTCGGCGCGTCGCCCCGCGATTGAAGCTCCGTACAAAGTGTTTGCGCTGTGAGCTATCACTGAGATCGGGGAGCATGTCCCTTGGCCCTCAAGGTCACTATTACTCTTTTCAACTCTTACCTTAAGACTCAAAACCTTCACCACGCAGCTTCTCACATGTGTCGTTTCGAGCTTCTTGGACGCGGCTTGTTATATTGGCAGCGGACCAACCCAGAAAAGGATAACAGTCGCCTCTCCAGGTAAGTGCATTACAAATACAATATCGCGCCATCATAAATTTTAGCTAATGCGCAGTTCAGAGAGAATCGGTCAGGATGCTTCACGAAATCCTCCTCTCCCTCTCCGGCCAACCGTCCCCGCTCTTCAGTCCACAAGGGAAGGACGCTCTCGCGCAAGATGACCTCGCCCTTCTCTCTCCTCCGGAAAAAGCACTCCTCGGATCAGTCGCCCATCTAAGTCAAATTCATGCGCAGTTACGATCCTACACCTCCCAGATATCGTCCGCCCATGGTTCCGTGATTTGCCGCTCTGTCTCCACGACAATCGCTACGGCGCACCTGGGTGAATTCCAGAAGAAGATCCTTGAAGTGGAAAAGGCAATTTTAGCCGAAGACAGCGAATATGTGGGCGGCTACGGTATCGTTCCGTTATCAACACTCGTTGGGGAATTCGCACCTTGGACACGGCGCATGGAGTGGCTATGGGAAATTGTCAAGTTCATTGTGCCAGAGAGGTCAACCGCGGTGCGCTCCGGCGGGTGTTCTGGGGCAGGTCTGATCGACCATCTGCGGGCCCAAACTCAAACGGGGTATCTAGACATCAAGGAGATGGCGGTACAACTGGTTACGGCAGCTGAAACGGCATGGATGAAACAGCTGTCAATGTGGCTGCTGTATGGAAACTTGCCCATGTATGGGAAGGAGGACTTCTTCATTCACCAGGACGATACCGAGGATGACGACAGCCAGTTCAGTATACAACCTGACCTACGGCCGAAGTTCGTCTCTGTACAAACAGCAGGGTCTATTCTTTTCATCGGGAAGTCCCTAAATCACATTCGCGCAAAAAGGAAAACATCCTCTGGCATTTCGACGGCGCCGGTGACCCTGTATCAGGAGCACATTGAGCAATTGGCAGGCTTGAAATCACCCATCTCAGCCTCCAAGCTCTCTACGGCGGTGGACTGGATTCGACTTTCGCTGTCCCAGTCAACATTATCTAAGCTGCTTCCACTTCCTAAGATCCTTGAGATGCTCGAACTCCTCCACAATTTCCTGCTGCTAGGACGAGGCGAATTTGCCGTGGCGCTGGTCGCACATGCAGATTCTCGCATGGATGAAAGTCGGCGAAGAGGAGCTCGCGGACAAGTACCTGGGGCTCTGGAAAATTACCTCGTCAAAGAGGGAGACGTAATGACTGCATTGGCCCAGGCATGGGCAGAGCTTTTCTCCCTACAAAAAGAGGAAGACCCTGCCGACGAAGAGCTCGAGCTGGCTCGAGAACTCCTTCGATTGTCGATCAGCGAGCGAAAAAGTGGCCGTTCAGCGACCCCGTCGCAAGGAGCAGGTGTGTTGCCGGAGATATCTACGATCTCTTTCGAAGATCTGCTATTTCCCACACCCACGAGCCTGACCATTCAAGTCCGCGCTCCACTCGACCTGTTCCTGTCCAGTTCGGACATCGTCATCTACTCTAAGATTCATTCATACTTACTAGGAATCCGACGAGCCCAGATCCGCCTCGGGGATTTATGGAAACGAACCTCCCTGCGAAGAAACCACCCTTCGCCATGGGGGCCGCCACGGAGTAATAGTGCGTTCGGTCAAAATAAGCTTAGAGAGAGCCGGGCGAGGGACAACGCTCGGATCCGCCATATGCGACCAGTTTGGGCAACCGGCAGTGCTTGTCTCTTTGTTCTCTCGGAGATCGGCACGTTCTTCCAAGGAGAAGTCGTCCATGAGTCCTGGCAGCACCTACGTGAGTGGATTCAAGGAAGTCCCGAATCCACATCAGTCTCTGGGTCTCGACCAGGGACCGCTTCTTCAGCCAAGCCGCCATGGCACTCTCGAGAGGCCACACCGGACCGAACTTCGAGTCGGCCGTCCTCACAGTCGGGTCCGACAATGGTGCGGCATGATCCAGAAGCTTTGACCGTAGCCCACCGTCGCCACCTATCAAGTCTTGTGAAGTCTTTGTTCCTGACGGAAGTGCCATTCACATCCGCACTGCGGGCCCTTCTGACGTGTGTGGATCGGTTTGTAGCGCTTACCATTCGCCTCGAGACAATTCAACGTAACATGGATCTCGAAACGGATGAAGGCGTGGTAGATGCTCTAGTCGACTACGCACAAGAAGAGCACGAAGTTTGGCAGGAACTACGAGCCACGAGCGACAACGTGCAGAGCGGTATGAAGGATCTCGTCACGAGCCTCCGAGAAATTGACGACAGTCGATCGGGAGGAGAGACCGTCGGGACTGCCACAACGGGACAATTGGGGAATGGGCCGAGCCCGGGCCCTAGCTTCCGCCACTACGTTCCGCGCCAACCAGCGGGAGTGGACCGACTCCTCATGAAGCTGGACTTCGGCAGTCTGCGAGGCGCGGCGATCACAGGCTTGGCCTTGGAATAGCTTAGAAATGAACATTTCTTCTTTCGATATGCGTTATGATTGCTACGGAATCAGATTTGGAATTGGAATTGGAATTGGAATTGGAATCGGAATCTAGCGGATCAGGCGTTTATCGGGGAAACAAATAACCTGGAGCTGGGGAGTTGACTTTGCATCCGCTGCAGGATAGTCATGCGGACACTGCACTGCTGCTCAGTATAGACGTGGCCTTGCATTGGCACCAAATAAAATGAAACAGCCTTATCTGCAAGCCCTCACGAACTGTACCAGGTGACCATTGAAGAGAACGCCGTGCTTCCAGGGCGTTTGAGATCGATCATCCAAAGAATGGTCGCGGCCTAAGCAGGGGCTCAAGGATCGAGCGTGCCGTAGAATGAAAGGTAGTGTGGGTCGCTGTGGCAATTCCTAAGCCGGAACTGTGGCAGAAGCTTATTCTCTGGGCGCTGGGTCTGGGGGTTCGTGTTCGTTCGATGCTCTGGGCCCAAAAAGATCAATCTTTGCTCTCCAAGTCTGATTATTCGTCCCGACACTCGTCCAGGTTGTTCAATTCCAATTTTCCAGCTTCAATTAGTCTCAGTCTATTCTCCACCCCAAGGAGCGCCGCGCTCGAGCAAGTACCCCCCCCCCAAAAGACACGAATCTCACGATGGCGGTGTGCCGGGATACAATCAAGGCACTGCCCAAATAGGAAATCCCGGACCTACTGCCGGGGCGGTAGCCACCAAGATCCGCTCTAGACCCGCCCCCAAAGAAAAATAAAAACCCCGTCCGGGGTTGTGGAGGCCTCTCGGTCAGTTGACTACCTTTCAGGCATTTTTTAGTCCGATCCAGCCCTGCATGGACTCGCGTCCGGAGCCGAGACGCTGGATTTCAGATCGAGCTTACACAGAGATCTACCATATCCCGAGCACATTGTTGGCCATTGCAGATCGGCCATTCGGCTTTTCAGGGTACTTTCGTAGAAGGGCATACCTGCAGATCGGCCATACTTCGGACCCGCAGTGGGCCATTCCATCGAAGCCTTCGACGGTCGCCGTTTTCAGCTCTTCCATGCTCATTGTCTAGCAGTGGGCTTTCATGGGCTGTGAGCTGTCAATGCACCGGGATCCCAGTTCCATCCCGGTACGCTCCAATTCCCCCCAAGGATCTGGAAATAACTGGGGCTGTGGCAAGTTTGCCCGTGGATGCTCCCGTCGATTTGTCTGGATCTTGGAACGTTGTGAGAGCTGTCTGTCTATCTGGTCACGCAGTGCCTTTTGATCTTGATTTTTGATTTTTGATTTTTGATTTTCGATTTTCCAGCCTTTTTATTTTATTTTATTTTTTTGTTTCTATCTTTGCTTGCGGTAACCTACTCAGGGAAGTACCGTTCCGGTGCCCCCTGGACATATAAACCCTTGTTGCCAGAGATCGTGGAAAAGCCATCCGATCCTGCTCTTGCTTTCTGTCTTAGACTTTGTTTCCTCTTATACATACTCTGCTCTCCCCCGTCCCCTCCTGGAGATTTCCTGCCTCTTTCTCATATACCCTGTGTGATCATCCTATACTTCTTTACTTCATACCGTCGCAATGTCTTTCAACTTGGCCCGCTGCTTGGCTCCTTCTCGCACTCGCTTCGCCGGTGCTACGATTAATGCTCCCCGTGTTATCGCTTCTTCCTCGACCCGCCTCTACTCAAGCACCAAGAGTGCTTTCAATCCCCAAGACATCAACAAGATCTCCCACAAGGCCGAGCACATTCAGAACAAGCTTCCCTCCAAGAAAGAGCTGCGCAGTGCCCAGCGATTCGGCGAGTTCGACATGGAGGGCCGCGTATACGCCATCACCGGTGGTGGCCGTGGCCTTGGACTCTCTATGGCCGAAGCCCTAATTGAAGCCGGCGCTAAAGTGTACTGCCTGGACCGTCTCGATACTCCCTGCCCCGATTTCATGATCGCTAAAGACAAGGCTGAAAACGAATATGGCGGCGTCCTCGAATACATACGCATCGACGTCCGCAATAACGTCGAGGTCAACAACACCATGGCTGCGATTGCCGCACAACACCAACGCCTAGACGGCCTCGTCGCTGCTGCCGGCATCAACCACCTCCAAAGTGCCCTCGAACACTCCGAGCAAGCCCTAGACGACGTCATGTCCATCAATTACAATGGCGTGTTCAACTCCGCCACCGCCGCCGCGCGACAAATGTTCAACTACCAGCAAAAAGGCTCTATCCTCCTTGTCGCCTCCATGTCTGGCCTGATCGCCAACAAAGGCATGACTTCCCCGGTCTACAATAGCTCCAAAGCTGCGGTTATCCAACTCGCTCGCTCCCTTGCTATGGAATGGGGTCGCCACGGTATCCGCGTCAACTCCCTCTGCCCAGGCCACATCATCACCCCAATGGTCGACGAGGTCTTCAAGCAGAATCCCGCTGCCCGTGCTACATGGGAGGCGGAGAATATGCTGGGCCGCCTGGCTATGCCTGAGGAATTCCGGGGCTCGGCTCTCTTCTGCCTCTCTGATGCTAGCAGCTTCATGACTGGTAGCACCCTTCTCATTGACGGCGGCCACACTGCTTGGTAAAATTACGAACTGACGATTTTTTTTTTAATTCATAAAGATTGGCAATGGAGTTTACTGGGCACTCGAATACGGAGCGTTTGATTCTTAATTCTTGATTTGAAAAGTCGCGTCGTGATGGGAAAATACATACGCGCCGTTGCGAACTCTGTACATAATCGCATTGGATGGGATCAGATCGCCTTTGAGGCTGTTTCTCGGTATCCCGCATTTCTCGGCCCGGGATGTAACTATAGATTGCGTTCTATACAGCCCTGCCGAGAAGATAATTTAAAAGGGTTTCTATTCTGGATTCTTCATCCTTTGTAAAAAGATCATAGCAACGAAAGGGTATAAACAAAATAGCAAACACCTGATATACGCTAAATGCCCAAGATCCCATCAAATAATAAACACAAATCTCTGATCACCAGTGCGTCCCTCCAAATCATTCCTCCGCCCACCACCCATAAGCCCATCCCTCTCCCTTCCCTCCGCCCCATCCTGAGATCCAGCCCGGACACGATTCTCCCTTTGTAAAAGCACTCTCAACACAACCGCCAAAATAGCCACAACCAGCATAAAAAACGAACAAACCGTCATTCCCCTCACATACCATGGCCCATCACTCTGCGGATACAACCTCGTCCCAAGCAACGGCCCACATTGTCCAATAATGTTTAGAATCGCAATACTAGCCCCTTTACCTTCCTTTTCAATCCGGTTGTCCATTGACCAGGTGATTATCAAGGTGATAGCCGAGAAGAAGCCCGCCACGGCTGGGTAGACGCAAATATAGCGAATAAAGGTGTGAACAGAAGGGGTCAAGTGGGTGTGGAAGTAGCCTGTTGCGGCAATACAGAGGTAGGAAAGGGAGGAGATTAGGGCGTGGGTTATCAGGTAGGTGCTGCGGGTGCGTGTGCGGTCGGAGAAGTAGGCTGTTATTAGGACTACTATGAAGGCGAATAGGTAGGGCGGGGCGGAGAGAGCTTGGGAGTGGAGGGTTGAGTAGCCCATGCTGGAATGAGTTAGGAGTTGCTCCTCAAATGGGTATTTGGGGTAGACATACTCTTTGATGATGGTAGGGAGGAAGACTGGCATTGAGCTGAATGCGACGTTACAGCTGAAGAACATGAACTGTGTACGGGTCAGCTCTTGTTCATTTATCTTGGATGGAGAGACTCACAGCAGCCATGTATGCCTTGGGATCCGACGCTGTCTTGATAATCTCGCGCCAATTGAACGGCTTCTCCGGCGCATTCTGATAGTCCGACTTGTTCTCCTTAAGACGCAGTCTAGCCACGACTCTTTGTCGACGAGTGAGGAATCGCGCACGACCAGGAGAGTCAGGAATAACCACCCAGGCAAATACAGCAACGATCACGCTCGGGAACCCCTCCACCAGGAAGAGGGTACGCCACGGGGAGATTGGACCGTCGGTGCTGCACTTGACAATCACCCACGCGAGACTGCTTGCAAATGAGGTGGCCAACGGCGCCGCAGAAATGAATAGCCCATTTCGGAAAGCTAGTTCCTGGCGCCTATAGAAAAGCGACAGGTAAAAAGGAACACCCGGTCCAAATGCAGCTTCTGTGATTCCAAGCAAAGCGCGCAGAATGACTAGACCCTCGAACGAGGTAGCTAGACATTGGAACGAAGCCACCAACCCCCAGCCGAAAACACATAGGGAGATGTAGATATGCGGCGGAACGAGTCGGTACATGAGTGTCATCCACTCGAAGAGAATATACGTGATATAGAACGCAGTAAGCAGCCATTCATACTGCGAAGACGAGAGTTGGAGATCCTCCTCCAGTCCAGCAATCTTTGCATTTCCAATATCTGCAAGCAACAATTAGCGCACGCCTCGAGCAGCTCGAGCAGAAGAGCTCAACTTACTTGACCGATCCAGGAAAGAGAGAAGGTAAAGAAGAGCCAGAAACGGCACCAATCTCCGATCGAAGCTCCGCACAACCTCCCTCTCCTCATCAAGTGTATATTTCGGCGCCGCCGTCCTCGCCCTTTTCCCCTCTAGCTCTTCGCCCGACTCATACCCATTCTCCTCATCGCCCTCCTCAACAGGTCCACCGACCTCCACCGAGTCTCCAAAATCAGTCTGCAGCTTCAACTGTCCAGCAGGTGATTTCCCGGGGGTTTGAATCGGTGAATCATCCTCGGAATTAGAAACGGGCGTGTAACGGGGGTTCGAGGGGCTCGAGTCGGAAGAGGCGTTCCCCGCAGATGGGGGCAGATGAAGACTAGCCATGCTGGGGATGGGCTTCAGTCGCAGGGCGCTAGGTGTAATCTAGATCCCACTCTCTGCCTCATAGAGATTCAGATCCAGATCCAGCACCTCCTGACCACTTGTTCTTTGCGGCAAGGACCAGGGAGGTAAGGTAAGGTCCTAGGACGCGCTTAAGTAAACATGCACGTGGGGCACGTGGATTAGCGCGATGGCAAGGCTGAGTTCATAGTTTTTGATTTTGTTTTAGGGGATGATGGAATACTTTTAAAGGGGAATCAGGAATGAGCTTGGAAGTAAGAAGTAAGAAATAAGAAATTAATCGCCGACCGTCTGCTACTAGCTCTCCCGATTATTCTCGAACGTTTGCATGATCGGTGCACGTAGCTAGATCCCATCGCCCCCTCTCCTGTATTATTATGAACGTGGTGCAAACTTCAATTCGGTATTTGCCTTTAATCACTTCCATTGTAGCCTTCATCAGGGCGGTCGAAGGGTTCAGTGCGGTTGATGAGGTCGCCATGATTAGTGCGGTCATCACGATCAGAGCGACGAGTATCTCTGGCGTGCTCAATGTTCACAGCATAATCGGCGGGATCGGTACGAGAACGTCCACGATCACGAACAGCAGGGTGACCACGACGATAATGGTCGCGAAAAGGGCGAGCACGGCTATGGCCACGGCCAATACGCTCAGTGCGTTCATAGGCACGACCGTTATGCCAATCCTCTTTGTAAGCTTCGCCGCGGTAACGATCAACGGGTTGGAAAGTGCGCGGTCTCTTCGAGAGTTCAAACCGGGTGCCATGAGAAGTGCTGGAGGGATGACTTGGGTAAAGACTGAGCTTGTTTTCCTGGTTGTGTCGCTGGCCGTTGCGGTGACGAGCCAGCTGCTCATCCTCGGGGTCCTCAAAGATACGCTTGCGTCCACCAGCCAGGCGCTCAGCGTGTTCACAGCTGGCAGTGACCACGCGCTCGACCTCCGGGATCAGGTGGTGATCTTCACCCTGGGCCTTGAGGCAGCGAAGGAGGTTTTCGGCGGTGTCTCGAAGGAAGCGGACGTTGGTGAACTTGTCTGTCGATTTGTCCGAGATTCCAGACTTGTTGGCGTCTCCGAGATAATAATCGGCCTTGGCCACGTGGTAGACCTGAATCAATTTGTCCAGGGCTTCGTTCTTGGCCCGAGTTGCCTCGGCCTGACGGGGTCCGTCGAGTGTGGTTTTGTTTCCCATTGAGTCGGCAGATTCGTCGTAGGTCGTGTCGATCTCAGAAACCTCGTCAGCGAGGATGGCAGCTCTGGGTTTTCTCACTTGGGCAGGATAGTGACGGACTGTTCACGAGTTGAAGGTCAGAGGTGAAACTGTTAAGGAACGGTTAAAGATCACTATCCAACAAACATACACTTATCGATGAATTTGTAAACAGCGCTTGGAGATAAGCAGTGACAACGTTCTGGCTTTTTATTGTATCGTGGCTGTTATGAATGATCACATACTTATCCAGGAACAGATCCAAAAGCAACATTTTGCCTTGAATTACCCACGTTCCACGTCCCACAGCTCAAGCAGGAGTTTATCGTAGATGGTAGACTCGTGATGCTCAATCACATTAGAGCGCTGGATAACCTAGAAGAAAGTACGTTTTAGAGCTTGGTAGAGCAGATCAGAGTCTCGAGGATTATCGAGAATTTTCTGCATGATATCGCTTGGCTCCCTTTTGGGGCCGTACTCGAGTGCCAGTTTGGCTTCCCTTGATATCATCTTGACAAATTCAGTGGGCATTTTGATGAAGACACCAATGGAAGGGTGGGATCTTTGACGCGGAATTCAGAAGACGGAGACTCTACGTGAGTCCAGAGGGAATGCGAGGACGAGGTTGTAGATAGAGAAATTTTGTGGGCTCTGTAGAGCCCTGAGCCCGAGTTTTTCTTGCGACGCACCTAGAGTATTTCAATGTTTAAATAGAAAAAGGCAGATCGGGAGCTTAAGTATTTCGTTCAAAATCAATATCATTAACAGCATATCATTATACTAGCCTTGCTGAAGGGGTATCAAAAAGAGGCTAGAACGGGGTCTCAATTTCTTTCCGCATAGAGCCGTTCAACCTCATCAGCGAGTACCTGCGGGTTACTGCCATCTTGGGCACAATCCTTCCAAGCGCCGCTATCATGAATACACCATGTTTTCTCATTCAGTCGAACAGTGCAGCTGATCTTTGCATCGAGACTAGATGAGCGCAGCGCACTGTTCCGTAATAGAGCAATCCCGCTAAGAGGAGGGCCTCCGTTCTCGCCATTATCCGGCTCGTCGTTCTGTTGGCTGGCGCATGTATTCAAGGATTCAAAGTCGATACCGTATTCTAATGCGCACTGGTGCACAAACTCGCGTTCTGGGATACGTGGGTATTCGTTAATCAGGCAGTTTGCGAAGCCCAGCGACCGGATTATTGGGGTACGTGGATATGACTGGGGTAACATGGCTTCGTCGTCGGTTGGAGGGAATGGGAGATTGGCCGCGCATAGGATGAGCATGTCGCCGATACATTCAGCTGGGCCATGCATGCACTTTATTTCGGAAGAGTCGTTTGTGACACTGTTTAAATGTTATTGTGAGCAAAGTTGAAGTGCAGTTGGAGGGAGTGAAGTGCTGACCTCGCGATAAAAGATAGCTGGAAGTCGACCTTGTCGCTGATTTGCTCCATGGCAGGCAGAACCAGCCTTTGGAGACAGATTTGTGCATCGGGGCACTTGCTCATAATATGAGCCTCGAGCGGGATTTTGGTGTCTACCAGATCCGTTTGTGGTTGTTTGTTGTATTCTTCCCATGTTTGGTCCGGCGTATCAGGGGCCCAGCTATTTGGGATACCTGGCACTGTAGAGCCCGGAGCATGGTGTTTTATACATCCATGTGAGAGTTCTGTTGTCGGTGCTAGCTTGATAAACAAATACCAGCAGAAGAGGAAACCTGCGGCAATAGCGATGCGGTGGGGCGGGATGGATCTGTCGCGTCGGGAATTAGATGAGTTCTCTGGGTCGGACCCGTCTGCATCCCCAGTATGAATAGGTAGTTTTTCCATGGCGTCTGCTGAGATGTCCCGATAGAGGTGACGTTGTTCCAAGAGAGAAGCGCGTACGGAGGTGGCCTAGCCCCTTCCCAGTCATGCGCCACCCCCGTTACATAAGATGGTTTTCCATGCGGTCAGATCTGCCAACAGCCGCCAGCTGATTTACAACCATGAGATCCATTTTATAAGGGCTCATAGGTATTTCAGGACTGCATACTAGCTTCTGGGAAAGGGCTTGATAGTCATGACGAAATAAGTGTCTCTAGGCTTCGCAAAGTGGACCTTTGGCCCCTGTAGATAATCCAGCCAAGTCCCGAACATTGCGTCTCGCATCTAAGAGAGTCTGGAAATTCCATGAACGCACTTCAATACTTTCGGGAAACACGTGAAACACAAACTCCTCAGAACCTTGTGATGATGCGAAGTTAGTCGTTTCATGACGGATGTGCTGGCTCCTGTTCTCCGTTGGTATCTTGGTATCTTGGTATCTATCAAGCATCAGACAAGGTCGACAGGCACGCCATCGATAAAGTTACGCAAGCCCGTCCTCGGATAAATGTCCCGATGCAGTCAAGTGCCTGTCAGGCTTTAAGGCAACCGGTGAACCTAAGTGCCCAGATCCAGGTCCACCATGATCCTATCAGATGGACTGGTGCGCCGAAGTACCGCTTAGACCATAAGCTCGTCGACACCTGCCAGAAGGAGAGAAAAGCTGTATTCGTATCGGCTGAAGGTGGATGGATGTACGCATCCATGAGAGACATCCCATCCTCAGACACTTGAACATAGATTGGGGAGTGAGACCAAACATCAATTCAAATACTCTGAAACAAAGCTTCGGGTATCAAGTCCCGAAGGGTTCCTCATGCATTAGGTTGGCCGGCTCCAGATAACCACGCGATATTGATGACCTTCCCAAATCGAACCGGTAAAACGCCGGTAAGATTTTGGGCGGAGCCTTCCAAGAGCCATCGACATCGAGTCCAATTCAAATACATCTCCGATCTCGGAGGCCCTGAATCATGAAGTATTGGTGCCCAAGCCAAGCTTTAGACTTTTGTGTCTACCCGTGAACCAGGTTTCGCTCACATTTCCCGACCCGGATGAGCAATCTTTAGCGCGTCCAGCTCGGATCCGTGAGGCTCCTCAGCTTGTCTAATGCGCACAGAGGCCCAATGTTGACGGAAAACCAGGTGATCAACCAGGATGAAACAATGACAACGCCCCCATTTCTCCAAACGAGGGTGCCCTCTGCTCCAGTAGGAAGCTGACGGTAATCGGTGGCTGGACGCCAGCGAACGATCGAGCCCCCGGCGGAGGAGCAAACCCACCCGTTGTTTCGCGCACACGGTTATTTCCGAGTTGTCCAAGGCATAGATCGATGGGGCTGCACGGCGAATGGCGCGATTGAAATATGATAACTTGGCACGTTTCTCAACCGTGATCGGGACCCCACACTCTAATGGCCATTTTGACTCGCGGCCAGTGCGCTGATCCAACGCCCTTACGGGCCAAGGCTGTCAAGAGGGGAAGGAGATCAGAAACGAGAGTTGCAGCCGACTTTGCTAACCGAGAGAGTGTTCGATGTCCACATCATATCCAGCTAGGCGACAGAGGCGTCAGATGCCCCGGGCAGGGTTACATAGTTCCCGTTTATAAATGGAGGGGGTGTATGAGGATGCGGAGTGGAACATCTCCGACCGCGACGGACCTATACCTAGGCAGTGATTTTGAGCTCCCGGTGTCTTTCCAGGAGTCAGTCTTCCCCATAATTCGAGGCGTAGGGAGAGTTTCCAACGTGGAGCGATGTCCAATCGATGACAGAAGGGCCGGGATTTCTAAGTCGTCCAGGCCCCGGAAAAAGAACAGCGTCGCATCGCCTCGTGTCCTCCGATGGTCGCATCTCCAATAAGCTCCCTTTTATAGGTGGCTAATTATTTACTTTTCCCCAGTGTTATCTTCTCCCTATGTTTACCCAGGCTATGACCTCTTAAGAATAACCAGGGACCCCATGCACTAGGGGAGGATCCACTCTGATTCTCCGATAAAATCCAATTTAAATCTCCATCTCCCGAACCATAAACAATGTGAGTTTAGTCTTTTTATTTTGGGTTGACTTTGGAAACCCTCAGCCAACAAAAACCAACAAAAAAAAAAAAACACGAAACCCGAGAAAAGTGTATACACGTGCCTTAGGCACCCCAAAGGGATAGCAAAGCTGCCATTTATAGCTGGACCCTCCCCAGATCCCTGATCGCATTCCCTTTTGATTTTCCTACGGTTTCCCTCCCCCTTCCATCCCTAAGATTCCAGGGTACGTAAAACCCACAAGATGAGTCCTGGCATGATCGTCATCTTCCCCCGCAATGCTCCCTGACCGCGTCACCATGTTCTGCCGTCCCTTGCAACCTCACTAACGTTGTCAGTCCCCCTGGGCTTTTTACTTTATTTTTAGCCCCCCCCCGGGCCGCTCGCCGTACTTGCCGTGATCGTGTCCTTTCTGTACCTGAGCATTTCCCCGTCACCTTGAGAACACAGGTACTGTGAAGGGCACGATCTTAGCTGCTCACTGTTCATCCGCTCTGCTCGTGAACACTATCCAAATTGAAGGGCTGATAGGGTTTGTCTTTGGTTTCATCGGGTCTACACCGCTATTGTTGTTCACCACCTATAATGGCTTCCGTCAATTCAATATCATCCGAGAAAGACAATGACGAGGAGCGTGACATCATGCATGACGACTTGATCGAGGACGAAGAGCAGGAGGATATCAGCACGGAGCTAGATGCTTCGCAAAGGGAATATCTGGAGTATCACCAGCGACTCGACGAGTTTTTATCACCCCTGTCTTTAGAGGAGGCGGTCTTGTACAGACTGGCGCGCCGCTTCTCCGGCACATACCGCCATTTGGCCCTGACCTCGGATCAGCAATTTTTGCCGACCCCTGTAACACAGCTCCCCACGGGTGAAGAGACGGGGCGCTACCTTGCCATTGACGTAGGTGGCAGTAATCTGCGTGTTGCATTTATCGAGTTGCTAGGCGAGGCTGTTGAGTCCGATGTGCAACCCGCAGATGCCTCGGAGAGATCGAGGCACACTATTCGCAAGGCTCAGCGCCAGCGAGTGAGACGGACTTTAGAGCGAGCATGGCCGATCCAGGAGCATTTGAAGATGGACAAGGCCGAGGACTTGTTTGCGTGGATTGGTGACTGCATTGCTGAGGTGGTGGCAGAGAGCTTGACCTCGGACGCTACCAAAAAAGATATCCCTGCAGAATTGGATATGGGTATTACATTCAGTTTCCCGATTATGTGAGTGCCTTAGAACTATGCGGATTCAAAAATGCGTCATTTGAGATTACAAATTGGTGTTAATCCTTTTACAGGCAAGAATCGCTGGCTGAGGCCACACTGATGCCTATGGGTAAAGGCTTTGCTATCACATCTAACCTGAACCTACGTAACATCCTTCTGAATGGATATGAGAAGCACACGAGGAGACCGGACGATGAAAACGAGCCTTCATCCAAACGTCGAAAGCTCTTTGCTCTACCAAAGTTGAAAATCCAGGCTATCACGAACGACACTGTTGCGACGTTGGCCTCGCTTGCATATTCCGTCAAATCTTTACCAAACAGCCGAGTTGCCATGGGTATTATTGTGGGTACAGGGTGTAACGCTACTATCCCGATGAAACTCAGCGAACTACACGAATCCAAGGCCAAGAGTGTCAATGGCATGGAGCCATCAGCTGTCGAAACTATTGTCAACACCGAGTGGACCATTTCTGGAGCAGCACCTCCACTCCGAGAACTGAATATCACAACCAAGTGGGACGACGAGTTGGATAAGGCCTGTGCACGCCCAGGGTTCCAGCCATTTGAATACATGACGGGAGGCCGTTATATCGGCGAACTGATCCGCCTAATTTTATTCGACTACTTGACCAACATTGCGGGCCTATCGAAGCGAATTCTCCCGGCAAATCTCATCCAAGAATACGCCCTGACGACAACCTACATCTCCGACAACGTGGCACGAGCACGATCCGACCAAGACCTCGCAAAGGAACTGAACCAATCCCTCCCAACTCCCGAAAGCAGCGACTGGCGCTGGGACGCCCGCACGGCCAGCGCATTCCGAAAAATCGCCCGAGCAGTGCAGCGACGATCGGCCGGACTGATCGCAGCAGCTGTAATCGGCCTACTAGCTTGCTGCCGCGAGATCGAGTTAAAAGAAGACAGCAACAGCAACACTCCGGAGACTGCCGCTTCCCCCCAAAACAACAGTGAAATGCCCGCTCCCAACGCAGGTGCTGTGCCAACCCTTCTCAGCAACAACCTCCACGGCCACATCGTCCCAGTCCTGCAGCCCACGCCTGCAGACTGGCAATCCGGACCCGAGGAACTGGTGGTCGCATACACGGGCGGTATTATCCAGCACTACCCGCAATTCAAAGAGATGTGCCAACAACACATCGATCGACTTATTATGCGGACTGGTCCGCAGCGGGGAGGGAAGTCGGTGTTTCTACGAGAAGCCTCTGACGGAGGCGTTATCGGCGCCGGTGTTCTGGCGGGTATGGTTGTCAGCAAGTAAAGTATTCTTCTTTTGACTTGGAGAAGTTCTGGGTTCTGCTTTTGGGTGGAGTCGGTTGCGAAAAGAGTTTTGCATGGGCTGAGGTCCTGGTTTGTCTGTTATTTGGATCCGCATAGAAATGGTTACGATTTTCTGTCATGGAAATGCTCTGATGTAATTGCTCCATGATACTTTTTTTTTCCTTTCCAATTTAGCTTAATACATTTTAATCTCGGTCTACGAGTTCTTCAATGTACACATGACAGATTGCCTCGGAACATCCCGCGGTCACATTACATGACTTTCCTTCCATGCTTGATTCAAGATATTTAAGATATTGCGATATGCCCCATAATGTGATAAAGTCTTCAAGGAGATTGAGGAATATTGCCCCCACCCCCGTGGAGACACGCCCATCAAGAACGTCTTGGTGGCTAACTCAAGATCATCATCGCCAGAATCACAGTTTCGTTGCGCGGCTCCATGTGAAGCAGCGTAATGAAGAATGATCGGCGCCAGCTGATCCAAGGTAACCGGAATGCATTAGGAGATAACGCACATGCTTTCTTTGAATCAGAACCCTGGGCTTCTGGAGTATCGTTGCCTAGGACCAGAAGTTTGGAGGCCAAATACAGTCCGCGAAAGTCCAAAGCTGTGGATTTGCCTCATGAGCAGTTCCGGGGCAACAGTCCCTGGCGGACTCATTGTGGTGCGTCATGGCATACGTTATTCAAGAACACTTGAGAATTGATCCTGTCACTGGTATATCTCGGCGTGGCAGTTGGTTTCTGGTGGCCAATGTTTGAAATGGCTAGTGGCGACGATTTAAATCAGTCGGAACATGTTGTTACGCACGCCGCGTTTCATCGCACTCGGTTGACCGTCTTCGTATTCAATTCCGGCTGCTCCTCCCTCTCCGGACATTTTCTCAAGGCGCTCGCGGAGCTCTGCGTCGGATTGGGCGACTGTTCTGTTATTCTTCGAGGTTTGAGGTTTCTTTTCAGGATTGGATCGGGATTCGCTTTGAGGAGTGTTGATTTTGTCTTCAGTGCTAGGTGAGTTACTATCTACAGACGTTGTCAGTCAACATGAATCTTCTGTTAGGTAGTTGTGTTGCTTCTTGCGTTCACTCGACGTACCTTTAGATGCTAATAGAGAAGAGGCTGAAGATAAGGATCGGGTGAAAGGCTGATAAAAGCTAGGAGACATGCGAGCCCTCGCGAGACTATTGACAGAGTGTCCGAGCATTATTCCGAGCTACTTAGAAAAGGATTTAATAGGAGTTGAAACTATTCAGGTTGTAGCAGGAGAATTGACGTAAAGCGCGATAAGCAAAGAGACATCCACGTGACCTCACGTGGGCGATCCTCCCCGCGATTCACCGGCCACCGACAACTGAGCATTCGACTCTCACCTCGCCTTCGCTCCATCTCTACAACCCGGCATATTTGCACAGTCAACATGGCCGCACAAATCGCATACTACGAACTTTACCGCGGGAGCAGGTAGGACAGCCACCACGAGCCGATGACTTCGGAGCTGACTGGATGTGACTAGCCTCGGCCTGTCTTTGACCGATACTCTCGATGATCTGATCAACGAAGGCCGCATCGAGCCGCAGCTCGCCATGAAGATCCTTTCAACATTTGACCGCGTTGTCACCGAAGTTTTGGCGGACAAGGTTCGGGCCAGGCTTACATTCAAGGTGAGTTGTCTTGCCAGGGTCATGCCCCAAAGGCTAGGCTGCGGAGTGACGAGAGCTAGGCGTTGTTTGAACAAGGCTAACGTTGACGCTCTTTTCTGTCTTCCAGGGTCACCTCGATACCTACCGATTCTGCGACGAAGTTTGGACGTTCCTGATCAAGGATGTCACATTCAAGTTGGACAACCAGACGCAGGTCACGGCTGACAAGGTCAAGATCGTGAGCTGCAACAGCAAGCGTCCGGGAGAAGTTTAAAGGGATATATTTGTTATAGACGGCGTTTACATGGAATGGTTGCATGGCGTTCTACCGGAACCTTGATCCGAGGGCGGCTTTTTTCGGCGTTCAAAGGATATCGACTTTCCTGCTTTGTTCGTGAATACACAAAATCGTCGATATCATATCTGATACCCAATATAATTGAGGTTTACCCAGTATGTTCTTAGTATTATACCTTACCAAGGGTAGCTAGTTGTAGAGTCGACCGCGGCAAGTGACCTCATCTTATCGGCGATCGCAACTTGGTTTCTCCAAGTCTCAGCTGCGGACCAGAACCAGTCCGCTCGACTACTCGGAATCTCTTACTGCGACATCATGCCTCGGACACTGCCGTGGCTGCTGGAGCCAAAAGAAGAGGGACGCGTAAAGCCGGAGTTCACCCCGCGCAAGCGCGTCAAGCGGGAGCTCGACTTTGACCCCGAGAGAACACCCAAAGCTGCACCGCAAGACGAGAGGAGGGAATTTTTCAGATCTTGTAAGTGCAGTCCTTTCAATTACATCTCACAAGTTCCAGGCTGACTTCAGCCTCCTTTAGCGCAAAGCCCGCCTACGTCTCCAGTCCGGCCATGTCCCTCCGAAGAGTACGCGCCAACTTCCAGCCCCTCCAACAGCATACAAGAGACTAATCAGTCAAACTCAGATTCTTAGTAGAAGGCCTGGATCATGATGACGCCTGGATAATGGTCGAAGACGAGTTCTACACCATCGCGCAAACCTTCACTCAGCACTTACACTATGCGGAGTACGTCCGCCGGAAAAAGTATGCAAAGGCCCAAAGTGCGGCAGAGATCGGCGCCATAGAGAGGCCGACAGATGGGAAAACACCCATGTCAAAGGAGCTCCAGCAGAAAAAAGAAGCTGAAGTACGGGCGACGCGCCAGAAAGCTGGAGTCGAAGAAGTCGCAGGTCAAGACGACAAGGACGATACCGATGATGATGATGATGATGACAATTGGGCCGGGACGCATTTGCATGGTCTTATGACTAGTCCAAGTAAACCACGTTCGTTGCTTGGCTCACATATTTTGAAGTCTTCTACAAGAGCTGCTGCGGGCTTTGGACAAGCATTTGGGTCGCAGAGTGACACCAGGCATATAGCTCGCGGGTCTCAGCCTGCGCCGTCATCTCGAGCTGCCGAGTTACACCGTCGGGAGTTTGATGAGGAGACGGCATCGGGCGAAGATGATGATCTCGATGGACAAGCATACACGACTACTATACAACCCAGACGAGAGGAAAGCAAGGCTCCGGATCAAAGCTCAGCAAGATCGCCGCCTTCTACCATTCGGCGACCGACGCAAATCAACAATATATCTACGTCTAGCAGAGGAGGAGTAAGGCCAGCGCAGCCAAACACGCAACCAAAACACGAATTCAGGTCAAAAGTTCAGATGTTATTCGACGACCTTGACGAACTTCCAGAGCCATCAAGATCTAAAACTTCTATTCCTGAAAAGGAAATCAGGTTCTCCTCCGCAACCCAAAGGCCGGAGGTCACGCCTGGGGAAAACAATTTGAAGTCCAAGAAATCCCGCTATAAAGACGTTCCAACTTTTCTAGTGTGATAATACATTCAACCTTTCCTGCACCAACATTGATTCCCGTCAAGTGATGGGATACTCATATTTCCTTCGGTTTCTCTTCCGCCGTGGTGTACATTTCCAACTCGTTTGACGAAGCCTGTCTCTCATGGCTACTCGCTGGTGTCGATGAGCGCACAGGACTAAGCCACCTCGACGGCCTCAAACGGTCTCGGAACCGGACTGGGACAGTCTGATGCTCATTCTCCGGACTTGGCTCTGGATCTTCTCCCTGGCTGACGGCGGGCAGGGCGTCATCTCGATGCTCGTCTCGTCCTTCGCTGCTTCGTGGCTCTTCTGGGACGTCAGGGTGCTGTGATGGTGTCAGAACTGATAGCTCGACTGGGTTTTGCTTGGGCGACAAGACTGACTCGGCGTCCGAGAAGCAGGCGGGCAATTCCTCCTTGCGGAAGTCCGTTGGGCTTGACTATACGCGCAATTGTGTTAATATGGTCCTCCAACCCGGTATGGCCCGGTGCAACTTACAATGTGAAGGATTCTTCCCTGCTCGCTCTTGCGTATGAATGGTGACTTGATGCACCGATAGATCTGACGGAAGCATTCCATTTTGTGTGAATATGTTGCTGAACCGTGGGTCGATTTCGGGACTTGGGGAGTTGTAAAGGGCGATATCGATGGATAGACGAGTGATGTTGGAACAATGGAACAGTTCGAAAATTTATTTCGGTCGTTCAGGACAATGAAAGGCAAAGAACACGCTTCGGCCGTGAAACAAGAAGAAGAATGCTACAAAAACGAAGGACGATGCGAAATGAGAGACTGGAGATGAAACTGGCGACAACGGCGAAAAGAAAGGCAAGAAGAAAGCAGGCGCTATGCCATGGGGCTGTTGGAAAGAAGCTTGGAAGTGAAACTGCGGCCACGCCACGGTACATATAGAGGGCGTGTTAGGCCAAGTGCCTGCAGTATGCACATCCATACTAAGCACGGTTTGTCAGGGACTGATCATCCCCGCCTCTGCAAGTGGAATAGGCCCTGTGGCATGGGCCAGGGCCCGACGGGACTCGACACGGTCTCCCTTTCGTGGGTCTGTGACACATTCCATCTCCCCTGTGGCTACCGGCTAGCTTCTCCTTCTACGTGAAATAGATCAAAGAGCCGGTTACCCGGAGCCTATGGCTTTTGGCCTTGTGCTTTGTACCTGTTTTGGCATTCATGCAGGTACCATCGCCTGTACGGCGGTACGGAGTACGGCCACGGTCCCTTGAATCTCCGAGCGTCCCCAGCAGATCTTCGATACTATCTCCAGTATGTCCCACAGGGTCATCATGACCTGCAGGCTGCAGGGAAGATATTGCACGAAACCCGTGCATGGGAGGCACTCGGAGAGAGTGGAGCGTCTGCCGAAACGGGCAACAGGGAGAGAAGGCCGATTCGTGCCTCGTGCCCCAGAAACGCCATACTTCATTCCTGTCCCTTTCCGTCGATTAATCTCGTTATTTTGCCCTCAAGGTTCCTGTCTGCAGGGTATTTCGATCCGAACGGTGCCGAGACACGCGCCGTTTGCCCGGTCGGCTATGGGCCTGAAAGGAGACTGCGAATGCCGCTGAGAGGCGAGTACCCTTGACAAGAGTCGACTTTCTTTGGACGGGAATGGTAGCTCTGACTTTGTATACATCACAAAACTCAATCCAATCTCGATTTCAGCTCATTATTGCCTGTCTTTCCATGGTTGGCGTGGGTAAGGGCAAAGTCAATGCCTATCGTGAATGCACGGTTGATCTCAAATCGCTTGAGTCACTGTCGATCAATCATGCATTCGTCACTGGCAGGGATGATCGGAAATCTAATGCCGGCCGGGCTTCGACTTCAAGCTTTGTTTACACTTCGGTATACTAGCTCCGACGAACCGACTCTTTCATGCCATGAACGCCTGCTTGGCCGCCCACCGCAGGACCTCGTAATTACTTCATCTCGATTCATTACTCCCACCCAGCGGAGCCCATTATTCCTACAGAAGGGGACACTACCTAGCCTCCCACACATTGACTCTTGTGGACACAAGTGGACCAGAATCCCTAGCCCAGCATCGCCACACGAACATCATGAAAATCATGAAAATCAGCGCAAATAATGAGAGTAAAAAACATATGAAATCGTATTCCTTGCGGCCATAAACCTTGACAAGGTTCGTGTATTTTTCTTTTGCGTCTCCCTTGCGTCGGAGCAATGCCGAACCCAACACCTCACAAGGGCTTACGGGCGGCCCAGTCGCGCAAGCTTAACACAGTCACGCATTCCAAAACCTGCATAGAAAAGAATCAACCTTTTTCTGAAACGAAATCAACCGAGCTATACAGAATACTTACCTACGTAGATATCCCCTAGCCTTTTTCAAATATCAGGCAATCGACATCTTATGCCGGCACACAATAAAGCTTTCAATCGGAAGAATTGGATACAGGGATATCGACATCCACATCTTCGTCATCAGGAGACCAACTGCCAAGTTAGTAACAAACCTAAACTCCTATCAAGTCCGATAATTCGTCTTTGATAGCTTCAAAGTTTCTTTCCATCGATCTCCCGGCTCTATCGACCTCGCGGCTGCTAGGCAACTCAGTCGCCGTGCTCACAGTTCCCAACTCGTTCAGCAAAAAAGTTTTCCGGGGCCACTGGTATGCAGTAGAGCGGTTACGCAGGGACCCCTAGCACATGAGATATGCTGGACCCGCTAAGCCGAGATATTTGTCCCGACACCCTGGTTCGCGCTGCTGCATTCTTGGCCTTCATTCCTCGAAAGTTCCACCTCGTCTCATAGGGGTTGCCGCTTTTGGTCTTTCCTTGCACGGCTGTGCCCATTCTTAGAGTTCTGATTGGGGTCTGGATGGGCAGATTGCAGTGATGAGGGGGTTTCTGAGGATAACCTCTGGGTGTAGTTGACAAAGGGTTCCTATCTTGTTTCCCTTTGCTTCGGGATTTTATATTGGTAATGATGCTTTATCGAGCTGCTTGCTGTATGCCCAGTTCCATTATTTTAGCTATTATCAATAGGTGTACATCTGCATGATAGATTTTTGGGCTCAAACATATGTACCTGAGAATTTCTGTTTACTCTTGACTTTTCTCTTGCCCTTTCTTGCCAGGCTTTACTTACGTTCCATGCACATATGTTTGAAACAAGTCACCGGTTTACGCCCAGGTGCCTTATTTAGTCCTGGAAGTCCTATTCTTCTCGTCAGGCGCGCAACCTATCCCGCTTAACACGTCAGAGCTAACCTTGGCCAAGTGCCTCCCGCGCTTGATTGTTATCAATATCTAAACGCCTGTTTAGGCGATGCGCCGGTCCATCTGCTCCGTAACTTCACGACTCAACACATCGTGTTTCTTCTTTAAAATACCCTGAGCCCTCTCCACGCTCTTCTTTTATTGTTCGGGGGTGGGGGTCTGTCAGATGGAGCGGACCGCTGCCTGGGCCGCTTCTGTGATACGTCGCAAGTCTTTGACGAAACCCCCGTTTGAGTGATTATGGGCTCATTGGTTGTCGGTGGAATAGTCGTGTAATGGATTCCTCAGATATAAGGGAAAGTATTATATGAAAGTTGGAGGAGAATAGGTAGGTTGGGATTGAAAGGGACAATCGGGTTGCCCTCAAGCGATAAGTCATTGAACTGGAGCTATTTACACTGAAACATCCTTAACCATACGAGCGCCCGCCCACGCGTACAAATAGTTACGTTGGTACCAATTCACGCTATATTGTTAGTCGGATTCTTTGGGTGGGTTTATAGGTGACTTACAACGAAGATCGTCCAGCAATGCGGGGGAAAGTTGCCCATGATCCACCAAGGATGATGTTATGCTTCCCATCGAAGAAGTCCGCTATACCTCAGTCAGCAATTAGAAGCCAACCTCTCAATAGTGTATCGGGAGAACCCACAAGTATAGCCTGGGTAAATTTCCATGGCTTCGAAGCCCTCGTGAGGCAAAAGAGGGGAGCTAGTCCACTCCCAAACACCACCCATATCACCCTGGCCAGCAAGCTTGTCGCCATTAGGGGTGACTGGAACTGGATGCCAGTTCTTGAAGCCAATATTCGAACCTTCAAGATCCCGGAATAAAGATGGCGCATCATGGTTAACTCCGTTGGAGAAAGAACTGCCAGCACCGTTGCTCATCTGTGGCATGCGCTGCTCAGTGGCATTGAGACCATTGGAGGTGCCATTAGATGTTCCAGCTCGAAGCTTATCCGAATATGCGTAGATGCTTTTGGCCTCCTCGAATGTAGGGATACGGCAGCCCTTCCATTTGGCATATTTCTCAACTTCATCATATGACGACATCAACGGCCAGTCCTGCGCAAGGTCGAGAGGAACAGGCCCGAACACAGTGCGAACTGCAAAGTTGCTCATAAAATCCTCGGTTGCGTTGGAGCTTGACCGGGTGACACCATTGGTAATGGGGTAATTATTATCTTCGCAGACGAGCTTCCACGAGGCGGGATATTCCCTGATACCATTGACCTGCAAGTACTTGGCGTATTCTCCATTTGTGATCGGCCGAGCTTGAGCTTCGAACGCATGCACAGAAATAGTTCTCTGGGGCTTTTCATTATCCCAGCCGAAGGATTCCTTGGGCATGGCTTTGTCGTTAGGATCGTCCAGGCCGACCTCCAACGTCTGCTGCGGGATGTGGAACCAGGAGTTGGGCTTCTTGTTCTTCTTTGCCATCCAAGACATGTGTGCGAAGTCGGGTGGGTCGGCTCCAATAGGCGGGAGGGTTCTGTCACTCTGCAGCAGCATGTAGAGGAAGGTCTCTAGATGCATTGCCTCGTGCTCAAACCCGATCCAGAGAGCTTCTCCGACAATTCGGTCTTTCATAGCCGATCCATTCTCGAGAAAAGATCGGGCTCTGCCTCTGACTCGCTCTTGATAATCAAGAATCTCGTCTAGAGGTGGCCATTCATCGGGTATCTCGCTATGGGCATGACATTGTTCCGGGTTCTCAACATCGGGGTCAATGCCGCGCTCAAAAATCTGCTGGTAGTATTTTGGCTCGGTTGGCTTTCCGCGCGAAGCTCGAGTCATATGAATATCTACTCCTGTTAGTATAAGGCATTATTTCGGGAGCATGAACAGACATACCAAAGAATGTTGGGATGTGGCCGAGGTAGAAGATCAATGCATTTCGCAGCTTGATAGGCTTCGAAAGAAGATCTTCACGAGGAATCATGGTCTTGGTCACAATATCCCATGCAGTCCAGAGCGACTGAAAGTCTTCAAGTCTTGGGACTGGCTGAGCTGCGTACCGCGAAGGTTGAGTGGGGTGCTCAAGTGTGGCAGGTGACAGCATGTGAATGTCTAAAGTAACGTTAGAATAATGTCAACCTGGAGAATCAGACAACATACGATAGTCATCGGTAGAATTGCCGAATTCAATCTGGGGGATCAATCTTGCGCGACGGCATAGCTCATCTCGATCATCACGACCATATTTCCATGCTTCCTCGAAGATGAGTTTCTCTCCTTTGGGAATCGTGACGTCGTTAATGGTAACATTCACCTTCGGCACGTAGAATGCTTGGTGGCGGCCCTCGAAGGAGTCATAACCAGTCAAGATTTCCCACTCGGCCGGCTTGAACGCTTCAAACCCGAGAACGGCATTTGCATGAGCCAACCCGTTTTCATAGAATTGGCGGGTGATGCCCTTGGAGTCATTATAGGCTTGAAAGACCTTTTCCGGAGTCTTACAAGCGTCTAGTCCGATAAGTAGGAAGTCAGACGGTTTCAATGCTTTAGCAAAGCCGCCAAGGAAATCCGCAGCCTCAGAGCGACTGAAGTTTCCCATAGAGGATCCCATTGATAAAACAACCGTCGGTCTTGTGCGATTTTCAGGTCTCTTCAACCAATCCAGAGCGTCGTCGTATGTGCCATGAAGGCCGTGAAGGCCGACATAATCGAAGTTCTCGGGGGATATCTCAGCAAATGTCCGCTGCAGTTCGATCAGAGAGAGGTCGAGAGCGTAGTAGTCAACCTTCTTCCCCGTCCGTTCAAATTCCCGCAGGAGAATATCGACCTTGCGTAGATTTCTAGGAAATGTTAGAAGCTGTAAGAGACACGGTGATCCATTATGGAGTAGTCCTCTAAGCTACGGATCCGGAGTGCAAGGACAACAGACCCACTACCAAGCTCAACCAGCTGCGCATTCTCTGGAATTCGTTCCACGATCCTCCTTGCATGTTTATTCAAGACATCGATCTCAGCGTTGGTGAGGTAATATTCGTCCAAGAAGGTGATCTTCTCGAACAGTTTCAGGCCCTTGGCGTCGTAGAGCAAGAGCGTGGGAAAGGAGCGTCCCTTCCCCTTTGGCGGATCGATATTTTTGAACAGATCATCGACGAGGCTGAACTTCATGTCATCCTGGTGAATGTTAACAATGCCAACCGCATCGTTGAGTATTGCCGTTGGAGACATCTTGCAGATACTGGCAAGCACTACACAGGAAGGACCGTAACAGCTGCAAAAGATGTTGAATGCACTAGGTGCGAAGGTGCCCGAGTTGGAAATAAAGCGGAAGGCTCGGAGAACAAACTTTCGATCGAATGATTCCCATTTAAGTCAACCTTGAACCTCAGGATGGCTGGAGTCAACTCAATGACGAACGATCGCGGCGCAGGAGTGGGTCCAGGGTAAGCTTTGCAGCTGAACAACCAGTAATTTCCGAGAGAAAAGCTACACTAGCGTTGCAAACAATGTAAATGAGCCAAAATGAAGACTAATCTCGAAGCTACGCAGGGCTTGATGACCGATCAAACCCAGACGGGCTCCCTGACCCGGTTTTGAGCCGTTGATCATGTTTGCATCCAGGAACCCCGCAAGTCTAGATCGTGTGGCATGGTTCTAATTGATGAGATTGGACAATCGTAGGTTGAGTCATCCGTGAAATCCCGTCTGACGTCGAATAATACCACCCTATATGCATTGTAGCCTGTTGTGGCAATCGCAATGTGGGGGAGCTTTACGGACGTGAGGTCATAGCGCTGTTGCCCCGTTTGCATGTTTGCACACTTTGCTTGACCCATGCTATTTACCATGTTTGCCGTGTTTGCCATGTTTGTCCTCTTCGCTATTTTTACCCTACAGCCGACCGAGAAGACAATTCGAATGGGCTGATTTCTTCAGTTCTTTTCTCAACAGCTTTTTGGACAATGCTGACCGAACGTGAGGAAAGAGGGACCGGCTTTTCCTTCAAGTTTTATAATAAACGATGGGAGATTCCTGGTGCAAATTGTCGATGAACTTCTCTCTCCATTGCTTTACTTTTCTATGTGATTTCAATCATATATATATAGACAGTTGCACCAACCGATGCATCATAAACAATATGCTGTCCTCACTGACAGATATAAATGAATAATCCCGGAGCGTAGTGACATCGTCCTCAAAATTAGGACCGATATCTGATTTAGACGTTTCCCCGTCACTAGAGTCATTCCGGAGCTCTGAACTTGATATGTCGTCGGCCTATAGGTTGAGGCCGTACGAGGTTCTTAAGTATTCCTTGCCGATCAAAAAAGCTCTTAAGGGAAAGCAACTCTGCAGTAGATGGCTTCGTTTGGCGGATATAATCGAATGATATTTGCCACGTTACTAGAATTAAGTTCTTCGCTTCCCAGTTCCGGTAGGCGTAACCGACCTCTGTTCTCAGCAGCTTTGCCACCTCCCGATCACTCTTTTGGAAATCGCTTATTGTGCTACCAAATAGCGAGGCGCTCGATTTCGAATATAGCTAGCTGCGTATACGATTGCTAGCGGTATAGACTCTAACGCGTCCATCGGCTTCACTTCAATAACATCCTTATGGTCGATCATTCTTAATGCAATATCTCTGCTTCGACTCGTGATAATGGTAGATCCACGCCGGCTTCTAGGAACGTATTCTAGTAGTGGTTTGGTCGAGGCATTCGTTAGACCTTTCTTCGTATCGTTCTTTCCCACTACCGAAAACGAGCAAAGGAACTCGTTATCGACGTTATCGAGGACACAAACCCATTTTTCTTTCCTCCCATCCCAGATCCAATTCTCGACTGGTTGAAATATGTTGACTCTGGGATCTCGACGCCCGGGGTGTGTGATTTGGTCTGCGATGTCCCGAAAATTTGTCCGATTGCTACTTGACCGTGATGAGCATTGGAGGAGCTCATGTTGGAACTCTTTGCAGGCACTGCCACAGCGTAGAAGAGGGAGATCCAGTGCCGAAAGGTCGATGCCCGCCGTTGCTAGAACGAAGTCGACAAGTGGACCAAGGACAACACTTCAGGCTTGAAGTTCTTCAAGGAGATCACGCACGCGTTTCGGATGCGAACGAAAACCTGTGACCGTTTCGTGTAGCGAGATGCTGCACTGTAAGTCGAACATTGCCAGCGCTAGCAAACCGGAGGCTAGGCCTATTGGTTCGGTCATGACTTTTGAAAACCCGTAATGAGTGGGAAACTAAGGGGAACCAGCTCGTTTCAAGATTGGAAGGGGGCCTTTATAGTTGATCGAAACCCTTCTTGATAGCTCAACAGAGAAGACCAACAAGGGCCAGGGTCTAAGCGATGCTCTGGTTCACTGGCCGCTATCCCATGATCGATGAATGTCACAAGGTCGGGGGCCAGCGGCTAGCTGTTCAGCTAGGAGGACCTCCAGGTGCGATTACTAAGTCTCACAGCCTCACAAGTGGAATTCCAGACAACTTTACCACGATCACTATAATTACCCCCTTGTACGCGCCTCCTTGCTGAGTGGTACTATTTTAAGACGAGCGTCGAAGCGCTTGTAGTCCGCGCGTTCGGGGACTTCCTGTCGAACAATTGGTACGCTTGGATAGACAGTGTGCCGCAGCCTCCGAGAAAGTGAATTTCGTGGTGCATAAATTCAGGCCTGGTCACTTCGTCACACCTACTTGATTGGAGGCGTAATGTGCGGTAGAGATGATGCAGGTTAATCACGTCACATATAGTCACGTGGAACCTGGTTGTTGATGTTCGGTCGGCAATACACGCCAATAATCTGTACACGATACGCGCCCGCTTTGATACGGCTGGAAAGCGTCTTTGGCCGCGCGCAAATAGTTGCACATATTTCTTTTATTTCTTCCATACTTCGCGCTGGCTCACCTACATATCGATCACTAACTGCTCATTATTTCGAACAATACCACCTTCTTCCATTTCTAAATGGCCGAAATTATTGGCATCAGCTCGGGTCTTGCTGGCTTGCTGGCCTTAGCCCTCGAATCGAGTCGCACCTTGTTTAGCACGGTTCAGAGTCTTCGCAACCGGGAAAAAGCTATTCGGGGTCTTCGAGAAGCGCTCCGAGATCTCGAGGATGTGCTGAGAATACTCCAGGATTCGATCCACACCTCGCCATTTCTGAACAGCGGGATAATTGAAAGACCTCTTGATAGATGCTGCAAAGCATGTACCGATTTCAATGCGCTGATTATAAAGTGTTCTGAACACTCAACAGAGGATCAGTTCAGTATCCGTGATTGGGCCAAGTTACGCTACATGGGCGAGGACGTCACAGGCTTTCAAAACATGCTTTCTGGCTACAAATCTACAATCACGATCGCCCTTGCTTATTCCAATGTGTAAGTTCATTAATACGTTAATTCTGTTTTTTTGCGACTCTTCTGACTTCGCATAGCCATCTTACCAGAACGACACAGAGTGTCATGCACGAATACAAGGAGTTAATTGAGAATACCAAATGCGATCTCGGGCTGCATTTACAATCAATCGAGGACAGGATAAAAACATTATCCTCTTCAAGGCATGCTGATGTGGGATTGGACTCCATCGATGTTCAGCGAATGAAGGAAGAGTTAGAGAGCACACAGCATGGCCTCGAGATTTGCGCTCAATTTTCCACATATATTGGGGAGACAAGGTCCATCTCTTTGCAAAAAATGACTCAGGCTTCTGGAACGTCTGAGCGAGGGCCTTCTCCTCCAGAATTTAACATCCCGTGGCTAATTCTCGCCGAAGCCTTGAGTTCTGCGGAAAGAGAAATCGTCAGCTCGAGACTGCGGCTCCTTCAATATCGTAACGCACAAGGAAGTCAGCCTTGGCTCTCAAAACACCGAGTATTGCTACCAGCGAACGAGCACACCAGCGATATCAACGAGGAGGCTGAAAGCATTAAAGAGTCTTTGAATTTTTTCGATCGGGTATCCGAAGAAACCAGCGAGGGTCGAATGAACTATTTTGAAGATGTCTCGACAGGTGATAAGAGCAAACAGGTCATTGTGACGACGCTCAAAGATTTGATCTCTGCCCGGCGGATCACCTCGGGATCTGGCTCATTGCAAGTTCTAGGACAACTTTCTGAAGACTCCTTGAACAACGTTCTTCGGAATCAAGAGGATCTTAGTGGAAAGTGAACTCAGGATTAAAGATGATTATTTTCGTGGACTTTATGCTCAATGGACAGCCAATCTAGCTTCCTTTTCTTTGTTTTAGTCCCATCTTTGTACATCTTTATACGAGGACAGTAGGGAGGGAAGGTGGGACAGATAGGTAACATGTGTATGTCAATTTCTTGTAAACTACATCATGTAAGGTTCCAGTCGCGTTATGTAAAATATGGGTTTGTGCCTGGGTAGCTTGACATCCAACTCCTACATTTCCATTGAATTAATAACGACTGTCGTCGTTTGTCTCCAGACTTGGCAGACACTCTAATACCGCATACATTGAAACTTGGTCGCCTATCATTTCGCGGCAGGAGCAAGCACATTAAACCAAAACCGAGACTGAATGGTACTGTTAATTCAACAGAGCCTACTAATAGGGAATGACTCCATCTGTTTACGGGGTGATCTATTCGCCTGACCGATCGGTTCTGATGAAGCCCTCAGGAGCATGAGGATCATGTGCCATTGTTATCATCATGAACAAAGAGCTCATTGTTTTCTCAGTGCCTGACTTGTTTGACAACAATGTTCAATAGGAGCAAGGGATAACTTGCTCTAAACCTTTCTACTTCCTTGCTTGTCAAGGGTCTCCTGAAACACACAACGAATACCCGTGGAAAACGGTCGAGTCGAGAACAAAGAGCTTTCTTTCCAGATTTCTGAATGTGTAGACATAAAAATCCTTCAACATTTCGTTGGAGGTTCATCTTTCTATCAATACATGAACTTATACGACTTTCCATTCCCCCTAGTCCATTTTTCAGAATATCACTATCATGCCTTTCAATATTACTATCACATCCTTCAATCCATTCCGCCTGTTCAGGCGTACAAACCACAAAGAAATTGAGCTCAAAGACAACTGGGCTTTTCGGAAGCTGCAAAGCGAGAATGTTAAACTTCACAGAGTTTTGAAGGAAGCCAACAACACTCTTGTGGAACAAGAGAAGCTACTTGCAGAGTACGATTGTCTTCTTGCACATTTTCAAGCTCGGGAAATCGATCTGAAAGTTAGGCCATTTCGCACTGACCATTCTATCCCAATGCCCCTTAACTCATTCAGCCTCAAATTTACTTTAGAATCATGCTGGATTGAAAGCCACTGGTTCTGTATGAACCATGATATCCTGTGCCTCTATGAAGGAGAAGTTCATTGGAAACATGGAAACCCCGGCTTGGCATTTGATCATGTCGCCGATTCCATCACGACCAGCTCATTCCATCACGATCTATACCTTGCCAGCTGCCAGAAACTGCGCTGCCAGGTCTTTATTGCCGCCCTCTTGCATACTTTTAAAAGATACGAAGAGTCCAACCGGCTGATTGATAATATCCTGAAACTTATCGCTACTGGTCATATGGAAGCTGGTCAGCGTGACGGCTTGTTCAACAAGCCAACCTCCAAGGACATTTATGGCATTGCCCACTATGTTCAAGGAAAGAATCTGAAGGAGCTTGGCATAATTTCTGAAGCTTACCTTTCGTTTTCACGAGCACTGGAAGTTCCTCACTACCATGATAAGGCGCGGAACTTCCAGGAACAACTCATCGTGTATGAAACCGGTAAGGTTGCAGATGCTTGCTCCGATAGGGCATCCAGTAGGGCCTCTTTTCGTACTATCTACAGCCAACAAGGATTTGCAAGCTCCAAATCTGGCTTCGGCTCCATCTCTAACCAAGTTGACGATTATAATCGTTTCAACGATACAAATTGGTAATTGTATAGTGGCGGCCGTTATCGCCTTCCATATCAGAGACATGAGAGATGCTCTTTCAAACCCCAATCACATGATATGGCTCACTAAATATGGTTAGTCCCGTACTTGAAAAAGGGGTTTCCATGTCGAATCGTACGAACCCAAACAGTTAATATGCTGCATAAGCTGTATTTTCTTGTATCGTTACAGTACAGCTAAGAAAATGCACACTGCCCTTGTCCCGGAACACGCTATATCTATTACGGTTACTCTGCCCCTGAACACCTTTCTTAGCAGTATTGCAGTACAGTTATAAACAACAGCTTCAAAATAGCTTCTGTACTAGACTCATAAGATCCCTAGGGTTTATAGAGTATCCATCCTGGAAACAAGTCAAACAGACGGGGTGCCTGTTCGTTTGGAGACGTGGCAGAAATTCAAATCCCCATTCTGCCAACTAATTGCCCTCTGGAGTGGCCACTGCAAATGAGCGAGTTGCATAGAATAGAAACAGCACTAATAGTCACTTTTTCCTTGCTTCTTGTGACAGGCTTGGCCTTTTGATAGAGAACTGACATTTGCTGACTTAACTGGCCATCATGCTGATATTGGTTCCGTTAGAGCCTTGAGACGAGGACGATGACTGCTAATTCGTATCCTAACGACCGCAATTTTCAGCTGCACGACCCTAGACCTAATGACTAAGATTCGCAACGTTTCTTCCTCCTCTAGCCGGCCTCAAGGATACTACGATCGTACGTCTGCCGCAAGCTGTGGGCTTGACCCTTCTCCCGAACTACAATATTGATGCTTACAATGAGTGACTACTTGTTATAGTGCCATATCAGTTCATGAGACCACTCTTTATACTTGCACGCCCCTAAAACAGTTATCATGGGTGTTGATCAGCCATGATAAACGAATGAAACAAAGATACGCTTTCGGAGCAACTGATCAAAAGTGCAACGCTCACCGCTGCGGTAGTGGGTTCCGTCCCGCGCATCCAAAAAAAAACATAGCCTCATTGACCGCTTTTACTCTGTTGACTGCCGAGAAAATGCGTCCTACACGATTGAGGCTGCTGGTTGGCGGTCCGGTGATGAGGACAGTTCTAAGACTGCGATGTTAGGACCGACAGGGCTGTGAGTTAAACCGGCTGCTGCGCTATCCCTATCCTCGGCTTCAAAGGCGTAAAATGTCTTAGGTTCAAGTCAGCGGATGAAGAGGCCAAGAACGACCAGAATTCAATATTGATTGGGACTGTCTCACCAGTCCTGGATGCGAATGTAACATCCGAAGATCATGTCCAATAATGGTATGAAGTAGTTTGCGTGTCTCAATATGCCAAAATTCAACCAAATCCAACCCAAAGGCTAATATATATGGAAATGACACCGAGATAGATGTTGGTTTGCCCTCCCAAGATATTTTCCAATCGGGTCGTTCTAGCCATCCATTCCGGTTCACGAAGATAGAAAACTCGTTGTAGCAAAGAAGAAATCTGCCATTCATTCTCTCAATGTGTAACGGTCGGAGATGTTCATTCTGTGAAATGAAATCCAGAGAAGTGTCCACCGGGTCAAGAAGAGGGTAAATATCTGTAGTTTCCAGATTGATGATTTCAAACCCCTTGGCGCTGCCGATGCATAGAGTTGACCGCAGGAAGTGTATAGACCAGCATTCAGCTAGCACGCGAAATGACTTGGAATAATCATTAAACTTCTTTCTGGTCAGGGAGTTGCATCACTCACCTTGAACAATCTGAGTGTCTTCTCATACCTGCTACCCATACCATTGCTATCCAAGATACCCACGGCCTCGAAAATCTTAATATTAGTTGATGAAGCAGTTGTGTTGACAGAGCACACAAGAGGGCGTCCCAGGCTGATCCCAATCTTGAAGAAGTCCACATAATCCTCGACCTTCTTTGGTTCGCAAAACACAAGATCCTGGTCTTCAGTAGCATTCAGGACTTCGATTGGATAAAATTCAAGGTTCCCATTCGAAAGAACCATGAATAGGTGAGATTCTTCCAGAATATCAATCTGAGTAACATCGACGGTCTGAATAACCAGTTGCGGTTCGATGTGATCCTCGCTACGCCATTGGTTAATCAAGTAAATCCCATCGTCCGTGCCAATCACCAGGTCCCTATCAGCATCTGTAGCTTGATTAGTCAACATATTGCAGACCTTAAAAAAAAAGAGAGCAGGTGTACTGATCGGTAGAAGACAATTCACCCGATTAGTTTCTGTGAAGAAACTTCTGCCCAAAATAGTGTTGCGGTAGAAGTCAAGATTGTGCTTCGTTTGTTTACTGTGACTTTCTTCAACCATCTTGGTAAACCTTTCGCTTTAACGTCCGTAAAATTGAAATCAGATACCCAGAAGAAAACTGACTGATGAAAAAGGAAATCCTCACGTATGGCTGAGCGACCCGTTCCTTATAGGCGCTTATGCGTTAGCGCAAGAGGGCCAAAAGTACAGCGATTTCGTCATAACGTCTATCTTGATCTATTGGCATTTAATAACTCATAGTATTTCTGAGCACATGTCGTTTTACAATACAACATCATGCGTTACCCATCCTCCTCTTGTCATTTTGACCCACATTGCTGACAAGACCAATAAAAACAAAAACAACATGGACTGAGAAGCCGCCATTTAAGATAATTTATCGCTGTTTGGAGAAAGGCGCCGCTGATTTTGGATTCATCATGTACAGATAGCAAGTAGAAGATACTCATCAATACAGTCTTTATACAACCCGTTCGTTTACAGTGGTGGCCTTGGAGCATAAGTGGTTGACAAAATAGGATCAGAAATCCGTCTATGTGGCCTGTTTGCAGGATCAACGTTCTGACTGGAAGGCTCCGGTCCTGCAGGCTTGCAGTTCTAGACTCTTGTACTTTCATAACGGTATTATACAAAGCCCGGTATTAGTACGAGGTAGTTACAGAGCTGAACAATCAGGTGCTTTTAGATCAGGGTTTACGAGTCATGGGACTAGGGTTTGAAGGAGCATCTTTCATACTTCTGACATGGAAGGCGATAACGGTCACTACTGTACTAGGTTCTACCATGCCCAGCGCGTGAAGCGAATCCCGCAAAATCCAATCTTTCCATTGTCTAGACTTTTAGTTTCGCTTTATTAGTATATGGGATTTTTGGGGGGTAGGTTTTTATTTGTCTGAATAAGCTGAGTGGCATTGGGACGGTCTTGCCGGCGCAAAATGACCTAATTTTGGGATGGATTTACTGAGCTCGGGAATGCGCAAGGAGACAGCCGTGACGCTTCCGATGAGGTTCTAGAAACGACAGAGAAGGCTGTGTTTAAGCCTTGGTCACGCTCTTGCACCAGTCAAAATTACAGAAAATGACTTTGTGGGATTCAATTGAAATGATTTTATTTTCCATGTGTGTGTTAGCACGTAGTAGCTTGAGTCTTAGTAGCTGCCTAACGATCAAGTGATAGACCAATTTCCATTTCCATCTCGTATAATGGAGTTTTATCAAGAAGACTCATTGGTCACCTGGAAGAAGAAGTGACAATAATACTCTATGACTGTGATTCATCATAGCCTGTATCAGGTAGTAATTCTTTGACGCCCGAACAAAGGCCGTCCGAAATCGTCATCCAACATCATTGGTTGTTCCATCTGCCCAAATAACAGTTCGATGCAGGCCCGACAAAGGGGGAAAGTTTTTGCCACAGACACCCCTTTCTTTCAAGCACAGATTTTGTCATTTTGCAGAGGCATTCAGATAAATGGCGTCTGTGCCTCACCGTGGCTGAGCACTTTACTCGTTCAATCCCCTCCCTCTGCTGGAATACGCGCCAGACACCTTACTCTCTATCTACTGCATACTCTCAAAGCATCAGGATGAGTGACGAACATGTTTTTCCCAGCGATGGCAATCATTATATTGCCAATGAGACCGTTCGAGGCTCGCCAGCTGAAAGAAAACCACCCGACTATGAACATGACGTCGAATACGTCGATTACTCGCTCGAGTGGCCAGTCAAGCCGCGCATCGACCCAGTTGTGGAAGAAGTTCGAAAGAAAGTCAAGAAGTTCCACGACGATTTGAAGGAAATGCGTATTCGTCGTGATGAGCTCCTCCGGAAGGCGGCTTCCACGCGGATCCCTTCGCCGCTGCCCGACCTTCTCGACCGACTGAAGGCGAATGAGATCTCCACAATACTCTCAACCGTCCTCAGCTGTCTCGCCACATCAAACTTCTACCTTGGTATAAGAGAAGCAAGGAAGGCTTTGGAGTTTGCCCAAAAGCTGGACCACAAAAAGCTTATCGCGCGATGCTACTACTGGATGGGTAGAATCGAGTTCCAGCGAGGTAATATTTCTGTAGCTCATGAGTTTTTCAAAGATGCAATGCCTTGTATTGAGGATGATGAGTGCGCAGAAGGCGACTTTGTGGAATTCTGGTTCAAATGCACCAGGCCCGGAATCAGTGAGGAATATCGAAAACGCGCTGTGGATAATCATGGCCGCCGGGTGATTAACAAACACGGCGCGACGAAGCTTTCAACGGCATCTCGTTCAAGCTTACGGGTGAAGCGGAAGTATCAAGAGCCGCACGAGTTTGTCCTTAGGCCAAGGCCTGTTCAAACCTCTCGCGACCAGCAAGCGCCGACAACAGAGAGCAGTAAACAAAAAAGTCGACCGGTACCATGGTTAATTCCTGACGTTCACAATGAGCCCTACGAAATGCCATTCTACCTACGACGAAGATTTCCTGGCCTACCCGAGATAGGATGGCATCCAGATCAATCCCACGCCCCTCTTCCGCGAAACCACAAATTCACCTTCCGATGCTATCCTAAGGGATTGTCACCCCGCTACCGACCGACGAAGATATTTCGCCCGCATCCTTTGGAAATAATTTATACTGAGGAAACTTGGAGGAAGCTTCGTCAGCGTTTCAAGGGCAAAATAATCACCATGACCTGGCTGGCCAATGAGATGGATTTGTACGACAAGATCGTGCACAAGAGACTGAATGAGATGCGGAGGAAACACCTGGAATTGAGGTTTCATCAGCAAAAGCAAAAGTAGAGGACGTGATTTTATCCGTTTCTTCAATGATATGTTTGTTTCAATGAATTCTTAAATCCCCACTGGTGTTCGATTTGACTCTCAGGCTAGCTTCTATGCCGAGACGGAGCCCACCAAGTTGGGTGGTGCAGACTTTACCTGATATAATGAGACACATCTACCGCAATGGATATAGGAGTTGATCACAAGGAGCCTGAGCTACAGTAGTATTCGAAATCAGATTTACCTCTACACTCTTAGACTTTCATTCGCGAACCCTAGCTTGAAACACACTAGTCTAACCAGCCTGGCATATTTTAGCTAACCGCTAAGCGGAAGCTTAGTAATAAACTATATTAAGGAACTTGAATTCATACAATTGGCCGGATGGTGTAGTTGGTTATCACGTGTCGTTAACACCGACAAGGTCCTGGGATCGAACCCCAGTCTGGTCAATCTTTTTGCTCTTGCAGAATGCTTCTACCTTGTAAATCCTTGTATATACTAGAATAACCACTAGAACAACCAACTAACGAAAGTGCTTTTCACCCCAGGCTGAACGTCGAATCCCTTGTTGACTATAAATCTGATTATGCGGATCTTAATCAGTTGAGTAATGATTATTGGATCGTAAGTCCTCGCCGCTAGGCGGAAGACTGGTCCATCCACTCGGGTATTGAAGCTCAATACACATATTGGATAGCTCAGCTATGGAAGCTTCTATTTGCTGATCGCCTTTTGCCAAGACTCGGGGATCGAGAGAAGTGATGATCATCTTCTACTTCTCAACGAGGCGCTACCAGTGAATATGACCCAGACCAATGTCCAGATTATGAGAAATATTGCGGTCCATTAGACGGCGGTTAATATCATCAAGCTTACTGATAGCGATTTTCTTCTCTGAAGGTGAAACTTGGGGGACCATCTCTGGTCTATAGAAGTTGAGGACTGGGCTTTGCCACAATTCAAAATAAATTGTACGTAGACTTTCTGTTGCTTCGTGATGTGCCAGTCTGTGGTACTGATGTAGTTCTGGTTCAACGCTCTGCATACTATTAGCTTCGCCGCCTACTTCGAGTTTCCTCTATAATTGACCTCTTATCCGCCAATCCCTTCTGCGAGACTCAAAATCCTTTGGAGCTCTAGCCAATTGTTAGTGCATCGCTCTATTTTGATGTTGAGCTAAGGGGATTGATGCCTTGAACTTACTTCTAATAGCGTCTTTCGCGTTCGCCTTGTCTTCAGCGTGCTGAAACTTGTCCGGATCAAGAGCCGCTGTAAGTTGACAGAAGTCAATGGACTCCACATTCGGGGACATTTTATGAAGTTAAGTGATTTGATATGTTCGTTGCTCGAAGTTCGGTAGGATCTGCTTTGTAGCGGTATTCGACTCATTTATAAGATGGGCACCCTGGCTTTGCTTGCCAAACCACGGTTTTTCCACACCACGGTTTTTCCACACCACGGATTTGCCACACCACGGTTTTTCCAAGATCATTGGTTTTCCAGACCGTTATGTTTCAGAATGGGTTGAACTCACGGAACAGAGAGAGTTCAGGCTTAAAGGCTAAAACGTCTAGAGTTGACATTCGTTTACTGTAACCGATCAATGCCTTGACTAACATCGCCAATCTTGCAATTGCGTTTACAAGAATTTTTAGAAAGAGGATATCGACGCGGCCGCCTCGGAGAATTATCTTGCATAAGCATGTGCGGCTGAGGTCACGAACTCTGTATATTAAGCTAGGCCGACCGCCCTGGACTAGTGGCGACGAATTTGATGTCTAGTCACAAAACGGCTTCAAAATAGGCTACCTAGGCATGATGCAATCCCACGTCAACCTAGGGCGTCAAGAGTATGAGTACCAAGGTTTAAGACGGGACCGACTGGCGAAGTCGAAGATTCAATTAGCTACCTCGTAGGATGCTTCAACCATTTGCCTCGTAATGATACCAGCTGTTGTTAGCTTGTGGCAATTGGGCCTAGAGCTTCGTTTTCAATAAACTCCACTTGTTGGCAGCAGGGTCAAAGGACGGTAAGACTATCGCCTTAGTAGTGGTGTCCGGTTCCAAGCAAGATTTGAACTTAGTCGTGCCATGAAAGATAATACACTTCCCGCGTTCACACTGCGTGAGCGCCTCATTAGCATTGAGGGTTTTCAGAATAAGTGTATCGTCCACTTTCGCAAACCAGCGCTTCTCAATCTTCTTAATCAAATCTGGTAGCTGATGAAATCCTGCTCGACGCAGACAAAAAACTTCTTTAGTCGTGACATCGAAGAAAAGAACACCGTCAAGGCTCTCGAGATAAGGTTTATAACTGGCGTAAAAATTGTCGGCATTTATGTGAATTTTGAAACAGCAAGCCTCAGGCGACTGCCACTCAAGATTCGCGATATCAGGCTCGATGTATTGGCGTTCGACATCGGACTGTATGGGTTGGATTTGGACGGAGGGCTAAGGTATCGTCGGCTCAGGCACCTCACATCTGCGGGTCACTTAAGTTTGGCTATGAGGTTGAGACATGATTGCGTCTGGTACATTCGTGCATATCACCTGAGTTTGACTGTATGGCTAAGTTATATTCGGCTCAGGTACAAAAGCTTGGGGGCCCTGGCTGAGGCCATGACTTGCTGACTGCTCAGCAAAATTTGGCGAGATTGTCATTCCTTGTCTCGGTTCATCACTTATGCAGTTCCCTTCCTCTAGCGCTTGTTACATATCTTGATCCTCACTAAATTCGGGAAAAAATGATTTGAAAAGATCTCGTTTGACAGCAAACGATGTCATATTTTCACAAGCGGGCTCATCATTCGAATAGACATTATGAAGGAATAAGTACCTTTGATCAGAAAAAAACGTCTGCGTGTTTGTCATACCGCAGCGTTCCTCGAGAGACCAGTCTTCGATCTTGTCCCAACTTTGAACCGGCGTGACACTTGTGATACTACGCGGGCTTATCTTCCCGAGGATGGAGGCGATTTGGCTACTACATTCATTTATAGTTGACTCTTCGTACGAGAAAAGCTCTGGAGGGCGAAGGCGAGTCAAGAGTGGGCGAATCGCAACAAACTCCGTGGTAGACCCTGAGCGAGCATTTTTGAGCGCTGGTAGGGCGAATCCGACTTTGGTAGCGAGTATGCCGAATTGTCGCCAGAGTTCCGAGCGATCAAACTAGGAGGGATAAGACAAATTCTTGAATCCAAGCGGGCGAGAATTGGTCAGACCAAAGAAATGACGCATGGCAAATAGAAATAACTGGCGGTACGCCGACCAAAACCCGTACTCTTTCGATGCCGTTTGCTTAGCAAAGTCATTCCCTGAGACTTGAATCTCGGACTCAGAATTTTTGGGATGAATATAATATCTCAGCATTACTTAGCGAATGGTGCCCTTATATCTCAGTGGTAGGACACGTTTGATAACGTCCGTCATGACCCTAAGATACTTAGTGTTCTCAAGGAATATACGCAAAGAAGGTATGACCCTTAGAAAATCCAACACAGCCTACTAAATCTGAAGTCGTAAGGCTAAATCATGGACCAATGGGAATGTAGTGCCATCTTCAAAGATTTGCACGATATATCGACGATCCGCTGTTGACAAGCGAGGGCAGCGCCCCTCGAGATTTTCTAGAGTGCGTGGGTCAAGATAGTCAGGATTTTGACATGTGAGAGACTGCCATACTTCATATATTGCGGACAAAGACTCTGCAAGCTCCTATGCAAGTAAATTAAGTGTGTTATTAGGGACCGGGAGACTTTTACCTCTGGACATCTAAGGCTGGGCAAGTGTGTACCCATATACCATGCGGTCCATAGAGCTGGGAAAGCTAGGACTTGGTCTAACTTTTCTCCAAGAAAGCGATATTCGTCTGCATTGTTCTTTGGCGCGTATATTCGATTGAACTCTTGGCATTTAGTTGGTGACCATCTCCCCGGCCATTCTCGTGCAGCTTCTGTATCTCCGCGTTGCTAATAATACCGAATACCGAACGTTGCGAAATATTTCCCCATCGCCAAAGTTTTATATGCATGCATCACGCTCTCGAAGTCTGCGGCGACATTCGCCATTAAGCTTCTGCGAATCATAGAGATTAAAATTCCACCATAAATCACCCAGTGCTAGCCAACTTTGTGCAGCGGCAATTCGGTGTTGGCCCTGGAAACAATGTAGTCTCCAGCTGTTCGGTAAGATAAGTTCTTTTGGTTGACCGATAACCAAAGCTTCTGTCAGTAGTGGTTTGAGTTCAAGTGAGGAGATTTCACAAGGAATCCACGTAAGAGGGTCAAGTCGTCGGCAACCTTCATGTTCAAAGCAATAGATGAGCTGATCAACTCTAGTTTGCCGGAGAGCTCGCGCCCCAAGAACATCGATATCATCAAAGAAAAGCTGATGGAAGCTTTGGATTCTAACAGAACCTATCAAGGCTGCCTGTAACTGCTGTGAAACCTCAAGACCATTTGCCGACATAATAACGGTAGACAATGTCAACCTGAAAAAAAAAAACAGATTCCTCGTAGGCCGGTAATATGGGCGTAAGATCAGAAAAGACAGTCTCAAAGGTGCTTTAAAACCGTGGCCATTCACGATTCCGCGATTGATTCGACAGATCCTGCGTCCGCAGTGTCGTACAGGCCTATCATGACACAGGCCAGGGTAATGGAACACCCATTTTCGAGGCATTGTGAGGCAAGCACGGTTTCATTATCTTCAAAGAAGGCCATACATTCTTTGTCAATCGTCGCCGTGAAACCCACTGTGGTGGCCGGAAAACGGGTTTATCCTGTATTTGTTATTTACTGCACATTTATACTTCTTGCCAGTGAAAAACTGTCAACTATTCTGTGAGTGATTACCGGTGTAATTGTTAACGATTCATCTTTCGACGATGCTGAAAAACTCTGCAGACATTGGAAAGACTTCAACTCAAGGATTACAATGAGCTTGAATTCCTTCTCTCCAGGCGCAGAAAATGAGCCTCACAAATATCTCACCAAGCCGCCTTAGTGATTGTTGCTGAAAGTGTCACGCCGACATTCATCGTTAGAGAATGTCGTCTACAATAACGTATTGGCATCAACACCCCGTGAAATAGTCGCGACTCTGGCTAAAAGAGCCATTATAAACCCTTGAAGCCCTGAGAATAGCCTAATTAGCTCGCTATAAGAGTTATCGCTTATACTATTTAGACCACTGACGATCTCTGATGCCCTTCTAAAAATGCTAGGCTCATTAAAATCCTCATTTTTGCCCTCTCCTATTTCGCGTAGACACTCTTAATTCGTAAGGGAGCCTCACTGCCCACGCGGGGCCACAGTTTTCGCTCCCTTCTACTCTGGGTAGGCACTCTTTTGTACGAGAGCTTCACTACCCACACAGGGCCGCGGTTTTCGCTATATTCTATTTCGCGTAGGTATCCCTACGTACACGATCTGCTACCTACGCGATTTCACTACGTACGAAGAGCCACGGTTTTCGCTATCTTCTATTTCGCGTAGGCGCTCTTACTACGTACGCAACTTCACTACCTACGAAGGGCCACGGTCGGGGGTCTTTCTCCTTCGCGTAAGCGGGTTTACTTTGTATAGGGCTTCACCGGAAGTGTTTACAGCCTCTAGTGCGAGAGACCCTTAGAGTGCGAGCTGTAACTAGACCAGGATGGATATTGTTACGCGACCGGTAGAGGAAGTGACCTTACCGCTCTGACTGCAGAGCTATATATATCTGTTATTAAGACAGAAACGGAGGATGAAGCCAACGCTGGTGCTAGCGATATGGATACCTGTCGGCCGCGGAGGGAGGCGGATACAACGAAGCTTTTCGTGGCGCGGGGTACGCTTTTGCTGATGCTTCCCCACCACGGACCGTTGACTATCCGACCAAGGAAGGGTTGATCGGATAAAGATAGAAAAGAATAAGATAGAGTGCAAAGGGCTTATGCACTCTAAATGAGCACAATCCACAATCCTCAAACAAAGGACTAAGCAGAAGGTCTTTCTAAGCAGATAGAAAGGGATAGTAGAATATTTGAAGAGAGTGAAAGGTCTGTTCTTTCTACTTGTTACTATATAGCATATATCGCTATATTTGTGAGTGATGAGCAAGTGTACATAATAGGATAAAGACTATAGATAGCTACGTTCAGAAAATCGATAATAAGAACTGGACTAGAAAGGATATCGCAAAGTATAGCATAGACTGGACTAAGGAGATCTATACTAGTGATATCCGAATCAGTTTGCTAACCCTACCCTATAGGTCGACTGGCCCCGTAACTAAGAGACGGAGATATAATTTATTATGATATATCCGTATCAAAGATAATTATTTAACTTTAGATACTCCGGAATCTGGCACGTGGGAGGAAGTATCCGTAGCGTATAGAGACCTTATTTAAGCTACTAAAACGCCTTTAGGGTTCACTAGTAGTAAGTATAGGCACCTATAGTATATATTCCCTACGGTACTACGGTTCTATAGTGAGGGTTTAATCTCTGACTGCTTAGTTAGCCGTGCTCGATAGACTGATCCTAGTGTTTCGACCGAGCTAGACATCCTATTCGGGCAAGATAAAGTCGCTGTAACCGCCTATATTGCCTTATAGAGAAGATATACGTAGCAGACGTACGCCGGCCTATTCCTAGAGATAAAAAAGGCCGAGAAGTAGGTATTCGGTAAGGATTCTTTCTTTTACCGCAATAAATCCGGGCTGCCCACTAGCCCCCTATAGCCAGAAGTTACTTAGCTAGAGGCTAATAGTGGCGGTGGTTCTTAAAGTGTTAGTACTTGCGGTGGAAATGGTGAGAGTCCCGATTAACTAAGGGACGGTTAATTTATAAAGGGGGGTAGTATGTAGTGGTGGAACATATAACATAATAAGTATAGTTACGGCCTAAGGTGTCACGAATATCTTAGGTGTAAGTAATAGCTTCTATAGGAGAAAGGAGAGGGCTACAGTATCTACCCAATTCATTCCAGTAGTCACCACATTCTTTAATTCATGATGTCGTATTAAGTACATTCCATATGGCCTCAGTCGGAAAACCGTACGGCCTCATTTAGGTTTGCTGCGTTCAGGATTGCTCGTACGGTTCCACGACCCAACCCGTACGACCTCGCGGCCTCACCAAGGACACTTATGATCTCCACTAGGACAACCCACACTACGTGTTGGTTGTTGGTGTGCTATCTATTGGTTGTTGTTGCCCAGTCTGCGTTGCCAGACAGCCATCGAGCCATCCCCATTTCAATAGGTATTATCTCGTTTTTTGAGCAAATTTGGTCGAAATGTCGAGTTAAAGGATTCCTATTAAAACCTAGTAGTCGCTATCGGCCTTACGTACGGCTATTTATTGACGGAATGAATTGCTTTGAAGCCATCGAAGGCCAATCTCGTCGGTCGTCTATCCATTTGCGCTTACTTCAAAGCGCCAGTCACGTGGAAGGTCATCAAACTATGATTTGATATAAAATTTACCCTGGAATATAATTATTAGCGGAAGAGCCCACGCAGAAGAGCTAACTGGCTCAATTGTAGTCGCCCACTACGTAGTATTCTGCTCGGGTAATAACCTTTGCGGTCGCTGTAAGGCCTATCGCGAAGCCAGTCTCGTCAAAGTTGTAGATATCCTCTGGTAGGATGCGCATGTTGTTATAACACGCTTGGCAAGCTTAAACCAATCTTGAATAACCTTTGGATCCTCTTGTTTTGTTCTCTGATAGTCGTATCATCGTGAAAAGCGAGACTCAAGCTGCGGAGTGCGTCGAATGAAGTTTGAGACCCAGTTCTTACCAACCTGGTCAGAACTTGCGCTAAAAGTAGGACATCGGCCATTTCTTGGACAGTAGTTGGTCGCGGCGATGCTCCACGTTCATCCATAGAGAGGATCCACTGTTTGAGCGAATTCTCATCGATTTGGGTCAGTTTATGGTTGTTGGCGTGTCTTTCAGAGCGATTTTGGTGGCCATTAATACGATCAGCGAGCGTAGGACGCGGAACGTTCAATTAGCGCGCTGCGACTCGAATAAAGCTGATTTTCTTCCTTTTCTATAGCTTATATAGCTAATAAAAGGCGGCCTTCCTGCTCAGCAGAATCTCGGCTTGATCGGGAGCGATTTGGTGGCATAACGTCTGGTAGGAAGTAGGACAGACGCGTTAGGACGCGTAAATCTAGTTGGGTGGCCGGGTGGATTGGGAATCATGTTACGCGTTTGGTAATGATTATTTAAGGTGATCCACCAGTGAGTTAATAGTCAAGGGATAGATACATGTGCTATTCATAGGACAATAGGGGAGAGAAATGGAGGAAATCTCGCTATGCGTGTAATCAAATCAATTCTCCAAAGCTCCTGTTCACCGAATTACCAAGGAACTAAGACATTCCGGCACTAGCCAGACTAAGCGAGTGGATATTTTAAGGGAACCTTGCGGGAAGAAAGTCACTCCTTCAGAGTGTTTCATGACATGTTAATGTGCAGCGGGCCCTTCCATTCGTGATTCTTTACTCCTTTAGCAGGTCACCAAGTTACATCGGGCACAGAATTTCATAGTCGGTCTTTTCCGTGGTTTCATCAATACCAAAGTTAGAGCACAAACTTTGGCTAACTTGGATTGCCAAGATTGGCGTCACGCTAATCGATCCCGAGCCAGATAAATATCGAGACATTCCCACCTAAGTTCTCAGGGTCTCTCCACCAGGGTAGAAAGGTCCTTAATTGCCCCCTCAGACTCCGGATGGATCTGTACATACTCTTTTACCTCTTGTTGTTGTTGCTCTTCGGATACTTTGTGGTCTTTCACTATCCAAATATGACTTCCGACACCCCTGCTTCTTCCCTGCTAACTCGCGATCTAGCTGAAATCAACAAATTGGTGACGGAACAAGATGACAACTCTTTCTACCATCACCCTTTATGGTCGGAGCGATGGTCACACCCTGAGTTCATAGGCCACTACTCAAATAATTGGCTTAAAGCTCCCTGGATTAAACAGACTAAGCGGCGCACAACAAGATTTCTGTACCCCTCGGTGGACTCTAAATTCCCCTGGGGCTACATCATATACCGAACAGTCTACACCGCCGAATCAGATGAGCTCTGGCCTATCGCTATGGATAAACTGGCTAAAGTCATAAATTACTCTATCGACTCTGATTTTCTCGCCGAAATTCAATACAAGGAACCCGAGGATCCAGAGCCAGATGCAGACGCAGAACGATTGGTGAAGGAAACGCATAAGGACGTCATTTTCTCAGACAAACAGTTTTGGGATGGAGCAAGTACCGAGCAAGTTCGCCAACATTTTTCTGAGTACCTTCGCGCAAGCAAAGGCCGAGGGACCGGTCGATTCGAAGGCTGCCTCCTTATTGATGAGCGATCACTGAAGTCAATCGTTGCCAGTCCCGATCCCCAGCCCTGGGTCAAGGGAAGAAGGACTAAGAAGCCTAGTCAACCTTGGGGATTCATTGGTATGATCGATGGGCGGTATCCTGAGAATCGGTATGAGCCGCGCTATACCGGCTATATGCGGGTGGAAATTTTTTCCTTGTGGAATCTGTATACTGCTTTGACATTCAGATACATGCAGGAGCTCTGCCCCTCTGTTCCTGATGGATTGATTCCGGTTTATGACAGTGGAACTGGGAAAGCGCAAGACGAGGAGGGAAATGTTTTCCCTACAGCAGCCGATCGGACGACTCGAATATTTTGATGGATTATCGCTAGCTGACACTCAGAATATGTGCTAGCTTGCAGTTCTTCGGTATTATCGTTCTTTGTGACTTTATATCGTTTCTTTCTAGCTCTTTTCTGTGGACGTGGTGGACTATTATTGAAAGAAGGGGTTTCGAGAACAAAGGGGGTCTTGGATACGTGCCTAAAAATGGGAGAGGCTCTTAAATCAGAAACCATTACAATGGACTCTATGAAGTGAAGTGAAATTGGAGCGTAACTCTATGGTGACGTGATAAGTGACTGCTTTAGTGTTTGAAGGGTCTGCATTTCTATTATATTAATAGCCTATAGTGAGATTCTAGCTAGCATAGATCATCCATACATTTCTGAAACACGAGATATTTAACTTATCCTATATCTCTCCGTATTTGTAACATATGGAAATATTGATGTATGTTCCGGTGTATTTTCTAAGTACAGACTAGTGGTCCTAGGAGCTCCGGTAAGAAAAATAATGAAGAGAGTAGGTGGTGACCCATTTTCGGAACTACTGTAAAACCTCAGAGTTTCGAGACGTACTATACACATAGCGAAGACTATAACTAGCCTTGATAGCGAACCTTCGTATATTGGACTGAGCGGGCCACGTGGCGACGATACAAACTTCCTATATCGATTGTGAGTAGACTACGCCAAAACCTATTCCTAGAATCAAAGCCCAACCTAACCTAACGTAGGTTCGGGTTCTACGTGAGGTACCAATATTCAGAATAGCCGCGATTCTCATCTTTTCGCTTATTTTCTTAGGCTTCGTGGGCGCACAAGCCTCCTTACACCAAGTGTAAAAGCTATTCAAGAGTATCCGAGCATACTTTCCGGTGTCGTGGCATCTCCAAAATTTGAAATAAAAAGAAACAGGTCAGCACAATGCCAGGATAGCTTGCTCTTCGTTAGCCACGTTTGTATTTGGTCGTTGCTGATATTGGCTCGGAAGAACTATATCTCATACAAAGCCGTGTTTAATGCACTAATTATGCTGTTCCAGCGATGCATCATTACATCACGTTGACTCATTTGTTATTCTGCTTGCATCTTCTGGTCCCCTGATAAAGGTTATCATAGATGCCACGCCAGCTTGAATAATTTCGATGCCGCTTACTGGAGATTTATTGGGCAGTTGTGCGACAATGCGATCGTAAGGACTCCATCCACGGCTCCTCATTCCATTCTCCTATCCAGTTTTAAAAGGTGAACTCAAGAAGAAGAAGGCGGCGGAAGCAACTATATGTGGCATTGTAATTAACCGCAAAGCTGGGATGAAATGCGTTAATCCTCTGAGCATTGCAATCAGAGCTTATTGTGAAGACATGCCTTTGACTTCTTGGCCAGGTTAGAGGCATTGATATCTTGACTTCAATAAGCACATACTGAATATCCTGACATAACCAACTTGTCGAGTAGGCATCAAAACCAAGCTTGCCGGTGACCTATACCTACTATCGAAGACATCTCCAATGTGTACGGGGTCATAGTGAGGTAGAGTCTCCTCATCGATGGGCATTTCCATCGGTAGCCTAACAAATGATCTTGGAGAGAGATGTGAAATTGTCCTAAAGGCAGCTTCCAAAGCGCCCAAGCGTGGAGCCATGTTCTGGCGTGGTAGAAGAGAACGTTTACTACAATTCTTGAGATCCGTAGCTCTTTAGGGAGCCACGCTGCTCCCAAGAAGTTCTAGACCGCTGAGTCACGTGCATTACCCAATGTTCAGCATCCCCGAGCCTTCTGTCAAAATGATTCTATCCATTCACTATGCGGAGGGTTAAGCAGGGATGAGCATAGAGAGCAGGTCTTTCACTCGTGGTAATCAACCCTCTTGCTCGCTGTGCACCACGTATCTCTCCTGGAAGTGGCGCTGAGGCTCCCTGCATTAACACTTAACATGATTCGTGATGTGATGTTTAGCAAATCAGACCGACGTTATAGATGGCCGAAGCCGCCAGAGTATAAATTAGCGACCGTTCAAAGCACGTAAGATAATGACTCACGTCAGGATTAAATTCGGGCCGACGGAAAGCCCCGCGCATGCCGATCATTTCATGAGGGGCGCTCGTTAGCATAGACCACTTTTGGAGAACACCATACATTTCAAAGCATCATTCCCGTGCAGGTAGCCTGAGGATTCAATCAAAGTTCCAGGGCGGGCAGTTATTAATGTCATCATCTTCCTAAGCGTATTTAATTGAAAGATACTCCGCATTATAGGAAAGGTGATGGGACACCAGACGAGCAGATGATACGTCGTAAAAAGTACATCATCGATGCTAAACGGTAGCTGCTCACTCCCCGCCCTTTCAAGCTCGTATTCATCGGACAAAGTGACGCCCACGAGCTATTTCAATCAGCAAGAGACCCAGGATCCGACAGTTCAAAACCCTACCGTCTTTACTTTCTGTTTAAGCGTATAGGGGGCCTCTTTGCCTCTCTCTTCGTTACAGAACATCGCGAAGTATCTCGCGGTGGTCAAGAAAGCCTGCCTTTTCTTAAGATTGTGCTCATCGAGGTACCATATCAGGAAACCTTCAATCATCTTCAAGCCGAAGTTTTCATCGCGGAGCCAGAACATCCAGTCCGTGACAGGCAGTTCTTCAATCCAGCTATAGACGTAGGGAACAATATAGGACAGGGACCGAAGGGGAATGAACCCTTGAAAAAGCTTCTTCACGTCTTCCACTTTCCGCCGGGTCGATCGTACCCAGCCCTCTTTGAGTTCCCTCTCTGGTGCGCGGAAGAAAGCTTCCCAGTCCCTTTTCTGCTTAGATTCTTGCTTAGGCGGCATTGTGGGCAGTCACTTAAGGAAAAAAATCCTCAAAGAACGAGTAGCCCTGAGTGACTAGGCGCTTTATATCTTCCACGACCCATGATGAAGCCGCCGCTAGGCAATTGATGTTTTAACAGGCAACATCAAGGAAGTAGATCTGATTGGGTAAAGCTTCTGAGCGCTATTGAGGTGGGGGCCGCCGTCCTCGTCCGTCCACGGTGGAAATACCATGGTTTTCGACAGGCAATGCCACGGTTTCGTGACACAACGCCACGCACAACCGTGGCCTTTTCACAGTCACCCTCGAGTTATCATGCATGTATCGTTAACACCGATAAGGTCCTGGGATCGAGCCCCAGTCTGGTCATTTCTTTTTTTTTGTGTCTACGTCGTCTGTGAATACTTCACACCTGCGTTGTAACACGCAGTACTAGCCTTTCCGACTACCGGGAAGCTCTCAACAGCAATCTCCAAGATAGTTCTTCGATCAACTCGTTCGATTGGTTCCCTCAGCACTAGTTGGTATGTACGGAAATCCTTTGGCCCGACAGATCTCGGTAATCTAAGAGACCCCGAATCCCTGATTCAATACGGATCCATGTATTATTGAAGTGGATACTTCCAAGTTTTCGTATGGAACGCCGAGTGGCATGGTATATACCTGAGGTTCAAAAGGTCTATTGAAGAGAGCATTTATCCGCGCCCGCACGCCGCGCATCTATCATTTTCACTCCCTCCACCAAAAAACGATCTTACAATGGCCGCACAAAGCCCTGAACGTCGGCCGCCATTGACAGTACAAAGTCCCGGGCTTCTTCAATTACCTGCTGAGATTTTATTGTTGGTCGCATCATTTTTTGCCAAATCGAGATCTCGAATCCTTGCGCTTGGCAAGCAAACTACTAGGCGAGACGACGCCACTGTCATTCTCGCGCGTGTTTTCTTCAGCCAATTCGCTGGATATCAAGGTTTTGCGCTCTGTAGCGAATCATCTAGACTTCAGGGAGCACTTAGTATTCGACGAAGGTACGAAACTGAGGAAGAAACCAAGTGTTAAGCGCTGCGAGCTCAGCGTACAATCGCTCGCTAGTCCCAATCGGGTTAGTCAGGCTCTTCCATTTAGGTCTATATATCAGTGGTCAGTCCTATGCGTCACATCTTTCACTCTCGCTGGTGATGATGGGAGAGACTTCAAGATATTTCCTTGTCAAGTTTTCGCGGAGAGGACGAAGCGATGTAGATCCGACAAATCTGGGGGGAAGGTGGGGGGTGGCATCGTAAACACTTAGGGGGTACTGTATTATTTGATTATAACGAAATGAGAATACAGTTGCCGTATGGCTGAACTTATCTTCTGAAATTCAGAACCCATTTCACAGTTTGGACTGACCTCTTTGTCAGGTCGGGTGAAGATAATCACGTTGGGGGATTGTTGAGTTCGAGTTACTCAATTGTGCAATGCATTCAGGGCCACACAAAATAATCAGACCCACTTCTCTCCGTGTTGAAACAGATGTCAAATACCGGCTGTTGAGCATGGTATACTGGAACCGCATCGGAACACCGCGGCGGGAAACCTGTGTTGAGAAACTAAGCGCCGGCAATGCCCATTCATGCCGGGTGCAAAACAGGCCTGTTTTATCCGACTGGCTTGACCGAGAGCATCAAGTTCAATTCAGATGCGCTTAATTATATCTATGGACCTTTTTCGGCTTTCAAATTGCCCTGAATCTTTCTGTGACAGAACCTAAAACAACCTACATCAACTCGGAAAAGTCGCTACCATTACAATTGGGAAGCTCTCCAGAGAAATGTCGGGGAATTTTGAAAACCAGATGATATTGATATCATGAAGTCGGGCTGTCGTGACATACTAGCAAGAGAGTATGGATATGTAGGGTATCAACAATACAGCGAGGATCACAAAATGGTGTCCACAAAGTCTTTAAAGTCTTGATCGCTAAGCACCAAGTCACCCTCCGTGACTCTTGGTGGCCGGTTATAAAGAGCCTCGAATGGAAGCACCATAGGGGCATTGTCAACTCGAGGGGCACCTGCAACGCCACTTGAGGTGACATCGACCTCATGGTGAGAGTACATCTGTTGGATACCTGTAGCCTGCTGAATAAGAGGCGGTAGATGTCGCCGGCGTAGAGAGTCGATGTAGACTCGCGTAAGAAGGTGGGGTGAATTTGGCGGGGCTAACTGCCAAAGCTCAAACTCGACTTTGGTTTGCTTGATACTAATAACCAACACCATCCGAACTTCTCCACCGGAGTTATTGAACCACCATTGGGCATCTTCGCGGAGCCGCGGAAGAGACTCTGAAACACCCGTTTCAATCACGAATGTTGGCCAGCCGACAGGTTGTCCAGGGGAGGCACGGCGGCACGGCGGGATGAAACATTGGTCAGCCTGCTTGCCCTTGCTGGCGGTAGGCTTGTAGGTTGTTGTCATAGCCCATTTTCTATCGACCGATCGGATTCCCATCGCCAATAAGTACTCATCGATGGTCCGAGTGACTTGATCGGTAGTGGCGTCGTGTGCATGCGATGGGACCACTTTGATGAGTCCAACAGTTCCCTCCCATTGAAAGCGATAGTCCAAGCCGTATAAGCGTTGATTCTCGAGTCTTTCGATGCCACGCTTGGAGAGTCCGAGCAGAACAAGGTACTGGTTTCCATTTTCTTCGTTGTCTTGGAGCACCTTCAGGATGTTCGAGGTGTCTATCTGCAGTTGTTTGAAAGTTGTAAAGCTCCGCATAACATATCCAAGAGGGAGATTCGCCATTAACGAAGAGGGTTCAGCGATAGCGGAGTCTGGGTTCGACATGGCGCTGAATCGAGGAGCACTTTCAACGGTGTCAGAAAATAGAGAGGGCATGACTATAACGCGGAAGAGTTTTCAAACATGGGGACAGGAGAGAGGAGTTTACCAATGACATTTACACTGACATTTACACGGCCTTTCTCGACTCTGAATGATGGAAGGAAGGATGATGGAAGGAAGGAGCATCTGTGCCCGCATATAATGCGAACGTCATTAGTTCGTGCTTCCACCCTGATCGGGACTAGTACCCAAGACCACAGGAGGCGGCGAGTTACGCCTACGGCCCGCCAACGTGGAGAGCACGCACCGGGCCAAAACAAGGTCCAGGTAAACAACCAACCTGCTAGGAAAATCTAGAAAATTTTGTTACTATTCGGATCGAGGGCTAGAAGAGTGGTACTTTTCAAAGTTATTTCCTACACAGCCCACTTTCTCTTAGGTCGAGGGCTTATATCCCTTCTGATATATAGGATCTAGGCCGGGGGGGGGGGGGGGTGCACGGACGAAGGTATTCCAGTCAGTGACTTTTGGCACCTTGAGATTTTTCTTTGACCGCATCTCGAACTGTGGAAGCCGAGAGACTCACATATAATCTAAAAGGCAAGTCTAAGACCGTGGACCTTTACCCAACTTTACGTTTCCCCCTCCACTAGAACTCACATTGGGGCGGTGGCAGGGTTATTTTAGATTGGAGTTCAAGGTTGGGGCTTATTGGGTAGAGCTTAGTCTGTGGCGGGGGACACGCGACGCCAGGTGGGAAGATTATGCTTTTGCGAGAGATTGCCACAATCTTTTCCATAATATATCCAAGAGGGAGAAATCTTCTCCATATTAGGAGTTTTCAGTAAGGCAGGAACTGATAATTTACACATCGACAACATATTTGGCTAGCTGCAACGAAAATATTTCAATATAGACACCTCGTTCCTACCCAGGTGCTTGTGCCATGAATGCTGTTCAGTATAATCATGTCTTTGCATTTACTATTAAAGTAGTATGGTATAGCTTGACGATTAATCAATTCATATTCGCCGCTAATAAATATCATACATGCGAACCTTCACACAGATTATTATAGAAATAGCATTAACAAACACCCGATTCTTGGGCAATAACCAGGTCAATGGCTATCGTAAGGTTCCAAATTAGACAAAAGGACATATGAGCCTTAAATCACTGTGCTATGCACCACGTGCGAGCTTGTGCTGACCGGAATTTTCTCGCGACACTGGATATTGGTTTTTCAGGAAAATATTTCTGCCAGCAGGAAAACGGAAACAGGTCAAAAATAAGACAATCTCAAATTTCAGGTACTAGTTTCACTGAACTCTAGCTCACAGCATATGACCATCTGATCATCAGCCTACTTTCTCAACGGTAAATGACCACATTCAAGCCGTTGCCTCGTCCTGCTCAAGTAAACGTACCACCTCAGCCTTTTTCTCCGGTAGAGTCTCTAAACAAGCCTCTATGTATTCTTTGTCATCTTTACCGCGGATCACGACATAGTCCTCTCGCAACATCGGCGTCTTTGCAGCTTGCAGAGCGGAGGCAAAGGGTGCGTTCTCGACTTGGAGATTGACATTCGCTCCGGCATCAATCAGGCATTCAACGCAGTCCTTTTCTCCGATGTAAGCCGCAGCAATCAACGCGCTTCCATACTTTCCAACGGGGCTGGAATTCACGTCCGCTCCAGCTTCAATCACTCTTCGCATGACCTGAGTTCTCCCAGATAGCGTAGCCATGGTGAGAGGACTACCGTATAGCGCCATCTCACCCGTCAGCGGCAGGTTGGGATTTGCACCTCCTTCCAGCAAGGCTGCGATATTGTCTTCTTCTTCTGCATATATCGCCACCATCAGGGCACTGGCGTGCTTTCCGGCCAGCAGCTTGTTGACATCCGCTCCATTATTAATCATGAAGCGAATCGAGTCACCCATATTGAATTTCGAAGATATGGCTGCGATAGCGCTGTGCTTCCAGTAAGGCCTGCATGTTCTCCGTATGACCAAAACTTGATTCGACTGCTGCTGCTGCTGCAAGGGCACTTCCAAATTCGCCGTGTTTGAGTGGCATATTAGGGTCGGCTCTTGCTTCGAGCAGGATTTTGGTGATTTTGACTCTGCTCCAATGCGCGGCCGCCGCTGATAGTGCACTGCCGTATTGCCCGCTCTCAAGTGGCACATCCACAATTGCTCCGGCCTCCAGAAGTTAGCGGACAAGTTCAGCCTCAGACGTGGCTACTGCTGCTGTGAAGGCACTGCCCTACTGAGCATTCACGAGTGGTGTGTTCAAATCTGCTCCTTCTTGAAGCAACAACTTGACAATCTCGATTGAGTTGGCAGATGCTGCTGCTGCCAGAGCACTGCCATACTCACCACTGACGAGCTTGTGTACATCTGCCCCCTTTTCGAGGAGACTCTGAACAGTATACACATTACCACTCGACGCTGCCGCCACGAGTGAGCTTCCATACTTCCTACTGACTATCATGTTGACATCTGCCCCCTTTTCAAGGACAAGGTGGACCATACCAGTGTTGCCTGTGGATGCTGCCATCACAAGAGAGCTACCATAGTCGCCACTGACTGCGAGATTGACATCTGCTCCATTCTCAAGGAGATAAATAGCACCTTCATAACCATCAGAATCTCTCATTGCCGCAATAAGAGGGCTTCCGTAGCTGACTTCATCGAGTGATTTGTTAGGATCTGCCCCCGCGGAGCGAATTGAATGGCAATATCTCCAGCCTTCTCTAGCCATCCAACAATCTTTGTGGTGTAGTTTCGGAGAACTATATCATCATCTCCGATGGAAACACGCCAGAACTTCTTTTCCACCTCCTCTTGTTTCTTGTTCACGAGACCCACCAAGTCATCGATCTCAGATTCAACGGAGCTGGAGCTGAGCTTTCCAGTCCCATGCTCTTCAGTTTCTCTTGCTTAGCCGGGGGCAATTACTGGAGAGCAATTTCCCACCGAACTTTTGCAGGGGCATCTGGCTTCTTGGGTGGTTGCGTCTTGGACTGTGTGGCGCTCTCTTTGATCTCAGTGGTGGACTGCTTGGCCGGGGCAGTTGGGGCAGGGGCTGGTGCTAAAGCGGGAGCTTTATTCACTTTTTCCAGTTCTCGTTCGTCCTAGAATAGCGATGGTTAGTATCACCGTGGAGCCTAGGCTCGGAAATTGCACTTACAGGCTCTCTTGATTCATCTTTTTCGCCCTGGCTCTTATGGCGATGGAGCTTACTCTTCAATTTGTCAAACATTTTCTGGGGGCCTATACGGTGAAAATTGTACAGCGAAGTATTGTTAGTTAGTTAACTAACTAGCGTGAGAGTGTTTTATTCGCCCCTTTTGAATATTTTGTCTATAGAAAAGGCCTAAAAGCGATAAAAATTTCGGTCTGATATTTAACATATATCGAGATGGGAATGGCTCGATGGCTGTCTAACAATGCAGACTGGACAGCAGCAACCAACGGACAACACACACACAACCAGCAAGTAGCATAGGTCGTCCTGGGGGAGATCGCAAGTGTCCTTGTTGAGGCCGTGAGGCCGGGCAATCTTGAACGCAGCAATCCTAAATGAGGCCGTACGGTTTACCGACTGAGGCCATGTGGAATGTACTTAATACGGCATCATGAACTAAAGAATGCGGTGGCAACTGGAATGCATTGGGTAGATGATCCTCCTCCCTCTCTATCTCATGTAGAAGCTATTGCTTACACCCAAGGGATTCGTGACACCTCAGGCCGCAACTGTATTCATTATGTTATGCGTTCCACCTCTACAATAAATAATATAGGATAGGATATAAGAATTATAAATAGGACTAAAGAACTTAATTCATTATAATATTAGAGATAAGCTATTACGATGCCTTTTTTCTGCCAGCAGAAAAATTAGTATAATTTAGTGAGGTTAGGGTTAGATAATATTGTATAATTTAGGTATAAGTTTATATAAACTTGTGTATAAGCGCTGAGCGGGACTCAGGATTAGTCATGATTTCCTGGGTCCCGCTCAGCTGGAACCCGCGATTTATGTATGTAAACTTATGCCTATTTAACTACACACTATCACCTAAGGGTTCAGCCTAGGTTAAACCCCTACCTCTCTAAATCGCACTACATCTCTTTGAAAAGGGGCAAATAAAGGACAGAAATTTTAATTTCGCGCTGAAAAATAGTATAATCTAGAATCCTGGGTCCCAGCCAGCTCCCACACCTGGCTGGGACCCAGGATTAACCATTGTTTTCTGGGTCCATCAGCTGGCACTAAATAGTGTACGAGATTAAATTTGAGCTGGTCACGGCAGCTAGCTAAATTCTACTTGGTGATCAAAAAGCGGCGAGTGTTGAACACTAAAGCGGAAAAACAAATCCAAGAGTTGCCAGACATTATATGGTATACATGTACCTAGCCTAAACGTGCCTATCTTTCAAGGAATCGGAGACCAGGAAGACAGTTCAAGCGGTATATCAAGAATTGACCATATTATTATATATGGATATCTACCGGCTGTATTTCTGCAATGTCCCCAACAAGGTCTTCGCGTTTGGGAACCCTACCGAAAACGGTAGGGTTCTTGGTGGAAACTTACACTAGCCTAGCGTATCCAAATAGGACTTTGCGAAGTGTTATACCTTACTTGGTCTAAAGGAATCATCTTCTTTATTTAAAAAGCCTATTCCCTGCGTAAAAGGTAAAGTTAAATGAAAAGATTTACTACTATTTGAACAAGTATACATGATGTAGGCTGGCGAGAAATAAGCTTTTGAACTAAGTGGAAACAGAGCTTTGCCCTTGACCAACATACAAAAAACCCACAAGTTGTAACGACCCAGAAAACTTGTGATTTCCAAAGTACATTGAAACAAAGAGCCGATCAATTGATTAAAAACTTTTCATAACGTGTATGCGTATATGCATGGTGCAATTAAGTGCAAGGATTATCGTAAAAAGTCTATGAAACAAGCAAAGAAACTAAGGCTATACCCTTTCCAATCATGCCAAAGACACTATTTAAGACCAGTGAGGTGCATTGAGGAACAGGCCCATAAGGCATCCACCAATGGTACCGGCAATGGGGATGGTCATGATCCAGGCAAGGAGCAGGAGACCGACACGCTGGAAGTTGACTGCCTTCAGGCTACCGTTGCACAGACCGACGCCGACGGTGGCACCGGTGATACACATGGATGTGGAGACGGGGAGGGAGAATTGCGAGAAGACCAGGACAGTGATAGCAGCGCCGAGTTCCATGGAGGAGCCACGGCTAGGGGAGTGGTAGGTGATCTTGTTACCCATGACTATAATGAGTTAGTAATTGCTCGGGCTAGGTTTTTGAGGAGGATGCGGCTTACCCTTCATGATGTTGTAACCGTAGGTGATGAGACCGATGGAAATGCAAATAGCCAAAACAGCGAGCTGCCAGACGGGGACGGCGGCCTTGGAAGAGACGGGATCGCCGGTCGACCAGGCGGAGTAAATAGCAGCCCAGGGGCCGACGGAGTTTCCGATATCGTTGGCACCGTGAGCGAAGGACGCAGTGCAAGCAGTCAAGACCTGGACGAAGGAGTAGGTGTGCTCGACCTCATTGGGGTACTTCTCGGCGGCATCGTAGACACGCTTCATGCGCTCACCCTCAGGAGTACCGGCAGTGCCGCTCTGAGCAGTGTGAATATCGTAGTGAGCACCGTAGGTGAGACCGACGACGATCTTAGGGGGAATGCGCTTGAACATGATGATAATATTGCGGATTTCGTAGATCTCACCGTTGCCCATGGGGTTGTCGCGGAGGAAGCGCAGGGCCCAACCCAGAGGACCCTTGCCCTTAAGGAGCTTCGCGTGGTGCTTGGCCTCGGACAGAGCCATGATCTCCTTGTAGGTGAGTTGGTTGGTCTCGGTGGCGACGAGGCCCTTCTCGTGGTCCTCGGTGGGAATGGAGGTGGTCTGGGCATCCTTGTCGATGGAGCCGTGGGTGTGGGTGGAAACGGCGTAGTCATCCTCATCCTGGACAACAGCGTAGTTGGGAACCTTGGCTGTCTCACCGTCGGCGGGAGCAGGGCGCTTCCAGAGGAGGGGACCGTAGATGACCATCCACCACTTGACGGTGTAATCCTTCTTGATAACGCGAGCGTGAACGAAGGGAAGGAAGAAAAGAGCAGACAGGAGGAAGACACCACCACCGGTGCCCAGGGTCACAGCAGCAATGTACCAGGCGGGCTTCTTGCTCAGACCAAGGTTAGGGGAGCCCTTGTAGACAATGGACAGGGTACAGATGGTAGAAGCAACGAGGAACCAGAAGGGAGAGCTGAAGACGGCCCAGGGAACGGGATTCTTGCGCATGTGGACAATGACCTTGATGAGCATGAAGATGATCGCACCGAAGCAACCGGAGATGACAGGGGCCATTCCGAGACCAGCGAAGATAGCACCCAGACCCTTTCCGCCGTTCCATCCCCACTGGACCTGGGAGGCACCAGCAGTAGCAACACCAACACCAGCGACAGCCGAAATAAGAGAGTAGGTAGATGAGACGTGAGCGGAGTGGCGAGTGCACCACATCACCCAGGACGAAGCAGCAGCCAGAGCACAGGTAAAGGCGAGCATCTGAACACCGGCATCGCCCTTGAAGGCAGATGTAGGAATGATACCGTTCTTGATAGTATCAGCAGTACGAGAACCGACAGTGACAGCGCCAAGGAATTCGAAGATGGTGCCGAGGACCATAGCCTGTCTGTAGGAGATGGATCGGGAGGAGACACTGGTAGCCCAAGAGTTGGCAACATCGTCTATATCAGTCAGTATGAAGCCTTCCAAATCATATCGAAGATCCAATTCTATACTCACTTGCACCGTTGTTGAAGGCATCTAGCATGGCAAACAGAGTGCCAATAGCAAAGATGTAATCATACTCGTGGAGATACATTTTGACGAGGAAAGAGCCACTTCAGGCAAGTCAGGGATCAACGGTGGAAAGTACGATTTTAGGAATCAGGAGAGACAATTCGGGTCTTATGTACACGCAAGATATCTCGATCAAAATCGCCCCCATCACATCGCATAGAACATACTTCGGTGAGAGCGAGACACGCGGTGGCCCCAGGGCAATTTCCAGCTCGTTTACGGGTCAATTTCCATTCTACCTGGCCCTCACCCCAACACACGTGCAGAGACGACTCGAAACTGGCCGTCGCAGCCATCGTTCACGGCCAGCTTGGCAGGTATCTAGTGCCAAAGTAACCTGTCTGGTGGCGGTCAAATGGGGTGTCGCTTGCGGGCAAAATCACGCAATAGAAGGGTCGGCCAAGACAACCAGGAGTAAAAAATGCGGGCTTGGATGCTGAGAAGCAAAATTGGCGACCTTGGCGGACCTTGGCAAATCTGGGCGATGGCGGGCTTTATAGTAATGACCCATAGTTAACTCACGCCCAATTTGGGTGTAGTCCGACGGCGGCTCTTGGCGGGGCCGCGGTGCAGGGGCCACGCAGTGGGACTTGTCCCTATCATCACCATGGATCCACCCACGTGGGATGCCGGATAGGCTGTCAGCAACCCCGGAGTTCGGTTCTAGAAGTATGCCTTATCAAATGTCATCTTCCCATACTCGCTTGGCAAGCACCCAGGTCAGAATGTCTGCCCTGCACGTGGTGGCCCTACGTGCATAGCATGTACAGTAGCAAGGCAAAATGCAACTCTATCGGGGCGGGGATACGATCTATGCCCTGAACGGGTTCCTGTGGATGGAGTTCCAAGGTTAGTTCGGTATGTTGTACATTTACTCCTTTCGAGTAGATGCGCGTGCTCGCGTGCTCTGGCCTTGTCAATTTTTGGTCATCATGCTATGCCCTTTCCAGGATGGTATTATTGTGGCATGGTTCATATCAACGCCTTCTAGACTTTCCAGGCCGTCTAATTGAGCCAATGGAAAAACGCTATGAACATCGTGACTTTCATGAGTGTGTCTGGGTGGCAGAAACTGCCAAGTACTCAGACACAAGGTACCAGAACGCCTTGAATGCGCGTCTGCATCCCGTCCTGATTCTGTACAGTCCAATCTAAACCCACAGTTCACGCACATCCACGCCCCAACCCCACTGTGCTATACACATGGCCCCCAAGCTCATGAGAGCCGCCATAAGAGTGTTCACTCCATTGTTGTCCAGCCAATCATGGCCGGTTTCAATCCGCCGGCTCTCGTGACCTTCGTGAGCTTGCCCGGCTTGATTTCCCTGTAGAGTTACCGTGTCCACAACAGCCTCGGTCTTGCGCAGTCGGGCGCTTCCCGCTGACTCGGCTGACTCCGAGATGCCAATGGTGGGCGCCCCTTTGGTGGATCCCGGGTGAATGAGGACCTGTAGAAGAAATAAGTAAGAACTTTCTCGCATGTAATTGGCCAAAATCGACTTACCTTTCTGCCGCCACTTCCTTCGACAACCTTGCCACTCCTCTTATCCACAACACTGGCTTGTAAAAGTCCGCCCAGCACGCTGTCCAAGACACTTCCCATCAGACCCCAGAATGAGATAGCCACCGTCCACACTAGACGGTCCTGGATACTCGACTCGGCGCAAAATGGAAGAAAAATGCCAGATGTCAAAGCAATTGTGAAAGATCCCAACAGGCCAGCAACAAGACCCCAGGCAGTCACGCCGCCATTGGTACCCGGCGGCACTTGACGGAGAGTGAGGGATGTAATAAGGCGAGGGCTCGATTTGGAGAGAATTCCCAGTTCAGAAGAGAATGTATCGGCAGCGGTGGCGGCATAGTTCCTAGAAAGGTTCCTGTAAGCTGGTGTATGGAGCTGAAAGAGCGCAGATCACTCACGCTACCACCCCCACCATTAAAATATCTGCGGAGCTATGGCCGAAGCACGACTGCGCGGGCGATCTGGCTAGGACCATTGTGTGTACAATGCTCAATATCATCGCAACGCCCGAGTTTGCCAGCACCTGGATGTGGTTTCGCGGTCCTTCGCCACCTTCAGTGCCGGTCGCCGAAAGGGTCAAGCGCGCTTTCACATCGTGTTTTACCTAGTGTCGTGCGTCGTCAGCTGTGTTCAGATACTCTATATAGCTCCAAGAGCTGGAAAAATTCTTCAATCTCACCCTGGTAGCCTTGGTTCCGCCATAGTAGAATATCGCGAGCAGCAAAAACGGTGTTGACCACGGGTGGAGGGCATGGGCGGTCGCGGAGATCGCGGCGACCACCAAGCCAAGAGGGGTGAGCGATTTGCGAGCCCAGGCTCGATAGACAAGTGCAGCAACTGCTGTGAGGCCAATAATGGGCTTCATCGTAAATGGGGGAGAAGAAGATCTTAATGGTCGAGAGCTGACAGAGCTGTCAAGAGTTGACAGAGCCCGGAGGTCGGAGCTCGGGTGGGGCCCTATGATGTTACACATTCCACTGGCAGCCGGATCAAGGATATAATACAAAGGCTTCTAGACAGGCAACCGTGACTTTCCCTGTATTTATTCAAAGCCTTTTCAAACAGAGGTTTAAGAGAGTTGCTCAGAAAGACGTCAAACAAGAGCTAAACAGATCTTGTACATAGGCATAATTAGATTATCTTCTCGGTCGGGCTGTAGCCATCGTAAAATCAATGGTTTAGTTCATTTCACATTATCTCTATGATAATCCGTCAAATGAGTTTTTCCAGGCATCCCAGCCAGTCGTGTCATAGGCAGGCCTTGTTGGCTTGCGGCGCTTCTCAGCATGAGTTTCCGCCGTCCAGCCGTCATTGTCGCGTCGTTGTGGATTCACTTTCCCCGTAGCCATGAGCAGCCTGACCGCATCAACCTGGTGTGTTTGTGCAGCCCACATCAACGGTGTCTGGCCCTTATGATCCGGGGCATCGAGATTGACCTTGTCGCACGCGAGAAGTTGCTCGATAATATCGAGTGGGTCATACCTGGGTGGCGCTCCACAAGTTCCCCGTGGCCGTGACTCCTGGGCAGGAGGGAATGCCATCTCTGTTCTCCCTTGTAGAAGATGGCAGATATCGCGATATTCCTGTGCGATATCGGGATATGCCTCTGCTGTACCGTTGTGCTTGTAATTGTTCGAATAATGCAAACTTCCGGCAGCCAAGGATAGGGGTGTCCTTCCATCTTCATCCCTGGAATTGAGGTCGACACGTCGCGTTTCCAGCAGTATTTTGAAATTATCACGGACTCCAATGTGGGCAGCCCAAGATAATGGCGTTCGACCCATACAACACTTAGATTCCGGATCCACTTTGCCTGTCGCAAGTAAGAAACTCACTGCTGCTGGCTCCCCGTTCACTGCTGCATGGGATAATGGTGTGCGTCGCATACTATCTCGGGTATCTGGATCGACCTTGTCAGATCCTAGTAGTAGCTTCATGACACCCGTATGACCGCACTTCGCAGCATCGGAGAGTGGGGTTACCGTGCTCATGTCTTTCACGTCAGGGTCGACATCATCTCGGTCGAGGAGTATTCTGACAAGGTTCTCGTGTCCTCCAGATGCAGCACAGTGAAGTGGTGTTCGGCCATACCTGTCTTTCTCGCTGGGATCCAGTCTGCCATCGTCCAACAACAGTCTCATAATGCCCTCGTGTCCCTCGGATGCGGCGCAAGAGAGCGGGCACTTTTCCCAGTACTGGTCTCTGTGGAATGCTCCTTGCAGACACATTTTGACGAGAATTTCATTGCCTCCTTCTGAAGCTGCAGACAAGCTATTACGATCCAACTTGAATCGCCCATCCTCCATTAAGATTCGCACTAACTCTTCGTTTCCCCCAGCTAGAGCCTCATTGAGCGGTTCTTTGTTTTTAAGGTGATAAGAACCTCCCATGATCTCATCGAGGTCTTGTTGATTTTCGGATGGGTCAATAATTGATTGAGTAAGGAGAATCTTCACAACCTCGATATGTCCTCTTGAAATTGCAATCTTGAGCGCTCTATCTCCACATCCGCTTGTCGCGTGGACGATACTCGGGTCATGCTTCAGGAGAAGCTTGACTATCTCTTTGTTTCCCTCTTCCACGGCGAGTATCAAAGGTCCACAGGACTCACCTCTGTCGTCGCATCTATTAGTCGCCCCCAGCTGCAGCATCGCGAGAGCCAAGTCTTGATTGTTTTTCTGACATGCCCAGCTCAGCACAAAATTTAACCGATTTTCTCTGGTTCTATTGTATAATGCTTCTCGTAGCTGAGGCAGGCTATAAGCCAGTCGATGGCTCATCATGAACGCTTTGACGCCAGCTTGTGTTGGGATACGCTCTCCGATCATGCAGATGATCTCAATAGGTAAAGTTGAGAGCGGCATGTTTTGCGATTGCCTTGGGCTGGTCAAGCTCGCGCACGTTGTCTATTGCTTGAGCCTTGGAGCAATAGTGGTTGCTCATTGTACGAGAAAGGGGCGTAGATTGATAGATAGATGCCCAGGTGTTTTGGCGGGAGTGCCGAAATTAGTAAGAATCCCACCTGCGGCTGTTCCGAAGCAACTTGAACTTTTTGTCTCTTTGAATTCAAAATCTACTCTTTTACATAGTACATTACTACTTAATAGGATAATGGTTATTCGTGCACATTTGTCATGATAACTTTGAGTCATTCTATCAAGAAAATCCATCGGCTTCCGGTAAACCGTGCACTAGCTCCACGTCAACTCGGAAGTTCTTTCACTTACCGTCACTTAGGGTTGAATAAGAAACATCCAATCATACCTATGCGTAAGGCAATTACTGGGTGGGTGAATCAATGGAGTTTTGGAGCGAACCGAGTACTAGTTTACGCTAAGTGTTCAAATGGTGAAGCATCAATGCCAGGCCCTCATACATGCAGAATGCACGCAAATTGAGCAATTATATATTTCAAAGAGCGAAACCCCAAAACCTCAAAACCTCAATTTTAGTATAAAAAATTGGAACTCAGTGGGACTTGAACAGGTAAATTCGGCGGACTTTAATAACGCAACTCAAAAATGAACTTTTTCATTGCAAAGGACACATGAAAGTGCGGATGTTGATGTCTCTGCCCTGTAAATCAGTGAGGGAGTGGTACCATCTCGAGACACTATTACTGTTAGTCATCTTAACTTGATCGACTGGCCCAGTGGTTAAGGCGCCCGTCTTACACACGGGAGATCGCAGGTTCGAACCCTGCGTCGATCATAATTTTCTTTTTACTTTAATCACAATTGGACTCGGCTTTTTCTCGGGCTCAACTGTTTTTATTAAAATGGAAATAATCTTTTTTTTGGTTATTTCAGAAACCAGTTTCTGTTGTTATACCAGTTCACTACGGATTAGGGTCTACGCGATCACGCAATTCAGGGACCTAGCGGTCACGTTAATCGTTAATTCCCGAGCTTGATTGTTCTGTGTTCAAAAGTGCCTCTCGACCGAGAATCGGTAATTGCCGCTATACTATTGGTAGCCGTGCGGTGAGCAAAGGCAGAAGTTAGATTCATTCCTGTGGTCGATAACTGGAGATACAGAGGAAACATGTAGCGAATTGACCATATATCAAATCTAACAAAACATCTAGATCTATACAAAAGTCAAAAAACCGCCGGCAATAAATGGTGAGCTGCAGGCTGAATTCCAGAAAAAAAGCAAAAGCCGGCGCTGACGTGCTCGCAGCCGGTCACGGGTCCCCCGCATACTAGGCCCAAAAAAGTATGTTTGCAATGTTTGCAATGTATTCTTGCAACGATGTCGTGATCGTCCGCCAATCAGAAGGCTGCTGATCTAACCCCGATGGCGGAGAACTGACTGGATGATGGGATGAAATCCCACGGTCAACTTTTTTTTTCCCCTTATAGGTTGTTGGATCAGAGAGAACGGACATTGCATTGTGTCAAATCTTCTATCCTTCTTGCATTCATAAGACAATTTACGTCAAGTGGGAAATCGCCGGGCGCCGACAAGCCCTATCCCGCGAGTGATTTCTCAGCCCACTTGAGCTGTGAACTCACAGCATCTGCCCGCCATGGCCTCCATTACAACTGCTGCTGATGCAGGTAAGCTATCTGTCCATAATATAACTGAAAACCAATTGCTAACGTGTATTCCAAGTGGCGAGAATCGCCTACCAGGCCAGTGACGTTGTCCTCTCCGTCCAACCTTCCTTGCGGACGGACTCATTGTTCTCCAAGTCCCTCAAGGCCTTGAAGGCAAACAAGACCGCAAGCGCCGTCTCAAGGGGTACTCCCGAGGTGGGTGCACTGCTACATAGCGGAATAATGGACGCGACATTCAGCTAACTTCGTCATCAGGTGCAAGCCATTCGCTACAACGAGGACCCTCTGCTGTCTGCTTTCCACCCCCTGCAAAAAGGCGAGACTGTGTCCGTTGTCACCAGCTCATCAATCTTGATTTCCTCTGTTCCTCACCTCTATCGCCTTGCCAACTTCCCCGTTGTCATTCATGTCGCTCTGGAGCCCACCCCGTTCCCCGATTACTCAGTGATTAGCTCCATCCGCCAGTGCGGCTTCACATTCCTGCACTCTGAGACCGTGCAGGAAGCTCAAGATATTGCCATTACCGCTCATGCATTGGCCATTAAGTCTGGAAAGGGTGTTATCCACTTCTTCGACCCCGCCAACTCCGCCAAGGATCCCGCTATCACTGCTGAGGATACCGAGGTTGTGAAGAAGATCCTCAACCTGGGTGGAAATGTGGCTACTCACACTTCCTCCGGAGCCGAAACTCTGTATGCTGACTCTGGCCGCGTTGCCACTGTCTCTGCTGAGGACCTAGAAGTTGCTCCTGCTGGCCAGGGTGAGACTTCCGCCAACTTGAATGTGCCTTCTCAGACGCAGACCCCATCAAACGTTAGCGTCGAAAACTCGTCTGTTGGCTCTTCCCGCCGCGACAGCAGCGCTGGTAGCGAGGCTCCCAGCTCTACCGCCACCACCGTGGATAACGCCAGTGTGCGTCCCGTCAATGCTGCCGATATCTTCGAGTGGACCTCCCAGATCTGGACTGCTCTGTCCAAAGAGGTTGGCCGTACCTACAGTGCCATCGAATACACCGGACCTGCTGACGCCAAGTCCGCCGTCTTCGTCTTTGGATCTTCCGGTGTCTTCGCTGATGCCCTGTCTCACCCTCAGGCTAACAGCGAACTTGAGAACATTGGTCTCATCACCGCTCGCCTCTACCGCCCTTGGGTCGGTGGTCAGATCGTGAACTCTATCCCCGCCTCGGTTGAGAAGATTGCCGTCTTGGAGCAGGTTCGCAAGACCACTAAGTGGGGTCCTTCATTCATGGACCTGCTTTCCAGCGTGACTCCCTCCACCGTCCGTGGTCAGACCCTCAAAGTCGTTGGATACCGTCTTGGATACGTTGAGCCCTCCACTGCTGTCCAGGCTCTCCGTGGTGTTCTCCAGAATCTGCAGGCTTCTTCCCCCATTCAGAACCTGGATATCGGTAGCTCCAATGTTCCCACCGCCGAGGAGGCTCTTGAGCAGCCCCACATTGAGAATGCTTATATCAAGATTCTCAGCCAGCTCTTTGGTGAGCGTCTTTACATTGCGAACCAGCTCGGTGCCCAGAACGCCGGTGTCTCGTCCACTATCGCTGCCAGCCCCGAGTATGGCTTCGGTTCTCTTCTTGCTCGTAAGGAGCACCGTGAGCGCTTTATTCGTGAGGTTGAGGAGGCCTCCAAGTCTAGCACCTTTGCGACTGATGTGCCTAAGGACTGGTTGTCGCGCTGGGCTTTGAGTGCCAAGGAGGCTGCCAAGGCTAACAAGATCGCTCCCGATGTCATTTCTCGCCTCTCCAACGACGGATCCAAGCTGTCCCGTGAGCTGCTTCAGTCAAAGCAGCTGTTCTACGAGGAGTCTCAGTGGCTGATTGGCTCCGATGCCTGGGCCTACGATCTGGGCAACTCTGGTGTTCACCAGGTCCTCGCCTCTGGCGCCAATGTCAACATGTTGATCATTGATTCGAAGCCCTACTCCGAGCGCACCGCTGCTGATGCAACTCGCCGCAAGAAGGACATTGGTCTTTATGCTATGAACTTTGGCAATGCCTATGTTGCCTCTACTGCTGTCTACGGCTCTTACACCCAGGTTCTTCAGGCCATGGCTGAGGCCGAGCAGTACAAGGGCCCCTCCGTTATTGTCGCCTACCTTCCCTACCACCAGGAAGACGACTCCGCTCTTACTGTTCTCCAGGAGACCAAGAAGGCCATTGATCTTGGCTACTGGCCTCTGTACCGCTGGAACCCCGCAAATGATGGGACGAGCGAGCCCAAGTTCGCTCTGGACTCCGAGCGCATCAAGCGCGAGTTGGAGGAGTTCCTTCGCCGGGATAACCAGCTAACCCAGATCATGAACCGTCACCCCAAGTACTCACCTGTGCTTTCTGAATCTTACGGCACTGAGGTCCGTGCCTTGCAGAAGCGCAAGGCCAAGGACTCATATGAGAAGCTTTTGGATGGCCTTTTCGGTGCTCCCCTGACCATTCTCTTTGCATCCGACGGCGGTAACGCCCAGAACATTGCAACTCGCCTTGGTAACCGTGGTCGCGCCAGAGGTCTGAAGACTATGGTCATGGCTATGGATGAATACCCGGCCGACGACCTCGCTACTGAGGAGAACATTGTATTCATTTCCAGTGTTGCCGGTCAAGGTGAGTTCCCTGTCAACGGCCGTAGTCTTTGGGAGCACATCAAAAACTCCGGTGACTTGGATTTGTCTTCCATCAACTATTCCGTCTTCGGTCTTGGTGACAGCCACTACTGGCCCCGCAAGGAGGACAAGATCTATTACAACAAGCCCGCCAAGGACCTCGATGCCCGCATTGCCTTCCTGGGTGGCCGTAAGCTGACCGACCTTGGTCTCGGTGATGACCAGGATCCTGATGCTTACCAGACCGGCTACTCCGAGTGGGAGCCCCGTCTTTGGCAGTCTCTGGGTGTTGACAAGGTCGAGGGCCTGCCCGAGGAACCCGCCCCGATAACGAATGAGGACATTAAGGTCCAGTCGAACTTCCTGCGTGGAACCATTATGGAGGGTCTTCTGGATGAGTCCACTGGTGCCATCTCTGCCAGCGACGCCCAGCTGACCAAGTTCCACGGCACTTATATGCAGGATGACCGTGATGTTCGTGACGAGCGCAAGGCTCAGGGTCTCGAGCCTGCCTACAGCTTCATGATTCGTTGCCGTCTTCCCGGTGGTGTCGCTACCCCTAAGCAGTGGCTGCAGATGGATGCCATCAGCAGCTCGCACGGTAATGAGACCATGAAGCTCACTACCCGTCAGACTTTCCAGTTCCATGGTGTCATCAAGCGCAAGCTTCGTGGCGCTATGCAGGCTATTAACGCGTCTCTCATGGATACTCTCGCTGCTTGTGGTGATGTCAACCGTAACGTTATGTGCAGTTCCCTCCCCGAGCTGTCTGACTTCCACCGCGAGACCTGGGCTTTCTCCAAGAAGATCAGTGAACATCTTCTGCCCTCGACCACAGCCTACCACGAGATCTGGCTGAAGGACGAGAACGACAAGAAGGTTCAGGTTGCTGGTGATGCCGTCGTCGACTTCGAGCCCCTATATGGTCCCACATACTTGCCCCGCAAGTTCAAGATCACCATTGCCATTCCTCCTCACAACGACACTGATGTCTACGCCCACGATATTGGTCTGATTGCCATCAAGGGTGCTGATGGAAAACTGGAGGGCTTCAACGTTCTTGCTGGTGGTGGTATGGGTACCACCCACAACAACAAGAAGACCTACCCCCAGACTGGTCGTATGTTCGGCTTCTTCCCCAAGGAAACTGTTCACCTTGCTTGTGAGAAGATCATGCTCGTCCAGCGTGACAACGGTGACCGCAAGAACCGCAAGCACGCCCGTCTCAAGTACACCATTGACGACATGGGTGTCGAGGTTTTCAAGAGCAAGGTCGAGGATCTTTTGCCCGAGGGCTTGAAGTTCACCGAGCCCCGCCCCTTCAAGTTCGACTCCAACGTCGACACCTTCGGCTGGCTGAAGGACGAGAAGGGCTTGAATCACTTCACTTTCTTCATCGAGAACGGTCGTATCGAGGACACCGCCGAGTTCGCCATGCGCACTGGTCTCCGCGAGCTGGCTGAGCTCGGCAAGGGCGAGTTCCGTCTCACCGGTAATCAGCACTTGATTATCTCTAACGTCACCGACGAGGACCTGCCCCTGGTCAAGGAGCACATGGCCAAGTACAAGCTTGACAACACGAACTTCTCTGGCATGCGTCTTTCCTCCTCTGCCTGCGTCGCTTTCCCCACTTGCGGTCTCGCCATGGCTGAGTCTGAGCGCTACCTGCCCGTCTTAATTTCCAAGCTCGAGTCCACCCTCGAGGAGAACGGTCTTGGCCGTGACAGCATTGTCATGCGTATGACCGGTTGCCCCAACGGCTGTGCCCGTCCCTGGTTGGCTGAGGTTGCCTTCGTCGGCAAGGCCTACGGTGCCTACAACATGTACCTGGGAGGTGGCTACCACGGCCAGCGCCTGAACAAGCTCTACCGCTCTTCCATCAAGGAAGACGAGATCCTCGAGATCATGAAGGATCTCCTCAAGCGTTACGCCCAGGAGCGCAACACCGACGGCGATACCCCGGAGCGCTTCGGTGACTTCTGTATCCGCGCCGGCGTCATCAAGGCGACCACCAACGGAACTAACTTCCATGAGGGTGTAAGTGATGCTTCCTCAAATCTACCCAAACTTCAATTCTAACTTCTCCATAGGTCGCCGAAGAGGAAGAGGAAGAAGAGGAGTAAATATTCACACCGAAAACCCAACGTGTTATGATTACCACGGGAAACCCAAAATCTTGTTCATTTCATTTTGCGATAATATCTGTCCATGTCCTTTGATGCCTCTAGACGCATTGTTTCTTGGCGAACGAATGGTTCCGCTCGTGCAAAACATTGCTGATATCTCTCTGTTCTTGTTTTTATTTTACCCTTCATGTACTCTTGGGTGTATCTATGAACCATCTGCTAGAATGCGTCAATACCACGATTTCATGTTCAAGAAATCTTCATAGAGCTGGGCCAAAAAAATGTTATAACTTGATGTGAGGTAGGCAGTCGTGACTTTGTTATTGGGCGTATTCGGAGAAAAATCTAAATAACAGAATGCCTTTCAAGACGAATTGACAGATATTTCACTAGAAGATGAGGTCCACGGGTGATTCGGCGTAGCAAAGACATCTCCGTTGTCGGGCTGGAGGGGCCTCTCATTGTTTGATCAAGCTCCACAAAATACGATTTTAGAGTAGACAATATTCAGGTAATTAAACTTTGATTGATTGATTGATGTTTAAAATCCTGCTCGAGCCCATCCCATCTCCACCAACAGTGAAAGCCAATAAGCCACCGCCGAACTACTCTACCTAACCAGATAGCACATCATGGGCCACGGTCGTATTGGCCTGCTTCAGTTCTTTGGTAATACAAGATCAAGGTTACATGATCAGGTCGGGCCGATGAGAGGCCCTGTGTTAAGACTATGTCTGTCCGACCAGATGTCAAGGACGACTATGTCAATAGGTTCAATAATTTGCAAACATATCGCGGGTCAGACCAGTATTTTGGTCCAGGCCCCGATCTGAAATGCGGGTAGTTTCCGAATGGTGTGTTCGAATGGGTGGTTGGTGCATCGTCAACTGTCTGCTCGGCGGCTCCTTAGCCTGAATGAGCGACGTCTCAAAGAGTGCGTCTCACACACTAGGAAGGCATTGAGATTGAACTCAATGGGGAGAGTATGCAAGGATGGGAGGGAGGACTGGTGATAAATCCCCACGGCATGACTCTCGGGTCCTCAGAAGAGAGGAAAAAGAAACCAGGGGCATCGCGTTTCGTACACAAAAAGAAAGGCGGTGGGATGAGCTATTTTCTGCCGCACCCCCGCTTATCGAACCGGATAACCGCTAGAAAAAAAGAACGATTTGAGAGGCAGGCTTCTTCCTGCTTCACTACCGTCTCTAATTATTTAATATTGCTCATTTATTCGCAGGGAGACTACTGATACACTTGTCAACCATGAGATCCACCGACGATGATCCGGTGATCGCCTCCTACGACATTGTCCTGACCGACTCAGACATCTCTCGATATGTCTTTCAATACCTCGACCGACCTGCCAAACTCCCCTACAATGCGCGAAGGGGCCAGAAGCCTACCTCACTGCGAATGAAGCCCGGCACCGGCATGGTAGAGATCGAAGTTCCCATCCAGACCCGAGGCACCTACGACGTGAACAAGGGCCTCAAATACGGCGATGCGATGAAAAAGAGTCGCGCCAATCGTGATGGTGGCGCCTTCGGAATGGCTGGTGGCTTCAGCTCTGGAAGTCTGGCCAGTGGTGGAGGTCGAGTCAAGGCCGAGGGAAGCGGCGATATTGAAGTGCTGGACAGTAGGAAGATGGTGGACCCGTCGTCATTGGTCACTACACAAGCGCTTGGAGGCCGCATTAAGCCCCAGGAAGAAGGAGATCCGGTCTACATGCTCGCTACGTTCAAAGGAAGTGAGTGTGCAGTCTTCCGGTGTTTCTGTGATCCGTACGCTAACAGCCATACTCAGAAAATCTGCACCTTTCCCCGGTTTCTGCAGTTGTCCAATTACACCCCCAGCTTCACCATCTCGATGCGCTAGATGAAGCTCCCAAGGGTCGTGGCTCCAAGGGCAAGAAAGATGACGAAGATCGCCCGGCTGAGTCCGAGGCGCGTGCTATTGATGTGAAGATCAAGGGCGCCGAAGATGGAGGCGCCGTCCTTCAGGGAAACCTGGAGCTTCTGAAAAAGATGCAAGAGGAGAAATGGAAGAAATTTGAGTGGGTAGATGCCGAGGTATGTTAGATTCGACAACCCGACCTTGACAGTGAACGATAGCTAATCGAAACTTCTGTTTAGACCGAGGACTCATGGTTCACATATGAAAACTACATGATGAACCCGAACGTTGACGAACTGCCACAACTTGAAGCAACCATCAACAGTGAAGACTATCTTGATGGAATGAGTGCTCCTCGAATTGATCCTGCACGGCCAGAGATGACGGGATGGGCCATGAAGCAGAACCGGCAGAAGCAAAGAGAAGGACGGTCAGACGGCGAGGATGAAGAGGGGTGATACGGGCTATTGAAACAAAACTCCCATTGCATAAGATATCAATAAAGGCGCTCTTCTGGTTCACGAACATATTTGATCTCCGCACAACTTGACCATTGGACGATATATTGCAGATTGTCTTGAATAAATAGCACATGCCTATAAGACCAAAGTCTAGCCCTGGGGTAAAATTTAAATAGTAGCCTCCCTCAAGTTCCCACAGCTCTACTTAGCTTCAATATTTTTACGGTTGCCACTCGTATTGTGATCCGCCAATCGGAACTGCGATTAGATCGGATAAGGTCACGTGAAGTCACGCGTTCCGCGACGCTTTTTTTCCGCTGAATCTCCGTTCGCTCTCGTGCTCAACATCCCTTTTGATTCTCACCCGTTCCTTTCCTTTTCTGTCCTTCTTATCACTCGGGTTGAGGCTGCGGGACGGCATCGGAAACAATCTCGACAGAATTGTCGACCAAGTCTCTGTCTTTTTAACCGGTGGAATCGTTCAGTCGCTTCCCCTGCTTCAGCTGTCGCAGTTGTCCTCATGCTATCCATTTAATCGCCCACCCATCGATTCGCATCCATCTATATTCGTTTAATCCCTGTTATTGAAGCGCTACATGCATCATGTTGTCACGCGTGGCCCGTCAGAAAAATGCCCTCTTTCACCTCCGGAAGGCTAATGCCCATCGGGCATTGGCTGGCTCCTCCATGCTGCGTCTTCATTCCAGTTCCAGTGTTTCGAGCCCGATCCTGAACTCGCAAACTACATCGACTCAGACCCGACACCGACGACCATCTTTCCAGTCACAGCGCAATCTCGCCACAGCAACCGACCAGTCTGTCCTCGACCAGGGATCCTACATGCCCTTGGACGACACCCCCTACTCCGCATCTATGGATATAAAGAGTCCCTTCGACAAGCCGGCTTTCGGCATGACCAACCCTTTTGATGCTTCCTCCCTGGTTATCCTCGATGAGACTCCCCAGTCTCAGCCGAAAGTCCACCGCAAAGTCAGAGGTATTGGCGGCGACCAGGAGGAGATGCTGGCGAACTTCGATATGTCGATGAAAGTTGGCCGGTTTGATCGAGCTGCAGCGTTGCTCAGTCGCTTAGGCTCTAATTTCGCCATCGGCTCTCCTGAGTACTTAGCCCTCCATAACCGTTACCTGAAAGAAATGGTTTCCCATATGATCATCACTCGACAGGAATACATGGTTCTGCCGTTGCAAAAATGGTTCGAGGTGGATATGCCCGCGGCTGGTGTCTTTGCGAACGCCGAGACTTTTGCCGCCATGATTCGCATGGCATTGCGCATGTTCCACGGGGGCAAGCGGGAGAGAGCGGTGCGACGGTATTGGGAACTGGCGAAGAAAGTGGACCTTCACGAGGAACTTCTGGCAGTCGAGGTTCTCACTGATCTGGATCTTGGAGAGCTGTCCAAGGTTTGTGCCCTTCTGATTTAATTGGAAAACTGCATGGATTTTACTAACGCTTGATTTGTAGATCTGTTGGTACGACCTACGTCAACCCTCCCTTGACCACTTCAATCTCGACGATACTACAACACAAGAGCAGGCGATTGCCGTTGAGAACGAAGTTGCGGATGTCCTTGCGGCAGAACAAAAAGGCCTCGGTCTCTCGTCGTTGAAGGAGTCGCTCTCCCTATTCTCAGATAACTCTCAAGTCTCTGTACCGGACAATTTTGAGGGCACCGAGGAAGAGAAGGAATATCTTGTCACCAAGCTCAGACAACAAAGGCTCGAAGCCGATACGATTAAAGCAGCCACTGCTCGCTGGCGCGCCGAGTTCGATGAAAGGACAAAGGCTGGCCTGGACATGATTTCGGGAAAGAGAAACGTCAATGCCGCGATGAGTCAATGGCACACCGATCTTGTGGCCGCTATCAAGGAGGAAATTCAATTTGCCACCAAGGCTGAAACAGAGCCAGTCCGGACTCGTGAAGCAAAGGAACGTCTTGAATACGGCGTGTACCTGCAGTCCTTGGACGCAGAAAAATTATCAGCCATCACAATTTTGGCTGTGATGTCTGTTTTCAGCCGCGGAGGAATGGAGAAGGGAATCAAGCTCTCTACTCTTGCGTCTTTCATTGGCCGTGAGGTCCAGGATGAGTTGATTGCTCAGGCTTACATGAAGAAGAGCGCGAGCTCAGATACTCGACGCACCGAAATGCTCAAGGACATGCTCGCAGGGCGCAAGGGCAAAGACGGCCGACCCCGATGGAGACACTTGGTTGAATCAGTGACCCACGAGGACCCTGAATTGCACTGGGGCCAGCGAACCACAGTCAGAGTTGGAGCAGTGTTGATGAAATTGCTATTTGATGTCGGCAAAGTCACTGTTCCCAACAAAGACGCCAAAGCTGGCGAGGCGAAGATTATCGTGAAACCTGCCTTTTTGCATGCATACGAAATTACATTTGGAAAGCGTCTCGGTCTCATCCACATGCACCCTGAGATTGTCAGAATGGTGGCCAAGGAGCCTCCTGCAGAGCTCATTGGTCGTCATCTTCCCATGGTATGCAAGCCCAAGCCTTGGACGGGCCTCAAGGAAGGCGGATATATGCTCTACCAAAGCAACATCATTCGCACAACACCTGGCGAGTCTTTGCAACCAGCCTATATCAAAGCTGCCTTGGAACAGAATGGCCTTGAAGCAATCCGGGATGGTCTCAATGTGCTCGGAAACACCGGTTGGGTCATCAACAAAGAGGTCTTCGAGGTCATGCTTGAAGCCTGGAACAAGGGCGATGCCCTTGCGAGTCTAGCACCTCTTGAACCAGATCTTCCGGTACCACCCAAGCCTGCCACTGATGCGGGCTATGATGCCGAGAAGAAATGGCAGACTCTCATGCGTGAAATGGAGAATCTTCGGGCAGGATATCACTCAGTGCGATGCTTCCAGAATTTCCAATTAGAAGTCGCGCGAGCTTTCCGTAATGAGACGTTCTATCTGCCTCACAACCTGGATTTCCGTGGACGAGCTTACCCGCTACCTCCTTACCTCAACCAGATGGGAGCTGATAACTCTAGAGGCCTTCTCTTGTTCAGTGAGGCCAAGCCGCTTGGTGTCAGTGGTTTGCGTTGGCTGAAAATTCAAATTTCCAACCTTGCCGGATTTGACAAGGCGAGCATGTCTGAACGTGAACAGTTTGCCATGGACCACCTTGACGATATTCTCGACTCTGCCAACAACGGTCTTAACGGCAAACGGTGGTGGCTGAAGGCCGAAGATCCATGGCAGTGCTTAGCAGCTTGCTGCGAACTCCGCAATGCTTTGCGTTGTGAAGATCCCACTACATACCTCTCTCGCCTGCCCATTCACCAAGATGGTTCTTGCAACGGTCTTCAGCATTACGCTGCTCTAGGCGGTGACCTTGTTGGCGCCCAGCAGGTCAATCTCGAGCCCTCTGATCGGCCGTCCGATGTTTACACTGGTGTCTCCGAATTTGTGAAGATTGCAGTGGAAAAAGATGCGGCCGAGGGTGTCGAGATTGCCAAAGTTCTTAACGGAAAGATCACCCGAAAGGTCGTCAAGCAGACAGTCATGACTAACGTCTATGGTGTGACTTTCATGGGTGCTATGCGCCAAGTCAGGAAGCAGCTGAATGATCACTACCCCGAGCTTGATCCCGAAACGAAAAAGGCTGGTTCTTTGTATATTGCCGGAAAGATCTTCGAGGCCTTGGGATCCATGTTCAACGGAGCCCACGAGATTCAATACTGGCTCGGTGACTGTGCCAGCCGTATCACTCAGAGTTTGACCCCAGACCAAGTCGAGACACTTGCGAACGAGGCATTGCTGCCCAATGGTGACTATGCCCCCGGTGACAGAAGCATTTCCAAGCTTCTTGACCCAGTTAAGAAGTTCCGGTCTACTGTCATCTGGACCACTCCTCTGGGACTCCCAGTTGTCCAGCCTTACCGTACCCGGAAGGCTCGTCGTGTGTCCACTAGTTTACAGGACCTCAATATTGTGGACGTCAACTCTGACGATGTGGTCTCCCGACGCAAGCAGCTGCAGGCATTCCCGCCAAACTTCATCCACTCCCTCGATGCGACACACATGATTATGTCTGCTAATGCCTGCAACAAAGCTGGCCTCGCTTTCTCCGCAGTCCACGATTCTTTCTGGACCCATGCCGGTGATGTCGACAAGATGAACTCAGTTCTTCGTGATGCATTCGTCCAGTTGCACTCTGACGACATCATTGGGCGGCTTGCTTCGGAATTCAAAGTTCGTTATGGCAAGAATCTATTTTTGGGCAAAATTTCGGCCTCCAGCAAACTTGCTCGTGCCATCAGAGAATCGCGCAACAAGAAAGCATACCGATTGAAAAATACGAGACTCTTGGAGCTGATCGACGAGAACCGGCGCCAACAGCTTCTACGATCCGAGGACCCAGCGGAACAGGCTGAAGGCCGTGCTATGGAGACTCCTGCCGCTCTGTTCGAGAAAATGGGCTGCACAGCAGAGGATTTGATCATCTCCAACTCTCTGGGTGAGAATAAAGTTGGTCACATCCCCGAAGATATTGAAGCCGCTGAACGGAGACCTGATGCCGCGGGCATTGACCCCAATGACCCGGCCGTTCAGAGTCTGTTCAATGAAGTTGATTTGATGGATTCGAAGCCAACCCCCAAAGCCGATGCTGAAGGTCTCAACGACTCAGTTGAAGTTACCGAGAAGAAGCCCAAGAAGAGCAGCGGATCGGCGCCTCTCTGGCTTTGGCTACCCATGAGCTTCCGTGACGTGCCTAAGAAGGGCGACTGGGACTTGACTCGGATTCGCCGCAGTGAATACTTCTTTTCTTAAAGATATATCTCCTCTTTCGGAGACCGTTGCACGCATTTGGTTGGAGTTGTTACACTACATTTGGATTCATATTGTCGGGTGGTCAACCGACTGTATATTACGTCTATCCTGGCAGATGGCTGTCAGGACGCATTTTATTTTGCATGTACATTATACGCACGATTTTAGCATCAATAGCGAAAAAGTAAATAATACTCATCATCATACGATTGAATCTCTCAATCTTAATCAGCTTATATTTTATTGGATTGAATTCCAATAGAAACCAAAGGGAAGCGGTAGTTAGTCGCAGGCTGCTGTATATGGACTCCACAGCAGCCGGTAGAGACAAGGGGCTTTATATCCCTTCTCGCTTGCCCACCTCTACTTAACCCGCTTATATCTCAAGTGCTTGTATAGCCGGACCAAAAAAACATTTAAAAAAACCTAAAGAGCTAGATGTGTTTCGGTGCCGCTCGGGAGATTACTCTAATATTCAATCTGGATATTCACACTCTGGAAATCCACTGCCATTCATGGTAGTGGACAATGTAGCAAGGGGTCGAAATATTGACACTCTGGTTGTGTCTGATAAATGAGGTGTGTGAATCGATGTTCATTGTAAAGTAGAGAAAAAATAAGTTCTTGAATCCAATGGATGATAGAGGATTGATTTTGAGGTAATAATATCAATGGTCCGTCCGGTCAAGACCATATTCGAATTATCAAGTACTTCGTCAAGGAACGTATTAAAATCAAGACTCTTTGCTGAACCTCTCGATTGGAAATGATGGAAAAGAGTGAAAGATCTCAAGCCAGAGTTCTCGGCAAGCCATTTCATGTGACATGTTCGACACCACATATGCCGACAGAGGATTACGAAACAAAGGCCACAAAGAGAGACAATGCACCATGTAAAAGTGGGGAACCATCGGGTGAACCTAGCAAACCTGTGCACTTACAGAGACCAGTTCACAACCATCGAGATTCTCGGTTGAAGAAGTCTTTCAGATCGAACTAGCACTCAAGGTTAATAATCTATCAGGTGCTTGATCTAGTGTCTACCAGATAGTCAATCCCTACCCTCGGCTGGCAAGTTATTGGCTTCTGGAAGAAAGAAAATACTCAGACCAACAATTCACCCAGGGACAACGAAAAGAAGTTGGGTTTTACAAATGTAACCGAGATAAAGATTAGAGGTATGATCAGTGCCATATGAACTGTAGAAAAAAATTCAAGTGCCATGAGTGTCTCAATTGAGAGACACGAAACTATAAGTCGATTTAGTCAAAATGGATGCAGTGATGTCTGTACACACATTTTCATTGATCCCCAAACTCCGACTCAAAATAAGCCAATCCTACGTCAACTTACCTTCGTGTTCCTTGCAGGTCTGTATTGTATTAGCTGAAAAAGGCACATGGGCGATAGTTATTTTTTGTGAAAGAGAGGCGGGAGCAAGGGCGCACCAGTCTGATTAATGATAATATAATGAACTAAAGAATGTGCCTGCATATGGGGATATCGACATTCCACATGGAAGTGAAAGTAGCATTTCCACATATACAGTAGCCGATGTGCGTGCTGATCGATCACTCAGTCAGCCCAATTTGGATCACTTTGAGTACACTGAATTAAAAACCTGGAGTAATGACGAAAAATAACGAGTACTATCGGCCCCACTCCAACGAATGTTATCAGGAACTAAAGCAGTCTGTTCCCTCCCTTATCCCTTAAGCAGGTTTCGAGATCTTGCAGGTTTCTGATGTCTTTACCTGACTAGTGATTGGGTAATTCGCCCCTCATGATTCTTGGATGGTTGTTTCTATCCTTGGAATATGCCTGGCCTGTTAGTATGATGACGTCATTTAGAATCATCGGTCCATGGCGAACCCCGTATGCCCATAATCTATATTAATTGGCGAATGCCTTACAATGTATTTGACCAGTCAATCTAATAATTCCACAAAAACTCATCTTACCGAGTCACGATCGTGAGAAAGTATCGTTTAAAAGCAAACAAAACGCGACCTCGTCACTCAAAATGGCGCCTTCAGATTCCAGACCTATGCTCGGGAAGAAAGCCGCACCAGCGGCTGAAGAGGATAGCATTAAAGAACAAAGTCAACGCGATCCCGCCCCGAACACAGCAGAGCATCCAGATTCCAGACCTATGCTAGCGAAAAAGACCCCACTGGCAGCCGAAGAGGAAAGCGTGAAAGAACAAACCCAGAGCGATTCCACTCAGAACAAAACGACTTCTGGGGGAAAATCGGCACTATGAGGCTGGTCAGTGAATGGAGCGAGATTCTCGATGGAGGGGAGCTGCGGGTAGAGAAGGATTTTGATCCAGAACTAAGTTGAATTATTCCTGCTGGGGTGCTTTACAACCATCGTTCTCGGAAAGTAATACTGAGAAGGACAGAGGCAAGCATGCTAGAAGTGGGACGGGCGAACAATACGCATGGTATCTTCGTATTAAATGTATAAGCGTGGTCTTACCCTTGTCAATCAAATTAAATTGTCTATTCCTCTACTGAAATAGAAATTAACGTAATCAGGTGATAGCTGAACTAAAGAACAGTGAAAATGAAGTCAATAAAGATAGTGGAAAAGACACATATTGATGAAAGAATTTTATTATCAATAAGATGAAGATACCAATTTGAACATATTGGGGGCGAAGTAATTGATCGCGTTGATACCTGCGGCCGTAAGCTAAGTTGAGTGACACCGGGATGTGAGACTTAATTAGGAATCGCTGGGTATTTATTAGGAATTTTGAAGCCAAAAACGGCAGTGCAGAGTCTCTGTCTATAGGGAAAGAACAGCTGGAATCGGCTCATGTTCAATGATAACATGTGTAGCTTGGAAACCTGGGGAATCCGGAACCACCCCCCCCGGGAATATTTCCAGCTCGGAGGCTGCCCGACGTAAACAACATATGGAGAAGTGATAGAATGGGAAAGGTGGCATGAGTAGAGTTGGAAAATCTCGGAGCACTGACGGATGACATGGTCAATACCGGAAGGGGGGGGGGGGGGGGTGAAGTGGTGTTTCGGCGCATATTAGTCCAAGGGCGATCTCCGGCGGCCGATAGAGAAATTCGACTTATAAAATTTTCGGACCAGCAGGATCTCAGCCTGTGAACTGATAGCCAGACCAAAAAGAGGTCTCAAAAGGGCCTCCATATTTGTCTTTAGTTGTTTCTTGACATCTTTTTTGGCATCCTTCTTAAACTCTTCTTAGACAACTTTTTGTTTCTTATTCAAAGTGCCCTTCTCGATACCATTCGAATATGTCGAGGGGAATACGGCAAGGCCGCCTTTTTGGAACTACTTACATTATTTACTGGTCCGTCGATATACTATTTGAAGATCTACTCACGTAACCTATGTATTGTAGTGGTGAAACACATGACATAATAGATGCCAGTTGCGGCCTGGGGTGTCATGAATACCCTGAGCGTATGCAATATTCTCTTCATGAAGATAGAGATAGAAAAGATATCTACCCAATTCATTACAGTTTTCACCACATTCTTTGATTCATATTACAGCATTAAGGGTAGTACGCAGCACCTCATTCAGAACAACCTCCGCCAGCTTCTTGCAGAGCCTGAGAGTGGTTGTGTGTATTCTCCTAGTTAGTGTTACCTACTCTGCCGAGCCAGTCTGCCATCGAGCCATCCCCATTCCAGTATACAGCTCGAAAATGGAGCCTAGGAAGGTAAGCCTAAAAGGATTACGAGTCGGATTTTTCTGTCGGCCGTCGTAGCGGTCAGCTTTCGACTGAAAAACTTTTACCAAATCTCAATATGATAAAAGCTAAGCATAGTTGAATTGGCAGTCTAGAAGAGATCGACACAACAGATTTGGAATACATATGCTGTGTTATAGAGAATCTCTGAGAGTTTTGGAAACAGTGAGTGCCAATTGCTAATTTGATCTTGCCGATGAAAATGATCATCAAACATGGCTTAGGAAGGGCCTTTTACTGGCGCGAGTATCCAAATTTGAAAAAAGCAATCACATGGAATATCATGTCCTTTATTCATCTCGACACTTGGAGAGACTGATACCCACAAGCCAAACCACCGTGTTAGCCTCCTTTTGGGTGACCCCTTATTTGCACTGTTTTAATCCTTAGCCACCTGCTGTCATGTCTGACGATATGAGGTCCTAAATTAAAGGCAATTTCAGACTTACCAGATTTCCCGAACAAGTTCCCTGGCCCGGGCAACACAAGAAAGTGCCTCCGTTGCAGGATTGTCCCCTCTGGGAGCACCCAGCTCTCGCTTCCAAGTTGGGTCCTGCATCGGCTGCAGCAAAGGCAGCTAGTGCAAGCAGAGCAATATACAGCTTCATAGTTGAGTATTTGACTTGTAAAGACTTTTTGAGATAATTAAAGGGGGCCGAGAGGCTTGTGTAGAGAAGATGAAGTATTTAGATGTACTCGTGCTGTTGAGGAATGAAGCTCACCATCTTCACAGGCGGTGGGCTTTATATAGACCCATTCCCATTCTAAATAGTTTCCAATACGCATTTGCGAGACTTGGCATACGCATACTTGGAATTGGATGCCTAATTGCTACACCGAAAATACCTCAAGACCATTAATTGGTTTCAAGTTTGAGGTTACATTGCAGAAATTTGATCAGATGACAACTGCAATGCCTCGGAATTGGATAATCTTGAAAGGCAGCTCATAAAAATGCACTTAACCAGCATGGTATTTCCGGCGATCATTCTTGGCGCTTCCTGGATCACGAGTGACCATTTGTCAAGTTTGCCTTGGCGTGTTCGAACCTATGCATGTAAGACTACACGAGTTGGGGCAAAACCCCGAAGTGGCAAAATCCATCTTCTATGCCAAGCGCTATGGTATGTATGCAAGTATGATAAACTAACAATCATATACCTGGGAAGTGCCTATATGATTGAGCAAGTGTATATAAGGCAGACAACCAGATGTCTTTTATTTAAAGTATCATAAGAACAATTTTCAACTTTCTGAAATACCTACTTGAACACAATTTCCAAGCCCCATCCCAAAACTACTACCCACCCATAAATTCCCTCAAGATGCATTTCTACATTGTGACTATTGCAACTATCGTCGGCCTAGCATTTGCGACGCCGATTGCAGTAGACAAAAGAGTGGTTTGTCTTTCAAAAAAGCTGTATTGCGAGATGATCATAAGCTGACACAATTGAACTTTACAGCCGGTCAACAATTGCTTCACCCTCTGCAAAATTGACGGTGGCGTGGGTTTATTCTGCTCGAACAAGATTGGGCTTTGGCTAACAACATCGATTACAACAGGGCGACCAGGAATGCCTCAAGAAATGTTCTGGAAGTTAAGATGCAGCTCAACATCGAGGATGAGAGAGGGAGATTCAGCCTAATCAGTCCACAGATCTCATTCCTGATATTGGCAAATCGTGTGTGGGGTTTTTCTCATGAACACGCGCGTGTAAAGCGAGACATACTGGAATAACAGAGGACCAAGATAGGCCACATTCGTTTATACATGATAATATCAGTCCAGACCTATTGGATTCTTGACTTGTATCGAAATTTCTTATGGTGTTTAGGTGAAAGGTTTTACACCTATGGGTTTGTCAATATTGTCTGCGATGGCAATACGTACAGATTGGTCCTCCATCTTTTTGCTTGGGACCTTCCATATTATTGGCATTAAATCCAGATTCAGACGGAATAGCGTATCTATTTGTCGAATGGTAGTCACAGGAGACCGTTGGGCCAGGATTTTCGTAAGGAAGAACTAGCGTCCTATGCATTGCTAGGCTAGTTTCGCGGACCAGGGCAGAATACGGGAGATCGACGTCTCTGGCTGCATGTCTTGGCAGTCAGCCTGCATAATTAAAGTATGCAGGGAAACGGCAGCTCATGCTATCCAGGCTCTTGGCTTCTTGGCACATGCACAGGGCCAGTCATGATACCATAATATGCTGTCCATGAGCTGACCTCTGCCCGAAAAGAGAAGTATGCGGCGCCACTGCTGCAGTGGAATAGACATAATTGCTTACTGCAAGCTGTAGTTAATTTGTGCCATGGCTATTTTTCGATCTATGATTCCTTAGATTAGGCGCGATTGACTAAAAAGAAGCTCAATAAGAGAGGAGTTGGTTTTCATTATTTGACATTAATAGAGAATTATGATAACTGCTCTGGACTTAAACTCTGTGGAGAAACGCATAAGTAGATAATATAGTAGCATTTGACGTCAATTCTCCGAATTGAACGTGCCTTCTTTTGGACACTATTAAAGCTATATTCGGGCCCCTGTTATGCTATCCTTGTCAGCTGCCAAGAGACTTGAAAGTGTTCCTTTTCCTAAATCAAGACTTTTAGCCCCTTTGAAATACATCGAGTCTTCCTATTTTTGAGTAAAGGGTAGCTATGGAAGGTTGAAGCGCGGGGTGTCTCCGTATTGGGATGATCGGCACGATGCAAGGGGCCAACCACACAAGGGATCGTCATCGGATCACCAACAACGCGTGGTTCGCATGGCCCGCTTCATACCACCTGCATACCACACTAGTCAATAACCAAGAATCTTTCTTACGTTGCTAAGAAATAGAGAAGTTCCAAGTAAAACTCGATGCGACCCTATATCTTGGCTGTGAAACGATTACGAGGAACTTCTATGTGGGAAACGAATCTAGACTATTCAATGGCGATCAGGCGTCCAGTGGCCAAATCAGTCGCCTCTCTGATGACTGTGATTATGTCCAACGGAATGCACTTGTTGACCCAAGAAATGTGACCATTGAGGTTCTAGCAATAGTGGCGGTGTGCTGGGTACCATTCATTGAGAACGTCTCAACACTGAGTACCTATTGGAAACATGCGAAGATATAAATATGACATTCAGCCTTCCAAATTAGCATTCACCAAAAGATTCCGAGTCAACTGATTCATTTCAACTCTCACATCGAATTACTTGAAGCTCTTGATCAATCATGAAGTTTGTTTCTATCCCCTTGGCTCTTGTCCTATCTCTCGCTACCTTCGCGGCAGCGTCACCTACCGAGATGGACAAGAGAAATTGTGTTCAGCTACACTGTTCTGCCGCAAACCCGTCTACTTGTTGCCCCGACAAGTATGGATATTGCAACAAGGATACGGGTTTATGCCATTGTGGAAAGGACTGTTTCTAGTCATTGAAGGTAGGACAGTGCTCGATTTACTCCTATACAAAAACGAAATTAAACAGAGGTATTATAGTAGCATCCCAGCTTGAACAGTCGACATTTGATCAGGATGATTTCAAAGAATGTCTGACTTGACTCCCGATCGCGTTATAACTGTCAATACGGCATGGCTCGGCATACCTCAACATAACGCGCAGTCTCAAGGAGAATTGCAATTTGAGCTGGGATCAGATCAACATGAGCCACTCAGGTCTATGTTAGCGAAGAAAGAAGGTTTTTGGAAGTTATAGTAGCTTGTTTTCATGTACTCATCAAGTTACAAGGATTTTCAATTCGTGGGCTTTCTATCGTAATTATCCAACAGTGTAGAATTTGACTAGCTAGGCTCTTACCCTGGATCAGATATTCTGAGCCACCCTGGATCATTGTTGACCGGAAGGTAATCAAACGCCTCAGCCTCCCCAGTGCTGGGAAATCCGTCGAGGCCCTCGAAAATGTCTTTATCCCACACTGTATCCTCGAATAACAATTGAAGAGTGGGGTCAACTGCCGAAGCCGCTGATTGAGCTTCTCCATTGTCTGACATGGGTTCCAAATTCTTGTATTCGGGTTGACAATTGCCCTGTGACGTAGGATCTGACTGCGATGACTGAGATCTATCCCGTATCCTGTCCAGCACAGCTAGACACCGCATTGCAGCTTTGCTATTTTGACTTAAAGAAGCTAAACAGTCGCGAGATCTTGAAATCGAAGACAGCCAGAGCTCCTGGCTAACCTCTGCTAAGCCCGTAACAATGGGCTGAAGCGGGCGAAGATGATGGATGCTGAGGACAACAGCCGCTTGGAACAGAAAGTAAGTTGCATACCAGCTGAGACTAGTATGTAGAATCTCAGTATTTCCATGGCAGAAGTTAGTGATTTCTTGGATCGTTTCAACGGCTGTGAAATGGCACATGTTTTGGGCCTCTTCTCGGTCTGAAGATAGATTACACATGCGCTGGCTTCCCCACCACAACATCATTCGCAAGTTTTGTTCTTTCCAGATCACGACCGATCTTGGACCACGAAACCACTTTGGAGCCTCATGGTCTGTGAAATAAGCTGGAAGTGATAATTTCCATGCTCTAAACTGGCAGTTGATGGATCGCGAGATCTTGAGGTCACACGAGCTTTTGTTGGAGGATATTAGTTCACTAAAAACCACGTTTCCAATGGAGGCCAGTCGCGCTTGCGCAATTATGGCCGAGTAGACAGTTGGTTGCTCTGTGGTGACAGAGAGGGAAGATTCCAAGGCACAGGCCTGCGACTCGATGTTAGCAAAATAGACATTAATTGTAATGTGCGTTGCTTTCGTACCGAATCGTCAATATTCCGAGGTAGGCGAGTCTCAATGAAGGAGTCGGAGACGGTTAATGGTCTTCCAGTTGTTAAACTGAGACCACTGTCAAAGCAATAAACAATCCACCATACGACTCTTCTCCGCTCATTGAAGAGTGTATCTCGTATTGTCCCAGCAGGTGGTTCGCGATGAAGGCCCAAACCGAGCGCCATGCGATACGCGATTCCGATAAAGTTATACCCCGTATTTGGTCGATCTCGCTTTTGGAGATAGTTTCCCTATTGAGCAGGTATTGCCTCAGTACGAGACGGTGTCTGCTGGGAATACGAAAGAGCTTACCATAAGTAGAAAGGCTTGAACATTCAGAAGTGTCCCTGATTCTAACATACGCATTGACATGCGTGAACGGGCAGCAGTATAATACCCAGATTGCTCTGCCTCGGAGCCTTCTGTCAAGATCCAATGACCGATTGCCATAACAAGAAAGAATAATGGGTGCCAACTAGACCGAGGGTGGATTTGCTGCCGATTCTGATACTTTTCTCGGAATGTTTTCTCGTGTAGAATAGGGTATGATGGGTTATACCATGAAAAATAAGCGTCGATAAGGCCTTCCAAAGTAGCTGTGTTTGCAAGGTGTACTGACAGCGAGGGACTTGCACCTGTTCGGTTAGTGTTAGCAGGCGAAGGCTGCTCTTGTTGATCGATCCGTAAATTGGATTTCTCTGGGATAAGATCTGAGATTGTCCTCAAAATAGTTGTTCCCGAGCTGCTGCCTGTTATTTGCGTTAGTAAAAGCCCCCGAGTGTTTGTTTGCATATTTACCAAGATACCCAGACTCCGTCCTCCCTGTCGGTAAGGACGCCATTCCATCCAGCGGGCTCTTTTGTGTGCCAGACGGTGAGGCTAATGATGCTTCCCTCCACTCAAATCTATCCGATAAAGCAGTACTCTCAACATCCGATTCCAAGTCTTGTGAGTTCACAAAGGATACCGCAGGATCTCCATCCAGGTAACTTGCTGTACCTTCTAAAGCAGCCTCGACATCAACCCCGGGATTAAGCTTGCGGATGATAGACACTAAGCTCATACAGCGAGTTTCTGCGGCATCAAGATTTCTATCTAGAGTGAGCTCACCGCTAGTTGAGCTGCAAATGAAAAGTCTTACTTTCTTGTCAAAGTTGTGCGCGAGGGAGCAGGACCAAACACACAGTGCTTGTTCGTCCGAGCACAATAGGAGCATGGTGCTGATCCAGAGCACTTTTTTCGGGCGTCAGTGATCCTAGAGCATAAGTAGTCTGTCTGTTCAGGTATCACACCTTGCTCTTCCGTTTCTGTCATCGGACATCAGTGAGTCATAGGGCATATTGGATACAGCTTGCCGCTTACCCGGCATTCAGTACACTAATCACGGAGCATAGTCAGTTAAGCTGTTAATGAATGGCGGATCGGAGCATTACCGCTTGACGATTATGAGAGCCTGGTGTTGACCGGCCCGCTTTGGGCATTGTTGATGATTTCGGTCAAATGTCGTCTTGACATGAATAAGTAGTCATAACCTTCGAAACATTCACTGTTGAGACGAAACTATCTTCTTGAGTTCTTGGAATACCTGGCGAATTTTGTTTGACGACAGTGTAGATCCTACCGACGAGTTTGTGGTGGGATGATCTCATCGGACCGCAGACGTCCGACCTTCGAAAGTCCAAAAGGTAATGAACCGGAGTCCCACATGAGCACTCGGCCTTTCGATCCGAGGAAGCTTGAAAGCAAGCTGATGATTCTGAGGCCATAGAAACTTTGTAATGATTTTACTGCAAAATGTTCGGCATGAAAATAACATGGGATGTACCACACGTCCTGCTCGTCATTGACGGCCGGCGCAATGCCTTTCGCAGGAGTTTATTCTGCCTCCAAGGCGGCCATGACCAGCTTGACTTAGGTTCTGCGCTTGGAACTTGAGTCCTTCAACATCAGAGTGATCAATTTGATGACAGGAGCGGTTCGATCAACCTTCCACAGCAACGCCCTCTGCCTTCCAATTCGCTCTATAATGGGGCAAAAGAAATCGTTGAGAAGGCAATGGCTGGTAGCGATGTTGACAACAAAGCCGGCATGCGACGCACTCTACAATATCTTAAAATTCCCCCGACCAGCGGAGAATACAGGAACCAACGAATTAAGCCCGTTTCTTATCTGGGGTGCATCCAGCAGTGTCGGGCTCTCGGCTGTTCAACTAGCTCGGGCTAGTGGGATAAAGGTCGGTAAGCGGGTGAGCCATTTAAGCCAGCTGCGCACCCTAAAACACATAGTAAATGCCAGATGCTATATCAACAACCACGAGTTCTTTTTACTCGATTATTGGTGTACTAACTTTGAGTAGAGTATCATCTTGTGATGGCGGGTTACTTGTGAGCTCCGTACCAATTTGCGTCAATGCATTCCGATATTATTAATCACGGTTGTGATCCTCATCCACTTGGCATTGTTTTAAGTTAGTTAACCACCTGGTCTTAGTAATGACCGGCGTTTGCATTTTCACCGACTTTATGTCCGGGCTTAACAATCAGCCTCGATATCTAGAGTCTGGTGGGGGGTATCACAATTATAAATATTTGAAATGGAGACAGTATCTCGGTTTATAACTTCAAATAAGTTGAAACGATCCTTTCAGATTATGCCCCTCACTCATCAAAATGTCCACCCGCCCTCTTGCTCTAATTACCGGTGCCAACCAAGGGATCGGTCTCGCCGTAGCCCAAAGCCTCGCCAGAGACCATTCCTTTCGCGTGCTCATTGGCTGCCGTAACATCGACGCCGGTGAAAAGGCAGCATCTGAGCTTCGCAGTGACGGCCACGAAGCCTCGGCCATTGAACTTGATCTCACCTCTTCGGACTCCATCCAGGCTGCAATTTCCCGGATCGAAAAGGATCACGGCTACTTGGACGTCTTGATCAACAATGCTGGCATCCTCATTGATGTCGATACTTCACTTAGTACCTGGGATCTATTCCAGAGGACTTTTTCCACCAATGTCATCGGCCCAGCTACTCTCACAGAGGGTCTGCTTCCCTTGCTGCGCAAAGCCGAGGTAGGGCCTCCACGCCTTGTTTTTGTCAGCAGTATCATGGGCAGTCTGGGGGTATCGACAGACGAGACTATGCCTTGGTACAACATTGATTACAAGGCCTATGACGCAAGCAAGGCGGCCGTCAATATGCTGACAATCAACTACAACCGCATTTTGGCGGACACGGCTGCACGTGTCAACTCAGCTTGCCCTGGGCTTGTCAGGACGCAGCTGACCGGGTACATGGAAGGCGCAACAACTACAGACCTTGGAGCTAAGCGTATTGTTGAGTTGGCTACTCTGGGGCCTGATGGGCCGACGTGTACTTTCAGCAATCTCCAGGGACCCATTGCTTGGTAGATTTGATATAACAGAGAGAAGGAAAGAGGGATTGATCATTATCATGTTTATGTAACGTGGTTCACAAGCGAGTGACGCGCCCAAGCGAGTGACGCACCCACCCAAATTTTCTACACTTTTATGCATATTAATCAACCACAACGCCTTTATATTGATTAATCTCTAGCTTTACAGGCATTCCTTCTATGTCCGATCACTCCGCAATTAGTGCATTGAGGTGGACGACGCGTCTTCGGTGCTGGTGTGTCCCGCGGTAGTAGGCTTAGTGGAGCTAGTATTACCTGAGGGGGCTCTTTATGAGCTTCCTCGAGCTCTAATGCTTCTCGTACGGATAGACCGTTATCGTGGGCTATCCATCTATTCTTGCGAGCACGTTTTTGCTTTTGCGTAGCGTTTGCGGCACGTAGTTGCTTATTTTCTTGCTCAAGAAGGATACCGTTTTGCATTGCGATCTGATAGCCTTTGATAAGCTGGTTTAACGCGGTTTGCGAAGGCGATAGCGGGCTTTTTTGAGCGTCGCTTTAAGAAAGCTTTAATTGAGGATGCTTGCTTCAAAAGCTCGTCGACGTTCGCGGGCGTATGTGGGTAAAACGCGCTTGATTGACTACCGCGGCTTATAGGAGGTGTCGGTGTCCGAAGTTGAATATTTAGCTTTGATAGCACTTATTGAGGATTAATTGGCACTAGTCCTACTACTCGGAAGCTATTTTGTATTGTAGTTGGTTTATAGGCGTCGACGCGAGCTTATGGGTATGTGAAAAGGAAGTCAAGTTTGTCGATATGGTTAATCCCGAGCCGCATCTTTTGGTCGATTAAACTGCCGTACGAACGCTTTAATATAGCGAAACATCCGATATCAAGAGGCTGAAGTAGATACGAGGAATGCGGCGGTATATAGATCGGAATAATATTATAATCCGCGTAGATTTGATCGAACTCTGGCGTTAGATGACTTCCGTGTCCGTTAAGGACTAGAAGGCGATATCGTCCACGCGTACGATGATTTGTTGACGGAATAAACTGTTTTTGAAGCCAGCGAAGGCCTATCTCGTCGGTTGTCCATCCATTTACACTGACTTCGAAGCGCCAGTCGGGTGGAAGGTCTTTAAACCATACTTGATTATATAGCTTGCCTTTAAAGATAAGCGTTGGTGGAAGCGCCCACCCCGAAGCGTTTATTGACTCAATCGCAGTCACTCACTCGCGGTTTCCTGGCTATAAAACTGATCTCCGACCGTAGTATTCTGATCGAGTGATCACTTTTTGGGCCGTACAGAGGCCCATCGCGAAGCTAGTCTCATCAAAATTATAGATATCGTCTGGTAGGATACCGTATTGCTGAATTGTGGCTTGTACGAGGTCAAACCACGCTCGAATGATCTTTGGATCCTCTTGTTCTGCTCGCTGATAATTATATCGTCGGGAAAAGCGAGATTTAAGTTCTGGGCGTCATTTAATAAAGTTATATACCCAATTTTTGCTAACAGTCTGGATGGGGGTAGAACCGCGCGTTACAAGGAGAATATTCGCCATATCTCGTACATGAGCTTGTGTAGGGGCTGCTCCGCGTAGATCGAGCGATAGAATCCGTTTTTGAAGCGTCTCTTCTTCAATATCTGTCAGTTTAAGACTATTTGCGCGAGTGTCAGCGCGATTTGTAGTACCGCGTAGTCGACGGCGGAGCGTAGCTTCAGGCACATTAAAACGACGTGCCGTCTCGCGTATAGAACTGATTTCTTTATTCTGAATAGCCTGTATAGCAATTGATATACGGCCCTCTTGCTGGATAGAATCTTGGCTTGATCTGACGCGAATTGGAGGCATGGTGCTTGATAGAAGATGAATGGACGCGCGGAGACGCGAAAAAATGGGTGGGTGCGTCACTCGCTTGGGCGCGTCACTCGCTTGTGAACCACGTTATCATAAGATTATTACGTAATTAATCCTCTTTAGTTATTGTTGGATGTCCATAATAGCATGGCAAGGGCTTTGCTCGCAATGAGATGAAAAGAATCGACCCCCGTCCCCTCCCCCAAAATAATCTTAATTTTTTAAAGTAAGATTAAAGGCTACTATTCCGAGACAAATCTAGTGTTTTCTTCGCATGGGTCACCGTCTCAGCTGTCCGAAAAGGAAACTCTTCTCAAAATCTCTATTAGAATGATTATTCAGACTTTAAGGGGTTATCTCTACAAAAACCTAAATCGCTTGCCCCGGGGTGGGGGGCAAAGTTCTCGACGGAATGAAAACCCATTCCGACTGAAAGACGCGCATAGACCGGCAAAATATGGAACACATCAACAGAACTTTCTCAAGAGCTTAATTCAAAGATATGAAACGAGGATACAAGTTTCAGTGAGAATATCTTTCTTCATCAAATATGTAGCCAAAAACTTCAATCCTTCTCATTCACACATTCGCTTTAGTCTGATTCTTCAACTTCTCTTCCATCACATTTAGTCCAACTGATTTTTTCATGGCCCTATCCAAAAAGCCAATCGGTAAAAGTGAAGCCAAGCGGATCAACGCCGAGTATGTACCACTCCATACCGAATAGGGCGGGCGGTTCTTACTGAGGCTTCGAACAACCTGAGCGGCCCAAATTTCAGGACCAAGTTTGGTCTACATTAAGCATATCCCGATCGAGTTTCACGGTTCATTGATCAGATCGTGGTTTATCTAAAATACAATAGCACCACCATCAATGACAATATCTGAACCATTCATGTATGTCCCTGCAGTACTGGCAAGAAGAACAATTGCCCCCGTCAGCTCAGATGGGCTGCCCATTCTCCCACTAGGATTCCGCTCGGCCCATATCTTCCTGTGCAATGCGATTCCATCACCCTCGTTTAAGACAGTGTCCATATATCCAGGGCTCACACTATTGGTCCGGATACCGTAGCGAGCCCATTCTGCCGCAAGACAGCTCTTGAGCATGAGAAGAGCAGACTTGCTCACATTGTAAGCCACTTGTGGCTGCGGATAGTTGACGCGGTGTGCCGAGATCGACGCGACAAAAGTAATCGAGCCTCCATTTCCTTTCTTCACCATCTCACGTGCTGCTGCTTGGGCGCAAATGAAGGATCCGGTGGTGTTAATGTCCAAAACTTTGCGCCACTGGGACACGGGCATGTCGAGTGTTTCCACGCAGCCAACAACACCTACGAAGCAGACAAGTGTATCGATCGATCCAAGAACGCGCACCGTTTTCTCCATGGCTTCCTTGACGGTTTCTTCATCTGTGACATCGACCTTTTGGACATGGATTTTGGCGTCAGGAAATTTGGTTTTCATTCGGGCAATGTCTTTTTGACAGTTATCCGGGTTGATGTCGAAGATCATGAGGCCCTGAAGGCCGTGCTCAAGGAGAGCATCGCAAGAGTGCAGACCCAGGGTCCCGGCACCTCCGGCGAGAACAGCATTTCCCTGAACATGGAATCGTTTCTGAGCACCAACTGCAGCGTCGGACTCGATGTCGAAAGCGGGCATTGGGGTCATCGAAGAAGCGCTGCCATCACTGAGAACCATCGAAGGTACGACGCGTGATGTAAGAGCCTCGCGCCCTGGTAGCGTAGGAGACTCCATGGTTGCGGTGTTCGTCAATACAGATCGATCAGAGGGAAGATTTTGGAAAGCCAAAGAGCAGACGGATCTAATAAATGCAAGTTAAGTCATCGACACTCTAGCGCTTCAGCTCGATTTGTTCCACGTCGATGTTTTGGGTCCTTTTACTGAGGGATCGGTCAACTGTATTCCGGAGCAGAGTTGACAATCGTCCAAACGTAGGGAGAGTTTTATTTGTGCCCTGCCAGTGTGACGCCACTGACTACTTCGTTTAAGGTAGCGCCCCCGCTTCACTTACCATTGGAGACCTTGAATTTTCTTTCCAGCAATGATTTAATTTTCTCATTCACGGAGCCTAGATCAACTGAGTCAGTTAGTATACATACACGGAACATGGCGGGGTAAACGTGGTGAGCGGGGCCTAATAGTGTCGGGCGACAAGGCGCCGATGAGCGGGGTTGGAGAGGACTTACCTCAGGAACGAAGAGTATCGACTTTTCCTGTGCTCCAAAGGCGTAGGACTGAACTACTAAATTACACAAATTGAACTCTCGCCAGCTATCGTTGAATATCAATGAGACTTTTAAAGTAAAGGTAGCCTTTCATCCATTGCAAAGCACGGTCTTGCGACCTTGGCCAATTCCCCAAGCTCGGTTAAACTAATTGCATAATATAACTAATTTTACCCGTCGGTCAACGAAGCAACCGAAGACTATAGTGAGTGAAAATATCACAAAATTCTCAAATGACAGACTTTTAGCATTCAAAGAGCAAGCTAGAAGCTCAACCAGTATCCTATATCCCACAAAACAGTCTACCTAGTACTAAGACCACATTAATTTACCGAGACGTGCTACCTTCGGGTGACAGACCACCGTAGAGAAGTGGGTCAGCCAGCCCAGTCCCGCAGCCGGTTCTTTATAAAGAGATCATTGCAGATTCAAACTCATCTACTACCAAAGTCACGCCGCCTCTGTTTCACTTCTCTTCAACATGTCTATGTCAATTCAAGACGCCGGCCAGGTCCGAGATGGATTCCCCCGCCCATTCCCCAACACCCCTTCCAATGTTTTGGATCAGCTTCGCATGGCTGGCAAGGTGGTAGTTGTCACTGGTGCAGCTGATGGAATCGGCCTAGCTGTGACGGAGGCTATGGCCGAGGCCGGTGCTAACGTTGTCTTGTGGTATAACTCGTATGTGATGATGACATGATGTTAAATGAACATGAGAGGGAAGCTCACGCTTTTCTTTTTTACAGAAACACAGCTGCTGTTGATAAGTCCCAGGATCTGGCAGAGACTCACAACGTGAAGAGTGCTGCTTATCAAGTTGATGGTATGCGAAGCAGGTTATCTGACCCAAATGGCAAAATACTCATTATTGATCTGCAGTTTCCGAGTCCGATCAAGTTTCCGAGACGATTAAAAAGGTTGTTGAACAGTTTGGCAAAATTGATGTATTTGTTGCCAATGCAGGTGAGAATGATATTCTCCTTCAGAGAGAGTTACCATTGCTAACATTAATCAAGGCATGGCTATTTCAAAGCCCATCCTGGAACAGACATTGCCAGAGTATAAGAAACAGATGTCCGTCAATGGTAAGCACTTTATGCTGGGCCAGGATTGAAGATTTCGATACTAACCCATTTCAGTGGATGGAATTGTTTACTGCTCCAAGTATGTTGGCGAGGTATTCCACCGCCAGGGCTTCGGAAATCTCATCATCACCTCAAGCATGAGCGGCCACGTCGTTAATGTTCCCGCCGACCAGCCAGTCTATAATGCCACGAAAGCATATGTGACTCACTTTGGAAAATCACTTGCTCGCGAGTGGCGGGAGTTCGCTCGCGTTAACATCGTCTCCCCAGGCTTCTTCGATACTAAGATGGGCGCTAGTCCTCTGTGCATCAATGAGGCATACCGCATGTCGCCTATGGGACGCCAGGGACACACGAAGGAAATTAAGGGACTTTATCTTTACCTTGCTAGTGATGCTTCTACCTACATGACTGGAAGTGATGTTCTTATTGACGGAGGCTATGTTTTGCCTTGAGAGTATGTTTCGAATTTTGAAGAAAATATAATTGAATAGACTTACGTACGGCAGAAAGCCCGAACAAGGAGATAAATTAAAGAGGACTAAGATCTGTGTTCTTTTGGTCCTTCTCATCCTCTCCCTAGAAGGTCCTTGTAAGGATCGGAGAGAGAGAGCTTTGGACATGTGTCTTAGGAGGGCGAATGCGAATCACGCTTCATTCACCAGCTGGACCGTGCTCAGTCATCCCAGTGCTGAGAGGAGTGAGAGACAAAAGATAAGTAAGAGGGCAAGTTGGATATTGCTAGAGCACAGCCAAGGCAGGGGCCACCGTAGCCTCCTCAGTGATGCTATACCGCCTTTCCCAAGGCTAGAGAATGTATTGACAATACATATCCTGAAGCTTTGGATAAAAGTAAATTTTAAATGAAAAACGCTATTCTCATTGGCCTCACAAAACCGCCATAACCCAGCCTTCACAGCAGCATCCCTAACCGAAGCAAGCTCTTCATCACGCACAGCACGATTGATCTCAGCGTACCGAACCTCCTCAGGTGCATCGCCCTCTCCAAGGCGTACTCGCCTCGTCACTCGCCTTTTTTTGCCAACATATGCATCAGGATGATATTGCTCCATAATGTGCACATATAGATCACGGGACACGTTCTCCGCAAGCCAGCGTACGATCTCTCTCCCCTCATCCTCCTTACCAGGCATAACTAGATGACGAAGCAAAACTCTTTTCTTTGCAATACCATCAGAGGTGAATGCGAGGTCCCCTACTTGGCGATGCATTTCTTTTATGCTCTCCATCGCCGTGGAGGTGTAATCGTCTGCTTTGAGTAGTCGCTTCGATGTACTACTCCGCCATACCTTGAAATCAGGGAGATATATGTCGACCAGACCGTCAAGTAGCTTTAATGAATCCAGAGAGTCAAAGGAAGATGTGTTGTATATGATCGGTATACGTAGTCCCATGTCCCTAGCAGCTAGGATTGAAAGAGCGACCTGCGGGACGACGTGTTCAGGCGTGACAAGATTGATATTGTGAACATTGCCAACGGTTTGTAATTTTATGAACCACTCGCCGAGCTCTTCGGGAGTGAGATCGAATCCGTTGCGTTGGTGCGCGATATCCTAATTGTGAGGTTAGCTGTAGAGCTTCAAGTCCACCGGATGGCGCACGTGATTCTGGCAGCGTACACAGCGAAGATTGCATCCAGAGAAGAACACAGATCCACTGCCATAAAGCCCCTGGATACATGGCTCTTCTCCGCGATGCGGCGCAAATGGTGGATTCGACTTGGCCATGCACAAGGACCATTGCTGACGGTTTCTTTTGAAGCTAGAAAAGAAATTGAGGATGCAGAGAATATGTATTCAAATAGAGGGTATTCGTATGTGCTAAATAAAAATCAACAAGAAGTATCTGCACTCCTCCGCGCCTTGGGTATGTCCATCCAGTGCCAAAATTAGTATACAAAAGAACAAGAGTAGGCAGGAGTATGAAGCCCTGACCAGCATCTCATACTCATCGGACAGTAAATCAAAGAGCTAGGCCACTGCCATCACCACTCCAACGGTAAAGAGCGAGCACCTCGCGTCTACGTTGCTGTTGTTCACCGAAGTCTTCGGGAACGCGGCCACGAACTTGAGCAAGAGCCGACCGCATCACTTTTCGGAATGTTCTCTGGAAGAATGAAAGTCAGTAATCGGATCTATTCTGTGGTAGAAGATGAGGTCATACCTGGTATTCGGTATTGAGAGTCACGACACACACCTCGTGCGCTCGCACGATTGTCTCACAAGCCCTCACAACACTTGGACTTGCGTCCCCTTGCAACTTGTCTGCCGTCAGGAGCAATAAGAAACTTCCCTGCAAAAGGTAGATCCCAAAGAAGAAGGGCATGAAACTCAGGTCTGGGTCAAAATCAAGGATATCGGCAGCTGCCTCGGCAGCGCTGACAGCATGACCCATTGCTAAAATAAATGATTCAGAGGAAATCCAGAGGTCGTTGTCATCGAGTAGGTTGATCGGGTCCCATTTACCAGCGAGTAGGATGTGCAGAACGTGCATTATGTGGGTGCCATAGGCAACGACCATCTTCGTATGAACGATGTTTTCGCTCGCGTGAGAGCCAACCGTACTACTTGAGCGGCCAGAGGGACTGACATGGTTGATGTGAGCTCCATCCATTGCCGTGTCATTGTCACCAGGTCCAAGTGCCAGGGAACTAGTGTAGCGAGCCTCGAACTCTTTCAGGCTTTGCGCATAGACATCGAGCTGGCGGGTGATCTCCATAGCTTGGATCTCCCATTCTCCGCTGTTGCGGAAATGAAGGCCAAATCGTGGATGATTTCGGGAATGTTGCAAATCCACGATTTCTCCGAGGATGGCCATAAGCGGCAAGAAATAGCCGAACATGCTATGGCTGGTGCATTCGAATGCTGGGCCAGCACGTCGGTAGCCAGCAGCTGAAAAATCGCCTGTCTGCCAGAGATCATCATTCATCGGCTGCAAAAGGCTTTCGCACTCCTTATCCAGCAAAGTTAATGGGCGGTTGTAGCAGAGCGCCAAGTGGCGATCCATCGCATATAGTAACCACCAAATGCGTCGGCGCTCCTCTCGCTCCTCTTCTGTCAAATTCACCGCCGAGTTTCCAGGGCCAGAACCCATGGAATTCAGAAGTGATGGCGCTTGTCTCTTGTTTCCATTCAAGCCCATCTCCGATTCACCCTCCAATTCACCATCTTGACGGTTCGTGTTGGATGGCAATTCGCGACCGAGTTTGAGCTCTCGCGAGAGTGACCACGCTGCAGTCCACCAGCGCATACTAGCTCCCTTGTATTCACTTGCCGAGACAACAGTCGCCAAATGGACGTATGTCGCAACGTCATCGACGGCCCCAGTTGCGCTACTCTGTGCGCCTAGCTGATCCATCGAGACACCAAAGCCTCCAAGGGCCACGCCGTTGATGACCATGTTTGCGGGGTAATTTGGTGACGCTTCTCCAGAGGCAGGGCCGTGTATGAGTGGTCGAAGCAACCCAATCGTGAGCTCAAGTAGCTTTTGGCATACCCGCCCTCGTGCAGACGGAGGCGACGTTAAGAATGCAGCCTCACTCGTCTGTGCCGCTACCCAGAGCATGCTAGCCAAAAGACCAGGACTGCATTGTCTTGGTTTCGTTGGATGGAGAAATGATTGTTTGCGGAAGACGAATCCAACAACATATGGTGACAAGGGAGATATATGCGAGGATGAGGAGCTGGTGAAGTAGACATCCAAGAGATCGCAAGCAAGGGATTGGGGAATTATAGACGCAATATGGGGAAGAACCGGTTGCAGGACGGGGTATCGTAAAGAGCTAGAGAAAGGAGCCATGCTGAAAGATGGGAAATTCGCTGGAGAGGGAGACGGAAGAGGGAGCCAGCTGGGCGACTGGGCTGGAGGGGTGAATCCCAGGAACGATGCCGATGGGTTTTCTCCAGAGCCGCCCAAGCGGAATTGGTTCATTGAAGCCGAGTTTGCTTCCTGCGAGTTCATCAAAGGGTATGCGTTATCGTTATACCCCGACCCAAATCCTTGAGATTGTAGCATTGCAGATGGAGATCGAGGATGGCCATTCGAATGCTGCATTATATTCATGGAGCGGAGATCGGGAACAGACATCGGGGGCCGGTTGGTGTCAGGAACGCTCCCATAGTTCATAGTCATTCCATCCATGCTGGAACCAACGGCCTGCTGCGAATGAACGGGCTCTGGATGTTGATTTTGCATTCTGCCGACTCCTGGGTTACGTAAATGTGGTTGGGCTGAATCGGACAGTGTCCGGGCAGCATCGAAGGCCGAATCATAGGAACCAACTTCTTGCGTATTTTGTCCATTTGGCGATTCAATTTGTCCAGATGCACTGTCGTTGACGCCTCTGTCGCTGCCGGAACTGGTAGCGGTTACTCCCGCAAGATCCTTTTTGGAGGCCTTCCCGCGTTTCTTGCGCTGCCGGGCATATTCGCAGCTAAGTCCAAATTCTAGAGAATATAAGCGACACAGGAAGATAAATATGTAGGGCAAGGTTGCCTACCAACGCAATGCGCACATGGTTGTTGCCCATCGCATTTCGTGCGTAACTGATTGCACTGATCGCAAGCTCGGCTAATTCTCCGGCGTACTGGAGTGGACGAAGAGTCCTTCCGAATGGCCGAGCGCGCTTCGGCTTGGGGGTCTCGTTGCTGTTTAGGGCCCTTTAAACCATCTGATGAGCCATTTTGTTCGGTATATAGGTGATGAACTTGTGATTGTAAGGGCTCGGCATCGATGAGGGGTTTGCTGTCAGGATCGATCGGAGGATTGGACGACGCCCCAGCTTGACGAGCCAGCTGCAGCTGCTCGAGCGCATACTGGGAGCCTTCTGCGAGTGTGTCCAGTCCGGGCGTTTGAGACTGGGACATTCGATTGGGTTGCGACCGGGCCGAGAAAAGTGAATAGGAACTGCCAAAGGATTGGAGGGAGCCCGTCGACATGCTTCTCCGCGGAGTGTGAGCTACCGCGACATGCAGACCAGTAAGATAGGATGACCTGAGATCGCGTAGATCCGAAGGAACAATGGGCGAAAATTGAATCGCGTCAGAGACCGAGCGACATTGCCGAGTGGTGTCAGAAGAAAGTACCCCAGACCGCAGTGGAGGCGATCCGTTTTTTGCCCGAACCCGAGCCCCGAGAGCTTATTCGGCAAGCCCGTTCGGTAGAGCACCAAGTTTGGCAGGAAAGGGTTTTCAGAAGTTCAATGGGATTTTATAGAAGAATGCAGGAAGGGAAATGACCCTTGATGATGCGCGACGGGCAAATCTGGAGAAGGCGGGGAAGCGGCACGTGGTGAACGTTGACATTCAGTGGTCAGATTATCAGGCCTGACTACGTAAATGGGTCTACGCTTTAATTTGCCCTAAGGAGTCACTTCCGTCCCCTTTCAGCTTATGGTGCTCGGTTCTTTACTCTCGAGTCTTGCAGTCGGCAAGATCTGCGCCTCGCTTATGCCGTTAGCTCGAACTCGGCAGAGCGGCATTGTGATCTATAGATGGCCCCATCTCCACCATACCTACTGGACCCTTCTCAAGGAAGTCATAGAAAGGCTAGATTGACTTCATCTTCTCATAATTCAATACCTCGAGTGTTGCCTTCCCGAGAGGGCCAAGGATAGATAATTTTGGGTAAATCTTGAAACAGCTTCAGATGTGCCTATGTAACCCTGTCAGGGGGTCGGCCAAAAGTCCCGATCGGAAGGCTAGCCCTAGCAACTTGGATGTGAATGATTTGGATGATTTGAAAAGTCGACTGATGCTGGATAAAATCCATGCGGGCGTGAATGGATACTTTGTGCTCTAGAATAGAGAGCACTTCGGAAATACAAGAGCGATCGTCAGTGACGGACAGGAATGTTCCTGTACTTGCATCTTCGTATGATCAACAGAGAAGAGCCAAAATCGGTCCTGGAGTCTTCAGTCTAACCCCGATCCCGGCTGTATCTAGCATTTTGCCTAAATCCGGGTACGTGGGGCCTGGGGTAAACCTGCATCTAGGGTCTATTCTCGTTCCTGGACTCGGCATGTGGGGAAGACAACTCTAGAAAGTCCTGTCATCCATTAGAGATTGACGTATTCACTATGAAGAGAATAGCATCTAGATTTGCTTGCATAGATGTTTGGGTACATCCAGACCAGATCAATGTACCCGGTAGATACGGGGATGCCCCTCACTCGATAAAAAGCGGAGTCACCCGGTCACCACTTGTCTTCTTCAACTCTCAACAAGATGCCAGCCGATCAAAAATCCATCAAGGCCATCCTCGATACCATCGCCCTTCGCTACCGTGGACCGGGCGGTGCAATCGCTGTCCTAAAGGATGGCGAGGTTGTTGGTCAACGTATCTGGGGATGGGCAGACATGGATGAGCGGATTCCCCTGACAGCTCAAATCCAAATGCCTATCTGCTCTATCACCAAACAATTCGTCTGTGCCCTGCTCATTGATCTTGAGCGCAACCCGACGCCAGCAATGGCTGCCAAGGGCGATGTTCAGAAGCAATTCTCCGTCGCTCTTGGTGAAATTTTGCAGCCTGAGATTCTCAAGGACAGCGGATTGACTATCCAGAACCTGGTCGATATGCAATCCGGCTTGCGTGACTACTGGGCCATGACCACTCTCTGGGGTGCTAAGCCCGAAGACGAATTCCTGGTAGAACGCGACGGGCCTCCGGCGATGGAACGCACGAAGTCTTTCCACTTCAAGCCCGGGACGGAATACTCATACTCCAATATCAACTTCTACGTGGTTGCGCGAGTCATCGAGCGAGTCACCGGGGAGCCGCTCGATAGGCTGTTGAAGGAACGCCTTCTCGGTCCGGCTGGAATGGAAACTGCGTTCCTATGCGCTAACACCGCACACCACCCTTCTCCCTGTGTTGGGTACGAAGGAAATGAGATAAATGGATACTATGCTGCAGTGAACCGGATGGAATGGGCTGGTGATGCTGGGTTAGTAGCTTCTCTTGATGATATGATCGCCTGGGAAAAGCACCTAGAGAAGAGTTTCGCAGACCCCCAAAGCTGGTATCAGATCATCTACGAACCGCAGACGTACACAGATGGCAATATTGCTAAATATCATTATGGAATGGCGCATATTGACATTGACGGTGTGGATTCGATTGGTCATGGTGGTGCGCTTCGTGGATACCGTCTTCACCGACGCCACGCACCACACGAGCATCTGTCAGTTGTTGTTTTGTTCAACCACGAGGCTGATGCATCGGCGGCCGTTGACGACGTCTTGCGCGGTATTTTGGACAAACCCAAGGTCGAGAGTACCCCTATTGCAGCAAGCGCGGATTGGGCTGGTATCTTCCTCGACCAGGATACCCAGCTTAGCGTCACTGTGGCCAAGGGGTCGCGGGAAGGAGACGTCCTTATAACTTATGCGCGCCATCATGAAACAATCAGGTTGACTGATGCTACGCATGGGAAATCTAGTTCTATGACAGCGACTATCGATGGAGATAACCTACGCATCCATCGTGTTGTAGAGAACCGCAAGCTGAACGCCAAACGTCTGATCAAAGACGAATCTTCCGCCAAAAATACACCTCTTCAGGGTCAATATCAATGCGCAGAGGCTCAATCTACGTTCCACTGCACTGGTGACTTAGGAATGCTGTACGGATCCTTCGATGGATACCTTGGCCAAGGACCCGCGACCCCTATGCGATACCTGGCCGGTGATGCCTGGGCTCTGACTTGCCCTCGCGGTCTAGATGCACCTGCTCCGGGTGACTGGACCATGGTGCTTCAGCGTGATGAAAGCGGGTCTGTCGTCGGATTCAAGGTTGGATGCTGGCTAGCCCGAGGACTCGATTTTGTGAAGAAATAGAGCATATGTAGAGGGGGGAGGGTCTCCTATGTCGAGCCTAATCTCGAGCCTAATCTCAAATCTGATGAGTTGAGATACGTGGTTAACTTATTCAAGAGCCACCCAGCGGTTTTTTTTATCCATTCACGTGTCTTCTCATATGCAGGGAACCCCCATTTTACCATTCATTCCGATGCCGCCATCATAGACGCGGTGGGTATCTTTTCAGCTATGACTACCAAACATTGGGTGTAGCGTAGACAATAAAGCCATAATCTCATCTGGGCCATATTTTTCCACAAGATTTTCCCACGATGGTCCTGTAAAATTAGTTGAAATCGATTCTTAAGGGGTTGAAAAATATCCCGGCCCACTACAGGTCGGCCTTCTCCACCCAAGTATTGATGGCGCGCCTCCCGCAGTCCCCACCATTGAAAGGGACGGTAACCTAGAGCCTCGACCTGCTGAGATATAATATCGCCTTCTTCCGAAGCTAGTCCTCAAAAAGCAGCCGCTGTCCCTGGATAGCCTATATGGCACACATCATAGACCACACATCGCAATAGAACGATAATAGCCTTTGTGGTTCGAAAAATATTTCAGGTGCTGCATAAAGACGAGTGATTCGGCAGTTTAACACCATCTAGACCCTGTGGGGGTCTGTTGGAGATTCATTTGATCCATCCACCTTAAATGGGCCCAGGAAGGTTGGAATCATCGCACGCCCTAGATCGCAACCATTAGAGGAGTATGCCAGGGGTTTCAATATGTCGCCTTTGTCACTTCTTGTGTCAGCTCGGCCAACCTTCACTGCTGCATAATGTCGTATTCGCTCGTCGTTTGCAAGCCATATTGTGGAGAATGTCCCGTAGCCAAGCTTGTGAACAACCCGGTACTTGTCTTTCAGGGTGTCGCCTATGAGGACTGGTTGAAAGCCGCCTGGTCGATAAAATTTATAGTTAGTCTAAGGTAGTCCTACTCATATTATTGATAAACGTCGTCCTGGGAAGTCGTGGGGCTGTGTCTCGTTTGACTGCGGGATATAGATATATTGAACGAGACTTTTGGAACTTTTGGAACAGTTGACGGGACTCTTCGTGATTGTACGGGAAAGATACCAACTTGACAAGGATTCCTCTTAGCCTCATCTTTCCGGCACCGTTTTCTTTGGTACGTCTAGACATACAGAATGACAAAAGAATCAATAGGAATTCTGAGTTGTTATCTTTGAATGATGAAATGTATTCCGAAATGCTAAAAGAAGATATGGTGCCGTTCAAACCCCAAAGGTCCACTTCAATCGCTCGTAAACCAAGAAACTAGTCGCAACCATCGGCACAACTTTAATATACCCAATAGTTAACCCGACCCAGAATCCTCGAAATCCATTCTCTGCCCAGATTTTATAACAGGTGCTAACAATCCCAAGATTATGGCCACCGTGCATAACATTACCTACTTGCATGCGACGACGGATGACCTCGAAGGGGTATGAGGTTGTTTGGGCAATCACCCCGGCGAGGGCACCCGCCAGTAGCTCAGCAGAAAGGACAAGCTGGGGTCTTTCTGAGAGTGTGTAGCTCCGGCGGTTTGCTCGCGACTTCACAGCTGATTGTGGGATGATTGTGTACGGTGCAAGTGACGGGTGGCGAAGCCAATCGCCCACGATATCATGGATGAAAAAAGACATCCCTGCATAAGGCAGCATCCCGAGTAGCGTCGGGCTAAAGCCACGATAGAAATTGGCTAAGCCGAACTGCGGAAAACTCGTATAGAAGGCGCGAGATATGGTGTGACTGGCGGGTCCGGTATCTGCCGCAACTGCGGTAGCTGTTAAACCAGCACGGGTGTGCCCGGGCTCATAATGAATCTGACGACATATTTCTCTTAAAGAAGACCACTGCGAGCCAGTCGTCTCAATTGCAAGACGAACCCGAACGAGTTCTAGCGGATAAGTGAAAAATATTGATATACAACCTGCAAGGCTACCGGATAATAGCCGGCGCAGCGGTGTTTCCTTGTCTTTTGACGGGATTATCGTTGCTCTGATCTGCTCGTATGCAAGGAAATTGATAGCAGAGTAAGGAAACTTCTGGAGAAGTGTAGCTGAATGGCCTTTGAACAGGCCCATCCAGCCTTCGCAGCGTCTGATTACTGAGATAGCAGACAAAAAGCCTGCCCAACTACCGGTATATCTGGTATACTCCGGAGTTGATGTCTGGAAAAGAATCTTTATACGATCAAGCGGTGCAACAACGGTTTTTGCCTATCGTTATTATTATCTGCTATCGATAGGAAGACCGCATGGAGCAGTACTTACAGCACACCCTGCCAGACCTCCCGCCAGTCCACTCTTCAATACATACTCGAAGCTCCGCTCTTTTGCTATTGGTTTGCTCTTTTGGTCTCTCTTTTGCTCCGCCGATGGTGACTTCATAACGAATGACATTGCTGCTCGTTCACGTTTCCAAAAGCATTCTTCGGTGAAGTTTTATTCGGCGCAATGCCCCTCATCTGGACTTGAGACCCCTGCGAGGGTTAATAGTTTGCCGTCGGGAATCTCAAGGCAAACGCGCGGAGCTCGCCGATGGACCCCGTAAGGTTGCATACCACCACCACACCGCCTGCCTGACGCGCTTATGGCATTATAATCTTCATCAGGACCTCGAAAATCATCTATTGATAATTGAGATCAAGTGATCCTGTGATAGTCAAGGGTTGGTGACTCTCAATGTGATAGATTGATATTCTAGGATGCATGTGATAGCCGAAGACTAAAACTAACAAATGGCAGAAACGATACCTCTAAAAACCCCCAAGACAAAAATACAAAATCCCGCAGTAGAATAGTAGCCAATGGAAGTCCCAAATGATTGACAACGGCCTGCCGGAAGCTCATTGTACGAGCTTCATATTAAACCGAGTATAGAATAATCGTCAATTTAGATCTTCTGAAGTTTTGAGAGTTGTCCGACCGGAAATCCAACAGGGATGCACTCATGAATGCCGTTTTTCTCCCATAGTTAAGCAAAAGCCCTATTTGGTATGCATTGCACCCTACCAACCTCCATGGGCTAGTGAGCTTTTCAAGAGAAGTGGGGGTGCACTGACCATAGAGTCACCGCCCAAATGCGGCGTTCTTTCCATACGATAAGTCGTTCTTCGCTTACCTGTGCAGAGTCCAAAGATGCCACCGCGTTCATCGGTAGGTGCAACACAGCGAGACGCCCAACGTTGGATATGGGCTTACTTACATCTTAGGATAACCTCGTGCCAGAGGGATGGTCTGACTACGCCGATGACCTGGAAATCGATGACATATGGGGCAGCAGCGTGCCTGGAACAAGCAACATCTCCGGCGCGATACACTGGGTCCAAAATCCCAAGCCAGTGATGTGTACCGTGCCAGGCCAAAGACTGTACATCGCGCAGTCCGGCTCTGACTTCTACCTCTGGAAACAGCCAGAAGATGAATGCTACAAGATTGAAGGCGTGAAATCAAGAAAAGTCCTCATTAAGGCTATCAAGCAGACCGGTGTTGAAGGACTCTCTCTTAAACAACTTAAGTCGTTAGAGCTCAGCATCTGTGGCGGTCAGGAGCCTCCGACTCCGTGGCCTTTTAATGAAATGTAGATAATAGCCAAGGATAAGACTCGCACAATCCGGACCGACATTGTGTAGGGTCCAACTGATTACTTTTATGTCTTCCACACTGCTATATGATAATTGTTGAACATGCGACAAAAGGATAGGAGGATGACCTGAAAAGAGGGAAAGGGTGTAGATCAGAACTTGCGGAGCTTCAAACGCCGCACATTCCGCCAGAGCCCAACAAAGAAAGCCTCAAACACCATCCTCGTGACCCAAAAATTGCTAGGCCTCATCATGCCTCCATCCCAGTGCTCCTTGATTGCCCTTCCGAACCGAGATGACTCCAAGCTCTGAATTCGAACCAAAATAGAATCTTCTCCGTAGCGGACCTCATATAGTATAGGCCCCGAGTTATCGATCCAAAGTGGAAGTCGTTGGTCAAGGGATATTTCTGGCCGATGCCATAGTCGATGCCGTGCTCGGCCTAGCACTCCTATGAGTACTTTCCATGTGATGCCGTACTCGAGGAGACCAATGATGCCTCCGGCGAATGATATCAGCTCTTCGAATGGGACATGGAATTGTTCGGCTGCTGTGCCGACGAGGTAGATGCCAGCTGCGTCGAATTGGATGCAGAACATATGGGGTGAAGATTGAGATCGAGACGCAGATGTTTCAATTGAAAAGATAGATGTAGGTGTCTTTTGAAGACTTCTCTTTCGGAGCAGGAGTTCAACCCTGTGTCCCACGAGGCTCCTCTCGGATACCTGATACGTTCAGTATGATTATCAGTAGAAAGCTCATCTGAGCCGACAGCTTACCAGGAAGAATAGCTTTGGTATACAAAATCATTGTGAAATAAGGGAAATCGAGACCAGAGAGAGGTATGAAACAGCCAGGAGTATATGGATATAAAGTTGCGGATATCAGAAGCGGATACACCGTGTGATGTTATGGAGAATCCTGTCACTCCTAAGCCACACGCCGAACACGACGATCCGAACTCAAAATGCGCGATTTGAGGTGCCTGGCACTACCGAGAACCCTTTTAGAGCCTAATCTTGGCCCATTCGGGTAATCATCGGCGAGATCTTTTCTGATATCGGGCATCCATTGGGCATTGAGGCGCTTTAATAGGCAGCGAGGTTACGGGAATAGGGGCTGATTATGCAAGATGTATCGTCATGCAAGTCTATTTGCACTGTCGGAGATCCATTAATGCACTTCAGATTGACTGATTTGCGAGCAGAGATCGACGAAGAACGGTGGATCGAGGAATCAGTACATCGGTTGTGCCATGAAACATGTGATTGATCAGGCTGGTCAACTTATCGATGCCTAAAGGCCATTGCAGGGATCGTCTCTTGCTATGAAAGAAATTCTTCAATTTTGGAAAATACGTGCGTGAAATAAGTGGATATCAAAGCTCGGAATTTTGGGAAACTGGGAGTCGTGAGAGTGTATGCATGTATGGTATATAAAGTGTACAGAGATGAAGTTCCCGGGCCTATCCAAGAGACAGACGAAGACGTTGCAGCTATGTAGTGGATCGTACCGAAAGCGCCGACAAAGTAGACCCGTCCTGATTCCATGCCGGTGTACGGGTCATGACGCCCGAAGATAAAATGCACACCAAGAGTCAGTCTCTCGCCACCGTCGTAATAAGAACGCCGTAATAACCGGAACGCCTCACAAAACCCGGAGAAAAATGACAGTGGGTGGTGATATAACATAGTACGCAGACAAGATCGTGTTCATGATTCTCTTGTCAGGTGAAGAAACGTGGATATGTTACCAAAGCACAGACCTTGCAACTAGATAGTTTTCGGTGCGAAATTCTGTAAGTGCTTCTTCGCAGTGGCCGTTGGTTAAACGATAGGATGGAGACAAGGGCCAATTGGGTCGTCTCCATGGCTAGATGCGCCGCGGGGAATTGAGGCGGATCTGCGTTTATAGGGAGATTCAAGCAGCGCGATAGGGGTGGTGAAACTGCCAGCTGAAAAGAAACCGCTGGCGACCGGGGCTTGCCACTACTGCGGGCGTGGCTAAAAAATCATTTATCGAGGCTCGGTCCAGTCCTGCATCTTGACGTTCGCTCCAGGCGGATGCTCATTGATTTGCTGCAAGTTGCCACTTCTGATAATCGAGGGAGAAGGCTGAGGGGGGCCGGTTCCCGAGCGGCGTCTCCGCTCGCGCTCAAGGGGGCCAGGAAGTTCTGTACTAGGGGTGCTGCGGTGGAGGAACTTTTGGTTGATGCCGCTCAACCAGTTTCCATCCTCCTCATCACCAAGCCAGTAACTGTGGCCGATACTGACCATGATACGGCCCAACTTGCCCTTCCAACCCTGTCCGTCGGGGCTGTAAGCCGTGAATGGCTCACGGTCGATATCTGCCACACTTGCGATCGACACGTTGCGACTGTGGGTGGGTAGTTGGGTGTGTCGGGGGACGGCTACCCAGAGGCGAAGAGTTTGGCGGGCAAAAGCGAGCATCACCAGAACGAAATAGACACGGATTGCCCATAGCAACGAGATGAAGACGATGCTCTGGAAGCTCTCGGGCTGGTAAACCGCGTTGCTGAGGTTGTCGACACTGCGAGGAGGGTGCGCAATGAATTTATTGCCATCTTTCGTGTTCTGAATCTCGACGTAAGCCGCATCGTACTTGGGGCTAGTGAATCCGGCGGTCTGGGACATCGTCTCACCCCCGGGGGCGTTGGCGCTATCATAGTTCTGCGACACGACAAGGAACCAAGTCACACCGAAGGCGGCGGTATAGGCGGCGTTGATCAGACTGTCGAACAGATAGAGGTAGGCGAGAGCGAGGCACTCCAGGGGAGACTGTTTGCGGATGTGCGGGAAGAGCAGAGCGGCGATGGCGAGTGCAATGAGGGAGTAGAGGTACATGGACAGTTGGACGGGAGAGAGATGATAGCCAGTCAACAGAGCCAGGAGGCCATATAGACCACTAATCTTGTTTAGTAGCAGCGACAGGGTAATTAACGACGCGCCCGTCTCCAGGCTCATCACGTAGAGAAAGGTCTGCAACGTCACCAGGCGGTTAGCAGGGAGGTGTTTAGAAGGAATCAAATGGGAAACTCACCTCTGGCCGCGGAAAGCGGAAAAATCGAGAAAGGAACCCCATCTTGACAGAATAGATCAAGAATGAGAATGAGAATAGTTGATGATGCTGATGAAGGGTGAGAAAGGAAAGGCAAGTACAGCGGCGCACACGAGCCAGGGGCGTTGTTTCCCGGCGGATCCGTGCAGATCGCTGCCCGATTGGCTCTGCACTAATTTTATGCGCGACACCCTCATTTTTCAGGGTTTCCATTTTTTTTGACTTGATACTACCCTAGGCTGCTTACTCTGCCGTGATTTTTGAGCTCTATAGTTTAATTTCTCCCAATGTCCGGATCAGCCGCATCCGCCACACCTCCACTTCCATTTCTAGCGTCTGCTAGCGAATCACTTTTGGTTTTCCCAAATCCTATTGAGCCTCGTTGGCCTTTCTTGGTCTAGGGTGTTCTAACCTCTGTCTCAAGCAGGTTCGGCATTTAAAATCCAATAGATGGCCAATCCGATCGATAGATGGTATCGACAAAGTAAAGTCTATATCGAACCGCTTGGCAGCATAACGGCTTGGCAAACTCATAAGCTTCTTCATGGTCTTCAAGACTTTCTGAAATAACTTCTCTATTATCTATCATCTTACACCCTGTCAAATCTCCAAAGACTTCTTCAAAATGGATATCAATTTCCTCATAGTTATCTTGCGTCCGCTTGAACGTGAAATTCAACCCTCTGCAGTGTGTATTAATATCGTCCCAGCTTGAGCAGAAGCTATCACAAGGGCTCGAGGACCTACTACCAGAACACTATTTCAGAGCTCGGCTTTCAGGGAATTTGCCCACCCTCCGAATTGTTGATAGCGGAGATTACATTCAGATGAAGAAGCAGAAGAAAATCGGTGATTGGCTTGGAGAATTCTTCTCTGGATCTGGTCCAAGCTTCCTAGACTATGATAGCTCATTTTGTCTTACAGCTAAATATGGAGGGCCCAGAGACTCGATGGAGAGAGAGAGTCAAGACTCTTACAGTGTCATGGTCAAGCAAAGTCTAGATGACCAAGGGCCCAACAATAACTGGGAGCGTCATTGCCACAAGTAAAATGGTATTTTAATTTCCACATTTGGTTCAGAGGTGCTTGCACGTCATTAATATGTTATGCGATGAGGAGTTGCGCGCAGCGAATGTGATTGGATTGGATGCTTTTAAGAAGATTGATCCTCTTTCTCAGGTGTCTGGGTCTTGCTAGGCAGAAATAAATGACCCGAAGGTCCCCCTCAACTGCAGGTCATGCTTAGATACATTGGTTGCGGTATCGGCAAGAGGTCCGAACCTTTTCGAAATCCAAGAAGGGGAGAGGGTGGGGCGTTGTCTGATGTTTCATCGTACATTTCATCCGGGCACAATCAAGGTCGATGACCGTTGAAGCCATGCCACGCTGAACATAAATTCGCAGCTTGTCCGCTGCGTGCTGAAAATCGGTAAATGATCCTGGAGTTGTCAATCACTGTGTTGGAAATTTGTTGATTTTGCTTAAAGTTTCCATTTATACGATCTGGAGTGAATCTTGTATAGCCTCCATATGATCAATGCTCAGCTCCAAATGGTGGAGCTTTTTAAGGTATCGATGTACGTATCTGGAACGTGGCTTTGCGTCTCCACATGGTGCAATTCCGATTTTAAACCGACTTCAAGGTCAATTGGAATGAAGAGACTCATCTCAGAAGTTGATTGGAATCATGTGCATCGTCTGATGAATAGGGAGCATAAAGAGAGTGGAGCATAATACATAAAGTAACACATGAGTTCCGATCTAACCGTACTTCCGTGTTGTTGATGATGATCTTGGAAGATTCCATCAATGCTTAGGTCAAACGCTTACAAACCGATGGACCCAGGTGGCATACTCGGCATTGCGCGATCGTCCTTTCCGGAACGGCGTCGCATTCCAAGGTTATTCTCGGCGACAGACAAAATTTAATAAGCGGCACCACCTGAATCATCGGGACCCAATGATGACATCAGAACAAGGTTTACGAGTAATAGTTTACCACTAATACGTACGAAGACCCACAATTTTGGATAATCTCGACTTCAGAGGGGCGAATGCAGCTTCAGGCTCTGAACTCGATTTCCGTTCACCACCAAGATCTGAGGTCTGCATCTTAAGGGATCGAGGTCAATTTGCTCAAAGACATTTGCAGCATCAGAGTCTGCTAGTTGTGCCGCAAGATTCCTGTCTAACACAATTTCTCATGGAATGTCGGCATTTGCGATCATAGTAGTAGCCGTCTATTGGTGGGTCAGCACGGTTAAGTCGGAATCAATTCCACTTTAGCGCCGTTTTCTTTTTCATAACCCATCGCTTCTGGAAGGCGATCTCCTTTTTATATAGGGAATCAGGCAGCTACTCTGAAAATTTCTCTTCGCTGTCCAACTCCGAAAATTTGATGCCGCACGCATCTGCGGCCTCTTGACCAAGCTTGACACTACCAGACGCGCCGATCACCATGAGCGTAAACAAAGCCGACGAAGATCTTCAGCGGGCTGAGATCGATGCCCAGACGCAATCCTCCCAGTATCATGAAAAGCCCACCACAGAGGCTGAAAGGCCGGGGACCTCTGGGACCTCCTCAACGGGCTCAAGCAGCTCCATCGACTATGATCCCCAATTTCGTAGGTTGCAGTCGCGCAATACAGAGGTCGATCTGGAGCGCCAGCGAACGAACTTGTCCCAGGCGCTGAGTCGCATTGAAACCCAACGCCTCCAACATTCTATGACTGTTGGTGAGAGCTTGAAATCACGGCAATCCAAGCTTCCCCTCCCGGCATTCGGCGCTGGGAAACCTTATCCACCGCCGTTGCCAAATCGTGAGGACTACGTTGTCGAATTTGATGGGCCAGATGATCCTCTTTACCCCCAGAACTGGCCTTTGAGAACAAAGTAAGTCACTTATTTTCACGAAGCGTGATATGGTTCATAGCTGACTCCGTTACAGAATTTACATTAGCGCTATGCTCGCATATACAAGTATCTGCTCGACCTTTGATTCCGCCATTTTCAGCGCCTCTTCGAAAAATGTCTCCGCGCATTTTAACGTCGGTCTCGAAGTCTCTGTTCTATCCAGCACCCTTTACATTGTCGGCTACGCTTCTGGACCCCTACTCTGGGCACCACTTTCCGAGCTTAAGGGCCGTCGCCCCGGTATCATCATTGCCATGCTGGGCTTCGGTATCTTTAATACGGCAGTGGCTGTCTCAAAAGATATACAGACACTCATGATCTGTCGATTCTTCTGCGGTATCTTTGGAAGTTCGCCCCTAGCGGTCGTCGCTGCTGTGTTCTCTGACATCTATAACAATCGTACCCGTGGTATTGCGATCGCTTGTTTCTCTGGAACTGTGTTCCTGGGTCCTCTTGTCGCGCCTTTCATTGGAGGCTTCATCAACATGTCATATCTGGGCTGGCGTTGGACAGCCTATATCCCTGCGTTCATGGGATATGCGGCTTTCGTGCTGAACCTCTTCTTCCTCAAGGAATCCTACCCGCCTGTTGTGCTTATCGAGAAAGCTTCGGAGCTACGCCGTCGCACGAAGAATTGGGGAATTCACGCCAAGCAAGAGGAAATTGAAGTGGACTTCAAGGAGCTGATGATCAACAACTTCTCGCGCCCGCTCCGCTTGCTTTTCGGCGAGCCGCTTATCCTGGCAGTGACGATCTACCTCAGTTTCATCTACGGTCTGCTCTACTGTTTTTTGACGGCCTATACCGTTGTCTTCCAGGGTGTGTATGGCTTCAACGCAGGTGTCAGTGGCCTTCCCTTGTTCGGCATGGTCGTTGGTCTGTTCATTGCTGCATCATACATCATCATTTCCAGCAAATCGTATAACAAAAAGCTTGACGCGAACGGCGGCGTGCCTATTCCCGAGTGGCGCTGCCCTCCTGTGATCGTTGGAGGTGCTCTCTTTGCTGCTGGACTTTTCTGGTTCGGATGGACTGGATTCTCAGGCACTGTCCACTGGATCGTGCCAACCCTGAGTGGTCTGTTCACTGGATTCGGTCTTCTGATCATTTTCATTCAACTGTTCAACTATCTGATCGATACCTATCTCATGTTGTGAGTGTTTTCAACCCCCAGCTACCACTCATCGTCATCTAACATTGTCAATAGTGCCGCATCTGCCATCGCCGCCAACACATTCTGCCGTTCAATGGTCGCCGCCAGTTTCCCCCTGTTCTCACGCCAAATGTTCGAGAACATGGGCATCCAATGGGCCTCGACTCTGCTTGGCTGTCTTGCCCTTTGCCTTGTTCCTATTCCGGTAGGATTTTATTTCTACGGTAAGAGACTCAGAATGAAAAGCAAGTTTGCTCCCTTCTTCGAGCCTGCCGAGGAAGCAACTGCGCCAGAGGAGGAGACTGGCGAGGAGACCGAAGTTGCTGAGACTTCCTAGTTCCTACGATTCTTACAAAACTGTATATTACCCCGACCTGTACAGTGGTCACAAAATAATCTCTGAATATTAAACTCTGCAATGATGTGATAAGCAGCCACGAAAATATCCAAATAGACTTCTTTCTTTTTAACAGCGGATGGCTCGGCTACCAGAAATACGAGGGCTTTGACTTGCACATGCGTTCGATGCAGTTTCGTTAGACACAAAAGTTTAGCGAAAAAGCCACAATCTAACCCAACAGACCCCGGTAAACCTAATCTTCGTAATTTGCAACGCTGGTTGGCTCGGCGTTCTTGTCGCTTTAGTCATCTCGTTTTTATGCCCCGGATGCATGGCTAGTTTCATGGAGCAATCGAGGGTCTGATTTTGAAATTGGGATAGAGAGGTAGGACGACTATTCACTCGCATCTTTCGTCGACATCCTACAGCCCATCCGAGAAGATGATCTAAAGGAACTGGAGATTTTGTTCTCGGTCTTTTTTCTCAACCTCTCTCCATAGAATTTCAGGAAGGCCCTTCTAGGCATATATCTCCTCCTTTCTAATATAATTTAAATATGTATCTTAAATTAACATAGGAAGACCGGATATAGCCGCTTCTTCTAAAGTATCTACGGTATCTCCTCGGCCAGGCTGTAGAAAGCCTGGTGGAAAGCCAGTTTTTCAAGACAGCTGCCATCAAGGCAGACGTCAATACTTTGTACAATGTTAGATCTACAATCAGCCTTGTAATTTGAGAAAATATTCATGAAGATGCCATAATGTACAGCTTCATCGATTATACCACATGCGAAACCGTTAGCCTAAGGGCCATTCGGGCCAGGACGGCCTCCAAATGAGTCAAGAAGCAACTCCAGGTGGACAATGGAAACAAGATATAATGCGGAGCGAACGGAAATCACAAACGCCCACCATCCAGGCAACAACTCGCAAACGTGGACGCAACCGCTTTCAAGACTGAAAGATCTAACCACATGCTATTCACCCGACGAGCAACGAGAAAGGAAACATGTACATCTTAAAAATATCGGTGCATATCATGGACAGACTCGACAATAGTAATCGGTCAGAAGTGTGTAAATGGAAAAGAGTGGAGTGGAGTGAGATATTTAGCAAGCACAGCCATCGTTGTTAGTGGTTTCCTTGGGGTGGATGTTCACATCGATCACTGTGAAGTGGTTAGTATCTGCAGTAGAGTCGTCTCAGCGCTTCCAATGCGTGGTGACGTACTTGTGCTTTCCCCTTGCTTGGCCTCACCCTCCATTCCTGGCAAAGCCTGCGCAATTCTCCGGAAAAGTTGCTTCACGTTGTGTCCGACCTTGGCACTAGTCTCAATGAACATCAAGTTGTTCTTTTTCGCCTCCTCCTCGCCTTGTGCCGTTGTGACTTCGCGCTTGTCGTTCAAATCGGTCTTGTTGCCCACCAGCACAATGATCACGTCGTTTCCGCGCTCTCCACGCACATCATCAATCCATTTCCGGGTGTTCTGGAAGGACTTGGCGTTCGAAATATCGTAGACCACAACGGCGACACTCGAGTCTCGGATGTAAGAGGGGATAAGGGAGCGGAATCGTTCTTGACCGGCGGTATCCCAGAGCTGAAGACGGACGGTGCGATCCTCAAGATACATAGTCTAGGGGGGAACAGAGTTAGATTCAGCTGCTGGAGACAATGTAATGTAGGATCGCATCAATGAATCCGGAGTAGAAGTACCTTGGACAAAAAGTCGATGCCGATGGTAGCCTGGTATGTGTTGTCGAACGAGTCGTACATGAACCGAGTGATCAAAGATGTTTTTCCAACTAGAACAATCATCAGAACCATCTTCCTTACTCGTTTGTGCCCCCTGGTAATCGTGAATGTGGTGCGAAGATCGAGGAGGCCATACCGCTTTGTTCACCCAAGAACACCAACCTAGGTCTCACGTTAGTACCATGATCTCACCAAATTCGTCTTCAGCTATGCAACTCACTTGAACTTCTTCAAAGGGTTCGAATACGAACCTACCCCGGAGGCGGAGGCCATGATGTCCGAGATATGAGGAGGGGAGGATTCAGGGGGGTCAAAATTCAACGCGCGGCGGGACCAAGGGCACTCCTGTCAATAAGGACAAAGAGAATGGGAATGCAATGGCAGAAAACAGAGCCAAAGCAACAGTGTGTCCGTCAACCCTCTTGTAGGTGAAAGCGTGGATCTGGGGAAACACGGCGAGTGTCGTCCACCGCCCCGGAGCAGTTAATCCGGTCCGGCCAGCGAGTCCCAATCCTCCTCCACCTCATAGCTTCAGCTACCTTATCGGGTTTCTTCCACGTCTACCCTTTTCATTCCTTCATCTTCAGGCTGAGGTCGCCATGGCTCTCCGGTACCTCTTTGGTCTCTCCACGACCGCCCTCCTCGTGGTTGGATTGTGTGCGTGTCAAACCCCCCAATCCCGCTCTCGGCCCCAAGTCCATAGCTAACTGTCTTTCCAGATATGCTCTTCCAGGGGGAAGGTGAAGCATTCAATGTATGATCGGCCCTCGATCCAGCTAGCGATGCTGGTCGCGAGCTTTACTGACGTGACACTTGTTAGGTTGGCCGCTTCCTCGAAGAGGTGTCCCCTTACGCCTGGGCGAACATCGGTATCGCGATGTGTATTGGATGTTCGGTGGTCGGAGCTGCATGGTACGGCAATGCTTGATAGTTGATCAATGTCTTGTCCTTATTAACCTCCGTATTTATTGCAGGGGTATCTTCCTCACTGGTTCCTCGATCGTCGGCGGCGGTGTGCGCGCTCCCCAAATCCGCACCAAGAACTTGATTTCCATCATTTTCTGCGAAGTCGTCGCTATCTACGGCGTTATCATGGCGATCATCTTCTCCTCAAAGCTCACCCCCGTCCCCGAGACTGAGATCTACACCAAGAGCAACTTCTACACTGGATATGCGCTATTCTGGGGCGGTATTACCGTCGGATTCTGCAATCTGATTTGCGGTATTTCCGTCGGTATTAACGGCAGTGGCGCTGCTCTTGCGGACGCTGCGGATGGTACCCTGTAAGTCATCACTCGAGTTGTACTGCCAGCGTGACAGTACGAAATTGTCGAGCTGGGAGACAGACGACTAACCTCGACCATAGGTTCGTCAAGATTCTCGTTATTGAGATTTTCAGTTCAGTCCTGGGACTGTTCGGTCTGATCATCGGCCTTTTGGTTGGCGGTAAGGCCCTCGATATGGGTGCGGCTTAAATCGAAACGTTCCCCCGCCGCTAGACGGCTACGGTTGCCCGAACGGGCTATCACAAGGGGTAACGACTAGCCCCGGTATGATTCTTGGGCAACTTGCTCTTTTTATTTTCCGTCAAAACCTTCGTGTTTTACATGTATACACAGCATTGGGGCGTCTGGATTCGATATCGTAGAGAGCACAGCTGAATTGCATCAGCGTGGAGATATGTATGTGTACAGTAATGAGTTGCAAATGAAGGCCAAACCTGTACCGCACTTTTATCATCGACATCATCCGATTCCGTAGACGTAGACGTAGGCGTAGGCGTAAACGTAAACGCAGATGCCGACGCAGCACGGACCGCTCGCGAGAGGTTACAGATAATCCACTGACGCGATACCCCGGACCCAAAGATAAAAAGACCTGCCTTTCCCCCACTTTTCTCCTTCCAACCACCCTCTACAATGGACCGACTTAAGGCAGCCATTCTGATCGTCTCCGACACAGCCTCTCAGGACCCCGCGTCCGACAAGACGGCCTCCGCTCTGACGCCCATCTTGACCGCAGAGGGGAAGTGGGAATCCCCCGCAATCAAGATCGTTCCCGACAACGTGTTCCACATTCAACAGGCGGTTTGCGACTGGACCGATGGACCCAATTGGCATAACCTGATTCTACTCAGCGGAGGGACCGGCTTCGCAGTCAGAGATATCACTCCCGAGGTAAGGAACCGGCTTGATTTGGTCCAATAATGCATCTTCCCCTCTGATGACATCACGCAGGCTGTCTCTCCCCTGATACATCGACATGCCCCGGGCCTCGTGTGAGTATAGCGTCTAGGCGTCGGTGGTCGTGCGCTAACATGAACTAATTTCCCCAGTCATGGTATGATCGCCGCTTCGTTGAAAGTAACTCCATGTGAGATGACATCACCCCATGTCTGTATTCGACTATTTACATCCCGCTGACCCCCCATCCAGTTGCTATGATGTCCAGACCAGTTGCTGGTGTTCGCGACAAGACTTTAATCATTACTCTACCTGGCTCTCCAAAAGGAGCCGTGGAAAATCTCGAAGCTATTGTAAAGCTTCTTCCTCACGCCTGTCTCCAATCCGCTGGAGCTAACTCTCGCAACATGCATGCCGCTGGAGTAAAGTCGTTGGAGGCCGAGGCTGGCTTTTCATCGGGCTCATCTGTCACCCAAACTCAACACAATCACCATCATCATCACCATCATGGCCATGGCCATGGTCATGTAGTCGTGAAGGCACACACTACTCCCCGCTCCAACGACCCAGCAGCCGGTCCTGGCCGCCGTTACCGTGCGTCACCGTACCCAATGCTCTCAGTGGAGAAGGCGCTCTGCGAGATTAGCGAGCACACTCCCGAGCCCATTGTCATTGAAGCCCCTGTGAACGCATCCACCGTGGGCTGTGTCGTCGCTGAAGACGTTTACGCCGCCGAGGCGGTGCCGGCATACCGTGCCAGTACCGTTGACGGCTACGCCATCATTGCCTCCGAAGGAGCGAACACAAGCGGCACTTTCCCCGTAGCATCAATCACTCATGCCAACGTCGGCGGTGTTCTGGTGCCACTTCAGCCAGGAACTGTCGCTAGAATCACCACTGGCGCGCCTCTCCCTCCCAATGCGAATGCCGTAGTCATGGTCGAAGACACCGAGCTGGCCACCACCACCCCCGACGGCAATGAAGAAGCAACTATCCAGATTCTCGCCGAGGACATCCTTCCTGGTGAAAATGTCCGCGAACCCGGCAGCGACGTTGCTCTCGGTTCAAAGATTCTTTCGCGCGGGGACATCATCTCTCCCATCGGCGGTGAGATCGGTTTGCTTGCTGCCACCGGCACCCAGACGGTTAAGGTATTCAAGAAGCCCACCGTAGGCGTCTTGAGTACTGGAGACGAACTTGTGGAGCACGACGATCCCCGCCCTCTCACTGGTGGGCAGATCCGGGACTCCAATCGTCCCTCGCTCATCTCATGCCTTCAATCATGGGGCTTCTCTACTGTCGATCTCGGCATTGCACGCGACACACCCGTCGGTGAATTGGAACATGCTCTACGCGACTCACTGCGCGGCGTTGGCCGTGCCTCTTCCAGTGTTGACGTGATCGTCACCACCGGTGGTGTATCAATGGGTGAGCTGGATCTCCTCAAGCCAACCATCGAACGATCTCTGGGCGGCACTATTCACTTCGGCCGTGTTTCTATGAAGCCCGGAAAGCCTACTACTTTTGCTACTATCCCCTTCAAGGCGGCTACTAGTGACTCGGGAGCCCTCACCCAGCAAGAACGCCAATCAAAACTCATCTTCTCTCTCCCCGGAAACCCCGCCTCTGCCCTGGTCACTCTCAACTTGTTTGTCCTTCCCTCACTGCATAAGCTCTCTGGTCTTGGCGAGAATTCCCAGGCACTGTCCACTAAGCCCTGGATGGCGCCGCAGCTCGGACTGCCCCGCGTTGCCGTCGTCCTGACGCACCACTTCCCTCTCGACCCCAAGCGCACCGAGTACCACCGTGCCGTGGTGACGGGCTCCCGCTCCGATGGCCGTCTGTATGCCACCAGTACCGGTATCGATGGCGTCGGACAGCGAAGCTCCCGTGTGGGCAGCCTTGCCGCCGCGAACGCCCTAGTCATCCTGCGCCCTGGCCGTGGCGTGGGCATCAAGGGCGAGATCATGGAAGCGTTGATGATGGGGCCTGTCCATGCATCCGACACCCGGATCATCTGCTAAGAATACATGAAGCGTGCCTTATATACCATGGGGACTGGATTCCCCGGAATTTTCTGATTCTTTGAACATGTCTTTTATTTCTCTCTTCTTTCTTTTCGGTGTTCTTCTTCGGTGTTGTCTCCTGCTCGATTTATACAGATACAATGTCTCTAGACTGCCAGAACGTATTCATGAGCCAATGAGATTATGACGCAGTTAATTCTCTACTATCCCACATGTAGCGAGTTGGTCTTACTAGCTGAGGCACTAGTGACCCTTGGCTATAGGCCATGTAACCTTCCGGGAAATATCGGAATAGGTTGCAGTGCAACGGCCAGGCTTACTATGGGGCCAAATAACCAATAGTAACCCCCGCCATCCTTGCCACATAGATCAGGTTTTCGATGGGCTGGGGGAAGATCTGTGAGATAAGCAATGCCATACTTGAATGCTTCCGTAGTAGGCTAAATCTAATAATGTTAGTTTCATGGGAATATGCTTGTCACGAATATACTAAGACGATTGCATTATTGGCTGCCCAGTAGCCCTATAGTATGAATTAAGATTAAATTCGTTCGTTTGCACGACGCTGGCCGTCTTCGCCTCAAAATCACCGAGCTGCAAGCTTATGCCCGCGCGTTGTTGGCTCACTTCCTCAGTTGGTCTGTTTCGTTGGTAATAGCTAGCCTCGATTTCGACTCAACTGACCTATTCAGATCTTCATGAACTTCCATGAATCTCCCGTAGACCCTCCCGCCCGCCATACAGCAGCTACATGGTACCAGCCGTAAATTTCTCTCTCGGCTCTTGGTCTGGAGAATTAGTGTTTAAAAAGAGATCAGAAATGTCTAGAAAGAACGTAGGATTCAATGCCTCCGTAGAAGAAGGCCCAAAATTGACCTTTGTAGATCGATCAATGCGGATTGTGAGGTAATATAGGGAGTAATGTAGGAGGTCATATAGAGGGGAAAGGTTGCCAAGAGCACTAGAATCAAAAGGTATCAACAGAGGGTTATATCGTTTGATGTCAGATCATTTCTTTCAAAAGGATCACAGGTGGCCTAGTAGAGAAATGCAGGCTCGAGAGTCTGGAGAACCCCTCTCGAGGAGCTCAGCAGAGTTCAATTCACAGATCTGCTTTGACATTGATTTTTGTGGACCCTTCGTTATTTGGATAAAGAGAATGTCGGGACATTGATGTATTTGACTTTTCCTCTTTCTCGCGGATGGTATGGTTGGACACAACAAGGTCCACTCGCAATATGTCGGTGACCGGGCTGTAGATAGCCATGGACGGGACGAAGGCTTCTGGAATATTATTCGAACAGATCATTTCTAGATTCATCGATCCAAGCCCCTCACTGGAAATTGTGCCGTTGAGAAATAAATAAATTACTATTTGTAGATCTGCTCGATTGAACCACGGTCGGCAATGTTTCGAGAAACGCCATTCAGCCAACGTTAATCTCAGGGGTGAATTAGCGAAAGCCCCCGAACCCCCGAATCACACGATCAACAAATGAATCCAACGCGACGTCAACAACATTGTCCAGACCTGGTGTCTCACTCAAAACGACAATCACAAAGTCCAGAACCCAACCTAGATCAAAAATGAGACAATGGGCCCCAATTTTCGCCAATAGTTCGCACAACGGTTCGGCTAGCGTGCCAAATAACCCCCCATCAAACAAGATTAAGACCGGAAAAATAGTCCCCCGCCCAAAAAAGACCAGTCTAGGCCATACGCCCTGACTCCATCACACCCAAACACCAGTTCGCTGGTCCTGGGGAGAGCAGGCCGTCATCGCGTAGGACAATGTCCCACCCACTCAGGTACTCGATTCACAGAGTCAGGGTCCACCGGTACCTGACAATGACACACTCCTGACCCGTGGCTCACGAAATTCAAGATCCAGCGCAGGCACAGCTGTGTAACTGTTTATTTTGATTATGATTTCTATTTTTTGGACGAATCTTTGACGACCGGGTTGATTGTGTAGCTTGGTTGTTAGGTAGAGGTACAGTGTACAGTAGTGTAGTTGTTGCTGTGTATCTGTAACAGCTAGATTCAGACCGGCGAATGCTACCTCGGCTCTACGAATGAAAATGCTCGTGTTCCTGTTCACCGGCGACCACGAAATTAAATGGGAAAAGTAAATTAATCAAAAAACAGCCACCAGTTGACTCATTCATCAATACGCCCGTGACGCCTCTATACATGTACAGTTCAAAGAAAACCCTTGGGCAAAGAACAGATGGAATGAAGTAATCCAGTTCCCTCGGGGTCCTATCCACCCCCATAAAATAAAATCATCACATCGTTATCACAAAGGAGGGGCATCTCCTGCGTCCGGCGCGATCAAGTCCCCTTGCCAAACCGACCAGATCAAGATCAATCAAACCAGTCAAGAACGAAACAAGTACATATCCCCCTTCGCCCTCATTTCTCCCCTTTTTTTTTTTTCATCTAGTTCCGAAGCCCGTAACCATCGGGTTTTCATACACCGCATGAAACGTGAATCGAACACCGCTCGTAAACAAAATATCTTCCCGTCGTGAATATCCGTAATCGTGTCGTTCGTGCCTCGGCGAGGAGTAGAGATGTTCCTTTCAGCCTCTTGAACCCTGTAGAAACTAGGAGTTCCGGCGCGGCTGCACGAGGATACTACTAATGCGCTTCCAGCGCTGCGTGGGAGAAGCGGAGTTTGTCCGCGCCAGGTGTGGTTTTTCGAGGGCTTTGGAGGATTGTGTCGAGGAGCATGGGCGGCTTATGGTTGCCTCGTGATCGGCGAGGACGTCCTCGAGGCGGACGTCCGAGTCGGACATGCGCATTGGGATGTCCTTGGGATCGAGGATCTCGATGAACTTGGAGGGAGTATCGCGCATTTTGAAAGTGTCAAAGCGAGAGTGAAGTGAAGAGCCCAGGTGGTTTGTTTTATAGATCTCAGGTGATGAGACAAAGAATGTTGCAGTAAGCGCGGCACCTGGGTACGTTTCACGTCGGGGAGTCAGAAAGCGAGAGTATGGGGGAAAAGTAAAAGGAAGGCCGCGGGCAGATGGGGTCTTTTTATTAACCATAGAAGGAACCACCGTGCGACTGGAATCCACTGAGAAATGGAGAAGAGATGCGAGCAGGAGTGGAACCGGCCGATGAAGATCAGGGGACTCGAGAAGCCACTAAGAATCCACGGAGAAATTGTGGTCTGGGCAGGGGTCTCACGCAACAGGGTAAATTGGGTGACCAGGGTCAACTGTGTCAACTGGTGCTGTATTCTCCCCCACAGTCTATAGCTCAGTGTGATATATGCAGAGCAGAATGCAGACGGGAGGGCCTGTTCTCTCTTTTCCCCATAGAAAAAAGCAAATCCCTTCAAAGTGACTGAAGGGTGGCTCACGTAAAATAGGACACGATCGGCGGCAGCGTGCCACTCGAACGGTGTGGTGGCGTCTGTCGTCTGGCCACTGACCGTTGTGGATGCAAAACCCACGGTCAAATGGTTCGTGAGATCTCGGTGGGGAGGGGCACTTGCGCGGCCCTCGTGAGGGTCGATTGTGCCCCGAGCCCACACCCTTAGTTTCGTGAAGACACACTAGCCCTAAGGCCTCTGCAGCCTGCGAAGGATCGGGCTCCGGATGACGTCGGGGGCTACTAGATCGTGTGCTAACGCCTAAACTACTGTAGGTTACAGGTGTGGCTAGGGTGGCTAGGGTACCTAGAGAACCTAGGGACGGTACGTCAAGGTACCCGTGGACGCCTAAACTGTTCTCTTCGGGTGATCAACATTGGAGCAATGGGATTCTATAAAAAGAACCCTCCCTGCATATCCAGGTGAGGGGAACCTCCCATTCCACCACAGTTACCATTTGATCAACTGTCGCTGTGATAATCTCCGGTTCCCTCATTCGGCAAACCGCAATTCCTGCCCCAGGTGGCTACGTAGTCAGATTTGCCCCTCGACTTTCGGCCACCACTGATGTCAAGCGAACACCGGCCCCGGCTTTACCGGCTCTGCGCAATTGAAGGAATGGCATGCCGGTCAATAGGTGGATACACCCCCCTCACCACTCGGCATATCACGATGTCCTTACGTAGGTACTGGATATCGAGCCCTGCTATCAGCCGAGTTCCCGATCAGCACGCGCCACAACTGAGGTACATCATCAGCGACAGCGATCTATCCGCCACTTGCCCGGATCAGCCCAGAGCTAGCGAGCTAATAACTAAATTAAACCACGTCACTCATGATAGTGCCGCTGACGCAGTCAGATATATACTATTCATCTGATGCCCCACCAAGCCATCTACGTCCCCGTCTACAAAGCCCATGCAATGATGTAAGTAGGTACCTCAATCGATTGAATTTGGCCAGTAGCCATGCAAGAATATCGCACTCGAACCATCAAAAACGCCTGAAGAAATAGCAACCATCGACAAATAATAAGATCCCATCCGATATTTTGATAGATCCCTTCAACCCACACTCTATGTGCATCACCGGATATCAAACTACCCAGTATCAGTATCAACCGACCATGGGACTGACTCCCAGCTCTGCGTCAGCCACAGGAACGTGCCCGTGCCCATGCCTGGCAGGCAATGCACCTCTCAATACCTTATTGTAACCCAACGTCTTTCATTTCAACGGTGCTGGCATCGCCCATCCAGAGGATGTTGTTACACCTGTTTCACGTTAGCTTTCAATTCCACTCCCTATCCCCACCTCAACTGCCGTAGGTTTGAGTGCTTCGACGTACCGGATCAACACAAGACCCAGAGATCCAGTGTGCTTTCCATCGAGATACTCCTCGGTATCACGCAGCAGGACGTTCATGTACGAGTCGATGCTCTCCAGGGTACCCTTGTACTCAGTCTGACCCCACTTCAGGCGAATGACGAGCTCGGTGCCGACTCTGTAGCCCTGTTAGTAAAAATCTACCTCAATTGTAACGACTCGAGGGAGTCGGATATGCGCTGGTGGCTCAAATGGGGATGGGAGGGGGGCCGGGGGTCGCGTACCTAGCCTGCAGGAACGGACGGGGGTTAAGAGGTTGGAACTGTTGAATAGTATTTTAGTACTTGTTCTGCGATGAGGATGGAGAGCCTGGTGGGTTGGACTTGGTCTCGTGCCAGCTTGAGCTTGATTGGGGAGACGTACGCTCATTGTGGTGGATGGGGCGGTGGGATGGTGCCGGGTTTGCTTCCGAAGGCCGAGGGGATGAGAGGGAGAGTTTTGCGAAGAGCCGGGCGGTGGAGCTTCTTCAGGGCTGATTGTGATGGATGCGCGTGCTTGGAGATCTTGGGGTTGGTTGAGCGTCACGAAAATGTGAGCTGGTCGGGATACGGTGTGGGCCAATTAGCGGGAGGGATTGTTCACCGCCTTGGGTGTCGCTTTGAAGATGTGTTGCAGTTTGGCGGCTTTGACGCTTTATTTTCCTTTGCGGTCTGCTTTTCTTGAAGTTGAGGTTCCTGATCTTGAGGATCTCAGATTGATGCTTGTTTGGGCCCAGTTGTCATGTTGCTCAGTCTACCAGTCTCCACACCCACTTCGCCTCTGGCGTTGGCGTAGCATCAATACCATGAACCTTTGTGATATCTTGGGAAATTTTAGAAAATAAGTAAAATTCATCTCAGTCTTGGACTTTGGTCCTCATCGCCAGAACACCCTTTCCAGCAACACATCATGCCTCATGCCTCATGCCTCATGCCTCATTGCCAACGCCTCACAGCAACCTTCTCAAACGAAACTCTCTTACCGACCAACGGTCCAAGTAATCTCCTTAATGCTAACCTCCTCACTCGACTTCTCATCATAGTCATACCACTCACCATCGGAGAGGTCAATACCCGAGAAAGGGGGTGTTCGACTCAGTACCCTTGACTTCCCATTCACCCTGTAAAGCGTGAGAAACGTGCCCAAGACTCGTCAAGGGTAGGTAGTACTTACATCGGGCTTGAACTCGGTGAACTCGAGTCCACGACAGTCCATGTCGATGATCTTCTGGCCGTTCCTCTTCTTCTTTGGGTCCTCCTGGACTTCGAAGACGTGAGGGCCGGCAGTGATGCTAGCGGAGTGGGTTTTCTGGAATTGTTAGTTCGAAGTTGAAACAGACGCCTGGGTTGACATATGGAAAGGGGAAGCAAGAAAGGGAAGTGTGTGTAGGTGAAGGAGAAATGAGCTCAGCGTGAATTGAGGACAAGACGACTTACGCTGCAGAGACGGCACTTCCAGACAAAATTGGCCTCACCACGGCTACCGGGGATCTCATGCTGCTCCTTTATTTCCACACATGTCAGTAAATGATTCAATTAGCGGATTTGTGGAACGGATGATACTCACAAAGCGGTTGAAGCTGATCCAGTTCGGGTGCATCTCATGGCACGAGGTGCACTTCACGCGGAAAGTGTAGAAGTACGGGTTCTCCTCGGTATCAGTAGGCCGGAGGCCCGTGACACTGCGGAAAGAAGTTAGGGATTTGTTTTTTTCAAGGTCAAAGATGCATATAACTGTGCCCGCACGCCATGCATCAAATCTTCTTTCGCGGTGCGGGGAGAGCTTCGAGCGAGGCGTCGCCGGGTGGGACCTCGGGTCTGATGGTACTCACCCCTCCAGTTCAGCAGACAGAATGAGTGAAAGCATGTTGGGGAATCGAAACGCGGTTTGTGGGGAGGTGCGTGCTCGAGGGAACAAAGTGAAGGTTTCTGGTGATGCGGGGTGGAGACTGAGGATAGATCAGTGTCTTGGCATGTGACCACGCAGGACAATAGTTTACTTCCACGCCAGAGGATTTTACTCTTTACTTGGGAGATTGAATGTTGAGAATTGTGTAATGATGATGAATTCTAATGGTATTCAAAATGAAAACTCGCAACGCCAATCATGCTCAAACAGTCGCTCCAGATGAACGATCCAAACAAGCTATATACATTCCATCTTCAAACATACACGGCGTAAAAATCCTTTAAAGACGGCTCTGCTGGGAGTCCTGGCCCAGAGACTTTGTCGCGAAGGCGTTGAAGTACTCGTTCAGGGCATCGACAGTGCCGCTGCCCTCCACCAGCTGCACGGTGCAGGCAACGTGGCTGTCGGGACGGGTGACAATGACACCACCCTTCTCGGCATCGAGACCGAGCTTCTCGTGGGCGGCGAACTTGGCGTTGGGAACGCGGACATCGGGGATGTCGTCGGCATAGAGGTGGTGGTGGTAGTCCCGGAGAACCTGGGGGACAGCCTCCATGTCGATCTCGTTCTTGACAGCAGAGTAGATGGTGGAGATGGTGAAGAGCTTGGAGTGGGGGTTGTGGCGCTCGAAGAAGGAGACATCGGCGATATCTGCGCGACGGTAGACAGAGAGGAACGAGCGCTCCTTCTCCAAGTTGGCGGCGAAATCAGCAATGGCCTTCTTGGTCTTGTTCTGGTTACCCGCGAAGATGAAGATGCGGAAAGATCCGTTGGTGGGAACCTCCTGTTCCAGCTCAACAAAGTTGGAATCGGCGAGACGGGTGACGGTGGTCGGGGTAAAGGCACGGCCAGGGGTCAAGCGGACACCGGGGATGTTGAAGAGATCAGACTTGGCAGGGTGGCTAGCATCCCAGTTGAAGACGTTGGGCTTGTAGGCAACTCCGTATCCACTGGTGAACTCGCAAGAGGACTTGAAGGTCTTGACGAACTCGTCCACCTCCTCATCATCGTCGGACTGCACCGCCTTACTGGCCTTGACTTCACCGGCATTGGGACGGCGCTTGGAGAAGAGAGCAGCATACTTGGCATCGAAGTCGAGCAGCATCTCGGCAATGTCCTTGCGCTCACTCTCGTAGGTGCTCAGAATGGAGCGGTTGGCAAAGCCGGTCTCAACGGCGTGGATCTTCCAGGCCATGTTCAAGGCGTCGTGGAAAGCAGTGTTCATACCCTGGCCAGCCTTGGGGCTGTGAGTGTGGCAGGCATCGCCGCCCATGAAGACGCGCTCGTCCAGGGTGTACTTCTCAGCGATACCCTGTCCAATGGGGTACACGGAGTACCATTCAACCCGATCCCACTCAACCCAGTAGGGCTTCAGGATGTTCTTTGCGGTTTGTTGGACCTCCTCCGCGGTGGCGGTCTTGCGGGGGTTCCAGTCAGCGTCAGTAGACGAGGCGATCTGAACGTAAAGGCGGACCATGTTGTCCTCGCGGGGAATGACCATGATCGAACCGGCATCGGAGTGGATAGTACATTTTGTCTGAGAATGTGTTAAAGGGATACTTCGGTTATATGCAGGTATGTTTTGCTTACTTCGATATCGGGGAAGTTAGTGCGGACGACACCGTCCATAACACCCCAGACGTAGGCAATGGGGTCCTTGTGCTGGATCTTGATACCGAGCTGTTCACGGACAAAGCTGCGGGCACCCTCACCACTGAAGAGGTACTTGGAGCGGACGGTCTCGATGACATTGGTGTCGAGGCACTTCAACTGGACCTCGACGGGGTAGTCGGCATTGGCACCGTCATTCTTGAAGCCGTGGATGGTCCACGGGCGCTCAACCCGGGTTCCGGCCTTCTCGATCTCGTCAATAAAGACGCGCTCGATCTTGCCCTGGTGGACCAGAGTGGTGAAGGGATAGCGGGTGTCAATGAAGCGGGGGCAGCTGGGCCAGCTACCGGTGCGGTGAATACCAGTGCCGTCACCGTTGGGGTCCCAGAAGGCAACGTCGTAGACCTTGGCAGGCTCGTAGGCCATAATTGAGCGCTTTAGACCCAAGTTGCGTAGGATCTCGGTGGAGCGCGGCTGGATGCCATCAGCGCGGCCGGTGGCAGTCGGCACAGGGCGGTTGTCGATGTGCTTGACCTTGTAACCCCAGCGCGACATGCACAGGGACAGCAGCAGGCCGACGGGGCCTGCGCCGACGATGACAATGTCATACGTCTCTTGAACCATGGTGATGGTGATGCAATATAGTACGTAAAATGGAGTGAGGGATCAAGATCAACGCCGTCAGCTTAGGAGAAAAGAAATAAAACACTCTGACGGACAGAGAGGTGGAGGGCCATGGCTTAATAAATAATCTGAGCAAGCCCGGGGTAAACGGTCCGATAGGTGGTTCTGATGATGACGGGGAGCATCCACGGCATTGAGGATCGGCTGAATCGTGGGGAGCAGCAGGCCTAAAGAAAACGGCCACCAATGAGAGGGCGTAGAAAGCAGGGACTCAGCATTTGGGACGAGCCACAGGTGCTGCAGTCAGTGTGGGGTCGCAGGGTGGGCAGCGGACAAGTCATGGACTGCCGTTCTTCAAACCGAACCGCAAGGCCTCCACAATCTGACTTCACTCGGGAGCTGAATCGGCAAGTGGAGTGGAGGGGCACGTGACCCCTCCCCGGCAACTTCGTCCGGGATGTCCATCCTAGCTTCACGTCCACGGTCTTCCGCACAAGTTATTGGTCCCTGCGATAGCGTTATTTCCGAACCGCCGATATTTGCGAGAGCCGATTGATCCACCAAGCTCCACCCAGGCTGGTAGTTTGGCCTGGCAGTTGCTCGTTGGGATACCGGTGTACCTGCCAGGACCAAGCGATGGCAAATGGGCTCGACTAGGTATTGGATTCTTTTCGTCCTTACCCTGTTCGGTTTATTTTGTCTACATGGCCTATGGCACATCATTTTCAATAGCTAGTACGGCTGCAAGGTAGCACAAAGTACCCTCTTAGATAGCCAAGATAGCCACATGCAGGTGTATGTACAGCAACGATGTCTGTGCTATCTTGATAATATCGAGCAGGTTCATACCCCGCCACCTGGACATTAACGCTATCTCCACAGCCAGGGTTATTCTGATGCCGGGGACGTACCCGTTCCTGATCGTCTACGCCCAAAGTAGCCTCGGGCGTAGCATATTACCATCTACAGCCCACTCGGGACTGAGAGTGGCAAAACTGCGAGGCCGATCCCACGGAAGCTGGGGAAGCCGAGCGACTAAGCGGCAGGCCCGGCAAAATATTCGGCTCGGCGGTTAAACGCCTAGAGATTCTTCAAACTACGAAAAAGGGTATCCACTGTAGCTTCAATATCCCCATTAGACCACAACCCGCCTCGGGCCTGACGTGGAGCATGGGATCGCGCCCAACGATCAATGTGGATCGATTCAACAATGCGATTCTCCTAATCCCTTTGGGGGTGTCATTTTCGATTGTTCTATTGAAGGGGTTGGATTTAGCCTAGCAACTGCGGAAACTTCCATGGCTCACATGTCAATTGATGTTGAAGTTTTCCTCAATTGATCTGAGTGCACCTCTCTTCAGGCTCGAACAGGCAAATGTATTGTACCTTCTCAGCCCTATGGTTGATTGAGACTTGGACACAATAGCCAATATGGCATCAATGGCCCTTATCCCCTTATTGCCCAAAGCCTTCACATACGAATCTTTCCACACCTTCTCGTATTACTCGTCTGACTCTCCCTCCTCTTCCTATCCCCTCTCCTCAACCAGTATTTGTACTTCACCAGTCAACTTCCAATGGGTATTTGATATTACTGCGTGTTAAGGGTCTCGTTCATTTCCAGGCTCAAAGCACACCAAACTCACCAACAGCCATACTGAAAATGAATAACCTCCACACTCGAACCCCAAAGGAGATCCTTGAACTCAACAAGATCCCTCGCGTGTGGAAGCCAGCCTATGTCTGGCCCGCTGACAATGATGGTATCGTTCGTGTCGTGGGAGGGTATGCATTCCTGTCCCTGAACATACAGAGCTCGTACTAACCCCAATTGCACAGCCATGATAACCCGAATGTTGCTGAACACCGCCGTCACCGGGAATGGCTGAGAGCAATGGGCGAGGAACCGGGCCCGATCGTCAATCATGTTATCTCTGCTATAACCATCAAAGAATTCCACCATGAGCACTTCCCTATGGTTAGTGCGTACCAAGGTCTGTCCCCTATGCAGGCGGAGTTCCTGGACTTGGTCCCAGGTCAGCTCAACGTGAGTAACCGGTCTTCTATTGAGCTCCTGGACCCTGATTCCGAAAGCGAGTACTCCGAAAATGACGCCGAGGCACCCATGGAGGTCTCCAAGAATACCAACCCATTTGTCATTACCATCCCTCCCCTCGATGCTTCTCTCGATGTTTCAGTTTGCACTGCTATCTCGCCTCATTTCACGTTTACATCTCCCACGACGCCTCCTAGGCCCATGAATCCCATGTCCGTGACATTCAGCCCGATCGCCGTTACCGAGCCCTTCAATCCCATCTGGTCCGCCACTCCAATTCCATCCCACACTGTCCCGGATGAATCTACGCCCACGCATATCACCACTCTCGAGAAGTTAAAAGAGCCCAGAACTCCTTTATCTAACTTCGCTCCCAAGGATGAGGGTAATTGCGGCCTCACTCTCATCGACAGACTCAATGTGCTGAAGGATCTTAATGCTCCCGGTTCTCCTACGAGCACCAGCAGTGACATACCTCTCCGCCTTATGTCCATCATTGATTCTGAATTCAAGTTGTTTGCTTCCGCTGCCAGTCGCCCCGCCGATCTCTGTTCGGATTCTAGCTTGACCAATTTCGAGACTCTGAGCTCCGCAGTCTATGTTAGTTCGCCTCAATCTTCTAATACGCACATCTTTCCCTTTGCTGTCGATCACTGCGATGGGGCTATGGTTTTGGACAGATATGAGAGCATTGACCTGGTTGCCGATGGGCTTGTCAGCTGGACCAACGACAAGCCCGACAGTATGGCCGCCGACCAGGATGTCGACATGGTCTTTTATGAAAACGCCAACATGTCAAAAATCGACAACCTCATGATCGACGCGGCCATTGTTGATGCTTCAAAGGTCAGCGCCGCTGTTATCTTCCCACAGGACGACTCCCCGCGACCCCAGAAGAGTAAGGGTGTCGACGAATTGATCATTGAAGAACATGCTTCCATCGTCGAAGAGCAGGCTCCCATTATTGATAACTCGGCTCCCAGTATTAACGACAAGCTAGCGCTAAACGTTGACAAGAGTGTTCCCATGGGCCCTGTAGCAGCATGGCGACGATCCACCATCCGTCTTAAGGAGCTGGGAAGAAAACTTCTCAAGCCAGACCTCCATGAGCAACAGCTTATTGTGGCGGTAGGTGCATGACCCTTGATCCCGAAATTCAGTTGCTGACACCTCGTTACAGATAGAGAAGGTCACGAAAAACATCCAGGTCGAGGGGACCGTGAAAAGCAACAGTTCTGTAGAGAACAATGGAAATCCGCCCCCTCTACCACCCAAGGACGGCCCCGTCACACCTCCTAAGCCCACCTTCGTTTCAGTTTCCCCAATCTCGCTGGGGCCTGGTGAACAGTCACTGCTCTACTCTAGACTGGAGTACATGGTCTGTGAGACTGCCAATAGCTTCCTGGTAGAACAGTATTTGCAGGGCCACATCGACCAGCACACCATCAACCGAGTTGTCAATAGCTGGGCTTCCAAGAACCTGCCTCAGGTCCCCGAGTTCCGATTTAACCAGGCCACCCAGCGTGATCTCATCAATGCAAACCGTCGCACCATGGAATTCACCGGCAAATGCTCTGCCAACCCCGTTCAGCTGGTAGCCAACCTTCGAGCTTGGAAATCTGTTATCCAAGACATGGACCACCGAACCTTTAGTATTCGCGACAGCGCCATTCGCAAAATGATGTATGAGATCGGAGAGGTCCTCGAGATGCTGAATGCTTCCGTCAAGACTCTGCAGGCTTTCGACAAGATTCGTACCAGCGTTCATCGGTATATGTTCACTCCCCCGGGTTCTCCGGCCTCTCCTCTCATCATTTAAGCTCTGGTCATTTGCCTATAACCTCCACTTTCATTACAGAATTTTGAGTCTCCTTTCTCCACTGATACCCCTTTCATTTTTTTTTCTCGATTTTGAGACATGGCCACTTTCCACACCGGCTGTGAAAGAACCGCTTCGCCGATAGGCAAAGACTGGTGCCAGTGCCCGAAAAGGTGTTGGACACTCCGACCAAAAGGCTACCGAGGAACTGAAAAGAACTATGCAACTTAGCTACTCAGGTAGTCAATAAAGAAGATAAATAAATGTTAATTCGAAGTTCTTTCTGTAGGCAAAAATAAAGCGATGGACGACGCGGCAAAACAAAAAGGCACGTGCAACGACGTCATCGGCTCATTTGGGGAAGCTTCACAGCTTGTGAGATATGAGATAGCCTGCCTTTGTATTTTGCTGCCTTCCCCCTCTTCCCCCTGTTCATGCAACTCTCAGTCTCTGTCCGGATGTTCCCGCCCGGCCAAGGGCGATCTGTCACAGATTTCGGGCCATGACCGTCGCCGTCTAGTGTTCAGTGTCTCGATCTCAACGAGATTTGGGCCCTGGAAAAAGTGGGACCAAGGTGTTCGCCATGACGGGCCCTTTTCATACTTATGGCCCTTCGTGCCTTTTGGCCGACGAAGAGTTAGATCTGTCGAGCTTGTACTCGCGACCTACACGGCCAGATGCCCGCTCACAGTTCTTCTACATTTCATCCCTGCCAATTGACGATCCGTTGGCCCCTTTGCCCCCCTCAACTGGGCAATCTACTGGAAACGAAAAGGCTCCGCCGAAACCATTCTCTGCTAGAGATAATCTTGCTCTGGAGACAGCTTGGCGTGATCTTGGGAAAACCTCGCAGGTCAAAGGTGTTACCAGCAGCCCCTCCCGGCCAGAGACGTCACAAGGGCGCGTCGGAATAGCTGTGCCGGGGCCAGGGCCGAGTCTTGAGGTGCAAAGACGTCGGAAGGCCACAAATCAAGACCCTACGAGCTTTGATAGTATCAGGGGCACCTCCACCTCGTTTCCAGATGATCAGCCGCCGAATCTCAAGAGCCGCTCGGGCTACTTGGCTAGTAGCTCCGATGCCCGAGCGGAGAACTACACAGATCGGCATCAACCAACATCGTCTCTGGATGATAGCTTCAACGATGGACACTTCAGAAGCAGTCTTGCATTTCGGAAGAGAGAGCGCTCTTCTTCTCTAAATGAATCACCTTCGGCTAAGAGAAGGAATTCGGTCGAAGAAGATGATACCCTGGAAGGCCACGATGGGAGTGGCAGCTTGCGTGCGTATCCATCTAGAGATGCTAGTATCAGTGGCTCTCCTTTCATAAGGGCGCCGATCTCGCAGTCACACAGCCCACTCGGTCGCTCAATGGAGCCCATGTCATCAAATGATGTGCCACAGGAAGGGCAGGCGGAGCCGCGGAGCCGACCGCCTAGCCGGATTGCACCGAAGCCTTCAAACCTGCGAGCGACTGTCAGCTTGGATGAGTTGACTCAGGATAGCTCGCGGGAAGAGACTAACCCCGAGGACTCACAGGTCAAGATCCCAGTTGGTGCTTCGCGTCTTCATTTGGTCGAATTACCAAACCTGAAGGTATGCTTATCCTTCTGTTCTAATAATTGCAAGGCTAACCGCTGCTTAGATGAAACCCATCTACTGGAATCCTCTGCATGACATTTCAGGCGTGGTTCGTGCCACCTGGTTCTACAAAAACTCCATGTTGCCCGTGGAAACAGAGCTCGCAAACAAGCTCGAAGAAGGATATGCCTCTTTGAAGCCATGGACCGATACCTGGCAAGATGAGCTGAACAGCTGCGTGGAGAATGGTGCCGATGCAGAGATCAAGGTGGCTCATCAATTATGGCCGGTGGAAGAGCCGGGGTCCGCCAGACCACCGGGAACAGCACAGGACCCAAAGGGCAATGACTTTACAACCGGGAGAGCCGATGATATCCCCAATGAATTCGATGTGAATAAGGCTGCTGGTGGAACAGCGGCTCGTTCGGAGGCTATCAAGTCTCACCTCACATCTAGTGTCATCTACGTCGATGCGAGGAATGCTCAGATCTTGCGACCCAGCTTGCTTCCATCAGCCGCCAGAGGAAGAAAACCTCTCCGTGCCATTCGCAAAGATCAACAAATCGGCATTCCTGTCGTTCGTGGGTTTAGCCGAAAGCTCTGGGACAAGGTGCACCCTTCGAAACCCAATCCTGTCGATGTACGACAATACATCCGGAAGACACAGCAGACCACCCCCGCTCCTGGTGAACAAATATGCTACGCATGTAAAATGGAAGAATCGCGCTCAAGCCCCACAGACCTCGTTTTCGTCATTCACGGCATTGGACAAAAGCTGTCGGAAAGAATGGAAAGCTTCCACTTCACGCACGCCATCAACGCTTTTCGTCGCCAAGTCAACATGGAGCTAAACAATGAACCCGTTTGGCCCCATGTAGACCCAGATCATGGTGGAATCATGGTCCTACCCGTGAACTGGCGGACAACACTATCCTTGGAAGATGCGACCCTTGAATCGCTGGATGAAGAGGATCCTACAGCCAATAACTTCTCTCTCGACGACATCACGCCCCAGACGCTTCCCGCTGTGCGATCTTTGATCAGTGATGTTATGCTCGATATTCCCTATTATCTTTCGCACCATAAGCCGAAAATGATCAGGGCGGTTGTGAGAGAGGCTAATCGCATTTTCCGACTCTGGTGTAAGAATAATCCCGGCTTCCAAGACAATGGCCGTGTGCACCTCCTTGCTCATTCCTTGGGTAGTGTGATGGCTCTCGATATCTTGAGTCATCAGCCTACCCATGTTCCTCGCTTCAACTTTTCGGAGACGCCTTTGCACCATGATATTTTAGAATTTGATACTCGGCATTTGTTCCTCTGTGGCAGTCCAGTTGGTTTCTTTTTGCTACTCAATAAAGGTATGTCAAATGCTTATTCATCTTGGCTCTCAGCACTAACGCTTTCCTTTAGCGAGCCTCCTCCCTCGCAAAGGCAGAGACAAGCCGGGAAGTGAAGGCGATGATCAACTCCGCGGTGTTGCCGGTGATGCAGGCAACTACGGCTGTCTCGCGGTAGACAATATCTACAACATCATACACACTACGGACCGTGCGTACCCGGTTTAAGATCCACCCTTTGAAACACTCATACTAACTCTCCCAAGCAATCGCTTACCGCATCAACGCAACAGTCGACAACGACCTCTCCAACAGCCTCAAAACAGCCTCAATCCCCAGCTCAACCTCAACCTTCTGGTCCTCCTTCGGCTACGTCTTCCGCTGGAACTCCACATCTTCCTTCATCCCGACGACAGCCCCAACCCGTCCCGCAGCAATGAACAAACTCCCGTCAACCGTCGAAATGGAAACGCACGACTTCTCGCGCGAAGACATTGCCGAGAAGCGCATGCTCCTGCTAAACGATAATGGCCAGATTGATTACTATCTCTCTGGTGGTGGAGGTCCGTTGAATATCCAGTATTTGAATATGCTGAGTGCGCATAGTAGTTACTGGACGTTGTCAGATTTCGTGCGCTTTTTTGTTGTGGAGATTGCGCGGAAGCAGGGGAGGGATGGAACTTTGCCTGCTTTTCGGGCGGAGAAGAAGAAGGGGTGGAAGTATTCCAAGGGGTGATTTTGATTCGAATTTTTTTTTTTTCTAATTTGGCATGGTATTGGTGCATTGCTTGTCTTTGGTGATGACTTTTTAGATTCATGCTCGAAGATGCGACCTCGTTAAATTGCAATACGCTAACCCCGTGCACGTATTGCCCGACCAAGGAGATAATCTAGAGGGACCTAAAATCTCTGTTCCCCTAGTCTTTCTCAACCCCTTCCTAGAATTTTTGCTCCATTCCAAATACAACCCAAAGAACTGGTCTAGCCGCTTATTTTGGATTATTTTGATTATCTCTCGGGTCCAGCTGTTCTGGCCTCTGTTCAAAATGCTACTATTATCCTACCAAACCCACCTTAGCTTTATTAATATAACCACTCATCCTCCTATACAAAGAGCAGTAATGCGAGTCCCGATGTGCCCGCTTGTTCGTTTGACCTATCTCAGTCACCTCAAACAAGCATAGCATTAGTTGATTGAAACGGGTGTATCTTGGAAGAATCAAGTATTCAATTCGCGGATGAGGATTGGACGGGGCCTAGGCACAAGGAAATCTTTTATTTTCGAATGGATAGCAAAGTCCAAGTTCCTCATCAGTTGAGAACATCAGCAATAGTTTCGGTGGCAGAAAGAACTTCCTCGTCCTGGAATTGCCAGCCAACAATTTGTACATGGCAAGGTGCCCCGTCCACCTCGTCAATGTTGACTAGAATGCAATCAGTCAGGGTCAGGGTGGGATCATAGTATGGTAACTTACATCCATCAATCACCTCTGTATCCAGGGCTTTGTTGGCGCGTTCGTAAGGAATAACGCTCGCAGGAAACTGAGGGCCATAGTCAGTAGGGATGCATGATAGTTGACCTCGGGTCCTGGGAGTAAAGCAGGCGAACTAACATCGAGAAAATTCCACAGCAATGTGTATACAGGAATCCCATATTTGTCATGAGGGACGGCTGTTCCCCGCGAACCTGGGCAAAGGAGGACGTCAATTTGATTTTCTCGCCAAATCTTGCCCCAGTCTTCCCTGTAGTCTTCCCTCTCAGCAACGAATCGCCACATATCGTCCAGCGAGACTCCACTTTGCCCAAGCAAGGCTGCTAGATTCATTTGGCGGACACATTCGACCGGCTCCTCTCCTGCCTCTGCCAGATATTTTGAGACTGTGTCCTCGGTATCCAATATAAACGACCGTACGGCTCCGGTTACTCCTGTGAGTATCGGTGGAGCGTTCACAGGTATAACTTCATGCCCGGCTTTCTTCAGCTTATCTGCCGCAGATTGCAATGCACGGGAGATTGGTGGGAATACCGGGAACATTGGATCGTTTAGAAAAACCCCAATAGTGAGCCGTGCCTTCTTAGGGACCTCTCGCCATGGCACAGCTAAAGCCGTCGAATCCTTCAGCCACGGCTTGGCAAGAAGAACCGATCGAACAAAGAACGTTAGATCTGATGCATAATGAGCAAGTGGCCCAGCAGCAGGGAGAACCCCCGGCCATCCTTTTCGAATAAAATCTTGCTGGCCTCCGAACGGCACACGGTTCGCGGTGGGCTTGAATCCATAGGTCCCATTGCACAGCGACGGAACTCGTATCGAGCCACCCATATCAGCACCGACACCTAGGATGGATCCTCTGATACCTATTAATGCTCCTTCGCCGGAGCTGCTTCCCCCGGCAGTCAGGCTCAGGTTATGTGGATTCATGGTGGTACCAAAGAGCCGATTATATGACTCGCATGTCTGTAAGATTTCAGAATTCAGATAAGCTCCAGAAACAAAGGACTAAGCGACTCTAAGAAATACTTACGAAAAGAGTCTGAGGCACGTTTGTCTTGGCGTACAATACTGCGCCTCCCTCGAGTAAAATGTCAACCAAGAAAGAGTTCTTCGTGGCATTTGGCTTCTTCAGGAAAGAAATAAAGCCAAGTGTGGCTGCTTGGCCTTCAACCATGAAGGAGTCCTGGGGAGAAATGATTAATGGCGGGCCCTTGCGTACCAGAGACAGAGTAAAAGACGAGGCAATTTACCTTTAGGCTTATAGGAAGGCCATGGAACGGACCCATTGGACGTCCCTTCTTCACAATGTACTCGTCGAGCTCCTTGGCTCTTTGCAGTGCCTGTTCAAAGAAGATCTCCGTCAGGCAGTTGGTCTGCAAGGCTAGGTGTTAGTGTCTGTAGTTGCTCAATCGGGAAGAAAGGCTGACCAGCTGCTGTGCAATTGCGGTGCGTTTGCAGAATGCGGTAGTCACTTCCATTGAAGTGATTTCACGGGTTGCAAGCATTCTTATGAGATTTTCTGCGCTGTATGTCTCCGTGATTTCAATTTCTATCGAACTAAGAATGGTAGTTTTCCGCAACAGCTCAAAGGCACTAACAGAAGCGTCTGGACGAACATGTTCGGTCAGATCGTGGGGAAGTCTCCATGCTGGAAAAATCCGTGAGGCACGATCATTGAGTTTTTGATCTATCAGAGCCTGTCATTCTTTGGTAATGGGCATTTCTCCGGAGAGTTGTTCAAAGAACAAATGAATTGATTCGGCAGCGCAATGCCGATAAACAAGGGATCACAAGGTTGTCGAACGACTTAACCTATGGCCACAAGTGCGGCTTTATATGTTTCGTAAAAGATAAGACCTCCAGGGTTTATACAGTCCGTCTAATCTGAGTACGGGTCTGTTAATCATCTGAGATAGAGGAAAGAGAATCGTAGTTGCTATTGATTGGTTTTTCTAAGGGGTCGCCAAGGAAATTGTGCAAATATCAGTCATTGGTGCCCTCGCCAGAAAACAATCCAACATATATAGCTAAATTAATGGTGTAAGCACCCCATTCCGCCATCGTAGCTAGTGGTGCTGTGAACATGGGATTTGACCCATTGTATGGTTTTTCAAACGAACTTTATCCTTCCTAGAAAGTGTGGGCCTTAATTTACAAAAGAAAGAGTGAAGATACGCGCAAATTGTGATTCGGTCTTCCTGTGGCTGTCAAGTAATTTGTGCAATTATCAATGATTGGTGCCCGAGCCAGGGAGCATAGTAGCCACAGGTTGTAAGAATAGCCTCGCAAAACGGTCCACACATGGTACCGTCAGGCTTTGCGAGAATTCATACTCCGATACTTTCCACATAGAAAGCCCGTGGATGGTTCTCCCTTATCGGCGTCTACTAAACCGCCCCATTGAATTACTTTGTGGTCTCCATACTTGCTGAAACTAAATCCACTCCCTACCTCACGACCGAAAGATTCTATCACGGATTCGGGGATATCCAGTGGATCATTGGCACGATAACAATGGGCTTTTCCCAAAACATAAGGGTAATCTCGATTCTTATGAAATTTATGAATCGCTCTGCTCGGAATGTCAAGTTGATTTGGTCATTTTCTGCTAGAGCTCAATCAGACAACAGCCGTAAGTCATAATGTAGAAACATGAGAGCCATCGACGTAGACGTAGACGTGGGTTGTTTATCGGCCTTATCGATGCCCCGCCAAAACTCTCCAGCTCTCCCGTCTCCGACTCACCACGCGTTGAATCCGCTCCCGTGCAATCAAGCCTCAGACCAGCCGTGTCTGCGACCGCTGTTCCACGTCAAATCCACGTGTACCTAGTACCTTCTCGTTTAACGGCAACTTACCACCGCGTTGAACGACCAGCAGCGACTCCAACCGGCCGATTCTGAACCCTCTCGATCTCATCAACTCCAGTCCCCATTGCTCCCTCTCCCCTACATCTCCAATGGCTTGGCTCCAATCGACCCCAGGCTCCAGCGGCCGCGCAGCTACGCCCACCGTATTCGAACAACAACGCGAGGAACTCGTGCGGGAAATTGCGGTGGTGAGTGATCGACTGAACCGAGACCTCAAATTGCTTCACCCGAGGCTAATCAAAGCGGTTACGAAAAGGGCATGGAACAGGTCCTCCAAAACATTAATCGACTGAACCGAAACCTGGAGAGTATTATCACGGTGGGTCATCTTCCGGTGCTGAGGTCCCGGCTTGGAGATCGCCATTGCTAATCGAGGATAGGTCGGAAACGAGTTTGGGTCTGTGGAGGCTCTCTGGTCGCAGTTTGAGAATTTTATGGGAAGACCGGAGGAAGAGGTTGAGGAGGCTTTTCAAGGGAAGAGGCATGTTAGCGGGGAGAGCGAGAAGCATGTCAAGTCGGAGACACCGCATAAGGACGATGAGTCGATGGCTCAGTGAAGATGCCCCCGGGCTACGTTACGCTTGACGCTGTTAGGATACGTTGAATTTTGGCGTTGGCTTGTTTACATTCGGAGATACCATTCACATACTGCATCTTACCATTCTACATCACGTTCTATATTTACGAATTGAACGAAGATGGAATGAAACATCAAGTCACATGTATTGTCTCGGTCACAGTTAACACATAGGTCGCTTTCGCCAACAGAACAGATCAGATAACATAAACGAGAACACCAGTCCCATGCAGGAAAGCGGCAATGACCCGAGTCATGAGTCCCTCAGAGAAGGCACAGCGGGTCATAAAACGCAGCAGAAAAAGAGAAAAAAGAACAGATGATCGACTTTCAAAAAGAAAAGAAAAGTCCAATCCAGACTGCCTCCAGCAAAGACAAGAGAAGGGCGCACAGCGACCCAAGGGGAGAAATTTTAGCAGTTCATGTCCAGCTTGCGGCGATATGGCTCATACACAATGACAGGCAAGCAAGCCGACGAAGCAACCAGGCTTGTGGTCGGACGGGTAGAAGGGAAGGAAGAGATGGGCAAGAAGAGAAGGGAGGTTGGAAGGGGATTGTGTTACAGAATCTTGCAGGACCGCTTCTTGATCTTCTTGCCTGGTCTGCTCGGTATTCCACTCGCAGAGGCTTTGCTGGTGGTACGGTTATGCGATGGTTGGCTGGCATAGCCCTCTTCTTCCATTGAACAGACCATGTCGACCGCCTTTGCGAAGACTTCGTCCACACCGCGCATCTCCTTACTGCTGCACTCGACGTAGGTTGCGCCCATTCGTTGGGCTACGCCGTGGCCTTGTTCTGGGGTGATGGGGGTTAGGCCCTGGGTCTTAAGGAGCTCGATGCAGGTGCGCTTGTTGCGGAGATCAGACTTCAGGCCGACGAGGACGATGGGTGTTGTGGGGCAGAAGTGAAGAACTTCGGGGTACCACTGATAGATTCCATGGTTGTTAGTGCGGGTCGGGAGGGGGATAGTGGGGATGGCTCACCTTATCAACGACGTTTTCCAACGATGCTGGACAGTCGATGGCAAAGCAGACAAATAGAAGATCCGTCTCGGGGTAGGACAGAGGGCGCAGGCGATCGTACTCCTCCTGTCCGGCGGTATCCCACAGTGCTAACTCGACGCCCTTGCCGGATGCCCGGTGGGTTGTCTGAGTGATGTAGTTTTCGAATACGGTGGGCACATATTTCTGTTGCGGTCAGTATCAACCTGGATCAACACCGGCTTATGTAGATCTTACCTCCGGGAAATAGCCCTGGGAGTAGCTAATCAACAAGCACGTCTTGCCGCATCCACCATCGCCAACCACCACAAACTTTTTTGAGAAAGAGGGCGGCTGCGTGATGTTGGTTGCTTCGGACATCCGTCCACTGGAGAAGCTGGTATGGGTGCTTGCGGTGCCGTTGCTTACCCGGACACTGTTGGTGCGGGTTCTGCTGTGACGTGGGGTGTTGGAGGGCGGAGGAGTAGCGAGAGAGCGGCGTCGTGAAGCCGCATAGTAGTCTCCGTCATACATCTGGCTCATCTTGGAATGCAGCCCCTGGCAAAAGTCGAGATTTGTTGTATCGAGTGTGTTCTGGAGATGAGGGGAGAGGGATGGTGAGAAGGTGTAAGGTGTAAGATGTAAGATGTACGAGGTAGGATGGCGAGAGTGAAAGAGAAGAAGAGAGGGGATAACAATCTAATTCAAAGGATCTCGATGATCGACGATGAGGGTCTTGTCAGGGCGAGACCCGTGTTTACGCCTGCTTTACACTGAGGCTGCCATGGCAACGGCCGTCTTCAATGACGCCAGGGCTCCGCTTAGTGCGATTTGCCCGGGATAGCGCCTGTCAGTTTCAACTTGATTCGATCTAAGCCGATCCGGTTTCTTTTTTCGTCTTTCCCCTCTCTTGTTGAGCCCCTCCAGTCTCCACTGTTCAGCTCTCCCTAAACCGGTTCACGGGGCGCTGGATATTGTCTCGGGGGCCCCGGCGTCATGTGATGAACATCGATCTGCAATCTGTTAGAGCTGGAACTGGAAATGGAACTGGAAATGGAGATTAGTCGAATGGTCGATTGGTCGATTGGTGTGTACCATGGGTTTCGGAGAATGTCCTGTCAGACTGGCTGAACGTGTACTATGGTATGCAGTGTGGGTAGTGTACTACTATCGCCGCTAGCCGTTGACCTCCGTTACCATTCATAGCCCACTTTCCAACCTTGGAAGGCTAAGAGACTTCGGGTCCGGCCCGAGTTGGAGTGGTTAGAGTTCCAACGTTGTACCAAGGTTGTATTGGAGGATGAATCTATTCCCCCAGCTTCCAAGTTTGTGTGCTCTATTTACCCACTGTGGAGAGTGCCCGGCAAGGCAATCCGACAATCTTGATATCTGCGCTGCTCCTAATTAACATACAATAATCAAGTACCATGTTTCGAACGAGTCCAATGTTCCTAACAACCCCCAACAATGTCAATCTGCCTACACGAGGGTCGAGCGTTGTGCCTGGTGACTAAGCACACACATGGCCAGGGGGGCCCGAGCCGCGGATGCGATGAGCGATCTTCCCGGTGCTTCCTCGAGACCTCGATTCTTTTGCGCACGACAATCCCATATTCTTTCCATCTAACTTCCATTCGCTCCTTATGTTCTCGCACTGACACTGCGTTCCGAATCGAGCGGCACCGCGGCCCGTCCATGTCCAAGGTCCTCCAATCGCCGAATCGGTAACTCCGCAAAATGGGAAAGGACTCCAAAGATCAGCCCGATGCCGGGTTGAAGAGTCTCAACCACTGTATGTAGCCCTGCGTCGGCCCTCTAAACGTGTCTCCGGACTTTGGGATCCCGCGCCACTTCAATCGCTGACGTTGCTCCGTTCGCGACTTCAATAGATTCAAGCCGACTACCCCTCTGGCGCTACTGGCCGAGACAGAAACTCCTCCCTCTGATCCGATATGAAACGCCATACCTTGCCTGGGTCCAGGAGAAAGTCCGTACCCCGACGCTGGATTCCTATTTTGCCTTCACAGCCAACCTCGGCACCCACACGTTTTTCATGGTCTTCTTGCCCTTCCTCTTCTGGTGCGGTCATACCAGCTTAGGGCGCGGGTAAGTGCTTCGACATGAGAGAGTAGCGTTATTAGCTTGTGACCCCGTTAACATTTGGCGTCTTCTCTAGACTAGTACACATTCTGGCGGCAGGTGTCTTCTTCAGCGGTTTCATTAAAGACTTGCTGTGTCTTCCTCGGCCCTTATCTCCGCCGCTTCAACGAATTACACACTCCGGCTCTGCTGCCCTGGAGTATGGCTTTCCCTCGACGCATTCCACCAACGCTGTCTCGGTTGCCGTGTACGCTATTCTCGTGCTAAATTCACCCGATTCGACCGTTAGCCCACAGACGAGCCTCTTCCTCCAAGTTGTTACTTATCTATATGTGACCTCCATTGTGTTGGGCCGCTTATACTGCGGTATGCACGGGATGCTGGACTGTGTTGTTGGCTGCGTGTTGGGTGCATTAATCGGCCTCGCCCAATTTAGCTGGGGCCCCGCATTTGATGATTACATCCTGTCTTCCTCGCTGAGGGAGATCCTCGTGATCCCCATTGCTATCCTAGTCATGGTCCGCATTCATCCAGAGCCGGCCGATGATTGCCCCTGCTTCGATGACAGTGTCGCATTTGCGGGTGTAACGCTTGGCGTGGACGTCGGTTCCTGGTACTTCACCCAATCCGACCTCGCGTGGTCCGAACCCCTTCCGGGCACTATTCCGTACGACTACCAAACTATTGGTTTCCCTAAGACCGTGATCCGTCTTGTGGTTGGTGTGCTGTGTGTTTTTGCTTGGAGAGAAATCACCAAGCCGACTTTGTTGCGCATTCTCCCGCCCATTTTCCGCAGCCTGGAGAAACTCGGTCTTCTCTTGCCCCGTCGTTTCTTCACCACTGCCTCGTAAGCCTCTCAGCTCTATCTTGTTGAATCCTCTAACCTTATTCACAGGCGCTATACCACTGTTCCCTCCAACTTGAAGGACAACGAGGTCTTCCCTAACTTCTCCGACATTCCTTCCATCCTCACTACCATCCGACACCCTAGGCGACGGGCCATCTCCGTTGGACCACAGTCAGCAGCCGATGCGTACGAGACTCTCGCATACCGGGAGAAGCGCCGCCGCGAAAGCCAATCGGGCGGCAGCCGCGGGTCCCCTGCCGACGGGGACAACAAAGTCAATGGCAACCCCATGCTCGCTCGAAAGACGTCCAAGCTGGACGACTACGAGCACATGATGGGCAGAGGCAGCCCACAATCCGGCAAAGCCGATCTAGATGTCAACGTCCCTCGCTCATCACCCCTTCCCCCTCCCGCATATGAAACAACCCGGGCGACAACCCGGGCCGACGAAAAGGAAGTATTCTCGCAGATCAAGAAGCCCCGCGTCCGATACGACGTGGAGGTCGTGACCAAATTGGTTGTATATGCAGGTAGGTACCGTCTCTCTTTTCCTGCAAACATGCACTGACCAATTTGCCAGGCATCCCATGGATCGTCATCAACGGCGCGCCCCCTGTGTTCGAAGTGCTCGGGCTCGGAGTTCCTTACTAGTTGTATGACGGAGTTTTGTTTCCTTCCCTTTCAACCCTGAGCGCGCTCGGGCCTGCTCCAGTTCAGCGGGCTGTGCTGGAAGGACCTTTCTGGGACATAGTTCGGGCCGTAGATGTACATATTGCGGTATTCTTAGGTCTTAGTGGCTCTGGCCATTGTGAGTATTCTTCCGAGGTTCACCAGATATCATAGAAAGTTGATAAACTTGATGTTTCTGTATCCTCGCAATATTGAGCTGCTCCTTGATATCTCCGACAACTTTAAAAATCGGTTCATGATCGGTCCATTAGAATATAATAGGCATTCATGCAGTAGTGACCTTCAATCATCTGGTAGACTGAGATAAGCCAATAGCAATATATTTAGCTTCCAATTTCGAATGAAAGCTGAATCAAATCGGACATTTTCCGGTCCAGAATCTGCCCGCAATCAGATACGAGGAGATCCAAGCGCACATGCATCTGCACACTTGGCGTAAGCAGAAATGATCGTCGCGGGGACTCTCTCTCTTCAGCCCTTTCGTTTTGAGGCTGAGGCGGTGAACAGCAGTTCATCACATACATGAACCCCACTGCCGACCAGGCCGAGCTGTGAGCTGTGCGCTGTGCGCTGTTGTAAAAGATGCTTACCCCAGGAAAGCGTCTCATCCTATGCTTAGATGGGACATGGGTAAACAGCGACCAAGGTTTCAACCGGCCGACCCTGGATCAGCCAAATGCCACTTTGCAAATTCCGACGAATGTCACGCGCGCCTATCGCGCCCTGAAGAAAAGGGACTCGGCCGGATGGACCCAGATCATGTACTATCATTCTGGAGTTGGTACCAGTGGAGGTCTAGCGGATTCACTCGCCGGTGGAGTCTTTGGTGCTGGTGTTTCTGAAGTGAGTGATGATTGCATTCACGTAGAAAATACGTATCTGATGACTTTCACAGAACATTAGGGAAGCATACAGCTTCATCGCAACAAACTACGAACCTGGCGATGAGATTGTCCTGGTCGGGTTCTCTCGTGGTGCATTCACTGCCCGTAGTGTCGCAGTAAGCATGCCCTCCTCTTTCCTTTAAGTGATTATGTTGTCTATACTCATGCCTTTAGGGTCTCATCACTGAGATTGGCCTCCTCACTTCCAAGGGAATGGAGTTTCTCTATCCGATCTTTAAAGATGTAGAGAATGCAAAGGACCCTCACTATAAGGACAAGTTCCCCACAGTACCGTTCAGTCACAAGCCAAGAACACCAAATAACGGAAGAGAATACAAGCGTCGGCTTGAAGAGGTGTGTGGATTTCCAGAACCATCATAACCGTCACTAAGCAACTCGCAGGATGGCCTGACGCGAGTGTATGACCCAGACGGGTATCCTATCAAGGTTCGCTGTGTTGCGGTCTGGGACACTGTTGGGAGTCTAGGTTTTTCCGCCATCTTTTGGAGCCAACAGGCCGCAATGTTGATGTTCAATAGGCATCCCGGATACAGACCTCGCAAAGAAACTCGAAATCCCACGTTCTACAAGAGAATAAGTCCCCCTAGAATCCTGATTGTACAAAAAATCCAGTCTGACAGCCTCTTACATGCAAATTCTACGACACATCACTCTCAAACGCAATCGAATATGCCTTCCAAGCACTCGCCCTCGATGAAGACCGCACATCCTTCGCCCCGGCAATATGGGAACGACCAGCGCAATGTCGCACTGACCTCCGACAAGCGTGGTTCTGTGGAGCTCACTCGAATGTCGGAGGCGGTCTCAACGACCAGGAACTAGCCAACATCACCATGGCCTGGATGATGGACCAGCTCACCTCCATCGGCGTAGCCTTCGAAGAAGACACCATTGACAGACTTTTCGAAGAAAGCGTCCGCTACTATTACCACTATCGTCAAGAAGCACAGCCCGCAACAGAAAATACCAAACGTAAGCGACGAACTGAATGGGCCATTCCTTCTATCTATGATGCACACAGACCAGTTCGACCGTGGGGTCTGGGTGAAATCATTGATCCTGTAACAGGGATTTATCACCTTGCCGGCAAGACGACTCGCACACCGGGTATGTATCGGTATACAGATCCTAGTACCGGGCGTCCAACTTCTGAATTCTTGGAGAATACGAACGAGCGCATCCACCGAAGTGTTCGCATTCGACTTTCTCTTGAAGGGTTAGGGTATAATGATGAAGAGCCTTACAAATGTCGCGCACTGCTGAAGAAGGGGCCTTGGCAGCTCAAACGAATGCGTGTAGTATCCCGCCGCCAGATTGAAGATAACTTTGGAGACGAGGAGATTGTGGAACAGGATCAAGACCGCTGGGGGTGGGTGTACGCTGGACCCAAGGAGGACGAGCCGCCGGAAACGCTCATGATGGAGGAGCCTCTGGGTCCTTTCGAGGATCAATTGCTTCGGTATAGCAAAGGTTAGTAGGACTCAATGGCAGCCGAGTGTTGATTCTAATTCTTGATGTTTCAGGCCGGGCATTCTACAAAGCTCTTCTTGCGGAGACCGAGCGATGAGGGGACGGGGATTATGCCAGAAGAAAGGAGCTTTTGTATAGTACCGACAAGCTGTCATTACCTTGTATTATTTTGTTTGGCTTAAAAAGAACATATTTTCAACATTTTCCAGGTTTAGGTGCAGAAGACATTCGATTCATAACCTTTTAGACCGGTAGAACTTTGACCACCTACGTACCGGATTTCAAGAACCCGCAGAACCCCACTTTAACCCATCAATAACCCAGAGAAACCCATCAAAAACCCATTAATAACCTATGCCTAACCTATCTTTAACTTTTGAGATCTAAAATATTTCAGATTAATGACCTCCTAAGAAGTTTAATTCCATCTGGGAGTAAAACCACAATATTTATAAACCTAATAATTTAGCATTGAATAAAAGAAGCTATAGCGAACCATTTTATATAAGAAAGTCTTTAAAAAAGGATATAGTGTCAAAATGAAAAAACTTTTGTTCCCTTTCACCAAAGGATACACCACCTTCACGTACATTCAATATATATATCAACAACTTTCCAAGTCTTTTCCCACTAATTCACCTTTCTATCCTAACACCACGCCTAGATCTTACTTTAAATATGTAAAATTAGAATTACTGCTACTAAAAAATCTATATACAACCATTTTTCTTAAAATTTCCAGCATATGAGTAGTAAAGTAGAGTAATGATGATAGTGGTACCCAAACCAGTATAAATAATAGTATTTAATTAGGATTAATTAGCTGAGTTATGTACGCCAAGACCTAGATTTTATGCAAAAATGGGTTGAAATGGGTTGAAATGGGTTATAAATGGGTTTTCAAAATAAAAATTTCAACCCAATAGGTTGGGTTCGGGTTCAAGCTTATAACCCATAACCCGCGTGCGGGGTGGGTTCGGGTTGAAGATTATAACCCATTTGCGGGTTACGGCGCAGTCTAATCATTGGGGCCCCAAGAACCATTGCGGTTTCTGACCAAGAAACCAAAAACCATTGCGGTTTCCGAAACCGGCCCCAAAACCCAAACCATTTGCGGTTTGGTTTGGTTTGGTTTTGCGGTTTTGCGGTTTTTGGCGCACTCTATATCTGCTTCTACCCCGCCTGATCTGCGTTTACCTTGCCTAGACTATAACATCATTGTCTATGGTCTATATCCTTCTATTCAGTTCTATGACTTCTATTTGAGGTATTTCCTTTGGTCCGAAGCATGTGATACGGAGGTATACTTATCTATAAATACGCGATGGATTACTAGGTAGAAGAATCAGACCGTTCACTCTCTTTGGAAACTGCCGAAGTTCCTTTCTTGCTTGTCTTGCATACAAAAGGGTAAAAGCAACCCTTAGTCAGTGTGATCATTCCTCTACGAGTTAAAGCGTGAATTGTTCTCGTTTAGGCTACATCAGTGTGTAGTCTATCCTAAGAGTCTTCCTTTGTCCAATTTGGATCGACCAGTTGGATAAAGAAACATAAGGCATTAAGGGGGTACGCAAAGCCTAGTTGGCGCCACGAACGGCTTCGTGGTATCACCGACCTTATTGTCCAACACATTCATATGCAGGTTAGACAGGCCTTGTGAAATTTTGCGGCCACGGGTACACGTGGCCCTATTAGCTCCCATAATTCTTGAATGCTTTCGCGGTGTCCACTTGTTCGTTTATTTCTCACTCGTCGGTGCCTTTCTACCTAACCGCTCCTTGAGCAGCTCTTATTTCTCGTGCTTCCACATGTCGCATGTGCACATTGCTTCTATCATGTCTATGGTATGTCTCTGGCCAGACCAACCAACCCAAAATACTTCGAACCCGTACTCACTTATGTCTTTAAGACACTGTAGGAGTAAGGTCTTATCGGCATATTTCCCGTGTTTGCAGGTAACTTCATCCTTCTCACACCAGGCCGAATCTCCCCTAGCGTGCAAGCGTATGCCAATTTCTCTTAATGCCACACAGCCATATCCTACTCCGTCCGCCCATTCCCGTGCCATCTTCGCAAACTCCCTAATGCTCTGAGCTTGATTTTGCCTAAAGTTAGAAAAAGGGCCACCTTGAGAGTCGTTAGTGTGCATGTCTAAGATAAGTGTTTTCAACGAGGGCGTCAGCCAGCTTCGACAAGCTTGTTCGTTCGGACGCTCATATGCCACGCATAAGGCCATGCTTTGGAGATAAGGGAACTTCGAAACTGGGAAGGCATTTTGATCTCGATCGTAGCCTAGCCAGCCAAGGTCGAGAACTGTCAGGTAGTCTTTCTGAGGAGACAAGGCGTCGGCTAGCAGCGTGTGATTCCAGCGGTAGGCAGCATCGGGTTCAACCTCAGCCCAGCTATAACCATCACAGACCATATCATTAAGGACAAACTGGTGTAGTTGCCTAGGCCACTCCAGAAATTCTTTAACGGATTGAGGTCGGGCATGCAGATTGTGAAATTGGAGTTTCGTGAAGTTTGCGGTTCTCGCTTGATCCTATAGACTCAACTCGTTAGGCCATAGAAATCAACTCTAGGTACGGTGCCCTACCCGCGGCTGACTTACTTTTGTTGGTCCCACAGATGAGACCCCAGGCTCATCTCTTGCCAGCTCCATCGACAATGTCCTTAAACGAGGAAGCTCACATGCGATCTTTGCGATATTGCTGCATAGGGGTTTTCCCTTTACTGCCAAGTGCTCGACGTAATTCTGTAGAAAAGGGCGGCGTAAAATTACTGTGCGGAACAGTTTCTCCTGGGGAGGGCAATTTAACCAGTGAGGCGAGATATCCAGAGACACCGTCCTGTAGAGCAAGGGAATGGCAAGCGCATGAAACCGTTTACAGGTCAAGATGAGGCTATATGCGGCTGAATACCGAAACCAGCCTCTCTGGAGCTTAGCCTCGTCCTCCTTGTAGTCCTCCCAGAAGGTATGCCAATACGGCTCACTTCCTAGCGAAAACTCGATAGGGCTGTCCACAACCGTGTGAACAATCTGCAGTTGGAGTTCAACAGGAAGCAGGAGAAATGGGACTCTTGAGTTCCGCTCGGCGGCGTCGAGGATGGAGGCATCATTACGACATTCCTTTGGTGAAGAGAAAGTCGCCGGCTCCAAGTGAGGATAATTTGGGAGCGGAACAGGCTGATAGTACACAAGTTGTCCTGTAAAGGATATACCAATGCGTGCTTGTCTTAACATGCTGGTTTGTTTGCGCATATGTTGAACTGGAAATAATTTATTCCTGATAGAAGGTTGCTTATCGCAGGAGTGAATCAGGAAGAGTGGGAAGGGGGCCGCGAAGGAAAGTAGAGTGGGGTTCTAGATATTATATATAGGGAATTGCTAATCCGACACCCCCCCTCCCCCTAATAATCCGACCCCCCTGCCTAATACATCAGGCTTATATACCTAACGTAATTCACCACCGAGTGGGCCACACCACCGAGTGGGCCACCCAACCACTTTTTCGCGTCCTACCGCGTCAATCTGTCTTCTATCAACCACCATGCGTCCAAATCGTATCGGATCAAGCCAGGATTCTATCCAGCAAGAAGGCCGCCTCCTACTTGCTATACAAGCTATCAAAAGCAAAGAAATTGGCACCATACGGCAGGCTGCAGATCAATTTCAAGTGCCTCGTTCTACGCTCACGCGTCGACTACGCGGGACTACAAATCGCGCTGAAACTCGTCCAAATGGCCATAAACTATCGCAAATCGAGGAAAATTCTCTTATCCAGTGGATTATCTCAATGGATACCCGCGGTGCAGCCCCTAGGCACTCAATGGTGCAAGAAATGGCTAATTTATTGATCCAAAAACGCGGCACGAAGGATACTACGCCGACCGGCAAGAATTAGGTCACAAAATTTATACAACGCCATCCAGAGCTTAAATCTCGCTTTTCACGACGCTATGACTACCGGCGAGCAGAACAAGAGGATCTAAGGGTTATTCAAGAGTGGTTTAACACCGTACAAGCCACAATTCAGCAATACGGTATCTTATCGGACGATATCTATAACTTCGATGAGACTGGCTTCGCGATGGGCCTCTATGCGACGCAAAAAGTGATTACCCGGTCAGAATACTATGGCCGGAGATCAGTCTTACAGCCAGGAAACCGCGAGTGGGTAACTGCGATCGAATCAATCAATGCTTCGGGGTGGGCGCTTCCACCGACGCTTATCTTTAAAGGTAAGCAATATAATCAAGCGTGGTTTAAAGACCTTCTACCCGACTGGCGCTTCGAAGTTAGCGTAAATGGGTGGACATCCGACGCGATAGGCCTTCGCTGGCTTCAAAAGCAATTTATCCCGTCGACAAATAGTCGTACGCATAGAAGATATCGACTTCTTATTCTCGACGGTCACGGAAGCTATCTTACGCCAGAATTTGATCAACTCTGCCAAGATCACGATATTATACCAATCTATATGCCAGCGCATTCCTCGCATCTTCTACAGCCGCTTGATATCGGGTGTTTCGCGGTTTTAAAGCGCTCGTACGGTAGCTTGGTCAGCCAGAATATACGGCTTGGGATCAACTATATCGACAAGTTTGATTTCCTTATAGCATATCCACAAGCTCGCGCTGACGCATTTAAACCAAATATGATTCAAAATAGCTTCCAAGCAGCAGGATTAGTACCATTCAATCCTCAGCCAGTGCTATCAAAGCTCAATATTCAACTTCGGACGCCGACACCACCTACAAGCCGCGGTAGTCAATCAAGCGCTTTTTACCCACATACGCCGGCGAACGTCGACGAGCTTCTAAAGCAAGCATCGTCTATTAAAGCTTTCTTAAAGAGACGCTCCAAAAGTCCGCCATCGCCGTCCCAGGCCGCGTTAAACCAGCTTATCAAAGGCTGTCAAATTGCAATGCAAAACGGTATATTTCTCGAGCAAGAAAATAGGCAGCTACGCGCTGCAAACGCTACGCAAAGGCAAAAACGCGCTCGTGTGAGTAGATGGATAGCCCACGATGACGGTCTATCAGTACGAGAAGCATTAGAGCTTGAGGAAGCTCATGATTCGTTCTTTCAGCCAAGAATAGGCCCAAGGGTAGCACCGGCGCAAGCTACGCAAGCACCAAGAGCGCGGCGTCTACCTAAATGTGGTAATTGTAGCGAGATAGGGCATAAAAAGAATGCCTGTCCAAGAAGAGATTAATAAATATAAAGGCGTTGTGGTTGATTTATATCAATAAAAGTGTAGAAAGGGTGGTTGGGTGGCCCACTCGGTGGTGAATTACGTTATATAGGCCTAGCATGGTAAAATATTCACCGCTTGAAACTATCATCCCGCAACTATCTACTATTATATTCACATAGCTCACCCTCAATAAACATGGCATCACTACCCATTGGGTTTCTCTTTGCTGAGCTAGAAAGCAATGATAGCGATGCATCAGGTTGTTTTGCAAGCCAGCATGATGCCACATACTAATTTATCTAGTGTCTCCAGTTACACAGCCCCTGAAAGCCCTACACCCATGATGGAGCCCCCGCCAGAGGGTATATGCTACGACACCCCAGAGCTCGGAATCGCTGCAGCGAATGCCTTCGCACGGGATCATGGCTACGGCCTTACTACTCGATGTAGTAAGCGCACGAAGAAGGGTATATTAAAGACACTTCGTCTATGCTACGATCGCGGGCGGCAGTACGATACTCGGTGGCAGGAATAAAGAGGCGATCACCTCGTGCGAGAGGCATCAACTACTATGAATGGGTGTCAGTTTGGGCTATCGCTACGGCTTCAGCATGATACGGAAACATGGCGTCTCCAGCATAATGAGGTTATTATACATAACCATGGGCCCTTAGCGCCATCAACTCATGCCGTACATCGCCGGTTCGAGCTCGCCCAGAAGGCATCAACTATCGATCATCAGATTACGCAAGGCTATTCAACACGACAGATTTTAACTAGTTTCAGAGATGACGACTCGCGCTCTGTTCTAATACCTCGGGATATCTACAATCGTCGAAGGAAGCTTAGTGAAGAGTTTCTAGCCGGCCGAACACCTATACAAGCGCTTCTAATAGAGCTCCCAAAGGATAGTGATTGGAAATTTAAGTATAAGCTTGATCGTACAGACCACATCACTACGCTTTTTTGTATGCACCGCACGTGTATCGAGATGCTCAGCATGGGCCGGCCCAACTCCTTTGAACGCTTCTATGGTAACTGGTTGCACAGTGTCGAAAGCCAAGAAGTCTACGCCTTTTTCTCAGTTCTCCATGGCAATCCCCATGTTGCAGCTCCAATTCTCTTTGTAGAGGGGGATAGCGGCGAAGTCGGGGTAGAGAGTTAACTAAGCATTCCGGTATCGAGTACGTTTCCAGTCTCAGAATAAGTAGGTATCAATTGATCGAGAATCATGTGATGCTTCCAAGACTTGCTTTCCATCATACATTGAAAATAGACAAATGGTCATGGTTGGGACATACTTTTCCAATATCAAGATTGATTTTTCCAAAGTTATTGACCATCTCTATAGTTCGCCCTACGCCCTGCAGCAGATTGCCCGATGCGGTTAATGCAGATGAGTCAGCGCGCCCCATGATGAAAGCGCGCCCTCGAGCTGATCGCAACCCTGTCCCTCAAAGACCGTAGACTCTGGTCTCTCTCAATGATGGACGCTGGGAATCCCTCCCTGACATCTTTTCTTTCTTCCCGCTTTCTACGTCCTTTGCTTCGCCCATCCTGATCTCTCACCCCCTTGATCCCACCGCCACCGCGTCTCGCGACACCTGGACAACTTCCCTTCAATTCGTCATTGTTCTCGGGCATCATTTCGACATGAGACTGCTCAACTGGTCGTGGCGCAAGTCGCAACTAGATTCTACAAAAGATGCAGAGTCCTCGGGAGCCCAAGATCCCCCCCGGAGGTACCAAAGGCCGGGAGCAGATCGAAGCTCGTGAAGGTACAGCGCGCCCATGAGACTTGCTGCGCAAAAACTAATCAAGATTTCAATACAGAAGATAACTTCAACCTGGTAATTCCGGGTGCATTCCCGTCCTCGCCACCTCTGTCACCCCGCCTTGCGCCGCTCGAGCGCGATGAGTCCGTTCCCGTGTCTGCGTTCCAGCAAATGGACATTGACATCGCTGAGAGCCCCGAACTTCCGACAGAACTTGGCTCGCATTTACATCCTAGGAGACCGGCGAAGTTTGTGTCCGCGTCAGCTTCAGCCCCTCGACGCACAAGACGCCCGTCCACCCCTCGAACACCTATCCGGCGACCCGCTGCGCAAGATGACATGGCCATCGACGATCCGTGGAACCGCCAGGCTTCGCTATTTGAACGATTACCATTCGGACGGCCGGTATCCGCTGTACAACTTTTTTCACCAAAGCCAAGGCCAATTCCCGCTAACCGTATCGCTTCTATCTACGCGACAGAATGGGAAAAACGAGCAAGGGAAAGCGCAGCTCTGGAAGGCGAGCCTGGTCGCACTGTCAGAATCGTTCCGCAGGGCCCTGCCGTGCGGGAGCTGTCCTGGGATTGGATGAACCAGATCAAAAGAGCTATGAAAGCTCCCCAAAGCATGCCAGTCGCGAAGTCAATCTCTGGAGATGCATTATACCAAAGAGACATTGCCACCTGCATCAACCATCAAGCTTGGCTCAATGATGAGATCATCAATTCCTACCTCGGTATCCTCATCCACTATTTACGCGAATCTACCGGCAATTTGAACGATAAGCCCCTCTTTCACGCTTTCAACACATTTTTCTTCTCAACTCTACGAGACAAAGGCTACCAAGGCGTGCGCCGGTGGGCTAGTCGGGCAAAGATAGGCGGTGAAGGGTTGCTGGATGTCGACACTGTCTTCATTCCCGTGCACGGGGGAGCCCACTGGACTCTGATGGTCGTGCGACCCATGGAACGAACAATAGAGTACCTTGACTCCATGGGCTCACGCGGTGCCAATCAAGTGAAAAAGGTCAAAGAATGGCTGCGCGGCGAGCTAGGAATGAAATACGACGAAGACGAGTGGACAGTGCTGAAATCAAACTCGTCTATGCAGGATAATGGCAGCGACTGTGGCGTGTTCCTTCTCACAAACGCCAAGGCCATTGCACTGGGTGTAGAGCCCACTGCTTTTGGTGCCTCGGATACAATTCTTCTGCGCAGAAAGATTGTCGCAGAGATTATGAATGGCGGGCTCAATGGAGAATTCAGTCCCATTAACAAGGAGGGTCTTTTGCAGCTCTGAGCACACTGTCAAGTGAATAGACCCGTCGACTACCCTACCATTCAACAGTCTTACCTTATACATGTCAGCCTGATGACCAAGGCACTTTCTCGACACACAAATCCCCCCTTCACCCAATATCCATGAGAATATTTTCTCTTTCACCTCCGACTCCTCTTCCACCTCCAACACTGCGATCGCTATCGCACGTGGACACAAGCATGTGAATTTCACACCGAGGCGTTTACGGTTTCTTTTCATTTGATTATTTCGGCGTGCATGGCCGGCTAGAGAAGGACAACAGGAGGGCCACCAGCCATTGTTTCGATTTCGGTTTTCCTTTCCTTATAATGTGCTGAACGAGTTTGAATGATACCCCACGAGCAGAAGTGATGCAAGGAAAGCCTTCGTGGCTTTTTTTACATGTCGCAAGGAATTTAGAAGAGCTTCTACATAACCTTGAAAATAAATTTTGAATTCTTGACACCAATTTCAAATAGACAGGGTAGAAGTAACTACTGTTCTATAAAGTGATTGAGATCAGTTACCCACTTCTACTTGGCATAGGTTGTTAATCTTGGTCGTTTTCTACTACTTGCGTAACGCTATGCCTATTAGGCTTAGTATGTCTCGAACCATGTTCTTGGCAGGTACCCTGGTCAAACGCGTCACTGTCCCTCATCTCCTTGTTAGCCTGTCTGGACACTGGGAAATTTCGTATACTTATCGTTCGTTGGTTACTCAAGACTACATGGTCAGAGAATCATTCACCAATCGCACTTTACCCACAGTCTTTTATTCCATAAGAAAATACCTCTAAGGCTCTGCAGGATAAGGCCAAGGCCCACCGTCTGGGACGCATACGCCCAAGCGACCGAACTGTAAACCACTGCACCGTTCAGATCATGCTGAACCACGAGATAATCTCAATATCCGAACCTGCTGAACGGACTTGCAACACACCAACCCATACAACCGTATTTGACGACCCAGTTGAATCGAAGATTTCGAACCCTATTGATGACGGAGATGCCGTAGGACCTCCCTACGAAGGAGGAACTTACATCATTCGAAACACCCAGACAAAACTTGCAATCACACTCAGAGATTCCCTTCTCTGTCTAGTGCCTCAGGACACAGAAAATGATCGAGCAAGTCACTGGCACTGTGAAGCAGGGACATTAAATTGGCTTGGTTTCTGCAATGCGGTGTCAGGAACCTACATAGGATACAACATCCACGGGAATATCATTGCCGAGGCGAGACACCACCTTTGGTGGGAGTATTGTTCTATACGCCCACATCCTGGTGGTGGATACCAGCTCCTTGTTTTGCACTGGTTTGAGAATAAGCCGATACGAATTGGAGATGAGGGCACACAACTAGTCTTAGGAACGAGAGAAGAAAGAGGTACATCATGGGAGTTTGTGAGAGTGGAAAATGATATCTGAACTCTCGCGAATAATCGAACAGCTACCGACAAGCAGGATTTGATCATCGCTTGCGTGATTCTTTCAATATAAATAGGGCCAGGAAAGCCCCCACAGTATCTGCGTCGATATCAAGTTTATTCTCATACAATCCTCAAATCACTAATCACTGCACCACCAACTTCAAATTACAATTGACAAAGCAGTTAGTCCTTGCTACACTGGTGATTCACATGCTTAATTTGATCTTAGAGACAGGAACTGATACTCATATAGAACAGGCAAGCACCGCGTGGGCTGAGGGAACATGGTGGCTGTGTACTTCTCAGGATACAGCCGTTGCTTACAACGCAAACACATCAGGTCATTTCGAGGATGCATGCAGCGATGTCAGCGGCAAGATGTACAAGTGCGTGTCTAAGAGCTTGGACTTCTTCAGCTACGGAGTACAAGATCAGCTGTGTAAGGTACCGGGAGGAAAAGACTGCGTCTTTGAGCAAAGCTGCAAGCAGCGTGTCTACAAAGCCTCAGCATTGGAGTACGATATCAACAACTGCGCCAATGCTGCTACCATTGGACAAGCCAGTTAGATTGTGAGTTGCGCTCTGTTTATAGTCTCCAAAGATGACTCGATGTGAATTTACTAACGCGTTACTGAAAGGTGAGAACCCCCACTGCAACAAATGAAGGAGATTTTTCGTATACCTTTTGGCCCAGCTTAAGAGTAACGTCGATGGTCAAAATGGAGAGACTGTCAATGATAATATTGAGAGCGTCAAATGCACCTTAACCTAGGCTTTCCTTGTTTCTCGTGATATCACGCCCTGCTGTTGTGAGATCTACCTCTAAGGATCCAAAGCAGAGAAATCAAGGGTGGAAGAGGTTAAAATAGAGGCAACGAGTTAACGATGATAATGAAAATGATCCTGGAAGTTTTACCCGTGGGTAGCTAGTGATAGTAGTGACAATGCCCATTGAAGCATCATCAAATTGAGACAAAGGAAAATGTAGGAATACAAATAGAGAAATCAACCACCTACGCCACGACTGCCAAGATGTAGTTCATCAATGTTACAAACACGATTGCAATGAGACTCTATCGGCTTCTCAGGTTTCTGGGGGTGTTGCTTCTTCCGGCACTTCCGGCCTTTCTTCCCTTTTTTGCATTTGCCCTGCTTCTTTTTCTTTTTCAGTCCAGTCAAGGGGTCGATCTCCGGCATCCAGGACTCTTCCCAGATGTACGCAAACTCAGAGGTGGCCACATTTAAAAGAGACTGCCGGTGGCCACCATGTTGTTGCGAAGAAGGGATATATTTGGAGCCATCGGAGGATCGATTGTAAGCCATCTCAATATATTCAATCCCCAGGTATATGCTGTCACCAAGTCTCATGTCTCCAGTCCAAGCGCCTCCATCACTCCAGAGATTGATGACCAGTCTGCTTTCCATATTGGGGACGCGGTATGTCTTGGCTTCCTGTGGCTTGTCGTTCACCCACCAGCGCGATACTTCAGAGAGCCAATCCAATCTGTGAGTTGACCAGTTTGTCCATGGGACATCCAGATCTGCAACTGTGCTAGCTCCGGGGATCATCCCATCGGTCTCGGGATCGTAGTCTGGCTGGTTTGCATAGCGCACGCGATATGAAGGATCACTTGTCAGGATCTCGATGTCTGATTCGCAGTTTGGAGGCCGATAAGTGAAGATACCAACACATGCACCTGATGGAGGTTTGCCAGCTTCGACTGGGGCTGTCAAGTTGCCTGGGACCGTGCTGTTCTTCGAGGGTGAGATAGAATTCCGTGGCTGATGCAACGGCGACTCCATTGGATATAGAACCGGCACATCGGTAGGCAGAATGCGGAATCTGACTCGTATGGAACAGCGGTAGATATTTCGCATTCGAGTCTCAATTTCCGCAGTGGAGCTGTAGTTGTCATGGCGGATGGTACGAAGGACGAGAAATGTTGCATGAGGGTCTCGTTGTCCACGGTTCTTGGTGATAAAGACATTACGCTTGGAGTTGATCATGTCTACCGGGGCGTTGGAGCTGCGAGGACGCTCCCATTGCTGAATCTTCCAGTCCTCGTTGAAAGGAGAATCAAAGAACCAAAGGGTATCAAGATGAATTTCTTGCTTGTTTCCATCGTGGCCTTTGCTGTCATGTCCTTTGTCCCATCCAGGGGAACTCAAGTCATCCTTATCGGCTTCATCGTCAGCGTCGCTTAATTGACCTGGGCTGGAACCAAGAGGAACGGCACGAAAGTCCCAGAGCTTGTAGTGTTGGAAGTAGCCGGGGTCGGGACCTGACACCGTGAAGCAGTCACAGCGTTCAAGGTCCTTCCTTGGAAATGGCTTCGTTGGCGGGCTGACAGGAGGACTTGGAGATGAGGAGACGATCGTTCCGAAGAAGACATAGGTCCCGAGAATGCCTAAAGACAGGGCACCTTGCTTCATGGTGGGCGAGTGGGTTTTAGGACAAGCTTGAGGAAGAGTAAAAGTTCCCCCAAGCAATCCAATAGTCGGTAGTCATTTTCAGGGTGTCTGGACTCGAATTGTGCAGCAGTGAGGAAGTCGCGATGCTGAGGTTAGGGCATCATGGTTTCCTAATCGGGAACACCTTGAACATCACGTCAGATGTCCCAGATTTCCGGGGATCATGGATAGTAGTGCCTACGGCCATATTTGAAAACTAATAACCTTGAAATTATTCTACCATCGGATCCTAGACATAAGAAAATATGCTATTTCGAGGACGTGAGAACAGAACGGTATACTGTAGTTGTGTTGGATCAAGACAGTCAACTGGCGACATGTTGGTAATGAGATGTCATTTTAATTACCTCGCGTCATCACACGCAGAGGCAGCCCTGCTGGATTTTAGCGCCAACTGAGTGAAAACCTTCCAGCGTATGCATGATACGGGCTACACGACCCACGAAGACCAATGATACGAGGTGGCAAGGTTTTTCGGGCGCCCAAATGCAAGTCAGCTGCGCCATGTCGCACTAGTCATGCGCCAAGCCTAGTCCGTGCTCGGGTAATGTACTGTCACGGCTGGTATTATATCAATCATGCTGTCTTCCCTTTGGTTTTCTGGATATTTGGGCTGGAAAAGTAGGTCGAAATGGATTCACAGCATGATTGAGTCAACAAGCAATAGTCTAGACTCAGAATATGAATGGTCGGCTTTGATGATGGGTGAGTAATGCTGTGTCGAGGCGTGTCGGCCCGGATGCAGTCTGACTGGTGAGGGCGGCACACAGTGGCTAGCAGTGCGACCCCCCTTCCTTCGTCGCCCTTTTCCTTCGCCCTCGCCTCACAATAGCAACTTCTACCACGATCCCCACCGACAAAATGGACGATATGCGACTCTAGATATGATCTCGCCATCTATACAACCATTAAAACTATACTGCCAACATGCCCACAATGACCACGCTGGAGAGGAGTCACTCCTGTGCCTCCAGCACTTCGCTCTCCATGTCCAGTCCGCGACCATCTCGACGCGAAACCACACCGCCTGGCTCCGAACTGTCCCTCTTCCATCTCCATGACCGCATGAATCAGCTTGACTCGCGTGTGCTCGAACTTCGATCTACCGTCCTTACTAAGGATGGCTATGTCGACCGCCGGAACCGCGAGGATGAGCACATCCGTCGTGAATTCGAGACCCACCGTGCTATCTCCCACCGTATTGACCTCAACGTCGTGGCACTACGCTCTGATGTCGACCAGATCAAGACTAGTATCTTCCAACTGAAGAGTAGTCTTGGTCAGTCTGGTACAGAGACGGTGTTCCTCCGTGGTGATGTCGATCGGATGCAGAAGAGTGTGGATCAGCTTCATGTCGACTTGGAGCAGATTAGGACAGATTCGTGTGCCACACGGATTGACATTAGCAAACTCCAAGCTACATCTAGTCAGCTTCGCACTGATTTGGTTACCTTGGATCATAAAATGTCACGCCAGTTCCACCACTTGAACTCGCGTATGGACTCTTTGGAATCGGGCGTGAACTCAATGAACTCGCGTATGGACTCTATGCAATCGCGCATGAGACACTCCGATCGTGTTCGTTTCAACTCTCTCGCCCACACCATTCTCGCTCCTATCAGCCCTGTCCCTGTCATCACCGATGACGGTGCTCTTGAATGGCCCAAATACTTCCCGCGTACGGTTTGGAAGTTCTGGTGTCTCAAGAAAAGAAGTCGAGGTACGCGTATATAAGTAGATCACTTCCCCTTTCCCCTTTTTAACATATATTTAGTTCATCGTCTGGTTGAACTCGCCGAATTCTATGAACTGGGTGGTTACCAGGATTGGTCTCGGATGCATCAGACCGACATGTTTGCCGACAGTGACTCAAGTGACTCCAGTGATGGATCCTTTGTTATATCTCGGGAAGAAGCTGTTCGTCGCTTCCCCGAAGCCGCACACCAGGCACTCGCCGCCACTCTGGGTCTTGTGTACTACAAGATTCGCAATGAGGTGGGCGAAGGCCCCAATGCCGTGCCTTCTCGTCCGCTGAAGCGTCAGCAAGAAGACGTTGCTTCTGCAAGCACAGGTTCCAAGTCTAAGCCTGTAAAGATGCCGCGTCGACCTAGTGTTTCCGACACTTTCTTGCAACGGTTGATTAATGGTCCTTCCGTGGCCGAGTCTCAGTCATCCGTATCCGAGGAATTTGACAAGTTGGGGTGGAACGCATTTTCAGATGTCTCCGAGGACGCGATGAGCAAACTGCGATCAATTGACCCGCAAGATATTGGAACCGTCCTTCGTGCTTTGGAACAAGGTCGTCTCAAGTTGAAGCCCAGTGGATCTGAGAAGGCGCGCATGTCTCCCACTGAGTCTAAGGCCAGCCATGGACTCGGCAGATCAGTTGAACAGCCCGATGTGCCTACTGTGCCAAACACTGTTCCCACCCAGCCTATTTCTTCACAGTCCAGTAAGGCTAAGCCTGCTTCTGTGCCCGACATTCCTGAGACTGCGTCCGATTCGGACAGCTCAACCTCTTGATTGGTGTGACATGAAGATTTGCTTCTGATTCACAACCTATCTTATACCCCACCTTTTGGATTGGATTCATGTCTGTAAAGAGGTCATACCTCACAGCATCGGTGCTATTCAAGAGTATACCCATCTCCGGATGGATGACGCTTCCTCTGAGGTGAATACCCACGAGCTTATAGCCCGTGAGGTCCCCTTGTGCATAGCACAGCATCTCATCCGCAATATCAACATTGCGGTTGAAGAAGTCCAGAAGTCCAACAGGCTCTGCCTATTTCAAGGTCTCAAAGGTCATGGGACGTTGAAGTAAGAACCCTGAGTGGCTGCATATATACGGTGTCATTTGTTTTGGATCTTGGATTTTGATTTATATCTGCAATTTGAGCGATTTCTGCATTGCATAGCATATCCTTGGATTATATTCTTGGATCTGGAGTTATTGTTTTTGTGTTATTTAGTTGAAATACCCTTGGGATCTTTTGGGTGTTATCGATCTTTGTGATCAATTTGATTAACTCCTTGGTGGTGCAGGTCTCCTGGCCCATCGATTGAGTGATTTTTGAAACCGTCTTAACCTCGCTTCGCTAGCCTTGTATCCTGCCCTCAATGGGCTCCGCTCGAGCCGCGCCGAGCATCGACCGCCCTGATGTCTAAACCTGCGAGTTCTGTCTCTGGGTTGTCGATGATACTATTGCAGACCTGCTCTGTAAACACGCCACATCACGCCTAAGCTTACGATGACGATCACCAGTGAACCTCGTGTCTTCGGTCGCCCAATTCTCTAGCAGGTCCTACATGGATAAGACCAACTGTATGCCCTGTCCCGAATGCAAATAACTGACATGCAACGCTAGTCTATCGTACACTGCATAAACGCCCGTAATTATGTCCAGATGTCGGATCTCGTTGGAAGAAACCCGTCTTTGAATAGCCATGCATATAATGAAGTTATGCCTCTTCCTCAGGCACAGTCTCAAATAAATCTTGCTTCAACACTTCCATCACCTTTTGCTCATCAACATTCCCAATGTCCTTGGCACCATGTAGTTCCGCGTCATTGTTCATTCCCGCGCCTTCGTTCTCTGATTCTGCAGCCTCTTCGGGTACGGCTGTTCGTAGATATTCTTCTTCTAGGATGAAACGAGATTCTTCCTCACTTGCGGCTAGGGTTTCCGCGGATTCGGGGAGGACGTAAAGGGTAGGGAACTCTAGGACTGTTCGTTCGCGCAGGGCATTTACCAATGTTGTTTGTGGGGGTATAGGGACCAGGACTGGTTTTTTGGTAGATGTTCGGGGGCGGTGGAGGTAGAAGTATACGCCGCGGTGAGAGGTGATGGGAAGATCGGATTTTGGTTCTTCTCCTGGGGCTGTAGATGTCTCCGCTGCTTCTGAAACCGGCTCTTTCTTGGTGATTGAATCCGTGGCTTCGGTCGTAGTTGCAACAGTATCGGTCGTGGTGACATCGTTCTGCTCATGGACCATAGAGCTGTTCTGCTGCTCGCCTTTTTGTCCCCGATTGGGATCCCAATTGGGTCTTTCTTCCTTTGGGATCGGGTAGACACCGTCGTATGCCTGAGCTAGAGTGCGCGTCTCAAGGCTGTTGCAGACCATTTTCTCTCCAGAGGTCGGTACCCATTCCACAGTCCAGCTAAGGCACTTGTGTCTGTAGAATAAAATTAGACCCAATCTCATAATTCTTCGACAGTGATTTCAACATACTTGGGATGCCACCTGGACGTATTCTGCTTATTCCTCGTCATGCCCCTCGGCGCGCGTAGAACCTTAACGGCGCCAGCCTCTGCTCCGCGCAAGAATCCAGCTTCACCCTTCACAAGACCCTGGCCCGGGTGCTTCCTTTTGCGTCCAGCGCCGGGTTCAAGGGATTCCTCCGCCTCTTCGCCATCTGCAGCGCTTCCACGTTGAAGTTCAATACCTCTGTTTTCGGCATCTCTGTCGGCACGCTCCAGCGAGCGCTCAATGCCCGAGATGAAGTTGAAGTCACGGTCAAAGGCCACTTCTGTGGCTAACTCGCTACGCTTGAGGTAGGCGCCCGGATCGCGCACACCGGAACATTGCGACCAGAGCTTGTGGCGCCTCGTGCAAGGGAGGGAACAGGTTCGTGTTGAGCAGCGCGGACAGCGGTATTTCGGCGGGTTGATGTGGCTGGAACGGGCAATTATGTTAGCATTTCAAGGTGGTGGCATATGAAGAGACGATCAAGCTCACCAAATCGAGCAGAGCTCACTCAGCAACGGGTCAGAGTCGTCCATGTTGTGAGTTGGTTGGTTGAGATGATCGGACTTGGTCGCGGAGCTAGAAATTTGAGTGCTTATCGATAACGAATTGCTCGCAGCCTCAGGCAACACTGCGCTCCACAGACAAGCTATATAGAGGCATTTCTAGGACCGAAAATTCGGCATTTGGCATGGAATAATGTTATTGAAGCTAATTAAAAAAAAAAGTTCGAGATGATAGAATAATCCGATAATTGTGTGGGCGTCCCACTCCCGAAATGAGATCATCCAAGTGAGTGATGATCAATCACCTCCGCATTTCTAAGCATCGGCGAGTACGTTATTGCCGACACGCCGTATTTATGTAGCTTACTTCTCCTTGCCCAACCTTCTCCCACAACCGACGGTTGAATTGATCGAAACAACATAATGGCATCCAAGGCACTTGCAATTATCGCTGGCGTGGGTCCTGGTACAGTATGCCTCCCAACAACGGCGTTCAAGACAGTATCCTAACAAAGACTATAGGGCGCTTCCATTGCTAGGCGCTTCGCTCAAACATACTCTGTCGTGCTTCTATCTCGAAACCCCGACAATTATGAGCCTCTTGTCCAGGAGATTAACTCCAAAGGTGGGCAGGCTATCGGCATCAGTACCGATGTCTCCGATGCGAATAGCGTCAACGCTGCATTTGACCAGATTGCGAAGCAGTTTCCTGACTCGGTCTTGGCCGCTACTATTTTTAATCCCGGTGGTGGAATGGTCAGAAAGCCTTTCCTTGAGCTCACGGAAGATGATTACTCTTCGGCTATAAAATCGCAGGGGTATGTACACCCGGCTTCCTGAAGCTGCCTCGATTTTCAAGACCGCCATGTCTGTAGTAGGTAGCTGACAATTAACAAAAGCAACGGAGGCTTCAACATTGCCAAGCGCGCCCTTCCCCTTCTGCTCGAAGCTAAAGACTCAATCCCTCATCCACCCACTCTGATCTTCACCGGCGCCACCGCCAGTCTGAAGGGGTCGGCCAATTTCGCAACATTTGCCTCGGCCAAATTTGCTCTACGTGCTTTGGCGCAGTCTCTTGCCCGTGAATTCGGACCTAGGGGTATCCATGTGTCCCACGCCATTATCGATGGTGTGATCGACATCCCGCGTACCAAGGCCTGGGCCTTTGAGCATGAGGATGCGAAGCTGAGTCCCGATGCTGTAAGTATAATAACAGTCTTCTGGTTTTGGACTTGAGATGAGAACTGATTTTATGTCTGTTTAGATTGCGGAATCGTACTGGCATCTGCATACTCAGCCGCGGTCGACTTTTGCTTTTGAGCTGGACTTGAGACCGTATGTCGAGAAGTGGTAAAATCATCACTGAATGAACTTATCTGTCAGATTTAATAAATTGAATCATTTGCAAACACGCGTCAATACGAAACTTAGATAAAACGTTGGATAGTTCTAAAATGTTGTAGATGATACTGATCCAGTAGGCCCACAGTCCGGAACTAAGGTACTTGGGGCTTTTGGTACATATTTTTCTTACGCACCTGTTGATTGTGCCTCTGTTTCTCGGCCTTGCTTAAATGTTGTAATGGTCAGTATCCTGTTCTCAATTCTATGTTTTCTCAGCTTCTGCCTCAGGTGTCAAATATTTGCGGCGGGAGAAATATGCTGACTCATCCCATAACGTCACTAGAGGCTGAAGCTCAGCTTCCTCATTTCAAACAACGCAACAGAGCTCACTGCCCCGACAACTTCAACCTGCGAGCGTCACCATGGTCCTAGAAGGCGCCCCGCCCGAGGCAGCCTTACCACCGAACAACAATGCCGTACCCAGTTCACCCGGCGGATACCTCACCCCAAACCCGGCCTTCGCCAGGTACTTTCCGTTGCAAGTCAAACCGGAACTGGCGGTGAAGCCGGACTTGTTCACTCTGTATTTTGGATTTTTCGGCGTAAACAACTGGAGACGCAATATCGCAAGCCATCTCACCGACCGCATCGAGACCCAATGGATCGTGACAAATCGCTACCCCACACAAAACGAAATGGACGTTTACACCACAGCCACCTCGCGTGGCCTGTATTATAAAACCATCGGCCTATCGGCCTCTGCCTTCCTCGCGACTGGGTGGGAATTTCGCAGATTGACCAAGTCACCTGCATGGCCTGGACTCGCGCCGACGCCTTCGGAGTTTTGGAGACTCCTAAAGATAACCACTCAGGTCAATGGCAGCGTCTTCCTCCAAAACGCCGGAAGATCTGCTTTTAGAATTCTCTTCTTCACCACCACTGGCTGGATGGTTACAGCTTTCATGGGAGCATATTCTGATGCTCAGACTGTGCTCATGGACCCAAGCATGGACGACTTTAAGCAGGACATAAAACACATCTCCCAAGAGGAAATTAGAAAGCGCAGGTTGTTCGCGGCTGTTGATGGGGCCCGCAGACGCAAAGCAGGCGAGGTGGATATCACTGGACAGATTGTCGAGCGCTTGAGCGGTCGCGGTGGTTATGACCAGGGTCAGAGCAACTACGATGACTCTGCTTCTCCCACCGCACTGTATGAGAGCGACAAATCCGACAACACGTCTCAGTATGACCAGGAAAATTATTCGACTGGTCAATCGCAGCCGCAGGTTTACGGCACATCCCGAGGAATGGCCAACGAGCCCACTTCCCAATCAGACTTAGGAAACGACTTCTTCTTTGGTGGTAGTGGTGACGATGCTAGTCCCACTGCCCCGGAGTACCGCAACACCAACCCCGACGGCTCCTCTACTGGCAGTGTATGGGACCGTATCCGACGGCAGAATGTCGGACCCTCTCAGCAGCCTCCTGCCCGTCCTCGCATGCAACAATGGGGCCAGCCACAGAATGCCTCTGGGTCAGAATATGCTCCTTCCAACAATCAGGATCGATACAACATGGAGAAGAGACGCGACAAGGAGCAAGCACACGCTGAATTCAATCAGATCGTGGAAAATGAGAAGAACGCGTACAGTGACACATCTGCTCAGAATCGGGGATGGGGCTCATGAACTTTCATTCATCTCATCTCTTATGTATACTACCATCGATTTCCTAGCGTTGATACACCTTGACAAATGAACTGAACTTCTCAGTGAACTCATGACACTGATATTAGCCTTCGCAGGCAGTAGCTTTAGATACAGTAGCCCTAACAACGAAATAAAGCAAACGCTCGAACAAGGTCTTGTCGATCTGCAATTCTGATAGCGGGGTGATTCCAACGAGACTCAATATGGTATACGAAAACGAAAGAAAGAAAGAAAGAAATGTCTGACGGATGGGGTTTGTGTAGGAGCAGGAGAAATTCCAAAAAAAGTGACATATGCAATGTGTACAGAACAAAAGAGAGTGAGGGTATAGGAATAGATGGAGTCGATCAGCGGAGGGGCATTCAAAGAGCAAAATTCAGCAAAACATTCTGCGCTAAACATCAAAACATGGCAAGTATTCATCAAAAGCATGCAAAAAGCAAACATGGGATCAGTTTAACATGACAGAAACTCCAGTATAAGTTCAAAGGAAACTCGTCAAATCACCCTTCACATAAGCAGGGCCTTGACTCGACGAAAAATGCCCATGCGAATGAACACTCTCATACGGCATCTCGGTATCGTGATGACTCGTCCAAGGCTCCACGCTGCGGCTATTACTTCGCATACGAGTCAAGCTGCGCAATTTATTTGTGAAGCTCTCGTTCGAGCTTCGATTCCGCCGATGGTCGAAAGACATCCGTCGTCCAACAGCTTGACGAGTCTCAGTGCTGGTCAGAGCTGGAGCGGCTGTCATTGCGCGGGGCAGGAGATGTCCCATTTCGTGATTATCGATGGCGATATCGATTGTAGCCGAAGACTCGCGAGGTGAGACTGCTTCGTGGAAGGGTGCTGGGGGTGGTGGTGGGGGCGTGTTCTTCAGGTGTTGGAGTTCGGGGAGGATTGGGGGTGGAGGAGGAGGCGGTGGGATTAGGTCAATTTGTGGCGCGGAGGGTCTATACTGCATTGCGTTTTCGATTGTTTCTTCGATGCTCACGGTAACATGGGGTGATGTGCCTGAGGATGTGCGTCTGTGACCCATGCGGCTGCGACTGTTTGAGCGGCTTCGAGGGAGATTAGGGTTGAAGCGTGGGTGCATTGGGACGTCGGAGGGTATGGTGCCGCCTCGGTGGTGTTGATCTTGAGGTACTGGGACGGACATTGAGCGGCCGATTCGTTCGGCTTCGCCTTGGTACCTCGCGTCTGTTAAGAGGAGACTTCCGAAGTTGTCTGTTGGGAGAGCTGGAACGGATGGAGGGCGAGCTTCTTCGTATCCGCCGCCGTACTTGGGATGACGCATTGCTCGAGGAGTTGCAGGAAGTCCGACTGGCATGCCTGAGCGAGACGAGCTGGAATCCGAACTGCTTTGATACTCTGGCGAGTTCTTGCTTGGAGGAATCTTGTTTCGAGATGGGACTCGAGGGAAGTATGAATTGCCATGGAATGGAGGTGGGCTTTCCACTGGTGTTCGAGCGGACTGCAACTCCCCGGGGAATGGAATATTAGGCGCGGAGGGATGGCGAGCAAGAGACAGTCGACGGGCCTCGAGCTCAGCAGCTGCCAGTTCTCGTCTCTTCCTCTCTGCCAGGCTGACAAAAGGCGTCGTTGGAGATACCAGATCCTGAGCCTCATCGTTGGAATCAGACTTGTGTTGGTTCATCGCATCGGCGAAAACATCAACTTGGCCAAATGTTTTGGCACTCAAAAGCTCCAGGCCTTGCGAATCAGCAGGAATCTGCGGTTTAGGTACCTGACGGATCTCAGGTTGACTATACGAAACCTTATGTCCGGACTTGGACTCTGTTGATGGGTCTCGTTTCGAGCTTGCTCCTCGACGACGACTAGCGCTTCTGTGACGTGAGCGTAGACGTTTCTGATTTCCAGTCACAATTCTCAATGGGTCGTCCGCATTCTCTTGCGGGGATGAATCCTGGGTTGGAAGAGACATTGGCAGCGGCGACGATGGGGATCGGACAGTAGAGCTCTGTCGGTCGACACTGCGGCCACGCGAAGAAGGATCATTCTTGTCTCCACCAAATTGGGCTGTTTTGTTTCGACTGGAAGAACGCTGGCGACTGCGTGATCCTCCCTTCCTCATTTTGCTGCTGCTTCTAGCGCGCGACTGTGTCTTTCTAGGCTCTTCTGTCTTGCCTGGTTCTCCGACATGGTATCGAGCCAGCTCTTCAGGAGACATGGGTATGGGAGATGAAGGTGATCGTTTCGCAGGTTGGATGTATCGTCGCTCGTTGCGACCACGGCTTTCTTGTGATGGATCACGAGGGTGGTGAGTGCGTGAGCTTTGGCTAGCTGTTTCATCTGTATTTCCCCTCTCACGGCCATGGCTGCGATGACCTCGATGCTTTTTTGAATGGTAGTTTGCCTCTTCCAGACTGCTAATGTACTGATCGATACTGCGTCCACTGACACTGGGACTTTTTGCCGAGCTGTAGCTGTTCAAAGTCGAAGTAGTACTCTTTGCACTAGGAACCGGAAGCAAGTCTGATTGATCGTGGCCGTCTGCAAGCAATTCTTCCGCGTGCACGAGCTCAATCTGAAGTCCGTCTGGTTTGCGATCGCGCGAGCCATTTCTGATATCGGAATACTCTCTGAGTGCTTCAATCAGCCCGGGCCCTGGAGACGGAAGACCTTTAATAGATGCAAATTTCTCGGCAGCCTGAACAGCAGTCTGGGGACTTGGCTTGAGAGACTCTCCCTCTGGAGCGTATCTTGTAGCAGACAGTAAAAGACCACCGTCACCACCTTGCTCATCTTGACTTGGTTCTTGGCCACTTGTCTCATCATTTTCAGAAGTTGATCCATAACCAGATTTTTGGTAGGATCCGGAACGTGAGAACGAGGGCGGGTGTACATCTACTGGGGTCTCTCCTATCGAGGGAAGACGACGGCGGTTCCAGGCCGGAGTACCGGATCTGGAAGTCATAGCTTGGCTGAGGCTCTGGATATTATTCAATTTCCAGGATCCCAAGCCGCCGGGAGACAAAGCAGAGTCAGCAACAGCAGATTCTGCAATGGGGGTAACACCCGGTGCATTCGTTGGTGTTCGGTCATCTGATTTGAGGCCCGGGAATCGGAAACGCTGGTTTGGTTGCGGATCAAACGATGTGATAAGCTTCAGTGCAGGAGTTTTCCCAGCCGGCCGTTGATTCGATGCTGACTTGGGTCGATTTGGAGGCAACATGAGATTTGAGCTGGATTGCATTGGATCGGGAGACGCAAGTGGTGACTTTCCTCGGATGATTTCTGCAAAGGAAGCAGCTTGCTGAGCAGCTGGTGAAGTCCATGGCTCGGTAGGCTCAGCACCAGTGCACATGAAACAGCGAATGGCAAGTTGCTGCTGAGAATGAGATACCACATACTCTCCCCATCGGCGGACAAGATATGATTGACGCTGCCAGTCCGATGGCATCAGAAGACATGTCATCAAAATGGCCTCCATGAAGTGGTTACGAGACACGTAGACCTCAATTGCATCGTTGCTGTCTCCAAGGCCGAGAAGGATCGACGCCGATGTGTGAACATCCCCCATCTCCAGCAACTTTTGTACAAAGGCTTGGCCAACCTTGTTCGCTTGAGCGTGGCCGCTCATTTGACTCAATGCTAATAACATCCAGTCCACGGTCGTCACTTGCCCGGAGCTTATCATGGCAGCCATCTGGTCTGAGTCTGTCTCGCCAAGCCATTGGGTTAGAAGAATGGCACTTTGGCTTCCAACTGCATGTCGGCTCACTATTTATGTTGTTAGCAAATTTAATGTCTGGGCGTAGGGTGAAACATAGAACATACACTCATCCCTGATCAAATCTTGAATATCTCCTTCCCATCCGAAAACCACACTCAACATTTGCTGCCGCAGATCTTCAGGTGTCAAATGAGTCTCATCAAGAGGCGGAGCCTGCTTGTAAGGCACATCGTTCAAGCGTGCGCGAGTAAAAGGGAAAAGATCAACAATATTCTTCTCGGCAGGACTCATGTGGACTTCATTGCGCAATCGAGATGCAGCACGGGAGCTTTTCACCGAGGACATCGACACCGAAGATGCGTACTGGAAAGATGCCGAGGGTTGCGGAGTATCTCGACCAGCCGAAGTTAACGAGAAGGTAGTGGCACTCTGGCCAGATCGACTAGGTGGTGAGAATGGTCGGTCAAGCTTGTATCTCCCAGAGGAAGCTTTCGAGCTAACAGATTCAGTTCGACTCCTTGAAGAAGCTGGGCTGATGAGGTCTGCTCGTTGTTGGCTCACGCTGTCCATGCCATTTGCATCGAATGGTGTTCGTCTTCCGTGTCCTTTTTCTCTGATGTTTGGAGGGTCTTGAAGGCGACGTGGGGACATTGTACGTGATCGACCATTCTCGGATGCTACAGGTCGGGAAGGGATTGGGACGTGTTGCACGTTGGCGACCATTGCCGGGTTATCGAGATCATACTGTTGTACTGTATTCTGGGGGCCAATGGTGAAGAGTGTTGCCGTAGGGCCATAATTGGCCATGCCTCGGACCCCATCAATCGTGGGAATCGGCTCGTAGGTTACATGCTTTGTTCGAACATCCCAGGACCAAGTTTCACTATATTGAAGAAAGTCGTTAATTCGGCCCCATGGTACAAGCCAGAGGATTGAGCCCGACTTACCCTTCCAGATATTGAATGATCCTTCCATTTTTTGACCAACACATCCACTTGGGATCCGCGGAATTCGAGTCTGATCTTTTCAGCACCCGAATGACCCGCGGTGATTCTTTGACAGGTGGTTTCGCCACACTCCAGACCCTTAAATCACCATTCGAAGATTGTGTTGCCAGCATGTCCGATTTCTGTTTCGATGAAGACGCATGCCAGGCAAGCGAGAGAATCGGCGAAGGTCCGCGAGAGGTTGTCAGTGTGTGGAGAATTGTAAATTGGGGAAGGAGATTCGCAATCAAGATAGACCCATTTTGGTACCTGGTACATAACATTAGCTTTACAGTTACTGTCATGCATTTTCGATGTATCTCAATACCCAATCGCATAAGTCCGACAATCTGTAGCTGGTGCAAGTGCTGTGATTGGATCGAATATCGTGCGCGCAGAGATGTGCTCAGAAGTAGGAGGCTCGAATAGAATCACTTCGCCTTTTCCATTTCCTGGGCCATAATCAGTAACCGACAATCGGGCAAGTGCACAAGCTATAGCATACCAAATGCAACACTGCCATTTCGCATCCACGATGCAACTCGCAAATGCTCGAATGAGGCAAATCTTGCAATCTCTGTACCGGTGAAAATATCCCACACGATAGCCGTTTGTCCCACATCGTAACTGACGACCAATCGGCCTGCACCACGCTCGCTCACATTGTCTACCGATATAAATTCGACATCTTCCTGGTGGCTATCGAAACGACGTTCCACAGCTAGCGTATCATGGTGAAGGCACAGGATAGTCGAGCTCTGCGCATATAGAAACAGCGAGGCCGTGGAGGCACAAGGCTCGAAGCGAGACTCCGGAGGCGGGGGCGCCATAGCTCTAACGGTCTTCAAGGGTCGCGATTCTAGTACCAAGCTTCTATTCCATGTCAACTCGGCCATTTTGTACATTTGCGAGACCAATGTGTGGGGAATATTGGAGTTATCTGCCGGAACGGCCTTGCGCGGCAACGATCACGGCCACCAGATCAGAGCAAAAGAACCGCAGAATTCCGGGAAAGAACTCCACGAGGGAGTCACAAAGAAGAAGAAAAATTTAAATCACTGACCTGACTAGCTCTGACCAGGGGGGTCTACTAATCGGTCACGACCCAGAATACCGCTCAAGGCAAAGGAAAGCAGAGTGACCAGGTAACGCCAGGCATTGGGATTGGGAGTGGGAATGCCGACTTAGTGCTTGGCAGGGAAGTTTCGAAGGAAGTGAGGCAGCTGCAGGTTGGTAGCGAAGATCCAGACCCTAATAAGGCACAGAGCGAGATGTAGGCGTTATGCGACCAGGCGAGAGCGGCGTAGCTAGGGTGCCGTACCGGGGGTTGTCTGTAGGTAATATCAAGATGCAAGAGCACAGGGATTAATTTTTGCGAGGATGACTCGCCACGTTCATCACACTTTGGAGCGTTTAGCGTGGTCGGAGGGGCTCGAGATCTGTGACAGGACGCGGGGTGGAGAGAAGTAAGGTACGGTGGCAGGGGCCCTCGGATGTATATATTATCTACGGTGTATAAGCCTGGAGCCTTGGGAGCGGTTACAAAAGGGACTTGGTAGGACAGAGAGCTTCTACGAAAAGGAGAGGGGGTAAGTCGATCAAAATCTCAGGATTCAAGCAATCGGGGTTGGCGCCGGGGTTTGGCAGGGCGCTTCATTTCACGACGGACCATACAGTCGCCGTACAGTAGTGGCAGTGGCCCGCTGGTGCAGTGGCCGAGCACCCACCGCCCCGTGTGGTAGAATCGCAGACGAGGAGAGCATCACATCATTAGCGGAGACGGTGAGATCGAGCCCATTTGGTGGCTGGGGTGCGTGGCTCTTGTGCTGCAGATGTGAACCAACGAGGATGAAGAAAGCACGAGTTCCGAAGTTAGTCGATGCAGGTAGCTCCCGAATCACAGCATCAATCAACCCTGGGCCCAAGTGGGTCTAAATCTAGTTGTGACCTACAAGATATTCTATAGTTCCCAGTAAGAAGCTATAGTAATACTTGCAGTATGAGAGAGGTCTCACACCTCTCCAAACCCCAGACTGACCTAAGGTGTCCGAGTGAACTATCCGATGGACAACAGTTAGGGACGAAAACGGGAAACAGAGAGTGTTCTGAGACAGATGTGATGGGGATCCGTGCAGAGAGTTGACAAGCTGCACCTTTCGTCACCTTCTCCGCCAATCACATCCCGTCGCTGCTGATCCCTCGGCGCCTACAACTTCACCCCTCAACCAATGCCTGCATGGATTTGCCTTATTTGCAAAAACAGGGCTAGGCAAGCGTCACTCCTGAGAGACCTTCACCAGCCTATGAACTACCCGTCACTGCGGAGAATAATCTGAAATATCGGTTCCTCCCGGTAACTCGGGAGTTTCATCTTCGTTTCTGATGCTGGACGTCGATCTCACGAATGCCTTCTTTTGAGTCTACTATACATGCTAGAGTCCGATCTGCCCCTGCCTCCCATGAGCACGTCGTATGTGATGTGACGATGTGCTCGAAAACCGGGCTGTTGCTTTCATGCACTCCAGGCACATCTATCGGGCGTTCTTACGGGAGCTTGGGCCCCTGTGACTGCAGATGAAGATACAGCATCGGAGCCACGGAGTACTTTGCAATCGAGCTTGACTTAGGTCGGGTTCTCGCCGTTGCACGAACCTGTGATCGGTCCAATTGGGGCCGGGATTCCATTAGTGACGATGTATAGTCCGATAAGATGCCGGTGTCGGGGGAGAGATCATGGGAGTGACCCAAAATATCTTGGACGCTCGCCACAATCGACCAAAGAAAATGCGATCTTTAAACATAGCTTATATGCTAAGCCTCGTATTCCAGAACTTCTCCAGTCACGCTACCTAACGCACCGTTTGGAAGATTCGTCCCACCATGACCACATCTGCCCGCTATCATCTGATCACGTAGGCGGGGCTTATCTTCCCCGGACTCGGCCTTGACTCATGCAACCCTGGACCCTCCCACGCTTTCCTCCGACCATAGATCGTAGAATCGCACTCTTAAGCCGGCCACCCCCGAATATGGCCGAGTTCGAGACTATTGTGGTTGTAGGGTAAGTTAAGTCGCAGCCTTGAATATTGGAGACCTGCGGGAATACCCACCACAACGTCAAACTCAGCTGACCCATATCAGTGCAGGTGTCGTCGGACTATCAACCGTACTATGCATCCAACAATATCTCAAGCCCTCGCAATCGGTGCTTCTAGTAGCGAGGGATTTTCCGTCTGACACGTCTGTCAACTATGCATCGCCATGGGCCGGGGCTCATTATCGTCCCGTGCCCGGCTCCTCCCCACAAGCGCTCCGTGAGGCAAAGCAGGCGCAGCGTACTTATGAGTTCTTTAAAATATTAGCCGTCAATGAGCCAGCTGCTGGTATCATCTTCCTCAAGGGCGTGGAGCATCTCGAGGCTCCGCCGCCAGAGTACTTGGACTCCCAGAGTGCGCACAATGTCTATTCCCACCTGGATGAGTTCCGATACTTGTCGGATGATGAAGTACCCGCAGGAGTAAAATGGGGTGTGGAGTATGGCACATATGTGGTGAACTCGCCTGTATACTGTGCGCACATGCTGCGTAAGTTCATCTTGAAAGGTGGCACCACGAAACGATATACCCTCGCACATTTGAAAGAGGCCTTCTCTCTCGATACAAACGTCAAGACAGTTATCAACTGCTCGGGTCTCGGCTTCGACGATCCGAAGTCCTTCATCATCAGAGGTATGTCTACCATCACATTGATCATATAAAGTCCTAACATCGGAATGAACTAACTGGTCCAGGCCAAACTTGCCTCGTCCGAAATCCCGTCTCAGCGACAATCACCCGCCAAAACACGGACGGTTCCTGGTCCTTTTGCATTCCGCGCCCGCTAGACGGAGGGACCATCATTGGCGGCACTAAGCAACCACACAACTGGGACCCTAACGCGTCTCCAGAAACCAGAGCCCAGCTTCTTGCAAAGGCATCCAAATGGTTTCCCTTCGCCTCCGAGAGTGGGGGTCAATTCGATGTCATTCACGACATCGTGGGCCGACGACCCGCCCGCGAAGGCGGCATGCGTATTGAAGTCGAGAAGCTGGAGAACGAGAAGCAGATAGTTCATGCCTATGGAGCTGGTGGGCGGGGCTTTGAGCTCTCGCATGGCGTTGCAGAGGACACAGTTGCGTTAATGCTGGAGAATGGACTGCTAAAGGAGAAAGCCGTGTTGTAACTGAATTCATAGCGGGTGTACATATTCATCACATTATGAACTTGTATGTATAATTCTTGTGCTTATATCTTGCCCCGGTCACCTCCGTGGCTTGGAAAAACATCAACTATTCTACGTGCTCCCCTACTCCATTTAGATGAAATGAAGTCGTGCATTCGTTCACTTTCCTAATTGCTTGCTCCCAAGGACAAAATTTACCATGAGGGGGGTGGTACGTGCACAGTCTTTTTCCCATACAAAAGCGGCTGTTTTTTCAAATTCGGTGGACTATGTGGAATTCAACGATCCCGTACAAAGGCACTCAAGGTTCCTCGAGTGTTCTACGTGCCCATGTACCCGGGCGAAGACATTCCAGGTCATTTGGGTCTGTTTGAAATACCAGTGGGAATCGTTGCTATTATAGCTGTGCAAATACTGGAAATGAACGGACTTTTTGCTACCCAAGCCATAACAATATATCGGTCGTTGATTCTTCCGTCACATGGAGACAAAGAGTCTAATCCCTCTGTCCCTCGTTACCAGCTTGCTGCCACCCCCCTCTCTTGCAACAGGTATGTGTAATCTTGCATAGAGGATGAATAGGCAACAAGTTGCCCGGGCCTCTAGCGACGAGGTCATACAATGCGTGCCAAATGCAGATTGTACAGATCGCTCGTTACCGGAATGCAATCCCATGGACTCGAAGAACCGAGCCGGAAAGGTCTGGTTCCAAGATTCCAAATGGGAAAGATCCTAGAGACCCACGAATCTATTCTCGTGAGAGAGCACGAGAGCTCAGCCAGCGGCTTCCTGCGCGATCGCCGCATCATCTGCCGGAGGCACCTCAACTGGGATCTCGACTGAAGGGGGGATCTCGATTCCGTTTCCTTGAAGCTTGACCAATCGATCCTTCTCTTTCTCGTCGCGGATTCGCTCGGTCTCTTTCCGCAATGTCTCCAGGTTCCAGGCATCTTCGTCTTCTTCATCCGACTCCTCGTCGCTGCTCTCGTTGTCCTTCCAGTCGCCGCTCTCGAACATGGACCGACCAGTCGCTTCCTTGGCAGTCTGTGCCTCCAATTCGGCAGCCTTCTTGTCCAGACGGCCCTTCTTCCATTCGGCGAATGTCTCGGGGGTCACGGGTGTCAATTTGCCAGTCAGCTTGTGTCGCTCCGACTCCAGCCAGTCTTCCAGAGTCAGTGTGTGGAGTGGCGACTTGTCCATCAGAGCCTTCTCGGCCGCCTTCTGATCCTTGGTCTTAAGGACGAATCTGTTAAAGAGGTCAATATATAATGGTCGGTAAAAAAAAAATAAAGAGAAGAAGAGATCCAACGCACCCTGGCGGCAAGCTGTGCTTATACATGCACTTATCACCTCCATTCGGGCAAGTCCAGAACCAGCCATACTTCTGGTTCTCCACAGCCTCGATAAAGTACTTGCAGACCTTGTCGGTAGTCGTACGAGGGTTACCGTGCTTGCTCATCACGACACTGCGCAACTTCTCCTCGTCCCATTGATCCATAGTATCCTCCTTCTTCTGCTCCTCCTTGTCCTCACGCGAGTCGGTGTAAAGATCCTTCTTGGCCGCCTTGCGCTCGATGTTCATGTCGTGACTGAACTTGCACTTCTTGCCCTTTTCACAGCCACCCTTCTTGTGGAAGATACACAGAACGGTCTTGGGGTCCACCCCGAAAGGCACCCTCTGCACCTGGACAGGCTTGAACAGATCAGCATTTTCACGCTTGGCCTTCTCGGCGGCGGCCTTTTCGGCCTCGCGCTGTGCCTTCTCGGCCTCCTTCTTCTTGGCGTCCAGTGGCTTGTTGGATGCGGCCATCGCATTCAACTGCTGGATCTGCTTTTTGGCAGCTCCTCCTTTTTTCTGTTGGGTGAGGTCAGTTATCGATGTTCTTGGTGCGAGGGTCGCGTGCTGCGCGAGGGCGTGCGGATTTTTTGACGTACGTTTTTCATACCAAAGGTCTGGTTGAAGAGAGAATATTAGTTGCTGGTCTGATAAATTGGAAGATTCTGTATCTGGAATGCGCACCCTGTCATCGACCGTCTTGGCCTTCTTCTTCGGCTGGTCAGCCTTCTTGGGAGCCATGGTGACGGTTTGGGCACACGCCGAGCTGAGTGGGAAAGAAGAGAAAGATGCGCCCGTTCGCCGAGACGCTGGTGAAGCAGAAAGAAACGCTGATGCAGAAGCGAGAGAGATCCCGTGGTTGGGAGGGTGTATAAGGTCGAAGAGGTTTTTGAGAATGACGGTCGAAAGCCTCCACAAATTCGAGGGGTGAAGTGTGGCGGGCTCAATCTTTGACTGGCCAATGATCGGGCGTGCCCTTCAAGTATATTTCACGGTCTTTTCAACACGCCCCGAATGAGAATAGGACGATGAGAAAAGTTAAGATAGATAGCCAGAAATAAAATTGAGAGACTAGTATCATCCCAGGAAACGTGCGTGCTCCATAGAAGGCAACTTGTGCCTAATTTGCAGTGCTCGGCTGGGAGTCGGCCCTTTGCGTCATCGCTGAAGTCTCCCGCACACAGCGTGGATTCGACAAAGCCCTGTCGCTATGACATGATCTACGCCTATGAAGACGTCCATCATGAACGGATGTCATAGGACAATAAACAGAAAGGGAAGTGTTCACATGCTTCTACTATACATGTCGACGTACGAGTCAAATTTTTCAGGCAATTTAGGTCCATTACCACTGCGTTCCATTGGGGATGCTTCTCTGAGATCATCATCCACCCAGGTATAAGGCAAATTCTAAGTGCAACAGTGGTCATCTTGGGTCTTATCGCATTGCTCTACAAAAAAATTGCGGAATTTTCCAAGCAATCCAAAATCTCCGGAGCACCGTAAAACCTTAAAACTCTTATTTTTCGTTTCTGGTCATCATAGAATCCGTAGAATAGGGAGATCAGAAGTTTTTATCTAAGAAACCTCCTGGATCTTGCTGGACTTAGCGTCGGTCTCCTCGAGCTCGGGCAGGTCCTCCTGTATGCGGTGATTAGCTTGCGCATCGAATGTCATCCCCGACCATCACTTACGTCGTCTTCACCCTCACCCTGAGCACCGCCAGCAGCACCAGCAAGGGCACTCAGGTCAGGCATACCTCCGGCACCGCCCATAGCACCGGCAAGAGCGCTCATGTCAGGCATACCGCCGGCACCACCCATGCCGCCGAGCTTGGAGAAATCAATGTTGCTCAAGCCACCACCAGCACCACCCTGCTCTTGGCCGTCAAAGCCACCGAAGTTGTTGGCGTAGTCATCCTCGCCAGCCTCATCCTGCTCGTCCTCATCGACCCACTAGATGCAGTCAGCGTAAAATCCCAACCTGGTTAACGCCAATGATAATCATACCTTGTCGAAGTCGGTCTTCAGGAAATGGAGCTTCTTAGCCTCCTTGAGGAGACGGGGCCAGAACTCGGCCTTGAGCTCCTTCTTGCGCAGAACGAGTTCGCAGTAGCGGTCGGTGTGGTTCACCTTGCTGTTCTCCGGGTCGATCTCGGCGTAGAGGGGCAGCGAGACACTGTATGTGACACCCTTGACAGACTTTCCAGTGAAGGAGACCTCGGTGGGGGTAATCTTAAGATCGGAATCGGCCTGGGGGACGTCGGAAACCTTGATGTTCACATAGAGGTAGTTGCGCTCGGGCTCATCGGCCGAAGAGCGCTGAGCCCAGGTGACTGAAAAAACCGAACAATCCCAGGTCAGCTTGTCATCTCTTAATTGCAGGGAAATGAATTGAGAGCCTCCCAACACCGGAGGCAAAGAATGCGATAACGTGATAGCAGCTATCCGCAAAATGTGCAGGTCCGAGTGTTTTGGTGCAGAGCGGGGAAGTCGAGCTATCACAACTTACCTTCCGGGGTGTAGGTCTGGGACATTTTTATCAAATAGTAGGGAGATGTCGATGCAGGATGGAGAGAGAGATGGGAGAGAAGAAGAAGTCTTCAAGAAAAGATGAAGATGGTGTGTGTGGCAGGAGGGAGAAGCTCACAATGAAGCGCATGTACCGCATTCAAGTGCGTTGCTAGAATGTACTGGAACCACGGGTTTGTCTTGTTTGTCTCTTTTATGCCTGGTTGCCTGATGCAGGCCATTTGGGGGCGTCATTTGATGACTCAGCAGGCTCCCCTCCGAATCGCCGCAGGCATCGCAACACTGATAAGATGCTAGGGAAGTGTCCGAGACTCTTGTGAACGGCCCTGCTTCGCTCCTGGAGCTAGTTTGTCTGAAATCGACAACTTTTTGATCGTCATTCGCGCAGACGATGCCCCTAGGCATTCCTGTTCAAACCCCACGCAGGTCATAACGGCAACTGTACGACTTACGGTTTAGAAGCACCACCCTGCTGCCTCGCAGCAATCACCTATCTCTCACATTTTGTACGTTTCCGAGGACTTCTTGAGTCATGGAGACCCTCAAGGCCGTCTTCTTTGGGCCTGACCCTGCAGCCCAGGTAAGTGGACCGCCATCGCTAGGGACCCTTTAATGACATGTTCATTCCACTGACTTATACGGCCAGATGAGGAAGTGCAATGCCCTCATCCGTGCAAACACCAGACAACTCGATCGCGACCTCGCCCACCTTAAAGCCCTCGACAGTAAGACCCGCGGACACATCATTTCTGCGTCCAAGCGAGCCCAGCGCAATCCATCCCAGGCCAAGCAAGCGATAAGTGAGACCAAAACATTTGCACGAGAGCTGGTGCGGATTCGGAAACAATCCTCCCGGCTTACGACTAGCCGAGCCCAATTGCAGAGCGTGGGAATGCAAGTCAATGAAGCGTTCTCGGTTCGCAAAATTCAAGGCAGCCTTCAGAAGTCTACTGGAATCATGAAAGACGTGAATACATTGGTACGACTACCTGAGCTGACATCGACCATGCACCAGCTCTCGACCGAATTGGTGAGGGCAGGCATCATTGAGGAGATCGTTGACGATGCTATGCCTAACGACGAGCTGTATGAAGGAGAGGACGATGAGGCAGAGGAGGAGGTGGACAAGATTCTGCAGGAGATCTTGTCGGGCAAGCTTTCTCAGCCCGCGGTCGTCAAGCCTGCCCCAGAGGCTGTCGAGGCAACACCGGTCGAAAGCGAGCCCGAATTCGATGACCAAGAAGCAACCCTGGAACAGATGCGGGGTCGTCTGGAAGCACTCAAGAGCTAATATCCTTTTTCTTCTACGATCTTTAAGCGATTCATGTTATGCACTACCCGAGTTTTCTGTTCATGCGGCCCTTTTGTTCTCATTTTGGAAGGAGTTGTGCGGCTCGTCTTTCAGTGATTTTTTTTTGTCCACAGGCTGGACCTACATAGAATGGATTCAACTATTCGACCCTGTTAACACACCTTTGCTTTTTCTTTCACCTGGGTGACATGTACAGAGGCAGATCGGGAGATAAAAACAGGCTCTGCCGCCTGCGGCTCTTCTGTCATGACCTGGCTTTCACAAGTCCCACTTGGCCTTAGGTTCATGCGCAAATTTTCTGTCCATAGTCGAATTATAATGATGCCTATTGACGCCCTATCCCATGCTCATCAGAGCAGGCAGACAGATACAAAGCCAATAAAGGAACAATACTTAGGTACCTGTCACATCGAGCGTGCAAACAAAGCAAACATGCGCCCGACCGAATCGGGACTAGTAGGGCTGACCCGCTGCGCCTCTCCCTTTTCCCTCCTCTTCCATCAGTCATTCCTCCCCCCCCCATCCCATCTTCCACTCTCTCCGGCTTTCAATCCTACTTACTGAAAAGCCTTCATCAACCTTTTTGAGAATCTTCTCATCCTTTCAATTAGACTTCCTGAACGCCGTCGCTATTAAGTGACTGCCCAGCCGTCGACGCGTTCGTATCGCGACTTCTCTCTGATCGCAAGCTGCCAGCTTTGCCAACCCGTCATCAACAAGTCTTCAGAATGTCTGCCAACCTGGACAAGTCTCTCGACGACCTCGTCGGCAGCCGCCGTCAGGCTCGCCGCCGCAGCAACAACCGTCGCGCCCCCGCCAAGCCCTCCGTTGGAGGCGTGAAGAAGTCTAAGCCTACCAAGGCTGCCCCCAAGGCTGCTCACCCAGCCCCGAAGGCTGCCGCGACTGCTTCCAGCAAGATCATCGTGAGCGGACTGGTATGTTTGATATTCTTCACTCCGCCTGCAATGACTCATTCACTAACTTCATCAGCCTGCCGATGTGTCTGAGGCCAATATCAAGGTATGTTGATCGAGAGGCCTCCTGGCTTTGATCGCCATCTTTGTTTTCGAACCCTTCGAGATGTAAACGACTGCGACGCGCGCGCCGCATTCCCCACTCCTTGTGGTTATCGCTCGATATCTAGCACAGACAGCACGCTCTTTCCGTATGCTTCTGCATATTTCTCTGGCTGGCTGGCATATTGCGAAGCAGGAAATTGAGCTATGTCGCAGTACTGAGAAAGGATGGCTTTTGCTCGCGACGAAGCCCACCCGAGGCAATCCGCCCGCATTGTCATTCTGAGTACTGTGCTAAGGATCGGAGATGAAAGATTCCCATCCTGACATCGTTTCGAGAATGAGCTCTTTCATTGAGCTTTAGAGGGCATCAGCGAGCGCACTAGAGCACCATCACACATTGTTGGAACGACACACTACTTTATACACTTGCGGCGAAGTTGGTTTTCAAGCATCTCGCCCACTCTTCTCACTGCTCCATGGGGTGAATCCTGTCACAGTGAATTCGAGGGCAACTATACAGTGGGCAACCTATACAAAGTTTTATCGTGCTACAAGATTTGTCACCTCGAGAGCGCACATGAGGACACAAGACGGGCCTCCTGGCTTTCTGCAATGCAAGTGGCACGCCTATGCATTGGCGAAAGCTTCTCGGGAGTGTGAATCCGTTGTTCGAGGACTTGTCGCACTCAGTTGATGGATTCGTGGATGGAAGGACTGTATGAATATTAGCATTGATCTTTGTCGGAAAAGTTTCGAGGGATTTTCTGGGGATTGCAAGTGTGTGGAGTATTCTTCGCATGGGAATATGGGATTCATGAATATAGGCTCAATCGGTCTACCGATCGCCGCTGTGTGCTCACTGATGCTCTTTCGCCGCCGGATCCACTCTCGCCATCATTGCGCTGTCGCCGTCGTTTTCCTTCGCTACTCGACTACCATTGTTTCAACTCAAACTTTCAGGCGAGAATACTGATCGTCTTCCGCTTTAGGAATACTTCGTCAAGTCTGCAGGCCCCGTCAAGAAGGTGATGCTCACCTACAACCAGAACGGCACGAGCCGTGGTATCGCCTCAATCATCTTCGCCAAGGCCGACACGGCTGCCAAGGCCGCCAAGGAGCTTAATGGGCTCTTGGTTGATGGCCGTCCCATGAAGGTCAGTCGCCTTTCCATACAAGTCTGCGCTTTTTCTGACAAACCCACAAAGATCGAGGTCGTTTACGATGCCTCCCACGCCCCTTCCATTCCCACGCCCAAGCCTCTTACCGAGCGTATTGCTCAGAAGTCTCAACCGAAGCCCGCCACTGCTGCTAAGGCCGCTAAGGGCAAGGGTAAGATTAACGCCAACGCCAACGCCAACGACAAGAATGCCGCTGGTCGCAACGCCAACGGCCGCCCCCGTAAGGGCCGCAACCCCGGCCGTGGCAAGCCCAAGTCTGTTGAGGAGCTCGATGCTGAGATGATCGACTACTTCTCCAACGAGAACGCCCCCGCCCAAGCCCAGGCCCAAGCCCAGGCCCCTGCCCCTGTCAACAGCGCTGTTCCTCAGGCCGCTAACAGTGGCGAGGACCTCGGAATGGCCGAAATTTCTGTACGTTCCCCACAACTTGTCGAGTCCCAAGTTCTTTGCTAACATATTATCAGTGATTACTTTATCACTGTCATTGTTTAGCGTCCTCCGGTTGCTGCCGATGTGACATGCAGATGCAGGTTTTCTTTGGAGGATTTTGATAGTTGATGCGCGGGCCATGTCTTCTGTTCTTCCTCCCCTCTTTCTTTTTTGCTCTTTTTCACGAGTGGTTTTACGGTTTTTTCGGTGCCGGTCTTAATTCTTTCTACTTGCAATGGGATGCAAGGATGTATCTACCAATCCAACAAGGTCTAAATGTGCCAAATTTTTCGCGTAAAACCGCTTAGAGTTTTTTCCACGAAGCATTCAACATAGAAACAAACAGCTTGTATTCTCAGCGCTATGCAAGTTAACGTCAATCCCAAACGCCATCCATATGTCCAGCGGAAGAACACCCCAAAATATACAACCCCTAGAAAACACCCGCCCGTGTCATTACATCATGAAACTGCTCCAAGGTGACACCCGCACTAAGTCCTGCACCCCCATTCGCCTCAAGAATCATATCCTTAAGCAACTCATCACCCACGGAATCCTCCTTCAACTCGCGCGCAATGCGCCGCAAATGACTCAGCGAGATCGGCCCGTTTCCTCCTGGCGTGAAGAGCTGGTACGCATCGTCTACCTCCGCGACCATGGCGTCGTCGTCGCGACAGCGTAGTTTCGCCGCGCATACAGAGACGAAGGGGCTGTAGGGGACATGGCCGGTTAGGGTTGGGTCGACGGCTGAGAGAATGTTTGCTAGTTCGGTTGAGTCGGTGGGCGGGAGGCCGAGCGCTCTAATGGACATGGTGTTAGTTTGGTGTTTCATGGGAATATAGGTGTATGCAGGCGGACGTACACCAGGGCTTTGCGCACGTCTTCACGGGGAATGACGCCTTCTTTCTCGCCGGGGAAGTCTTCGTGCGCATTGGCGAAGAGGTGGAAAACTTCTTTGATCTCGTTCTCTTGGTCCCCTGTTATGTCGTTCTCCTTGGCAAGCTTGGATTGGCGCGCGCGTTTGGGGCCTGCATTTGCGGAGGAGCTGGCGGGAGCTCCGCGCCTCTTGGGAGGCTGTGTGTGCGCTATGGTTAGCGGGTGGGGCGTCGCAACGAGTAGATGTTGAGGGCAGCTTACCATTTTGAGGGCTGGGGATCGTCGCAGCTTGCGCTGGAGGGGGCTGAGTATTTCGTTGACGATGATCAAGAGATCAAGAGGTTAAGAGAGCGATGATGCTGAGGTGGGGAGGTAATGCGGGATGTTGATTGGTGGGATGGTCAGAGGGTATCGACTACTTTTAGGAAGCACTGATTGTGCTTTGTAGGTGCTTTGGTCGGCATAAATGCTTACGGAGGAGAGCTCAGGCTTCTGTGTTGGGTAATAAAGATTTATCCAGGTCAGAAATTGACTCATTTTGGCGTTATCACGCTTCTATGCAAGTCATTACGGTAGGAGTTCAAGGTTATGGAACATGGAACCATGAATGGTATTGGTTTTTTAAATCTTCTTTTACAATAAATAAAAATTAGGGTTCTTCAGGGTATATGCCGCGTCACGGTCTCTGCCTTGCACTAGTTTGTCTCATGTCCACCCACGAGCCTATTCAGCATGAAGCCAAGTAGAAAACGGTCGAAGGCAGTGGACCGGCAGCTGACGTGATCGGATCGGTGCCTGCCCCAGCCCTTTATCATTTATCAACTCTACTCGCTCGAGCTGTTCCCTTGCCGATACATCAATCATGGATGTTCAACTCTACGTCTACGACCTGTCAAAGGTGCGCTACCCCTTGGTGTGTGCACTACGTGCTCTCCGCTAATTATTTCATGCAGGGTCTGGCTCGCCAGGTACGTGCAAGCGCATCAACAGGTGACGTCCTGATTCACTAATTTAATCAGTTCTCTCTCTCTTTAACTGGGACTCAAATTGATGCTATTTATCATACATCGATCGTTGTCAACGGCGTCGAGTATTACTATGGTCAAGGCATTCAGACCGCGGCTCCTGGCTCCACCCACCATGGACAGCCGATTGAGAGGCTCAAATTGGGGACGACCGAGCTTCCAGCCGAGGTGATTGAAGAATGGCTGGCCTCTCTGACTGAAATTTACACTCCAGAGGTTCGTTTAGATGTGATAACTACATCTTAGTCAAAACTAACGCATTGCAGTCCTACGATCTCTTTTTACATAATTGCAACAACTTCACCCAAGATCTTGCCATGTTCTTGGTCGGCAAGAATATTCCTGAGCACATCCGGAATCTGCCTCGTCAATTCTTGGACACTCCATTTGGTCAGATGATGAAGCCTCAGATCGAAATGGCTCTGAAAGGTGTCACGCAGGGCGCTGGTCCAGGTTTCCAGCCATCACCTTCAAGGTCTGCGCCTCCTCCTCAGATGCCTCAAATGTCAGCTGCGGCCCATCCTGTACCAAGTACAGTGCGCAATGTGAGCAATCTCGGCCAGCTTCAAAGCGAGCTGGCGGCGACATCAGACTCTTGCGCCGTGATATTCTTCACGTCAGCTACATGCCCGCCTTGCAAGGCTGTCTATCCGATATACGACGAGCTTGCAGAGGAAGTTGGGAGCAAAGGAAGGCTCATCAAGGTTGACATTGGCTTCGCACGAGACGTGGGCTTGAGGTACAGTGTGCGTGCAACACCGACTTTCATGACTTTCTTGAAGGGAGAGAAAGTCGACCAGTGGAGCGGTGGAAATCCAGCCCAATTGAAGGGTAATGTGCGCATGCTACTCGATATGGTGCATCCGCCTCATCCACACCAGAACCTTCGACTACCCAGCTTGCAACGGCCCATCTCCAACTTTGTCATGTACAAGAAAGTCCCGCCGCTTGATAAACTCTTGCAGAAACTCCCAGCCGGATTCAAGGAAGCCCAAAGCGTCGCACCCGTCATTGAATTCGTCAAGATTCGTCACGCTGCCAGTAACGGCAATTCCCCTGCAGCTGATACAAGAGTACCTGACCTTCACTCGTTTGCTACTACTCTTCAATCAACCTACCCTACACTCCCAGTCGAGAGCCATTTCGCGGTTGTGGACCTCATTCGCCTGTTGTTCCTTGACCCACGCGTGAGCGGCTACTTCGCCGAAGAGACCAATCACACCACCCTCCTCACCCTCCTATCACCACTCTCCCAAGATGACCTCTCCTCATGTCCCTATAATCTTCGCATCGTCGCTCTCCAGCTCGCTTGCAACCTTTTCAACACACCGCTCTACCCTCAACAACTCGTTTCATCCTCCTCGCCCTTGCGGGAGACCTGCCTTCGACTCGCGACAAACTCTCTCCTAGACTCACAGAACAACCTCCGCGTTGTCGCATCTTCATTTGCATACAACCTCGCCGCATATAATCACAACTCTCGATTTGAAGGAAAGCCGGACCCGCTCTCGGAAGAGGACCAAGTCGAACTGGCCGCCTCCTTGCTGGAAGCTGTCTCGCAGGAAGAGCAGAGCCCTGAGGCTCTCCGTGGTTTCCTATTTGCATTGGGTTTATTCATCTATGAAGCTCCGCTGAATGGGTTGCTCGTCGATCTTTGTCGTGCGATGGGAGTTTCGGAGACGATTGCTGCCAAATCTAAGATAGAGTCAGTGAAGAACGAACCATTGTTGAAAGAAATTGGCCAAGAGCTATTTGGGAAGGGTCTCTAGCGTCATTTTAGCCATAATAATAACTCGGTACATGTTCATTTCAAGTTCTCCGCATCTATCTCGAATTGATTTGTCTCTTTGGGTACAGCCTGCCATGTTATTCTCTTCGTCTTTCTAAACCTTCTAAATATCATTCCGTCGAATGTCTTCTTACAAGTTTATTTGGCTATTCTTCAAGACATCTCGAAGGTCTTTTCGAACATGCCCTGTGGATCGTCATAACCCCAATTTAGACCAACTTGAGCAAATACTTGTTCCGGATATCGGGTGCTATCAAGATACGTTCGACTTGATGTGGCAGATTAAGCGAGAAAGTTATCCAGTGCTCCAGACAAATTAGGAGAACTCGTTTCTTATCTCTAACTCTAACATCAATACATTCAATAGCATCCACCTCCACAACTCGTTCGCTTTCTAGTCCCTCGAGACCACGTCTAAGAATCAAGTACATATAAGTGCCGAAGTTGAATTATATGGATTTCTAGGAAGACTGTCCAAGAAATACCTAAGAGGTGTCAAGATAATGACCTTAGATTGCTAAGTGATATACCCGTTTAGGCCCTGTTCTATCTCCTTTGTCCGGGTGTGGAACAATATTGGGGTAAAGAGCGACCTCGGAACGAGTTGTGCCCTTGGTTGTAGATGGGGAACCCGCACTAAACCCAATATAGAAAGTCGAGAGAGAAAGTGACAAGTTGGTGGAGCATGGGCCTCACCTCAGTCTGGGTCACTAATCAGACCACAAGTAAAAACTATCGCCACGGTTTAATTTGCCTTTATTAAATATTCTTGCGAGGTTGAAGATGGTCGTTGGGCTTTCACCGGGCCAGCTACGTTCAGCACTTGTCAAGGTTGGTCTATGGATATTCATTAACCTCATTTCTTGCAAGTTGTTCATGAAGGTTGGGTCAGAGAATCACGAGTAGAACTACACAAGGAAGATGGACGGCAAAATTCAACTGGCTGCTGCCAACAGTTCAGCATGCGGCGAGGCATCCCACCACCAGCGGATTTTGGAGATGTTTCCTTTCCCGGTAGCTGGGCAGATCATTCTTGCTATAATTGCGTTGATTATCTGGCGCTTTCACCGATGCAAGTGGGTAGGTATCTTGGTTAACGACAGTACCATGAGAATTCTGGTTAACACTATTCATCAGTTCATTGACATCCATGAAGATGTCCAGAAAGATGTCACATCAGCACAACATCAAACTGTCGAAATCGACGAGCTTGAAAACTTCCATCTCGATTCCTCAGAGCCTCCTAAATTTCGGCCATTCAAGCCGAAGTATCACCTAACAATGGGTATGCTCATACTTGACCCACGGATAGCTTTAACTAATGAAACCAGGCCTTGAAACACTCGGTTGCAGTGACTTCTTGATATTTGATAAAACATACCCAGAGCGTCTCAAAATTCGCAGATCCTTGGCTCAACAACATCCAGAAGATGTTATTGGTATCATCAGTGATTCTGATGCACGTATTCGACTCGCTGTTGAGGAACTATACAGCCATCTCTTCAAGATCTATCTGCCTGCTCGCTATCCGTCAATTTTCAAGACAACGCGTGACAAGACTGACCATATTAACTCGGTAGAAAACCTTATCACGGGCAGCATCATACCAGCAGATGCAGAGTCAATATCTCTCCATGTCGCTTTGAAAATCATCTCAGAGAATATCGATGAAGACTTTTTTATTCTTCTACCGCACAAAACGGATGAAGATACACCCGGAGATGTCGTCTATGTCCTCGAAGCCTACTCTGCATGCTTTCCCTCTGGTTTTCAACCCAGAGATAAAATTGGAAAACGCTTGGCCGACATCCACAGACCGGTTCCGAAATACAAAGAGAAACTCCAGAAGAGCATGGACAGGTTCTTCGCACGACTTGAAGCGGGCCGTTTGGTAAAGCGGATCAACTGGGCTATTACTGTTGATGAGGAGCTCTATTCCAACTTTGACAAAAGTGGACCCGCATTCGAGGGCACACTGAAGAAAATGACCATGAAGGATTTGGACCTGAACAAGGTAAGTCCCTTTTGTCTGCCTCTATTTCATCATATACTAACAGATGTACAGACTTTCCTTCGTAGCGAGCGCCAAACTCTTCATCGTCTTCCAGCATCGGATGCTATTGTCTTTGCCTTCCATACATATCTCTACCCGATTCAAGATATCAAGGCAGAAGGCAGTGGTGAAGACCTTGCTTTAGCTATCGATGGGCTGCAAAGTGGAAGTGTCCCTGAAATATTTACGTATAAGAATGGAGAGAAATGGGCAGATGCTGTGAAACAGTATCTGAGAAGCTAGATTGAGGACATCCTATCTACACCTTATTATTTCTCGAATATCACTTTCCATATTCGGTCAGGCAGTATTTAATCGGATTGAGAACACATTACTAGATTATTCTGAAGTTCGACTTTTGATTAATGCAACAATGAAAACAAGCATAAAGATTTTGAGAAGTGAGCTTGGTTTAAAAGAAACTTAAATAAATTATGAGAAGTGGCTTCAAACCTTGGAAGGTCTGAAGTCCGACCAATATCTCTCAGTCTATCGAGCAGCTCGGCAGGGTACACGACCAAGCGTGCAGTTTCACAGAAAGGACTTTATTCGAACGGCCTGAACTGTTCTTTTGAAGTCTTTCGAGATTTTGCATAGAGGCTCAAAAAGTAGCTCATCTCTTTTCTTCTCTCGCCGTGGATTGCCATCTTCTTGAAAGATATGCATTTACATTGCCTCCGATAGCTTATTTACTCATTTCATCATCAGGGTTACGCTCCGATTGACCTGCTTTGACGGACCAGGTCACCCTTGGCGGAGCCTGATGTTCCCACTGGCAGGGAGATGCCCTTGTCTCCGTCTATCAATTCTCAGCATTGCTGCGGCTCATCTATCATTTAAGTCTCTAACGATCTATTAAAGCCAACAGAGATGAATGCAACTAATCATAATCGTCCCCTTCGAGATGCCAGTCTTCGAGTCCTCAACGACCTGATTCGAGTTGAAGGGGATTGAACTGGCTCTTCAAATTCAAACATTGAGGCGTCTTCTCTCGTTACGATATGGGCGGCCAGTGGTACTGTGTTACGGGGAAATGCTGGTCCCCAATTCAACTGACTGGAACCTCCATCTCCGGGCTCTCCGGGCTCTTATTGAAAGACACAGATAGAGAACCCGGCAAGAGGAGCCTAGAGACGCTGCTACGCGATTCCTGGTGAATGAGGTTTAAGATATTCAGATCTTTTGCACAATTGGCGCGTTCACAATAGAAACAGACTCCTTGACCGCCCTAGCTCAAAGACCTATACTCGACTCTCATTTTGGCGCTTTCACCGGACTTCTCTGGGAGATTAAAATCGAAGAAAGACATCGACACAGTCTTTCCCAAAAAGGACATATCTTACCACGTATCGGCATAGAAACCTAGCAAGCCAAAGTGAAGCACGCATATAGTGCGTCCCGAAATTGGTGCGACCACCTACACTCTTCGATGGATTCTCTAGCCCCAACGCCAAGAGGTACTTAGTCTATATTAGGAATACACCGGATCATCAATATTACGGTATCAGTTTCAATACCATGACTTACGGGCCGGGTGGGTAGTGAATTACGTTAGTTATAAAATGCCAGAACGTGGGGGTATAGCAATACAGAGTTCTTTTCCCCGTTGATTGGTCCTTAATACAGGTCACGTGGGAATGACACCTGGGTTAAGGAGCTAGTGCTGTTTGGGATCAGGGGAGTTAGTACTGTTTTGTGGTTGCTCTGGTTGTTTGCTCTCTCTTCTCGTAATTCCCTCAATTTAGAATCTTTCTGAATGGCACACGAATTATCCCGTACTGGCCGATGACACTGCGTCAATGAAATGACATTCTGAATCGCAACTTCATTCTAGGCGCCTATCCCTCGTTCGCCCCTATTTAGCCCCTCCAGGGAAAACCCTGGCCCTTGCGACTTCGACCACTATTGCAACCCAGCCCAGCCGGGAAAAGCGAAGACTACTTGACACGCTTTATGATGGATGGAATCTCGGCTGCAGCTAGCGTTATCGCGGTCATCCAACTGACAGGGAGTATCGTGAAAATTTGTGGGGGTTATATTAAGGAGGTGAAGGATGCTCGGAAGGACGTTGTTTCCTTGCAAAAGGAGGTTGAAGATTTGAGAGAAACTCTTGAGAAGCTCTCAGGCCTCTTTCAAGGAACTCACGGCATGAAGCTGTCAACCTCCCAGTCATTGGTCGATGGGACCATTAATTGCCTTTCGGTCCTCCAAGATTTAGAAGGGAAGATCGATCCCGGGAGAGGGAAAAAAGCGATGAGCAAAGTAGGGCTTCGGGCCTTGAAGTGGCCCCTAAAACGTACCGAGGTGGAGAGAATAATGAAGGATCTCGACAGATACAAAACAACATTCAGTCTATCCCTGCTAGTCGATCAGGCGTACGTACTCGCATCATTTGATAACAGAACTGGGGCTTACAGCTGCTTAGGACAACTGTTAATGATATAACTCAGACTGCCGACCGTATCGAGCGAAGTCTGCATTTAGACCAGTTGCCAATTGCGCTTGGGGCTGAGCTTGACTCGTATATGGATCAACATGAAGATGAATGCCTCCCAGGGACTAGAACCGAGCTCCGTCGCCAAATTGCTGAATGGGCTGTGTCACCACAAGGAAAATGCATATTCTGGTTGAATGGTATGGCGGGAACGGGGAAATCGACCATCTCCCGAACCGTGGCAAAATCGTTTAAACAGGCGAAGGTACTAGGAGCGAGCTTCTTCTTCAAGAGGGGAGAAGGTGACCGTGGAAATGCTGCGAAGCTTTTTCCGACTATTGCAAGACAACTTGTGGTTAGCTTCCCTCAACTCATCCCAGGTATTCAGAAAGCCATCAATGATGACCCCAGCCTTGGAACAAGGTCGCTAAAGGAGCAGTTTGACAAATTGCTTCTCCAACCACTGCTCAGCTTGGAACACTCCACTGAGCAGATCCCGACCACGGTGATAGTGATCGATGCCTTGGACGAATGTGAAGGGGATAATGACATACGCGTCATACTCCAAGTACTACCTCGGCTCCGGGAGCTAAGCGCCGTGCATCTCCGCATTTTTTTAACAAGTCGACCTGATTTGCCAATCCGACTAGGATTTTTGGGAATCGGGAATCAGGTCTATCAGAATCTGATTCTCCATGACATCCCGGAGGCAATTACAGAACACGATATATCTTTGTTCCTGAACTGGCAGCTTTTAAAGATCAGAAACGAACGCTCACTCCCTGTCGACTGGCCTAGTGACACAGATACCCAAGCTCTTGTGACACTATCTGTTCCGCTATTTATCTTCGCTGCGACCGTATGCCGCGTTTTTGAAGATCCCCAGTGGGACCCCGTGGATAGTCTCACCGAGATTCTCACCCATCGAAGTGAGGGATCTCAACTGAACGGAACATATCTTCCTGTGCTGAATCGGATTATCAACAACCAGGATGGGAAACGAAGAATGCAGCTGATTCAAGAATTTCGGGAGGTAGTGGGTACAATCGTGATGCTTGAGAGCCCACTCTCGATGACCTCACTTTCGAGGCTTATTGGTATCTCTGAGAGAATGATCGACTTAAGACTGAATTCATTGCACTCGGTGATTCGTATACCCGAAGACAAGACAAAGCCGATGCGGCCTTTTCATCTATCATTTCGAGACTTTCTTCTTAATCCAGAAACACGCAAGAAGACTGACCTGTGGCTAGACGAGAAGGCGATACATCAAAGATTGGCCATACAGTGCCTTTCCGTGTGCAACACTTTGAGACAAAATATTTGTGGACTACCAAATGATGGAACTCGGCGTATGGATATTGATCCCCGCACTATAAATCACTGCCTTACCCCAGAATTGCAATACTCTTGTCGTTACTGGGCATATCATCTGGTGCGAAGCACTGATTTAAAAACTGTGATTCATCTTGCTCTCTTATTCCTCCAGCGGCATTTCCTGCACTGGGTAGAAGCAATGAGCCTACTAGGTCTTATGTCAGAGGTTGTTGGGATTATTAGTCTTTTGCACAAGGCTATTCATGTGAGTTATTTAAGGACTCCGATGTGACGATTTACACTAACATAAATAGAGTGATACCAATTCTGCAATGTCTGAATTATTACACGATGGAATGCGCTTTGTTCTAAAGAATTACCAGATAGCTGATCGTGCGCCCCTCCAACTTTATTGCTCAGGGCTTCTATTTGCACCCAGAATGGCAATAATTCGAAGGCAATTTGAAGCAGAGCTCCCAGGTTGGATATACTTCCCAGGCGTTGAAGAAAACTGGAGCGCAGAGTTGCAGAGTTTCGAGGGTCATTGGGACTCGGTTGAGTCAGTGGCTTTCTCGCCCGACGGCCGGCTGCTAGCGTCCGGCTCCAACGACAACACTATCCGGCTCTGGGACACAGAGACGGGCGCCCTACAGCAGACCCTTGAGGGCCATTCACGCGGGGTTGAGTCAGTGGCCTTCTCGCCCGACGGCCGGCTGCTGGCGTCTGGCTCCGGCGATGCGACCGTGCGGCTCTGGGACACTGCGACGGGCGTCCTACAACAGACTCTCAAGGGCCATTCGGACTGGGTTTCGTCAGTAGTCTTCTCGCCCGATGGCCGGCTACTAGCATCCGGCTCCCACGATACGACCCTCTGGCTCTGGGACACGGCGACAGGCGCCCTACAGCAGACTCTTGAGGGCCATTCGGACTTCGTTTCGTCGGTAGCCTTTTCGCCCGACGACCGGCTGCTGGCGTCTGGCTCCGGCGATAAGACCGTGCGGCTCTGGGACACAGCGACGGGTGGCCTACAGCAGACCCTTAAGGGCCATACGGAGTTGGTCTCGTCAGTAGTCTTCTCGCCCAACGGCCAGCTACTAGCGTCTGGCTCTGATGACACTGTCCGACTCTGGGACACAGCGACAGGCGGCCTACAGCAGACCCTTAAGGGCCATACGGAATCGGTTTCGTCAGTAGTCTTCTCGCCCGACGGCCGGCTACTAGCGTCTGGCTCTGATGAAACTATCCGGCTCTGGGACACAGCGACAGGCGGCCTACAACAAACCCTTGAGGGCCATACGAGCGCAGTTTTATCGGTGGCCTTTTCGCCCGACGGCCGGCTACTAGTGTCTGGCTCCCGAGATATGACCGTCCGGCTCTGGGACATAGCGATGAGCAGCCTACAGCAGACCCTCGAGGGCCATACGGAGTCGGTTTCGTCGGTGGCCTTTTCGCCCGACGGCCGGCTACTAGCGTCCGGCTCCCACGATGACACTGTCCGGCTCTGGGACACAGAGACGGGCGGCCTACAAATGACTCTTCAGGGCCATTCGGACTGGGTTTGGTTAGTAGTCTTCTCGCCTGATGGCCGGCTGCTAGCGTCCGGCTCGCGCGATGCCACTTTCCGGCTATGGGATACGGCGACAGGCGCCCTACAACAGACTCTTAAGGGCCACACGAGAGCAGCTCATTCGGTGGCCTTCTCGCCCGACGGCCAGCTGCTAGCGTCTAGCTCCTATAATAACACTATCCGGCTCTGGGACACGGAGACGGGCGGCCTACAGCGGAGCCTTAAGGGCCATACAGGCTCAGTTTTGTCGGTGGCCTTCTCGCCCAACGGCCGACTACTAGCGTCCGGCTCCCACGATAACACTGTCCGGCTCTGGGACACGGCGACAGGCGGCCTAAAACAAACCCTTAAGGGCCATACGAGCGCGGTTTTATCGGTGGCCTTTTCGCCCGACGGCCGGCTGCTGGCGTCTAGCTCCGACGATAAGACCGTGCGGCTCTGGGACACAGCGTCGGGCGGCCTGCAGCAGACCCTCGAGGGCCATTCGGACTGGGTTTGGTCGGTAGCCTTCTCACCCGATGGCCGACTGCTAGCGTCCGGCTCCGACGATGAGACAGTGCGGTTCTGGGACACGGCGACGGGAGCACTGCAAGAGACCTTGAACCCTAAGGGAACTGTCCATAAACTCGAATTTTCTCGAGATGGTTCATATTTAATCACTAACTTAGGCACCCTCTATTTTCAGTCTGGACACGAAAATCGTGTTTCTATCTCAATCAAGAAAAATCTAGCGATCTTCATTGAGCGAGGACAATGGATAAACCTGAACGGCAAAAATGCACTATGGCTTCCTCTTGACTGTCGGCCCAACTGTTCCGCAACTAATGGGGAGTTACTTGGCTTGGGACTCCCATCAGGGCGGGTTTCTTTTCTACGATTTCGTGTATAGCACGTGTCAAGGATTCTCATGTTCATTCTTTCCTCTATGTTCTAATTCCTATGTAAAAGAAGGACCTGGGAGAAAAACAGAATTTGTAGTTACAGATCCCATGCTGTCTACACACAGTCTACAACGCCACTCATATACACCAGCCCGCCCCCTCCTCCTCCAAAACCGCAGAAATAATCACAATACCAATGACAAAACTAACCCAAGGAATTTTCTTCGTCACAGCTGGTTCAGTCCACATTATTTTCTACGACATCTTTCTCCCACTCTTCATAGCAGGAGAAGAAAGGCGGGCCAACACCACTCGACAAATCGTAGTCAAGGCCCTCTTCACCAACCTAGGAGGATCCACAACCGGACGCTGGTGCAACACGGCCGCGAACCACTTTCCAAAAGCGTTCTAGAAAAAGTCGATTAACACGCCGTCGGCAAGTGGATCACGTTCGCCTGCGAAAACGAAGCGGATAAGACCCTTCTTGATCTTTAAGGAAACTTAGCCGATGTTTTTCCTCACTTGTTGTACATATTAATAATATTATACTCCAAGCAGACACATAAATGCCAGGTGGCTTGATGATCTCCGCGTACTAATGTCGTGCTTCACATACACGTACCCAGTACATTTATATGCACCCTCCGTACCCATCGGTCACGCCGAGCTCGTATCTAGCGATCCCATTTACCGCAACGGTGGCGAACTCAAGTCAGCACGCCAGGATAAAAGATCAAAGATCGGATACAGCCCCGGGGTTATAGGGTCGGGGATGGGGTCCATGCAATGAAACGCAGCTCCAACGTGAGGAAAAATCGATAATATCCGAGTTGAGTCAAAGGAACATTTTTCCGAGATCTTGATAGCCGCTCAGGTTAATAGTTGAGTGAGGGTATGGCAGTTTAGCCGGTATTTCGTGCCGCCGGAGTAGGAATCTCCCCGGGATAATCTCACCGTTGCATGTTATCTGCAGGGCTGCTCGTCATGGCAGCTGGTGCTAGGGGCCGGGCCCCGAGGCGACCATCCACGAGTGAAAGACAACACACGAGGCTGATGGGGCTGATGTGAGGGCGTTGTGTTTCATATTTATTTTCATACTTTTTATTAGTATCAAGTTAGAATAACTCTGTATGATCTTGAGGATGTGATATCTAGGATTTTAAAGTGGATATTCTACAAGAGGAAAGAGTATTCAAGAATAGACGGCTTAATTCAAGCTAGGCTACCTGAGATAAAAAGTACCGAGTGATGGGATTGTGCCCAACATCCAGCGGCCAACTCACAATCGCACACCGACACTCGAGGGATCGAGGTGGCGTGTGGCGCGTTTTCTACCTTCCCAGGGAAAAGAGAGGGCGCTGTGCGCGGGACCGGGGGGAGAAATGGAAGAGCGAACTCGGAACGAAAATGAATAGGAGGGGTACAAGATTGGGTATTGGGTGTGGGGGTATCTAAAGGAAAACACGCTAGAACACAGGCAATGGAGAAAAAGAAGAAAACACCGGGTCCGCGATCGGATGCAGTCGTCAGAAGATCAAAGGAATAACCAGACCAGGAAAATAAGAAAAATAAAAATGAACCCGAAAAAAATGAAACAGGAGCACGTTGCAACACCAGAAAATGTCGGAGGGAAAGAAATGAGTCAGGGCGCAACCAGCGGTGTGGGGGAATATGAGGGAACCGCCGACAGCGATGAATTAGGTAAGCGCGGGGGAACCGGACATCGATGGAATGCGCGATAAGGCGCCGGGGTCACATAAGCCAAACGACCATCAGTACCACCCGGGATGCGCCTTGCGCGCTGATGATCGGCGCCGGTGACTGTGAATCTCACAGCTGCCTGGGCCGTGTCATCTGATTCGTCTTGGGCTCATGTCACAAGCTGATAGCCAGTCGGAGCAGTGGGCCCCATGGAAACTTTGGAGGGGTATCGGTATCTGTATCGGTATCGCGTGGGCGTGGGAAAAAAAAAAAAAAAAGAATAATGGTATGTGTGGTAAAAACAGTGGCTATGGCGGCATAGCGAAGAGAAGATAGTGGACAGCGCCTGCGCTGCAACCCAGTGTGATGTGCTCAGGCACTCTATGATGAATGGGTGCGACGCTTGGGGCTGGGCGCGAGGCGGCGCTTCCTAGGCTTGGACGGCGAAGGAGTGCGCTCGCTGGCCACGGACAGCTTGTCAGACTTTGCTTGTCGGAGGGCCTGGGTGGCTCGGGCGTGGGCCTCGACCTTGGCAAGGAAGCGAAGGCGATCTTCTTGTTCGGCGATTGCGCGCATGCGCTGGAGCTGCTGCTCCATGGTTGCTGAGCATACCATCTCAGGAATCTGGGGTCCGGCCTCGGTGATGGCGGCATCGGCAGCTGCGTTCTCGGGCATCCAGAGGAGGTCTTCGTCGGAGAGGTAGGCGTTGTTGGTGAATGAGTCGTTCGAGTCGGCACTGGCCAGGGAGGGACGGTTGGGCCAGGAAGGGAAGGCACATGCTGCTCCCATACCGTACTCGCTGGAGAAGGAAGATTTGCGCGGTGTGATATCGAGAAGGGAGTCTGTGGGGGTAGGAGGAGGCGCAGATGGGTTCGAAAGTGGTGAGCTTTCAAAGGAGCTGCCACTCCAGCTGAAGGTGACCTGTGCAGGATCGGTGCTGGCAACAGGCGCGATAGCAGACGCTTTGGCGAGCGTCATGTCGCGAAGACGCGACTGAATAGGAATCACCATGGCGGTGATATGATGAATAGTGATGGGGAGATGAGGTTGAAGTGAAGAGTGAAAATAATAAAAGGCGAGAGTGGAGTGAGGTGAGGTCAAGTAAAGTAGTGAAATGAAGAGGGCGAGACGTGTTTATCAAGACGGTGAGTATCAAAGCCGGGGAAAGGGCTTCTAGACTCCCGCACCCTTGCAGTCCCGACTGAGACAGATAATCAAATCACAAATCAAAAATCAAAAATCAAAAATCAAAAAATCAAAAAAATCAAAAATCGGGCGGAAGTGGCTTCCGTGCAGGACGATCAGTCAATCAGCGGCTGGGATCCGCGCATCAAATAAATAATAAATGATTATCATTTATGATGGCTGAATTATTTGACAGCCGCCCCAATCCAATGTATCGATTCCCTTGGGCACTGATCTGTGTCAGATGTACCAAAGTACGGGAGGACCTTTGCACGGGAACTGTGCAAGTGCAAGTGCGAGTGAATCTGGTGAATCTGGTGAATCTGGGGGATATGATCCCTTGCCTAGACTCTCAGACTCTCCGAAAAAATAATGAAAATAATAAAAACGGGCTGCCCAAGTGCAGCGGGGAACTGGGCCGATGAGAATCAGATTGTTCAGCGGTGAACTGAACTTGTCAACTTTGTACTTTCTGTACGCGCCCCGATTGCGATCTTCCAATCAGATAGCTCCGGATTTCACCGCTTCGAGATGTGTTGTTGATTAAGGCACAAACAGGGGATTGTTTGATCTGGTGTCTGGTTTCTGGCGTCTGGCGGTCTGATAGCGTGGTCGACGTGTAGAGAGATGGGAAAGCGAAGACACAAACAGCGAACGCGCCCGGGAAATACTTTCGAGCACCTAGGGAACGGAGTTTGGCTAGAACGCGACTTTTCCCGCTCCACTCGGGACGAGGCAGAAATGGATCCCCGTGGAGAATCCGGTGCTCACATGTGGACTAGGAACACTCTCCGAACCGCAGTCTGGAACGCCCTAAATAACGGGCGGGCCCGAATACCAACCGTTCGTCCACAAAGAACGGGAAAGCCTTAAGCCGGATCCTGTTCCTAAGACCATACACCGACACTCTCAAAGCGCTAACGGCCATTGATTGATCGCATAGTCATTATGTAGACTCGAAAAAGCGACCTGACTCCTTTGATGCATGTCCTTATAGCCTTGGGAAAGATCTCTCTTTCTCTCTCCTAAAGCCGGAATCAAAAAAAAATCCAGACTAGAACCACACTAGAGAAAAGCAGCCGGGATCGTAGAACGCGGCCTTGGTTTTCGCGCGAATCAACGGGGACCTATTTCCACCACGGAGCCGCTCCGATGCCACTCTTGGTTGCCGCGGTCTAGACTTCCCCGGTCCAACTATATGGCCTCACCCTCTGGACAAAGAACTGTCCACTACTGAGTATAGGCTAGGCTTTTGGACTGTCTCTCTCCATATTCCGACCTCCGACCCTACCAATCACCTTTTTTGCTCTAACTATTACAAGCTTCTTTAATATTGCAGCGACATCGACTCATCTTTGTGCTCGACGTGCTTAGCGCCAGCCGGGATAAAGAACAGTTCCCCCGGTCCTAAGTGGAGAAGTACCCGCCTCCCTGGGTTCCCCGAACAACGACCCCTTTTTCGGGTCTACGATCAACACTCATAAGACACATCAAATCCACTGTTGGGCACATGTGTCCCGACGTCCAGGATACTCATCTAGTATTTTGTACTTCTGCCCCCGGGGAACGGGGAAAGGGGAAACTGTGGCTGACCGGATTGTTTCTCTCCTTCCGCAATATAAACGAATTGACAGGTTCCTCGGTACCTTTGAATCATCTCCTAGGTGCCAGCTTCATCACCTCGGTTTTCCTGGCTCGGAAGACGGGTTTCGGGCCGCGGCCCATCGATCATCTCTTGTCAGGGTCGTGGTCCACCCCCTTTCCCAGGCCCTCGGTGTTTCATTAGCGTCGAACCCGTGCTAGTTACCATTTCTCTGGGTACTTTGGGTTCCAGACGGCGGTGGGTACAATATATCTCTTGCCCAACGGTGGAGGTGTGGAAATGAAGGCTGGACCTGATGATTCCTTCTGACGGAACAGGCAGGTCCATTGCCCAGAAGCATTCTTCTTGAATGTACTTGTGTAGCATGTTGAGAAAAGGAGGTGTACGGTGTTCGGCGTACGGTGAACGGATTATGCATAGGATCTATTCTAGTTCAATGGCGGTTTATCCATAGATCCTAGAAGGCGCGCTGCATTACAGATCGATTGGATATCCATCATCGAGGTCGAATCTGCCACTAGCTCGGAGCTTTGAATAGCTACCACCCGCATGGTCCCGTCGCCTATTCCGGGATGACCCTGCAGCTGCAGCTGCATCTCATATGCAAGATCCAAGATCTCATCCATATCGAGCAAAGCAAGGGCAGAGGTGCCTAGTCCTACAGCCAAAAGCCCAGAGGCTGAACACAGCGTCAACGCGATAGAAGTACGGACTAGTGATCCAATTTGAAATGTCCAGTCTCGAACTAACAAAACCAAAACTCGCTGTGTAGGAGCAATTCCGCGTCCAGTACCAGGACCTATTTTCCCCGATCCAGCCGCAGCCACAGTCCCCTCGCCACAAAGCTGCACGGGGGTCTCGCACGGAGACTCCCCCGTACTTTGTGCAAATCCAAATCCCGAACCATGGAATGCGTACCCCATGGGGGCCGGGTACTAGATCACTACACTCCACCGGAGGGAATGTGACATGGGAGGCGCAATCATTGCACAAGAAGCTGCAGTGTGAGGAACCCAATTTCGACGGGGAGGTCTATCCGGGCGCGGGGGCCTCCGTGCAGTTCTGGCTGCAGCGATCACCCACCACTGCGATTCCGACTCGTCTCGGATACGTCTGAGGCGCGCGACCAGAGCACGCCTCGCGCCTCCTGACTCACAACACGACCTTGTGAGAGTGAACGTGTCAAGATGCCACTGTTGCAGTCTGACCTCAGACACAGTTCATGCTCGGAGCTGGGGTTTGACTTGTTACTGGGCCGAGGCTGGGCCTCTCATATTATCCAGCTGACTGACACCATGATATCTGACTTCCTGATGTCAAGTAAGGCGAGTGAATGGCCGGGGAATATCGCCACCCGCGACGCGCACTCTGAAATGAAAGTCACCAATTCCAAACGGCCCGGTCCAGCCCTGGTTGATCCCAGGCGCTGCTGAGTAACGAGCGACATCGCACTTCGAGAACGCTTCGACATAGACCTAGGTGTTTACTAGTATGTGTCGTCCCGTCTGTCGGTCACCGTTATTGCAGTTGGCGCTTCCCTGCTTTCGCAACGGCTCGTGGTTTCTGCGTCCGTTTGATTTTCGGAAACCTGCCCATGCGCCCTTGTTACGCATCTAGGCGAGGTCATAGCTGCAGATGTAGAAGAATGGCGGATGTGCAGACAATAGCAGGCTAGACTGGGATGAGGGTGTACATGGTCGACAATCTCCGACCGCACAGATCCCAAGGTTCTTGAGCATGGGTCGGCACGAGCAAGGATCTAGACATTGCCAGTTCTATAGAAGTCAACTGGCGGTGAAGTATTCAAGTCTTGTCGAGATTGTTAGTCTTTGGAGGCGTTGATCTGCGCGTACTAATGCTAGAGAGTGAACTTGCGGACTTGGACTTGCGGTCTGCAGGTTGGTTTGCTTCCTTGATTTCTACTCTAACTACCCTCCTCCACCTTGAACATGGCCAGAACATAGTCTACTCGGCCGAGGAAGAGACCCAGGTCAATCTTATCTATCTCGCCGTCTCTATCTCGGAAACGAGAAGCAAACTAAAGCACACTAGCCTATCGCCTAAACCTTGCCTCTGATAACAACCTTATTATCCAACTCTTCGAGATGATCTTGATCTGTGCCTCACTATACGTACTTTATAAACTCACCTACACGCTCCAAGGGCAATGGCTAACAACTCACCCGCTCACAATCTCCAGAGTTGACAACTATAGTAATAGTGAAGCTAGTACTGGTTTACCAAAGCGGGGTTCAACCTTCCTATCTCGAACTAAGCTCGCCTACTCCACCCGAGATTCAACCGTCGCACTTCCTTATCTCTATGTTTCCCCGCGTTGCGGGTTGCGTGTTGCGGAATGCACTAAAATCGCGCCGTCCATGGCGAATTCAAGGGGTCGTAGAAAAGGACCAGGCTCTACGCTTGTCCGACCGGTAGAAACCTTTCGTAAAGCAATGCGCTGAGCTTGCGCACGATCCACACTATGGAATCCAAAGAACTGGATACCGACACTATCAAGCCCGCGCTCGTCCCAACAGATGTGGAGGTGGCCGAAGGTCGCTTGGACAAGATCGAGCTGGATAAGGACGAGGAGAATAGAAATGAAGAGTTTAGCTATGAATCGCATCGCTCTCCATTCCCCGAAGGTAATGGCACGATGCTCTTCTGAGTGAGTATTTGAACTGACAACCGCTGCAGTTAGGGCTGTCGTCCCTGAGACAGACGATCCTACGATGCCAGTCAACACCGTTCGAATGTGGTTTCTAGGCATCATCTTCACCATTCTCGGCTCGGGCATCAACCAGTTCTTCTCGCTGCGATATCCATCAGTCCACATCGTAGCCCTCGTGGCCGAACTACTAGCCTACCCGATCGGTGTATTCCTCGCAAAGACACTTCCTCTCAAATCGTTCAGTCTAGGGCCCCTGGGAACATTTGTCCTCAATCCAGACAGATCATTCAACATAAAGGAACACGCCCTTATCGTAATCATGAGCAACGTCTCCTTCGGCTACGCCAGCGCAGACTCAACGAATATCATCCAAGCAGCCAGCAAAAATTTCTACGACTTCAACCTCAAGCCAGGCTTCTACGTCCTCATCGTCCTCGTCGCCCAGCTCCTCGGCTTCGGCGTCGCAGGCCTCGCTGCCCCATGGCTCGTCGAACCAGCTCGCATCATCTGGCCCGGCGTGCTATCAAACTGCGCCATGCTGGAAACTCTGCACTCACGCGCAAACCGCGTCGCAGACGGCTGGCGCATCTCCCGCCTCCGATTCTTCATGTACGTCATGACAGGCGCGGGCATCTGGTACTTCTTCCCTGGACTGATCTTCACCGCACTCTCCTACTTCACCTGGGTCTGCTGGATCGCGCCGAAGAATGTCATCGTCAACCAACTCTTCGGGATGCAGACCGGTCTGGGTCTGAGTCCGATTACTTTCGACTGGAGCCAGATCGCATATAACACAAACCCACTACTATCGCCGGCATGGGCTGCGTTGAATGTCTTCGCTGGCTTTGCCTTCTTCTACTGGATCGTCACCCCGGCTCTCTACTACACCAATACCTGGTTCACGGCGTATCTCCCACTGATGACAGCCGATGTATACGACAACACCGGTGCAGTCTACGATACAGCCCGAGTCATCTCAGCAGATAATAGCCTTGACACGGCAGCGTATAGAAAATACTCCCCTCCCTACTTGAGCGCGACATTCGCTTTCGTATATGGGCTCTCATTCGCCGCCATCACCTCCGTCCTCAGCCATATCGCCATCTGGCATGGCCGGGATCTCTGGGCCGCTATGAAAGGCCGTAACAGGCTAGACATCCACGCTCGCCTTATCCGTGCCTCATACCGCCGGACACCGTGGTATTGGTACGCAGCCATTATCGTGGTGATGATGGCGATGGCCATTGCCATGATTGAAGTCTACGAAACTAAGCTGCCTGTTTATGGTATCTTCCTGGGTCTGTTCATCCCGGCTATCTATATGATTCCCTGTGGGATCGTGCAGGGCATCACCAACGTCGACGCGAATCAGCTAAATGTGCTCGCGGAGTTTATCGGTGGATATATGTTCGAAGGAAAGCCATTGGCGAATATGATTTTCAAGATTATTTCTACAGATGTTGTGGGACAGGGCGTATATTTCGCTATGGATATGAAGTTGGCACATTATTTGAAGGTGCCGCCAAGGGCTTGTTTCGTGGCGCAGGGTGTCGCTACTATCCTGGGTGCGCTGACTCAAGCCGGTGTGACGATGTGGATGTTGGGGAATATCTCGGGTATTTGTGAGTCTGATCAGTCAGATGGGTTTACGTGTCCGAATGGCAGGACAGTCTATTCTTCTTCCGTCATTTGGGGTCTTGTTGGGCCAAGGAGGCTCTACTCGGCTGGGAAGATTTATTCTGGATTGTTGCATTTCTTCTGGATTGGGGCTCTGGCTCCCGTTGTGACGTTCTTGCTTTATCGGTATACCAGAAAGCAGTTCTGGAAGTATATTAACTGGCCTTTGATCTTTGTGGGCACTTATAATGTCCCGCCTGGTATGTTTCACATCTCACATTTTTGTTTGGCTTCACTGACATATTTCAGCTACCGGAATCAATTACTCCAGCTGGGCTGTGGTCAACTTCATCTTCAATCACTTCATTAAGCGTCGCTTCTTTGATTGGTGGACAAAGTATAACTACATTCTCGCCGCTGCACTTGATACGGGCCTCGCTATCAGCGGCATTATCATCTTCTTCTGCATCTCGTATCCAGGCGCTACTTTCCCCGACTGGTGGGGGAATACCGTGTACCTGAACACTGCGGATGCTGAGGGTGTAGCATACAAAGCAATGCCAGCAGTTGGGTATTTCGGGCCTGCGAATGGGACGTGGAGTTAGACGAGAGATTAGTACAGCCGGACCAGGAATACAATACAAATGATTCAAACTCGGCTGCCGTGACCCATACCCTCCGACATATTCAAAAGCATTTCATTATTCAAAGTATGCTTACCTCAAGGAATGAAAGAAAAGAAAAAAAGATAAAAAGTGCTTTAGAGATATCCAGAAGAGCTAAAGAATCGAGTATTAATCTTCTTGGTCGAGCTGTATCATAAAGATAGCCCATCTCAATCACAAGAGGGGATGATTGAAGAATCTACAAAGAATCAGAGTAGTTAAGAAGTATACATTTCATGTCTAGAGCCATAAAATCAACAGTAATAACGGATATCATCACTCATAAACCCCTGACACCATTTAAATCCACCCTGAAAATGCTAAGCAACACCCAATCCAAAACAGACAAAGAAACAAAGCGCGTATATGCTAGCCTACATCTCTTCAAACGCGCAGTTGGGATGCATCACGTAGAGGATCTTATCCTCTGCGGGCTCTTGGGGATCTTCCATGAGACTAGAAGAGATGCGAAGAATGACCCGGTCCTGTAAACAATGTTAGAACAAATATAATCAATATCAGATTGGGATGGAATGGAAAACTCACTTTGACGCTGCGCTTCAATACCTTCGCAGCCAAGTCGCGCTCGCGCTGGTAGTCATCCTCGGTGTTCAGCTCGCCCTCGATTTGTTCAAGGTACCAGAGGATCAGATCCTCCTGCTCGACGCCCTCGCCCTGGTTTACCTCGTCCTCGCGGATACGCTGCACGAACAGGTTCAGGATCTTAGAGTACTTGTCGAAAGTAATCTTAGTCTTTGTCTTCTCGGCCTGCGCGTGCGTCTGGGCCTCTTCGCCGTCTTCGCGCATCGGGCTATCGCCATCACGGTCACGGTCACCCATCTCTTGGTCCTCATCCATGCCACGAGCAGCAGGGACATCGTCATCGACCTCGACGTCGTCCTTTTCGACGGTCACGATACTCTGGCGGAGAAGATCATATGCTTCGATGACGAACTTGGGAATGACTTCCTCGACACAGTTGGCCTTAGCCACGGCTTCGGACAATCGGATCAAAGATTCCAGCTGGCGGACGGTAATCCGGTACGACGAGCGACCCATACCACCTTGTGCATCATTCGCGCGGAGCTCCTTGTACTTCTCAACAAGGAGAGACTTCGCCTCATCCGTGAACACGGGCCGGAAAGTACGCGCGAACTGGATATACCGCTGCAGCTGCTCGGTGCTTAGTTCGGGCTCGACAGCCTCGTCGCGATTCATGTGCACATTGACGATGTGTTCCGCCAGACTGCGATCAACATGTTCCTTGGGCTCATCGCGGACGACGAAGAACACATCGAACCGAGACATGATGGGTGCGCTGAAGTTCAGGTTCTGACGCAGGGTGACCTTGGGGTTGTAGCGGCCGCCGATGGGGTTGGCGGCGGCTAGGATGGAGGCGCGGGCGTTGAGGGTTGTGTGGATGCCTGCTTTGGCGATGGAGATAGTTTGTTGTTCCATTGCTTCGTGGATGGCGACTTGGTCGGCGATGTCCATTTTGTCGAACTCGTCGATGGCACAGATTCCGCCTCCGTTGGCGAGCATTAGGGCTCCGGCTTCAATGGTGAATTCGCCGGTCTCGGCGTCTTTGACGACGGATGCTGTCAGACCGGCTGCGGAGGAGGCTTTGCCGGAGGTGTAGACTGCGCGGGGGTGCAGGGAACAAATGTACCTGGGGGTTGGTTAGGTTAGAATTTAGGATTTGAAATCTGCTGTAGGGGTTTGGTATACTCACTTTAGGAACTGACTCTTACTGGTGGACGGGTCGCCAACAATGCAAATGTTGATATCACCACGAAGTTGCAGGCTCTCGGCGGCCGTCTTCTTGCTGACACCACTGATCAGCTGGAGAAGAAGGCCCTTCTTAATTTGGCGATGACCGAAAATCATAGGTGCAATTGAGTCAATGAGTCGAGAGTAAATGTACTCCGAGTGGACCAGTCTCTTCAAGTCCTGGACCTCGGTGGGTGTGAGGCTCTGAAGGAATGCTTCTTGGGCCTTGTCATCGTTCATATCGGGATCGGTGTTCTGGTTCAAAGAGGCCAGAATGTTGTTCGACTGGCCGCTGAGCTGCTGTTCCGGCTTCTGGCCAGGGGTCGTAGTATCCGGAGTCACCATGCAGGCAAGGAAAGCCAGACGGTATGTCAGATCACGTACGCCTAGGGCCTTCAGTCCGGACACACCACCGCCACCGACCTCGCTGCCGCGGAAGGAGTTGTTATCACGGACAGCCTCAGGACGCACACCAGGGAGTCCCAGTTGGCTCACATCAGGCACGACGATCAGAGTACCCGTAAAGATGCAACGCTCACCGGCCTTGGCACGGTCGACCATCTCACCACGCAGGATAACATCCATAGTGCGGGGCATGCTACCAGTGGGGATCTCATGAGATGACTCCTGAAGCTTGACCTTTTGCCAGTCGACGAAAGTACTCTTGCCGATGTCCAAGCGCCAGCCATGACGGTTACCGCATGTAGCATTTGGGCACTCAGTGGGCTCGGTGTACTTGAATGTCTGCTCGACGTTTGTTACGACAGTCTTGCAGCCCTCACAGATGAAGGTGCCCAGCGACAGCTCGGGTCTAATTTCGGAGGTTCTTGTGACAGTTCCAGATACAGAAAGCAATTTTCCAATCTGGTTTGTGCGCAGCTGGCGAAGTCGTGAAACCAGCGGCAGGTTGTAGAAAGCAAGGGCAAACAACTTGTCAGTCTGCTGGTGACGAGTCTTCTCGCGAATTTGGCGCTCCAGATCGGGATTGTCGTTGACACTAGAATAAGCGGAGGCCACGGAAGCAGTGGGTTGCGTGGAAGCGTTGGAGGCCAATCTGTGAGAAACAAAGTATTCCGGTTCGTATTTGGCAACCAGATTGTGGAGAGCTTTGGTGAGGAATGGAAGGAAACGATAGTATTGTCCGGCGATGGCATCAGCCAGAATGTGATTTTCCAGTGAGGTCAAGTGGGTGAAATCTACGTAGAGAGTAGACAGCTCGAATTTCTTCATGCCCTTGATCTGTGCGATGTAGTATTTGTCGCTGAGGGCCTCGCCGGAGGAGGGAGGTGCCGATGACGAAGGCTCTTCCATAAATGTCTCCAGAAGCTCCTCGAACGCCTGCTGCACTTTCTCGCCAGCCTCATCAATTACGGGCGGGGGACCGGGAGCGTAAGGATTCCGTAGACGGCTGACAGCCGATGTGCTGGCACCAACGACCCGGTCATCGGGGAAGGCATTCATATCACTCATGGGTCCATTGCTCTCGGAGCGGCGAGAACTGGGGAGGTGGTCGGATTGAGGGTTATCCCGGGCGCTGGACCCTGGGCCCAACTCGGACTGAAGGACGGCATCAAAAAGAGAAGACATGGTAGAGAGAGCAAACGGCGAATGCAGGCCGCGGTTAAACAATGAGCTCTCACGGATACCAAGAGGGGGATGTCAAGTCAGTAATGATGATCACCTAAGGGGGGCTTCTTTTTTCGCAGGAACGCGAGACGCGAGACGCGTCCCGGCGTATAGTTGATCCGGGCCGAATGTGATCAAGGACGCGTTAAGTGGTTTCTGACTAATATTGGCATCCTTAAAAGCCTTAACGCCTTAACGCCTGACACTTTGACACCTCGGCACCCCATAATTCAGGCCCCGAATCCCCCAATTTGGCAAATTAAAGAATCCTATTTGGGAAGGTATCTTTCTATGGATCATAACCGGAACTAAACCCTTGTTGGACACAGTTCCCTTCCCCCGAGCAAAAGCCGGCATTTCTCCCTAGTAAGGCAGTCAATCCCATCCACTCACGGAGACTTGCTCAACATCAGGTAGCCTATGGTATTGTTTTCGCCCCCCTGCCTTGTTGGAGATAACTCGGAAAGGCCCACTTAGACTCCCCTCCCCGGTCCTTGTGGTCCAGTTCGGATAATACCCAAATGCCCTCGCATCCTTTTTACTTAACTCAGTCATTGGTGTGCGCACCTTCCCGTGGCGGTGACATCCCCCCCCGTTTCTTGACTTTCTTCAGCCCCGCGGAGATTACGATGATCCTGGTGTTCGCCTTGCGTTGCGTCTACTGAGTATAATTCCTATCTGCTCTAGCGTCACCCCTCCTATAGCCCTTGGGCAGATCCCGCATCCTCGCCCCTGCGTGATTTTCGCCTGCATGTCTGCGATGATTCTGTCCAAATCCCGAAAGTGTGAACGGAGGAATTTTGGCGATCATCGGGTCGGTATGCTGCTGTAGCGAGTCTCTTACTGCGTCGACCACCACTGTCCTCTGTCGCGATATGTCTGGAAACGAGCGACGGGTGGTGGATTCGACGCTTCCAACCGCAGAGTCTTCAGATTCATCTATGCCGGAGGTTCCGGGTATGTATTTCCGGCCGGCCATCCATCATGTACGATGGTCTCGTGCTAAGTGTATACCAGGTCTCTCAGGCGATGCCTCTCAAAACGCAAAAACGAGAAGGCGAAGGCGTGCGGCCGACTCGGACAATCAAAAGAACCAGATGTTCTACTTTGTCGATTCCAACTCATCGTCGAAGGAGAAGCGCGCCCATGTCATGCGCCACCACGTGCAGGAAAAAAGGAAGCAGCGCAAATTCTCTCATGGCATGATCCACGAACCGCTGAATGATTCTTTATCTTGGTCTGTTAGAAAGGAATCCGATTATGATACAGACAGTGGAAAGGATATATTCTTGATTGGTACACCGGGTCCTTCCACCGACCCGAACACTTCGGTATGGACAAGCACCCAACTTTCACGATCTATATCACAACAAACAACGACAGCAGCCTGAGTCTAACATATTGCTTTCTAGCTCCCAATGCGGTTCTCGAATGTGAACCATCACTCCCAAAAGACAGGCCCCGTGCAAGTAGGCTCCCCCATCACCATACTGGATGCGTCCCGAACGGACCCATTTTCGAGCCTACCAATGGCCCAAAATCCCGAAGATGAGGAATTGGTGGATTATTGGCACACCAAATTAACATATTGGTCTGGACAAAACCCACACATCAAGAATCAAATTTTCCGCACCGCCATGCAGCATCCGCTTTCCTTCCAGGCATGTATTCTGCTCTATTGTGCGCGGTGGAAGGCCCAATTACTTGGCCTCCCCGATGCGCCAGAAGTCCAACAACGTGTTATCGAAGCCCGCAAGCAGATTGCAGATGCTCTTTCGGGTTCTACACAGGTACCACCCGACTATCTGGCCCTGGCTCTGGCGGGTATCGCCCTCTCAGAATGGCGGTTTGGCAATATGCCAGATGCTCAAGCGTATCTTGAACAGGGTGCCCGAATCATGCGACCTCGCACTGGAGCCAATCTGCCGGTAGAGACCATGCTTCATTACGTGCGGTACATCATGCCCCCTATCAGTTCGGTGATTGAAACATCAGACCGCCATTGGCTGGTCATCTTCCTCCGAAGAGCGGACGACCTCATGCAAATGCACAACCAGATCGAATACCTGTGCATGGCTCCACGGAGACGCGACGCCTTTCAGATGGAGAGTCCGTTGTTTCCCTTATTGTCCAGTGGGCCGCGACCCTCGCAGGTGCCACAGGCGTCCCGCAAGTATGTGGTCCGTAATCTTCAGACCCAGGAGGTCAGTCGGACTGCGGCCCTCATTTACATTACTGCAGCACTCTGGGACTTCAGGGACTCGGTCAGTAAGACCAACCGATTTTTAGACTATCTACACTCGACGGTCGAGCACCATCAACTCGGCCGACACCCCGCCTGCGAGACTCTACTCTGGTTGCTGCTAGAACAGGGATGCGATCCCGACTTACAAAACCCGGAGCGATCGTGGTCTACGGGCCAGCTGCTCATGACGCACAGACGGCTACGGCCTGATCTGCAATTCCACTTTAACGAAATTCTGATGGGTTTCTTGCACCTGCATCCGCCGATACGCGGCATTGACGTGTTCGAACAAGAACTTGGGGAGATTTAGTGATAGCTCACACGAATGCAAGAAGCTACGATCTTATTGATCTGCATATCATAACGTAATTCACAAGTCATCCGCCATCACCGGCACCTGCAACCCGCCACCCTTAAAATCCAATATTAAACGCGATAAGTTACAAACCCGTATCTCAAGAACCATCGATTATTCGAACATCGAATTTTGCCTCTGGCTATAGTTTCGCATTTCATTAATATTCATTAATCCCATACATTGACAGGCATTACACTTCTTCACCAAAATTACACTAGTAATGTCGCTGAATATATATATCTCTTATGGGCTAGTTTCCGCGACGATATGATTATTCTAAGAGCCTAGAATATTATACAGTCAGCCTACTATATTCTTGGTGAGATATCAAGTTGTAATTTATTGCAATAACTATGGGGTTTGGAGGGTGGCGGGTTGCTTGTGATGGCGGATTGGATGGCTTGGGTGGGTTCCGTTAAGGTAATCGGCAGTGAATGTAGGTGAGGTAGGCCGTGTCTTGGCAGGACCCGGGTACCGGGGTCGTCAAGTGTAAGCGTCATCGAGACTCCGGGTGGACCAAGGCCATAGGGACTAAGGCCACAGGGGCCAAAAGCCTCGGCTCAAAAGTGATATCAGGCGAAAGAAACAATCTGAGATCGGCTAAGACACAAATAGGGTTGCTGAACGCGACCACCAAGTGGACCTCAGAGCGGAGAACAGTGTTGGTGCGGTGAACCGAGGAGAAGTTCTCCGAAGTCACCCTTCATAGCGACCATGCGCTAACGGTACCTGGAGGTACCTTGCAGCGCGTGCCAGCCGTACCTTGGGACAGTCGAGGAACCGTGTGCTACTGTAGCGGATCGCCGATCGCTGTGAGCGATGACCGCGATAGGAGATTATGATATCATGTACCCTGATCCAGTGATCCGGTTGTCCATTCCTCCTACAATTCCAGCAGCCCTGCAAAAGTCTATTACTTACACTAATTACGCTATTCGCGCTCCACAGTAATTGCAAGTCGCCTAAGATTTGAGGGTTTCATTTCACTAGCAATAACAAAAACTTAAGGGGGGCTGCAGATTCTGATAGTGCCGGCACGGGCCCATGGATACAGACCCCGGCCAAATAGCGCAGCCCACAGCTGAACTAGCATTTTTTTAGCGCTTTCCATCCCGTTCGATCTATTGGATCCAGCACAACAGTGCGCTCCAACTCGGCGATCCCTCTTTTTTTTTTTTTTTCTTCAAGTTGATTTTCCCCGATTGGACTTTCCATGTGATCAGTTGCGCGTTCATCTACTTGGCACGCCATTGAAACGCACCAGCCACACGAAAGCGACTCGTGCGAGGATCTATATTTCCGTTGTTTGTCTTCAATAGTGGCACATACTGTACCTAGCCTGACGTAGGTAGATATCTGAGTTTCGACCGGGCATGTGGAGAAACAGTCACCCCCTGGATTCCGCGAGGGCAATCACTTTTCGTGATGTCCACTCCTTCGCACATAACCCATCGAAAGTTGAGTACAGTATTGTTTTGCCCCCGATGCATCCCTTGCGCGCGTGGAAAACGCCCGATGGAGTCTAGGCCATAGCAGTGTGGCTGGGAATGGGCTGTGGCGGATGCGTTGGCTTGGCCATCGGTTTTCTCCGACGCCCTTACGGTGCGCAGGCAATTCTCCAAACCATGGGTGTTGTCAGAATATACAGGAATTGAGTCGCCCCGTATAGTCATCGACTGATTGTGCCACAAAAGCGGCCGATCGCAAGATGAACCAGCTCCGGCGTAAATCTGGACGGGTCGCTCACTCGCCACCGCAGAATTGAAGTGGGGAAAGAGAGTGACTGGGTGTAACAGGGGTCAGAGGAGAAATCAACTCTAGCTCTAGGACCCCTGCAAACCACAAATTAAAATTGAAACCATCTGAAATTACGTAGCCAGAGATCGCAGATCTGTACTTCCCTGCCCCTCCCCTTCTAAAGCTTAAGCTGGTCCGCCTTTTTTCTTTTTCTTCTTCCCTTTTCATCAACCTGGGGTTTTTTCCACCTGTCGCCCCCCCCCTTTTTCGACATATCCACGTGTGCCAACCCAATACTGAGGTTGAGGTTGAGGTTTATCAAATTGCGATTCTGTAGAGCTTCGCTCAATCCCATTCACCATGGCGGAACACGGCTCTCTCCACCGGTTCTTTGCCCGGGCTGACAGTGTACGTGCATCTCCATGTCCACATCACCACGCGACAATCCTGTCGAGACCGTGCTAACGTGATTTTGTAGGATGTCGGCAACACAAGCAGTTCGCTGTCTGCGTTCCTGTCTACTCTGATTCCCGCCCTGATCGTGGCCGTGGTCATGGTCATCGGTTTCATCATCCTGCGCAAGTCTCAGCGCCGTACGTACATGCCCCGAACCTACATTGGCTATCTGCGCGACTGGCAAAAGACCCCCGACACCCCTACCGGTACTTGGAACTGGATTGTCTCTATGTACAAGCTCCCCGATACCTATGTCCTTCAGCACCACTCCCTGGACGCGTACTTGCTGTTGCGCTTCATCAAGTTGTGCTCGATTCTGCTGTTCGTTGGCTGTTGTATTACCTGGCCCATTTTGTTCCCCGTCAATGCGACTGGCGGTGGTACCGGAGAGCAATTTGATCTTCTGAGTATCTCTAACATTGGCGAGGATGGCTATGCGCGCTTCTTTGCGCATAATTTCGTTGCTTGGATCTTCGTGTCCTTCGTCTTTTGGCTCATCACCCGCGAGCACATCTTCTATATCAACTTGCGCCAGGCTTACTTCTTCTCGCCTGCCTATGCCAACCGTATCTCGTCCCGCACCGTTCTTTTCTCCGCCGTTACCGAGGAGTACCTGAACAAGGACAAGATCCGCGCCATGTTCGGCAAGGAGAAGGTCCAAAATGTCTGGATCGCCAGTGATACTGCTGAGCTCGAGGACAAGGTCAAGGAGCGTGATGGTGCCGCCATGAAGCTCGAGACTGCCGAGACTAAGCTCATTGTCATGGCCAACAAGGCGCGCAACAAGGCCTTGAAGAAGGCTGCCAAGAAGGAGGGCAATGTTGAGGATGCTAACGAGGGCGAGGAGTCCATGGGCGAGTTCGATGACGAGTCTGGCTCCGTTGCTGCCAAGTGGGTTCAGGCCAAGGACCGCCCTACCCACCGTCTGAAGTTCCTTATTGGCAAGAAGGTCGACACTATCAACTGGGCCCGGTCCGAGATTGAGCGTCTCACTCCCGAAATTGAGGAGCTGCAGGCCAAGCACCGCGCTGGCGATTGCAAGCTCGTCTCGTCCGTCTTCGTCGAATTCTACCGACAGGCCGATGCTCAGTCCGCCTACCAGTCTGTCACTCACAACCTGCCTCTGCGCATGACCCCTCGCTACATCGGTCTCGAACCTACTCAGGTCATCTGGGGCAACCTCCGTATCAAGTGGTGGGAACGTATCGTTCGTCACAGTGCTACTCTCGCCTTTGTCTGCGCACTGATCATCTTCTGGGCTATCCCCACTGCCGTGGTTGGTGCCATCTCCAACATTAACCTACTGGAGGACAAGGTCCATTTCCTGCGATTCATCAACCACCTTCCCAAAGTTCTCCTGGGTCTGATCACTGGTCTTCTGCCCACTATCATGATGTCCGTTCTGATTGCGCTTGTGCCTATCATTCTTCGATGTATGTGGACTCGTCCTATCGTGTTATATTTCACATGCTAATATTTCTCTAGTGATGGCCAAGTGGGGTGGTGCTTCCTGCTCTGCTGAGGTTGAGTTGACCATTCAGAACTGGTTCTTCGCTTTTCAGGTCATCCAAGTCTTCCTGGTCGTCACCATTGCCTCTGCCGCCACCAGTGTCGTCACCCAGATCATTGCCAACCCCCAGTCTGCCGCTACCTTGCTCTCCCAGAAGATTCCCAAGGCTGCCAACTTCTACATCTCCTACATTGTCCTGCAGGGTTTGTCTTTCAGCGCTGGTGCTCTCCTGCAGATTGCCGGTCTGATTGTGGGCAAGATTCTGGGCAAGTTCCTGGACAAGACTCCCCGTAAGATGTACAGCCGCTGGTCCAGCCTCGCTGGTCTCGGCTGGGGTACCGTTTACCCTTCTATCACTCTGTTGACTGTCATTGGTATTATTTACTCTTGCATTGCCCCTCTTGTCATGGGCTTCGGTACCGTCGGCATGTACCTCTTCTACTTTGCCTACCGCTACAACTTGCTGTACGTGTCGAATGCCACCATTGACACTCAGGGTAAGGCCTATGTCCGTGCTCTGCAGCACCTCACCGTGGGCTGCTACCTGCTCATGGTTTGCCTGATTGGTCTGTTCGCCATGGGTTCTGGTGCCTCGACCATCGCTGTAGGACCTCTGGTCCTTATGATCATCTTCCTGATCTTCGTCATCCTGTACCATATCTCGATGAACAGCGCCATGGAGCCCCTGATCCACTACCTCCCCAAGAACATGGAGCACGAGGAGGAGTTCCTCCTGGCTGAGGAGCGCCTTAAGCTCTTCGGCGACGAGAAGTCCACAACCGGCACCAGCACCGCCAACAACGGCGTGACCAACATCGACAGTGGTGTGGCCAACATCGACAGTGGCGTCGGCAACGTCGACTCCGCCGAGGCCGAAAAGGGTCTCACCCACACCGCCATGCCCCCTGCGCACTCCAAGCCCAACTTCCTCATGAAGTTCCTGCGCCCGGATATCTACCACGACTATGCCACCCTGCGCCGTCTGGTCCCCAATCCGCTCGACGTCGTCCCCTACACCGAGGAAGCCGAACGTGACGCCTACTGCCACCCGGCAATCCTCTCCCAGGCCCCTCTCCTTTGGATTCCCCGCGATCCCCTCGGCATCTCCCGCCAGGAAGTCGCGCATACTTCGCGCGTGATCCCCATCACCGACGAAGACGCCTTCCTTGACGAGAACGCCAAGATTACCTGGAACGTCGACAAGGGCGAACCCCCTATCTACCAGGAGAAGGTCTACTACTAATCGTTCTTGTTTAATCGCCCATGCTCGATGTCGATGTCCAATATCTTGGAAATACCTGCCTACGGTCTTTAATCTACAGTGATACCCAGCCGACCGGAAAGAAACGACCCGGTTGGCGCTGATCTGGGCCCCAGCTCATTTGTTTGTGTGAAGTGGACGATTTATACTGGCCCTGTTGAGATTCCCTGCTAAATGCGGAGAGATCTCTCGATCTAATCTTCCTTATGAGTCTATTTTCTATTCGTAATACGCGGCTGATGTGATTGCGTCATGTCTGTTGATGGTTGATTCATGTTGTCATGTCTTGATTGACTTGAGAAGTATCCCGTGTTTCATGAAATCGGGTTGCAACCTTAAAGATGTACTATATTTTGAAACTGTCCAAATTAGTAGAACTTTCAGTTCCTTCTCTTATAGTATACGCCATGGTAACACTACCGTCTCGTAGAGCGAGTGGATACAGCTCAGAGGTAGCCAAAATTAGTTACAATTTTCTAGGTCCCCTTAGCCAGAACTCCGGACATCTAAGTCGTTCGTATCGGTAAGGAATGCTTATATGAGGCATGATGGCTCTCCGACATGTCCTGTAAGCCATACGGAACAGACTAACATATTCCAGCAGCCTTCGTCGACGGTCGATGTTCTATGAGCTTTTAAATCGAGTTCAATGGGCTTTGACGTCGTTGAGGGTTTTTTTTTAATACAGATTGAAAGGTTGCTATTTAGGGTGTCCCGATGATGTTCAAACCAAACCAACTCTATCGCTATTCCCTTCGAAGAACAAAAATTGAAATGGGAAAAACAAAAGGTCGTGCCCGGGATCGAACCGGGATCGGCGGAATCAGAATCCGCAGTGATGACCATTACACTACACAACCGTCTTGTTATATTGTCTGGCAATTTTAAAATTCAAAAGGCATAATAGTTCTGAAGATCATAGAATACGACCGACCACTTAAAAGCCCAGTTAGCTATCAAAGCAGCTAGGGATCAACCTTGAATGACCAGACCGATCAAGTTCTTACGGAATTTATTCCCAGACCTCTCAACCTTGGAACCCCGCGATCGACGCCTGTACTGTAAAAACCCCCTCTGACCACCGCTCAGTCTTCTCCCGTGTTCAATAGTTCCAAATTTAGAATGCATGGCATACCAGTAGACACCAAGACCCATCGTATCCATCCGGATCGGGAACGAAGCCACAGGCAAAAGCCCTTAGGGTTGGTGATCGGGATCCATGATCAAGCCTGCAGCCACTCCCATCTGCAACGCGAATGGACGGATACGCAAAGCCACAAACTCAAACCTAGCGATCACATCCATCACCCAGATCCCTCCAGCAATTATCCCCGCGATCATAAACCTGATGCTGAACCAAAGACCCTCTTGCCTAGCTGGGTAGGAGTCTAGAATATGCATCTCCGTGCGATAACCAGTAGAATCGAAATTTCGGCACAATCTCGAGTTAGGAATACAGCCTTGAACCTGTCCCGATTTAGCTGTACCCGCGGAAAGCCACTTCGGTCATGGGACCTCATGGAAGGCTCATTGGTTGCCTTCAGATTAAATGGACAGGGGTGGCTTTCTTTGACAGGAAGGCTAATGTGTGCTGAGGGATTCTGTAATCCCTGAAATTTACGGTCGCGTAACTGGAGTAGATTACACGTTCCTTTGTCGGAGACATACTTCTGTATCAGGTTAGGTGGGGTATTTTATGCAAATACATACATGTACTGTAGGTGTTTTCGCTTCTAGGGACGCGCGTTTCTAGTTTGGCTTGTATTTGCGCCTCTGATCCCTTTAGCTCCATTCTTGTTAGAACCTGTTGGAAATGATCCTATGGTTCTTCTGTAGGATGTGGGAAGTAGCTCCTGGCTTACACGACCGAAAACTCTGCGCTAGACCATGTCATTGACCCCTCTCTTGCATTGTACTTTTGTCAAACGCGGTTGGAAATGGCCTGGAAAGGGATATCGAAATGTGACCCCACTGAGGTGGACCAGTCAAATGGGCAGATAGGTGCCGGCGGGACGGTGTGCGGGGCTGGTTCGGTTCAAATTCTGTGTTTGTATTCTCATGGTTTGGTTGTTTGTTTGTAAATGGATTCGAGTCTACGTTATTTCCTATACACGCAGGTCCCTAGGGCCAACATCAAGATCGAAATAATATATCTATCTGAGCAGACAACGGCAGAAGATACAAATAGTAGTTGTGGGTCTTCTTCAAGCCGGCAAGTCTCTGTGCGTCTGACAGGCGGAAGCGGAAATGAATTCAGCTCCTCAATTAACGCCTTCTCCAACAAAAGTACCATGACCGTGTCCAGACCAGCCCGCGCATAGGCTGCCTCGTGGTAAATACTCGCTCCAGGTTGAATTGATCTCCAGATTGGAAACATGATCTTCATCACTCTTCCTTGCTGCTCTGCCGCTCTATGCGAAGCGATGCATGCTCTGAACTTATGCGGTGTAGTACCCCACACCCTGAAGCCGCGTACCACCCCCCTCGATTGTAACTCTACTGTATACCGTAGTTTCAGAATATATGGGGGTTGCTGGGACTGTGCAGATGTAACGAGGTCTGAACCCCAACTCTTTGATTGAAGATCGCTGCGAAGTAACCATATAGCCCCTCTGGTGTAGAAGGTTGGGTACCCATTGTCTTTAGGCTCGCACGCACAATTGGCCCCCAAGAGCCTGTCACTCCTGTCAGTGCTGTCAAATCTGCACGGCCTAGTGATGGACCCGGTGTCAGACGGCGAATCATCGAGTCTGTCAGCCGAGGGTCGGAACGACACGAAGCGACATGACAACGGTTATGCATTTTTTCACGTCGTGGACACCCGCTAATCTACGATACTGGGACGAGGGAACCAATGAGATGAAACAATGTATATTGTACACTATTATAGGGCGAGGGATTATCGCTTGTACTGCCATAGATGGAGACACATGCAGACTGCATGAAATCTCTACAGTCGAGAGTATACACCGACACAAGACATGTTTCCCAATAACCAAGGTAAAATTTCCAGGAAAAATACTGGACTGGCCAATGAACGGGCCCCCAGTGATAAACGTAGATAATGACTCGGTGGCCAACGCCGTGCGCGCCGGCAATGATGGGCTTGAACAAATGCAGAAACTTGGACAGATGGATATAGATGGTCCAATAGAGACAACAGACATAATGGAAGATTGACAAATGTGTTCAATGATAGTGGTAAAATGGGGTTGCGCAAGCCGCGAGTCGAGGCTTGATCAATGTGCAAGGTCCAAATGGAAACAATGGAATAATGGTACCTTGGGGGAAATTCGAAGGGGCTTAACCGACAGCAATGCTTTTGCTAGAAATTCCTTCAACACGCTAAATTCGCTAAAAGATGACAAGACACCTCCCTACACTCGGATCCGCGATGATCGGAAAGCAGAGAGGTCGATGGACTCGGCCGATATGGACGAGGCATCATCGACTTCAATGGTGCCAGGTGTGTCCGTTGAAGTGTGCTTGTTGGCGAGCGCGGCAATTCTGGCGAGTCGAGCGGCGGTCAGGGTTTGCAGAGGTGTCTCGTTCTCTTTGTCTTCGAGAGGTGCCTGTGCTTGTTCTTGCTTCTTCTCTTCTTCGAGACGTGTCACTTCATTGTCGACCATGTCGATCAGCATCTTGAGCTTCTCTTCCACACCGTCCAGCTCGGTCCCGCAGTCCCCTGATCGGAGGACTTGGTATGCGGCTGTCTCGCAGAGCCCGTGTGCCAGCTCCAACTGCTTGTCCACATAGTCGAACGGCGACTCCTTCTGCATGCTAGCAGCAGTTCCAGTGACACCGACGAGACCACCTGTGGTCCGCGTGCTGCGGACAGAGGACAGTCCTGACAGAGACGACGGCGCGCCTCCGGGTTGGTTATTGGTGCCAATGTTGACGGTCTTATTCAGTAGGCCTGCGCGATAAGCTGGCCGTGGCATCAAAGACATCTTCCCTCGCCGGATATTGTTCCGGGCAATACCGATATCGCGAACTACCTCCTCCAGAGCTTTCTGAGTGTGGCCGTCGTACTCGATGATCACATTGTGTCGAGTGCTGACAAGACCGTAGCGTTCATCGGAGTCGATAGATGATGCTTCATCCGCACTGCGCTTGCGACCAGCTTGCTGGGTTGTTTCTGTAGAATCCTTGACAGTGTTCGACGCCTCAGCGGCTTCCGGGGTTGGGCCCTCGCGCTGGGCAATCGGGACGAGATTATCAGTGCGGATGGAGCATACGGAGCTGTTCTTTCGACGGCGGGGTTTATATGTAGCATGTCGGCGGTAGGCTTCGGAATATTCGATATGTTTGGCGGAGGTGTGAGCGGCGAGCTCGGAGACGCGAGTGACCCATGCGGGGAGGTTGGACTGTAGGTGGGAGAAAGCTCCCAGGGCATCCATCGCCAAGGCCATGGTCTAATCAACTCAGATTAACGGTGCGACAAATTCCGTAAGCCCCCGCAGGCGTTCAAGTCGAAGGGACGTAGAGCGGGCGATTATAGTTGTAGGCCAAGGGTATTCCAAATATTTCGTTGCGTTCGTAGAATCGTGAGGGTATTGAGGTATGAGCGGGGGGAGGCGAGACCGGCAGGTTATAATACCCGCGATATGTTCACCTGAAGAGCAAGTCGCAAGAGACGGTGAAGAGTATGGGGAGGGGGTGGATGGGAAGAGAAAAGACGGGGATGGATCAAGAAAAGAGACGGGATCGCAGCGTTCTGTAATCGTACGGTATGTATCTTTGTCGTCATTTTATGCGGGTGGATGGGTTTCCATACCGTTAGATACGTTCTGAATACGCAGCGACTCGACTTCCCCGAAACAAGGATATCAAGGCCGCCTGCATGACTGCGGCCCTACGGTGTTGTACGACTATCGCAGAAGTAGCAGACTGACAGATTCATTGGACTATGAGCTTGAAGCGTACGGTTTCTAAAGGAGCGGTGTGGACTATGATATGCATCTGGGACATTGACAGTTGACAGTCGGAGTTGCAGGGCAGAAGAGCGCCAGTTTCCACGTTTTAACGACCTGATGATCTACGAAGCACCTAAACACTCAAAACCGTGAATATGAAGTGTGTCCTGAAGATCATTCCTCGTCCCAAGGGGCTTCACATGACGAATCCAAACCGTTGAGCACTTAGGATGAGACAGGGATTGTGTCGCCGCAAAATCCGACATCCATGTCGCGAACAGGAATTGCGACAGGCTAGACAAGGCATCAGGTTGGAGCTAGGATGGAGCATCCACCATCGCGATGGAGGTGCCTTTTCCAAGATGGGCTTGACACGTAACGGTCGGCGTCGGGGACTCGGGGATCACGGGGATCACGGGGACCCCATTGAAATACAGAAAGTCAGGTAATACGGGTGCGACCAGTACTAGTGCCGGGGGTCTATGGGGGCCAAAGGGCGATCCCTGCGAGACGGCAGACCGGGTGAGGCCGTGGATTGGAGTCCGGGTGGCCCCGTCGTCACGATCAGAGCTGATAATTGGCTGATCGGGGAGAATCTAAGAGAGGCCGTCAGGGCATCTTCTTGCACTGGCTTCGTTTTGCGTCTAGAGTGGAGCCCGTGCATCTTATTACATTCTTCTACCCTTGTCTGGAGCACCCGGTGTTAGTATGTATCTCTATACATGAGAAGCCACTCGTCGATGGTTCCTACTCATGGCCAGCCATCAAGCCACCCCGGAAATCAGCGAACACGTCCGAGGATGCGATCGTGATTTATGTTTCAGAGACTGTTTGAGGGGGCGAAGCTCGGACAGAAGCACAGACACACATTGCACTGGCCCTGGCACGTATATGCACGTGATGACTCGAGCCCTCTACGGAATGTCCAGGGTATGCGCGTGTTCAGAGAAAAGTAGTATGAACTCGTTAACCATGATCGTTCCAAATAAACCCCCAATGAAGATACATGATCAATCCGGATGACAAGAAAAAAGAAAGAACAAACTCCCCCGCACCGTTGTCGTGACTATCATGAGCGGAATGAATGAATGAATGCACCGAAAATGCATGCTCTTGGTTGAAAAGAAATCACTGGCCGGAAGCCCACGCGTCGACCCATGCCTGGACAGTGTCTCGGACAGATTGGGCTGACTCCTGCATGACTTGGTGAGCAGCCACGCTGGCCTGGAACTTGGCTTCATAATTATCCAATTTGCGCTGGAGCTCACGCGCGAAGATAGAATGGACCGACATGGCGATGGAGCCTTGAATCGTGCCGCTGGGCAGCTTGGGAATGATGGTCTTGCCTGCGGCGGTCTCGTTTCTAGAAAGCTTGGTGGCCTTGCCGCCCTTTGTGGTAGGGGGGCTCTTTTCGGCAACAGGAGACTCCGAGCGGCTTTTCTTCACTGAGCCTGAGCGGAGGGGACGGTCGTTGGACTTCTCCATCCTGTTGGAACGGATGCAAGAAGAGCTGGAAGCGGTTGCAGAAGTAAGGTTGGATGGCTTCTTCTCAGCAACCTGGACTGATGTGAGGAAGAGAAACGTTGAGGATGAAAGTGAGAGAAAGGGACGTGGATTTGTCTCTTACATGAAGTCCACTCACATGAAGTTCACGATGTGATCGCTTCCGGAGCCTAGTCTCCATGATGATATTGGTGTCCGCAACGAGCGAGTATTCACCTCCCCGATGGGTGCAGCGCTTCTTCTTCGACTTGCAGAGCTCACAGGCACGCAGCTTGCCACTAACAGATCGTGGACGACCACCACCGGCTTAACATGTGATAGATTAGCGAAATATTGGGGTGCGACGCCACGATCAGGCAGGAAAGCATACCTAGCTCAGCATTTATAGCACTTCCCGATGCCATGATCACTGTGCTGAGCAAAAGACGTTGTGATTCGATGCTGTCGGTCGGGAGATTTCGATCGCGATCAGTAGCCTACAAGGCGGATCTGAGCGGAGGACAAACGCGTACGCGATTAGAACATCAAAGATATTCGATTGTGCAATCACTTTTGACATCCAAGTTGACCTCCCCAACAGCGGTTTCTAGCGGTATTGTTACCGCCTACGCTTGCATGGCAATACTGCCTCTGGCTTTGCCATCGGATATAACAGCTACATCGTGTATTCATTTCTATTTTGGAATTGCTCACCGGGCAGGGATCACGGCCATAACTCGGTCTCCACCCAATGGCTCCCAGATTGGTCGTTGACCAATGTCCACTTCCATCTCTTGGGATCCTCTTGATTTGAGAGATCCAGCCGCTCAACTTCCTCCGGCAGGATAATAACGACCCTGAAATTCCCACGAGCAACAGGATCATGAAGATCTGTGACTTTCTGTCCTAGACCCAAAGATTGATCATCCGGAACCTTGGACCGCGGCTGTCCAGGGGGCGGTGCTTTGAAAGAACCTGCAGTCATAATTAGAATAAGTACGGAATTAAGCTCGAGCATGCAGGTTTGCCGGCATTGAATGGATCAAGCAAGACCGGCGAGAGGTATCCCACAAAGCGTCAAACTATGTAGGAAAGCAACATACCTCGCATAATAGGAGAATGGTTTGCAAAATACTTTGTCACGGCCTTCTCCCACGTCCACTTGGCGGCATCGCCATTGGCATCGCTCTTCACCCTAAGACCCTTTGCAGCTTCCTTCCGGGAAGCTTGTTCAACTTCCTCATCCTCACTTAGATTCCCAACTGCATAGGCTCTGCCCTTCACCCGCCACTGAGCCATGACATCCTTCAACCAGAAGATAGCCTCAGTAGCGTGCCCAGACTCCTCTAGCTGGCCCAATTTCTCCATCCGGGTATCGGAGGTGAATGTCAGCATGTCACTCTCGTAAACAGATGGGTTACCACCCTCCTCCACCTGTTCATCCATAGCTTGTTGGCCCTTCGGATGCAATTCAAGCTCCGGGAAGAAGCCGCGGTAGCCACAGGTGCGTACCCGGGGAACAAAACGACCCTGGATATCACGGCCCACGGTCGCAATCGTAAATTCATAGCCTGGTGTTTTTTCCAGGTGGGAGTCGAGAATGTCGCGCCATGGGGCGCGTTGAGTGCTTGGTGAGAGCGTCATTTTGGACGTGGTGGGAATAGACGCTGGCGCTGGTGGGTTTGCCGAGTAGACGCTAGTCGCGATAAGGTGATGACTGACTGTGTGTAATCTTTTCAAGCTGTTTCTGGGGGTACAAGCAGGCAGCATGTGTAGATCATATGATAAGCTTGCGAGCTATGAGATGTCGATACGGGTGAATTGGCGGGGTAGAGTCGAATTCTCTGATGTAGAGAAAGTATAGATGCTCTCAAATTCAAGATACAGCTCTAAGACACCTAAAAGCGGATGTGACCCAGTGCAAAGGGAAAAGTTCGTGTCGAAGATGAGAACAAGAGGGCGAGTTCCGTGAATGCAGGTATTGGTGACATCAACCCCAATTATCCGGTGGCACGTGCACGATCTTATCTCCTGAACGCGTCCACGGTAATCGGTAATCGGCATCAGACACTGACCATAAACATTGACTTCCTCAACTTTGGCATCCTGTTCGACCCCGTATTCTAGACACATCATCCGGAGTCTTAAGCGAGTGACGCCACATGGTGACAGTGCATGGTCTTACCCCTGCATGCCTGCAACCTGAACATGCATTTCTTCACCAGAGCCTGTGCCAGGCAGATGGCTTTCGGCCTTCGCATAGGAGCACCGAAGCCGAGATTGTTTGAGGTGCCAAGGAACTCTCCATTCAAACAAGTCGCCACATCGCCAAAGCGATACTCTTCCGAAGCCCCTCTCCACCATCAGCTATATGAGATTCCGCCTAGTCGACTAGAATCAAAGATCCATCCTCTAGGATGGGAGGTTATCCAAGCCCAGACTGAACCGTGGCTTGACCAACATTGGGAATTTGCTAGCGAAAAGGACAAGAAGGGATTCTTTGCACTTGGCATGTCTCGTGCTTTTAGCCAATTCTTCCCGCTTACGCTCGACGATCGAGTTGAGATGACTTGCAAGCTGCATTACTTGATTCTTCTGATCGATGGTATGTTCAAAACTGAATATATGTATTGCAAAGCCTCAGCTAATGATATTTAGATCAACTGGAGAAGATGGACCTTCTAGAGATGCTGTCCTACAGAAACCGAGTCATGCAGGTTGCGCGAGGACAAACAAAGCCCGACAAAGAAAAGGCATATGAATGGATGCTATTTGACACGTTCCAACTCATGAAAAGCACCGATGAGGCACTGGCCAAGGATCTCATCGAAGGGTTCTGCGCTCTGCTTCAGGCTCAGACGACGGAGGATCGCATGTCTGTAAAACACCTTGGACCATACCTTGAGCACCGAGAGGTTGACGTTGGCAGAACGTGAGTATTATCCATCTCAGCAAAGTAGACTTGAGCTAACCAGATTTTGAGCTTCTACTCCGCACTCATTAGATTTGGCGCGGATTTGCACCTCCACCCAGCCGAGCTTTCCCAAACCGCCGCATTGGAAAGCTGCGCTTTCCGCTTCATGGGTGTCCTGAACGACATCTACAGCTGGGACCGCGAATCAAAGGTCTATCAAGTCCACCCGACCGATGGATCTCGCCCTTTCTCCTCCATATACATCTTATCCCAAGAGACCGGTCTATCGTACACAGCCTGCAAGCGCCTAATGTACGCCTACTGCCGAGAACTCGAGATCGTGCTCAAACAATCTAGCGAAGATCTCAGACAAGAAAATGGTGGTACCCTACGCCCTGAAATGGACAAATACACCAAAGGCCTAGAGTACCTCATGAGCGGCATCGAGCAATGGAGCCAATGGACGCCGCGCTATCGGCAATAAATGAACCAAACACTGACTCTAAAGTTGACATGGTAATTAATATGCACGTGAATCATCTACAAATAAACTCAGCTATCTGTGTCCGCTGACTCATTTTCCTCCTGCTTCTTAGCCTGAATCCCCGTAGCTCCATAGAAGGAAATAAACGCCATTCCGAGGAAGGCTGAAATGCACGAGAACACCATCGCCACAATTCCCTTGGTAGTGAAGCCCGCGGGTAACCAAGCAACCTGCTTGTTCTGCCCGGTCAGATCGAGGAAATCCTCCGTGTTGGCCGCTGCGTTACCCTCGTAAGAGACACCGGCGGCCTTGCAGGTATCATACGCGGCGTCTGGGATCGTCATGCGCTCTTGAATCTGTGTCGGAGCTTCGATCATCAGCATTGCCAATCCCTGCGCCAAGTGCCAGTCGATGTGGCAGTGGAAGAACCAAACGCCCGGGTTATCGGCTACAAAGCGGATGACGAAGTTACCCATTGGAGGTGCGACGAAGGTATCGCGACGGGATGGGTATTGAGGGAAGGCTTTGTGATTGGACGCGTCGAAGGTGAGTCCGTCGGTGGAGTCCTCGTAGTCGTAGAAGTGTTTGCCGTATGATGGCTCGCGATGGAGGAGCTGGAAGTTGTGGCCGTGGAGATGGAATGGGTGAGAGCCTGTGTCGGCGTTGTTGAGAACGATGTCGACGACTTGGTTGTGCTCCAGGATCATGGGGTGCGTATAGTCGCCGTAGACCTCAGCGTTTGTGGAGAGGTTGCCGGATGACATTACGGTGTATAGTGTTGGGACCTTGGGCTTTGTGTAGGAAATGTTGTTGAAGAAGGCGTAGCCGGCGCCGTTGTCGAGGTTTGCCATGACGACTGAAAGTTCGATCGTCAAGTCGGCGTCGGGGAGTAGTTCCATCCTATCGTGGGGGATGAGGGTCATGTCGTCGTATGGGACAAGGTCGGAGGCTACGTCCACTTTCATCACGGCTTGAGGGTGGGCGGCTGTCGAGTTATACTCCAGCCAATTGGTATGGTTTAGCTGCAGGTCGGATGGAATAGTATCCAGTAGCACAGAGTCTGCTACTGTCACAATGGGATAGTTCTTTTCTGTCGAGTTCTTCATGGTGACGAGAATTGAGTACCGCTGGGCAACAGAGATGTAGAGTGTGTCGGCTTCGGTGGCGTCGACATAGACTCCGTCAATCTCGACGATCTTGAAGGTGTGATCCTCGATATAGAAGTACTGAGCAACGAAGGCGCTCACGTTGATCAGCCTGATCAGATATGTTTTCCCTGCTTTCACAGGTAGATTGGTATTCATCGTGTCGTTGACCAAGAATGCTTGTGGAATGGGCTCCGCGCCAGTCGGGTTCGCCAGAGTAATGAAGTGGGGAGCAATGTCCTCCACTAAGGTGTGATACCAATCACTCATGGTGAGCACGAACTCCTCATCGTACATATTGTGGAAATACGATTCGGTATCATGGACAATCAGCGCCTGTCTGTAGCCATCCGGGTAGCAATAGTCGGTATGACAGTGGTACCAATACGTGCCGTTCTGGTTCACGGTGAAGTTGTAGGTAAAAGAAGAGCCCGGAGGGACGGGACACTGAGTGACCATAGAAGGGCCATCCATGTTATTGGTGCCATTCTGGTACATGCCGTGGAAATGAATCGAGGTATCCTTATCCCCAAGACCGTTGAACATGTTCACGACGAGCTGGTCACCCTTGTCGACCTCAATGGTAGGTAAGGGCCACTGGTTGTTGATACCAACGACCTTACGATCGAAGAGACCATCAGGGTTGGCAGTGACCCAGGTGACATTGAAATCATAGGTGACGGTTTTGGCCTGGCAGCTCTGAAAGATGAAGAGCAGCGCCCAGAGGCGCACAAGCAGGCCTCCCACGAGGTTCGCCATGTCCAAAAGGCTGGTCTGAACTGGAGAAAAGAGGGCAAGGAAGAGAAAGCAGCTAGCTGTCGCTAGAATGTCGGCCTAGAGGAAGACTAACACCAGGACCAGGACCGAGCCCGGTTTCGCAACATCGGCTAGACTTTTTGTGTACCAGACGATAAGATTATCGATCTTACCGGTGGTCCGCGGTGGGGCTCGTAACAAAGAATTGTAAAAATTTCACACGTAGCTTAGCCCGTTTGGCTGGGTGGGCCCCTGTGGCCCTGGGTTTGCTTGTTTCTCCGGGGATCCACGTACCCCAAAGGGTTTAAACACGCGAAAGCGCTGGTGCAGATCTGTTCGACATGCACAAGGCCCTGGAACAGGACCGGAGAGGTTTGCGCGGGCGGTAGGACCTTAAGATCAGCGCACGACGATATTGATTGATTAGCTGAGAACACTGATAATCTGATTTTTCAGGATCTGTCCATTGGAGGAATGTCGCAGCATCCCTGGAACGTGGACACGAAGGGGGTCGGGCAACCAATGGATCCCCAAAGGTCGCACAGCCCATTCCTTCTAGGACCATGCCGCTAAGCTTTGCTAAGATTTCCCTGAGTCGCGCATCCCCACTGAAATGTGACCCTAAAAGTACCTTCCTTGTTTGGCTACAAACATTACAGCAGATTGAAAATTACACATCTTTCTATTATTTTCGTATATTTCATTTTTTAATTTTCTTGTGGCTTTCTGCCTGGGAAATTCTCTGCTTCTAACTTCGAATATTATTTCCAATTATGGTTCCTCCGAATACCGGGCCCTTTTCACCGTCTAAGCCGAAGAGGTCGGCCTGATAACGGTAGAAACACCGGTACCGTTTCCCTTCATGCTGAGAACGCCAGTCTCAATGGCACCACTTGCTTGAACAGGCGCAAGCTCGGGCTCAGGCTCCCATTTCTGACGGAAGATGAATGCCTTGGTGCGTCCCTTGGCATTGATCACCTTCCTCATGGCCGGGTCGATGTATGGTAGAGGACCGCGGCGCTCACGAACAAGCATTAACGAGTAGCCGATCATGACGGCGAGCCAGTAGAGGTTGTATGAGATCACAGAACCGTAGGTCGCAGAATTGGTCCAACCGAGAAGGGCGTTGAAGATACCCCAGCCACCACCTCCGCCTATTTCAGGGTTGCAGCAGTTGACGTGCCAGACACTCTGTTTGATGTTGTAGGACCCGGGACCAGAGCCGGTCTCGGAGGCATCGCCTCCAATGACCTTGCTCCAGGCATTGTTCTGGAAGTACCAGACTCCACGCGACATAAGACCAGCGGCAACCAGGTAGAGGAAGCAGGTTGAAATGATCAGGAAGATCTGCATCGATGTCTCTCGTCCACCCCTGTGAATAATTAATTCCGGCTTCGTTCCCCGTCTCGTTACATTCAACTTACTTGTAGATGATGTAGCCCACCAGGAAACCGGCTGCCAGACCACATACCACCGCAAGAGGGAAGGAGGTGGCTGGGAGTCCAAGACCAACACCACCAATGTAGACGACCGCCTCCAAACCTTCACGCAGAACTGTGATGAAGGGGAGGAAGAACATCACATACTTCTCCATGTATCTTTTGAGGCGATTTCGGCGCGTCTCGTTGGGGTTGACATCATGCTCCAGCGCCTTCGCAAGCTTGATACGCCACTTGTCCTGGAGCTTGGAAACACGCAGCAGCGCCGCACCCATGATGGTGATAATCAAGGATGCGATGATACCAAGCACGCCTTCCCAGATGTCCTCCGTGCTGGAGAAAGTATCGGTGCCGAGGCCATAAAAGGCACCGATCATACCGGCGCCAACCGCCACGCAGATAAGTAGACCTAAACCACACCCCAGCCATACTTGTTTCACAAGCCTTTTATATGTTGTTCGATCTTCTCCCATGCCCAGGGTCTGCTTGAGAAAGGCCAAAAGGACCGAGACAACCACGGTCGTTTCCAGGCATTCTCGGAAACAAATGAAAAACACTGCGCGGTCGCATCGGGTCAGTTCAAGTCCGACAGGGATATGCTAGCATTGAGCGCAATCGCAGCGCACACTTACCCGTGACGGCGAACACGTTATTTTGACCCATCTTGAGATAGCTTCACCAAAGAGCCTGCGGAGAAGAGAAGGATAGACACGGTCCTTGGGAAAAGAGGGACACAGGTGATTGATAAGACCCCGTGTCGACCTTGAAACGACGTGGTCCGCCCGAGTGAAAATTACTAGCGCCACGCCGGTATCTGATCAACCCCCGACGATGAAAGTGGCCCTCAGCTTCTCGTGCTTTTCCATGGCCCCATCAAACCCTAATCCACTTCGGCGCCCGATTTTTGCCGCACACGGCATCTGACCTCGTGCCTCGAAACACATCAGGGTACATTCAGGGCTGCGCTGTAGTAGCTGCCGACATCGGCAAATCAGCACCTGCTTCACGCTACGGGCGGCTGAAAGGGTCGGGAAAATAAAGAGATCATCAGATGAATCTGGAATGTAAAACCCTTGCAGTCCCCGCAGCGGAGAAGGAATCGGATGGAGCTGTCGTATGCCAATCAAGGGCCGACCGGGCCACACGTGAAAGGCTTGAGTTGGTCTGGATATAGAGCATCCGCGGTGTGCGCCATTTTTGCAGTTTCAAATCGGCACATTTCTTCCGAAGATAATGTTTGACAGGACGAGATTATCTGATTGATTTGATTGATTTGATGGATATGATGGATATGATTGATACCGGGTCGGTTCAACCACCCTGCACTGGAAACTCTAAATAGGCTTGCTGAAAAATAATAAGCGGAAACTTGCTTAACTACCATATAGACTTTTGGGTCAAAAAGTGTCATATTCCCAGGGTAGACTTTTGTAGCAGGTAGTCATGATGCTTAGACCTGCTACGAAATGTGGTGAAAGCTTTTTGTGCTCGGTGTCTCAGGCCTCTAAGTTTGTGGCGCTCCGTTCAACCGGCTCGGCAAAATAAACGGAATAGGAAAATTTGGTACAATTGGGCGGGCTGCAGTTACTCGTCGGATACTGGCTCTGAGAACGCCTCATCAGGCCACTTTTCTTTCACCGGTCTTGGCCTCCTCTCTTCCCAATAACTTCTCAGTGTGAATATCACACTGAGTACGATGCCCAAGCCACCGAGCCCGGTGGAGAAGTATAGCGCTCCCCGGTAACCCTTCAAGGTATCAGCTGAAGTCAAGCCCCCATTATTAACATGCATCTCTACCGTGCCTGCAAAGCCCAGACTCAGCGAAATACTGTAGTTAACAATCGTAGTCACCAATGATGCTGCGACACCCTGATGTTTCTTTTCAACAGTGTTCGATAGCATTAGAGTAGCCGCCGGGAACGACATGTCCATGCCCCAAGGGATCACTAAAAGGCAGACAAATGTCAAGCCCCAGTATGTTTGGTCGACTGGAGCGATGGCAATAAAAATATTGCCCAGCGTAAAGGCACCCATCGACATGATCATGATCCAGCCAGGACGCAGTCGAGAGATAAGGAATCCAGTGACGAAGCAGGCAACGATACCCATTGGCGCCACTGGTGTGAATTGTGCGGTCGCTAGAAGCGGACTCGTGTTGCGGTACTCCATCTCAAATCGCCAAAAGTACCAAATCCATGTACCGAATGCGCCCCATCCACACGCGATACAGCCCAACACGAACGAGACGTCAGGACTGAATGCGTGAAAGGGGATTAAAGGATGCTCCGCTATGCGGAATTCCACGATGAAGAAGGCGGCAATTAGCAAAAGGCCGATGACCAGGAGCACGTATACATAGGGTGTGCTCCAGCCTGCCGTTGGGGCCTGGTTCCAGGCAATATTCACAAATATCAGCCCTCCAACTCCACATAATGAACCAAGGGCGTCGAGCGCCTTCATGAGGCCAGAAAATGTGCTGATGTCCCGCGGGGCATCATGGTGAATCGAAGGCACGACGATGAAGCCTATAATGGCACAGATAACAGACACAATAGCCTGAACCCAGAACATCCAGGGCCACCAAACAAGCTGCCCGAATATCCCTCCAAACACAGCCCCCAATACAGCACTGTTAGGAGCAACAGCTCCGAAGAGAGCAAAGATCATTGCCTTCTTCTTGCCGGGTGGGTAAGTGTGTCCCAGGATAGCCAATCCATTCGGTAACATCATCGCAGCACCAATGCCCTGCATGACGCGCGCGAAGATAAACAAAATGTGGTTGGAAAACACACTAAATCCGACTACTAGCGACCATACCGCAAGCCAGATGAACCCAGAGAGAAACATGCGCCGGTATCCAAATAGGTCTCCACATCGCCCGAAGACGAGGATGAAAGTACCGACAGTCAATGAATACCCGGCGAGGAACCAGCTCTCGATACCAGAGTCCTCAATATCGAAACTTTCCCCAATAATGTCGAGTGGGGATAGACAAACGCCCACGTTCGTTTGGGTCATGAATTGGGCCATGCAAACAATCGTGACGAACAGCGCCTCCCGCAGAGGCGATAAGGAGTCCGAAATTGAGCGTGCTGATTGCACTGGTTTAAGACTGGGACTACCCTCCATGGCGAAGAAAGCGATCTCCGTCGCTGGGGTTGCCAATTGGAAAGATGCTCTTTTGCAGAGCCTGATCTCTGCAGAGAGACTGTAGTTGACGTTTTGAAATCCATCGGCACATCAATTCGAACAGAGCCGAGCCAGTGAGAAAAACGGCACGTCTGGTGGATAAAACAGCCAAAATAGGCTTGGTTATCAGCCCCTTAGTCAAGTGGCTGCCAGCCCGCAAAAAAGAAATTTCGGCATCGTTTTGTGGATTGAGCCGGCTTAGCAGCCCGATCCACTATGGTTGTAAACAGTCAGCGGCGAGATTTCTCCGGGCGGGTCCTACAACAGACGATGTAAGCCTTGCCTAAAAGCCAGCAAACTCAGTCTATCTTCTTCCAAAGTGCAATACGCCGTTTGAACTCGCTTCATCTCATAATACCCCCATGCTTCATTCAATTCCTAAATTTCCAATAAAGAGAAGCTAAGATAAGTATATTCTATCTTAATTTGCCAAGAATGCTCTGCATGACTACGCGTAGCTTTTTCGTAGTCTGACTCTCGTCCCCGAGCACAGTATTGCATCTCCAAGCCACAAAGTTATCAGGTCGGACCAGAATACATCCCGTCTCATCAACCCCGCGAACACGCGCCCAATCAAAGTAAACATCCTCATAGTCCTGGCGGAAACCGACAGAGTAAGCTTTGACTTGAACACCAAGCTCCTTGGAGACAGCTGAGGTAGCTGCCTTCCAAGCCTCGCCTCCAATACCAGTAAGTAGCACGAATGAACCCTTTCCAGCCAAGTCAATGGTAGAAATGCGCCGCACTGGAGTGGCGATGTTCAGCCAGACGTGAGGCAAGCGGCATCCGGGGTATGTGCTTCGAATGAGGCTTAGATCTTGATCTTTAGCAACTACTTCGCGGGTGTAGAATGGGGCCATCTCATCCGAAGTGTATACAGCAGAGCTCTGGTAAAATTGGCCCATCTCTGTACCCAGAGCGTGGTACTCATGTTCAGTCATCTCGATGGAAGCCTGAAGGGCAGCGCGACGGGCTCGACCCTCTTGGGTGGGCAGGGTCAATTCGTGAAGCGCCTTTGTCCTTTCTTCTAGAGTGGGAAGTGCAACCCCAAGCGCTTCCCAGACGGGACCATGGTGTCGGAATGACTCGTTGGCACGAGTGACCACTCCACGACCGACAGGCTGACGTTCAGCTGAGTATGACTCGAGCAGTGAGTGAGATGCTTGGCCTGGAGAATCTTAGTTAAAACAATGTAGAGACCGAATCGAGAAACAAAACATACCATTCAAAACATATGCAACCTTCCAAGCCAGGTTGTACGCATCTTGTATACAAGTATTGGAACCGAGACCATTCGATGGCGGGTGTCGGTGCACCGCATCACCAAGACAGAATCTGTAAAATTGTCAGCCACGGAACGATACAAATGGAGGGAGCCAGCATACACTCTGCCCTTCGAGAATCTTTGCGCAACGACGTCATTGATGCGCCATTTTGAAATACCCAAGATCTCCGTATGGATGGTATCATCTCCAATAAACTCTTTCATACGACCAAGCCACTCCTCATTAGTCGGATTAATCTCAAGCTCTTCTCCACGCTCTGGAAGAACGATGAAAAGCCACTCATCCCACGGTTTAACCATTCGCGCAATGCACGCCCATCCGAAAAGCGGATGCTCTCTGTCGGGCTGTAGAAGCCAGTGTAAATTGCCCGTCCTATACTGCATATAGCCCGAGAGATCTGCCTTCAGGTGAACATTAAAAGCAAGGCCCTGATCGGGTCGCACGTCCAGTGGAAGGTCAAGTTGACGGAAGACTTCGCCTCGAGCTCCATCTGCGCCGAATAAGTATTTCGAACGGATTTTGTATTTGGTTCCGGTGAGGTTATCGCGGAGTGTTGATGTAGTTCCCTTGTTGTCTTGGACGAAATCGATAAAGTTGGTGTCAAAGCGACTGCTGAAACCATTCAGTGTGGCATATCGAACAAGAATCGGCTCGAGGAGAGTCTGTGGGAGATCGACGGGGTCACAAGGACTGGCTGTTTCATAGTCACCCTGACTGGTGTCAGTCTATTTCACGACTTTAGAGGGATTATTCTTCGACATACTTTACGCTTTGGGTCGTGCCCCCAGGAGTGAATCCTTGCGTATTCTTCCCCTGCCATGCTGTATGCCCAACGGGTGTGCATCATGTTTCTTCCATTGGTTGCTAGACGGTTGCACTCGATGTCTAGACCAATGTCTCGAAGACATTCTGCTTGGTGTTAGTTACAATTCCAGAGTGTAATTGCGTGAGAAGGAGGTACCCATGGCCGCCATATTGGTGATGTGCGCTCTAGGAGTATCGGCATTAGTGGAACAAGAGCTGACCATGATCCCTCGGATACCTAGCTTTCATTAGTATGCAGAACAAAAGAGTCCGATTGATGATGGTCGCGTTGACCCTACCATAGTATGCCATAAAACATGCTAGAGAGGCACCAGCAGGGCCAGCACCAACAATGAGAACATCTGTAGTTGTGACGGGCGCTGGCTTGGCATGATCGCCATCCCCGTTGCTCAAGTTAACGATAGTCATAATTCATGAAAAACAGGCAACTTGTATAATTCAGTGAGAGAGAGCTTCGAGAGGGTGTTAGAGCAACTTAGCTAGGAGGGTTGTCGTTCTATAGCTCTTACACTCGATTAAAGTGGGCTGCGATGTAGGAAAAATTACATGCAGAAATTTTAAAATTACAATTTTTATTCAAAACTACGCATCGCTTCTTTCACGCATGTTTGATCGATGAAACGCAGGAGTTTAACCGGTTACGACTGGCCATGCCTCAATAGGAAATGATCAACTGGCCGTTGTGATTAAGATCATCGCCAGCGGGAAGCTCTGATCGTCCATCTGATAAGATGGGACGGACAAGATCGGCAAGACAACGCGACAAGTGCAGTGAAGGCTTGTCCGAGATCCACCAGCAGCAAATACCTTTACTGATCTCCACGATCTGCAAGGCTTGTAGCCCAAGCGTACGGAAACTCTCCCCTTTGATGATGTAGTTTAGGGGTGGGGGGTTGCAAACAAAGTTCAAGCTGAAGAATCAAACCTGTTTACAGTATTTCAGGCCCAGGGTTGATTGCCACGACCCAGGTAATGAAAAGTCTGCTCCCACCTTGAAAATTTGATTCAAATATCAGCATATGAAGAGGCTGTTGGTGGACTCATAGCCACTGCTTTTGAAGATGTTCGACACGAAAATTGGCCTCTTGATTGCCCGCCGCTCCGCCACTGAGACTGTATTGAATGAAATGGTAAGAGATTGGAATAGATACTAAGCACGGTTCAACCTCTAATCTCTTCCAGGCCTCTGTGATGATTGCCAAAGCTCTGCCTCAATCCACAATGGTGCCACTTCTACACCTCAATGTCTCTTTTATCCATTACTTGCGAGAGGGAAACATGTTCATACCATACTTCCGGCTTTCAAAAAACGCGACACTGTGTGGTGTTCATGACCAGATTAATTTCTTGTTGAACAGAGACCAAAAAGCTTCAAAGTAAGATATATGATAGTGGATGAATATACTACCGACACTTTGTCTTGCCCTCCTTGGACCCAGGATGATCGAAAGCACGTCATGTAATAAAGCTAAAGTCTACCGTTTACGAATCAACGACTCATTGGCATCGTAGACCGCTGCGATCAAAAAGCACTGACTACAAAGCTTGAGATTAAACTTCAACTCTGGTGATTGCTTGTTTACCCTGGGCCGCCACAAGCCATCCTTCCGATGACTTTTAAAAATCCCCTTTACGCGCAATTACGGTAATTGCTCATATTTTGACTTTGAATCACGGCATTTGACAATTTTACTTGCGGCCGGTTCCCCACTCTCTCATCCTCAGCAGAGTCTGCTCGAGATCGCTGTTTCAGACCCTCTTTGAACATGTTAGCTTCTTGATAGGGTAAAGCTCATGCTGTGATATGGTTTGAGATAGGGGTTTCTCCACCACCAGAGCACAAAGGGAATGTGAGATGACACCCGGCTCCACCTACACATGAGACCACTCGGAAGAAATCCTCTGGGAAATCTGGTTGGTCAATTGAGTACAATTGACTTTCCTGTGATTTTCCCGACATGGAAAATATCTTATCTGATCAGATTTTGCCTTTTCTCGCTTCACGCACTTTTCAACTTGATGGCAAAAATCCTGAGTTTCAGTGCAACATGTAATTGCGAAATCCGTCACAATCATGATAAGCAGTGTCTCGGATAGATAATTTTGCTGTGTTCCTGTATACTAGCCTCCCTTGGCAGGGTATAGTTGTTTCAAGGACTTCGACCCTATTCCATAAGTCGGTGAAACGAGCCCGAGCCGTTTCTCCACACCCTTGCATCATGCCGGCCGGTGGAGGATGACACCAGTCGACTCTGGTTGCCGTCCCGTTACAGGATCGGCGTCAATGTGCCGAAGCCAGAAACGTAACCGAGTTTGTGCCGAAGCAAGATACGTAACCGAGTTCGGCAAATATTCAGGGTTCGAGCACGATAGAAGCGACCGGAACAATTTCCGCTCGGTCAATTATAAACCCTGAAATACACCGATGTCAAAATATTTCGATAAAAGATTAGGACTACGTCGACCGAAACTCTATGGGTCAATAATGCGCTTCCCCTGCACTAGTATCTTCACGTTTGTGGTATCGGTCAGGCATAGAAGGCGCAGATGGATCCGCTGAAGATACCAAGGCGCAGTTCCCATTCGAATCATTCTTTCCATTTTGCTCGAATCATATGCTGATCAAGCTTGTCAGCCGGCTTGTAAAGAGTCTTGGCCGGATGTGTAATCTGTCTAGGATTGACCATTGATGTATGTTCCTGGCTATCCTAATATTAGATGTGGGTCTTTAGATCGAGTGAGATCAGTAATCTGCTCAAAAAAGGCTATAGGTGAGTGCTGACGGAATCATTAGTGATGGCCGAAGGAATCCTCTCTGGCGTGATGAGAAAGTGGAGTGCGACTATCACGTTCCAGAAAGGTTTCATGTGTCACCACAGATAGAGTATAAATAAAATGCCCCTGTTTCCAGGAAAATTGATGCGAGAGTAGACCACTCATTTTTCTCATTCGAATTACTACATTCAATATGCGCAGTCTCGTAAGTCTTGCGCTGCTTCCTTTGGCAGCCGCCATCCCCCATGCTACTCGCGGAGCCGGAACCCACCTATGACTATATCATTGTCGGAGGTGGTACAAGTGGCTTGGTAGTCGCAAACCGTCTTTCAGAGGACAGAAACACCAATGTTCTCGTTATCGAAGCTGGAGGCTCAGTGTATAATAACCCCAACGTGACCGATACGACTGGATACGGAAAAGCATTCGGTACCGATATTGACTGGGCCTACCAGACTGTGGACCAGGAATATGCCGGGAACTACTCGCAGACTGTTCGAGCCGGCAAGGCGCTTGGAGGAACATCTACCATCAATGGCATGGTGTATCTCCGGGCCCAAAATGCTCAGATTGATGCTTGGGAGACGGTGGGTAATGAGGGTTGGAACTGGAAGAACCTGATCCCCTATTACCGCAAGGGTGAGCAATTCCAAGGCGACGACTTCTCATGGCTGGAAGGTTCCGGCGTTGCATATGATCCTGCCTACCACGGTTTTGACGGACCTTTGAAGGTTGGCTGGTCCGAGTCGCAGTTGAACGATGGACTTGCACAGAAGTTGAACACGACTTATCAGAACATGCCCGTTCCTGTGCCATACAACATTGACCCCAACGGCGGCCAAATGATCGGATACACTCTTTATCCTAAGACGGTTGATTCGAAGTTGAACATCCGTGAGGACGCTGCTCGCGCGTACTACTACCCTTACAAGTCTCGGACCAACCTTCACGTGTGGCTCAATACGAATGCCAACAAGATCACTTGGAAGGCTGGCGATGATGCCACCGCTGATGGCGTCGAAGTTACCCTGGCGAATGGCACTACCACTGTTGTCAAGGCTTCCCGTGAAGTCATTCTCGCTGCGGGTGCATTGAAGTCCCCTGCTTTGCTTGAGCTATCTGGCGTCGGAAACCCAGAGTAAGTAACCTTCCCTTCAGGAAAGAGGCAGAAGCCAACCTAATTGCCTCTAGAGTTCTCTCCAAGTATGGTATTGACACCAAGGTCAACCTCCCAACAGTTGGAGAGAACCTCCAAGATCAAATGAACAACGGCCTAGCGTACGACGCCAAATCAAACTACTCTGGGGTTGCAGACTACGTCGCATACCCTTCCGCGAGTCAGCTTTTCTCCAATGCTACGGCCGTAGGTGCCAAACTCCTCAGAAAGCTCCCCGCCTATGCTACCCAGGTGGCATCCGCCAACGGAAACGTCACAAAGGCTGCCGACATCGAGCGCTTCTTCAAGATCCAGTGGGACTTGATCTTCAAGTCGCACATTCCTGTCGCCGAAATCCTGCTTGAGCCATCTGGAACCACCCTAGACACCGAATACTGGGGTTCCGTCCCATTCTCCCGTGGAAATGTACACATCTCATCCGCCGACCCGACCGCCACGGCCGCTATCGACCCGAAGTACTTCATGCTCGACTTTGATCTCCAGGCCCAGGTCCAGGCTGCCCGCTTCATCCGTCAGTTGTTCAACACCGAGCCGTTCGCTGCTATGGCTGGTGCTGAAACTAAACCTGGTCTTTCCACTGTTTCTGCAACGGCTGATGACCAGGGATGGTCGCCTTTCATCAAGAACAACTGTATGTGAATGATCTTCCACCTGCGATGGTACTCAATATACTAATAATCTACCAGTCCGTTCGAACTTCCACCCCATCAGCACGGCCGCAATGATGCCGAAGGAAATCGGCGGTGTCGTTGACACCTCGCTGAAGGTCTACGGCACCTCAAATATCCGCGTCGTGGATGCTTCCGTCATCCCCTTCCAAGTTTGTGGACACCTACAGAGCACAGTGTACGCTGTCGCTGAGCGAGCGGCCGATATTATCAAGGGCCGGATCTAGACATCCGTTTTTTACAAAGTAATTGCTGAAGAGTAAGCGAACAGGCTACCCTTGATTCCCAGGAACTGTTCCATCCAACAAGTCATTATATATGGATTGAATATCTCACTCTAACTCCCTTCAATTAATTATCTGGAATCACGAAACATTTCCGAAAAAAATTAAAAGAAAGAAGAGAAGCCAGCGATAGGTTGAAGCTATGAAGAAGGAAGAAAAGGAGAAGCAATAATCTATCTGGAAAGCCACAGGGCAAAGGCGGTGGGACTAAAGAATATTCTGCATTCTTAAGGTGGATTGCGCGAGGTGATTTTTCCTCAAATTGCTGGTCCCTTACCCTAGCTTCACAGTCTCAGATTGACGAGCAAGGACCAATTGAAAAGTGATAGGCAGAAAATGACTTCAATGTGTATACGTAAGGCAACTAACTATACGAACAAAGTTTGGCTATTCTTGGCAGCCGAATCCCGCCACCTCCGGATTCAACGGGAACGGCGAAAAGTCTTCATGCCGAGCCTGTTGACCGAGTATTAAAGTCAGATATCATTTCCACGATAGTACAATATAAAGACCAACCAACGCTTATAGACCTTCCCTTTCACATCGTTCTCCTTCAATCGCGGCGTGCAGAATGGCGTTCTCGTACACGTCTATTCCGCTTCGAGTAGAGGGCGTGAACCTCAACCTCTCCACAATCCACAACCTGAATGCCAACCCTCCAATCCTGTTCCTGCATGGGTTTGGCTCTTGCAAAGAAGATCTATCAGACATCATTCTTAACCCGGCCTTGCAACATTATGGTTTCCTCGCTTTTGATGCCCCGGGCTGCGGGCACTCCCAAAGTGACGACCTTTCCGCTATTGATATCTCTTTCCTTGTCGCAACTGCGTCCGCAGTCCTTTCACACTTCCAAATCACCAAATTTCATATTATGGGCCACTCTATGGGGGGACTCACCTCGCTTCTCCTTGCCCACAAGCATCCTGAACGAGTCTTGAGCTTTGTGAACATCAAAGGCAATCTTGCACCGGAGGACTGCTTCCTAAGCCGGCAAATCTTCAATTTCCCTTCTGATAATCCAGAGGAGTTCCTAGATATGTTCATAGCTCGCACTCGTGAGACAAAATCCTTCGCTAGCGCTTTATATGCTAGTACCTTACGCGCGCGGGTACAAGCTGGCGCTGTGCGTCCAATCTTCGAGTCCATGGTGCGGCTATCGGATAATGAAGACCTGCTCGGAAAATTTTCAGGACTGCGATGCCCTAAAATGTTCATGTTTGGCGAGGAGAACAGCGGGTTGTCGTATCTAAGGCGGTTAGAGAAGGAGGATGTGGAGTTGGCGGAGATTTCGCAAAGTGGCCATTTCCCTATGTATTCCAACCCAGTGGAGATGTGGCGTCGGATTGCGGCTTTTCTGAACAGAATCGGTTAAAAGTTGTATTCAGGATAGAAAATAGTAGAAGTAATATGGAAATTAGAGATAGAGAACTTAGTTCATAGCCAAGGCGTTTTACACTCACTGCTCGAAGATCAGGCATGATATCTCGTTCTTTTCCACAATGCACTATACCACATAAACGGCCTAAGATCTCTCAGAAATCTCATCTGTGTCGCCCTCACAATAAGGTCTTCGACTCAACTCCGCTAAATGCGTAGCCTGTGCAGATGCAAATCCAAAAGGAGCCCAAGAAGCACCTAAAACAGTACCATAGAGCAAAGCTCACTTATCGACAGTGAATCGACAGTGACTGTATTTGACACTGGCATCCTCGGCGGATAAAAAATAGGGTTAGTTGGGTATCTTACTTGCTAGAAAGCCCCAAGCGAGTTGGTAATTGTTGATCTATTTCACTATAGTACCCCCAAATACCCGTTTAGTTTACCATTTTGAAGTAAATATTTTTGAGTCCGAATTTCACTGTTTAGTTTAAGTTTTCATAATTAAATTCACCTGCTCGTCTAGGTCTTCATGACTTCGCCAATAGCATATGCCACGTATTTGACATTACCATCATTCAATCCACACAAACTCAGCCAACCCGACGGCAACAAGTAGACATGGAACTCGTTTCTGAGCCGAGAAACTTGCTCACAAGTTAGCCCTGTGTAGCTGAACATTCCAATCTGCGTCTCAACATATGCCCAGTCCTGCTGCGTCTCCTTCTCCAGCCTCTGCCTCAGCTCACATCTCATCCTTCGGATTCGTGAGCTCATCGTGTCCAAATCTGCTTCCCATTGAGCTCTCAAATCCTGATCTAAAAGGATCGTTTCAACAATACTTGCCCCGAACCGTGGCGGGTTAGAATACTCTGCCCGCACAATAGCCATTAATTCACCACGCGCACCCTGCACCGAAAGATGGCGCGGTACAATCAGGTGCAAAGCACCGACACGCTCACTGTACAGCCCGAAATTCTTCGAGAATGACTGCGCCACACACAGCCCTGGATGCGTCTCGAATGCGAGCACATCCTCTGTAAATTGGCGAATCGCCCAGGCATCGCCGTCGACATCGCCAGTCGCGAAGCCTTGATACGCACTGTCGAAGACCACAAATAGCTTTTTTCGCCGATCTAAGTCAGCGACTTGCATCCACTGAGACTTTGACAAGTCCACTCCGGTGGGGTTGTGCGCGCAGGCTTGCAGGATGACAACATCGTTGGGCTCAGTGCGATCTAGGGCATTCAGCATCCCAACAATATCAACTTCTTTTGTGACAGATGAGTAGTATGGATATTCTGCAACACTTACCCCTGCCATCTCCCAGATTGATTTGTGATTGATCCAAGTCGGAGCAGGGATGAAAACATGGCTTGGGCGGAGGTGGCAGGCCAGAAATGTGGCGGCAAGGTGGTTTGCACCTGTACCAGACACAGTTTGGATTGATGTTGAATTGTCTTGAAGTCTGGATGCGACAGACCCGAAGACAATATCTTTTGCCAGGTTTATGAAGGTTGGCGAACCTGCTATGCCCAGGTATTCGTGGGTGGTTTCCCGGAGGCGCTCCTTTGCCTAGACTAGTCGTTAATTGCTGTCCGATTTCGCAAGACTTTGTTGAAAATACTTTTTCGACACTGGGCAAGACCCAAGGTTTTCAATTTTCCTCGCGATATGCCCCGGCAATCAAAGACACTTTGCTTGGGTGAGGGTCTGCATCGAACTCGGCCTGAGACCGAACGCAGTGTCCGCGGGGGCAATCGAGAGGTCAAGATATTGTTTTCCCATTTTGAACCCGGTATTATATTACAACGTAATTCCCTTTGTGAAGACGGTTTCAACGAGGACTCGAGCGTGCGTCGAGGAAGGGATGAGGCAATTCAGTAGGCCTAGAGAGGATCATATATCAAAGAATTGACAACTTGACACGGAGAAATTGACTGTCGCCACGTACTTGGGCAAGATTCATAAATGCTGGGCGGCCATGGCATAGCCATCAGTCGCCGAGTTGGTAGATCGGAGTGTGGTGTAATACCGAATTAGCTTCCGTATCGACTGGTTTCGCCGAGCGCTTGAGTGGACCAAAAGTTGCAGATATCGGCAAGTTACCAAAACGCCGTTCATTTAGATCATCACATGCATTTCAGCCGGCCTTTACGTACTACGATAAAGCTAGCCTCAATATAATTGTGAGCACCTAATTGCATTCAGGTCGGTGTGTTTCGTTCGCGGTTTTCAGGTATGCAGGAATGTCGATGCCGTGGGCGATGACAGGGAACGCCGAACCTTGCTCACGGAGACCTTGCGGGGGAAATTTGAAACAAGAAACAGGCCCTTACTTCTTCGGCAGTATAAATTTGAGGAGCAAGGATGACGCTTGTAGCATTTCAGTACTGAACTGGGAGCATTCGTGTTATTCACAGTGCACCAGCATCCAATGCTCTTTTAACCAAATCCGAGTGAGTCATTCTGAGGCAGACAAGCGGCGACACTCCCAAAGCAGCGATAGCCGCAGTCGAACTGTGCATCGAATCATCGCTGACATGGCCGTGCTCACAATCGATGGTTATACCCTATATGATCTTTAGTAGGATCAATAAAATGAGGGAACTGAAAAACGCTGACGTCGACACCGGTCTGAGCTACCACTTGAGCTGTGCGAAAGGAAGGAAGTCCTAAGAAGGTCTTGATCGGCATTTTCTTGGAGAACGTTGAGTACGCGTAATTGTGGGTTGTGAATCAAGCTTGTCATGGCGGATGGGTACGACATTTTGCGTTAATGAAGCTTTTCGATAAAACAATTTTGAAGCTCTTTAAATTGCTGTAGCAGGCATTTTTCAGGAAAATAAGCGAGGTAATGTACAGAAGGATTCAATGAATGACAATCACATAATCGGCAGTCGTAATAATGGTGAAATAGGCATGGAATATCTTATCTGAAAGACAATCGGTTGCCCGGTGTCGAACATCGGTAACATAATTTTATCCCGAGCGGGTGTGCAATTGGCCAAGAAGAAAAGATTTCAGAGCCTATGGCCTTACCAAATGATATAACAGCATAGCCCAGCTGAGCGGTCTGTGCGATCAGCGCTCTGGCTCGAAGAAGTCTCACCAGGACAGGAAACTTAAGTAGCTCGGGAGTTGTGGATTTCACGTATACATTGAATAAGAAAAGTGTCTCAAGTTGAATAATATTCCATGCGACCAAGAAGCTATCTACTATGCCACCCAAACGCGACTCAATCTAGCCGAAAATATACTGAGAGAGATGGCAGAATCTAATTTGATATGCCAGTTTTCATTCGGAGCAAAAGTCTACCAAGTAAAAACTTCTTCCACAAGACCAGTATCACCACTAACCCGATTGTACCTTATCTTTGCCACTCTTCCCTCCCCAAAAGAAGGCGATAATGATCTGACGCGTGCAGATAGTTTAATTTCCTCGGGTCCGTATTCAGTTCCGGGTGCGATTCCGGCACCGGTTTCTTCAATCGTGACTATACGCTTTGCGATGCGACCTGCCAGCTCTGCGTCCCATAGTCCCTCACGACGTTGTGAGTAAGCCATCAGATCGATAGCGTAGTGTCGAGTAGCTGAGTCCCGACAACGAGTGGCACATAGATAAAGAGGCGTGACAACACCTAAAGATAGAGAAAAGGTAGGCGCGATCGTTTTTGAAGGTTTAGGCCGAAGAGGAAGAAAGGATGCCGTTTCCCCACCTACTGCAGATGCTGACCCATCTGGTGTCTGAGGGCCAGGCGAGCTGTTGCAAGAGGTCAGGCTGTAGGATGGAACCCCCAGCATATCCGCAACAAGAGAGTTGATAGCGATAAATGTCTCCGTATATTTGTCCCAAGTCAATTCAGATGGTGGCCATTCCAAATCGAGAAATAAACACATGACCAATCTCCAAACTTTCATCGTTATGACACGAGCGTCATTCTCGATTGTGCATGACTCCCTGAGCCACTTCTCAAAGATGTCCATCCAGCTCTGCATGTCGTTGCGAATTCGGACGTATTCCATCTGAATGTGTCTGACTTGAGCAAGAAATTCAAAGGGTTGGTTTTCGAGTTGTTCTACCAGCATTTCACAGACGGATTCAAAGCGCACAAAGCGATTGTACAGTATTTGAAAGGATCTAAGAATGTCGTCGACAGTTGAAGATGGTTGTAATAGGTTAATGATAGGATCCGAAAAAGTTGACAGTAATCTCGGTCGGTCTTCAAGGCTGAGCAATTCGTCACCCTCTATCTCCAGGATTTGGTTCTCTAAAATGCTAAAAAGCAACGTTATCGTTTCAGGTGGCATGTACATGCGCAGTGCAGTGTCGCTCGGCAAGCTTCGCTGTTGGCTGATAATCTTGAGACCAGATGTAGCATGTCGGAAAGCAGACCTGTAATGGCCCTGTAGACACTCGAAGCAGAAAAAGAGGATACAAGCGATGAGGAAAGTGTCATTGGTTTGGGGAGAGATTTGAGGGTGGACGGCAACTAATTGCCGGATCGCTTTAGTGTAGTGAAGTAGTGTGAAGTGCGTGTCTTCGCTTTTAGTCAAAAGACCCCTTTGTTCGAAAACAAAAGACCGATGAAGAGATCCGATAGCGACAGCAATGGTCCTAATGATTGGTTCGTGGTACGCTGCCCGAAGCAAAAAAGAGCCAATATCGGCTCCAAAACATTGCGTAGTATGGAGTTGGAAGAACTCGAGCGATCGATATTCGATATCGCAGATCAGATCAGCCGATTCTGAAATCTGCCACATGCGAGTGGGCTGCGAGATGCCAGGGACATGCTGCACGATACGAAGACTGCCAGAGGGGGATGAATTGCCTGATCTTGGGATTCCTTCAGGATCTCCATAACCCTCGCATTTCCTTCCGGTGGACTCGCATCTTAGACAAATAGGCTTTCCTTCATCGCATTTGACTCGTCGTATTCTGTACCGCTCATTAAAATCAAACAGACATACTCTGCCCTCGGCCGAACAGGCCAGCGTGGTCAGGCCCACTTTCTGCAGGAACTTACTTGCAAGTGGTGCAACCGTTATGCGATCTGCCTTTTGAAACTCGGCGATTGGAGCCAGCCATATCGAATAGTGGAATTGAGAGCAGGCCCCGGGCGCCCTTGCTGCAAAGGTCGGTACTCAGCGGAAATGCTTTGTGATTGCTAGACTGCGCCCGAGAACAAAAGGAACCGTCTCGGCTTGAAAGAAGTTAGCAAATACAGCTCAGCCGCGAAATCTAAGCCTAATTAGTCTAGCGTAACCGAAGGCAAAGCGTTGAATGGTTTAGAGGACGGAAGGATACCGGGCTTGAAGAACACTAAATACGCCTAAAAGACTCCGATTCATTTCCGGCAGCCTGGCCTCGAAACTATGAATAGACTTGTCAAGCTAATCGATTGCCTCTTAAGGCTGATCTTTACGAGAGACTCCAGTAGGTGAAAGAATTAGAAGTCCGTGAGGAGTGAGGCTTATGTGGGGGCCGAAACGTGTGGGGAATGCTGATTCTTCGATGAGATATTGAAGTTCACCAAGAAATGGTATAAAATGGATGATGGCCTCGACCAGGGAAATTATATCATCTGCGCAGCAAACAAGCAAGGAGGACTTGAAAGCAATCATCCCAACATGTTGACCATATCAATTTTCCTGGGAGCTCTTGGGCTTATCCCGATGTGCTCGGCCGTGCCCCACTATGTACCTTCTCGGATCGACCTGAACCATCGCCCTGTCCCCGGCATGAGGCATAAATATGGTATCGAAACAATCAGTGAAGCAAATGTGAGGTGGGCGAATGAAGCATGTGACAGTGCGCTAATAATTGATTAGCTCTTTTGGTTCGGCAGTTTCGACGTCGGCAGCTCCAAGAACCTTACCCTCCTTGTTGACACCGGTTCAGCTGACGTGATTGTCAACCCCGGCCTCTATAAGAAGGGATCGAGAGCCATTGATATCAATGAGAACTTCACAATCACCTATGCAACCACGAAAAGCGATGGATCGGGCAGTGGAACAGTATGCGAACATGAGAAATATTCGTCAGATATGACACTAACCAAGTCTTATTGTACAGGTCACCGGCCAAATGTACAACGATACCGTCAAATTTGGATCGATGGAGGCGCATCAAACGGTCGGATCTGCGGATGGAACGGCTCTGATTCCTGCCGACGGCATTGTTGGATTTGCTGGTCTGGCAGTTTCTTCCTTCCATGGCGCTGCTCCCTTCTTTCACTCGTTGTGTCAACAGGGACAAGTTGCCGATTGTCGATTTGGAATCACGCTATGGGAAGATGGAAAGGGCACGCAGGTGCTTGGAGCCTTGGACAAGTCCCTGTTCAAGGGAGAGCTTACTACGGCCTCCGTTGTCATCCAGGAGTGGGCCTTATATGCTGACATTGCGCTTGATAACAAGATCATCAAGTCCAATGCACTCGTTGAGCTGGATACTGGAACAGCCACGGTTATCGGGTAAGCATCAGTCTGGATTGCCGACATTGGAGAAACACTGCTGACATAGTACCAGCCCTTTTGAGGAAGTAATCGAGATATTCAAAGCTTCTGGCATCCAAGCTGTTGTCCAAACGACCGAAGATTCTGGCACAACCATCAAATCTGTCACCGGCTATTTTCCATGCAACCAGCCTCCCATATTCGGCTTCAGCATTCCATCACGAAAGAATGCCACCGCCGCCGCCAAGCAGCACTCTAAGCTTGTTAGCCACCGCAGCTCCATATTTAATATTGCGCCAGACCAGTGGATTGCCGCGAACAATGGAAACAACAACTGCACTGCTATTGTGTCGGGAACCAGTTCCATGCCAGTTGAAGGCCTTTGGGTCGTTGGTCAACGTGAGTACTCTGTAGTCTTGTCGAACAGTGCAGCTAATGCTGAACAGCATTTTTCCATGGAACCTATGTCGACCACAACGTCAAGGATGGAACTCTGGGCTTTGCTCCTGCAAATTGCTAGATTGGATTGATTCCGAATTGGGTAGTGTTCCAAAACTAGAGGAGACTGTGGCAGCTTTTAATTTTATTCAGACGCTACACTGTAACTCACATACATACCGGATAATTTCTGGCAACTCTTGACCGCTCTTTCTTAAACGTTGTTAAAAAAGATGTGTTAGGGCCTCGGCGAGGGCCGCTCACAAATCACTTGTCACGCAATCGGAAGATACAAATGTGAATTGGAGCTTCAGAGCCTTATTATTACAACACCAGTTTCATTTTGCAAGGGTTCAAGGTAAATAAAAGCATATAACCTTACTGTCCGTACAACACAACGCAACAGAACGCAGATTAGACGACTAATAGACCTTCTTGCATACATGATTTTCAGAGCTGTTGAATTTTGCTCATTCTGCCATATTAGGACGGACACGTTTTGTGTATTTACAAATCGAAATTTGCCAAATAAGTATAGTTGATGTGGGACTGTCCAGATGACTCCCAGAACAACATAGATGGCTTTTTATCCTCTACTAGCAGCAGCCGCAGCCTCCTTGTCAGCGGCCAACATCCCCCGTATGGCTGGCCGACTCATGCAGCGGTCCCACCAAGCACTCACAGCTTCGCGGCTGACGATGATATCTCCATACCCGCATGCGAAAAGCCTTTGGATCAGCGGAATGTAGTAAATATCCGTGAGAGTGAAGTCATTTCCAGCCATGTAGTCTTTGTGGTGTAAGAGACGTTCTGCAACGTCGAAAAACATCTCAATTGACCGCAGAGCATCTGAGACAACAGCCTCATCAGGAGACAGCCCCTTGAATTTTTTGGCAAATTTTTCGAATGCGATTCTACCTGCAGGTTCTGCGAAGTAGGTCATTTCTACCGACTGCGCCTGGTCGAACAGTGCCGTAGCTTCGATGTCGGAGTCGGGAGGTAGAAGTGGAAAGGAGTACTTCCTTGCGAGGTAAATGCAGATTGCGCGACTCTCGTAGAGAGTGAACCCCGAGGGGAAACTTATTACAGGGATTCTACCCCATGGGTGAAGTTTCATGTATTGCTCGGACTGGATTCAGCGGCGTTAGCTCCCACGAGAATTGAACGTTGCAGGTAGGGGAATAAATATTTGATGAATGGGAAAGACATCTTGAGGCTCGAAGTGATATACAAATTACGCTGGCAAAGGGAAGCCACGCCTTCCAAGAGCAACGGTAACCCACCTTTTGCTCTCCTTTTTGAAGGTTGAGAAGTACGACTTCGTAATCCGTAAAGCCACCTTCGGCGAGAGTCAAGCGGACGCGGTCGGTGTTGGTCGAACCACGAGAGCCATAAAGAGTAAAAGCCGGCATTTTGGAGCTGCGCGGTAGGTTTGACATGAATCTGGTGCGGTTTGGGAGCCTTGACATTCGGTCAGTATTCATCTCAAGAGGAATCGGGGCCAGCGACTTGGTATTTAAGCCGAGATAACTCAGCTTCGGAACGCGGCCACCATCTCTATGTAAGCTGGGAGAAGGATGAAGCCCGTCCAAAAACGGGTGTGATTGGTTGGTTCGCTCTCGCTACCCAATCGAGCTAGCGCCGACGCCCGGGAGTCGGAGATGCGCTTTATCGAAAGGCCGAGCGCGAGCTTCAGCGGATTTACGCCACGCTAGATTATTCTCTCTTTGGTGGGGGTGTGGTGCCTTCTTCATGGCCCTCGTGATGAGTCAAGCTGCATCATTCGATTCGTCTGCTCGGATTTCTTGCTTGTTACGAACCCTACCGCCGGCCCAACGATGGCCAGAACCGTTGTCGCCCGCAAACGGAACATCGAGTATAGAACCAAGGTGAAAACTGGTTGTGTAACCTGCAGGTCAGTTACAGGGCACAGATCCCGTCCCATCACCGGATTACAGCCCAAGATTGTGACTTTAGACGGAAGGTCAGCTCTGCAATGATTGTGCTGAACAGCAATAGAATTAGAAAAGTCAAATGCGACGAGAATAAGCCGTTTTGCCAAAAATGTGTCAACACTGGTCGTACTTGCGACGGCTACGAATCCCCTTTTAGGGTTTTTACCAGTCAACCCAGCAACAACGGTCATGCTGGTGGCATCACGTCAGACGTTGCTTTACAACCCATCAGGCCCATCTTGACTGAGATCACCCCTCAGGACATCGCCCTTCTCAGCCGTTACTTCTCAACCAAAACCATCTTTGACGTGAGGCTGGGCTGTGACGAAGAAGCCAGGCAAGTCCTGCAAGCCAGCCTGACTGATCCGCCTATACGACACGCAGTTTCGTCTCTCAGAGCTCTCCGGGAAGATTTCGAGACGTCCGGAGACGGTCGAGCGTCTGTCGCACAGCAGACCCCGAGCTATAGCTATGGCCTCCAGCAATACTGTATGGCTTTGGGCGGTCTCGCGTCTAACTTGTCATCTCTGGGCTCTAATGGGTTGAAGTCGGCATTACTTTGCTGTCAGATCTTCATCAGTATTGAGCAAGTGCGGGAAAATTACGCTGCTATGGCCCAGCATATCGTTCGAGGACTCAGCATCATGTACGAGTACCGGGCGAGGCCACATGTTGTTGCGGCGAGTAGGTTGGTGCCAGCACACCACGGCCAGCTACCCTTACTAGATGTTTTCATCATCAAGCTGTTCGCTGCACCATGTAAGATCGCGGATCCTCCAGCAACAGCCGATGTAAGCGGGACGAGATTATCTCTGTGTTCGATCTCGCCTAATCAACAGCCTGGTGAATCTCGCGATTTTCGCACGATTGTACCCCACATGCGGACAAAGCTTACAAGGATCGCCGCATCGACGCTCGAATTCCTCGGCAAAGTGTCGCGAGTCAAATCGATAGGAAACGCTCTTCGACTACTATCCGAGAAAACGGCTCTGCTGGACTCCTTAGAATCGTGGCTCATTGATCTTCAACTCTTTCAGACAGAGATCGGACCTCCTGGCCCCGAGCCTATTTCAGTGTCTTTCATGCGTCTCTTCCATCTAATACTGAAAATTGTTCTCTTGGGGGTACTAGACTCCTCACCATGTCTTTACCACGAGCTGTGGACCGAGAAAGACCGATTGCAGGGCGTAGCTAACAACGTGGAAAAAAGAGTCAGGGCTTATAGAACGTGGTGTCGGATTGTGAGTGATCGAGGGGAGCAGTTTAAAATGCGCTGATATTTATGGCTGGCGCAATCCTCCTTAGCTATGGACCTGAGTCTTGTCTCTTCACAATCAAGGGAATTATGAACATGCTATAAACTTTGTGAAAGGCACCGCTCGTGAGCAGCATCTCAAAGATAAAACCGTATATGTAAATTAAGTTTAGAAACAACAAGGCGGCCAGATCAATTAAACTTCAATATCTATAATAGACAGATATAGTATCACCCAGGTTTATGTATACAATATAATTGTCACATATTACCACACATACCGGAATTGCCTGTCTTCCTTATCAGTCAAATCATTCCTAGGTAATCCATTTTCGTCCAGCTCGAATTCGCGGGCCATATCAACCCCTGAAATCCCCTCTGCATCCCGATTCTTATTATCCATGGTACAGAGAACACGATAGACAATGACAGCCACAAAGAGCAAGCACCAAGTCACGATGCCAGTAATGACACCTTCGGTGTAACGTGGGCTGTGCGTCCAAAGCTGTGGCCCACCAATACAGCCAGCACAGTAGCCGATAAAAAACATCGTGTTAACAATAGATCGCTTCGTGTTGCCCTTGACGTTGGAAGCGGACAGTGAGAGAAGGATTGACCAGGGGGCGGTGATACAGGAAGCCTTTGTAGATTGTTAGAAAACCTAACCTGCAATATATAGTTTTGGTGAGAAAATACTTACCATCCAAGAAGCTACGATCAGGCCCCATTGGGCGCTCACGTCTAGCTTCAACAAGAAGACGCAACCGATAAGTGGTGGGATTATAAGGGCCAAAACCACCAGGGTCCGTTGGCGAGGGACGAGATAGACCAGGGCAGTTCCAATCCAAAGCATGGCAATCTGCACAGCCCCTGATGGAGCGGTGTATAGCATGGTGTCAAGCTTGCTATAGCCAATAGACTGGATGACAAGGGATGCGAACGTCAATACCGGCGACTGCATGGTCACCAGAACACCAAACCAGAAGACCATCCAAGCCTTGGGATCCAACATTGCTTCCTTGAGCTGTGCAAGCGAGAATGATGTCTTGTCACCACCCTCACGGTCCTGTGCCAAGCGCAAGGAAAGAACTTCCTTTTCGCGTGCGTTTAGGAACCACGCGTCTTTGGGGCCATTTGGCATGAGCATAAAAAATCCAATGCCGGCCACAACAGTGAGTGCTCCGCAAACTATAAACAAAATGCGCCAGGGGGCGATAGAAAGCGATCCGTTTTTGCCAATTCCGTACATAAGAAGGCAGCCGACAACTTGAGCGACGCCATTCATGGTGATCCAGAGGGCTGTGCGAGTGGTGTGCTCCTTTTTGCGATACCATATGCTTGTGATGGTGACAAATGCAGGGGACACGGCACCCTCGCTGAAACCGAGAAGAAAGCGCACGGCAGCGAACCCGGCGAAGTTCTTCGGGGCTGCGAGACACATACAGATAGCGCCCCAGACGATCCTACAGAGCCATTAGCAAGACGATAGAAGGGCCATTCAAATGGGTAGAAACGTACACAGTCGCGCCGACAAACTTCGTCAGTGGGAGTCGGCTCATAAGATAGATGAAAGGGTATTCGGAGACGAGTTGGCCAACGTAGAAGATGGAGCTGGTCCAGGAATACTCCGAGCTGGTCAAGTTCAAGTCATCCCTGAGTCCAAACACAGCGGCATAGCTCAAACTCTGCTTATCAAGGTACTGCAGAAAGAAGACAAAGCACATCTATCATGTCGCGTTAGCCACTTTGACCGAATCTAGGGAGAAACAGGCGAATACTCACGAATGGCAGAATGACCATGTCAATTTTGCGCAATACGGCCTTCTCCTCTTCAGCAGTGTAACCAGCGTACCCTTCACACACTCCTATGATCTCGCCGCTTGTACGTTGTGCCTCATTTTTGAATGATTCGTGTTCCTTTGAGCTGTCCATGTTCAGAGGCGGCTGGGTGTTGGACACCCAAGTTACACAGAATGGCGAGTCAACAGGGGCGGCAAGCACAATCTAAGCTCCGCGATGAAAATGTAACATCTGAGCTAGCTAAGACCGTGCACTGCAGATGTTAAATGGAAGACAATGGACAGCTTGCCGACCCCAGATTCCGTCCGCGCTGTGATCTGCCTATCTTTCACTGATATGGCAAGGATCAACGGGAGCTGATAACCTAAGTCAAGCGGGGCATCGGTCCGATGACGATGCGTCGGCAACTTGGCCACGAACGTCCAACTTCCCGATCGTGCTTTCGGCCAGAACTGCGATCGTTGTTATATTCCTATCATACCGTTGAGTATATCAGGCACGTCCTCCCGCTATCTCCCTTCACTATCGACCATTTTCCATTCGCTACCGACTATCATGTCCGACAATAGTGTGCCGGGCTCTAACATCAAGCCTTGGGCTCGTCCAGAGCCCCAGGGTTACCTATTCACAAATGCCAAGGTCGTTGATGTTCAAGAAGGGAAAATCCTCGAGAATTCGACTGTAATCACTCGCCAAGGCAAAATCCAATCAGTCTCGTCATCCTTGCCAGAGCCCTTTCCGACCGATCTAACTATCATCGATTGTGAAGGCCGCTATCTTTGCCCCGGACTTTTTGACGCTCATGTCCATCTATGTGCTGTTCCCGGATTTAACGACCTTTCCAAGGCATTCGGAAACCCCAATGATGTCCACTTGCTCAGACAGCCCTACACCGCTGCTCAGATGCTACACCGCGGTTTCACCAGCATCCGCGACTGCGGCGGGGCACAGCTAGCCTTGAAAGAGGCTATCGACGAAGGCGTCTTTCCGGGGCCACGCGTGTTCATCTCCGGACACGCTCTGTCCCAATTCGGCGGACATGGCGATCTTCGCGGCTCGCACGAACCCACTGAATGCTGTGGCGGAACCCACAGCAACAACCACCTAGGCCGCATGTGCAACGGCGTCCCTGAGTGCATGGCTGCTGTACGCGAAGAGATTCGTTGCGGTGCAGACTTTATCAAAATCATGGGATCTGGTGGTGTGGCATCTCCAACAGATAAATTGGAGCATTTACAGTTCACATCGGGCGAGATCCAAGCAATGGTTGAATGTGCTAATAATGCCGGGACTTTTGTCACTGCTCATGCCTACACGGTCAAAGCTATTCGGCACTGCATTGATAACGGTGTCAAGGGTATCGAACATGGTAACTTTGTTGATCCGCCGACCGCCAAGATGATGGCACACAAAGGTGTTTATCTGACGCCCACATTGATTGCCTATGCGCAAATGGCATCAGAGCAGTGGAAGGGATATTTGCCCCCTGAATCACAGTCAAAGAACACACAAGTCCTCAAGTCCGGTCTTGAGGCTCTGAAGATTGCGGCTGAGGCGGGTGTCACGATGTGCTACGGCTCTGATTTGCTCGGTCCTCTGGGCTCGGCTCAGACACACGAGTTTGCATTACGGTCGCAGGTGTTGAAGCCGTTGCAAGTTCTACGCAGTGCGACAATTAACCCTGCGAAAATGATGGGTTGGGAGGACGCCATTGGTCAAATTAAAGAGGGATTCCACGCGGATTTGGTTGTCTTGGGTAAGAACCCCCTGGAGGATGTAACTATCTTTGATGATCCGGAACAGTATGTGTTGGGTGTGATGAAGGATGGTCGCGTATATAAAAGTCGCTGGAGCGCGCTGCCTGAGGATTCTGAAATCCCCGTGAGAGTGAAGTATAATTGAGCTGAGATGAGATGCATGGGAAGAGTGTTGGGCGAAATTTGTGATTGAGGCGGATCGGCATGTGACTTTATTTCAAATGCTTGTACATAGAGGTTCCCCAGAGAAGTGTTACAAAATTTGACAAATGCCAGATTATTGAGAGCCCGCAGACACCTCTCAAATGCGCGATCTATAGATTGCCTCAGCGACCCATTGAGGAGACGATACCCGAATATGGGGAACGTATGAGTGTGATTTGCCGCCATGAATTGGAGCAAGGAAAGGAGGTGACTACATGGAGCCTTCGTGTAGTCGTTGCTTCCACACTGCTTGTATTCACTTAGCGCTGTCCTCTGATCGAAATTGAGGTTTGCCCGATCTGTAGGGCTTATATCCAACTGGAAAGTGTTGGTGGAGGGTGCCGGGGGCAATAGTGGCTTCCAAGAAAGCTTTATTTTCCTAGGTCTCTTTTTTCGCTTTTATCGTCTTCTCGAATGTTTCAAAGTTTATTGCGTGGGCCTTTTCTTTCGGGAAGGAGAAATACACCTTGACCTGGAGTACTGGGCGGTGATATAGCTTTCTGTGTAGATTTCCAGGTATTCCTTCGCAACGGTTACATTGAGGCTTAAATAAAGCGCCAAAAAGCCATTATTGGATTAACTTTTCATATTCAACTATAATTGACTTGTCAGGCTGGAAAAGTCCAAGGCATCAATTCCAGTCAAACCCATCAGTAATGTCTGCTCATCTGCATAAAGAGCCGAGAAGTAATGGGGCTCCCCAAGTTCCGATACTCCAGGGACTGTTGAAAATTCTGTAGAGCTTTTCGGCATAAAGGAGTTCGAGTGGCACAACTGCTCCTCCGGGGACTGCCATGAGGAGAGGCCGCCAATTGTTGATTCCAAATACTCAAACGCAGCTTGCTGTGTTGACGCTGCATCGCTGGACGAACGCTCTTGTACCGTGAGCCATTCGTTCCATTGGTTATAACCAAGAGCGACGGATGTGTCCAAGTCATGCCCAGGCCAATTTTTGTGGGAAGTGGCGCGACTCAGTTTATCCGCAGCTTCGGTCGTAATAGATTGAATTGCTTGAACAAATCTGACGCCCATCTTTGCCGTCATGTTGCCAGTGGCCATTTTAGTGAGACAATCCAAGCCGAAAGCCACTCGGGAATGGTATCCAGAATCACGTTCTATTATACCAGCAACCAATGTCACAATAGTCGCAATGCTGCAGCCTTGAAAATCAGTGAAAGAGAATCGTGTGATCTTCTGGGTCCGAGTTAAGCTCTCAAATAATTGTAAAAGTTTCCGCGCGGCTTTGCTACAAGCCTTGGCATGTTTTCTGATCCTATCACAAAGTTTTGGCGCTGAAGTTTCAGGGTGCAAGTGTTGTCGCAGGTGGGTTCGAGCAACTGTAACCAGCGCAACCTTGCCCATAGTAATCCACGCGTAGTAGTAATTTAGATGGAGATGGAGAACTGTGCGATATCTGGAGGTCTTGGGATCAATTTGATCGAGTTTGAAATCCGAAGGCAAGGATTTTTTCCATTCCTTGAGACTTGCTTCCCACTGGGCATAAGAAAGGTCCGTCTGTTCAACCGAGCCCTCTCTGATTGATTATCAGTCATAATCGAAAATATCCAAGGGTCATGACTCATACCCAATATCGGCAATTTGATCAAGAATCATTACCAGTCGAGTGTAGGCTATTTGGCAATCTATGTTGTTAAAAATTTGTGACCGGTCGAGCGGCGGATATGGCGCCGGAGAGGGTACTGTGATTATATCGGTGCTCACAGAGCGAGGTCGATTCAACTTAATCGTTGTACACCTAGAAGAGGGATAAGTGTAAGCCCCGAGCAGCCATGAGCACATGTGAAAGAAAGCTTCCGCCTCTCACTCGCCTTTCAAGAGAATATATAGACCACCAAAGCCGCCGTCGCACTTCCCTTTCTCGATCACCTATTCCTTGATCTTCTGAATGTAGATGAAGATCGGATGCCAAGGCCTTGCGTAATGCTAAGCCCATGTAGACATACGAGGACCCAACCGCGCTCGCCGGCAGCAAATACACGCCTAAGACGAAAGGCGCCTGAATTGATCTCAAGCAGGGCCGATCTATTATATCGGGTATTAACGTTCTAGCGTGACAATAAAATACCCGACCAAGATCGGCATTGCTTCGTTGCTCTTCAATGTCAGAGCTTTCGGGCCGTTCCATGGGCGTCCACTGGCTAGCCAAGGCGAAAGTGGCCATTGCGAGACAAATGAAGGCCGAGTCGAATCTCAGAGGTGAAGATGTGTCAGTGTAGAACTGATCGAGTTCGGCTAGAAATTGCGCCTGGTCAAAATAGAAGAAAGTATCCGTTGCATGTTTGGTGAAAACAGAGAAAAGAAAGTCAGCGACCGGACGGGGAGGAAAGGCGTCGGTGACCTCCCGCAGCCTCAAAAGTTCTGAAGGGTGAAGTGCCTTTGGACAGATCATACGCTTCAGAGCATTAGCACATTAATTGTGAGATTTAACGTAGATAGTAGACGCACGGCTTGCATAGCAACCATATCTCGTTCCTCTGGGGCGGCTTGGGGATCGAGAGAGAAGGCCTCCCGAAGTCGGGACAAGATATTCGGCCAGGGTACTCTCTTAGAATGGTCAGCAATAACGTGTTTAGCGAGACCCTGGGATAATGCGGAGGAAGGTGAGAGTATTTCCCCTTGGTTATCCACGGGAGCATCATCCCGAGGGGTATCGCCAATGTTGTCAGGCGTCACCATTGGCCCATGAACGGAGAATGGGGATGCCAGAGTGACATCTGGAGGCCCGGGCGATCTTTCTCTATTCGGTGGTTAGGGCAATGGTTTAATGGCAATGAATGATAGATACGTACTTCTCGAATCTGCAATCCAGATTGCCTATGGAGCATCGTTGACATCTGCCAGTCACCGACTCCACACACTTACTTTTCCTTGCTTTGCAGCGATCACACCTCATGTCTTTTAGTCGACCCGTTTGCTCCTAGCTGCATGGTATGTACTTACGCGCGGGCTGACCGCTTCCGATCCTCGTCGGCAACGCGCCGTTGTCTCTTTCTCCGCACCACGGCAGGCGAGTCTATTGTTGATCTCGCCATTTCTTTTCTTTTTTTTTTTCAAATGACACCGTCACTGGATTGAATTCAATGAACTGGCTAGATAAAGCAGTATATGGTGAAAAGTTGACATTGGGAAGAATACAAGCGAGAGAGATGGCCTCGTTGCCGAAAGGTGGCACGTCTTATCTCCCCCACATCTCGGAACTTGCCCGATTTTCTCCAAACGCGCGCTTCTACCGACCTCCCGAGAAGATTGTATTCATGATCCAGCTGTACCAGTAAACATCATTCAGATCACTTCATTGAATTCTTGAAAAATATCGACTCAGATTCTTGGATTTCTCTAGTAGAAGCATTGTTTCTACCCAGCGCTTGACCTCCTATATTGCCCCTCGTGAAGACCTGCATGAACATACACCCGACGTAAGGGTGCCCTACAAAGAAAAACGTCGAAATGGGTATGAACAATTGCAAATATGCAATAGATCCTGACACCGTTTTCAGATTCGCTCAAAAGTTATCATCTTTGATCTCAACAGTCTGACCTGTTTGCAAAGACTCCCTTACAGCCTCACAAACCATCAAGGCCGCAAGACCGGCTCCTGCCGAACAGCTCGGATCCTCTTCGCCATGAATGACTCGAACAAAATGGCTGAACTGCTTCTCAAACGGAACAGCAGGTGTGACCTCAAGTGATTCCTGGCTCAACTTTTCATTTCATGACTTTACCGGGGCGCCATCGTAGCTCCACTTGGTCATATCGGGAACACTTAAAGATGCACCGGTTCCAAAGATACGATAAAAGTCCGCTCCCGCTTTGGGAATTAAAGGATTCTCGCCTGTCCCGGACTCGAAGTTGTGCGGGGACGGCACATTGTCCGAGATCACGAATGTTCCGACCACGCCCGAGCGGAACCTAAAGACAATAGCGGCTCCTTCTTCCGCTTCATACCCACGTCCTGACTTTGTGCTTTCGGCATGAACACGCGTGATGGGTCCGAAAAGGTGATGGAGGATGTCAACTTCGTGGATAAGGTTGATCAAAACCACACCGCCAGACTTTCCACGTCGCCAGGCCGCCGGCACGTCGAAATAATCCTCGGGTTTATATGTGGTCCACATTCCACTGATAGCAGTGATGTCTCCAAGTGAGCCAGAACTGATCGCTTCCTTCGCCGCGATGACATAGGGATTGAATCTCCTATGGTGACCAACAAGCGCTTTAACACCGGACTGATTCAAGATCTCAACGAGTTCTCTTCCACTTGAAATGTCCACAGACACAGGCTTCTCGATGAGAACGTGAATTCCGGCAGCGGCCAACTCTTTAGCCAGAGACGCATGTGTGTGGTTGGGAGTGCAGATAATGGCAGCGTCGGGCTTATCGGAAGACCTTATCAGATCTTGTACCGAAGTATAATGGGCAGCTCCGAACTCTTCGGCGACCTTCGCAGTGCTCGGTTGAAGATCAACAATGGCCACGAGTCTGGCCTCGTTGCTTTCTTTCACAGTTCTGCAGTGACGAGGGCCAATGAGGCCAACTCCGATCACCGCGACATCAATCTTTCGTTCGCTAAATGACATTTTATCAAATAAGCTCGACGATAGCCAGAAAGAGACTTGGGGATTGGAGAGCAAAGCTTCCGCGAACAAGTGGCAGTCAGCTCCTCATTTAACGTATAGTGACTCAATACCTCGGATAATTCTAAAGCGTCGGGTGCCATCATACTTGACCTGCGGAGTAGTGTCAATTATTTCATTGGTGGCGAGGTCCCTGCAGTGGAGTGATGGGGGATTGTAAACCGGAAATTTCTTAACCGCACCGAAAGAAAATAAGCAGTTCTTACCAATTTAATCAATTGGGTTTGGAAGTAATAGGTTGAGATATTTAATTTTATGATAGAAAACACTACTCTGCCCGTCTAAGTTCATAATTTCCTCGGATGCCCTCTTTGCGATGAGAGGACTTTGGCCGGATAGTCTTTAACCGATGGGCTTCCATTGTTCGCACCGCCGAATCAAATCCGCCCGCCTTCGACGAGCCCACATCATGAGTCCGGGAGGCGTTATATTACTGAATTTGTAATTGATTAACTGATTAAATTGACGTGGGCATAACCTGGAGATCTCAAACATCAAATTCCTCAGTTATATACTAAAACTGGTAAAGGAAACAGAGGACCATCCTCAAATGCTGTAGGTAATATACCATTGTGCGTTGAGTGACCTGCGCAGCCCTGGGACCAACGGTCACGTATTTCTCCAGGAACACTAACATTTGAAAAATCAATGAAGTACCAAAGTAACCCTCACCACGTTAATGGCCCAAAGGTCTCTCCATCTGACACTGTCTTCTGAATTGCCGTATACAAAGAATCCTGCAAGTCTTGTATGAGAATAGGGCATGCAACGCAACCGAATTGTACACTTACCATTGTCTCATACGGAGCGATATTGCCCCACCATGCTGGGATGGAGACACCAGGGAGCGTAATCGCGAAAAAAATGACGATTGTCGATAGGATAAGGCCAGTATCCAAACCTGCAGCTGTGATGTAGTTATAGTTATGCCACCAGCCACTCCACCGACGTCGGATCCAGTAGTTGAAGATGAGACCGAACATAGCCCAGGAAGAATAGCTCAAGGGTGTGGCACTGGAAATTTATCAGTCACTTAACCTTGGATGAGTAGGAATATGATAGTGATAACTCACGGAGGCAGCCAGGCCATCGCACCCAGCATACTGGTATTCAAATTAGCAACGATTTGCCAAGCAAATGACTTCCCACTTACACTGGTGCATTGAGGAAGCGGGCCTTTGACCGAGGGAAAACTCGCATCAAAACATAAAATGTAACAGGTAGAAGGGCTCCGATAAGCCAGAACCATTGGAACTGTGTGTAAATCGCACCGGGTCCAAACATGCGATTTGGACCAATAGCCCCTGATGAAAGATCAGCAATTTGTTTTCAAAATAAGAAACAGGAATATTGTCTACCCCAAACGATGCTAGATGAGAAGAAAGCCCTTCCGTTCGGGCAAGTGAAATGCGCTGATTGTTCACTGGGTTAAGATAAGTGATATGACCAGACATGTTTTGAAGATAGACAATAGCTCACGAATTGCAAACGCCTTCGATGTTTCCTAAGGTCCAATTCATGACCGCAATCTGTACAAAACATGCCCATATTGTGGCAACAACTTGACACATGAATGTGACTCGAGGAGGCACCTTCATGTAGTGCGCCAGCTGATTGGGAGGAATTAATAAAGCAAAATATTTCCAATTTTGTTTATGCTTACCTTGAGATCCGAGCAATATGTTTGCCTAGAGCCGATATTAGCTTAAAATTAGCCATTAAGAGTGATAACTTACGCTTGGCCAAGAGTGATTGTGCTGAAAACTTTGAAGACCATGACTCCGATCGGTTTCCCGGGAATCATGAAGCCAGCTAAGAAGGGAGATATGACATTCAGTGCTGCACGCGCCAGGTTAATTCAGTTTCTTCCTAGTGTATGTTAGTGTACTTACAGAGCTGAATGTTTGTAATTGCTAAAATCATGCAAGTCGGAATCTTTCATTGTTAGCAGTGGCCTCCTCACCCAGAGAGAACTTACAATGAATACAACTGCAATTATCAGGGACACGAAATATGCCCACCCTATAATACTGTTTAGCAGAATTATTTATATATAGGAAGGCGGAAACACGTACAGGGGAGCTGGGAGTCGTAGCCCAAGATGCAGCCCAGTCCTAGTGCAATTGAGACGATGAAAAGTCCCGCATACCAAAATTCAGGGACTTCCTGGTACTTTTTCATTAGTGTCATATGAATGTCAGGCTCTTGGTTCCGAGAAAATTTGAATCGATGCCAGATCTCCTTTCGGTGGAAAAGAACTATGTGAACGATCGCTGCTGTGAGTGCGGCAAATGAAAGGCCGTAATTGAGCGCAAATGTCGGCGCCAGAAACATTGGCGAGTATGCTTTATATTTCTGTTCATCAAATGAGAAATCTGGCCCCAGAATCTTGGTCACATCGTAGGCTTGCTGTTGATTGTCGTAGGTGGAGGATGTGTTGATCGGGAGATATTCGGAGTACCTATTTTCTGGTTAGGTTTGTTAAACTGAAAAGATACCACCATAACGTACAGAGCTCCAGTATAAGCAATTCCAATTGTTGTAAGAAGCATGAAAACCACTAGTCCAATCATGGTATTGACCAAGGAGTGAACAGGTGAGAGCAATGGGTCAAGAAGGTAGGCAGAAACATATCTGAAAATTATCAGCGTAAAGAAAAACAAAGCCCAGTATAGAAACTCACGTCCAATCAAAAGTAATCGGGATGAGCGAAAGTCCAGTAAATCCGCCAAACAGTTGATTCAAAACAACATTATTTGGCTTGATCCCTGTAGACGAGCCACATTAATCCCCACGCATTGAAGTCAAGAAGAAGACTTACAGGTTATGAAAGCAAACACTGAAAGCCCCTGCCAGAGCACACCGGGGATCCTAGAGGCAATCCATTATTTTTACGAAAAGGCTGAATCGGAATTGGTCTAAACATACCAGTAGTAGACAAACATCCCACCCATGACATACATAAAGTAGCGGTAGCGTGAGATAGTCCATCCGTTGGTTTGGGATGGATCGGAAGCACTTTTGTCATGTAGAGCATAGAACAAAGTAGTGTTTGCAAATTGCGTCGGCCACACCATAGCCGCCGGCCTGAGGATATTAGTGGTTATGTAAGAATGCTTAGAAAGCTGCACTACCTACCAGACAAGGAAGCGACGAAAAATTCCAGCTAGGGCGATACCAATTATTTGACTGCTCAATGCAAAGAGCAGCTGGAATCCCCAGCCAATATCGAGATTATATAGGGCTACTTGTTGTTAGAGACGATCATTGCACCAAAAGATTTCACGTACGCTCAGCTTTCAATGCCAAGAGAGCATCTGTGCAGTATGCATATCCGATGGACACGCTGAGTTTGTTAATCATAATCTAGCATGAAAATAGTTCGAAATGACATCGCAACATACTTGGCCATGAGCTAATGGAAAGTTAGTGGTGCGCTGGAAGAAATAGATATCAAGACCCACTGTGACGACTGTGTGCTCTTTAATAGTAAAAGGACCAGTGTTTAGGGTCCATTGGACTCCAAAGGTATTGAAGACTCTTGTTGGCATATATCTGGCCCATGCGCAACCTATTGGGTAGACGAGCAATTGCACCACGATAGATGGAAATGAAATGGCCGGGCTCCTGAATTAACGTCAATAAATTTCTCAATTGCTCTAAATAGCTTCTGGAAATCGTACCTCATACTCAAAAACATGTTAAGCCCACTGCCGATCGTTGTAAAAAACATTCCTAGAATCCATGCTCGCACGGTATTTGCAACTTCCTCACCGTCGGTGTTCCGCACGGCCGCACGAACGGATTCGTAAGGTGAATCCTGAACAAAAGACTTGTCCAATTCAGCGGCCTTTTCTTGATCATTTGTGTCAACTGCCTCGTTAATTTCATCAATTTTCTCTTGAGAAAGATTTGGGTCCCATTGGTGCAGAGACTTCAGCTTAGATAGCTCCTCAACGGTGTTATCGGCTTGTTTATTGATTTCTGTTGACTCATCCGAGGAAAAAGGCTCGATGCCATCAATGGCCTGGACTTGAGAAATCATCATGCCGAAGTTGAACTGAAATGACCGGGCTCTACTATTCAACGGCCAAAGTCAACCATATATTTGAATTTGTGGCGGTCCGAGAAGGTTGCTGGCCCAAGATAAGCCTAAAACTAAAGTGGTTAACCCTTCAATTGTTCCCCGCATTCCTAAGCTTTGTATCCCTTGACGAGTGAATGCGGTTTGGCTTCAATACTTACCCGATAACAACACGTCCACTTCGGGTAAAAACGCGGAGTAAGCTACGCACTAAACCAGTCTTACTTTTCGCTTAGGGGATTCTGATGATATGGACGGGGCAACTTGACCACTCGGATCAAGCAGCGACTTTTAGTATAATGTCGGCTCTAATCAGGGTCGTAACGTGGTATTCATTCCAATGTTGTTGGTCCATGGTCGCCACGATATGCCAGGATTTGTTCCGGTCGGCAACCTATCTTCTTCACCTATCGATCGCTATTCTTCAGGCTCCCTAGACCTTTAGTGCGACGCCGCGCCCTTGATAACACTCGATTCCGAGCCGACAAACCACCACACCGGCATCACTGACCGAATCATGGTCACGATCACCTCCCCCAGGGCTATCGCCATTAGGCGTTCTCAGGTGGACTCTATACGCGAAAGAATCGAACGTATCACGGAAGATCTCAACGACATCAAGACTTTCTTTCCTATAAGAATATCCACGAAAAGAACGCAGAAGTTGAAACAGTATTTAAAAAGAGAACTTGAGCTTCTGCGTGAGCAGCCTTTCGAGTGTTATGACCAGCAAGAAAAGGTGGATTATCTGCTCATCAAAAACTACCTGGAGAGGCAACTCCGCCAGGTAGAACTCGACATTAAGCAGGACCAAAAGACTAAACCTCTTCTGCCATTCGCCGACATATTAGTAAAACTCTGCGAAGACCGTGCGCTGGTCGTTCCGATCGAGCCAAAAGATGTCGCGCAGAAGCTTTATGAGACCCAGGGGGAAATCACAACTGTAATTGCAAAGATCAAAGCCGGTTCGAAAGATCTCTCAATGGAAAAGACAAGTGCTTTTCGGGCATCGAAGACCATGGACTCACTTCGCGACAACTTGAAAGAATGGTACGGATTCTATAAAGGCTACGACCCCTCATTTGACTGGTGGGTGTCTCGTCCATACAGCGTGGTGGACACAAATCTCGAAACTGCCTCGATCACCATTCGTGAAAGACTTGTCGGTATTGACCCAGACAATGAGGATGCTATCGTCGGTGACCCAATTGGCCGGGAAGGACTTCTCAATGAGTTCCGCGCCGAAATGATCCCCTACACACCAGAGGAGGTCATTGCCATTGGAGAGAAAGAATTCCAATGGTGCATCAAAGAGCTCAAAAAGGCATCACGCGCAATGGGCTTAAAGGACAACTGGAAAGAAGCTCTGGAACAAGTCAAGAATGATTTTGTTGAGCCTGGAAAACAGACTCAACTCGTTCTAGATCTTGTGGAAGAAGCAATCTCTTTTGTTGAAGAGCATGACCTTATCACAGTACCCCAAATCGCCAAGGAGACATGGCAGATGTTCATGATGTCGCCCGAGCGTCAGAAAGTGAATCCGTTCTTTCTTGGAGGCGAATGCATCATCGTCTCCTATCCGGTCGACACCATGGACCATGAAGCAAAAATGATGAGTATGCGGGGCAACAACATCCATTTCTCGCGCGCGACAGTGTTCCATGAGATGATCCCCGGTCATCATCTCCAAATGCATATGAATGCCAGACATAAACCATATCGACGCCTGTTTGACACCCCTTTTTGGATCGAGGGATGGTCTTTGTATTGGGAGTTCATTCTGTGGGATAATGAGCGGTTCACGAAAACACCGCAGAACCGGATCGGAATGCTCTTCTGGCGCCTTCATCGATGCGCTCGAATCATTTTCTCTATCAAGTTCCACCTCGGCCAAATGGCTCCTCAGGAGTGCATTGATCTGTTAGTGGACGAAGTGGGCCACGAACGCACGACTGCAGAAGGAGAGGTAAGAAGATCTCTAAATGGAGATTATTCTCCTCTTTATCAGGCCGGTTATATGCTCGGAGCGCTGCAGATCTACGCTCTGCGGAAGGAGGTTGTGGACAAACACTATATGGCAGAGAAGGTCTTCCACGACCGATTTTTGAAGGAGAATCGCATGCCGATTGAGCTGGTTCGGGCATTAATCATGGACCAACCGTTGAGCCGAGACTACCAAACTTCATGGAAGTTTTACTCTGCTTGAATAGTGTTTGTTTACCAAGACCACAGATAGTGCTTTTCCAGTACCAGACAACGCTCATTAACGGCCCGGCAGATGTTGCGCGGTTGGGTCGGGGTCAATTTCCAGCAAGCTAGGCAGCGGATCATCATGACTTCAGCATACATTACCACAAACTGATCGCATATCGTGCTCTAGATATGTGAATGAACCAACTGAGAAGCCAACCTAAACATTGCGCACACATTTCAGGACTTCTGAGGGGACAGGTCATACCTACCCATTTAGCACCATTTATATTGTATTCCTGATCCAGCTGTAGGCCCTTTCAAACATTTGGTGAAAAAGCAGTGATAGTCCACAAGTCAGATAGAATCACGGCCTTCAAGCGGCTCTGACTACTCCAGCCCTTTTGAGGCTCTTGACGTAACTGCCTCAGTCAACCCGCCTTTTCCTCTCCGTCATTATTGTCTCTTCGCTTCATCTTCCACTCTAAACCCCCATTTCGTCTTCAATTACACTCTCAACGAACGTTTCTCAAGAGTTGTAAGCAATAAGTCTTTGGTTTCAAAGACCTCAATCCACGCTGACACAGCAGACACCCTCACGGACTTATCACACAATTTCCAGGAATAAGACCTCCCGATCACACTTGGACCAAATGGGGTATGTGTTTCCCTACACAGGATTTGATATCTCTTACGAATAATTAGTTACACGCACTACTACGAGGTCCTCGACTGGGAATCTCCGGAATGGAAGGCTGCCTGGCCCCAGCTGGTCAAAGACGCCCAGACGATAATCGACGCCGCTGGAGTCGCAGTCTGCGGGGCCACCGAGGATGAAGAAGTTGTTACGCCTCCAATTGCAAATGAGAAGGACGGTATCTACATTGGAGGAGTTGATGAGGATGCCTACGAGCGATTCATACTCGTTCCAAATTACGAGGATGTCGGCTCGAGGTTTCAGTTCTGCAAGACGGCTCGCAGGGAGTACGACGTTGTGGTTACTTGTATTCTACTCCGAGCCAAAATGCTGGCCCCAAACTCTTTTAAATTGTCGTGAGTAGCATTTCTCTTTTTCCCATTAACATGACCTGAACTTTTCCCAGCTCTGATGGCTCCTGGAGTGAGTGGAAGCCGGCACGGGATGTTTATCAACGTATTTGGCCAGATGCCTCGGTCGAATGCCCTTTCAAAGATGACGAAAGCGAGGTGGACACGGACGCTGAAGTTGATGAGGACAGTGAAGATGAAGAGAGCAGCGAAACTGAAGATGGGAGCGATGATGAACTGGATACCAGGTTGGATGCATAATCTTATGCTGAGGTCAAAGCTAACGCACAACAATCATAGCGAGAAGAACCTCGGGATCGGAGAAATTTTTATAGACAGCCAACGTAATTCCAGGGGCCGTTACTGCACCTTGATGTGAGCGATAAAAGTATTACATTCAACCACGACGAGCCTCGACTGGAAGGATTTTCTATTTTGTCTCACTGAATCGTTACATATCTAAAGCACATTCATATTTAGAGAAAGGAAATAAAGTATCCAATACCACTCCAGAAGGTGGAACTTTCCTCCTCTTCATCTCCCCTACCACCAATTGTGTCACGGTCTTGTTTAAACTTAAAGATTTAAGGTATGTATCAATCGTTCATTTCAGGCGATCGAACATGGTCCAGTGGCTAAATTTAATAAACCTTAAAGCCACCGGGCATCAAGGTCTGGAAGACACCATGAGGGTCGTACTTCTGAGCAATAGAGATCAACTTCTGGTGATTCTTCTCGCCGTAGCCGGGGAAGATAGATTGAAAGCCAGCCGAGTCACCCATGTAGTTGAACTTGTCATAGAGGCCGGCCTTCAGAGTCGCGTTGTTGATCGCGTAAGTGGTCTCCTCAATCCAATCAGCAACGATGCCGTCGTAGGCAGAACCGATCCACTCGACGACCTCGGCGTAGCAGAGGTACACCTTCGAGGAGTTCAGACCCAAAGCATTACCACCTGCTTGCTCAGAGGCTTTCATCCAGTCAGCCCCGATGGGTTGCCAGTCCAGCTGGATCGTCGAGATGTTGGCGGAGGGGATCTGCTTATACAGCTTGGGCAGCTGGTTGAAGAAGGTGGTGTTGATAATACTGATTCCTTGGTGGAGCTCCTTGTAGGTGGTGCCCTTGACGGTTCCGGCGACGAAGACATCGCTGCAGGTGATTAGCATGGGGACCTCAATAAGTAAGAATTTAGAATCAGGCTCACTTGATACCATCAACAACCATCTCACCAGTCTCAGCTGCAAACTCGGCCACGGTCTTGAAGCCCATGGTGTTGCTGATAGCGGGGATGTCGGTGAACGGTTTGAGGATCTCCGGGTAATTCTCGGTCTCGCTGTCGTAGAAGAGGATTACCGAAGCCAGAGTCGAGTCACCGGGCACCAGGGCAGGAACAACGTGAGTCTTAGGGTCATAAATGTCGGACGCAAATTCAGCCGTAGCCTGAGAGGATCAGTAAAAGTTCTCAATGTGAAATAACTCAGAGGGAACATACAGCAAGGAAGCGGTCGATATATTCAGCCGCGACGGTCCATGTTCCAGCCCAAACCTTGGAGGATCTAATGGTCTGCAGGTCAAAGCGAGTGACGAGACCAAAATTGCTGCTGCCACCCTTCAAGGCCCAAAAGAGATCGGAGTTCGAAGTCTTGTTGGCCTCAACGATCGAACCGTCGCCAAGGACGACCTCGTAATTGATGACGGTGTCGGCGGCAAAGCCAACCTGGTTACCATAAAAGTTGACACCACCAGCAAGAAGAAGGCCGGGGACACCAACAGGACCAAGGCGACCACCTGCCGCCGTCAGATTAGACTTGCCAAGGAAGGCATAGACATCGGCCCATCTGATGAGATCAGCGGATTGTTTACAGCGGGTTGGGTAGGAAATCTACCGGTAAGCAGGACCAACCGAGAGAATAGACTTGTCTTCGTTCAGTTCCATGGTGGTCAAGTTCGACATAACGACCAGCACGCCTCCGTTAATGTTGTTGGAACCCTGAACTCTACTTAGTCTACATGATTCATGTCAGGCCTCACTTTGTGGGGCACTTACTCGGATGCCCATGTGTCCGCCACCACGAACAGCAAACTCGGCATTGGCACCAACAAGCGCCTCCAACCCCTCGGCCAATTGGCTAGCGGACTGAGGACGGAACACACACCCAGGAGACAGAATCTCAGTGTTTGACCAGAAGTTACTGGACTCGTAGTTATAGACAGTGGTGCCTCGGGAGAACACCGCGTCTCCAAGGGGCTGCTTCAACGCCTGACACCCCGCGCCAATAGACCTGGCCGCGACCGTGGCAATGGCGCTTGCCAAAGGCAATGTAAAGGAAGCTACACGCATTGTCAATAGGTATGAGGTGCAACGTGGTCAAGGAGAACAGTGAAGACCTTGTAACTTCGAGATCGTCGTTGAAATCTTACTAACGACAGCAGACAATTGTATTTAGTACTCAAATACGGAATTACTGGAATGGCTTGTTCTCAGGGCGTCTGTGAGCCTTGCCTAGCTGGTTCAACTCCGGTGTTAGCACGGAACGGGCTGATTGAGGACTGTGGGTACCGATCCACTTGGTGGAGTGTTGTTATTGTGTGCTTGGCAAAAACGGAAATTGCGATGAACACGGTGCTGCAAACATATAGAAAACTGCCCCAAAGACTAATAAAGCTTTCTGTGGCTAAACCTTAGTGCAGTAGGATCTGAGCTTAGACCTCTGCCCTATCCATGGAAGCGAGTTGGGCATGGGTTGTCGGCTTCTAGTGAACGCCTCGCGGGATTTGCCGAGGTGGCTGAATCCACCATTACCAAGGTCGTAAGACTTATACAGCCCGACTGAGAAAATAATGTACATTAGCCTGAACGCTTGAATTTCACTTCTTTCTTGGCGTCTTTTTGCTCGCATCGATGAGGTCATGAGATCACGAGCGTGCCATGGCTGGTTGTTGTTGGTACTCTACATTTGTAAATTTATACATGCTAAAGGTAGGTATAATTATGTACACGATCATCCATTTTGGGAACGATCAATTCGAGAAACATATCTTGCATCATTCATCATGGCGCCGGTCGCGATGTGTTTTCCACATCGAATTCAACAGTTCGAACAATGCCAGCAGGCTCATCTGCGTCTTTGCCATGATTGGAAGACAGTTTCGAGAGAATGTGTTCTGCGCTATCATTATCAGGTCCCCTGAGCGTAGTGAGCGTTGCCGAATACTGATGCTCGCGGCCTGAGAAGTCGGGTCGCTGACTGGGTGATGAACTGAGCTGATGGGCATGCTTCCGAGAGCTTGAGCCATATCCGCCAGATGACAGACCTAACAGACGCGGGAAGTACTGTCGGATGAAGGGTCTGATCGCTGTGATACAGCCACCAAATATTCCAAGGTTGAGCTCGATTGTGCACCACATCAGTGCGTTGGTAGTTGCCCCTGTGCCAATTTCGAATTAGCCGTGGTTTTTAATGTTGATTAAATGTAGATGCTCTTACAGGTCAAATCGGGGCTCTCCAAGAGCTCGTGAAGCGACGCCAGGCGGATGCAGCTGACAATTCCCACGCTATGAATTATTCAGTACTGAATGAGGAGAAATTTCGGTTTTATGTCATTACTCACAAGCATCCCATAGCCAAAATACCTCCGACAGCAATCTTCTGCCGTAAAGGCATCTGCAGTGGGCGTAGCCACGGTCTAGACAAATTAATTATTCATTAGCCGCAGTCTTCGTACGAGCCTTGGAGGAACATACATCGGCACCACGACAGTAGCGAAGTCCGTAAATATACCCAGTCCAGCATTCGCAAAGTAGAATACCGGTCTATTCATACAATGCCCACTTGTAATAGTCAAGTCCCATGCCTTGGCGATTGGACTGCAGCTGAGAATGTTGGCGAGAATGCTAGCGATCGCGTAGCCGCTCGCAATAAACACAATGGCCCAAACGCAAATGTGAAAGTTTCGACTGGGGAAAATCCGGAGGTAGAAAACGAGAACGGAGACTTTGGTGAAGCCGGTAGCAGCGCAATAGAGAATAGCCGAAATGACGTTAAGCTGTGGGTTGGCGAATGTTAACTCTGGTGTTCATCCAGCGCGTGGTTGTACGGACCTTGAGAAACCATGGCGTCACGGAAGTTGCGGGGACATCCCACATGTGTTTACCCAACCCCCAATTAAGCACTAAATTGGTTAGCCAGCTGCTACTTCATTGGGAGGGAGCAACCTACTATCTAATGTCACACCTGTCAGGGCACATGATAGAATCTGCAAAGATTGGTCCGCATTAGTAGAGTTCCAATAGCCTGAGTACCGGCTACAGAGCTACATAGCTTCATACAAGAGCCATAGCCATAAGATCTGTAGAATAAGTCAGTGAATCGATCTCTTAGATGTGGCATTTCTTTACTTACAGTCATCCCAGCGGAAGCTCCGCACCACAAAAGCTCGAGTCCATACCCGAACACCCAAAGCAACAACAGCCAAGGGCAAAAATACACAGTTCACAACGAGAAATTTGATACCACAGTAAGGCGGGTCAACAAAATTCGACGTCTGGCCAGCCGGCGGCGCCATGGCCGCAACGATGGTACCACTAGCCATAGCGCTGGATCAGTGAGGGAGACCCATCCGCAAGTGAGGGGCAGGGTTGGCGACAACAGAAGGACAGAAAACAAGCACAGGGTCATAGATAGGGAAAGATCCCCTGAGTTGTCAGTCCTATTCTGTAGAGAGTCGAAAAGAGGGTTCTGACTTCGATCATGTCAAGAATATCATCAGAACTTAAGGAACCACAGGTCAGAGCCCGAGGTCTGACCATCGAGCCTTGCAGCTGAAGCGCATTCAAGAGAGCATCTCGTGGAGACTATAAAACAGGCTCCACAGTGGGACCCGAGTATTCGAGTTACACAGATCATCGATTTCCATGAGACCCGTTCATTCTATTGAATTTTTCATTAATTATTCCTCGTCTACACGAAAGGGGCCTCCAGGATACAGACCTCTGTCCTGTGCCTGATCGTAGGATGATGCGGGTTCTGCTGACATCCCAGAATTGGTATAAGAACTTCAAATAATCCCCAGCAGCCTCGAAGAACGGTCATCATCCTGGGCAGAAAATAAACCAGCTAGAGCTGATGCAATACACGGGGAGCATTCTGCTTGCGGGATAGCAGTCCTGCGCGTTTTGCAGGGGATAATCGCTAAATATTGGCCCTTTGCCCCAAAGCTCGATCAACAGCCTCTATTAAAAACCTAAGGAGTAAAGATTGGCGCCCTGCGAACCTCCACGGAATCTGTTTCGATCGTCGTTGGCCCGCGTTCTCCGTAGCGATGATCCGGCCGAACTTAAGCATCCACTTCGTTCGACCTAGCTTTGCGACGGGCTCGCCTAGATTGCCTGACGCCGGACTTCTGCCGGTTCGCCCAGATGAAGTCTGAAAATGCTAGGCCCAGTTACGTGGGGGGTTCGCCTCCCAATTAATTTAAATACATGTAAGTACAGATGGGACCCGCTCGGGATATCCGTGTTGTTCCATGGATGTGCCTTCAGCCTCGATCTTGGGGTGGTGGCGTCGCGACCGTGGCTCCAAATGAATTGAATTCATCATTCGCGAAATGTAATTGCTAATACCGCGTGTCTTAAGGACCTTCGAAACATAGATGGGATCTTAGAACACCCATAAACTTGAGCTGACTAGGGGATCGCCAGATTATATGAGCTATCGGAGAACTCCGCAATATTACCGCGCCCCGTGTTCAAGCTTGCCTCAAGGTGTAAGCTTTCACCCTTGAACTACCCCATGTTACGCCTCAAATTTGTGTCGTTTCAACAAGGGTTACCCTTGAAAAAGTGATCCTTGTGCGTCACATAAAGTGATGCGGTGCATAATTCAGTCAAGTTCTATGCACCATGCTCACCACTTCCCTCTCTGCCTACTTAAAAAATTGAGGCCCATATTTGGACTATTGCTCCTTTTGACAGCGCGACCAAAAGCATATTTCATGTGAGCCACGAGTTTGTTCTTTAAGGCTTTCTCAACGTCTTCCTACAATTATGCTGATTGTCTCTTGAGGCCTGTTTTTGCTTCTTTCCAGTGCATCAGCTAGACATTTCTCAAACGCCCAAGGAGACATTAAGTAATAAGCGCCTGTTTAGAAACCGGAAACCTAGGCTATCTTCCTACTCAGGCTATAATTAGAAGAAATCATTCAGCCTGATCGAGAAGATAATCTTCAGGGGTCTACACATTTGATTCTTCAGTTATTCGTCGAAGTCGTCATGGACACCTCTCTAAGGCTCTTTTAGGCCTCTTTTTGTTCTATTTTTAATGTTTTCTCTTTGATAATAGTGACCTCACCTGACGAAATAAGCCACGGCCACCTAATTAGAACAGATTGTATCATAGTCCTGGCCGGCTATACGTCACTAATGGGTTGACTCCAACAAGATTACAAATTACAATCGCGTGAACTTTAGACAGGGCTGCAGCGTGTAGGCTACTCCGGGTTCATCTTGTCCAAGTAGGGTCCCGTACCCTGGTCGTTCTATGGATCTCTCGGTGATCACTTTGTCGTTAGACAGTGGTGGATTCGTTGTGAACAAATATTACATGAAATACCTTCAAACACAAGCCATGAGGTACAGATTAGACTGCAATAGAAATATTTTTGGGTATGGACCTCGGTCCAAATGCTAGCTCCTGTACCTCGAAGGAAAAGAAAAACGGATATAGCACCCAGGTTAGATAAAACCCCGATAAACACACAACCCCGCAGATCAAAGCCAGGTATAATATGAGAATCCCAACGACCGAGATTGAAAACAAGATCAAAAACGAAACCGAGCCCAGAGAAACACAAGCATGGTATGTCCAGAAAACGCAGCTCAAATGCAACTTCACATCTGCATCTTCTCATCTCCGTCTGCATCTCCCGCGCCAATGGCTCCACCGGGTATCCGGCCTTCGTTCAGCTCCTTCTCCAGTCTTGTGATCTCCTGCAGACTCTTTGCCTCCCGGATCATTTGTTCCACGCGCTTTCGCTCGGCGGCGGTCAATTTTACTCGGATGGCTTTGTCTGCCGGGGCGCGGTCTGCGGTAGCGGAGACGTCGAAGGTTTGGGATTTGATGCCCATGACCTTGGATGCGAGAGAGGAGGGTTCTTCGATGGTGCCGAACAGTTCCTTGGCTTGGGTGCGCTCTGCGTCCTTCACTTTTTGGTAGTCGAGGAAACGGACGGAGGGGAGAAGCCAGATGACCCAGTATCGGTAGTGCTAGAAGCATGTGTTAGATGTCCTGCGGCTTTGGAGGCAAGTAGAGGCTAGAGGAGTGGTGAACCTACTTCCTTCCGTGTGATAGGGTTCTCAAGTAGGGTCAAATGTGTCAACTTCGTCAATGTCTTCAGAGGGTCGAGGTCCGCGAGCTCGGACATGTTATTTGAAGTCAAGACAAGGGTTGTCAAATTCGGCAGAGACGAAGCCAGAGTCGACTGAATGTGATTGATTCGGTTGCGCGCAAGAAGAAGGGTGTGAAGACGAGGAAAGAAAGGGAAATTGCCGAGCGAGGAGAGGTCGTTGTCCGTGAAGTCAATTGCATCTTGATGCTGCGAGAGGTTAGCAAGGCGCTTACAACAAACAGTCTGCCAGCAACTGCTCCCTGGGAGGCCAGGAATCAGCAGCGAGGCCAGAGCGCAAAGTACTTACCTTGGCAACACCTAGGTTCTCAATTGCGGGGATCTTGTGCCCTACACGCGACGCGCAAAGTTGATATCAATCCAGCTCCCTTGACAAGATGTAGTACCTGTTCCTTTCAGGCAGGCGGGGGACAGTGAAACGAACCTCGGAGATCCAGCTCGCGATCCTTGAGCGGATTAATGTATGACAGAGAGTTCTGGAGGAGCTCGACGGTCAAGCGCATGGTGGCGGTGGCGGTCGGCGACGACGATGGGGCGAGTACAGGTCTAGGTAAACAAGTCTATCGGGATATCGTAGACGGAAAATATTTCAAAAACGAGAAAATGAAGCAGAAAAACCGAAAGAGCTGCAATGGACGAAAAAGACCTGTCGCAATTTCTCTAATCGAGATCACCTTGAACCGCAGCCCTTTCTGCCGAGCGGTGAGTTTACCATCGATACACGTGACTTGATATCGATCTAGACAAAAGTTGACTTCCAATGATTACGGATTTTTGCATGCCTAGTGGTTTATTTGGAAGTTTCATATTGTGAGCGATGTATTAGTCTATGTTCATTAAGGTAAGAGTTCTGTCGCAGAGCGCTAATGGTAAAGTGCATTTCCATCGAAATCACCCGGATCAGATCGACAGCCCGAAACAGAAGAGTACTCCAGAGCACAGGATTGAATATAGTACCAAGAATCGAAAGCAGAGACCGCCTGCGAGACAGCAAAGCCTGGGGAAACAGCCCCAGATGTGGGAAGAGTCAAATCAGGCGCCACAATTGGCGCACGCGTTTAAATAGTCAACTCCAGTAGGAAATGCAATGCAGGAAGAGGGCGGCGCATGTTTCAGGAAAACATCATTCAGTATTCATCAGTCACATTAATCATCGGCGAGGGGTGTCATGTTTGGTGATTTTTGATGGTGAGATCGCGTGGGACTGCCAGCTCTTGATCGTCGACCGTTCGTAGTGGGCCCAAGAGCGATGGGAGCCAGATGGTCCCGGCTCTCGGTCCTGACCACCAAACCTGCTCGATCCATGGCAATGCCCGAATCACCGCTGATACCCAAGCCAATGGTGCCTGATGAATTGTTGTCGAGTGTGTACTTCAGACTCGGCGGGTTGTTACTGCTGCTACCCCAACTGGAGGCTCGCTTGGGCGGCCGGGGGTTGGCATCGGCCTCGGAAAGACGGCTACCATCCACATCCGACCCGTCGGAATCTGTCACGCCCAGCTCGAAATCTTGAGCCCCATCCTCCAATACGCGTTCGTACGGTTGACCGCCACGGTTCAAAAAGGGTAGCATACTCCCCAGGCCCTTTCGTTTCTTTGGATGATTAGGGTGAGAGGGCCCGCGACGAAGAATCTTGTTGATGTGATGGTACATCCACAAGCGACGGCTACGCCCACAGAGGAAGAAGCATGCGACCACGATGATGACCAGGAACAAAATCAACCCAGGAATGCGCCGGGGCGAGTCGCCATCAAAGAGTGCATCGTGCCAATGCTCACTGTGGAACCCTTCGGAATCCGGAAGCAGCTGCACGCTAGGATACTGGAAGTCCGGTGGGACACCAGGGATATTGCTGCCGAAACCAACAGGCATGGCATCTTCCACCGGTGTAGGAACCTGCGATGAAGCGTACAAGACGATCTTGCCCAATGTCCAGCTCACTTCGGTCGAGTCGATTTTGTTCACAGCTTGGAAGGCATCAAGATAGCCCTTCTCTTTGCCATGAGCCAAAACTTCTTTCGTGCCATTGTGAGAGGAACCTGAGGTATCTTCAAGACCGACACGAGGAATACCAATACCATCGTGAAGCATATTGATGATCCACGACGCTTTGAAGCAGACTTCGTAGGCCTTTTGAGCATCGACCTTCTTGCCCCACTTGTGAGCCAGAACACCACCCTCAATAGAGCTCCAGTCCTGTGAACAGAACGTCTTGACTCGCTCTTGATAAGTGTTGAAGTCGTAAGCTTTGTCTTTGTATGCCATCTCAAAAATCTCGTGAGTGGTATGCCAGTACTCGCTGATACCAATGAAATGATTCACATCAAAGTCGATCGCCGGAACGTGGATACCATGCAAGAGACACGGGTTGTCCATACAGGGAGCATCCTTGTCCAGTAAGGGGAATGTCTGACGCAGGCACTCGTCGAAACGGCCTGTTCCCAGCAAAGTGGTACTCGCATCATTCATGGAGGAAACATCTTTTCCATCCAATGATGTACGCAGGCCACTGGGCAGACATGGATCCGGTAGTTCAAGAGCGTCTGTCCCCATCGCCGCCTGCAGGGCCTCCACATACCGTCGGCGCGCCTCGTTCACACCAAACTCCAACCAGGAAGTCACAAAGACTCGGTGCTCCTGTACCGAGCCGTCGATATTCCGCAATCGCATGAGAGTTAGGTCATTGGCGTGCTTCTCCGTTTCCGTAGCGTTCGGCGCAAATGCAATCTGAGCAGATGCGCCTCCCATATCCAAAAATCCATAAGTGCTGTGACCTTTTCCGTGATCATGTTTGTCGGGAGAGTCAAAAGTTCCCATGAGGTAGTTTGTCGCAATCCATCCGTACAGTCCTTCGGTCACACCCGGAATCACCTGGATGTGAATTCCGCAGTCGGGAAGCAGGAAATCGGTATTCGCGCGCGCATAGGAGCAAATCTGATCGAGGAGGAGCTGTCGGTCGAGGTTTCCGAGGAGTCGCATGCCCGCCGTCGCGAGTAGGAAGATCGGGGTATCCTTGGCATCTTCCTCAGGGATGATACTCTTCGCATGGTCCAGAAGCTCCGCTAGATGATCGGATCCCACGGTTTCGGGTCTATTGGCGAAGGAGGAGACACCGGGGCGAATTTTCTTGACCCATTCCTCCTTAGTCTTGATTTCCGGAAGTGACTTCAGTTCATCGGCATCGGCATCCTTGCGCGCGGTTACATTGCGTAGCCAGCGATACACGTGTACTCGGGTCCCAGACGATCCAGCGTCTAGGACAACGCCATAGCGCCCTATACAAGTCAAAGTCAGCTATATTGGAGGATTGCGGAGGAGACAGTTTGGACGTACACTTGCCCATTTGGACTCGTAGGCTATACGAATAGCATGACCAGGGACAGCAATAAGTGAGAAGAGAAGGGCCTCGAAGAGGCAGACAGGCAGAAAAGCAGATGGGTGAGCGCGAGCGAGTTGAACGAGTGACAGAAGACTGATAGACTTGAAGGGAAGAACGAGAGAAGAGATAAGGGTTGTCTAAAAGCGGACGCGACAACGGGAGAGGCGATACGATACGTGACCGAAAGGCGAGGCCAAATTTTCCCTCCAAATGGGTCAAAATACGCGGCCGGGCCGTGTTCCGCATCAGGACTAATTCTATCATGATACGATGCAGTACAGTAAACTTCGCGGTGTAATCTAAGTGTCTTCCCCTCGTGTCTTTTATTGGTGAAGTTACACCCTGACGTCGTTTTTTTTCTATTATTTTCTCCACTGTCAATTTTTGGTTTATTTATTGCTATTGTCTCTCTATCCATCTCTATACATCTTTGACTTGACTGGCCCCTCAGGATCTTTCTACCTTACCGTACCTCTTTCCTCTACAGCCTTGAATGTCTCATTGATTCGGCACCTTGGAATGCAGGCCATGCAGTCCCGTGGCGTTGCATGGGAAAGTCACCTATTCCTGCTCGTGTTGATCTCGCCCTTCCACCGGCCGCGCGCTAGGCCCGCCCTAGCAGGGGGCATGGGGGCATCACGGTGCGTCAGTGTACGTCAGCTCATACCTTCCCCGGGGTCGATGGAGCCGAGCATCGTCGAATATCCCCTCTAATGCGCCAGGACTACGCAATTCTGACCTTGGCGTGTCTTTCGATGAACGCGGGGCCGATTGCATGGCATAGCCAACACCCGCGGGGCTCAGTCACGCTGCAAGTCCGACAGGCCGCGCAAGACAGTGGCAGCCCCCCACATCGGGTTTGGTTGTGATTGCTCCAGACCTGATTTCAGGGTCTTCGCTCCCTCGATCCTCGCTCACCATGCAAGCCCCACCTTTCAGCCTCTGGAATTGATTTGACGCGAGTAAAACGGTGGCACTGATCGGCTCGCATTCCTACTCTTTATGGGAATGACATGGTACGCGGCCTGCCAAAACTGTCTATCGATGTACACTTGGACCCTGAAACCCTTTTCACATCTCGATCTCCTTGGACCCTACTGACATTCCGGGCGTCCCATTCACCACACTTGCATTAGCCGGTGACGACGACATCAGAAGATCAGCGAGAATAACCCGCTCACCGATCTGTTCATCCAGGAACTGCGCCCGGTCCAATCCAATGATTTCGTCCTCCTCGTCAACTCGTAATTGCATACCGGGGATCCATTTCAGGATGTACAGCAAGATACAAGAGACGGTGAAAGAGTAGACCGAGATGGCGCACACTTCGGCCAATTGTTTCCCGACCTGCATCCCGTTGCCGTCGATACCACCGCTAGCCACGGTCGCGCCATCGAGCGCCGCAACAGACGAGGACGCAAAGATCCCGGTCAGAAACGCCCCGACCATCCCTCCAATCCCATGCAGCTTGAAGACGTCCATCCCCTCATCGATGTGCATCCAATTATTGATGTCCTGGAGGAGCGCGCAGACGATACTCGTAAGGAACCCAATGCAAGCTGCAAGCCACACGGACACAAAGCCGGCGGCTGGGGTAATTCCAACCAGCCCCGCAATAGCTCCCTCGCAGGCACCTACGACGGAGAACTTGCCGCGATGCTTAATCGAGTCCACCAACACCCACCCCAATACTCCCGTACAAGCTGCCGTGTTGGTGTTGAATGCGGCTAGCATGGCTCTCACGCTGGCATTAAGAGCTGACCCTCCCTGTAGTCCGTTAGTAAATATCACAACGGTAGAGTGAATAGGAAAACACACGTTAAATCCAAACCATCCAAACCAAATCAGCGTCGTCCCCAAGAATACCAATGTGGTATTGTGAGGCTTAGCATGCGAGGGCTCCTCAAGGTGCTTGCGCTTGCCGAGCACCAGGGCATATGCAAGGGCGGACCAGCCGGATGCAATATGCACCGGGCCGCCACCAGCGAAGTCCAGAGAGGGGAGATTGTATAACCACCCATTGCTGTTCCATGTCCAGCAGGCGATGGGACAATAGACGACGGTCGCCCAGCAGAAGCTAAAAATGAGCGCCGGAAGCATGTTGCCTCGCTCGAAGGCGCCACCGACAACTATCATCACCTGGTTTTGAGTATGAGCACAATGAACAAGAGTTGTTTTGACTTGCTGGAACCTTACCGTGCACGCGCAAAAGAGCAACTGATAGAAACAGAACACGATCTCGGGTAAAACAGCCGAGCCTGGCGACGGCGCAGCCATCACATCCTTCAATCCAAAGTTCTTCAAGGTACCGATGAAAGGACCCGCATCACGGGAATAAGCCAGGGAATAGCCCCAGAATATCCATTGAAAGGTTGTCCTAAGAGGCTGGTCAGTGACCCAATTCTGTCTTCGTTCTCTGGTAACCTAGGACACATACACGGCGACAACCATGAGCGATTGGAACAGTAACGTCAATGCCGACTTCCTTCGTGCCAGTCCACTATATAGTAGACCGATGCCCGGAATGATGAGCCAGACAATGAATCCACAGAACACGATGTATGTGTAGTTCCACTCATAGCCCACGAATTGAGCATTCACGTCGACCTTGAGCGGGTCTCCACCGCTTGGGGTGGAGGCATTGTATACTGGCTGTTCGATAGATTAATCATCGACGCACAGGAAGGTGACAAGCACAATTTGGTTGCGTGGTGATTTAGAACATACCGCAGACGCCATGCCCCGAGCTATTCCTGTCGCGGGAATATATCTGCTCGGGTATCTCAAATTACCGAATTCGATAACTTCAATATTCGAATAAAAAGGCGAAAGATTCAATCAAGGGATAGCGACCCAGATAGAGTCATATACCCCAAAACCAGACCCCATCTCGTCACCCCAAATATCAAGAGCAACTCCCCGCTGGACCCGAATTCCTTATCTACACCCGATAGCCAAGACCTCCACAACACGCATCTGGGCCTGAGACACGAGCCTCGAGCTCCGATATATAGGATCTTGGCTAAGCTCGTGGCAAAGCATGTTGGGGACATTGATCTCATGGACGATAAATCGAGGGTGTGATTGATAAGGATACGAAATGCCTCGGATGCGAGATAAGGCCGTCCAATGACGGGCGTATCCATGCAGCCCCGGATCGGGCCTCCTTCTCGGGTTTAGACTCTACGGTACTTATCTGTGAGTCTATTATCTGCGGTCAGCGGGTCTTGGTGTTCTTGGGGTTGATGAGCTATCCATAGTTGCTGCATGTGAAGATCGATGTCTGGCTTGACTTGCTACTGAGTACATATTTCTCGATTAGGGGCACCTGAATGTCGCCGAAGAAACGCGTAGACATGGCACAGAATTCAGTTGATTCTGTGCGCTCAGCCCAAGGGCCAAGGGCACGAGCCTGGATGAAAAATTGTACAATATATACACACCTGTATTCCAAGGAATGAACACCTTAAGCTCCCCGTGCACTGATGGGCTTGAAGTACTCGGAAGGAATGAATTTTTGGAACCTGTATACTTGTCCAATTTCAAAAACAAGAAGCTCTCGAACATCGAGTCAATCCTTCAAAAACGCCATCGAACATCATCATAGTTAGGTGTCATTACCAACTTCACTCAAATGCTCCCTCGTGATAAATAACATAAACAAAGCCATTGCAATATCCGTGCCAAAGTCATTTCGTACATCGTTCCTCATTAAATCCTCCGTATATACAGTGATTGATCGTTGTTCGTGTCATATTTTGAGAAATAAAAAGCTTATGGCCTATTAAGCTGTTCTCGGCGATAAAATAGGAGGAAACCAAAGCTAGAAATGACAGTAAGTAAAGAGTTTAAAGACGTGGGAGGGGGAAAAAGGGTACTTACCTAGCCAAAAGCTGGAAGAAAAGTGCAATCCAGAACCACGCATTACCGACTCTATCCAACGACGAGCCAACATCTGGAGAGATGCCAGCCGGACCAATTTTGTTGGGCGCGAAGGCACGCGCACAAATCGTGGCGATGGATCCAAGAGACTGCGCAGCCAACAGGACAAAGCAGACATGAACTCTTGTCAGTGTCTGCAAGAGAATCATCCCGAGACCGACTTGCTGGATCTCATCGAGAACGCCTAACCAGAGCCAGAGGCATCGCGAGACGAGAGCCCCGGAAGTTAGACCACCGGCCCATGGAAGGTAGTAGCCGATGTTCGATGCTCCCCACCAGGTTTGCGCCCACCGCGGTGCACCAAGACTCAGACCGAAAACAGGTAGGATCCAGCTGTGCTCCTTGGATAAGAAACGGAAGATGAGCAGAGCACAAATCCAAACAACAATAAAGAAAAAGAGAACCAAGATGAGGACTTCCCATGTCTTGGCGTGTTGAGATGACCAGAGGAATGACCAATTGCGACCGAAGACGGCGGAGAGGAACCAGTTCTGAATGATGACCATGAAGAAGAACCAGAGAACGATGCGTCGACGGAAGAGGGATGTGTAGAAGAACAGAATCTTTCCTGGGGCTTGACGGTAGTACTTGGGCAGTCCTAGAGCAAGGAGCACGCCGACGATGAAACACACCGCGGCAATGGGTAGCACGACAGCTGAGAGTCTCCATGTAGACAAGGCAGCTGTGGAAACACCTTCGACCTCCACTGCGGTGACTCGGGAACTCCAGAACCACAGGGCCACCGTGTAGAGCTGTTGGATGCCTTGAATCAGACTTGCGCGGAACATCCAATCCTTGACTGGAACAGCACCCTGATCACCAAAGTTGAGGGCAAAGAACAAAGAGCCGCTGGAAGATGCGGCGGCGTAAACGCCTGCGCCAATATTCTGCGCCCAGGCTCGACCAACAGATGAGAGCCCAAATGGCGAGACGCCAACGATAACGAATGCAATGGAGTAGATAAACCAGGGGAGACTGAGGACTATCACTGATGGGAAGCGGTAGAACAAGAACCACCAAACAACGGAAGACAGACAGTAGACTGCTGCAATCACGTAAAGCTTGACCGCAGTCTCGCCGACTTGGCCAACCAAAAGGGTGATTTGCGCTGAATTCGTGGCGATAATCTGCCCGAGACCCAAGAATAGAGCGTAGACAGGCCAATTCCCGACACGCCATCTCATGAATCTCTGGATGGCGATAGGTCTCTTGTAACCAAGACGAGAGAGCCATTGATCGATGTCATCTGCTCCATTCGGTTCATGGTGTTCAGGGGAAGGTGGGATATTCTCATACTCCGTATCATCAACAGCATGATTCAAGCCAGCTCCAGTCAAGGGACGCTCCACTATCTTGGGCTGCTTTTTCAGCTGCGCATCGGTGTACATGTCGAAGAATTTCCGCTCACTCTTCATCAAGTATACTTCGATACAGTGTTCTGTGATCGAGTTTTTCTTGTTGAGATTAGTGAGTAGCTTTTCGTAGTTGCGCGTGAAGTAGCCCATTTTGTCAGTGAACGTAGGGTCAACTTTTTGCAGATTGAAAACGGGTTGGTCGTGATCCTCAAAGACAGACACTAAGGAGAGAACAGACAAGTTGCGTGTGTGCGCAACAGGAGTAGTATTGCCATAACCAAGGCCTTCTGCACGCATAGGTGTTCTGGCTGGGGACGTGTCTCGGGAGACAAAGCGTGATGAGTCGGAGGCAGAATCGCTACGAGAATGCCTATCACCACGAGAGGATGTGTCACCGCGAGAGGATGTGCTGAGATCCTGGGATCCGAGAGTTCGATTGATGGCCGCAATTGCCTCTTCGGGAGAGATATTTTCTTCTTGTGGCGTCTCAGTGCCATCCTCATCCACATCTGTTGTGTCACCTTCGAATAGCTGACTCTCACGCAATGCCCTTTTAATGAGACGGTTTCTGCCCTGTCCAGGTCCGGATCGTCGGCCGAGAGACAGTTTGCGACCCAACATGCTATCTCTCGGGCCTTCGGACTCTTGCATATTTTTGAGCTCAGCTGCCTGTAGTTCCAGGAGAGAAGGTTGAATGGGTTCCGATACTCTTTCTGGTGTAATTTCCAAAGCCCCGGCAAGGGACTGATGAGATTCTGGGCGGGATCTGGAGAAAGGGCGCAAACCCTGCATATCCCAATCTGCCTGAGAGTCTCGCGTGTGATCAATGACACTATTCCTGTTCTTGTCGTGATGAATCTGGATTGCAGTTCGTTGCAATTTTTCGAGTCTTTGAACCCACTCGAGAACGGGGAATCGTTGTTTGGCGGAGTTTGCACGCATCACCTCTCTGGTCTCTGGGGATGAATCCAAGGCTGACTCGATCGCGGTCCTCAGCTGATGCAAGAGATGGCGAGCTGAGTCGGATTCCACAGTATACCACCAACCAGGCATCTGTCCAAGACCTCCAATGCGAGAACCGATTCCGAGAGCACCTTTGCGACCAAACTCAACGGCAACCAATCCGAAAGGCTCGTCTCGAGATGGAATCAGGGCAAAATCGGCACCAGAAAACACGTAGGGTGGAAGAATCGTAAACTCGGGCCTCGAGAATACACGACCTGGGTACATTTCCATGATGCGCTCAAGCTTGATCGCAGCTAATCTTCCATATAGGTCAACAAGGGGACCGATCACGATCAATTGCACAAGAGGCCTGGCAGACAGGATTCCCGGCATAACATCCGCAATCAAGTCTACTCCTTTCTGCTTGGACCATCGTCCCACGAACACAAGCAAGTCAGCGTTGGGGTCCTCGTTCAGGCCAGCCCATTTCTGTGCCTGGAGCTTATCATGAATGAGCTCGGCATCAGACTGAATTGTGACCGCCACTTCTGCGCCTTTCTCCACGGAGCCTGTATCGGAGGGGTCTGGATTCGGAAGGCTGCCGATGTTGCTAAGACTCCAGAAAATTGGATATCGGGCCCATGATCGCTTTCCGTACTTCTGCGACACACCCACTGCACCGAAACCGCGCTGATGGAATCGCAAATAGCTAGCACCGGTGTGCAAAAGATTGAAAACATTTCCAAATTGGCAGTATTTGGTCGCTATGTCAACTGGAAGATTGAAAACAGAGCAGACTTCTATCTTCTCTTTCTGTGTTCTCAGTGGCCAAAGTCCCTGGAATTCGGCGTTGTGCAAGGACAGGCAAACCGGAATTGTTCGAGTGGGAAGCAAGTACAGCGGTGCGACACATCCATGGAAATCATTGATATGGTAGAAATCGATGGATGGCGTTCGCTTGATTGTCTCTGCGATACACTGATTCCAAGCCGAGTAGTAAATAGCACTTTCAAGATCGTCCATACGGGGTGGGTAAGGTTCCGCTTTAGTCTGCTGCCTGAAAACCGGAGCATCAAGCAGGACATAGGTGATGTTCTCCACGATGTGGTACTGGACTTTCACCAAGTATGGCCTGTCAAGAATTCTCACAACGAAGGGTTCAATCGGTGTGTCCACGGGGTAATCGATATCACCAACACACGGCACCACCCAGATGAGATTCTGGTGCTTCAGGTTCTGGGACATGAGTTGGGCCATGACTCCCAAACCACCGATCTTGACTTTGAGTTTCCAGTCTTGGATGTCGTACTCCATGGTGGCAATCAAAACCGTACGTCTCTGTTGGTCGACCACCCCTCCCACGGCAATGCCTGTCGGCAGGACCTTTTCTGAGGTTGCGTTCTCCGAGTCATCGTGCTTCGCAAATTTGTCTTTGACTTTGCGCCAGAACAGAACAGGCAATGTCTCGGCCTTGAGAACATTGCCATCTTTGTTGAGCTTGACTTGATAGAATGTTCGGATAAAAATGAAGATTCCTGCCAGACCCATAATGATCGGGCCGATCCAGAGAAGAATGAAGAGGGCGAGTTGGGCCCATCCAGATCCGATGGGAATCTTTTCATACCGTAGGTTGCCGTCGTTGAGAGAGATCCTCCATCCAAGATGTGGGAAGGGGGGAAATTCGGTGATGTTGATTATGTTGGACGAGAGATAGGATGGGGGAAGCTTTAATATTGTGGATGAGTTTCCCACGTCACCGTAGACCTCCGTGTTGTCAGGAATACCTGATGGGTCTATACCCCAGGCATTTAACTGTCCCACAGCTGGCCATTCGTAGACAAAGTCGTAGTTCCAACGCAAAGTCTTGGAGTCAAACTGCATCTTGTTGTCCACTCCAGCATCGTAGCCGTACTGGTTGAATGGGCCGTTGAACCACAAGTTGGGGAACCTTCGGGCAGCATTTTCATTCCAGTCGTAATCACCTTCCTGGATGTAATCACTGCTCCCGGTGAGCCTTGAAAAGTATTGCACGCGAATATGGGTTCCTTTCCACGCCTGTTTGGAGGTCCCGGTGAAAGTCGGAATGGTAACACTCGTGTTGCCACCTTCATACGTTGTCCATTTCGACCAATTGCTCCCGAAATCAGCTGAGTACCGGAACTTGTCAGCACCTGCGGCGTTATGCTTGACAAAGTACCCGTCGTCGGACTTGTGCACGAGACTGGTGGAATAATTGGACAGCGGGGTGATAAGGGGATTGGTATGAACACCGACGCGGATCAAAAAGCTGTCGGTTGAATTGGTATAAATTTTAGATGTGTCAGATGTGGACATGTTGGCCACGGTTATTTGGTGAATTCCGTGATGGACATTTGTCAGGTTTGCAGACCATGTCCAAACGGTCGGGATCTCCCCGACATAGTTATTTTCTGTCGTCCTGGCTGTGACGTTGGTGCAGCTGACACTAGCAGTATCAAGAGAGGCGACGATGCCTTTCTCTGTTGTGGAGTTCAGGGTGATTGCATGGGTAATAATGTCACAGTCCATTGCCGCAGAATAGCCAAGTTGAATTGGGATGGTCTCACCCGTATCTTCTGCGGACAATAACCGAGAGTCATGACCAGGGACAAATTCAGTGACGGTAGGACCGGGCACGACGAACATGTCGGTTTCCACATAGGCTCGGTATTCCCATGGAAGCAGCTCCATACCACCGCTGATGCATCCATACGTTTCGGTGGGACCATCATCCACAGTAAGCTCATCGTAGGGATAGAAGAGGTTCCTCAACTTTTTCCCCGACGTAAATGGAGACAACAAGGCAGCGCTGCTGTTGGTGCAGCTGCCGCCATATCTCTTCGTCGAGTTACCATTTTGATACACAAGCCACAGTGTTTCATTTGCCAGGATTGCATCCGTCTGGACCGCAGGGAAGTAGGCCCGCAATACCGACCAAAGACCAGTAACCGTGGGAGTGGTAGCTGAACCACGAAGGTAGATGTCTTCTGTGAGCTGAGAAATCGTTTGAAGAAACAAGCCATCATTTGCGACCGGGTAATGAGCTCGAATCTCAAACATCCGCTTCATTATGTTGCGGAGAGGATGGGCGGGATTGCGTTGATCATAGGTGACAGTGATGTCGTTGCAGCCATCACGTCCCTTTTCAATCGGGAAATCGTAAAACTTTGTTGTATTCAGGTTGAAGCAGCCGTTTGTCCACCATGCAGTTTGAGACGACAGGGGTTGTCGGCCGTAGAGATAATTAGAGGCAGTGGCATCGAACACGTACATTGCCTGCTCTTCACCCCACAAGATGAGAGGAATGCCGGGAAGTACCAAGGTGATAACGTTCAGACCCAAAAGGTATTTCGACGTGCCGTTCTTGATGGTCGGCCAACGGAAATTATCTTGGTTAGAAACGCCATACATGTGTCGGGGATCTAACTCTCCGGTGAATGCATTGAGAAAGTCATTTGTGACAAGCATCTCATTCCAGGCTTGGATGAAATCGGTGGGCAAGTCGAAGCCAGCAACCAAGTTACCATCCATGCCCAGAAAACGGGTCATCGAACGGTAGATTGTATAATGAAATGCCGACGCATCCAATGCTTGCAATCCATCCTCTCTTAGGAAAGCTTCCTTGGAGGTGTTTGTTAGCTTGACAGCAGCACCTGCAGAGGCCGGACGCTGATTTGGCTGACGACCACGGCCAAGGTAGAGACTGCCAAAGGTATTTCCAGACGTGATCTCCCCGGGGAGGAAGAAATTGTTTTTGCCGAGCTTCTTTGCGCATTCACGGTAGACGGCCATCATCTCACTGAGGGGCTCGAGGGTCGCTTGAACAGCCTTATCAAAGCGGAACCCATCGATGTCGAGACTGGCGATTTGAAAGCAGGAGTGCCGGGTGATGACATCGCGGACCGGCTTGTGCCATTCACGCAGGCGATCTTGCACCGAGGCAAACTTTGTGAGCTGACGCTGCCAATCAGGGAAATTACCGAATGCCTCTAGTTCTCCGTACTGATCAAAATCGCTGTTATAGCAACCCTTGAGATCTTGGACACCCATGGTTGTTAACGGGAATCCATCCTCGTACCAAAAATTAGGATAGTTGCAGGTGTCGTTCCAGGTGTTCCCAAACGAAAAGTCGGCATATTGTCGTTCTGTGACCCATTCGACGTTGTATTCACCTGCTTTGAAATCCGCCGAGCCGTTCAGATGGCCTTCGAACCCGATCAGGTTGCTCAACCTATGTTTTCAGGGTGAGCTCCTCGGTACCCGAGAAAAATAAACTTTAGAAGTATGCTGGGGCATCAACTTACGTTGCAAGGGTATTGTCCACCAGCACGTACATATCCCGTTTGTGAATCTCTGTCACCATCCGTCTCCAGTCCTCCAACGTACCGTAATGCTTGTCGAGGAGAGTGGTATCAGCCGGCGAGTAGCCATCGTAGGCCCAAGGAAGGTTCTCCAGATACGTCCCGGCGAAGTAAATGGCCTGAATGTCTGGGTTAGCTTTTTAAATTTGGTCAAACTCGGCTCAACGTACCTTGAAACCCATGCCATGGATATAGTCCAGTGTATCTAACAAGCCATCCAGGTCGCCGCCGTGTCGCATCTGATTCGAGTTGACCACATGCTCGAAGTCGGTCCCGTTGATATCGTCGTTTGTCGGGTCGCCATTAGATATGCGGTCCAGAAAGATTGTATACATAGGGAAGCGCCAGTTGTCTGGCGAGGGATGATAGTCATGGTCCGGCCAGGCTCCCCAATAATCGATGGGGCCTTGAGCACTCTTGTTTTGGTTGAGATTCCAATCCACAAGAGTCTCGTCGTAAGGCCAGCACGAGACATACGTGCTGAGAAACGAGAGGATGAGGAGCGTCGAGTGCTGCATTTCCGTCTTTGATATCCAGGTATCCTGCAGGAACCTGCTGCCGGAAACTGCGCGACACCTTGAGAACGAACGAAGTAAATTTCAATACGTCTTGGCAAAAAGCGAGAGTGAGGTGAAGGAAAGAACGAGTGATTTGTCTCACCCGTAACAGCAATTCGACAGAAAATATTTTTTACCAGTATGATTACTAGGATTCTGAGACCCTTATCGGGCCGAGCAGATGGCTATTCTCCGCTATGTGTCTTGACTGCAGGACCCGCTCGGGCTGACCTTTCTCGATCAATCCACCGATGACTTATCGCCCGAGCTAAGTGGCCCCGTTCTATGTCCGTGTCTCAGACAGATCCAACGTCGGACTCCCCTCTTGATCGGTGGATGCAGCCACACAGAGGCTGCATAAGCGATGAGCAATGAGCGCATTTGGCCTCTGACTTGGCCGGCCACAATGTCAGACACCGTTTTGGCGGGGACTTCCTGGGGATTCCCTGTTTCCCTCCATGCTTCTTTCTTCGTCTCAAAAATAGCATACCACAACTCCCGGTTTGGCTCCATATCTCTATCCCACCTCCAATTAGGCTGAAACCCTCAAGTTTCCACCGGGCGCCGAGCCTTGCCCCACAGCTCCCGATGTGGTGTGAGGCGTCACAAGCATGAACCTGCATCACCAAATGTCTCGATGTCATCCGGGATTTAAATTCTCAACCCTCGTATTCAGAACCTAGAGCCTTGTCGCTAGGGTGGCAACTGCTCTCGACTCGAACTGGCTGTTGCTCGACCTTGCTTCGCCTCATACTTTGCCTCCCAATCTGACGGCTCGTATTTTTGATAGATAAAAGAGCGGTCGACGAATGAAACACGCAACCCACAAACTCCCTTCGGAACTCGTTTATTTTCGTTTATTTTCGCACCATGAAGTTTCCAGCGGCACGATGTCTTGCAGAGTAATCAACAAGGATCGCGCATTATCACTTGTCACCATATGCGAGGGGCATGATGTTTTTTTTTTTTGGGGAAACCCCGGTGCTAGGCTAGTCGTCAGCGCAGTCCTTGTCAAGTGGGATGTGGCTTGCACTCTGGAAACAGGCAACGTCATGACTTTGCTATTTTGCCATTCAATTTGTATTTTTCATCTCAAAATAAATGATCGAATAGTTCAAAAAAGGCTATCACATCCGAGTCTTCCATTCAAGGGAGAATACGTAAGCGTAACATGATGAGACCCGGGTGCATATGCCCAGGTGTGCATTGATAAGCATTTAATTATATGTACCTTTACCGACCTAAAAATAGACCGATCTGGGCGGCTGGTCAATTGATAAGTAAGTCTTGAGATTTTCTGTGAACTAACATGTAGATCCTAATTTACCCGGCCCGACCACGTTCTTCTTTCCAGATGACCACTTGATATTTTTATTTTGTGTGTTTTATTAAATTCCTTGATATTAAAAAAACTATTCACAGTGCACAGGTGCATGATAAGAGTCAATCGAGAAGTTGTCAATACTCCGTAGTTTCAGAAGTGCACAGGTAATCTTACCGAGAGCGGCTCTTGAACAAGCGAATCAGGAGCATCTAGACAGCTGCTAAACTCTGCGCTCAACTCCAGGCTCACTTCCGATTAGCTAATGCATTCTTTCTGAAATTGACCAAATTCCGAATTTTCCATCTCGGGATCACGTTAGTCTATCGTTCGCCATTATTGGTGAGTCTGGAGGCATGCTGAAGGGAAGCATTTGGGTGCGATCGGCCGGGCCGTGTAGACAGGCGACACGGTTGGGGCTGGCCGCGAAAAGGGAAAAAAAAAGGGGAAGATAGGAGATAAGAAAAAAGCAAATTCTAGCGTTTTGATATCCGCTAGTCGATACGACGAGAACATTTGAATGACTCGGAGGTCGAGTTGTAGCACCATGAGGCTGGACAGTGGGTGATACTTGGCGCCTAGGCCGGCGTAGATTAGTGGCGCAAAGTAGCTCGCAGGGCGGTGACGCGGCGCCCACGCGGTGTCGAGGCGGTTACTGTTCCAAGCCTAGTGCCGGCAGTCCAATGTTGACTGCAAATGTATTTCTAGTGAGCAGCGATATGGTTGCCCAACCGGGTACCCTGGTCTACCCTATCGTATGTCGAATGCGGGGGATTTTATAATCATGTGGAGCGAAAATAATGTCTCGTTATCGTTATTTTTTCCTAAATTTGTGCCTCCAAAGTTTTCCTACCCGATTTGGGGATTCGTGACGTTGCAGTCTCCCATCTTGAAAGCTGTACCTGACTAGCTCTGGAAAGCTTCAAAGTCGGCACTGTTCCATCCTCGGCCAGAAAGGAACGCAGTCCGCCAAAGCGTCATGGCTCTGTCCTCGGAAATTTCCATCTAACTTTCAGATCTCCACCATGTGTCCGTCTGAAGCGGACGGGGCGGAGGATGACCAGTGCCTGATCGACCATCCTGAAAATCATGGACCAAGATTCATCAATCTTTACGTTCTCGGCCAGGAGGGCTCAATAGTTGACGTGATGACGGCATTCATACTGCAGCTGGGCTCTCATGCTCCTTGAGCGGAGAAAACGATGCGTCACAGCTTTGACTATAAATTGCCGAAGAGACTGCCGTTAGCCACAGTTGTATGATCTTAGCGAGATTCAACGATAATTATCGCCAGACGGCCTATGACAGCCCGTCGACTGTACCCCTGGTGGGTACTTTGTTCCCTAGTACCGCCCTGATGGGCAAGCTTCAGCCTCCTGGGCTGAAAGCTAGGGGCACCATACGCCCAAACGCGGAACGCCAACGAGAGATCGTGAGGGGCTCTATCCAACAGGAATGATTTCCGCGCGATCTCAATTCTTCAATACTGAGCCCCTCAGTCGACCACCGGGTGGTCCCGAATCCCCAACATCTTTCCAGCCACATACTCCGAACTACATCGGCAATTCGTGGGGAATCTGCGGAGTATCATCGTGGTCTTCCGATTTTCTCCACAATGACACTGAAGGCACCAGGGACCGCCGATCCAAGGAATTAAACTCCGTACTCTCCCCAGACTCCACTTAATTCCGCGTCAAGGAAAAAAAACTTGAGATAATTCCGTTGTCTGAAGGAATTGTATTCTTTTTTTTGAAGAGCTCGTCCGATGACATCAAGCCCCTGTATGATTAAAATTCGAAATCGACAATAGCCTGCTTGCCCAAAGTTTCTCTCCGTGAAATTGTGTGGAGTATGCTCGGATCACTTCCGCTTTCAAAGAGTTCCAAGAGTCCACTACACTCGGATAGCCCATCGGATAGTGGGGAAAACGTCGACTGCCGAGGAAATCCACCTCGACCCTTCCTTGCAACGATCAAGATGCGGGGATCTAGTGTTCCACGGCAAGTTTTCGCCGGCAAATATCGCAATGGTATCAGTATAAATTGAACGATCTCCTGTTTCAAGATGAGCCCGCCACAAGAGAGCACCAAGAAGTCATCAAGTACCCATCTCCTTATCAAAATGGGCCACTCTATCAGCAGTTGCGTTCGTCAGACGCTTGCTTTGATGGCAATCTTGATCAACGTGGCCGCTGCCGATGCATTATGGCCCCTACAAACCTACAAGAGTTCCTCAATCCAAACACCATACATGAACGTCACAAAGATGGGCCAAACAGAGCCCGGATATCTATTCCTCACCCCAGAAGATATATCCCGAGGAACCGGGCACCCAGCTATCTACTCAGATGACGGCCAATTAGTATGGCAAGGCGCCAGTGGAAATTATTCCGCACTCCAGCCCCAGATACTAAACGGCGAACCGGTCATCGCATACTGGTCCGGATATACTGGCGAAGGATTTGGGTTCGGCCATATCAGTATTTTGAACAGTTCATACGACGAGATCCACCGCGTCACACTTTCCTGCCAAGAGCAGAACTTCGTCACAGTGTTTGATACAATGGCATTCGACTCTTGTATCGATATTCACGAAAGCCAAATCACTGCAAATGGCACAATTCTCGTTACTGCGGTCAATGTTACTCAGGCCGACTTGAGCTCGATTGGTGGACCGAAAGATGGCTGGATCCAGGATGGTCTTATCTATGAGATTGACATCCTAACGAACGAGATTCTTTTCCGATGGAGTGCTCATAACCATCCCGCTCAGGTCCCCTTGGCTGATGTTCGGGCTCCACTCCAGGGCTCAGGGGGCTCGGGTGTTAATTCCACTTATCCTTATGGATATCCCCATCTGAATGCTATCTACAAGTATGGCGATGACTATCTGGTGTCGTCACGGTATATGTGCAGTGTATTCTTCATTGCTCACAATGGAACGGTCATCTGGCATCTACATGTGAGTCTAATTTTCCAAAACACTTAAATCTGCAATGTACTAATATGGAAAATAGGGCCGGACCGGTGGTGATTTCACATTGGGTCTCGGAACAAGTTTCTGTTACCAGCATGACGTTCGCTTTGAATTTCAAAGTCCCGAGCGTGTAACACTGAGTATGCACAATAACGACAACACTGAGTTCACGGGTCACACATCACTGACCACTGGCCTTGTTCTTGACGTTGAGCTGCAAGGCTCGAAAGAGGTCACTCTGGTTAGTCGACTGTGGGATGCCGATGAGCCCGTATATGCCGAGTCTCAAGGTAGCTACCAGAGTCTTGGAAACGGACACGTCTTGCAAGACCATGGTGCGACGCCAAAGATCGAGGAGTATGACGAGAATGGCACAATCGTGATGCGCGCCCGTTTCGGGTATGACAACACCATGCAGACTTATCGTACATACCGTTACTCCTGGGTTGGGCGCCCATCTACGAAGCCTGATGTCGTTGCCTGTCCGACGAGCAAGGGTGGACAGACGGCTGTCTATGTGAGCTGGAATGGAGCCACGGATGTGCAGTCTTGGAAGGTATACTCGGGGTCCGAGATCAAGCAAACTGTTCCGCGGAATGGGTTTGAGACTACTGTCTTGGTTGCTGGACTTTCGGATGGCGATTCAGTGGCCGTAGAGGCCGTGGGTGGTGTGGGTGATGGAATCAGATCCGAGTCGGTTACTGTTGGCCAGGGTTGCTGATTGTTTGTCGGGTTAGCAACTATTCCAAGTAATGTCAAGTTTGAGTTAATGGTGGTTCAAAATTATCCATGTGCATGTGTGTAGGTACATAGATATATGTGTCCATACAAGAAGCGACAAAAATTGACCGATTCGACGACGTAGGGGTATTTAATTATGAACAGGGTGCGTCCGTCCCGGTCAAATAGGATCATAAAAGCAGAACCAAAGGACACAGTGATAAAAAGACGCCAGAGGGCGCATTTGCAGATGAAGATTATAGCTTGGAATCGGTTGCGATAGCCTGGCGCCGTCTCTGCTTGGAAACGACATCTGCGGGCGCAGGCGCTGCTGCGCTGTAGAAGAGTTCACGACCGACGTTATCAGACATGGTTAAAACACGCGAAGATACTGTGGCGCCATCGCGACGATTTTTACTTGATGTACTGTTAGCTTCGGCTCAAGACTTTACTCTTTGAGGGTTACTCACCCTTCACGACGGGACTGAGCGATCAACTCCGTGAAGTCCCACAGGCGTCCCTGGGGCAGAACCTTGCCCGTTGTGGGATCTCTCTCCGGGGTCCATTCTGGTGCTAGCCTGATAGATGGGCCAGCTTGGGATTCCTTGTCCTTAGCAACGAGAATGATGCCTTCTTCCTCGAAGCGCTGATAGGAATTTTTGAGGGTCTCTTTATTGACAGCTTCGAAGTATGACAGGTCGCCTTGATGATACAAGGTTTTACCAAGCTGCAAAAGATTAGCCATATATCAAAGTTCGCCCTGATTTGGTGTCAGATACTCACAAGTTGAGCACTGTCCAGAGCCCTCTTGTTGTCAAGCCAAATGTCTTTCGATCCCTCCAGAGGCGGCGTGAGACCCAGAAGAGACACTGCACCGAGCCATGATGACTCGATGAAGGGCCAGATTAGGAAACAGTAGAAGTCATAGTTTTCACGACCACAGCTCCGCTCAGAGTCACTGAGCTCGACGTACTGTGGTGTGCCAGTATTATCCCGGGTGATCTTAATCACGTCGTCCGTCTCCAAACCACGCATGGTATTTTCCATATTGGCAGTCAGACCTTCAGGCGGGAAAATGAATTCACCGCGGAAGAGCTGCAAACTATTAGAGACTTCTGCATACAAAATGTGGGGGATGAGAACATACCTGAGAAAGGAAGGAGACCTGGTTCTTCAAAGCATCGTAGGCGATCCGTTGATTTGTAGGCCCACCACCCTGCTTGATCTTGGTGTACATCGCAACGGAGACCAGTGCCTCGGTAATGAAAAGGTGGATAGTCATATTGCGATAAAAGGACAGCTGGAAGCGATCCACAGCATAGTAAGTCGGTTCCACCAAGCCTGAAATCACACCTACAAGCTTTGGTCCCATGACATCCAGGGCCCGATCAACCACCGTTTCGGTGGGCGATTTATAGAAATGGGCAACTCGGCCGCCCTTGGCGCGCACACGTTCACAGAGCCAGTTCAACCGTCGCACCAATTCGGCTTTGCCAACTCCACGACCACGGAGCGTCAGAAGGACAGTTCCGACAAGCGCGGTTGGCATCATCACAGAAACGTCGTTAATTTCGGACAAGACCCGGTATCCTAGTGTTCTGAGAAGTCGACCACGCTCACCCTGGGCCAATTTAACGTTAGTACCGATGTTCGGCAGATTGAGGCGAGTAAGCTGCTGGGTGAGGAATTCCCTGAGACTCCAAGGCTGGTGGAAGCGGACATCTACTCGTCCCAGCTGAAGGGACAATACTGATGACGAGGAAAGAAGATCAGCCAAGTTCTCCTTCGCCTTGGGCTGGCCCAAGAGTTCACTGATATAGGATCTAGATACAGGTCAGTGTTGAGTCGAGGGCTGCACTCTGAAATACATACTCTGTCTCAATGACCTTGTCATACTGAGTGCTGACAGGACAAATGATGGTGTCTTCAACCCGACCAGACAGCACACTGTCAACGATGAAGTTCAAGATTCCGAATTTCGGAGAGAGCAGTTTTCCGGTTCGCGAACGGCCACCTTCAATGAAACATTCGAAATTGTAACCCTCTTGGAGCATTGAATCAATGTAAGCTTGCACAACAGTATGGTACAGTGGGTCATTTCCAAAACTGCGCCGAATCCACATGGCACCTACGAACGAGTCAGTCTGGAAACCGAAGAAGCACCTGATGAGGGTTTGGCTTACCTGCATGTTGCAAGAAAGGCCCCAGGAGAGGGATATTCAAGTTATCGCCTGCGACAACGACGGGTAGAGCAATTCCCAGACGATAACAAATGACCTGGAGAGAGACATAGTCCACATGGGATTTGTGGCAGGGAAGAAAGACGATTGACTGCTTCTTCTTGGACGCCTCCTGCGCGACTGACCGTAAGCGCAAGACTTCTTCACTGGACACATGAATGCCTTGATGGTACGCGCGAGTCAGGAGCTGCGTTGCCATATAGTACGCGCCCCGAATGAACGACTTGCTCTCCATCTTGCAGATCATGTTGTCCATCATGTCATCCACCACTTCTCTGAGACCAGTTTCGATCTCATGTCGGCGACGTGCTCGCTTCTGGTCGAATGTGTCTCCCTCCTTGGTATCTACAAGTCCCTCCTTTTCCTCAACGGCAAGTCGAGTGCTCGCGAGCTCTCGGACTTTGTCCTGCAGCATGGGGCTACCCAAAATGGTCGATTTGATCTTTTCGGAGAACCCCGAGTAGAACACGGGTTGGCCGATCACATCGTCGTATGCGCGCCAGCCTGTACCGGACATGTACAGACTCACTTCACGGAGGAAATCAAGGGGGCGTTGGCGGAAGCGGGTATAGTTGTGAATGAGGTTCCGCTCAGTGACGCCTTCATCCTCAGCTTCGGGACCACCAGTAAAGCCGGACGGATGGATTGTAAGCTGTTTGCCGACGATTTGCAGGTCCGGGGCCGAGGACTCGTCGGCGGCGACGGGTTTGGGGGGTGGCATGGCAGGCAAAATGTAGTGATGAAGGTAGGAGATCTGGTCATAAAGAGTACAGCATTGGAGATATGGAGTAGTTGACCAGACTGAAGTAGAAGTGCGGGACAAGGGCCATAGCTCCAAATTCCCAACAAATGGGGGGATCGTCCCCGGACATTTGAATCACGGGTTTCCCCAGACAGCCGAGGCGTTAGATCACGTGGTAGGCGGAAACCGTCGGCGCAAAAAAGTTGAGCTTAATTGTTCTTTGAATGTCTAGCCATCATGTCTCGTCTAGTGACCGGTGTACGGTCCTTCTCCAGTATGTTGTCATCTAGCTTGGACTTGTTGTATTCAACGCATGCTCATGATTTGCTCTCTCCCTAGCCGCAGCCTCGTCTATGCTAGCCGGCGTCACCTCCGCACGATCTGCTGGCCACCCCTCCTCCTTCCAAGTCTTCCGTGATGTCCCTCAACTACGCCAATTGCGCCGCCAGTTGCTACGAAATGATCGCAGTGTTGGATTTGTGCCCACGATGGGTGCTCTCCATGAAGGCCACCTTTCATTGATTCGTGAAGCCGCCCGCGAGAACACCGACATCTTCGTTAGCATCTTTGTCAACCCTACTCAATTTGGTGTCAATGAGGATCTTTCTAGCTACCCACGCACTTGGGATAGTGACGTTGAAAAGCTGGAGCAATTGAACGAGGAGCTGGCTAAGGCGACGGCGGCTGGCTCCGATACACCAACGGGACGAATCTCGGCCATCTTCGCCCCCACGTCGAAAGTCATGTACCCTAGCATGCCGCCCTCATCTGAAATCGATGGTGACGGCTCCTTCGTTACTATAACCCCCCTGTCGAAGAAATTGGAGGGAGGCTCCCGCCCCGTCTTCTTCCGGGGTGTTGCAACTGTCTGTATGAAGCTGTTCAATGCTGTGACCCCTGACCGTGTCTACTTTGGCCAGAAGGATATTCAGCAGACTGTTATCATCAAGAGGATGGTTCAAGATTTCCTTATTGGCACCGAGGTGCGGATCGTGAGTACTACGCGCGAACCCACCGGTCTAGCACTTAGCTCCCGCAATGTCTACCTAGGTGAGCGCAGACGCGCCGTCGGTCTCACTATTTACAAGGCCTTGAAGGCTGCCGACGAGGCATACCGGTCTGGGAAAACTTCCCGCGAAGACATTCTGGGGGCTGCTCGAAGCGTCACCAAAAGGGTGCTCGCCGAGCAAGAAGCCCTCTCCCCCACAGAGAGAGCATTGTTCGAGGCCGACTACATTTCCCTTGCGGATCCTGATACTTTGGATGAGCTGGATCTCGTCGATCGTTCCAAGGGAGCCGTTTTGAGTGCAGCTCTGAAGATGGCGCCCTTAGAAGAGACGAAGCCTGGCGAAGACTGTGGTCTGGGCGACGGTAAAGTTGCCGTGCGATTGATCGACAACATCATCCTTCAGCCTCAACAGTAATGACACCCCCATGTAGAAAGATATCATCATTTAGCGTTAGCATCTAAAAACAAAGACCATTTTCTGCTGATAACTCCAAAGCGGTAAGTAGGGCTGGACCGTAGGGCTCGGGCCGAAAAAATTCCTGCGGGTCTTGGCTTGGCGGGAAAAAAGTCTCGATGGCAAAGCTCTGATTGTCCCTCCCCATACAACCCCGAACACCCGGGAATACATTCACTATGGCCGACGATGGAATGCTCTTGAACTTTGCCATTGGTGACTCTGTCATCAAGCCCGAGGCAAAGTTTAAAGGAGGCAGATGGCGCGACCGCCTCACGGCGAAGAAGCGCTCGCAGCATCATCCCAACCCCAACGCAGACCCGAGCAAACACGGCGAATCGAAGAACCCGAATCACATTCAAGTCCCATCTACGAGACCTGCAAAGCGACAAAGGACTTCCGACGATGCGCCCGGCGGGGGTCGTTCGCGAGGCCAGCATCAGCCATCGCAGAGAAAAAACCCCAATGATTTCGTTTCGTCGCTTTTCACCAAGAACCCCGAGGCTCAGAATGCTATCGAGCCGAAGACCAGCGAGCTTGTCGAAGATGCAAAGCCGACTAATGCTCCGCTGATCGACGGACTCGACACTTTCACAAACCTGGGCCTCTCGCCGAACTTGGCTGCGCATCTCCTCACAAAACTCGAGTTGAAGGCGCCTACTGGTATTCAAAAGAGTTCTATCTCACAATTGCTGAAAGAGGACAGCGATGCATTCATTCAGGCGGAGACTGGTTCTGGAAAGACCCTGGCTTATCTTCTGCCGCTAGTCCAGCGCATCATGGCTCTCTCGAAAGCTACAAAAGAGGCTGGTGTCCACCGCGATAGTGGATTGTTCGCAATCATCTTAGCTCCGACTCGCGAGTTGTGCAAGCAGATCTCCGTCGTTTTGGAGAATCTTCTCCGATGTGCGAACTGGATCGTCTGTGGAACCGTTATTGGTGGAGAGAAGAAGAAATCAGAGAAGGCACGGTTGAGGAAAGGACTGAATATTCTTGTCGCCACGCCTGGACGTCTCGCCGATCATCTTGATAACACGCAGGTGCTGGATGTCAGCAATGTTCGATGGCTGGTACTGGATGAGGGTGATCGTTTGATGGAACTTGGATTTGAGGAGGAACTGAAGGGTATTGTCAACAAGCTTGACGCAAGACAGCGACCTAGTCGCACTCCTGGCGTGCCGACGCGGAGGACTACTGTTTTGTGTTCCGCGACACTGAAGATGAATGTGCAACGCCTCGGAGAAATCAGTTTGAAAGATGCGGTCCATATCAAGGCAAACCCGGAGGATGGGGATGAAGACACTAAGAACGCAAGTGATGACGGAGAAGAAAACTTCCGCGTTCCCGCACAGCTCAAGCAGTCCTACGCAATTGTTGCAGCTAAGTTGCGTCTGGTCTCATTGACCGCATACTTGAAGAGAACGTTTATTCGGAAGGGCTCTGTGATGAAGGCTATTGTTTTCGTTTCATGTGCCGATGAGGTCGATTTCCTATTCGAAGTGTTCTCTAGAAAGCACGGCCAGAGGAGAGAAGATACCCCCGAAAAGGAAGGTGAGAAGAAGAGCGATGATGAAGAGAAGAAAGATAAGGACGAGCGAGAGAAGCTCTCCCCACACGGCACCATCGCCCCTGGTACAGCTTTCTCCAACCCATCGAACCCCGTTATCCTTCACCGACTCCACGGCTCCCTCCCCCAACACGTCCGAACCGCCACCCTCAATTCCTTCTCCAAGAGCACCAACGCCTCAGTCATGGTCTGTACCGACGTCGCCTCCCGCGGTCTGGATCTGCCCAACGTCGACCTAGTCATTGAATACACCCCCGCCTTCAGCTCAGACGACCACACCCACCGTATCGGTCGTACCGCCCGTCTGGGCCGCGACGGTCGGGCATGTATCTTCCTCCAGCCTGGCTCCGAAGAGAACTACGTCGAAGTCCTCAAGCGCGGCTACCGCGACGGAGGTAAAGCGCTCACCCGCACTGACGCCACCGAGATCCTGAAGCGCGGCTTCGGAAGCACCAATGGCTCGAACAGTAAGAACTGGGAAGAAAAGGCAACCGATTGGCAAATGGACGTGGAGCGCTGGGCTATGGAGAACCCAGAGTATCTCGAAATGGCCCGTCGCGCATACCAGTCCCACATTCGCGCCTACGCGACCCATATCGCTGCCGAGCGCAGCATCTTCAATATTAAGGAGCTCCATCTTGGTCATCTCGCTAAGAGTTTCGCGCTGCGTGATCGGCCTGGCAAAATCAATGTTCCCGGTCTGCGCGCTAGTCAGGAAGAGACTAAGAAGGACTTCAAGGCTGCACGTGGTGGTGCTGGACAGAAGAGGAAGGCTGGTGCTTCTGATGATGGACCATCTTCGACGAACGCCGACGATGCGGCACGGAGGATGAGGGCCAAGATGAGGGAGCACATGGCTGGTGCGAACGAGTTCAACCTTGCTTAATTTTGATTTGTGATTTGTGTTGGAGATGATGATGCATTGTAAAAAAAAAAAGCATTAGCATGTTTTCAGTAGATATCCCATAATGAAATTTTTCCATCTTTGGATCCGGCTGCTAGCCAATGTGTTCTTTGTACTTTTTCGTTTCGTTGGTTGTGGATAGCTGCGAGTGACAAGCTCTGGTCGCTGAGAATTTTCCCCGAGTCGGATTCATTTGCCTCGTCAGGAGTAGTCGGCTCTTGGGTATGAGAAGGAATTGGTTGGGAGAAAAGGTCTGCGTCTCCAAACGCGACAGTGTAACATCCTTCCTTGTGCCACTTGAGCACAGCCAGTTCCTTCATCGTTTTGCCGGAGTACACTCTAATTCTGCTGTCCCAACCCGCAGTCGCGAATATCTTCCCGTCGCTACGCATGCGCAGTCCCTGCTGACCAGAATGCTTTGTGTTGACCGTCTTGAGAGGCTTATCTTCCGCATAATTAGCTGTAGGAATGTACCCGGCGGAATGGGGACTGGGGATCGGATGCTTGATGAGGAGAGCATCGGCAGAAGACGTAATAAAATAATCACGGGTAGAAGAAACGTCAAGAGATAGGACAGGCTGGCTATGCGCGCGGCTAGCGTATAGCTTTTCCCACTTCCAGGGACTTGAAGCGATGGTGCCGAGTTCGAAACTGGCTGGCGTGAGAGCGCCCTTGTGGATGAAGACCATGACATGGCCGTCTTCGTAGGCAGACGCAACGTAGACATCCCCAGATGAAGACACGAACATATTCACAGCCATCACCATTCCTGTCTTGGTTGCTGGATCCGAGGCGATGGTAGTGATACGGCGTTCAGATGGCAGATGGAAGACATCGATTCCGCCAGAGTCGAGCGCATTCGGGACAGCAAACAAGACAACGCGGGAAGGTACTTGCTCTGGGGTGCTTTGTGCGGATTTGCTGCTCGAAATGTCCAAGAAAGTCATTGAAAATGCACAGAAGTTCAGCGCGTTGACAGGCAAGGAATGAAGCAGCCATGGCTGAGTGGCATTTTTCGAGCGCTCCGACTCTGAAACATCAACCGGCAGAGTCTTGCTGAGAAATTCCTCATCTTCCGCGCGAAGCTTCCATACACAGAGCTTGTGGTCCCGTCCATGTCTACATGGCGAATTAGCAGATGGTCTCTAAATTCCTTCGGTAACAGTCTCACGTATAAATCTCGGACACTCCTGCAGCAACCTGGAAGGCCTTGAGTTCGAGGACTGCACCCTCATGTGCCTTCCACACTGTGACGGGCCGCTTGGTGACTATATCCCAGATGACAACCCAGCCCTCCGCATCTCCAGATACAAGCCGCAGGTTCTGGGAGAAGACGTGCAGAGCGTGTATTGGGGCTGCATGGCCGCGGAGAATGTATACTGGTGTGGCCGCAGGCTGCTGCCCTTGGCTTGAAGTTTCAGACATGTCTAATTATTGAATCACCACTGTGAAATTCTTAGGATGCGAAGCTAGATGGCTGACTGGCGTGTGTGGGAATGATGGTGGTGGCCATGCGGTAACATGAGCCCAGCCCGCGCACCGCCTTTGTGGCATGCTGCCGCATCCCTATGGAACCATAGGTAATACATACAATTCGCGATCTTGACTACCACAATTGATTTTTCATATGATATTTGATTTACATAATCATTTCTCTACATAGAAAAAACATATTACCACTGTCTTAGTATGCCTTCGGGGATGATTGTCTTGCTACTTGAAATACGATACACAATGGTCCGTAACATTGCCTTGTTTTCTAGCCACTTTCCATTTCAACCTTCCCATTTCTCATCGCTTTGATTCATCATATAATATGTGACAAAGCTGACAGATCTAGGTCCACTTTGATGTTTCGAAGGCAATATGTTATGCAGGACTATGCATTCAAGTTGAGAGGGGAAACACAAGTAAAGGAAGTCAACTGGTCCCTTGTAAATGCGTCGATCATTCCTAGAACGAAGATTAGTCACCACAGCACACATACTTATCTCGGGATAAATGGGACTTACCAGTGACAGCAGCATACATTCCGAGTCCACACATCGAGAGCGATGCCAGGAAGTAAACAATATGCCAAATGTTGATGCTAACCTGGAACATGCCGCCTGCCAAGAACCCACGCATGTACCTCTGGACGGTGCTCTCATCCTGAACGACCCGTCCAGTGCTCGGATGAAAGCCGTCTCCCTGTCTAATGCCATTCTTCTGGATGTCGAAGCTAAGCGCAAACAGAGGAGGGAGGCTGTATGTAAGGTTCAGAAGCATAGATGCGGAGATCACAGACACAAAGCCCATATAATCAGGAATAGCAGCAGCGATCACGAAAGCGATGATCCACCAAATCGGACACAGAGTTGCGTATATGATCTTTCCAACCCGGGTGGTGAGCGGTGGGGCTTTGAAGATATCCAAGAATATGTTATTGTAGACAACCTTGATACCAATGTTTCCGTAGAGGCCGCCTGCAATGAGAGCTCCAATCAATGTTATCATGTTCCCGGCTGTCTGCCATCCATATGCGCTCACTCCCTGGTAGCTTGGGTTGTAGCTGTACTGCCCTTGGAGGTAGTATATAACGCAGCCGTAGATCAAATAAATACTGTAGATGAAGAACTGGGCGCCCCACATCGCTTTGATGAAGTCGCGAGGTCGTCTCATTTCGGCCATGAACTCCACAAAGAGTTGGACACCTGCATAAGCGAGAACACCCGACAACATACCGTTCAGAGAACCGATCAATCCATCCGGGGGGATGTTATTATAATGAACAATAGGGGGATAGTTGCCATCCTTGTCGGGAGTGATGGAAGCGGGGTCAACAGCACTTCCCGCAGACCCGAGCGTCGCGACCCCATAGTTGGGTGGGGAGTTTGCAATGATGCCCATAGTCATAATTATCACAAAAATGTTCAACCACACAGCACAATTCGCTATCCAGCCATAAGCACGAAGTGTGCGAATCTGCGAGACGAAGAAGCCGGCGCAGGCAAAAATCACCGGACAAACGGCATAGCAAAGCTTGAACTTCGACATCTGAGAAATATTCTGGCCAAATTGAATGGTGACTTGGCCAGTGAGAAGTAAGAGTGCGAGGCCTTGACAAACATTCGTGATATGGCGTCCATATCTGCCGACTGTTCGGAATGCTAGATCTCCGTAATTCTTTGCTGGGAACTCGTGGCTATCAACACCGAGGAAGACACGATAGACAAGGTAGCCAGAGTAGCCAGCCATGAACCCGAAGACTGTATAGAAAGCGACACCTGTCAAGATAGGTCATTAGTCCCACGACGTCCTTATAGGTATTCCCGAAAGATAGCGCACCTGGTCCCCACCCTAAGGTGCCCATAGTATAGCCCGACCCGTAAGGTCCCAGAATATCAGTCGTAATAAGGAAGAAGCCTATTGAGATCGCCAGTAAGTATCAACAACTAAAGGAAAGACCTAGACTTCTACTCACAAGCACCCGCCGACGCGGACCGGAAGGCACGACTTGCATTCGCCCATTCCTCATCGGTAATCTGCAGTCGTTTCTCAGGATTTCTAAAGTCGGCCTCAGTCAGAGTGGTGACAGGCAAGTTGTCCTGGGCATCAAGCTGGCTCTTCTTCTGGAAGAGTTGCAGAGGATTCCAATGGGGGACCTCCAGAGTCAACTGCTCCTCTCTTGTTTTGTTGGCGTAGAAGTGATATTCCTCAAAGGATACGGCTGCATCGTACGGCCCACGCGCCTGGGGTTTGGTAGGTAGGCTTGAGTCTACCTCCTGGACATAGCCAGGAGGGTCCGTCCTCAGCTTCTCGTCCATGGCTATGCGTGTTCGGCGAGCAAAAGGCGACAATGCTGAACAAAGCTGAGTAGGGGGCCCTAGCTTTAAGGGAAAGGGCTGGGAAAGTGAACTTGGGGACACAGACTATCTCACAGCTCGTGCCGTGCCCCACTCCGGGGATAACAAAGTCACATCGACTAAAAAGTACCAAGCAATGACAAGCTTCTCTAGGTGGATGCGCAGGTAAAACGCCCCGCTCAGTCAAGCGATAAGCTCGCCTTTGCTGACACACGGATTTACACTAGCTTTGATTTGGGCTTCAATTAAGCCCGCTCAATGGCTGATAAGGCACGCTCGGGCATCTGTCACCGGCTTGTGTCGGGTACTTTGGTAATGGCTGGGGAAAAATGGAAAGTGGTTCCAGGGCAAGGGGCCCGGGCGACGCCAACAAACTCGGCTCATGTAAGGCCCGAAATCATGGAGGTTGATTGCCCCTTTTTTCGAGTCTACTGCTCATGTGGTTTGATTAGATAGCCACTGAAGTCCCTAGTCCCTCATAAAACACATTTTTACTATACACACCCTTTTTCCCCTGCCGGGTGGAGCTTTCCTATATTAGCTGCCGCTGCTTTTATAGAGGCGCTCAGAGCCAGGCTCACTGAGTAAATTTGAGGACAGGCTCAAATTCACTGGGCTGCTCAGAGTCAATCATGTGATGGTTTAGTCTGAGCGCTCAGACGTTGTGATTGACTACTCACTGATCGCTCACTAATAACTCAGAGGTTGATCAGAGGCATCTCCTGAGCACTCAGTCTACGCTCAGACTATACCCAATTACTAAAGTACAAATAGAAGCTCTATGCCTCATCTCAGGCTCTCAGCCAATTTCCTTTGTATTTTACTTTCATTTTTTTATCCCAATTATAAACAACCTTGTTACTCGTTTGCTGGACCTAGAACCCTATTTCTTTTCCGATTTGGCTTGATAAAGTGACCTGATGATTATAGCATTATTCACATAGTCTAACACACAAGCCCCTTAAACCACTCCCATACTGGAAATCGGCTTTTTACCTTGATCTACTGGTTGCGCTTTGCACTATCCAGAGGAGCACCTCCGCTCTTGTCTTTCGCCTCGACATCGAGCCCCTTGTGCTGGAGGAGATCGAACCACGAGTGTGCGCGGTCGGAGTCGAGCTCAGCCACAATATGTAAAAGCGTCTGGTTGGCGGTATTTGTTTCCGTCAAGATATAGCCTCCTTGCTCAAATGCGCCGACTATCTCTTGGCGTGCGGAAGCCTATTTAGGTACTTATCTTCGGGCCCTGGGGTGCTCACAATGGTGTGAAGATGAACATGGCGTGAACTAATCACTGTGTAGACAGCAAGGAACACCTACGTAACCGAGTTGATGCGCTGCACTGCCTATATAGGTATTCATTGTGAAAGATATCCTGACTCTCGCTCAAGACATATATCCATACCTAAAATTCCTTTCTACGGATTTCTTTAGTCAAATTGTATGAATTTTTAGACGTCTTTCTAGACACTCCGCAGGTTAAGATCTTTCTAGATATGGATACCTATCTTTTAATATCTTTTGAGCGCGTTAAATAAATGTTCTTCCCTAAGGTCTCTAAAATAGGTTTGGAGAGTCAATAATGTCCGTTCTTTCCCAGTGGCCGCCATTTGCGTCTGTAAAGGCCTACCCATTGGCAAAAAGCATGGCCCATTCGATTTCATGGCTTCACGTTCAAAATTGTACATTTCGTTCTCCATTCTTTCAGTGATGTCCAACAATTTCGTCATTCTCTGCCATTTTGATTGCAATCGCCGTGTACTCATCCAAACTTTCAACAGGTAGATCAAGCGACTTGTTGTGAAGCTCACGACGGGACTGGTAGTCCCCGTCAGCAGTAGGGAAAAACATACGGCTATAAAGCTGTCTGGGGAATTCCCGAAAGTTACCCTGCTGCACAGCGGCATGAGCCTCCCTCCAGCGCTGCTCAGCTGACTCATTTGTAATGGTCCAGTCTTTATCAGTGGTTCCAGTAACACGCTTGACACTCTCAAACATGTCGAGCTGGTTTACTCGGAAGCTCGAGATGTAGACAGAACTGTTGGTGAATTGCGATAATGTAGGTGAGCTATCGGCTTCATGATCAGGGATTTCTTTGAGACTGAGCAGGTTGGCGATAGCCCGACCACACTGAGGCCAGGTGCTCGTGTTGAATGGGACGTTGCCATTATCGAACTGTATAAAAGAGCGCGTCTTGAAGTCGAACCCAAACCGATCAGATCCGCCACCTAGACTGAACTCGTACCAGAAGTTGCAGACGAGAAAGATGTAGGAGGTGTTTTGGAAAGCGTTCATCTCGGCGAGTATGCTATCGCGGCCAGGGCTTAGCATGCTGTCGTCACAGAGGCTGTTGTTGGCATTATCGTGCCCGAACCAATTTGGCAAGACATATGGAACACCAGCCTTCGACGCGGCCTGGATGAGCTTGTTGATTGTTCCTCGTGGAGCTGTGACTGCCATTGTGATGATGAGGACCTGTTGCCCTTGCATTGCCTCAATGAGTGCCACGTCGTCATCACCGCCGTAGTCAACGCGGGCAACATGCATGCCTTCCGGTAGGATGTTGGTACTGCTAGGGCGTGTAATGGCTGTTAATACATGCCTTCCAGTCTTGAGTAGCGCTTCTGCTAGATGTCTTCCCATTGTGCCACCGGCCTTCAATTTGATTAGCCATAGATCGTTTTATTCTAAGTGGGCCGGAAGAAGTCACGATTTACCCCAACAATGGCGACTCTTGAAATGCGATTCGAAAAGCCATGCGGCTGATCTTTCGCGTATTTTTTCATCATTGTGTTTGTAATTGAAGCAAATATGTGTGGCCCAACAGTTGTGTAAAGACGTTCACTTGTGCTCGTGGAAGCTCTGGAGGATAGATTAACACGAATTGATAATCTTGGATAATTCATCCTTTAAATAATCCTCTGGTCTTGAATTTTCAGCTTTACTACGTATTGTGGACATATCGGCCTTAAAAAGTTCTCTCGGTGTTTAACCCCCTCTAAGTCCGTGAGTCGGCAGTTGCCAGACCCAGACCTCAGCGGGATGTGAACGACCAATGAGCTGGCCGAGGGAGGCAAATACGGTTTCCCATTGAAATTGGACAAATTGCGATTTTCTGCCTCATATATGAACGTGTATAAAGTTGTGGGGTATTTCAAAATCAAAACAACGGAAAATCAAAAGTCATTTTCAAACAGCCGTCCCAAAGCAAAAGATCAAATCAGATAAGAATCGTAATTATAATGGTCGATCTCATGGCGAGGGGCAACATAGTACTCTTGGTAGGGGTGATTCTCCATTGAAAAATCGCCTGTATTAGAAAGAGGGTTTGAGACGCCCGCGGGGAATTCAAATGCATTCGTGATCGACAAAGCTGGGTCGAGGGTGTAAGACTGATTGTGCATCTGGGTTGGGTTCATGGTCTCTGGATGGGGGGCAGGCCACGCCCAGCTTTGTTTCAGCTCCGCCTTTATGGGCTCAGCGAACCACGCTCTGTCAGTGGAGATGGTATCAAGAATGCGAAGAGCCTCTTCCTGGGTTTCTCGGGTCTCCAGGCATTCTGCTGCAATTGCGAAACAGCGTATTGATACGCTTGGAATGCTGCGATCCTTGGTGTTTGCAAGAAGGCCGCATATGTCGTGAGCATGGACTTTTTGAATCTCCTTCATTTCCATTTGAAGATCGGACTTCATAGGATGAGTTTTAGCTAGCAATATACGAGCCGTATGGTAGAAAAGCTCAGAGAGGGTTGCCGTGCGCTTGGGTAACCTTTAATGAGGGTCAGCGAGTGGCAATAGAACCAAGGTGAGATAAACATACCATATTTTTGGAAAATAGGACTGAGAGCCACTTTGCCAGGGTTGTACATAGCCAAGAGGCTTCATTGATCGTGGAACGGATTTGTCCCATCGATCACACCAAGCACTGTAGTGATTCCATTCTTGTACTAAATCGTGGAATTGAGAGGTGTTTGCCTGTAAATTGTTCGAAGCAGACAGGTGTTGTATGCTGACTCGAAAATTTGCGATCTTCGCACAGATGTAAAGGATGCGGTGGAACCACAAATCTTCTCCTCTGCCAAAAGGGTGTATATGGTCTAAATCCATATCGACTCCCCAGATATCTGGATTCCATGATAGGGTCCATCCATGGTGTAGACAACTCAACAGCTCCATGCCTACACTGATCCAGAAACATGCTCCGCCGATCCCAGGGGTCTTGGACGTCCACCCACACTCATGAACCAATGCTCTTGATCCCACAATGTGGTTTGTCTGGGGGGCATGCTGTGGAGACAGTGCCTCAAAAACGCTCAAGGCAAGTGAAGCTGCTGCACAAAGAACCGAATCACGATTTGGATCTTGAATGGCGCCCATTAAATCTTGAGTGGCTGCCTCGTAGTAATGGGAGGCTTTCTCTTCCCCATAGGAAGAATTAGAGAGGAAGAGTTGCCGAGCGCCACATGCTAAAAAGGCCTTGAGTAACATGGGCTCGTCAATGGCGTGGAATGGCAAAATTTGTGTGAACTAAATCATGTTAGATCGAGCAAGAGCTCAAAAATGTGGGAGAAAGGACACATACATGTCTCATTGGATCCATTGAATCAATCCAAGGCCCAACCTCTTCAACATAGACCTGCAAGAGGTGGACCTGCTCGGGGTCGGTCAACGTGGAAGAGCTGTACTGCTTCGTGGCCAATTTCCGTGCAAAGTCCGATGTCCCATGAGGGAGTAGCTCATCGCCGGGCATAAGATGAGGTTCATGCCAAGCATCAGGTCCAAGTAGAAAATCCGCTGCTGCGGAGTGTGAAAAGTCAAACGTATTCGGGTCAAACGAGTGAGCGACTGATTGAAAGAGGCTCGCTAGTTGATCAGGTCCCAAAGATTGAAAAACTTCTTGCTGCAAGTGTCTCCTTTCCTGGACCGGACTCTCGGGTTGAACTGGTGGATATCTTTCAAAGCCTCCAACATACTCGGACGCGATGATTCGCGAGTCATCACGGAATGTTACTTTCGCACCATGAACTCGGTCAATGATATGGGGAGGCGCAACAGTTTGAATATCGATAAAATTCAAGCGCACACCACGTCTGCAGATTCGATCTGACTTTCTACAGTTCAGGCATCTTCCCAAAGCCTCATCGCACTTCAAGTGCCTTTCGCGACAGGTCAAACAACCCGTGCGGACCCTTTTGGCTTTATTCTCCGCTATCTCGGAGGACTTTTTGCGGTTTGCACTTGACGGTCGTGGCGAAGCTTTCTGGCTTCTTGGGATCGTCGGCTTTGGGCTCGCGGTCTGCGATTGCGACTTCAACTGTGAGCGAGTTGTGAGGTTCATCTTGTTTTTGGTCAGGAAATAGGCCCAGGTTTTAAGAAAAACGCTCTGGTTCTCTTCTCAGCCTCCAGCACCAACTGGGACAGCCAAATTATGGGCTAACAGAAATGTTCCAAATTTACAAGATCTCCCACGTAGCTGTACTCGAATGGCCATGTTCGCTGCCGGCGCAAGGGGATTAAGGTCACAAGAAAGGCCGAGTAGATCTTGAGGAGTTGTTTCGTCTTCCAACGGGCCGATGGTAGGCGGCGGCGATCAAAACGCGGAGGGGCAGAGAGGGTCGAGGATCTGTTCCGCGGTGATGTCAGCTCACGGACCGTCTGAGTCAGTCCCAGCGAACTAGACGTACCAGCCCGTTCCTCTAGACTCGATCAACGATAACAGTCCAGATGTCTGTGTGTAAGACTCAAGGTAGAGACTTAAGATGAAGAGAATGGAAGTCGAGTCGAGACTGTGGATCTAACGCGGAGGCGGGCGAGAAAAAAAAGTGGGGGCCCACCGCCCCAAGAGCGCCTTCCACTGGTTATCTCCATAACCTGCCCAAATAGGTAGTTACGAACATTGAATGATGCGGGTATCGAATGCGCACATCCCTGTTTACATTGGCGGTTGCGAGGACTGCGGAAGTATCATGTACATCATGTGGGAGAATGTAGGATCTGGACCTTGAATATATATTGAGTTCTCGACGGCTTATGGCAGGTCATCTCAGCAGACACCAGAGTCATGTTGTGAGCAATAGGGACTTTTAGGAAGGAAACAGAAGCCCTCATCCTTTTCACTTATTTCCGAGATTTACTCCCTAGTCGGGGCAATCTGAGGCGGGAGTGTAATATCAACATGATCGCGCCCGAGACAGCCGCTGACATGAACGTGACGCGAAGTGCCGTAGCATATGCGCCGATAACTAGAAGAAGGAAGGGGTCAGCCAATGGACGCAATAAGACACAATTTCATTGATATAACGAACCTTCTTGTCGATGATTCATATCAAGATCACCAATAGCACGAATCGACTTGCGAACAAGACCAATGATACGCCCCTTCTCAGCGCCAGTTACTTTCTGGTTAAGTTGATAGACAAGCGAATTTTGGAAAATCCAGCTACTGATAGCCACACCCATCACAGAACCCAGATTACGGGCTAGACCTAGCGTCGTAGTTGCCACGGCTTGATCATCTTGTTCACTTGTAGCGAGAATCGAGACCATCAAAGAAGGGAACGCGAAGCCTTGTCCAAGACTTGAAAAGGAAACACAGAGCATCGCAACTGCTGGGGCTGTGTGAACGCCCATCGTGGCTGCGGCACACCCTCCAAGCAACATGCAAACACCACCGATAATAATCGTGGGCTTCAGCCGTTTGGACCATGTAATCAGGAAACCGGTTCCGACACTAGATGCAGTAACCGCGATTGAAGCTGCCACAAGCCGCAAGCCGGAGTCAGTTGGACTGGAGAGTTTCACAGCCTGGAAATACAATGGGGCGTTGAACATCATCGTATTTACGGACATGGACCCGAAAAAGTTGCCGAAGATGATGCTGGCGCGAGGATTCTTTGAAAGCAGTTTAATCGGCAAAACTGCCCGGGGGATGTTTCTCTCGTATCGCACGAGCACAATTGATAAAATGACCGATGCGACCAAGGAGCCGATGACCAGAGGGTGAGTCCAGGGGAAGACATTTCCACCCAAATTCAATCCCATAATCAAAGCCGTGACCGCCAGAATCAAAAACAATGAGCCAGTCAAGTCGACACTTCGGATTAGACGCAAGACACTCATGCGCTCAGACCCTACCCGCTTTATTCCAAGACCCGGTGGGATCGTGCTGGATGCAGTGATGAACAGAATAAGGATAAAGGGCAGTTGAATGAGGAAAGCTCCTCTCCAACCAATCTGATCGCAAAGAAGACCACCGAACGCAAGGCCTAAGCAACTGCCAATGCCGAGGCAGAGATTAAGATATGACTGATAGGTACCGCGATACTCGATGCGCACCAGATCACTAGATACGATCTGACCCATCGAGAAAACACCACCCGCACCCATTCCGCACAGCGCCCGGGCAGCGATAAAGCTACCGATGCTCTGGGCGAGACCACACCATGCCGTTGTGAGGAAGAACATGGCTATAGAGAAGAGGTAAACCGGCTTCCGACCAAATGCATCAGAAACGCGCCCGAATAGAGGCAAGAAAGCCGTAGATGTGAGTAAGAATGCAGTCGACAACCACGATGCAGCATTAGCTGAATGGAAATACGATGTGATGACAGGGTGGCTGGAGGCCATGAGAGTCGAGTCAAAAAAGCCGATCAGGTAACCCATCAATACGCCAGAGAAGATCAGCCAAAACCTGGTGGGGGATACATCAATGAATCGCGCCGCGTAGCTGTCGTCTAGATCCTCGCAGGCGTCATTGGTGGATGTGTTCGACACCAATCTCTCTAGATTCGGTTCAATGTCCAACCCGGAGAGCGAACTGACCCGAGTGAGACCGAGTGTAGTCACCTCGTTGAAATCACCTGAGCTCGATGAGCCTGCTTCAACATCTTCGGTGACCACGCTTCGGCATTGTGTGCTTTCTCGGATTGTTTCTTCTCGCAAAAGCGGAGTGGCCTCAGATGGATGTGAAGCAGCCAGATGTCCCCCATCATGAGCACTCATGGTGACGACGAAAGGAGTGAAATATATAGATATACCGAGGACAGTAAAACGAGAATGGTGACCGCGAGAGGCAGCTGGGTCTCCGATCAACGGAGAATGCGGCGAAAATTAAGCAACAAAAGTGGGGGATAAGGGCTTAATACCCCAGATACGAACCACATGAGCCCCAACTAGGATAATGCAGCTCTGGGAGCCGAAGTCAGACGAATCGAGCAGGGTCCTGCAGTAAGCCCTGGAGATCGACGAGTAAGCCGAGTTGGAGATCAGTGGCGAAGCTGGGATCTGATCCCGCGATAAGAGGTTATCGATAATTGATAATCCAACTCGAGCCTTCATTCCCCTCCTCTCACGCCTTTGCTTACACTTGTCTTTTAACGTCTCATTTATCCCTTGCACAGGTTACTCTCGCGATATAGACACACAAACTCTCTCATACACCGGCATAATGCAGCCCCCTCTCCGAATTGCCGTCCTGGAATGCGACACCCCACTCCCCGCCGTCAACGCCCGCTACAACAACGAAGGCTACTACGGCGTCTTCAAGACACTCCTCAAATCCAGCGCCGAGAATTTAGGAAATTCACGCTTAGACCCAGACACCGGGCTCCAGATTACAAAATGGGACGTTATCGACGCGCAGGAATACCCGAGACTGGAGGATGTCGACGCTGTGCTTCTTACAGGGTCAAGTCAGTGCTCCTGACGATCGTTGAACGGTGTAACGCAATGCTAATAACCGGGTAGAACACAATTCTTTTGAAGATATTCCGTGGATCAACCGTTTGGTCGAGTTTACGCAGCAGGTCCTGGCGCAAAATCGGGTGCGAATTCTCGGAATCTGCTTCGGACATCAGATCGTGGGCCGTGCGCTGGGTGCGAAGGTTGGACGGAGTGACCAGGGATGGGAAATTGCGGTTTGTGACATGGATTTGACGGAGAAGGGGAAGGAGTTGTTCGGTTTGGAGAAGCTTGTATGTGTTTCTTTGGGGTGTTGGTATGACATTTGCTAACTAGGGCAGCGCGTTCAACAAATGCACCAGGATGTTGTGCATAACTGTCCTTCGGGTGTCACTTTGCTTGGACATTCACCGAGATGTGCTGTTCAGGGCATGTATGCGCCTCGTCGCTTTGTCACTGTTCAGGGACACCCTGAATTCACTCGCGAGATTGAGGACGTTATCATTCAGAGTAGGGCCAAGGCTGGTGTCTTGAGTGAGGACCAAGCGCAGGAGGCCCTGGCAAGAACAGGTAACGAACATGATGGTGTTTCCATCGGGGCGACATTCCTCAAGTTCCTACTAGAAGGATGAAATGAAGATTCATTCTGAAGTTTGATCAGCATTACATAGAATGATACAGGAGATGCGAGAGCTGGCCTCAAAGTTCGCATGATCGAGTATCAAGTGATAGACTAGACGTCGACGTATTTGTAAATGGTACTGGCAATTAGAGACTACTTCAATCTACAAATTTCCTCATAGGCACGACGAATCAGAAGTTTTATACCGCGAGGAACAGCAGCAGTGTTACCCGTGCAACACTATAGAGCCAAATGCGGCTCCATGCAGGGTATTACGAGTTACCCCAATGAGCCATACGGGAAAAAACCGAGTTGTAATCTCAAATAAATCCACCCAAGGTGAGAAATGCATCGATTGTGCAAATGCAAGCAAGATGTTAGGAGTGTTTCTCCAAGCGAAACATCAAAGTTAAAAAACCTCCAACCCATCGCCAAAAGAAATGCATGTCGTGATCCGTTGAGGGAGTGCTCCAGGCACATCCTCCCATGCTGATAAGTCAAAACGCCGCTCCAGCCTACCTGGCTGTTCCATGTGGCCATGCATATGACAAAAAAATGATCCCATGTGCCATATGCTTCACGCTAACGCCATCACAATGCAAGTTCGCTGCAAAATAGAGAGGAATCTAAGGCGCACAAAATAACGAAATATTGGTCCGAAACCCTGAAAGATAGGCCGTGACGCTTAAATCGGTCGAGATTTGGAGAGTCTGCCGCTGCGGCGAGGTCCTCTTCTGGAATCTGACGCAGATTGGTCGGAAGATTCCTGAGCATCATCGGTACTTGACTCGGCCCGGGCCTTTTCAGCATCTGCCTCTGCTTTCATGTGGAGATTAAGGGAAACGAGCTCGTTCTGGTCGTCTCGGAATGAGATATCGACACCCAGAGTGAGATTGGAGACAATATGTCTCTTAGGTCGCACGCGCCGGACGGCTGGTCGCGGGTCATCGGAGTCCTCGCTGTCCTCGGCAGAACGCTTGCTACCGGTACTAAAGGGTGATGATTCTCGGGATACCTGAATGCTGGAGTTGAAGGAGGGACCAGGAATGGGCTTCTTCTCCGGTACTGCATCGAGAAGGGCTGCAAATGCCCGGTCGATATCACCGCGACATCTCTGGAGCATGTCCACGATCGTGTCCCGATCATATCGGCCCCCAAGGCCTTCTTGGATGGATTGGATATCCCAGGGCGGGAAAACGTCGACGGCCAAACCGGCGTCATTTAAGGTTGTTTCAGGAGTCGTGGCTGTGGTGGTGGTCGTCGTAGGAAGAGGAATGTCGGAGGAAGAGGATGATGCAGAGGAGTGAGCCGTCTCCGCGGTGAAGTCGGGGATTTTCATGTAGATAGGACGTTTATTGTCGGAGACCTGCTCCTTCGAATCCTCGCCGAATTCTCGTAACGGGACTTGGTCAGCACTCTTTTGAATAGTAAAGAGGCCTTTATGGGTGCCATCAATAGACCGCACTGATGAGTAGTGTTTAAAGTCCTGCGTTCAGTTAGTTACAGGTTCAAGCCCCGTTTAAGCATATGTATCATACGTGAAAGGCGACGTGAATCACATCCCGATGCTCTTCATGCGAGGCGTTGACATCACGGAAGGCTTGGACACCGTCCATGGTATACACATTAATGTCCACCTTGAATACTTGACAGAAAGCCTGGAGGTGCTCGGAGCTACCCCACTCGCCATTCTTCCGGGTAAAGTTTACCATCGCCTCGAAACGTCGCTCCTTGTCCTCTTCAGATGGAGCCGACACGTCGGCGGAACGCGTAGCGTAGGCCGATTGGGCGGCTCGTTTGGGTCTTCGACGTTCACCACCCTCGGCAACGACAAATTGCATAAAGTACTCCTTATTCATCTCTATGTGGTCGGCCAGAAGTTGGCGGATCTCGTTGTCGTGATCGAAGTTTCCCCACAATTGATCCGAGAGGGAGTAGTAAAGGCAATTCCCTGTTTGACGCGTCAATAAACGGTAATTCCACAGCAACGAAGCTACTATGCTTCGTTGCTACACTATAAGGTTCTAAATAGCCAGGGGTCTTACCATCACCTTCTGTTGGCAGAGCAAATAGGTCACGTTCCTTTAAACAGGCCATTTCGAGACTTGCCAGGTCAATGGCCCTCTTGTGACGCATAGTTGCGGATTCATCTGGCTGGACCAGCAGCGAAGAAGTGTGGATGGAAGATGGTGATGGTCGAGTCTCTAGAGTAGCGGTCTCCGGGGTGGTGGTGGAGTCGGGTGGTTGTTGTTGGTGGCCCGTAAGTATGGGCACAATTCTGCCACCGTGTGTGAGGGAAGACATGGTGGAAAGAGAGTCCCTAAGGACAATATCGACATTTATGATATTGAGAGCGAATAAGGAGGCAATCAATGAATTCGAAATACAAGGGGGGAAGCAGTTAACTGCCCGCAGAGTAGAGGAGCCCTGCGGGTGCGATGAATTGAAAAAGGAATTCAAGCATCCGCCGCGATTTGAGTGCCGAGTCAGGGGCGGTGAACCATTCCCGGTACGGTGATTGGGCCGCACGTGAGACCTTTCCTTCTATGACATGGGTGACAGAGCTTATCCATAGAGCTGTTTTTACTATTCTCAATTGATTTGTTCCGTATATCTGTCATCTCCAGTTTCTCGGAACATGCTGTCCATTCCTTTCGCTTGACCATTCTCTAACCTACGCCTTGTTTAGCCCTCACATTTGAGATGTGATTCATTCATTTCTAGGGATACAGTGGAGCCCGAAATGGAGAACACGGGACTTTACGGAGAAGGCCCTTGCTCCAACATGGGGCCAATATGAAGTATAAGGTCTTTTCAATATAATATTTAGTAGACGTCTATTGAGAGAGCATCCCGTGACCTGCTGGCCTTCTTCATCTACCATACCACTCAATTAATGATCGATAGCTTCCCATGGCCTGGTCGAGTATGTGGAGACGTATTTAATTCGGTATGAGCTCTGTACTCCTCCGCGTCTCCACCTTGAAAACTTTGGCGCGTTTAAGGTAACAAACATGCCTCATTCGCTTCTGCCTACACCGCCTCTCCCGCCGTCACCTGAAAGAGTAGCAGAGAAACACCGGTCGTACGTATTGTAAATTACCCCGAGCGACTCCATTTCTCTTATCAAATTGAAAGATAACGGGAGGTTACTCCTCACCCCGCTCGAGATTAGTCTCACTCTAACACCTTTTGAGTCATTCGCGCTCAATTGATGTTCGTCACTTTTATTTTGTCATTCTCTTCAGACTGATTGATTAGCTGGACTCGGAAGGATAAACGTGAATTCAACATGCCGAAAAATATCGTCGTTCTGGGGTACAGCTACCCCGACTCCACCCATGCAAGGAGATGCATGCCTGAACGTTGAACTGACATGCGCAACAGAGCTGGTGTGTCGGGCCTAACCACGGCCTACCTGCTATCCAAAGATCCGGTCAACCAGGTCACCGTGCTGGCGAAGCATATGCCCGGAGACTACGATATTGAATATGCTTCACCATGGGCCGGCGCCAACTACATGCCGTACGCTTCATTTCCCCACTCCTTGGAGCATAACTAACCCATGTTCTTCAATTAGCGTTGGCAAGGAAGGTAGCAAGCATCAGGAATGGGAGCGGAACACCTGGGCCCCGTTGAAAGAGATCACAGAAAAGCACCCTGAAGCTGGCATCCACTTTCTGAGTACGTCTTTATCCTCCAAGCATTAGAGGAGAGTTATGATTTAATTAGATTTTCAGATACACTCATTTATAACCGCAAAAAGGACCAGGGGTCGGCTACCGGAGACTGGTTCTCAGAATTGGTGAAGCCTAACCCGTGGTACAAGGATGTTGTACCGGACGTAAGACCAGCAAACCCTAAGCTTTACAGATACATGCTTACGATATCTACAGTTTAAATCTATTCCGAAAGAGAAACTGAGTGGTGACATGGATAACGCCCAACAATTCACCTCCGTCTGCATCAACACAGCCATTTATCTCCCGTGGCTCGTGGGTCAGTGTGTGAAAAATGGCGCAGTCTTCAAGCGAGCAGTTCTTAAGCATATAACTGAAGCTGCCTCAGCTCACCACACAGGTCAACCCGCCGACGTGGTAGTGAACTGCACAGGCCTAGCATCCAAGATACTCGGTGGAGTCGCCGACGGTAAGATGTACCCTGCCCGCGGCCAGATCGTGGTAGTCCGAAACGACGCCGGTTCAATGTACTCTACTTCCGGAACCGACGACGGCCCAGATGAAGCGTTGTACACGATGACTCGTGCTATCGGTGGTGGCACTATTTTAGGCGGCACTTACCAAAAGCACAACTGGGACGCATTGCCGGATCCGAACATTGCCAACCGTATCATGAAACGTGCAATTGCAGTTGCTCCACAGCTTGTGAAGCCGGGGCAGGGAATTGAGGGTCTTGATATTATTCGCCACGGTGTTGGTCTGAGGCCACTGCGTGAGGGTGGTCCTCGTCTTGAGAAGGATGAGGTGAAGGGTGTCAAGATCGTGCATAACTATGGCCATGGTGGCTTCGGATACCAGGCATCGTTTGGCTGTGCCAATGAGGTGGTGTCCTTGGTTAAGGAAGTACTGCAAAGCAAGATTCGGGCTAAGCTTTAAACAGTGGCGGGCCATTGGGAACCAACATCAAAGGGGAGGCTTTGCCAAGCCCTTCAAATAGCCCGTTTTTCGATACACCCTATTGTGCAATTGTGACGTAAAACATACTTGAGGCTCAAATTTAGCCACTGTTGTCTTCCCAAGCGTCGTTTTCTCGACGTATTTAATGCCGTCTAACTACTCTTCAAGTTCAAATTATTCATCTAGCGATTACCCCGCAGTACCAGATTTTTCCGCCTGTAACCATCGCCATGCCGAAAGTCCAGGCGGATGATATGACCCTCCGAGTCCAGGAGGTGCTCGACAAATTCGGTAGTCCACCATTAGCTGAAACGCCACTTGCTAAGAAAGCATGCTCTCCAACCCCCGAGGGAGTGCTTGCGATGATTATTGATGCGATGCTCAAGTCACGCCCTGTTCAACATGGCCTTTCGCAAAGAACCGTCAATCACCTCATTGAAGTAGGTTATCACGACGTCAATAAGCTGTCAGACAGTACCTGGGAAGAACGCACGGACGTGCTACGAGAGAGTGGATACAATCGGTATCGAGAGCAGGCTGCGACCAACCTAGGTGCGCTGGCGGAATTTGTACAGGAGAAATATGGTATGTGCTGACACGGTAACATGGGTCTGATCATTGTTGCCTGAATGCTAATACGGCGAATCGCTAGACGGCGACCTTAACAATCTACTCCAACAAGGCCGGGCTGAAAGAGACGAAGTCGGACGCCTTGTGAAAGATATCAAGGGAGTCGGCGATCTGGCCGAGGAACTTTTTCTCAACAACGTTCAGAGCGTCTGGCCCTCTATGACCCCCTTTGTCGACTCGCGGAGCCTCAAAACGGCTGATGAGATTGGAATAGGGACAGATGTGGAAGCTATATATGACGTGGTACAGCGAGATCCTATGAAGATGAGCCGATTAGCCAACGGGCTGTCAACGGTGCGTCTAGAGTATAGGCAGCAGGGCATCAGTATCTAGACAATCCAAAAGGGCCTCGTACATCATTACCGCATTTAGCTCGTATAAAATTAGCGGCGGCGATTTCATTACGTGACTTGTTGCTGATTCAGCCACTGAGCTTGGCAGACCCGCTGCTTGCGACAGCCGCAGCTGTTTGCCCGTCTCTCTGCCCCTGTTCTGTTTCTCCATTCATTAAGCCGTGACCTGGTTTGATCACTCTCCCTTTGACTTGTCCTTCCTAGGTATGTACGACATCAAGTCCCACCCGGTTTCCCGAATTGCGAATCGCTGTGATTCCTCACCTGTGGACTTGTTCACTCTATCGATTCGATCGTTCCAAAGAGACTAACGACAGAACTAGCGAATTGACGAACCTATCTCCATCTCCTCCCGCACTCTCCATTGCCAAGCAAGTCGGATACCTCGCCCTGCGAACCTAGACCTCGCGACCCTAAAGATCCCTTCGATTCAAGTGGAAACACCCGAAAACACCATCACAATGGACTTCTCCAACATCTTGTATGTCGTCTACATGCCCTCGTAGATTGCGCCATGGATGATCTTGCCTTGGATGATCTATGGGCAGGTTGAGAACGAGCCTCCCAACTAACAAAACAAACAGCCGCCTCGTCAACATCGCGATCGGTGTGATCATGGTGCTCGGCGGTATCAGCCAGTTCTTCCCGGCTACCATGAGCTCCATCATCGTCGGCGCATACGTGATTGTCTTCGGTCTCGGTAAGTTGCACGATCCGACTCATGGCGACCCAGTACTAACGCAGTCCCAGTTGTTGGCGGTCTTGAGTTCATGCCCAACGTTCCCGATTATGCCTACCGCTACGCCTCGTTCCTGTTCTCTTTCCTCGGCCGTGGTGTCTGTACGTGATTGTGCTTTCTCTATCGTCTGGTAACCATACTGACTTCTACTAGTCTACATCTTCGTCGGCTGCATCATCCTCCACGGCCACGTCCTGCGTGAGATTGCCGCCTCCATCATCGGCATCACCGGTATTGCCTACCTCGTTCTCGAGTTCATCCCTTCTATCGAGCCTCCTTCCAACATGCGCGAGTCGGACCAGGGTTGGGGCGCCGAACAGGTCTAAGTGGCTTGCATCGGTGAGCGAGGACCCGTTCTAGATGACCCTTGTGGGTCGCATTCAAGTAATGGATCTGGTCGCTGCGCGATATACGAATACTCAACGAGTGTTATGACCTGGAACCCTGGTGCTCACTTGTGCAGGCACTAGGGATTGCGAATAGTGGAGGATCGCTTTCATTTCGAGATACCTGGGGATAGTCCATTTGGGAAGCATCTGTATTATATTTCTTGGATGAGCGTGTGGCTAGAGCTCTCGTATGAAATGTCATTTGAGTGGATCGTTCTTGGCTATGATGTAGTGTCTGAGATCAGGAAAGATCCCACGTCACGTATGGACCCTTGGGGATCGTCCTGCCCTAACCCTACAAAGGACGGACCAAATGCCTATTCGGTCCAAGCACGAACGACTGACACGGATCACCGAGGGGGTTACAGTCTCTCATAGCTAAGATGCGTTAGATACCTAAGATTCCTAGGCATTTTATTCCATCCAAGATTGTGTCCAAGGTAACAGCGTGGCAGGAAAGAAACAAACGAGTCAAACAAATCAAAACGAGGTCCAAACGGGTCAAACGGCAAGAACCGATGACTGCCGATAACCAATGAAAATGCGTACATTAACGATGACATTCGCCTGATGAACCTTCCACCAATCATCGCACAGATAAAGATGCTTGCCTGCGCATTGGCCCGCCCCGGCCTCACTTGGGAAGGTGCATTCCCACTGATTTCTTCCCCCTAAACTTCATCAGGACTCGGTGGACCCATGTAGCATACGATCTGGGGATGGATTGAAAAGAAAAGAAAAAAAAAATCTAAATATCGCTTAAGATTGCTTGCGGACATAAGAAAAGTAAAAAGATTCAGTACTAACAGGTAAGCCCAGAGAGAGAGAGAGCGAGAGAGATTAGATGAGATAGAGATAGCGATCCTCGGCAGTGTGATTAGACTGATATGATAGTCTCGTCGATCCCCCCTTCGTAGATCGATAAAGCCAACTCCCCGTATTCACTGTCTTTTTTTCTCTGATCTGCTCGATAAGCAGGCGTCTGGATCGTTCCAACCTTGCTCTCTTCTCTTTCTCTTTCCTCCATTGCCCCTGGTCAAACCACACTTGACACCTCAGACCACCCAATCTGCGCCTCCCCACTTCTTCCCTTATCTTTCTTCCTTTCTTCTTCTCTCTTCTCTCCGCCTCGAATCTCTACCCCCTTCCTAACGCGGTGTGATCACCATCTTGCAGGGCCCTAGTCACCTAGCACCTGGGTCCAGTCCTCCATTTGTTTAGCTCTTTCGGCCAGCCTCGCCGAATTTCCCCCACAGCGCCAAGTCAGCCCTTTGCACACGTTGTCAGCTGTCGCAATTGCCATCACCTGACCCGAGGCCTTTTGGTCGCCACACTCTTTGAATATTTCGTCTGCTGTTAAGACGGCCCTGTCGTCGATCGTCGATCGCTATCAAACGAGCTACTCACCCCCTTCGACGCGGCCTCCCCCTTCTTACCTGTGGTTCCTGCCGGCTGCAGTCACTCGGCTTAGGTGCTTCCCCCAGCAGTCTAGACCGACTTTTGACCTCTGGCGTGTTGTGCGCGATACGGTGAATTTGGCCTCCAACTGCAGTGCGACATAACCCTCACATCCACCGAGCATCTATTCTCCTCTCGCTTTTCGTCGTCTCCGTTTCTGCTATATCCGCTCTCCCTCCTGGTCCGATCAGACTAGCCGACAATAACCCCGGGCTCAGTATCGAAGTGGTTATGTTAGCGTCCATTTCACACATGGAATCGGTACGCTCTTATCCCGAAACTCCCACTGGCTCCATGCGACAGCCATCTTGGGAGGACTTGGACGCTGCTCAGCAGCTGATCTCGTCTGCGCAGGCGGGTCGTGAACACCTCGCTCAGCACCACGTTGATGCTTCTGGTTTCAAGACATTAGGGAGTCCTCCGCCGAATCAGGGATCCGCGACGGGCCAATTGAGTCGGGAAACATCCGCTAGTGCCCAGGACAAAACATCTCCAAGGGCGCAGAAGGATACTTCTTTTCTGGGACACTCTTGCAGGTGAGTTCCCTTCCCTCGGGTTGTCGTCTGACTGGTGGAGGAATGCTAACAATGGTTCTAGTAATTGTGGAACGAAATCCACTCCACTTTGGCGCCGCGCTCCTACGGGAGCGATGATCTGCAACGCCTGCGGTCTTTATTTGAAAGCTCGAAACGTCGCTCGTCCCACGAAACGAAATCGCATGCAACAAGGCCCGGAGGCTGATAAGCCAGCGGTGCATAACCACCAGCATGATCATTCGACTCAGTCAGAGGGCGGCTGCAAGGGCTCTTGCCCCGGTGGTGGAAGTTGCAATGGTACCGGTGGAGCAGAAGGATGCGATGGCTGCCCGGCCTACAACAACCGTATCTACAAGGCTTCGCATCGCGGTGCCGCTCCCGTTCACGGATCATGGGGTCGGACATCTGCCCCTGAGGCAGAGCCATTGCTTCCTCCTCAAGAACCGGAAGCTCCCGCGAAAAACACTTCTGCCGATAGCAACTCGACGCTGGTTGCATGCCAAAATTGTGGGACGACTGTGACTCCTCTCTGGCGACGGGATGAGCATGGTCATCCCATTTGCAATGCCTGTGGTGAGTTTTTCTGTAGCCTCAGTTCTGCCGCATTTTCGCTAACCTTCTAAAGGACTTTACTACAAGCTGCATGGCTGCTATCGCCCCACAACAATGAAAAAGTCGATTATCAAGCGTCGCAAGCGTGTTGTTCCTGCTTTGCGGGACCAGTCTCCCACTGCTGCTACCCAGTCCTCTAATGGATCATCTGCATCCCCCGAAGCATCCCCGGCTGTCCTGGCTCATCACGACGAACACTATCGTTACATGAGCAGCGAGCCTATGGATTATCCGCGGCCTACGTCGTTCGCTCCACCTCCTGTGGACTTCACCGGCTTCCACATCAGCTCTGCTGCTGTCCCCCTTCATACTCTCCCAAAACTGATGGAGCCCGAGCGCCTCGGTCATTCTCCTGGGCCACAATTCGGACGACGATCTGCGTCACCAAATACACTTGGTCTTCCAAAGAAACGGACCCTCGCCGAAGCTTCAGAAGCGGATCAAATTTCCACTTCTTTGGATTCCGGTTCCAATCAGCTGCCGCCCATTATGTCTTCTGCCAATCCATCGCCCCAAGGCCGCCTGAGCTCGATCTCCTCCATTTTGAACCAGGCGGATCCTCACGCCCGGTTGAATCCCCCTCATATTGGCCGGTCTCAGGCATACCAGCCCCCAATGACCTCAGCACCGCACCAACCGCAGACTCTTCCCGGCATTTCTTCTCTCTCAGATCCTGTCGCCGACCGCGAACGTCGCGCCCGATTGGAACGTGAAGCCGAACAGATGCGCGAGATGCTGCGTGCGAAGGAACGGGAACTGGCAGAGATGCGCCACTAATTCCGCAGTACTCACAAATGTGCTCAGGTTGTGACGAAGTTAACGAGAACAAAAATTTCCTTTTCATCTTTTATCTTTCCTTTCTGTGGGGTTCTTCCACTTGATACACGGCGCAAATACTCGGTGATTTGCGCATGATACCACTGAACGCTTGGCTGGGATGGAATGGATCCGTGCACTGTTTTACTATTAAAAATTCTAGAAAGCATTAGGAATGACTGTATTCTATAAATCAATTGCTTCTCTCAATATTACCTTATTCCATGATATCCTTTCTCAACAATAGTAATTATCCAAATGGTGCCTTCGGCCCGGTAATCATGAGTCTATCGATGTCATCATGACTTGGTTCCAACCCAACCCAATATCAACCTCAACCATCCCAAACAAAACAACCTCAACATCACGAAACCAAATTACCCGAAAATGATGAAGACCTACACGCTAACATTCACCGGCGACGTAATGCTCGCCCGCATAATTGACCAACTTTACCAAACACACATCCACGATCCATCCACCGCCGCCATCGCAGATCACTTTAAAGAAATATTCCCAACCCTATCAACCGGAACTTACACCCCCTCCTCACCATGGGGCACAGCCCTCCCACTCCTCCGTACCTCAGACCTAACACTCATAAATCTCGAAACAGCCGCAACGACATCCCCTGACCCCTGTCCTGATAAAGTATTCAATTACCGCATGCATCCTGTCAATCTGGCGCCTATCCTGCATGCTGCAAGGGTCGGGTATGTTGGGTTGGCGAATAATCATACGCTTGATTTTGGGGTTGAGGGGTTACTTGAGACTGTTAGGACTGTAAGAAGGACTGGAATTCCTTTTGCGGGGGGTGGGGAGAGTGATGAGGAGGCGTGTAGACCTGCTGTTTTGAAATTGGGGGAGGAAGGGAGTGCGTATGAGGTGCTTGTCTATGCGGCAGCTGATCATCCGAGTGAGTGGAGCGGTGTGGGGGGGTTTCATTTTATTGATTATACGTTTGAGACGAGGAGCAGGTTGAAAGAGCTTTTGATGTCTGGTAGTGCGAGATCAAAGCCGTCGTTGAAGGTTTTCTCGGTTCATTGGGGTCCGAACTATAAATGGAATCCTGGGGAGAAGATTAGAGAGTTGGCTCATTTCTTAATCGATGAGTGCGAGGTTGATATTGTACATGGTCATTCGTCGCATCATGTTCAGGGGGTCGAGTTATATCGTGGGAAATTGATTATTTACGGGTGTGGGGATTTTGTGGATGATTATGCTTTGCGTGATGAGTATAGAAATGATCTTGGGGCCGTGTGGAGGGTTCTTGTTAAAGAGAAAGATATGGAGAATGGGAAGAAGAGGCTGTTGCTTGATCAGTTGGAGGTTTTCCCTACGCGCATTGAGAGGTTTCGGGCGATGTTGCTTGGGGTTGATGATGGGGATCATGAGTGGGTGAGAAGGAAAATCGGAGCGCTTAGTCTGGAGTTGGGAACTCTGGTATGTGAGAAGATTGGTAGTGAAGATCAGATTGTTGTTGATATTAATCAGTGAAGACAAGATCCAAGGGTTGGTTCTTAGAATGAAAATTTAAAGAATGAAGTATGCTTCAAGACTACCGCCCATTTACCCAGCCGTTATTAGATATGTACAAGAATATAAGAGAACGTCTCCCGTCGCAATGCAATCGTAAATCAAAAACGTGTCACTTTCCAAAAATGGAGTTGGAGAGGGAAAGAAAAGAATCTCATACTGGGCTGGACACCAGGTGCCTTTCACTGGCAGTATCATCATGCTTGGTTGTCTCTTGCGAGACCGTCATCTCAGTGGTAACCTCGATGCCACCAAGAGAGCTGTGACTTGAGCGGTCGCCGGGCTTGACATTGATCGAGTACATGTCATAGTCCTTGTCCATGTTTTGGCTGAACAGCTCAACGCGAGGTGAGCGACTGGCAGTTGCGTCTTTCGTAGCGGTTTGTACGGTTCGCCCGTAGGTGGTGTACCGATTGTGGCTGTTGGTAGAGAGCAGCTTGGGGAAGATGCGGCTAATGATGGGTCGGAGGAAGGGGAGACAGGCGCAGATGATGGCGACGTTACATTCTGCAGCTGTCCAGTATGCAGCTCCGACGTTACTATCTTTGCGGTTGTTAGTACAAGGATCAGGAAAATAGAGAGTGGTGAAACAAACAAGATGTGTCCGTGCTCTGAGCGACAACTTGAAGACTGGAGAGACGAAGGATACTCGTAATAACAACACTGATGGCGGTTAGTTCTGGAAAGCAAAAGCAAAAGCAAAGATGGGAACATACAGAATACCCATAGCAAAGACACCCATCAGAGCAATCTTCTGAACGCGCGGGAGTTGGAGTTGCACCAGCAATGGCATAGGCAAAGCGAGAAGGGTAACATCAGTTGCAATGTTCATTGAGGCGTTGAAGAACCAGACTGCCTCGAAGTTGAGACAGCTTCCCGGCAAGTCGTGGTTCCAGAACTTGGCTACGGGTACGCAGTTGACGTAGCCGCTAACAATAGCCCAAGACGAGTATGTAGCCACAATAGCCATAACGGTATAACAGGCAATCCGGAAAGAGCGAGCAGGGAAGATGCGGAGATATTGGAAGAGAATGGAGAATTTAGTGAATGCTAGACTGGCGTTGTACATGGGAATTGCGGCCCATAGACACTGTCAAAAGGTTGTTAGCTCTGTTATTTCGACGACGATGAATTGTCGAAGGGCGTCTCGGCGTACCTTCAGTTGCTCTTGCAGAATGTGGGGAGGAATTTGATCAGAGTGAACACCCATTTTGAAATGGAATTCTAGATGCAGTCAATTAGAATGGTATAATGGGTCGCAGAATGCATGGTCTTACGGGCAGCCACAAGTGCGAGGTATATGATGGAGAATACCAGGGATATCAGAATGGACCAGTCTTCGAGCCCAGTAGATTTCATCAGCTTAAGTCGTGCAAACAATCGCATGGCGACGATAACAGCGGCAATGCTCGTCAAAACTGCTGTCACGACCATTGCTCGCTTTCCCTGGGCGTATCCATCATCTTCGCTCCGGGGAATCATCTCGTGAACAAGGTTTGCCATTATATCGTGTTAAAAAGATCGATAATGACTGGAAAGATCGTAATAGGTGGGTGGTGTTTTCAAAAGAATGTCGGTGAGGGCTTCAGTCATTCATGCCCAGCTTACAGGTCCAATGCAAACCTCGTCCAGAATCGGAATTATTGCATTGGCTGCAGAGTGTTGGTTGCTCGACGTAAAGGAAAGTCGATTAAAAGAATGACGAGTACAACTGATCAATGGACAAGCGGGGGAAGGTGCTTTTGAAACCGGCTCTGGGCTTTGAGCGATCTGTGGACTGTGGAGAATTCGTATGTGATCATGCAAAGCATCATGCGAGATCCTTGTCTCGCTTGGCTATGACCTCCGCAAAGTTTGAATAGTCGCTCAAATAGCGTACGACACCGGCGATCTCGTTGAAAATTCTATGATCTGGGACCGTCAGGCACCCGGCGTCCCAGTTCAATTTGCGCACGATGTGGTCCTGGATGGAGAATAATTCCATGGAAAAGCGCCACAGGGCGCGGGTTTCCGCCATCGACGTCTCTAGCGTGGATTTAGTCGGCTGGTCCCCACCGCATCATCGCCAGCAGTGGATCTGATCGCTGCTAAGACGGGTCCTGTGCCTCGTTTGGATGCAAATCTTGTTCAAGATGGGTATTTTGTAGCCCCATAACTTTGGAATGACGGACCTGTCTACTCAAGTTCCCTTGTCGAGCGTAGCTGCCAAATACAATCGGGTGCCACTCTTGCTAGTCAGGACCCACTGAAGACCCGGTATTACACTCTTAGTGGCCCTTCTTGCGTTTGCCCGAATCTGATGCATCGTTGCCGGCTAATACAGTAGTGGTTACATATGCATGAGGCTGCACTTTGTCCTCCGCTTACCCCGGGACTGAAAAACTAGACAGTATCTAAAATTGTTATGAAAAGTCCCAGATAATCCACGTCAAATATTTATGCAAGCTCGATGTGACCTTGCACAATATAGCTACCAAGGTACCAGACGTCAGAAGTGACAGAAAACCGTGATTTCCGCGTGGGTCTCATCCCGCCCCGAGGTCAACGCGCCCCTGACACGAAACGACTCTGCTCCCATATACCCCGGTTTATTTAACTTTTACCATCTCTCTCCATGGTTGGTTTGACAGACTATTGAATCCTAACCCAACCGAGGGCAAGCGTCAATCATTTTGTCAATCATTTCAAGGGTGCTTCCACCCCCTTGGAAATGCCTCAGCCGCGTGGAACCCACTGTCAGCACCTTCACGTGGGGCACTGCCAATTCAATAATGCCTCCCTAGGTCTCCACTGCGGACCTCCATACCTCACGAGTCCGCCCGCACATGCGAATACCCAGATGCATACCTACCACCCAAAGACTTTGCATAAGCTTGTGCTTTGACCTCGTTTTGTACCCCTGATCATCCGGCACACTTCTTCCAAGGTCGTCTTCCAAAATGGACATCTATGGGACAGAGATAAGCCTTTGAAGTACCTCGGCCCCTGATCACTGCGCCATCAACGCCATCTCGGAAACGCTATTGAAGCCTTTGCGGAGAAAACGATCGACGGGCTTCGGAGATCATTGCCATGTGGCTTACTTTCTATCCAATAGCTTCAATTGCCATACAGCTATACGTCTCATTGGTCGTTGCGCTTCCTTGCAATCCTTACGGAGTGTGCTCCCTCCTTTTCCCCGGTTTTTAACTGTGTACACAACCTTTTCGGCAAATTCATGGTCTGACTGGGCTAACGAAGTGAATTGAAATTAAAAACTTCATTCACCCAGTAGATGGCCCAGGTACAGAGCGATATAATATGTGGAGGGTTATACGTTCTTTGTCTGGATGGCCGCTTAATCGCTACCTTCACGGATCATAAGCATGTATGTCGAGCCCAGCACGAAAGATTGGTATCTCGCCTATATATATCCCGGACTTTTTAAGAAGACGGCCAGATACATAGTGCTTCAATCATCGTAGGTATTTTACTTCATCGATCAACTCAGGTTAGGCGGTGCTCTGACATTTTCGAACCAACGAAGGTTGTTACTGATATTAATAATCGAATGCTTACTACATTCAACAGATTTAGCCATCTGCGAGGCAGTCAGCGATTTGCTCAGGACCACATGCTAAATAATTTCGAATTTTGAGTTAGGGAGTCTTGGCACCATATTGAAAAAGGAAATCTGGATGTTGATGAAAGAGAGATTTAGTAGGAAGTGGTAGAAGACCGCTAAGGGGGGGCTAGGAGTGACACTATCTGCTCACCTTTGCTCACGCCTCTACCAAATAAGCAGGTGAAGTAGGTTTAGGCGAAAAGACTAGGGGGACTTAGCGATCTCGCAGTTCCTAGGAGCTTGGGGGCCCATCTCAAGTTGTCGACCTCAAAGAAAACTCGGTTGCTAGGCTAGAAACCCATAGGTTAGTTCCACCAAAGCAACATCAAAATGCGATCTCGTACTGTCCATTTGCGCCACTTGAAACAACCGGTGGCAACATGCTCTTGAAGTGATAATGTCAACGCGTGCTCTTCACCCCGCGGGATCTGGGTGGTTATCACGTCCTGCGTTAGATGGAGTGTTCTGACTCAGGTCGATCGGGTTCCTGGAACATGCTGATCCCACCTCACGCAAAACCAACAGAAAAATTGATGAACTTTGCTGTCAAAAATGAGGACGGTGATAACGGAAAGAGGTAAGCCACCGGGGGTAATGAGGGGATGGTATTGGTAGTATTTCCCGTCAGATATTAGCCCCAGCCTCACATGATGCCATTTCTCGGTACGATTCGAACCTTAGACTAACGCCAAGTAAGCTACGCGTTAGCTTGTTTTTAAATAGGGTTCAAGAAACAATCTCTAATAGTGAAGTGGTGAAATTGATTTCGATCCATTCAGTAGACAAATGCAGAAACTAGAGAAGAGAAAAGGGGTTAGTTTTCTGTCAAGATTATTGACAGTACCACATCTTTGGCCTGGAATCAGTGCGGGTGAAGGAACGCATTCTCTCGACGCCAGGGGCTTGGAAAACCCGAGAGGGGTTGCCGAAGTCCTCTTATTTAAATATTCCACGCACAGCCAATAGAAAGCAAGCATCGGAGCTGCAAAAAGTTATGAGAGAATATTTTACCTAAAGAAAATAACTAGCTGAATAGGTACTTCGCAATCTTTAGCCTATTATTCAAAACTCATCTTACCATTCAACCGAGCAATATAATCCTAGTTTCATATGGAGGATATCGCTCAGCGCCTTCCCCCGCGCTTCATTGACAGCTCACAAAAGGAGTAGATCATGAGAGTGCGGCAGACAAGCTTCAATCTCGTTCCCAGTATTCGCAAGACTCTGGACATGGTACAAAGCCTCAGTGCGCAAAACATCTTTACACCTGACCTCCAAAAACGCAGATGATATGATTTCAAATTTTTTGGCCCTCATCAGTTTTGCATACAATACATTCTCCCGGTCAGCTTTCCGGAGCATATTGCCTATTCAATTGTACCCGTTACTGCGGTATGCAGAGTTGAGAAAGGTAGACTGGCAACGGCGAACCTTAGACAATAAAGAATTCAAATTGCATTAGACAAGAAGGTTCTCCGGAGGGGAAACAGAAATGACAGGCTTCAAACCAGGGTCTCCCTTTTCCAAAGCTTTCTTAAAGGCCGGACGCTGCGAAATCCGCTCAAGATATTTCACAATGTTTGGAAACTTCTCAAAACCGTAGGGAATAAACAGGCGGAGAGTGGTCAACGACCAAACGGTCATGCAATCGGCAGCCGTAAATTCATCACCCGCCAAATAAGGGAACCTGGACAGCTGTAAGTCCATGGCTTGGAAGTTCTCGTCGATACGCTTTTGCGTATGTTGCCGACCGAAATCATCATCTGGAGTGCCATTGATGCGGCAGAACATCAAATTAATAAGGCCGGGCTGCAAAGTGCCGTTGGCTCGATGAAGCCAAAATAGGTAATCGGCATATTGCGGATGAGTCGGAGGCAGAGATAGGCGACCGTTGGCGTATTTGGTTTGGATATATTCAAAGACGGCGCCGGTTTCGGCAAGAACAATATTGCCGTCCTCGATAATTGGGGAAGTTCCGGCCCAATGGAGCTTGCGGAAATCCTCTGGGGCACTCATGGTTTGAGGGTCCCGATCGTATGACACAAGCTTGTACGGAATTTCGAGTTCTTCGCATAGCCAGGTCACTCTCTCTGATTGTGAGCGCCGAAGGTGATGGACGGTGAGCGTGGAAGACATCGCGGGGCGACTAAGAGGCAATTGAGAAGAAGTAAAAGAATATAGGTTCAAATATTGATAGACGGCCAAAAACGCCTATGGAGCCGTGATTTATACTTAAAGCATTGTAGTTCTACAACTGGGCCTTGCTACGCCTGGGCCTTACACTACAGGATAGAAAATGAATAGTGGGGTTTTTACTCATCGTAATTGAAACTAATAACACTAGTATGGACGTTCTAGATGTGAAAGATTATAAATGAGCCAGACTTGCCTCCATCACCAGACCCCCGGAAAGAAGATACCCAGCATTCCGAGTGACCCGGTGTCGGCATGAGAAACCCCCGGGTGCCGGGAAAAGTGTGATCCTTATGTTTATGCTGTTTGCATTTCTTTTTGTTAACTAGTTATGTATTGTGGTGGTGGAACGCGTGACATAGTAGATGAAGTTGCGGCCTAAGGTATCATAGATGCCTTAAGAGTATGCAGTAGTTTCCTCTCCAAGATGGAGATCGAATAAGCAACTACCCAGTATATTGCGGTTCTCACCACATGCTTTGGTTCATGATATAACATTAAGAGTGATCCGATCTCCACCTTCAGAGGCCATTCTCTCTACCTCTTGCAGGGCTTGGGAGTGGCTGTTTGTGCTCTCTTCGTTGGTGTCGTTCAGTCTGTAGAACCAGACTGTCATCGAGCCATCCCCATTTCACTATATCGATTTTCCATCTAGGGAGTTTATAATACCAGAGTTTTCAATATTGCCCGATGAGGTGACCGCTTTCTGTATTGGACATCTGCATGTGGTCACGTGACTTCGATTGAGACTGGCTGATGTTGATATTAGTCTCCAAGATAGTGAACCTTGTCAAAATTGCAGTCATCCATATATATCACTGAGCAGCTAATTATCTACCACCCTAGGAAAATTTATGATGTCGTTCGGAATCCCTGAAGTCAGTGTTGTGGAAACGATGACAACTCCGGTCATCAAGCCTTAATACCGCGTAACTCCGATGGTGAGGCCAATGGCTGATCTCAGCCACATCCCTTGTCCTTATATATATGCCCAACTCGTAGAAAACCACTTCAATTGATTCTTCTTCCTCCTAAACCCTATCAATCACTTCAGCGCGAAATTCAAGCCAATTTCAAGCCAATTTCAAGATGCATCTCATTCTCACGGGCGCCACTGGCCTGGTCGGCTCCTCTGTGCTCGACGCCATGCTCAAAACCACGAGTATCTCTAAGATCTCGATCCTAAGCCGGAGAGCCGTGCCCATGGCTGAAGACGCGAAAGACCCACGGGTTCGCGTCATCACACATCGGGATTTTGAATCTTATGGACCAGAGGTTCTGGATCAATTGAAGGGCGCTGAAGGATGCGTTTGGGCCTTGGGAATCAGCCAAAGCCAGGTCAACGCAGAGTAAGTTGACTAACGTCCTATACTTTTGAGATCGTATTGTATGAGAGTATTAGACTGACAGTGAAATAGCGAATATGTCAAAATCACCAAGGATTACGCCCTCGCTGCAGCCAACGCGTTTTCAACGCTCGAAACTACACAACCTCCCTTCCGTTTCATCTATGTATCTGGCGAAGGAGCGACACAGGATCCGGGGCGGTTCTCCCCTATCTTTGCTAGAGTCAAAGGCGAAACCGAGAAGCTCTTGGGAGAACTATCTGAACAAAATCCGCGAATCCGAGTCGACAGTATGAGACCGGGATTCGTCGATTTCGCAGCACACGATTCTATCAAGTCGTATATCCCGCAGCCAGGAATTTCCCAAAGGATACTTCTTTCCATTGCAGGTCCGCCTGTGCGTGCATTCTACAAACAGGCGCAATCTCCGACAGAGCATTTGGGTGGATTCTTGACGGAGATGGCAATGGGCCGGATGGAGGGGAAATATGAAGGTATGGGTGTATTCAAGCTTGGAGGAAGCTGGATTGTTGAGAATAAGGGTATGCGGAGGATATTGAGATTGTAATGTGTGGGCAGATCAACTAGTAGCGTGTATATCAGTTCTTTTAAAGCTTCATTAATTTTAATCAATCTGCCTGATCCGAGTTGAATGCAGAAAAGTAAAGTGAATCGTTGACTGCGACAGTAGATAAACTTCAGCAGCAGAAGTGAATTAGATAATGGTTAAATATTCAGTGTTATTTGACTTCTATTCCATCACAAACAATATACACCAAGTTCCACTTTAGGTGACATGCTCCTTCTCCTCCTCTTTGGGAATCCTAACCCAGATCACCGTCACCAGTGCAGCAGTCAACTGAGCCCCCAGCGCAAACCACCAGATGGCGTGCAATCCCTTCAATCCAATCTCGCCATCAGGGCCAGTATCGACGCGAGTACCAATAGCATCAGCGATGCTGGTCATGATCGCAGATGACAGGTTCTGGTTAGTGACGAGCAGACTACCCGCACTTCCTTGGTATGACCTAGCCACATTGCTTGTAATGAAAATCGAAGCAGCAGCAAACGCAAGGTCGGGCCCGAATGTCACCAGCGCAACTCCGGGGAAGGAAAGCTTCCAGTACATTGTGTCGGCGGTCTGCGGAAGGAAAAAGGCAGGGCCGAGAGTGAAGGCCAACATAGACACAGTATAGATATAGTGACCAGGGACGATGTGAAGGGTTCTGCTCACTATCCACGTTGCAAACACGCCTACCACGGCGTTAGGGATATGGTATAGCGCGATGTCAATCGGGCTGGCGAGTTGAATTCGCAACCAAAACTGTATCGCATAAAATTGCCAGGCTCCGAAGAACGAGCCAAAGCCCAGGAAGTAGGCAATCATAAGAGGTGTGAATCCAGGTGTCCGCCAGAGTCGGTTTGGAATGAGAGGCCGGATGGCTGCCTGCTCGGCAAAGAAGAGCCCGACGAGAAGGAGCAATCCGACAATGATCAGGACATACGTGTAAGGAGACCATGAGGCGACGGGCCCCTGGGTAAGGCCGAAAAGTAAGCAGACACATCCGCCCGCAGCGCAAGCTCCTCCAATATAATCGAAATGTCGCAGGGAAGGCGCCTCGGCGCCAGCGATATCAGCCACGGGTCGCAGAGGTGGGATGCTGAAGTAAGCGGCCACGCAGCATATAGCACAGATAATAGCATTCGTTCCAAAGATCCACTCGAGATGCTGGTAGAGGCCGCCTCCTTGGAGACAGCCGAGCGAGAACCCGAATGGAGCGCACGCAGCCATGGCGGAGAAGACGCGGTTCTTGCGAATGCCCGGCTTGTATACCCGACCAAGGATACTCATGCTACCCGATACAAGAACGCCGATCGCGAGCCCCTGCATTGCCCGCGTGATAAAGAAAAGGATGTACCGCGACGGAGTCAGTGAGAAAGCGCCGATAATGTTCCAGACACCCAGCCATGCGAACGCGCCCACAATGAGGCTTTTCGGAGGTGCCAAGTCAGATAGAGATCCAGAAATGACCACAGAAAGACCATTTGCACAGTTAAAAGCGCCCACAACCCACGGAAGCTGCGTGTTCGTGATGCCGAGCGCGGCTTTCAACTGTTCCTGCGGAGCAAGCATATCTCCGAGCAGGAAAGAAAAGAGCATCAGACCCGCTGAACAAACCATCACCAGGACGAGTTCGGCTGAGAAGCTTGATAGCTCAGGTGGGACACCCTGCCTCTTTCGGGGCGGCGATGCCGCCTCATCGGCTTCCCGGCATACCGAAGCCGATACAGAGTGCTTTCGGTTGGTCAGTCTGTTACCGATGGGCGAAAGCTCGTGTCCATCTTCGGTAGTCTGAATGATGCTTGTAATAGCCTTTGTGGTATGCACAGCGCCCTTATCAAACACATTCGAATTACCAAATAGAGGGTCTGGAGTTTGTGCTCCGGTCGCCGGCGTTGAATATTCTCTTGTGTTTGAAAAAGATGAGCGACCTGAGTCTGGAGTTGCATCTCCAGACTCTTGAGGATGCTCGCTACCTAGCATGGGTGGGTTTGAATTTGTTGGAATCTGCGGAGTGGTTTGTGGAGGGACCCCGTGGGCCACTGGACTGGAACGTGGCTGCCCAACTGGCATCCTGGAGAGATCGTGGAAAGCACCAGCAACCTAGTATGGAATCTGGTACAAGAAGGAAGATATAGGTGAAATCTGCGTCAGTCGAGGGGTTTTATCGGGCAGCATTGTGGCGAAAGGGCAGAAATATCTCATTAGATGATCTAAGACGAGTGGGGTGAGTGGAGCAGCCCCGGTTATCGAGAGAGAAAAAAAAATAAAGCCGGAGCTGCGATAAGGAGCCATGAAGCAGGAACCAGGTACCAAGTTAACAATCCCCTGTCCCTTGTGGAGGCTTGCGTGGCTGTTCAAATCGTCCGCCGATCTAGTTCAGACAGGCTCCAGGTCAATGGGGTGAATCCTGTCCGATGAGCTAGGGATGCATCTTTTCCCTGGAAATCCTCGCTAGCGCATTGATGTGCAAAGGGAGCATGAGGATCATCGACAACGGCGCCGACAATCATTGCAGCATAAACTGAGACAGTGGGCCCGTTCTGCGACTTCGCGAAGCTGTCGACAGAAACTGAATTCTTGAGGGTTGCGAATCAATCATGTGGCTCTCGCCATCGCTGGTCGACACGACCCGATCTAAATGAACTCCGTGATGTCCATGACAGTACATAAATGCATATGTGGCTTGTGACCAGATGATCCTTATGCAAATATCATGCATCCAATCGGGTCCACGGCATTTCCTCGTGGCGAGATCGTATTTTAGGCCAAACGAAGGAGAGAGATCGGTCACAGCATATGACGTGTCAAGGGGGCCCAGGGTCCAGGACCAAGTGTTATGTCAATATGCTTGTCTTAACCTTTTTAAGCTAGGTAGATGCCGAAAGGAAATGAGGAAGCGGTCGCATAGGATAGGCACATCGTGTACCTGTACAAACTTTATCCTCTAGGTTCCCGAGTTCAACTTTAAAATGCGAGATCTTCAGGAAGCTAAGTCAAAGGACCTCGGAATACCTTTACTTGCACTTTCAAGAGTTCTGTTTTTCCAACTCGGCATACTGTGTAGCAAAAGGTCAGGGTAAATGATTTTCCAAATGTTCTTATACTCGAATCTAACCACAGCGAATTGTATTTTTTGAACCGACCTCGGGTTTCTTTCGTGTTGTAAGAAATATCATAGTTTAGCACCCAGTCGGAAACAAGAATCAAGCCACCCCCGAATAAGTTCTACCAGCCCATCAATCTCCTCTTCGGTATTGCCCGCATGTAGACATACGCGCACGCGCTCCTTCCCTTCCGGGACAGTAGGAGACATGATGGCACGCGCGATATATCCATGCGTCCGACAGTGACTTGCTAGAAGACGTGGCTGTGATGTTCTAATTGAGAAGATAGGAGATGTTGGGAAGTGGTCAACCTCGAATAGCGTGACCGATGGGTCTACCTTTAGACCGCCTAGGCGCCGATGGAGATGGCGGATCAACTGCTGCAGGCGTTCTTGTAACTGTTTTCAATTAGTCCGTATCTTGTTAAGTAGATGGAAGATGATTAACCTGTTCGGTCTCCCCTGATGACAGAAGCTCGTAAGCGGTGCGGATGGAGGCTAAGAATGGAAACCCGAGAGCGGTGGTGTAAATGAGACTCCTGGCGTAGTTGATGAGATAGTCTCTTGTTTCAGGTCCGCAGAGAACCATGGCTGTTGTCTATTAGCGGTTTCCGGGAAGAGTGATTGTTTGGCCGAAAATACCTCCATGACTCGCCAGCGCTTTCCCGAAAGTATGCACTCGGATGAACATTCGGTTCTGAACGCCGAGTTGCTGCACCACACCGGCTCCCCGAGGCCCAAAGACACCCGTCGCATGCGCCTCGTCAACGATGAAATAACCGTTTCCGCCGGGAAGAAGGTCGTCCACAACCTCGATGAACTCCTTGATAGGCGCCATATCCCCATCCATGCTGTATATGGATTCGACGAGGATAAAAACATTCCGCGTACCATTTTGCACGTCACGGTCGGCTTCAATTTCGGCCTTGAGAACCTCCCTCAAAGCCATGGGAGAACTATGAGCAAACATCTTTCTCTTCCCAGCCCGGGATAACCTCATACCCTCGTGAATACTGGCATGAATGAGCTCATCGTACAGGATGAGATCGCCCGGTTGAGGAATACTGGAAAGAACGCCCACGTTGGCGTCGTATCCGGAATTGAACAGAAGGGCCGTTGGCGCCTCGTGGAAAGCAGCAACGAAACGCTCCAATTCCTCGGCATAGGCAGAATTGCCGTCCAATAGTCGAGATCCCCCGCTGGCAAAATGAGCATTCTCTGGAGCATTATTCAAATGGCCCAGATAGCGATCTCGGTAGGCTGGAGACGTTGAGAGGGATAAGAAGTCATTGGAAGAGAAGTCCCTCCCGCCCTGCGGCACGAGTGTCAGGCTGCGGCGGGCTTCCTTGGCCTCTCGACGGGCCAAAGCAGTCTTCAAGGAATCAACGAGAGTCATGATGGACGTGAGCCCATTCCTCGGGCGTAGATCGTTGAATTGTTGACGAATCTCAGTTCATGGGGAGCCAAACGGTTAGTCACGGGTGGTTCCTGGGCACGGTCGATGATGATCCGCACTTTAATTCTCTAGTTCCAGGGGCCGCGGGCTGCAACGGGAAACGAGTCCGGGGGACAAGCGGGGGAATAAGGGATGTCGTGAAGAGTCGGAGACATTCTAGACGAGACCCCAGCCACCTTTGACCGACCCGGCACGATAGAACTCAATTCCAAGCCAATCTCGTTGGGGAGCTCAACGGGGAATTCAACCTCGGTGAATTTAGGAGTCAACTTGTGTGGGCCCGCGATGGATCCACGATTCGTCAATTGACGTCAAACTTCCCGCAATCGCGACCGGCTGTGACTTTAGTACTGTGCGGGAGCTTCGGTCAAAGTCACTTTCTCTTCATTCACGTTCTCAAGATGGCCCCTGTCGGTGCTGGGCTCTGGCGCACTCTGCGCGCCCATCAGGTGTACGGCGCCAACACCGATGTCGGCAAGACCATTATGTCAACTGTGCTTTGTAATGCTATCCAACAACAGAAGCAGAAGGCGGCGTTTCTAAAGCCGGTCTCCACGGGAGCGCTGGATGATGCGGATGATCGGTAGGTGCTAGCATAATTATCCTACGGGCCTTCCCAACTGACGGTCGCAGGCACTTGAAGCGATTCGGGGCTGGGACTCTCACCAAGTGCCTCTACCAGTTCGATGAGCCGGTGAGCCCGCATATTGCCGCGAAGCTGAAGAGTGTGAGTCAGCCCTTTATTCTTGTTTACTTTTGTTGGGGTTCAAAAATGTCTAACTCCAATAGATCTCGGATGACGACTTGCTCTCATCGATTCACAAGACACTGTCCGACTGGGCCCGGTCAGAAATCGACTTCGCTCTGGTGGAAACTGCCGGCGGCGTGCACTCGCCAGGTCCCAATGGCAACTCTCAGGCAGACCTTTACAGGCCGCTACGTCTTCCTATTGTCCTCGTCGCGGACTCTCGGCTAGGTGGCATTTCATCCTCTATCTCTGCCTATGAGTCCCTACTTCTCCGCGGCTATGACATCCAGTCCGTGTTGTTATTCCGCGATGAGTATTATCAGAACCACGAATACTTGCGTGACTTCTTCAACAAAAAGAGCATCCCACTGGTTTCTTTGCCGGCACCTCCGGCCAAGCCTCTGCAACCAGACGCTGACTCGCAATTGCGAGACGAAGAGGCCATGTCTAGCTACTACCAGAAGGTATCCCAGGAGTCCGAGATCCTCCGCCTCCTCGAGGAAATGTCTGTTCAAAATACACAACGAATTGAACGCCTAGAGGAGATGGCCAACCGGGCACAAGATCTGATCTGGTATCCGTTCACTCAGCATCAGGGCATGTCCGCCAAGGACATCACAGTCATCGACTCCGCCCACGACGATTATTTCCAGACTTTCAACTCGGGTGCCTCTACTAAACCGGACAGTGAGCTGCGACCTACCTTTGATGGGTCCGCGTCATGGTGGACACAAGGCTTGGGCCACGGAAACCCGGACTTGTCTCTCTCCGCCGCGTATGCCGCCGGTCGGTACGGCCATGTCATGTTCGCTGGCGCAGTCCACGAGCCTGCGCTGTCTCTGGCTGATTACTTGTTGAAGACCCTCGACAATCCCCGCTTTGCCAAGGTCTTCTATACAGACAATGGAAGTACCGGAATGGAAGTCGCCATAAAGATGGGTCTTCGGGCGGCGTGCGATCGGTACGGTTGGGATGCTAGCCAGGAAAAGATTAATATTCTTGGTCTCAAAGGTAGCTACCACGGTGATACTATTGGTGTAATGGATTGTTCTGAGCCTTCTACCTATAATCAGAAGGTTGAGTGGTACCGTGGTCGAGGTCACTGGTTTGATTTCCCTCTGGTCAAGATGGTTGATGGGGTTTGGACTATTGCGGTTCCCGAGGAGCTGAAAGCTGACCTGGGTGATGATGTTGAGTTTGATTCGCTAAACTCGGTGTTTGATCTCGAGCTGCGTCTGCAGTCGGAATCTGGGCAGCGCTATAAGAGTTACATTCACCGGACTATTGAGAATTTGGTGCAGGAGAAAGGGATGAAGTTTGGTGCTCTGATCTTGGAACCTGTGATCTTGGGTGCCGGAGGAATGCTTTTCTGGTAAGTTTCTACAAGACCTTGGGTTAACAATCACTAACTGTTTCATTGAAAGTGACCCGCTCTTCCAGCGCTGCTTGACAGCTGTCGTCCGCGAGAATCCAGAATTGTTTTCCGCTCAGAACAATACCCCGAAATCATCGCCATCCTGGTCCGGCTTGCCCGTCATCTTTGACGAAGTATTCACCGGCCTTTATCGCCTCGGACGCCCGACGTCCGCATCTTTCCTAGATGTGCACCCTGATATTGCCGTCAATGCTAAGCTCCTCACTGGTGGCTTGATTCCTCTCTGCACGACCGTAGCTAGCCAGGAGATTTTCGACACATTCTCGAGCCCCGAGAAGAGCGATGCTCTCCTCCATGGCCACAGCTACACCGCTCACGCGGTCGGATGTACCGTCGCAGTAGATTCGCTCAAGACCATGGCTGAAATGGATCTTAACGGATCATGGGATGAATTTAAAGCAGACTGGGGAACAGACTGGGACGCTAAATCTGCCTCAGCGACGGCCACAAGCTCGGATGTGTGGAGTGTCTGGTCGCAAGGTCTCTTGACGGACCTCTCCTGTGCCGATGCGGTGGAAAGTATCTTTGCGATTGGTACTGTATTGAGCATTTCGCTACGTGATGCCCAAGGTGGAGGTATGTCTTATCCCGGAAGTCTGGGACGCCTGAGGTTGAGCTAATAATTATAGGGTATACTTCTACTGCGGCGAAAGGACTTCAGCAGAAGCTGGCCGTTGGTGGCGACCAGTTCAATGTCCACTCCCGGGTTCTGGGCAACGTGCTATACTTGATGTCGAGTGTGACTTCCAAGCAAGTCTCATTGCAAGAGATGGAGAGCCTCCTCCGGGCCTCCTTACTGTAACGAACTTGAATGAAACTTGAATTTTGCTTGTGAAAATCTATCACAGAACGATCATGAACACACCTAGTGTCATTGCAATAGCAGAACCTCCGAGGACTGCACCGAAGCCATCCCAAGTAGAACCCCTGGGCCCGAGTTTGTAGGCAGCATTGGGCGTGGAAGCGGCCGTCCCTGTAGCATTAACCCCGATAGAGCTAGTGCCCGTCGAAGTGGCTTGCACAGAATTCTTTGTAACCCCAGCTGCGTCCAGATCAGACTGATGATGAACCATAGTAATCACAGAAACATAAGACATAGCAGCCAAAAGTGTCTCGGCCTCAGGAGGGAAGGAGATTGAGGAAGTCGATGTTGTAGCGCTCACGAATGAATTTACGTCCCATGTTTGTGTCTCCGTGGTGCCGGAGTACACATGTGTCCAGGTAACCGTCTCCCAAACATAGTCGTTATCCACGTAGACCTCGCAGCCAACGCTTGGCTTATAACTCGGGACTTCGGCTGTGCATTGGCCGAGACCATCCGGTGTCATAGAACTAGAGAAGAATTAGCCTTAGTGGTACGTTTACTGAGCATGATTGTTGACATACCTCGGACAACAAAGCACCATCGTCTGACTCGGCTCCAAAACACCCGCCAACAGTGTCGCAGGCTGTTCCCAAGAAGGAACTACATCCTCGGAAGTAATCAGAAATCCAGAGGTACTGAGTGACTTATCGCCCCGTGCCGCCATACCGATCGTTTCCCAACCGGCAGGGCAGTACAGTCCCGGCGAATAGTATCCATTAGAAGCAATCCACTTTTTCTCATCGTACCATGTTGCCGATGTGGTTGTACCGGGCGGCATACAGTCCCAATCACTCGTCGATGTTGGACAAGCAACCTGGAATTGCGGCCGGACTGTATCATCGAGGATCACGCCGAGTGAGAGTCTCTCTGTCGCCGTACAGCTAGGGGCCGGGGTGAATGTTGTTGAGATGGGGCCGTAGTTCTCGAAGGTCCAGATCCCGCCGTAGACGGCTGCGGTGGTCATGACTGCAACTTGTTTAACTCAATTAACAACGAAATATTAAAGATCACTGATAAGTTCTTCAAAAGGAGATTCGAGGAAGTAGCGATATGTGGGCTTTAAGGGGACCACGCCCATCCTAGTGAAGAGTCATGTGGCTTTTCAGCCACAGCCTAAAGTTGGATAGTTAAATTACCATAGCTAGTAGGGGCCTTGGAGATGTTCGAATGAGGCTTAAACTGCTTGGCTTTCAGCGGATAGTCTCCTCCGTTCCTCTCGCTAGCCAAGCAAATTGCCGGCCTGGCCGGCTTGGCAGGGACCGAGCCAACTCTGTTCCCCAACCTAGGGCCCTTCTGGGCTAGTAATGTCTTACAGGGTTGCTTGGAGGGGTTTGCTGTCTCTTGGCTTTCTCTTTTTGAGGATCCAAGGCTGTGGATGGAGTTAAGCGAGGTGTGAATTATTGATTATTGATTCCCGATCTTCGAAAGATGGTAGCCATAATTAGTCCTCTGACATGTCAAATGAAATGTATGATCAGGAATGAAATGGCCTTTGTGACCAAATCTCATTTGACGGTTCATGATTTAGACAAGGATCAAAGCTTCTTTGCGATGGCAGCGGAGAGGGCCGGCCCATGCTTCATGGCTGCCCATCCCACAACTCCGATGGTAGGAATAGCGACAGTGACAAATTTAACGATCGCTCTAGTAACCATTGGTTGAATGAGCCCGGCAACAATGGCCTGGAATCTTGCCGGCTCGTTTCGATCGGGATATTCCTGATCGGGAATGGGCACGTTGAGGAAAGGGCAGATCTGCTCCTAACCAAGCCCACCCTCGAGCTTGATATGACATAGACGGTCGGCGGGGATTTTTCTTTTGGCCATCTCGATGCTAGAAAAGTTAGCTAATGGAACTCAGTTGACAGACTCATCTCACTTACTACTCGATATAATTCCGCCGCATCGCAACTACGTTCTCAGGCTCACCGGGCTTCGTCTTGTCCGAAAGTGTCCAGCATACAGTTTGGTTCAATCTCAGGAATAAGTTCAGTGGCCCATCGAAATACCAAAGAATCACAAGGGGGAAGCTATCGGCCATCTTCATCGTAGTACCTGCCGTGTTGTTGAAGGAAGCAACCCATTTCTCAGGATCTCTTTCCGTGAGAATGAACTTGACGTTGGGATCGTCGGCATATGCATCGATCACTGCCATTCTAAAAAAAGATCGAAATTCAACCAAGCAATGAAACACGTTAATTAATTAGTTAAGGAGGATAAGTGAGGACATCGCACATCATATTCAGCGAACCATTTTTTGAAATCGGAATTCGAGTATCGTTTTATCCTGGAGAATCTATTGTGCTGTGCTGTAATCGCCTCGTTCATGATCTCCACGTGATCTACACCATGCTCGAACAGACATTCGACGGAGTGGTAAAGTTTGAATCCTAGGATATGCATCGCTCTGTAAAGGCCTAGAGTTCCCGATCTAGTCGAAAAAGCCTCAGTCTACTAATAATATATCTAGGAGAATGTTGATATTTACCGACTTGGACTAGCAATGATCACTTTCATTAGCTGCTTGCTGGCAGGCTCACTTACTCTGTCGATCTTGCGCGACATATTTGACAATACAAAACGTAGCGTTCCGAAGTTAACTCGAGGTGAAGAAAGGATTCGATTGCTTGAGGTTTTGTATTGAATGAGGGGAAAGGAGGGAGGACAAGAAGCTGACAGCTGTGCTACTCTCCTGACGTGGGGGTCGTTTCAGCCGCACAAGACCAGCGGCTGAGTTCCTCCATCTTATTTATCATTGGCGACCGACAAAAACGTTCGATTCCCACTTCGGACCAGCAGAACCCCAGCAACATATTTTACTCTAGTCTATGCCCCTTCTGTGGTAATAATCAAACTTAAATGAACTGACATTCAATAAAATGAAATGGCATCAAGGCGACCGAACTCTATATCTGGGTTCAGGCTCCGGCAAATAAGAGAAACAATTCAAGGGTTCTTAATTGAAATAGCCTCGTTGAGGTTTTCAGTATGCCCGGAAATTCCGGGCACAAAGATGATCGTAAGGTTTTTTGTTCATTCGCCGTTGCAGTCTCCGCGGCCGCTTTGAACAACGCCGTGATCAACGAATCCGAAGTCTTTGGCTAAGATGGAGATGACAACCAGACTGGAACACGGGTCAACTTCCTCTAGTGCTGGAACTCTATACAGACTTCGTCTGGTCAATGCGTCAAATTTTCGAATGATAACCACATAATGACGGTCATCGCTAATGATCTTGTTCCTATTGAGCTATATAAGATAAAGGTGCTCAACATCGCAATGGGTTTGTTCTAAAACTTGAAATTGAGTGCGCGGCATACGTTTATCTATCCCTGGGACAAAGGTACGATGTCATCGTGAAGGCCGATCAAGCTTCGGTCACAAAGAACTTCTGGCTCCGCGCAGTTCCCCAAACAACATGTCCAGAAAACAGATCCACCACAAAAAAGTGCATCGTCTACTACGCGGACCCGCACACCACCCAAAGACTCCGGCTATAGCTACACGGGCGGCTGTGTGGACGAGAATATGTCGGAACTAACGCTTATTATTTCCGAATTCGTTTCCAACCTTCTACAACAAATCCGAGCCAGTTTTCAAGGGAGAAACGGGGCCAGTCTCTATCGATGGAAACTCAACTCCACGTCCATGCACGTTGTCTGGACAGACCCGTCCTTAGTTGAAGTTTATCGGAACCACCATTCCTGGTCTAACACTAGCGGCGTGGTTGAACTTCCCCGCAAGAATAGGTGGACCGATGTGGTCATCGAGACTGAACTTTCCGTTCCGCACCTAATTCATTTACATGATCATGATATCTTGGTGATGGCATAGGGAACTGGGACCTATAGTGGCAAAGTCACCTTCATCGCGAGCCCGCCTAAGTGTGATAATGTTGTAGAGGACGGGCACTTGGTTCTGGCTTTCAAGACCAATAACCCGAGTGTGTGGCTTATGCACTTCCAAATTGGGTGGCATACGGAGAAGGTGTTTGCTATTTAATTTGTGGAGCGATATGACGAGACAAAATCTCTGATTGAGTATGAGAAACTCCACAGCAACTGTAAGACGTGGGATGTTTTCGAAAATACGCTCAGTGTGGAGGAGGATGACTTGGGCATTTGAGTTCAGCCTAGTCCCCAGATTACAGGGGTATGATGCTAAGCTGGGGTGATCTCAAGGGGGGCTGGGGATATTTCTCCCACTTGCGTCAACGTGCGTTAGAATCTGTGTTCATTTCCGAATCCCGAGGCATATACTGGATGTGTGCGTTTTTGATTAATAATAGTGCAAATTTTCCTACCCCCTCATTTCCCACCACTCAGCAGGTCATATTCGGCATTGAGAAGGATCAACTTTTTTTGCCCCCGGAAAAAACTACCCCTGTTGAGGAGACAACGAGGTTGACGTGTGGAGAGACGGGGCCTTTGACATGGAACTGAAATAAATGCCGTCTTCTAGAATTCAGAAGAATGGGGTAGCTGTCATCTGAGTGCAAGGCCATCTAGATTGTGGAGCCTTTGCTGGCGCCTGAGACAGGTGTTTGTCATACGATGCATAGCCAAGGCGTGGGACATGCATAGTCGGACCACGGCCGAAGCTTAACGAGGTTGCCCTGACTAAAATTTTCTGGTGGTGGCAATGGCGCGCTTCGAGCCGCTGCTGGCCACGGTTGGACTCGAGTTTCTATTACATCAGAAGCCACCCGGGCTTGGCTTGAGAGCGGGTTTTTGCGGCTCTGCAGAAAACATGCTATATGGACCACCTTCCATTGTCCTGTACACTTTTACAATGATCTCAGTCGCGGTCAAGTCGCATTAGACGCGAACACATCCGTGCAATCCGAAACATGCGCAGAAATAATCTCTTGGCGTTGGAGTTATTGAACTCGGATTCGACGAGGCCGGTTACCATCGGGTCAGCCACGAGGGTCTCGGGATTCTTATTATCTAATAGATCTCCGACCCGAGCCCTTCATTGGCCGCACTCCAAATCAAAGTGGACTGGAGGCTCCATTTCGACCCACTCTGGCGCCCAGAAGTGGAGCGAAGACGCTTAAATTTTGCTGATCGCAACCGAGCATCTGTCTGCAGAAACGGGCCCAGGTCACCACGTTTACCTTCCATAATAGAATGTTGCAATCGAAATACCCTCGGTCATGATAACGCGATTGCTCCCGCCCTTCCAGAAGTCCCGGGCCCCAGAATTCTCACCCCCAGTTCCCACCAAACTCTGTCGCGGGGATTTCGGTTGGCTCATGCAACGTTGAGCTCCACCTACTCTTAGCTAAGGATTTTTTTGCACACATACATATCAATCGCTGTCTCGTGTCTTCTTTCCTTTCTCTCGTCTTGCCCTCTCGTACCCTCCCCGACCTAGCAAATCGACAATATGATCCTCGAGGGAGTCACCCCGAAGCCTGAGCCCGTCGCCGACGTGGACTCCGAGGCGGGATGGAAGGAGAAGTCGGTGGAGGAGGATGGAGTGTCGCCACGCTACCAGGATGCCTTTGGTGATGAGACCAATGCCGAGGTCAAATACAAGACCATGGAGTGGTGGTAAGTCAATGCGCATTTTCCATGATCTATATACATCTGAGTACTGACTGCGATTCCTACAGGCAAGCTGGAATGTGTAAGTTCTTTCGCGACAAGAATTGACGCACGCGTCAAGGAGACGAACAATATCTAACATAAACCAGTCATGATCGCCGAGTCTGTTTCTTTGGGTGTCCTTTCTCTGCCCGCTACTCTCGCTTCCCTGGGCATTGCGCCGGCCCTCATCCTGATTATCGGCCTCGGTCTTCTCGCTACATACACCGGTCTTCTTATTGGAAAGTTCCACCAGCGCTACCCTCACATCCAGAACCTGGCTGATGCCGGTGAGGTTTTGATGGGTGCATTTGGCCGTGAGCTTTTCGGCATTGGACAGCTTTTGTTCTCCATTTTCATCATGGGTAGCCACA